CGATTCTTTCTTGGTCCCTTCCACCCACACTAGTATAGCGAATGGCCGACAACAAGCGGCTCAGGGTGTCTAAGGTCAGTCGGCGGCTACTGTACGATCGTTTTTATTTTTTCACGATTCACACTTCAAACTTCACATTTCACACCACATTTCACACTTCATCAATTGAGGAATATTGTCTATTCTTAACAATGCTTTCACTGCCTCCATAAACAGGCTTGCGACTCTTGCAGGAGGAAAAAAGTCAAGTGCGGTAAGTTAGTTTTCCTATTTGGCAGCAGCAGCAGCAGCAGCAGCAGCAGCAGCGAGCATGCTAAGACTGACTTTGTTTTTATTCTTCTTTTGGGTGCTTCCATACATAACTCAATAGATGCCATTCATCCGTTGTGCACCAATTGCGAGACCTTCAACTACGAATGTAAGCGGCAAAATATATTTTTTGTTTCTACTTGTTTTGAGAAAGAAAAGAAATTTCGTCCACTTGTAATGCACGGCGGTCTAGGCCTTCTTGCCCTTGACTAATCTTAAAGCGACAAGAGTCTGAACGGATCTGTTGTGCTGCAATCCCTGAGAATCCTTTGCTGGAGAGGGAGACTGACGATAGGCCTGCATTTCGTCTGATCGGAATAATACTACAACAATAGGCACATACAATGATCCGACCAAGAAGCGTGGCCCGCCAAAAGGTAAGGAGGAGGGAAATCATGCACGGAAAAGAAAGGCAAAAAAGAGAAAAAAAAGAATAGAAGGCCATTGCAGCCGCGACTGGCTACAAAGGCTGCGTTGTTCTGTATGCGATACAAATGTCCACTCTTTTTACTTCGCGACCTTATTTCCTCTCAAAACTCACTCACTGCATCTGCTAACAACCCCAGGCAAACTTGTCCCCATGATGACAGGTTATATCGAGGCGATAGAGGCGCGTCTCCATCGAATGGAAGGTCTCCTCGGTGGGCTTGTCAAGGACAAGGATCCGCGTGCAGAGATTGTCCGCGCAGAGCTGGATGCCATGGCGCGCGAGGCTGAGATGACGGGACTGAAGCTGAGGAGGTCCAAGGCGTACGAGGAGATCAACCATGTAAGCACGACATTACCGCTCTACTGGATCGAATCAATCCTTGATAGTACTTTTGACTGACACGCGTCTTTTGTGTTCTCATAGGCAATAGGGGGCTCTTCTACAGCTGCATTGTCCAGCACGTCGTCTCCAAAGGCCATAGTGGCTGCTTCAGGATCAGGATCGTCCTCGTCGTCATCACGGCCCCATAATCAACATATGCCTCAGCAACAGCAACAGCAGGAGCAACAACACCATCCACTCAATAACTACATGCCACCTAATCGCTCGGGGCCTCAGCAATCCACTCCTGGATACAGATCCCATGCAAGCACGCTATTGCACTCAGATACCAGCTCGAACCAGAGATCCGCTCCTAGTCGAACCCAGCCTCTACTTCAGCCATCACCAGTGACCTCTGCTCCCAGAGGCCAGTATCAGTCATATGAACACCCGCGTCATCCATCTTCATCTCAGATTCATCAGCGCCCTCAGCAGACGTTGCAACGACATCAATCTCAACCGCAATCTACTCTCGGGCCCAGTCCTCCATATCCAAAGCAGCAGCAGCAGCAGCAGCAGCAATACCAGCACTTGCCTCAGACCCGGCAACAAAATCAGCACATGTTGCAGCCTCAATACGGCCCGAGCTACGGAGATGCAGGAGTGTCAAGTTCGTCCCATCACGCCAGCTACACTGACAGCCGCGCACCGCTAAACCATTCTCGCCTAGGGTCGAATACTCTTCAATCACATCATCAGAGCCAGCCCTCGCGCGAAAGAGACCACCATCGCTCCAGTAGTGGACACAGCAGCAACAGTGGCAGTGGCAGCTTTACCATGGAACATTACTACAGTTATAGCAGGAATGGTGGCAGCTATTCCACGGACTCGCATCGTATGGTTACGCATCGACCTTCGTTGACAGCTCACCAGCTCTCGAACCCATTGACAGGGTATATGCATATCCCGGAAAATACTACAAAGGACGAGGCATTGATTCTGCCATCGCTCGATGTGATTGACCACCTGGTGGACATGCATTTTCGTTTCGTGCACCCAGTCCTTCCGATGCTACACTACAAAACTATCTCTGACCAGATCCATCGCAACGAATCGCCACCATCACACTTGCTCTTTGCAGTCCTTGGACTAGCCTCTCGCTTCAGCGATAACCCCACATTTCGCGCACCTCAGCCAGGACTCGAGCGACCTCCCTGCACGATTTTTTACGAACGGGCTAAGTATTTTATCAAGGATGAATACGACAATTCCCAGATTGCGACTGTTCAATCTCTCCTCTTGATGGCGATCCAGCAGATGGGGTTCTGTGAGAGCCAGCGCGCGTGGCTGTATGTGGGCATGGCAATTCGTATGGCGCAGGATCTGGGCCTCAACAAGGAATCATCGGACCAGGAACAAGCAAGGAACAGATTGCAATGCGAACTACGCAAGAGGACGTGGTGGTCCGTCTATGTAGTCGAGCGTCTTGTGTGTGCAGGGCTCGGAAAGTATGCTACAAGGACATACCGTGGCTTTGTAGCGTGCGTATCTTTGAATTGCGGTAGGCTAACTGACTGACATTGGATTTCTTTGTGTCAATCCTAGGCCCTTGGCTATCACCCATAAAGATTCTGAGGCGTCATATCCGCAATACGTAGACGACGAGGACGAGGCGACAGCGGGCAGATCATTAACAGTTCAGTCGACATGCATTTCCAACTTTGTCCATCTGATCACCCTGTCAAAGATCCAAGGCAATGTCCTTGAGTACATCAAAGCCAAATACGGCTCACCATCAAAATCGGATAAAGGCATCAGGACTCCCTGTATTGGATCAGAGCAGGAACAGGACTGTGGCGTGGATACCAGTGCGGCGCGGTTCTCTTGTCTAGACAAGTCCTTAACGCAATGGCGACAGTCTCTTCCGGAATCGCTGCAGGACCCAACAGCACAGTCTCCTCATTTTGGCCTTTTCCTTCATTTGACGTTCAACACCGTGATCATCCTGCTCCACCGACCTGAAGTGCCGAACTCTGCAACCTCAGCATCCTTGTGTGCACAAGCGGCAGCCACCATTTCTGATATCACTGAGATCCTGATGGACGCCAAAGCCCTGACGTCGATGTTCATCAGCTGTCTGTACGCCATCTTTTCGGCGGGCATCATCCACTTCATGAATATCCCCAGTGTCAAAAGGTCTGCAGCGTCCTCGAGTGCCAGCCCACTCACCTTAGTGCCCAGCGCACCACTTCCCAGCCACACCATGTCAGCCAAGACGAATCTGAAGCGTTGTATTGATGCTCTCAAGTTCCTCGCTAGTCATTGGGTCAGCGCAGCAAGGCGTGCTAAGATTTTGGAGGATCTCTTGGATTTAAAGCATGTGAGTTTGAAGGATCTCGAAGTCGATACATTCAAAATGTCGCCTGTGGGACCATCCTGGGCACTCGAGTCTCAATATAAGGAAGCACTCGTCGGACCACGAGAAGGTCAGGACAAACTGCGACAACAATGCCGGTCGAAAGTGATGGCGATTCACTCTTTATTGGCCAACGACGATGAGTTTAGAAAGATGCAGCGGCGTAGGAGCACGACTTTTGGGGACCAGGATGGCGATGATAACATGGAAGCCGATGGAGAAGAGTCATCCCAGACGGAGGAGTCAGAGATGAGGTCGCAAGTAGAGACGCCCATGAGCTCTGCCAACGCGAATGAATCTCCAAACTCAATCTCGCCCACATTCACCCGACCATTTATTGGACTGGGCGTCCAGTCGCCATTCTCGTCTCCGCCTTCAGCATCATCTCCAGCTTCTGTTCGTACGGAAAACAGCTCAGTTCAACAGCCCTCGGAGACGGACCCCTCAATGATGCTCGCCACCGTCAACCTCGGTCTTTCTGACAGCCCGGCAGTCGTTCAGGACAAAGCTCAAGCGGACATCAAGGCCGAGGGTAGCGTTGAAAGTTCAGGACTTTTGCGGCACGACAATGGCTTGCTTGTACCCGTGACCATGACCACACTGGCTCACGGAGGCACCTCTCCTTTGTTGAACACGGATTGTAAACTTTCCGTGACGAATGGAAAGAGCGCTGGTACAAACAATGCACCGAGCAAGCAAGGCGCCATGCTTGACCCCTTTTCCATGCCCAGTAGCATCGATTGGAACCGTGATCGGAGGCCCAGTGACAGCGGTGAAAGCGGTGCAGGGCACCAGACAGGATCTCAGTTCAACACGGTCTGGACAGTGGACTCATTGACTAATCGCACGACCGCACGCTCAGCTGTATCTTCGGCCATCGCCCCTTCAACCGATACGAAGCAGGACGAGCGCATGCCCGATAGCGATGGCAGGCAGATAGCATCGGCGACACCCAACACTTCGGCCATCGCTGCTCAGGCTCCCTCTCTCTACTGTGAATCTAGTACACACGCTTTTCCGGGGTCAAAATTAACGGATCGTGATGATCAGGATCTGGTCTGGAATGATATGCCTCCAACGTTAGGTCTGGACGAGTGGACTGCATATATCGGGGCCATGATGATGCGCTGGCTCTATGCTTCTGGCCAGTCCTCTCCACGTTCGACTACATCAGCATAGCACGTCTCTCTTTGGCCATATTATGCTCATGCATTGTACATTAGAAACTCTAGCAAGAAAAAATAATAATAGCAATGGAGCATCCGGCCAATACTGCCGTTCATCTCCATAATGCGTTCTTGCAACTCTTTTCTATCTTGTTTATTGATGATTATGATGAATACATCACTTCTAGGCTGGACCCTTCGCAACACATTCAGTTGTGCAGAACTTTCGCCCAAACTTGTCAAAGGGTGTCAGGTTGTCGAGACTCTTGCCACACGCGACGCACACGTTCTTGCCCTCCTGCACAGCTCTCCGAGTTGTCTCTGCCTGCCTTTGCACCGCCATACGTGCCTCCGCCGCAGTCGCTCGTCGTTCACGTTCCAGACGCATACGCATCTCTGGAGATAAATGTGTATTGGCCGCAGATATGCTAGCCATGTTCTTGGTCATGACACTAGACGACGCAGGTGAAGACGTTTTCGTCAAATTTTGGCCAACAGGTGCCGTGGGTCGACTGGCCTCACGGGTCTTTTTGCGGTCACGCTCGGCCTCCAGAAGCTTGCGTGTCTTTTCCTTGGCCTTTCTCTCCTGTTCCGCTTCCATTTCCGGGGTAAGTGCTGAAGGAACATGAGCCCCACCGATCCAGTCCCAGGCCTCGGGAAGAAGTGCCATGGCTCTCCTGAATGCGTTTCTTGTCTCCTTGTCCTTAGCAATATCATAAGCCGTGAATGATCCGGCCCCGAGCGCAGAGGATTCTTCTTCTCCTGCTTCCAGTTGGTTGCTCAAGGTCGAAGCCGAAGTAGTCGTAGGGTCAGCCAAATGTTTCTCAAGAAGCAACTTGACCACCTGTGCCTGACCATGATGAGACGCCAAATGCAGAATTGTTGGTGTCCTTCGAATGTCGTACTCTGTGCTTGTGGTGAGCGGCAAGAGCTGAGACACATCGATTCCATGCTTCAGCAATTGACTCGACATGGCCTCTGCACGCCCCTTCTTCACAAGCTCGATCAGCTTTGCCAGCTCTGGCGATAGATCTGGTACAACAGGCTCTTTCTGAATATCACCCAAACCGTCCTGGTCCTTGGCCGATTTGGCATGCGAAGCACTCAAAGCCCTCTCCAGTGCCTCTTGTTCTGCCGCCTCCTTGCGCCTCAGTGCGTTCTTGGTCAACACGGACACCTTGACGGTCGTCAGCTCCTGGTATGCGCGTTTGAGCTCCGAAAGTGTGGGCCTTCTTGTCATAAAGGGAATGGATCGAAGGCGTCCCTGGCGTTCCGCGGCCGAAATCACAGAGTTCTCGTAGAACAGCACACGGCGATTGTTTCCTGGAGAGTGAACAAAGACACACTCGCTCTGCTTGATCCAATGCGACCAACCGTCCAGCAGCTCACGGACCTCGAGTTTGAGGGCCTCCTCGTTGTACATACGAATACGCGCACCCGCAGAATTGGCAATTCCGTGCGTCCCCTGCGATCCTCCTTGCTTGCGTCGGACTAAAAACACGAATAAACAGAATGAAAAACGTTAGTTTCTTGCATGAGAGTGATACTCAACGGATTCAACGGAATGATGTCAAGCTTCCTACCAGTGTAGCGATGGAATGTCTTGTGTGCGACCAATTTCAACTCTCGACCGTGGGAAGAGAGCTGACCAGCAAGATCGACAACCACGCCCGCAAAATGGCCACCACCGATCATGATGAGAGTCCAATATCTGGCCTGGTTTGCAGGTTTCATAGGAGTTGTCTGATGGAGATGCTTTGCTCTTTCGTACTTGATCCAGTCCGGTTCGTGTTCCTCCTCTTCCTCTTCCTCGTCCGCTTCCTGATCCAGTAGAGTTTCCTTCGAAGCATCCCGATCTTCGTCCTTAGTTAGGACTGGCTCTGAAGGGTTGATGATGGGTTCCTGAAGACTACTGTCTGTACCGGGCTGTTCTGATGACTCTGGCGTGGACTCCACTGCAGCTGTGCCAGCGGCCGCAGCCCTTCTGGCCTCTCTCCTGGCCTTATTATTCTTCTGCTTCTTGATGACGGGTGCCACAGGGAACTGGAGCGACTTCAGATACTCCACAATGTTGTCAGACTGTCCCTTGCTCGGCAGAGCGTTCTTGTAGATCCCTAGTCGCACAGTTTCATCGTAAAGCGGACTAGTGAACCAGATCATGGGCGACATCCTGGCCTCGAGAAGCTGTTGCTCCAAAGTCCGTTGCTGGTGCACAAGCATCGGATCCTGCTGACGCGTCTTCTGGCTCTGCTTAACCGTAAGCTCCAGCTTCTTCATCAGTGACTTAACAAGTGCCTCCTGATCCGCTTCCCCCGTGTGTTCAACATTATCTTTATGGCTGCTGCTGTCGTCTTCGCTTGTACTGTCCTCGCTGTCGGATCCAGAGATACTTGAGAGATCCTGCATCATGTTCTCAAACTGATGCTCCGTGATGGGTTTGGCGCGTTTATCGAGAAGCTGCTGCTTGAGGTTATATCGGTGCCAGTCCAGCTTGGCATGCTCACGTTGCTTCTGAACGCTTTCGAATTGGGCTATACCGCAGACTCTGCAGGAGGGAACCGCATTGTCCAGAGAGGTCACGACCGCAGCGGTCTTACTCTCGCGGGTATGGATCGGGATTGGATTGAGTTCAGACGGGTCAATGGCTTGATCTTCGGTCTGGGTCTTGAGGACGAGCGTGGAGACGAGTTCTGGAGGGAGGAAGAAGAGAGAAAGGGATGTCGGGGGTATTGCTGGTGCTGGTGTCGGTGCTGATGCTGAGGAAGAGGGTGAACTGATATGTTGGTCCTCAGCCTGGTTCTGGTGGGCTGTGGTGTTGAGCGACATGGTGGCACAATCCCCTTGCTTGTCTGATATGCCTTGAAATGAGAGGGAGGAGCGGGAGGAGTGAAAATGAGAAAAGGAGGATGGAGGATGGAAGGACTAGGCGATGAGAGGATTTCGATGTGGAGATGCAGGTGCGATCAAGAAAAGAGAACGTGAGATCAAGGGGCAGGAGAAGGTGTGAAAAATACCGCTTTTATAGTCCAGTATATCGACCGCAGCAACTCCAATGGAATGTGCGTGCTCCAATTGACCAATCGACTCCGGCAGGCAGGCGCCCATTATCTACAATCTATACGTACAGAACTCGTACTAATTGTCAGCCTTCTTGGGGAGGGAGGGGGCATGCTGCCACCCCTCCTCCCAACGATGGCGCATGTCAAAAGAGGCGTTCACCACGAGGATCTACCCCTAGAAGAAAGGGATGCAGCACTGGCAAGGAAAGGGCGTTGGATGCAGCTGTTGCATATCAAGTCAATAGTCGATAATCAGATTGCGACCTTCTTCGGGGATGCATAGGCCAGGTCACCTTCGCTTTTGTAAGGATTGGATCGCAGCCTTATCCACACACCCCTGCTCCTTCACATCTCTTTTCCAACCTACATTCCCACTTGCTCACTCGCCGTTCAATGAAGGGATGCTATAACTTTCGTCCTTTACTCCCATCTTCGATTGTCCAGTTGCCTCCAAGACAATGAAACGTCCGCTGGATCGTAACATTAATCCAACCTATTTCTCTCTTGCTACAAAATATATATCAACGATTCGCTCATCTGATAGCAAGAGTGGACATGGTGTATCCATTAAAAGCGGGTTCGATAGCATTGGAGGCTCAGTGGACGATGGAGTCAGAGTTGAGGAGTGCCCACAGATAAGAAAGGCGGCAGAAATCAGCAGCATGTCGATATCCATCGTCTAGACAAGCACCGAGAACGTGATCTCGACAGCTACACTGCAAGGACACTTTCACTTTTCTTACAAACCGCAACTGGCGCGGATTAATAAGGTGCCAATAATCGCGAACGAGCCAAAGATGGGCACCAACACCTGAGTTCTTAAACCAGGGCAACCTCGGCCCGCGTGAGCCACCGACCAAGAGGAGCCATCAGCTCAGAATTCACTATCCCCACCGAGCCCTACAGCCTGGCACGGTATCCATGTCGAGGCATCTGACACAAGTACCTCTTCCACTCCTCCCAGCAGCCCGTTATCTGTTCAAACTGTGTCCACTGATAACCCCTTTCCGACCACGTTGAAATCCCTCTAACGACAACCTACGAGCCTGTCCAGCTCAAGGACGTCGCGTTCATCTCTTCATCTTCGACTGACTTCCATATCCCTAGCATCGACGGCGACCATAAGGACCTATTCGGAAAACAGGACATTGCTGTTGAGGATACTGGCAGTAATATTTCGCTTACAACCAATATCAATGCATCCACGAACGTGGTATCACCTATTGCATTGACTCTCACCCCACACAGTTCATTTACACCGGAACCGACATTCACTCCGTCCTAAAAATCAGCGACCATTGACCGGCCCCTGGGTATCAAGGCTTTGTTGCCAAATCAAGATCGCGTATTGCCGTATGTATCGATGATAGATTGCCGCCATCTTGCATGGTATACAGGCGGAAATGATTTTTTCAATGAGATTAAGTGCCTGAATGTGAAAATGGTTGCGCACTATTATGACAAAGCCATTCATTCTATGGTTAAAAGTGGATAGCAGACTGAACTATGCACCAGGTACCCGCCATCTCTTCCTCTACGTATGTAAGAAGTCTTCTCCAGCTATAAAAAGATTGGCAAAAAGAAAGAATATATACCATATGGGACAACGGACTTGTTTTCCACGCGGTATCCATCTCATTAACTCTTCAAGCCTACTCAGTTAATAACGCGCTCCATTCACCAGGGATCATCTACCTGACATACGACTCATTTTTTCCCCAGTTTGCCGCACTCATCTAGGCTCCTCTGTTCCCCTATTGTGAAATTGGCTGTTCTTATCATTCACGAACTTGGCGAGGAACTCTCTAGGAGGATACTGTCGGCCGACATACCAACGCCACCAGATCTATTAATATTACCATTACCATTACTAATAGGCGCATTATCATACAGAAAAAGAAGCGGAATGCGCGGCTTTATTGATCTATGGAGGATCGGCTCGCTGCACTGGTGCTTATCGGTGGCTCGACACGATGCGCAAAGGACACAGGCCACGTGCCTGAACTTTATTGTCCTGACACAAGAAGCTGCGCGAGACAAACTCACGCCCTTGTATCAGAACTGCACTTTTGAAGGCAGATCGCCCTCACAGACATACACATCAGACTGAGCCATGAATCGGACACACATGGGTCGTGGTCCCGGGGCCAACCTCCCCAACAATGGTGCCAACAACATCGCCAATGGTAATAACAACAATAGCATCAATATCATCAACAACCAAAACAGCAGCGGTGGGGGTAACAGCCTCGTACGTGCCAACACCACCCCGCCATCCGCCACCAGTGCCAATGGTCTGCCCTTGACGCTCATCGCAGAATTGCGTCCGTCCATGCGTGGGTTCAATACTGAATGCATCATTCTTGAGAAAGGCAGGTCATCATTACCTCTACGATTTTGCCTGGTGGAGATCATCTCTGCATTACTCAGACTTGTGCACAATCGACTTGAGGACTGCCTCTAATCGCCCTTTTTGTATTGTCATAGCCGCGGAACCACGTCGAGTTTATGAGACCCAACTACTGTCAACATTCCTCGCTGCGGACCGAACAGGAAGCGTATTACTCGTCCTCTGGGGCGAGGAAGGGGCGCTCTTGCGTAACGGAGATATGATCAGAGTACAAGGAGGGTACGTTACAGTTACTCGCTATAGCTGTGAGCAGGAACCCGTTGCGTTACAACTACGTTCACCTTATTGACCATTCTAATGCCTGGTGTATTTCACCCCTTGATCATATAGAGAGGCGAAAATGTACAAGGGATTCATCCAACTTACGACTGCAAAATACGGAAAATACAAAAAGATTGGCGAGGATACGATGGTCTTCTTTGAGAAACCAAACTGGAGCGAATGCGAATGGGTTCATGATCAACAAAACAAGGCTGCCCCGATGGTAAAAGAAAAACATTGCGGGTAAAAGTCAAGCTATGCTATTGTAGAAGAAAATAGCGGCTCATGCGTGTGATTCATATTGTCTTTGCTGTAGATACCCATCAATCCGATCACAAAAATGCCCATGGTGCCCAATGGTGCTCAACCCATGATGCCCAACGCTGTCCCACCCATGATGCCAGGTGGAAACATACAACAGCAGCGAAACATGCAAGGCAACAACATGCAGCCAGCCATCAATCCAGCATTCCGCGGAGATCAGCGACAGGGTCCAAGACCCTTTAACCAGAATGGGGGCTTTCCCATGGCAGGACCTCCAGGACAAGGACCAGCAGGGTTTCATAACAAGGGCAATTTCGGTGGCCCTGGAGGAGGACCTGGTAATCAAATGCAGCAGCAACAACAACAATTGGGTGCGAATGTAGCTCCAATAGGACCAGTTGGAGGCCCGAGCGGTAATAGACCTCATCACGGATCATATCAAAACCATGGCAATCAAAACCAGAATCCGAACCAGGGTGCAGGCGGCTCTGGGCCGCCAAACAATCACCATCCATCGGCCGGTCGTCTCCCTAAACACAATAAGCACAAGGTTCATCGAGATCTGGATGCGCCTGATTCATATCCAAGCCCACGGACGGGACTGAACAACGGCGTGGACGAGTTTGCAAGGGATATGAAGCTAGTGGCACAAGGCGGAGTAGGACTTGGGATGGGACAGGGAAACCAAGGTGGAGGCGCAGGATCAGCAGGGTCAGGACATATGCGGAAAAAGCCAAAGGTCGAGACAGATTGAAATAAAGTAAAGAAATCAGACACTCTATACTACAATATTCCTGTCGATCAGCACAGCCGATATGATTGTGGCAATCACGACAAAAAAGAAAGACGCGCAGCGGTGGCTGTGCGTGCCTGTTTCTTTGATCTTTTTCTCAATAAAAGAAAGAAGGGTCTCTTTCCGTTCAGGCTAAAGAGGGGAGCGCACTGCGTACTGTGCACTGCGGTAATAACATGAACAGCGCTTGGCCTGTGCAGTAACATACAGATAACTGAGTTACGACGACAACAAAAACAAGAGAACAACAGCTTTACTGAGAATGACAATGACACCGCTGATACTCCGTTTTGTTGCTCAATGGATCGCATGGTCGCCTTGCCAAAAGAAATGACCGTGTGACGCGGGAGGTGACCATCCTTGGCCCAAGGAGTAACAGGCTGGTGTATATACTTGGACAAGGACATGGTTTTCCGTAAAAGTTCAACAGTGAGAGCAGTTTTTTTCTCCGCAGACAAATGAGCGTAAAAAACAAAGGTTCATGGGCAGTGGACAATCCCTTTTGTCTCTCATCCTCTCTCATCACCACCATCCCCACACTTTACACTTCGCACTAACACTCATCCCCACCGCAGAAGTCAGTTTTTTGGGGTAAAGCCAATACCTTAAAAGTCTCACTCTTATTTACTCGTGGTCTTCCTATTCGTGGGTACCACCTTCTTCGCAGAGTAGAATATATACCCTTTCTCTTCCACCTCCTCTTTGCCCTTCCCTCCACTTCCTCAACACTTCCTCAACACTTTCTCAGCATTTCCCTTTCCTTTCCTCTGGACCCTCTTGTCTTCGGCCCCTTTCGCCACGCATTTATCTCAATTTTTTTTTCTTTCTCTTTCCAAGACCACCTTCCTCCCATTTCTATTGTATACCACCCACTCATTCATTCTTAACTCCTACTATCGACTCATTGATGCCGAATACCGTGGAAGATCCCCCGGAGGGCTGCTACTGTATCCAGGCCCAGGCATGCCCCCACTGGATTGAGGCCCAGATGGACCACCGCCTCACCTCTGTCAAAGAGCACTCGCACGAACGGACAAAAACCTTTGGTATGTTCAAATCCACATTCATATCAAGGACACGTGTGCCACATTAGGATGGTCCATTCGCCGCTGCACCGACTATACTTCAAATACACTGCATGCAAATACGTTGGGATGCAATTCTTCTGAGTCGTGCATATTTTCCCCCCCTCCTGTATCGGCTGTTAATAGAGCAAGATCTGGAGCAGGAGGAACATCGACCGATCGTAAGCGAGCTACAGCGTGAGGTATGAACACTGCGTATGTCTCTGGAACAGGGAGCACTTCATAAGGGTTGATCGCACCATTGCGCGCGGGAAGACAAGAAACGAAACACATCTTCGCACGATTGGTTTCTAATGCAGTGAGAAGATGGGCGTGGAAAACAGCAACAAAAATGGACAAGGCTCTCAAGTCCAAATGCCATCTTCCCGTTGTTCCGAGGACCCATGGAATAACATGGGCACAAGCTGATATCAAGCACTGGACAATTGACAAGAAAGATACCATGCAGGATATGCACGGTCTGTGTGTAGTTCCCTGGCTGACTATCAACTCTTTTCCCTACATTCGAAATCAGCTCAGGTCAGCAATGCAGGAGATTGAAAAGTTGGCCAAGACCAGTAGGGATCTAGCAAGAGCAAATCAGGGACTGGAAGAGTCCTTGATGCATGCTGTCAGTGACCAAGCCAGGACAGCAAAACGGCTGCTGCTCGTATCGGGGCAACTTGAATACACGGAGCAACAGCTGTTCAATCTCACCAAGGAAGTCGACGATGGCCAAAAGAGTTCAGAGCTGTTGCGGATAGAACGCCTTAAGAGAGAAACTCTTCAGGAACGTGAAGACGCGAGCAGACTAAAAATCGAGGAGCTGCAAGACGAACTCCAGGAGGTCCAGGCATCGGAACGGACGCTGCAACAACGGCTTCACACCATTCAAAACAAATATGAAACCTTGTCGAAGCGCCATGACAACCTTAAGCGACAGCAGCAAGAGCTGGAGCTGGCGCGGGAGAGTAAAGAGGCTCTTGCCTGGCTCAAAGAGACTACCGACAGGCTGTGCTCTCCACCACAGGGAAGTCTTGGCCACGCCATTCAGCAGGAACGATCATCCCACGGGTCCATCGCTATCAGCATCCACCAGCGATCTCCGTCCTCCTCACCGCCTTACCCATCATCGTTTATTGACCCACCTCTGGCGGCTCAAAATCAGCTGATTTCATTGATCAAGGAACTCGCCACGACGAACTCGACGCTACGGTCGGAACTGAATGAATACCGAGATCTGTTGCAGGACACCAGAAACGAGATGCTAGCGTTGCGTTCGCAGGTCGAGGACTATGAACAAGGACATGCATTCGAGAATTGTTGCGGGGTCAGAGTGGATGATGGTGACAGCCTTCACACATCTCAGAGCGCCTGGAGCACGTTGGACGTGTCCCTGGGCCGTGGGCTGGATGCTGTAAGTCATATTGGCACGCTTGGCTCTATTCCGGGATCTCCTCCTCCGTACATGACAGCACACAAGTCATCATCAAGGCACCACCGCCATAATTTCCATCTCTCAGGTGTACGAGGCAATGTGTTTGGGGAGCTGGAGCGACTTTACAGCCAAGGGACCCAAGGATCGAAAGCCAGACGTCATGACCACAATCACTCATCCAAAAAGTCCAAACGGAAGACACACCGAGGTCATCTGTCTAGCAACACTGGGCATTCGGAGAATCAAGCCGCGACTGTATCAACATCGACATCAACTTCAGAGACCAGAAGAGAATCTAATGCAGCGCCCACGAAGCTTCGAGAGCAGCACGGCCCCGATGCATCCAGTCCAACGTCGCACGCAAGTCGCAGCCGACGATCCATGTACACTGATGCTGATCTGGACATGCTGGATTCTGGTACAGAGTCGGGCGACGAAGACGACTCGGCCGGAAACTCGTCTGATATGGCCGACTCCGTGAACGGTCAAGAGGAACCAGGGTTCGTTGCGAGATTTGCTGAAGTAAGTGTACACCCATGTAGTCTTGATTTCAATGCTTCTTCCCACAGGGTGCTGCATACCTGTGCTGCACGAATTCGTGCCAAGATACATTCATTCTCAATCGATCGATATCTTTTCTTCCTGGTGTTGGCGTTCTCTTGACTATCGTCCGTTCTGGAAAAGGCCCTGGCAACTCTATCGCTCTTCTCAGGACCAGCATCGAGCTCTCCAGCGTAGAGGATGCGGCTCGCTGGCAGGCGGAAGGGTTCAAAGAGACAAGAGGATGCTTCGTACATGGTTTATCCCGAGCAACTCCTCGTTCTTTTCCCTTTTCCCCATCCTTGTATTTTGATATTTTCTCCACCTTTCTATTATCGCTGTCATTTTCCTTCTTCCTTCCTTTTGTTATCCTCTATATGGGAATGTAATATATATATATTGTTCATGAAGCTGCTGACTGGGTGAGTTTATTCGCTTATTGATCTATAGTGTCTATTTCTTTTTTTCCCCTCTCTTTCTATATCCCTTCCTTCGTCCTACATCGAAATGGCTCTCTAATCCTCAAATACTTTGATCGAATTAGCAGCCTGGGAATGCAGACTCGACCAAAGCAGGATCCTCGACACCACGTCCTAGTCAGCATACATCTCTGCAATCACGAGCCAGCCTAGACGAGACATTGGCTAAGAATGATGATTCAGCCAACAGCAATCTTTCGGACTCGGATCAAACTAGACCCACCAAGAACAGGGCAAGCTCCGTCTCACTCCTGTCGGCTGAGCTACAGCGAGCAACCTTATCCGACCCTAAGAATGGTTCACCAGAAGGCGAACAGAGGCAGAGGTCATTGCAGGACGAGATGCATCCTTTTGAGCAAGAAAATCCTCACTCTCCGAACGCAGGGCTAAATGCTGTTACAGAAGACCAAACTCTCGATCCGTCTTCGACCTCATGGAGCAAGCCCGGACGCAACCGCTTCCCTCAGCATGAAAAATCCTCATCGGATCAAGGATTGACTGCACGTCAGCGACGTCGTCTCTCAGAGCCATTGCACCATCAAGCCAGCTCGACTTCTCTTCCCATGAAAAAGAACCGGCCGAGTTCAATTTACAGCGTCAAGCGACCGCGTCTGCAGGTAGACTCGCCAAGCATGCAGTGCATACATTCAGGACATGTCGCCAGCACGAGTTTGGAAGGTGCACCCGAGCTGCAGAGGTGCAAGAGCGCAGAGCTGGTGGAGCAGCTCATCGTAGAAAGACGCAATCGAGTGATGGAGGCGTGGCGAGTGGGTGTTGTAGCTGCTGCAGTGACGCAGCAGCAGGCCATTCACTCGGTCGTAGCTTTTAGTGAACATAGGAAGGACACCGACAACATGAGCATTCGATCCAAGGCGTCTCGTAGACGCGATAAGGCGCCTCTAACCCGGGGGAGCAATGTTGCAGGACTAGCAGATGGACAAGACACCAAGGACGGTCTCGAACAGGCCCCAGGAATCCTTTCATCAAAAGATTCGGACAACACCATTAAAGATGCACGAGAATCAGAAGAACAAGCGAGGAATAGCGACAATGAACCCAGAGCAAAGCACTCTGTAGAAAATTCAGAAAACTCCAATGCCCCTGATGGCCAGGTCGTGCCGCAGCTCACCATCGACACGACAGCGGCTGGCCTGGAGAATACGCCAACGAGACTGCTGCAGGCAGAGATCCGCAGAGGCAAGAAACGACATAGCATGCAGTCCGTAAGATCTGTCCGCTCAACTCTTCTGCGTTCCCCCCATGTGCGATCATCTCTTCCGGCCCGTGACAGGAGATTTGCCTCGGAAGCGAGCACAGCGTCAGAGGCCTTTGCAAACCGCCGCTACGATCATGAACACAGTCCATACCAACTTCTCCATACTCTGTCATCCGACCTTCTTGAGCGTCTGGCCAGGTCCGATACACGGGAATTGAATCGTAGGCTGAGAAGAACATTCGATATCCAAGCACTCTCACAAATGTCCAACTCTGTTATCGAGAATGTACTGACCGACGTCAGCAACTTGAACGAGAGATTCCGCTGGCTGGAAGCTCAGGTGGCGGATCCGATAGACGAGTTGCTAGTGCGCGAGCCAGGAGTGGTTTCTTCAGGTGGAGAGACAGGCGCTGAAATTGAGGGTAGGGATGAAAACGACGAGGCGTCTGAAGACGACGAAGATCTGGAGCCAGACTGGGGCTTTTCTGTGACAGAGTTCTTCCCGCTGGCCCACATGATGCAGGAGATGCTCTCTGAGATCGGCAAGCTCCGCATGACTATCAACGACCTCCAACGAAGCTATGTCCAAAAAGTGGAGCAGGATCTCATTAAGGCTGAAAAGGACTTCATGGAGGATCTTTCTTCTGGTGACGAAAGTGATTATGAAGACAACGTACCTTTTGAACCGCGGTCGGCGCAGGCAGCAGATAAGTCCGCCCAGTCCAAGAGAGTTCTCAGTATCCTAGAGCGTCCTCGCATTCTTGGATCCGCTTCGACTGGGATGTCTGGATTCTTCAACAAGGTCTTTGGAAATAGCGGCCAACATTCACATGGTGATCCAAAAGCGTCGGGAGCACAGAAGACGACAGCGCCAACAACAGAAGCTCCCAGAGTTCAACCGACCATCTCCAAGAGTAAATCAGGACTTGTTGTGGCCGAAACATCCAGGGTCTTTGCTGACTCTGCCTGGATCTCTTCACCGGGAAAGCCAGTTGGAGTCAAGACTCCAGCGCAGTCTGCTACCACAATCACCACGGATGGGCCCCGACGCTCAGGTACAGCCGCCATCCTTGTCCCTGGATCAAGACTGTCCGCCACCACGTCCCTAGCCGCGATGGCTACAATGTCACCGGCGCGATACAACACCATCCACGTAACAGAAACATCGACAACCGCCATCGCGGCTTCATCTAACAGAATAAGAGCGATAGACATCAGCTTTAGCCCAGATGTTCTGCAGCGTGGGGCTGCTCGCTCACCGCCTACCGCGTCTCCTCCTGCTACGTCTCCCCAAAGCATTTTTTCGCGGTCTCTCCCACACAATTCGTCCCTTGGATTAATGGCGGCTGATAATGATAACATCACCACAGCGCCACCCGCACTTTCTGAGCAGAATTTGGCTCCAACATCTTTCCAGAGTCGTTCTACGATGTCGGAGGATCTCAAGTACCCCCCTCTCCAATCCGTGACTGAACCCTCTGAGTCAAATCCTAAAAGTGGAGATACCTCCTCACAGACTCCTGTCCAGGGACAGCGTTCGTCCGCTTTAAACAAGACACCGCGTTCCATCGACATCTCTGCCAGATCAGCGACACCGGCAGTGAGTGTGGTGACAAGGCACGATGTCTTCCAAGATCACTGGGCATCGTCCACTCCGTCCTCACTGTCTGCGAATGTATCAACCGTCCCGAGTAGGGCCCAGAGCGAGAGACGAGCCACTGGAGACAGCGTAGCTATGGCTGGAGGGGCTGCTGCTGCTCTGATGGGCTCCCACAAGGCTGGTTCCTCGGCGGCATCGCTCTCGTCTAACTCGGTTACTAGTGAGACCATGTCCACAGTGGCCTCTAGATTAGCCTCGAAGCCTGCGTTGATCACTCGGTCCGCCCTGACAGTAGCCACGCCCTCGACTTCGACAGTGTCCTCTCCCATGTCGTCCGCCTCTTGGTTCGATACACGGCGTCAGTCCGGTGGTCTTGGACAAGATACGGCTGCTACAAGTGAGGTGCGGACAACGTTTGATGAGCCTGGGCCTGCAACCTCAGGATCAGGTGCGGACGCCGATTCAGGAGCTAAGATCGGGAGGGAACAGCCAACGCTTCGCAAGCTTAGAACTGCGACCTCATTCCATGCAGGCACTACACTTGGAGGACCCAACGATGTCATCACCAGGAGTTTGGGCCGGACTAGCGGACGGGAGTCAGCCTTGGCGTTCTTGCGAGGAGAGGTCCAAGCGTCGTCATTGCTGGGATCACTCTTTCAATCACAGCAGCCTCAGACACAAGCACCGGCTGGATCTTTGTCAGTTCAGAGACCGAACAACAAGTCGATCTATAAGGGCAAGGGTGTTGCCTCGGACAGTCAAGCAGACAGTGCCACTGTCAAGGTTAACGTGGAAGTATTGACGAGCGATGACATTACAGATGACCATGGTGCGGCCGAAAGAGGCAGTGCCGGAATAGAGCAGCCAGAGAGTCAGTCATCGTCCAGCCGGCCTATCTCTCAGATCGCGCCGCCCGGTGCCAACCAGTTGGGATATATCGCTGCACCGACGGCCAGTCTCTCTCAGAAGGCAGCCGTGACCAGCACGGCAATCACATATGTAGTGGCGACACCAGACCCCCATGGACAGGATGAAGAGGTTGGAGGTTCCCGCAGGAAAAGACAGGTCTTTGATCGGGAGTTGATCCGGGCATCTCAGAGGCGAATCCTGGCAGGAGTTCCCCACCAAGACAAGCCGTTTGTGCCGGAGGCCCGTCCACGACGAGCGCGTGCGCTCTCCGTGGACAGTGCGCAGTCGACAGAGCCCCTCAAAGCAAACGAGATCATGGATCTGTGGCGCGTTGGAGCAGGTGTCAGTCGCGATATCTGGAGAGGATTGATCAAGAAGGTCGATGGACGCGATTCATAGTGGATTCTTTTTTCTTTTTTTTTTTGCTGTTGTTGTTATTGTTATTGTTGTTGTTGTTGTTGTTGTTTATTCATTACATATTAAATATCTGAAAGCTTTTGTTTGGCTTGTACGTGTAAACTTTACATGGATAAGAGAAAAGCAGAGGAATGACTTTGTCTTTTGAATGCGAGTCTTGATAAAGTAGCTTAGATTTGTATGTAATTCAAAACAGGGATGAGGAGGCGGCGATCGAGGTCGCGATGGTCGAAGGCATTGAGGAGCTGGAGGATGGCCCGACCGTGCGCAAGTACTCTTGCAACCGTAGTTGGTCGATCAGCTTCGTCGCCGCAGGATCAAGCGTGGTAACGGTGCTGAGGCTCTGCGCAAACGCCGCGGCTACTGACAAAAGTGGGGATTCTTTATCTTCCTCCTCCGATGGTGCTGCTGCTTCTGGAACAGCTGTAATAGTTGGCGTCGTCGGTGTTGTTGTTGCTGCTGCTTTTGTTGCTGCTTCTGTTGCTACTTCTGCTTCTGCTTCTGCTTCTGATGCTACTTCTGTCGTTGTCGCTGCTCCGATATCTTTATGGCCCACAGGCTGCTCTCCAATACCTAAAGTCATAGCGTAGTCTGGCCATCTATCATCAAAAGCAGTGGAGGGCCTGACTTTGGTGACATGAGACGACAACGACGGCTCTGACGGTGCACAACTCGACTGGACCGCCACTGGATGGCACGAGGTCTTCTTGGGGGCACATAACCCATCCGAGGCCACTGCCGTTGTAGTCTCTGTTGCCACTCCTGTTGCACTCACAACCGAATGCGTGCGATGCTGGATATTCGCGGGCTCGGACCGTCGTCTGCCAGACACGATGTCACCATGATTGGGATCATTCGACGCCACAGCTGCAGCTGCAGCCGTTGCAGCGCCAAGGTTCACAAGCGAGATCGATTGCGCCTGGCTTCCACGCACCATCGTCAGGAGCGCCTCTTGGAAGACAAAGTGATCCGGGGGCAGCGTGCTGGCTGGCACCTCGCCTGGGTTGCGGCGGTACGACGAAGTACCTCGGTTACCCAGCCTTGTATCCCCAGTAGCAGCGGTTGCACCATGTGATCCGAACGGATGCGACTGTTGTCGCTGATACTGATGTGTTCTCGCCTGCTTTGCTGAAAGCGTGTATGGCGGCTGATGAACATAGGGCTGATGATGATGATGATTCTGCAGTGGTGGTGGTACTGCATTCACAGTATAGTACTGCGAACCGTCCTGGATCCCCGGGTAATTGGATGATGACGACGATACCACAGGGAAGAGTTGATCCGTTTTGTGTTTTGAGGTACGTCGTTTACGCTGCTGAGGAGGAGTTCCTGGCGTTGAAGCCGTCTTTGCAAGCGATGACTGGAATCGCGTCAGTTGAGTTTGATTCATGTGCAACGAAGGCAGAACTTCTTGCCCGAGCGTCAACAGGAGGGGTGAGGACGAGAATGTGGCCATGTAGGGCTGCCCCGGTGGCATATCCTGGTGCTGCAACTCTGTGTAGCTGGCACATGTGGCCGGTGGGAAGCCAGCTGTTGAGGAGGGTGACATTGGTAGGGTGCCGTAGATCCAGGTGGTGGCCTTGGTGGGGAGATGTCCGTCGAGTGAGTATCGTCGGAGCTCTGTCGCGTATGCCTGGAGGCTGTGCTTGCTGTCCGTGCGCTTGTTGCTCGTGTTGATTGTATCAAACGACCCTTCTTCCTGTAATGGCCGCTTGCGAGCGAGCATCAACGGAGTCATACTTGGTGAAGAAGATGATGATGATGATGACAATGAGGACGAACTGGTACTGGTGCTAGAGCTGGAGAGTGAATAAAACCCTGGATGGATAAATGCCTCCTTGACATCTGGTTTTTTTATGTCTGTCATTGAAAATGGTTGAATATCTGATTCCTTCTCAGTCTGAATGGTAATGATGTTCACAGTCCTGCTCGCTATTGGGCAGGGTGCCTCGATGTCATGGTCAGCAATGCCCAAAAGTAACCTGAGCTGCTCAGCTTCCCAACCTCCCACATTGCAAGGTCCCTGAACGCCATATTTTTGTTCGGGGGCGAGCAGAACTACTGGATCATTTTGTTGAATGTCGTTCTCCAGCATTTGAAAGCAGCCTGGAAGCGCTGCACTGCACAGACTGTTATCGAGACTGAGGTTTAACTGTGAGAGGGTATGCGTTGCAGTGGTGTCGCGTTGCACTATGGAGTCCTGCACTGGTGTTTGCGAATTTGTGGGTGGATATGGATCCAGAGGAATTGATGACGAGGAGAAGGATGGTTCGTCTACGTTGCATTGTAACGTCGACAGGAACGATGAGAGGGAGTTTGATAAAGTAGGGTACGAGGATGAGGTAGTATTGGATTCGAGCGCCATGGCAGGAAGGAATATTGGGTGATATAGGCACAACTTTGATGGAGGAGGGAGGTTCGCTGGTATGTAGGATGAAATGCTGATATTGTACTAATCGCCCAGGCAAGAAGCAAGAGGCAAGGGCTGGGGACAATGGATAAAGACAAGGAGAAGACGACTCGACAGAAGGATTGACAGTGGAGAGGAGGAGAGGTGAAAGGGGACCAGAGTTATGGGAGCGAACAGCTCTAGTACCCAGATGATCCACCTTTTAGGGTAGACGCAGTGATTTCGATAGAGACTTGATCGCACAAGGACGGACTCCTACGACAAGAACGAGTGTCATCATTGACATTTGGCTGACTGGCTGGCTTGCTTGCTTTGTAAAACCAGGAAACCATTTTGTTAAGACCACGGCCAAATCGGAATGGCGTTCGCTCAACCGCCCACGATTTCTTCCTTCCTCCTTCTCGCTTTCGTATAAGAACGGAATATGCATTATCAAGTCGACTGTTGGTGTCAACTTTATTTTGAAAGTACAAAAGAGAGGAGAGGGTTGAGAAGTAAATGTATGATGAGATGCTTTGTTTTCTAAGTGTGAAGTTTTACTCTTTAAGCGTAGCCTTCTATTTGCAAGAGAGGTTAAACTAATATGCTTTCTTGCTTTTTAGCCATGCTTCATTAAGACTTGATGCAGGATCCCAGGATGGGCTCTGTTGATGATGGTGATGATGCTGGTGCTGGTGTTGATGATGGGGTACCGACGGAGGATGTGTGAGTAGCAGAGGATAATACGACTGCACTTGGAGATGAGACTGTAAGGGCCGTGCTCGTTGTCGTCGATGCCGTGATGGCTGCTGGTGTAGGCTGAGCACGGTTGTGTACCATGTGTGCTTTGACCAAGTGTCCAGCTATTATTCATCGATAAAAAAAATAAAAAAAAAAGACCAGCCAAGTTAGCTCTCTTGAACATCAACCATAGAAAACAATCTACGTTCCCTATACAAACGTAGCAGAACTTCAAACTCACCAGCAAGGGCAGCGCAGAGCGACAGCTCACCGGCCATGACACCAGCGCAAATGATACGTGCCAGACGCTGTGCATTTGCTCCAGGGGTCTCGGGATGCGATCCACGGACACCAAGCATCTCCAACATGGAGGCCTGGGGTGGCAAGGCCGTTCCTCCTCCAAGGGTGCCGACCTCGATCGAGGGCATCGTGCAGCTGATCAGCAAATCATGGCCGTTGTTGATAGCCTTCATCAGCGTGATGCAGTTGGAAGACTCGACGTTCTGGGCTGGGTCCTGTCCTGTTGCGAGGTAAACGGCTGTCAGGATATTGGCAGCGTGTGCGTTGAAACCACCCATTGCTCCAGCCATAGCCGATCCGATCAAGTTCTTGTCCAAGTTCAGTTCCACCAAAGCAGCCACTGTCGTCTTGAGCACATTCTCGACCACCTTGCCAGGAATCACGGCCTCAGCCACCACAGACTTGCCGCGACCCTCGATCCAGTTGATAGCTGCGGGCTTCTTGTCCGTGCAGTAGTTTCCTGACAAAGAGATGATCGACATAGATGGGAACTTCTCGCCCAAGATCTCCAGCGCCCGCTCACATCCTTTCGAGATCATGTTCATACCCATAGCATCTCCAGTCGTGGTCGAGAAACGAATGTATACCAGGCGGCCAGCGACAGCAACCTTGAGTTTGCGCAGACGACCAAATCGGGTAGTCGAGTTGAAAGCCTCCTGCATCACCTCCAGACCCTCGTTCTCGAGCCAATTTTTACAAGCGCCGGCTTCAATGATGTTGGGGAATTCGACACAAGGACCACGGGTCATACCATCAGCCAACAGGACAGTAGTTGCCCCGCCACCAGCATTGATGGCCTTGCATCCACGAGATGTCGACGCTATCAAGGTTCCCTCAGTCGTAGCCATCGGCAGGTACAGGACATGGCCATCCACATTGAAGGGTCCAGCAACGCCCACAGGAATAGGCATGTACCCAATGACATTTTCGCAGCACTGACCCATGACTTTGGAATAGTCATAATGATGCATGGGCAGAAGCGATGTCTCCAGAGTCTTGGTGGTTGTGGCACGAGAGATAAGGGCACGACGGATCTTGACAGCGCGGGTGAGGTCTCCCAAAGTCTTTTCGAGCGCATACGATGGAATCTTGTTGCTGTTCACGAGCATGACCAGCTCCTCATCCGTTACCGAAGACGCGCCTCCAGGCGACTTGACCAAGGCCAGGCACTCTTCCAAGGGACGAACCAAAGCCCAGTTTCCTTCCTTGCTCGAAGAGGACTCGACCACAGCCTTGGGCTCGGGCAAAGACTCGACCTTTTGAATCTTGACAGGTGCAGTGGACACGGCATGCGAGGGGGCAGCAATCTTAGTCGTCGTCGCCACCACGGTTGTAACAGTCGTGGTCGAAGGAGAAGACGCAGGGGCGGAGGATGGGGCTGCGGAGAGAGCAGGAGCTTGGCGAGACTGCTTAGCAACGTTAAGCAGGAAGATATTGAGCAGAAGAGATGCAGCCAATGTCAACGTGATGTACTTGGACAAGACTGGGTCCTGGATCAGATACGACCAAAGGCCAAACATCTTTTCGAGAGGGCGCTCGGTCCATTGGGAACCTGCACTGACGACGGGAGCGAGGTGTTGGAAGGTCAGAGCAGGGGAGACCTCGACAATCATGGGCATGTCCTTGAGAGTGGATGCACGGTGAACAGCCAGCAGGCTCTCGAGGACAGGGGCGATCACGGGGCTGGTGACATCAACTGAAGAACCAAGTGGGACACCGGAGTCGGTGGTTGTGGTTAGGGTGGTGCAGACATTGAACAAATGCATGGCGACAAATCCAACGATCATGGCCAGCTTCATCCTCGCAACGATGCGGTTCTCAGTCTTGCTAGGCGTGGCCTTTGAGACAGGGCTCTGGTTCTCCATGGTCTCAGCCCCAGTACCCAACAATGCCATCAGGGTCAGCTCTCTGAAGTAGGTGGGCGACTTGCTGCTCTCACGGATCCTGCGCAGCTCCAGCTTCAGGGTCAGAATGGCGGTGTAGAAGGTGAAAAGAATGCAGAGATCGTAGAACAGCATGAAGGCAGCGAGCAGGCAAAACTCCTTCAGTCCAGGGATGCCCGAGAGGAAACCGCAGAGAAGGACTGCGATCTCAATAGCGCAGTTGCGGATGAGGATGGGACCGACGGACTCAAGTGCAGAAACGACGTGCTTTTGGATTGACTCTGGGACATGTTCGGCGGCAAGGGTGGGTCGAAGCACAGCTTTGGAGAGAGTGTAGGCGCGCTCATAGCCGACTGTGATAATAAAAAAAGGGATGGCCTCTGAGAGTTGAATGGGGTTAACGTAAACACCCAAGTTGTGGACAGTGATGACAGCACCCATGAACGCGAATCCACCGCCGGCGAGGACAGAGAGGCCGAGTGTGAACTGCGAGCCGAGCTTTCGCATGTTTACGAACAAGAGTCCAAACGAGCAAAACATGATGAAGTAGGCGGTCAAGATAACAAAGACATCGATCGTGCTCGCTTTCTGCATTAATTGATAACATCGAAAGAAATACACATGTTAGTACAAGAAAATAAACATATAACGCAATGACCAACAATTGTGTTTTCCGGCTAATTACCTGGACCAAATCCTGGATCTTGTGGGCAACATCGAGAAGGGCGGCGCCAATCCAGGCCAGGGCCGACTTTTCGCCTTGTAGGATCGTCGATTGCGATTTGATGGTGGGTGTGTGCAGGTGCGCGACCTTGGATTCCCATGTCTGGGCGAGTCTGGACTGGAAAGGACCATTGGCATCAAAGGCATAGGACAGGACGAGTGCAGGCGCGCGTGAGGATGACGAGGTAACGGCGGCGCTGTCGTTGAAGGCATCGGTCTTGGAGACGGAGCGAAGATCTTTGAAGAGATAGTCGAGGGTCTCGACGTTATCGGTAACGGTAACGAGGACGCTGTCGTCCTTAACGAGGCTTTGCATATCTCTGTCCCAGAGCTGGATGGGCGAGACCAAGACCTGGTCTTCAATCAGGGTCTGCAGCTGGAGGACCGAGGGGAGCAACGACTTTTTGAGGGCATTGTCGCTCTGCTCCGATGGATCGGCGGTGATGAGGACCTGGTTGAGCTGTAAGAGCTGGGCGTTCCTGGGGACCTTGGTGGTGCGTTTGTCAAAGGGCAGGAATCGATCGGCGCCCGGGTTGGCAATGACTGTGGCGGGCTGATAGACGACGACGTTGTTGATGTCGAAGAAGGTCGAGTGCCGGATAGTGTTGAAGAGGGTGAAGTAGGCGAAGGAGGCGAGGATCAGACAGAGGGTGATGGACTCGATAGGATGCTGGGTGGTCGCGGAGGCGAGCGCGTGGAGGAAGCGACGGAGGGCCGAGTTCTGATAGCGCGAGTCCAGGGCGATGCTGTCGAGATCATCGTGGTGGTGAGGGTGGGAGTGGTGGGAGTGACGGGTGTGCTTGGCCGGGCGTGGCTCGGGGGTGTGGGTCTTTCCGGTCATTCTGTTCGTTCTTATCTCGGCTGCACTCTATCAGATATGATTGATAAACCACCTGAGTGAGAGAGAGATAAAGGAGGGATGCACAAAGACAGACCCAACGAGACGGGAAGAGGGGGGAATGGGGGGAGTGGGGGAGGGATGGAGGAGGAGTGGAGGAGGGATGGAGGAGTGGAGTGTGATGAATGAAAGTGATGAGGAAGGAAAGAAGAGGAGGAGCGAGAGGACGAGGAGGAAAAGAGACAGGGGCGGGAGGGAGTGCCCAATGGCGGGCAGCAATCGTACGGTGCGTGCTCTCTCCCATTTCGCGCTGCTGGGCTGGATTGCGGCATCCAACCATGTCCAGTTGCCCCTCCGCTCTGGGGCCTTTTTTAACCTCTTCTGATATGAAAACAAGCCCAGAGGATTGGATCGTTCGGGTTGTCTGTGTTTGAAAGTGCGGTCGGATTCCGTCGATGATTGTCATTTAAGGAGCCGGCCTCAGCCAAACCCCCCGCTAACTGGCAAGCGTCCCTCTTGAACATCAGGCCACACACCCCAAACAGGCCACCTCCAACAGCCAAACAAAAGATATAATAAAAACTAGAATCTTGTTCGAATGTACACAAATACAAACTGCACAACAGGAATGTAATCTATAGCTAGAAATAAAGACATAAAGACGGGAATAAAGACAGGAATGTGTGTCGTCCCTCCCTTCCCTCCCTTCCCTTCCTTCCCTTCCTTCTCTGCCTGACTGCTGGCTGTCAGGCTTTCTGGCTGCCTGGCTCTTTGGCTGTTTGCCTGTCTGGCTGCTTGGCAGGATGACTGGATGGCTGGCTGGACGAAAGGATGTACGTACAGTAAAAGCGCGCATGTCACATCGGCGTAACAAATCCCAAACTACACAGACACTATCTCAGTATGCTTTTTGTTGTATGTGTAAGCATGTCCACTTCCTCCTCTTCTCACTTTCGCTCTTAATATATGGCCGCCTCACCTCAGTACACTCTCACGTACATACAAAACCTCACCGGCTCCATCCATATTCGGTCGGTATAGAGATAGACGGTATGCACGCTTGCTGCAAACCATAACAGAAAACGACCTAATCTCGTCCTCTCATTGGCTGGGCAGAGCAACGGACCACTTTTGGGAATGCGATCCCCTTCCCACAGCAGCCTTGCAGACAAATAACAGGGAACAGCAGAGGAACAACAGTCGGCAGGCCATGCTTCGTTTGAACAGAAACTCGTCTCTAGCGTATAACGTCATTCCTGGCTAAAATGCTAACAATGTTTTATATAGAATGCGGCCAATACAGTGCCTAGGAATGTGGAGGAACACTCTAGGCTACAGAGGGATACAACTGAAAGAGAGTGCTATGTTCAGCAAGCAGGTGCCAGGGCTCAGGAAGTTACGACGGTGTCTTCACTCGATAGCGAGCGCTGCGACTGCACTACTACTGGCTTGGCGTAAAGATGGTTCGGAACAGTGGTACCATGCATATGAAACGCGTGATGACGATGATGCTCAGGCGCTGTCTGTTGTTCCCGTTGATCCAGTCGCTTGTCAAGGCCCTCTTCGTCTGCTGATGAATGAATCCTCTCGTGCGCCACAACGGCCGTAACCGCCGACTCTGTCTCCACTGTCGCCTTCTCCACATCGTATTCTGCGCCGCATCGGTCTGTGGTATCCCGAACCCGTGCCAGCGAAGGGTTCAATTTGTTGTAGTGGACATAGAGGCCAACGATGATTAGGTCGCAGATCAGCACCACAACATAGTTCAAGGTTGCCAGCAAATCGAGCGTTTCGCGAAAGCACAGACTGATGATCGAGAACACCGCACCCCCGGCATCTGCGGCAATGAAGGCCATGCTCACTCCAACGACGGACCTGTCTCTGTAAATGTCGATGTACTGGGGCACGAATCCCATGGCAAGCAGGATGATCGGGACGATCCCAGCAGCTTCAGTCGTGCCCTTCACCTGATGATCCTTGCCAGCCTAAGTTGTGGTCAGAGTACATATCCATCCACATCCAAAGGACACAGGCAACAGAAACAGAAACAGAAATAACGTAAATACTCTTGTCATATCCGTTTGTAATACGTAGGTAGCACAGCCCAGCAAGCTGGGGGCTGTGCGAAGATGGTTGGCGACTCAGGGTCTCTTGTCCTCCCCGCTTTGCGTCCTTTCCTCGTTCGCCGTCATCTCCCACATGATTGTATATTATGCTGCAGACCCTGTCTCAGAGTGAACGTACCCTGGTAGCATAAACAGCCGCGACCTGAATTCCCGCCATGACCACAAACATGAGAACACCAGCGACGGCGGTCTTTCTCAAGGACCATCTGGTTTGCTTGCCATAGTGAAGACACTGCAGATAGCACAGCGCAGAGAGGGAACCAAAGATCTGAGGCTGCACGATGATCGGTATCGACAAGTTCTCGACAATACCATATGAACCAAAGCCGAGGGCACACAGAACCCAGATGAAAAACATAGAGTAGGACAGACCCTCGGTTGACTTTGCCTTGTGATTGTCGATGACCTGGGGCAGCAATTGAAAGCTCCAGAAGATGATGCCTAACATGCCAAAGACATTTTCGAGGATCGACTGAGTCGATGCCATGCTTGTTGTTTTGTGTTACTGCTCCAAAAAGGCAACTTTAATAAATCGAGGATCGGTTATAGCGCAAGTCGAAGGATGCTTGGTCTCAAAGAATGTGCCGGTGCGGATGACGGATGAGTGTGAAATGAAGTAGGAGAGAAAACAGATAGATCGAGGGTACAAAAAAAAAAAAAAAAAAAAGGCGAGCAGATATGCCTCGTTATGTATCTCTCGCGCTCTCTTATTATCCAACGGTAGGAAAGTCATATTGGTATGGTACTGCTGTTGCCATAGTAATGTGCTGGGTTTTTTTTATTTCGCTTCGAGGGTAAGCATGTGCGATTGGATAGGAATGGATTTGAAGACCAGTCCTTACCTTTACGTGCCTGGCGTCTGGAAAAACGATTTGTCATTTGGGCACCCAGGCACCAGATACAAGGCCTTAACGGCAGTATTCCGTTCGCTATAGACAAAAAAGCCTAATCAACCGGGCACATTCCTTACTCATCATCCAAGACTAAACGGTACAGCCATCGCATTCTGTTCCTGCGTTCTTGTTGAACTGTGGTTGCAGGCATGCAGGTACTCACACCGCTGCATTTGTATGTTGTCGGCGGATCAAAACGACCCATTTAACCCCAAATGGGTCGTCGGTATCAACAAGATGATTGCAATTCATTTTTCTTTATTTTTATCGCGTGCATTCGAAGACACGATTCTAAGGTATCAATGTATACACGGACTTTCTTTGAAGAATTTGAAAAAGCAGGGTAATAAAAATACAGGGAGGGCACAGATCGAAAAGCAGACAGAAAGCAAAGACAGGTTAAATGGTACAGGTACAGAGCCGAAAGAAACGGAGCAACAACGGAAAGAAAACAAGATGCAGATATTACTCAAAAGACATACAAAAAAAGAAAAGGACAGGCTCCATGCCATGGGATATACGATGCAGACCGGTTTGAAGTAAAAACAAAGGGCCTTGGATGTTAAAAAACCCTCGGCTTTCCCGAGTGTGCAGTGAGACTAACTATGCTGCAGGAGCACAGTGTCCGACGGCGCCCAAGAACAGACCATTGTAGTTGCTCTCCAGTCCATTCTCGAGACATGCCCTAGCCAAAAGTCGTTGAAGTCGCTCATGCGAGGTCCTGCATCCGTTTGCTGCTGCGCGCTCGAACCACATGGACGCCTCCTCCAGATCAACTTCGCAGCCGAGGCCCTTTTCCTATAATGCATTTTTGACAATGATGTTTTGATTGATTAGTTTCCATCCACACTGATAGTAAGATGAGAGAAATAGAAGGGGGGAAAGAAGCATGCAAATGAACTTACAAGAGCATTGGCAAGATGATATTGGCCAGCGAGATGGCCTTGCTCTGCAGCCAATCTAAAATAGCGCACCGCCAGCTTGACATCCTGAGCAATACCCTGTCCGAGTTGCAGGCAGACACCCAGCTTGTCCTGGGCACGTGCATGATTCTGGGCAGCAGCCAGCGAGTAGTACTTAACCGCCATCTCATAGTTCTGGGCCACGCCAATTTCGTTCGCATAGCAAAAGCCAAGGTTGCACTGCGCCCAAGGATTGTTCTGTGCTGCCGACTTCTCATACCAAAAAACGGCCTTCTCGCGATTCTTTTCCACTCCCAACCCCTCTTCATAGCAGAATCCGAGTGAGTTCTGGGCCAAAGCGTTTCCTTGAATGGCCGAACGGTAGAACCACTTGACGGCCTCCTTGGGTTCCTTGGGGACACCGACACCATTGCGGAAGCAATAGCCGAGGGAGAGCTGAGCGGGAGCATGGTTCTCCTCCGCCGAGAGATAGTACCAGTAGACGGCCTCGTCCAGGTTTTGCTGGACACCAATGCCGTTCTGGTAGCAATAACCGAGAGAGTGAAAAGCAAAAATGTTGCCACGCTCTGCTGACTTCATGTACCACTTGACGGCCTCGACCGGATCCTTGGGAACACCAATGCCATTCTGGTAGCAGAAACCGAGATTGTGTTGAGCGCGGGCGTGTCCCTGAAGGGCAGCCTTCCTATACCAGTAAGCGCCCTTGGCGTCATCCTTGGGAACACCGATGCCGTTTTGGTTGCAGTATCCGAGGTTGCACTCTGCCCAGGGATAGCCCTGTTCAGCTGATTTGGTGTACCATTCTGCTGCGAGCTCCAGATTTTGTTCGATCCCGACGCCGTCCTCATAGCAGTACCCAAGAGAGTTTTGTGCGAACGCATTGCCAAGCTCGGCCGATCGGCGATACCACTTGACAGCCTCATAAGCATTGCGTTCTACACCGAGTCCGTCCTCGTAGCAGTAGCCGATGTTGTAGAGCGCCACGGACTCGCCTTGCTCAGCAGCGATGCGGTACCAGTACATTGCCTTTTGTCGGTCGCGCTCGACACCAAAGCCCTCGCCATAGCAGTAACCAAGGATGCCCTGGCCGCGAGCATTACCCTGCTCAGCCGACTTTTGGTACCAGTGAAAGGCCTCGGTCGCATTCTTTTCGACGCCGACGCCGTCATGATAGCAGACACCCAAGGCGTACTGACAGCAGTCGTCGTTGTCGACGGAAGCGGCCTCCATGAGCCAGGTAAGAGCCGCGGGACCCTGCTGGTTGATCTTTTGTTGCCAGTATTCGGACTCGATACGATCAATCTTAACGGAGGGACGGCCGTACTTGCGCAGGAAGGCAAGACGAGACATGGCCAGACCATTGCCCTGTTCCGCAGCCAGGATGTAAAGGCGCTCGGCCTCAACAAAGTCGGCCTGGATGCCGAGGCCAAACTCGAAGCAAAAGGCGAGAGCGCCCTGCGCCTCCAAGTGGCGGAGCTGCATAGCCATACGGTAGTATTCCACAGCCGCAGTTTCGTCTTTGGCATGACCGTGACGGCCAAAGAGCAATTGCTGGCCTAGCTCGAAGAAGTGCTGAGCCCGGGCAGCATCGTGAGGATCCTGGGCTGGGGCGTCCCTGTTGATAGAGTCATTGGTGGTGGTGGTAGCGGTGCTGTCCGCAGAGGAGAGAAAGGAATCGCAGGACGGGGTGGTGGAGAAGGAGGAGACGGACGACGAGGAGCCCTGGGGATGGTCAGCGGATGTAGCGGATGTGGTGGGAAGACGGTACTTTTTGTTGAGCTTTGAGAAGACGCTTCGTCCTCGGTGCAAGATATGGGAGGCTGACATTGTGAGGGGACCGGCCATTGATTGTGGTATCGATTGGCGGTTGGGTGTAGCTCAGGAAGGACGACGGTCGATAGGAAGAGGGGGAAAGAGAGAAAGGATTGGGTTTGGTTCAGGGGGAGGAGGGGGGGACGAGAAGGGAGAAGGCACTCTGGGGAAGGGGAGGAGAAGGGGGTGAGCGAGAGAAGAGGAGAGGGTAAAAGAGAGTGTGTGTGTGTGAGAGAGAGAAAGAGAGAGAGAGAGAGAGAAAGAGAAAGAAAGAGAGAGGAGTGCGAAGGACGGAAGGAAGGAAGAGTGCGAGGAGGGGAAGTGTGAGTGAGAAAAAGAGGGCAACAGGGGGAGGCGCATGGGCAAGGAACGGGGTTGGTGGTGATTATATATCGCCAAATGACTCGACGGAGAACGGAGAGTGGAAAAAAAGAGCACAGAGCAGAGGCATCCTTACTGTGTACGCCTGCCTCTGGTTGGTCGGTTGCTTCGTTGGGTTGGTCTACTTTTTTTTTTTTTTTTTTGCTCTAGAGGTCTGGTCTGGTCTGGTCTGTCTCTTCTCTGTCCAACAGCTGTGGGTTTCTATTCTTATCCCGCAGATAGGCAGGAATTCCTTATACAACCCATCTTTTGCATGGGCTACTATATCTGCACTCGCTACTGCTGCCTGTCTACCGCCTTTCTGTTGCACACTCTTTATCGACACCATGTAGATTAGTAAAAGTATCTGCAGTGGAGGTCAATAGTCCTCTGTCTATTTATCATGTAGCACAGTAGTGCAGTCTAGTATAGTGTAGTTCGATGCGATGGGTTGGATGATCTTGCAATAAATAATTGCCACTTCCCGGACACCAATCGCCCGTCGCCAATCGAAATTACCTGCCGACCCAGAGCCCACTCGGACCAGTCGCAAAAGGCTCTAAAAATATTTATAATCCACTGTCTGGCACCCAGCCCCGAATATCTCACTTGTATAACACCGCATGTACTAGTTGAGCCTATTAGGACCAGGACCAGATCTAAAGGGATAAATACTAGCAAGTCCATGCTCTGGTCATCTTGGTCTCTTGCCTTGCGACCTGCTTCCCATCAAACTCCTTTGGGCAGATTCTCTTCGCTAAAGATGGTTATGGTTATTGCTCTCCGAAATCCAATGGTGCGCTGCTGCTGCAACAGGCCTGGTCATATGGCATTGTACAACAACACCCAACAAGAATATAAGAAGCCCTGCCCTGTCCGCTTTGATTGGTGCGCTACTGCTCTACATCACGCTTCAAGATCCAAAGGTACTACTATTAAACGATTAAACGATTGAGCTGAAAGCTCTCCCTTCTTAATGTACATCTGCCTCACTCGCGCCACGCCAATTGCAGGCCATTATCCGCTAGATATTTTAGTTTATTGCCCATCCGATCAACTATCCTCGTTAGACCCATTGGGTGGAAGGAAACCGCAGTGCACTAACAGAGTCAGGGAGACGGGAGAAGGCGCCTTAATGATATGGATGAAAAAAAAGACCACAGAAATCGTTAACTAGGACGAGCCAGAATCTTTTCATGGATTATTTGATTTTGATGTTGCTGCTACGTCTTCAATGCTTTTTACATGGTCCACAACTGCATGTGGTTCGATACGTACCATGTCGTCTGCTTGCATGGTGTCATGTATTTTCTTCCTGATCGCGCAAAGAAGTTGCATGTCTGCACTGCGCGCTGCCAATTGACACACATGTACTCCTTTACTGCGGTTACGCAGGCAAATCCGTAGAATCTGCTCCCGTCTACTCCTACTGCCGTCAGGTTCAGCCCGCTTGGTCATCAAATGTATCTCATCAAGTCCTTTCTTTTCAGAATACGCATGTGGCAAAATGAAATCGATAAGCATGGTTATCATCATCATCGTCGTCATCGTCGCCATCGGCAACAGCAGCATCAGCATGCCCTGAACACCAATAGCTAAGAGCTACCCGGCGCAGATCTTTGTGCAGACCCAGCAACCGCAGTACAATGCGCGCAGGTAGATGGGTCCAAAGGTAGAGGCCGCGTGCAGCTATACATATCCATAGACATGTCAGTGTCCATGTTCTTGTGAATAAATGCTGCGGTGCTGCTCAGTCGGGCTCATATCGCTACAGCGTGCGGACCAATCATACCTACTCGGTTACTGCTCGTTCTGCACTGACCCGCTGGCGATATTCAGGAACTAGCAAAAAATGCCCATCCTGTTAGACACATGTAATTATTCTATCCATTCTGCGATCAGACCAGACCATGCCGGGCATGCGTATACATAAAGACTACCTATGTTTGTTTATCAATGGCACCTATCTGTTCTGGTTGGTTAGTTGTTTTTGTTCAGGTCGCGTGGAGAAAGCACATGTTGGACATGCGCACCCTCGAATCTATTCTTATAGCTGCACTGATATTATTGTTCTCGTGTCAGCTTACTAAATACTCACATCCTACAAATTCTGTTTATTCTTGTTTTCTATAGAGCCATTGATCATACATCACCTGGATGCGCCTTTTGTAGGCTGCGACGGGGGATCGAGGATGGCTTGGGATCCTGTCGTAAGAACTCACCCCGTTGAGGAACCATCGGCAAAAAGATGGCCTGCGGTCGATCTTTGTGTATTAAATCGTTTGTCTTGTCCCATCCTCCGAACAACGATCGACTGAGATTAACCTTTCTAGATAAACCTGCCATGAGTCCCTGCAGACCCAGACAGAACATATGCGCATGATGGCCAGATCCAGCGTTCAGTATACATGTATCCCTATAACGTATACCCATCTATGAATACGTCTAATGAGTAAAGCATCCTACCTGCTCAGTGAAAAATGAATGGAGCTGCTTCGACAACTGAAGAGCCCGCCGCGCGCTTGGTTCTCTTTCCTTCTGATACAACTCAAAGGCAGCTCGAACTTCCTGCGGACTATTCGACCGAAGCTCGTGCAGTCGGTTTGCGAGAGCGAGGGTGTCCACTATGTTGATGTTGTCACTCATCCCAGCCGACGGTGGAAACTATGCATATAACCCGTGCCAAGGCGTACCAAGAAAAATACGACGATGATGGCGATGATTAGCTATGTAAACCCGTCTTTGTCCATATGTCGAATTGACTAGACCATTACCTTGTGGCAGGCTGAAATGATGAAGGCGCATAAAATGCAAGGAAGCGTGGCAGTTAATAAGTAAATCAGTCGCAGGCATAGCATAATCAACCATGGATGGCTAACGTACCATTCCCCAAAAGCACCGTCCTTCCGCCGTGCCACCTATCGCAAACTTTTTCTTGAACCAAAGCCTTGGACATGAGATGCGGCGGACTCTTGTCAAAGATATCCTTCATAGTACCTCCATAAGGACAATCAAGGTGTTGATACTTTGCGCACATCTCTGCGATCGCTTCTGGGCCAAACTCGCTCGCCTTGAACCCATCATCGCACAACGCCTTGCCACTCTTTTCGATCGGGGTGGTGATAGACCACAGTAGCCTCCGGTTGGCGGTAGGCATAAACCAAATCTACTCAAACAAACGCACAGTTGAAAATTATGCGTCGCATTAATAATCCGTCAATGGCAAGTCGGTTGATGATTCAGGGCAAGACACTTACGGACTCCTTGTTCTTTTGGGTCATCATTATCACAAAGTCTGAATATGGCTGATTTAGCTCCACATATAAATTCCTGTCCATCGGATTGGTTATGCCCATCAAACTCCAGGCGCACTCCGGCCTGTTTTCCTCCTCCGAAACGTGTCCAGGAACACTCATGGGCAATGGTAAGGTCGTCGAAGGCGTTGTGCCCACCGCATATAGCTGTCGATAGAGGTTTTGCCTGACGGAACTGTTTGCGCCATCTGCGCCTACGAGAACATCTCCTGAGAACGTAGAGCCGTCCGCACAGCGCACGAGTACCCCGTGGTCGCTCTGGGACATCGAGAGAATTCGTTTCCCGAGTAGAATTTTGTTCTTAGGTATTCTGCTGAGGAGCACGTTGTAGAGCGCGGGACGAGGCATAACTAGTATTGGATATCCGTATCTCTGTTCAGCAAATGACGCGTCCAGTTCACCAACCAAGCCGTCCACGTTGTCCTGTCGTTTGATCCTGAACTTGCGAGCTGATAAGGAAATGTCCTCAATTTCACGCAAAAGTCCGATCTGCTCCACCAAGGGAAGGCTGACGGCGCTGAGGACGCAGGCTCGCGAAGGCGGCCGAAACGCGGGCTTTTTCTCGAGGAGGAGATAGTCGACGCCACAGAGCTCAAGTAATAGGGCGAGCATGAGACCAGCGGTACCTATTCATTGAACCACATGTGGGGAATGGTTAAAAATATGACTTTAAGGTAGCAGTTGCAGGTTATAAATTGCATCTTCGGCGTAAATGATGGATTATGAGCGTCCAGGAGGGCAGCATCCTAAGAAAATATGTCATCGCGTCCTAAATCTTGGTAATTACCTGCTCCAACAATCAAGACCTTGATATCTCCCGACGTAGACATTGGCACTACTAGTACGTTGTAAGAATATGTGTGTTTCCGGGGGAAAGATGAGTACGGCTAATTGGCGTGAAATTGTTGAGATGTCGCTGGAACTACTGATGCTGTTTGTGGCAGATTGACAGTAGTGACTGAAGTGGATGAAGATGAGGATGAGGATGCTTTGTTGATGCCGATGGATGATGGGGAATGAGTCTCAGCGATGCGCCTTCCATTGTGCTCCTGGCCTCAACCGCCTCTGTTCTCGTTGTGCTCACCTGCTCTCGTTCCTTGGACTGCATGTGGCTTCATACATCGATGGAGCGCCCTCGTTCATCGTAAGTGTATCTTCATCGCTGCTATTTCGCCTTGTTTGAATGTACGTACACAATAGAAGAATTTCTTTAACCAATAGGGGAAACCTCGAGGAGCGGGGATCAACCTGTGTACGATATGCCTCAAGCATTTGGATCCTCCGACGGATGAACAGGCAAACAAGTTGACCAGTTGATGAGAGAACTGGAAGTTGGCGTACAACTCCCCGCATTCCATGCCTTGAGACGGAAGCATGTATGTGGGGAAATGCGGGTCGTGCACTGCACCCTTCCATCTACCCCACAAATTATGAATGCTGTCCTTTGTGCTACTACATGTTGAATTACAGATAATTCAGGGCCATTGACTTCATGCAGTCTACCAGCGTGCCCAAGCATGATTGCGGGCCCCAGGTCGAGAATGCTATTGAGAAAGCACAAGGCAGTATGGAGGAAAAGAAATCGCTCTTCCGTATTTTTTTTTCCCCTTGGCACCACATGCTGTCTCCCGTTGGCTTTACCCCACATCTTACATCTCGATCTCTCAACAAAAATTGTCCGCCTTGCTGGGCCTATGGGTGCAAAGTTTACTTCTGGCTATTTTCCATCACAAAGCATGCGCAGATAAGGGGTGCACGATATGCTCTTCTCAGCATGGCAGGCGGATAGGGTGCGATTTTCTTTGTTGTTGCGTTGCGGACTCTAACACAAAATTAATGTAATAACGTCCAATGATTGAGCAACGTGGTTATTCAAGTCGATGTCGACCCGTTCTTAAATAGCCTATCACAGCCCTGCAGCGGTTTATCAAAATGACCGTTTGCTCAAGAGATCAAATCTGAGGGACCTGCAGAAACATGCAGACGGGAGATGCACAACACCTCTATTCCGGCATATGCAAGCTGTCCCTGATCCGAGCTCGTTGCAGACGAGCAGACCAAAAAAATAAAAAAAAGCGAGATAGGTCGCAGGCAGAGATGCGCAGAGCGCTAGAGGAAGAATCCTAAACGTATTAAGGTCACGGTAGCAATTTGCTGGGTAGACTAAGAGAGATAGAAACCAAGGCGTTTCCATCGTCTGCACCGCCGATAGTTCATGGGTGTGGTGGAGCATCATGTTGCAATCTTTGAGCGACAGCGTTAGCGATTTTATCCAGAATGTACTTTTACCGAGATTGTACTTTTACCGAGAATAAAAATCGGCGCGCAGTTTATCCCCGGGTTCACATGATGGGACTGTACACCAAGTCTGCAAGGTACGCACGTTTGTATTGTACAAGGTTAGAAGCGCGCTGGCATATAGCCATGGGCTAGTCTACTGTCAGTCTCTTCCCGGGTATTCATTTTGTCGGCTCTCAGAATGCGTCTGAACAAGATACTCCTTGAAGGTGAAATACAAAAAACGAGTTTGAACTTCAGATTCAAGGATGTGCTTAATTGGCATTTGTTTGTCTAGCGGATCAAACTCTGCAGGCCTCACCAGCACGCCTGTAACTGCGCTGTTGGAACTTGAGCGCAAGTGTCTGCCTGGATTGCTTTTTTCTTTTGTTCCTCACGATCACATCCCGGTGCGTCTGCACACTTTTTGCCTATTTATCAAGAAGGGAAGGGTCAACTTTCACCATAGATTATGATGTGGGGTAAACAGCTGGATGCCAGTTAAACTTGGCGAGGGCGGGCTTGCGAAGGACAAGGAGACAGGGAAAGAGAGTCTGGGATCCAGATTCCAAAAATCTTAACTGTGAGCAACAGTTCTACTGAGCGTAGATTAAGACGGAACAATTCCCAGGGCCGTACAGTACAATGGCTTTGTGCATCACGAAAGAAACGGAATACGGTGGGTTGTGGGTTTGTTGTGATGTTGTTTTCTTACTGCAACTGAAATTAATTCCCTCACCCGCTCACGATAAAGATAGCGAAAACTTTATTCTCTTCACGCAGAGCAGAGAACAAAACCAACAACAAAGGCTGGATATGCACCGCTTTGAATCCCCGGCGATTTGTGCCACCGAATAAGGAAGGACACACGCCCTGTTTGTCCATCTCCAGGCACAAATGGATAAACAACAACAACCTGCCCGCTTACATCCGTTGGGGAATTACCCTGCCTTTTATTGTAGGCGCTTGGTTGCTTGTACTCAACAGTGCGTGTTCGATCGTCTACTTCCATCCCTCACGAAGCATTGTCGAAATGGAAATGAGGGCATATTTGTCCCAGTAAGGATTTAACTTGGCCGTTGGGCCTTACTGCACACTTTTGGATTCTCTACTGCTCGCAGCTCCTAGCTCACAAAACCGATGTCATTAAATCAGATCCCTGGCTCCTCTCTCTCGAATATTATGTTATACAGTATGTAGTTTACGTTTAGTCTAATGCTATGAGACTACAGCCATCTACAGATGAGTTCTGACTGACTGGCAGAACATCGAGCTGCGATAGTGGCCGGTGTGCAGCTGCAGTATTGTAACGTTGGATTACTAAAGACTTGCAGTGTTTAGGATGTTGCGTTAGACTTGTAGAGTGCCTGGAGTGGTGATATTGCAGATGATATCCGGCCAGGAAGTCAGCTTTCATGGCTGATTTTGCTCCTCTGTCATTCATTTGCCCCAGTCGACTGGGTACCTGGAGACCCAGCCTCTCCTTTGAGGCCAGAACACGAACTCACGCATAAAACACCTTATATTAGTCTATACGCCTTATACTTTTTTATACTTTTTAGACTACAAAGCCAGCAGTTCCAGCCAGTTAACCCGCTCGCTCTCCTGTCCAATATCCCCGCCTGTTCGCCCGTCCATTTGCCAGCCGACCAACCAAAAACGGACGTCCTTTCATTGCCAGCTGCCGTCTTTCGTACCATTTGGAGAAGAGACCAGGCCAAAAGTAGATGTCTGCAATTACAGTGTAGACATAGACATCTTTACAACCTCGCTTTTAATTAAAAAAAGTACTCATTACATCCACTTTCTACAACAGTATCCACTTACTGCTAATCGCTCACACGCACACCCCGCCCTCTGACAGATAGACCTGCCTTTTTCCTCTCCTCGGTCCTCACCCCTCTTCGGTTTGTTTTATTTTTACTTTATTTTTTGCGCTCTCCCGGTAAATACTGTACACAATCGCACACCAAAGAGAGCTCTCCTCTCTTCTTCTCTCCCTGGTCACATCAGCAAAGCACAATAGGTACGATAGGCTACTACAATAGTTACTGCAGTGCCAGGGCTCCGTCTCTCTTTCTCTTGCCCTTTACTTCACCGCAACGCTCTTTTCATATAAAAGGCCGCCCTTTTGTGTAGGCCCCCCGCTTAAAAAAAGCCTTCTTCTTATCTCCTATCTATCTCTCCTCTCCTCTCCCTCTTCATCCTCCTCTTCCTACCTCTTCCTGCCCAACCTGTCTTCATAAAGGACCACGCCTGTGCCTTGAACAGCTTGTTCAGACGAACCCAACCCAGCCATGTCTGAAAAGATTGAAGGTACCATTTTTGTTTCGTCTTTACATCCGCCTGTCCATCTGCCTGTCTACCTATCTGTCTATGGACATACAGAGCACACCACATGTACCACAATATGCCTCTTTTGCTTCCAGATGAGCACCTCTGAGCACCTTATTGGTTTTACTTGACCCCATCCAGGCACGGGACTGAGTTCGCCTCTCCATTTTTGTAACACACCCGCACTTAAATCCAAACAACAAATTTATTTTTCTTACCGGGGAACCACACCCACAGCAACCCACCGTTCGCAACAGCACTCGAGCACCAACAAACAGCTCGCTACTTTTTTATTTTTTATTTTTTTCATTACAACTGGCAACTAACATGCTGCTCTCCTTATCTTGAAACACCCCCGCCCCATATAGAGACTCACACGAAGGGTCAGCTCGAAGTCGAGGAGGCTGAGCACCACGAGCACAAGGACGAAATCTCGCCCGAGCTCGAGGCTCTCCTCCAAACCGACCCCAAGCAGGGTCTCACCACAGCCGAGGCCGAGGCCCGTCTCGCCCAATTCGGCCCCAATGAGCTGGCTGAGGTCAAGCGCAACCCCTTCCTCAAGTTCTTGAGCTACTTCACTGGGGCCATCGCATACCTGATCGAGGTTGCTTGTATCATCTCTGCCGTCGTCAAGGATTGGCTGGATTTTGGTATCATTTTGGGTCTGTTGCTCGTCAACGCCTGTATCGGTTTCATTGAAGAGTCCAAGGCCGAGTCTGCCTTGGATGCCCTTCGTCAAACTCTTGCCTTGAAGACCCGCTGCTGGCGCGATGGCCATTTGGTTGAGCTCGATGTCGCCGCCTTGGTTCCTGGTGATATTATTGTCCTGCGTCTCGGTGATATCGTTCCTGCCGATGGTCGTCTTCTCGGAATCGGCGCCACTGGTGAAGCCACCGAGGGCGATCTCCTGATTGATCAGTCTGCCCTTACTGGAGAGTCTCTGCCGGTTGCTAAGAACAAGGGCAAGACCGTCTACTCGTCCTCGATTGTCAAGCAGGGCCAACAGATGGCTGTTGTTACCAAGACTGGTGGTGATACTTTCATTGGTCGCGCCGCCAACTTGATCTCTATTACTACTGAGGAAGGACACTTCCAGAAGATTATCAACCGCATCGGAAACTTCTTGATCCTCATCACTGTCGTTCTTATTGTCATCATCATGATCTACCAACTTGTTCACTTCCACGGCGACGCTGACAACAGAGGAGATTTCTTGACCGTCCTTCGCAAGGTCCTGGTTCTCACTGTCGCTGCCATCCCTGTTGGTCTCCCCACTGTCATGTCTGTCACCATGGCTGTTGGCGCTAAGCAACTTGCAGCCAAGAAGGTCATTGTCAAGCGTCTTACTGCTGTCGAAGAGATGGCTTCCGTCTCTGTTCTCTGCTCTGACAAGACCGGAACATTGACCCTGAACGAGTTGACCTTCGATGAGCCCTACCTGTCCAACAACTACACCTCTGAGGATATTCTCTTGTACTCTTACCTTGCTGCTGAGGCTGGTGCTAACGATCCCATTGAGTTTGCCGTCCGTACTGCCGCTGAGGATCAGCTCGCCATTCTCAAGGATCGCACCCACAAGCACGAAGTTCCCGGCTACAAAGTCACCTCTTTCCTGCCCTTCAATCCCTCGACTAAGCTGACTCAGGCCACCATCACCAACCTCGAGACCAACTCGACCTTCAAGGTCGCTAAAGGCGCCCCCCAGGTTATTATCCGTCTTGTTGGCGGTGATGATGATGCCGTTCGCGCCGTCAACTCTCTTGCCAAGCGTGGTCTCCGCGCCTTGGGTGTCGCTCGCACTGTCGAGGGTAACATGGACCAGTGGGAACTCATCGGTATGATCTCGTTGATTGATCCTCCTCGCCCTGACTCTGCTGACACAATCCGCCGCTGTAATGACATGGGTGTCTCTGTCAAGATGATTACCGGTGACCAGTTGATTATTGCCAAGGAGGTCGCTCACCGTCTCGGCATGCAACGTGTCATGCTGGATGCAGGTCACTTGGTCGACTCTGACAAGTCTGAGGACGAGATTACCGAGCACTGCCTCCGTGCCGATGGTTTTGCCCAGGTCATTCCCGAGCACAAGTACCGCGTCGTCGAGCTGCTTCAGAAGCGTGGTATCCTCGTCGGTATGACCGGAGATGGTGTCAACGATGCTCCTGCTTTGAAGAAGGCCAACGTCGGTATTGCCGTCCACGGATGCACTGATGCTGCCCGCTCTGCCGCCGATATCGTCTTGCTCGCTCCCGGATTGTCCACCATTGTCGATGGTCTGATGACCTCCCGTGCCATCTTCCAGCGCATGCGTTCCTATGCCCTTTACCGTATTACCTCAACTGTCCACTTCTTGATGTTCTTCTTCGTCGTCGTCATGGCCTATGACTGGTCCTTGCCCGCTCATTTGCTCATCTTGATCTGCATCTTGAACGACCTGGCTACCCTGGTTATTGCTGTTGACAATGCCCAGATCTCGGCGCGCCCCGACAAGTGGAGAATCGGTCAGCTGATTACTATGTCGATCGTTCTCGGTCTCTGCCTCACTGCCCTTTCCTTTGCCCATTTCTACATTTTCTGGAAGCACTTTGGCTACGAGCCCCTGGATGACAAGGCCCCTTATGAAGACCGCAAGTTGGAGTCGGTCATGTACCTCCACATCTCGTCCGCGCCTCACTTCGTCATCTTCTCAACCCGTCTCACTGGCTATTTCTGGGAGAACCTGCCCTCGCCTATCTTTGCCATCGTCATTATCGGTACCCAGATCATTGCTCTGTTGATGGTTATCTTTGGTGGTTTGACCCCCAAGATCCCCGCTTCCCAGGCCATTGTCGTCTTGATCATCTCCTTTGTTTACTTCATCCTTTTGGATGTTGTCAAGGTCCAGCTTTTCAAGCATTGGTCGTTTGAGATGACCGCCACCTTTGTTCCCACGAATGCTCGCCGCACCAAGCTTGCTGCTCGTAAGGCATCCAAGATCCAGCAGGAACGAGTTTGGGACAGCATTGACGCTGTTCGTAAGGTTGCTGTCATGACCGCTGTTGTTTCTGCTCTACAGGAGAAGAGCACTACTGTCGCCGCCGAGGAAGCCAAGTAAAAGGACCTTAGCAATCTATCATCGTACATATCCAATAGATCTAATAAACCATTGCAATAATAGTCTACGTATTATGCAACCGCGATGAAACATGATATTAGAGAGCATATCGATTGCCTTGAGGAAGCCCTCAATTTGATCGATGTTTGTAATAGTATTCGCCCATCGCTAAGTATGCATCGCACTGCAGGTATCAATTGTGTCCTGCGCTATTTAAGAGACATGTGCTGTTTGCGTGAATGCGCAAATCGGCGGCAGGAGGACAAGAACCTAGCAAAGGCAGGATCAAGCTTGAGCGAGGTCTCTCGGATTGATATTGATATCAACAGGATCCTGCACATCTATATCCAGTTCGTCCTGCCAATAAAATTGAGATCCAAAGTAAGCATCCATCTCCTTTGTTTTTAAAAGAAAAAATGACGGAACCAGGCACAAGCGGCAGAGTGAAGGGACTTACGAGTAGGTCCTTGGGTTTGCCAGGCAGGTTCTCAGTTACGGTCGCAAACATGTCCTTGAACTAGGAATAAAAAACCGCATGAGGATACGTTGACGAGCATACAGACGTTAGCCAAACATGGTGTATTTAAATATGCAGTACAGGTTCCAGAGCCTGATCGCCTCACCAGACGTCGCCTCTGCATCCACATCTTGCGGTAATACTCCATTTCCTTGGCAACGCGCTGCTTTTCCTCTGGCATCACTAGCTGAGTACCGCCGCGCAGAAGTGATAAGTGTTGCTCTGCCTGCTCGTTCTAGAGGGTATCGTAAATACAATATCGAATGGAAGCTTAAGACCTCTCCAATCTTCTCAGATATGGGCCAACAATGCTGCAGCTCCACAAACGAACCTTGGTGGTCGATTGATCTAGTTTCGCTATAATCTGTTCAGTCGTCATGGAGGAGCTAAGAGCCGACAGTTCTGTGAATAGCAAGTGAGTGCATTGGTCTTGAAAAGTCACGGCGTTACATATCTCAACGCGAATTACTTCACACTCTACTTGAGGAGAGCTGCTTATTCCTCGATTTGGACTCTGCGATTTTGCTCTGTAGTTCGGCCAACTGCTTATCGACGGCAGCAAGTTCTTCTGGTGTGGCAGCATCAATACTGTCCTGTGGCAATACGAAAAAAGGCAGGTTATTACTTGTAAACGGCAAATATTCGACAAAAAAGAAAAGACATAGCTTTTTAATGGAGCATGCGTACCTGCCTGACGACGTAGATGGCTTGCTTTCCATATAGCTTGGCGGTAACCAGGTCCTTTTCGACGAGCGAGTTCACAGCGCGCTGGCATTCTATTTTCGTGACTGCACCATGTAGGTTACCCACGATGTCCGCTAGCACAGCAATAAAGAACGTACAGTATAAGGACATCTATATTGTCTTTTTTTTTCTTTTTCTTTTTGCCATGCGACGATTCAGAAGACAAAGACAATATTGTTTACTGGTGCTATAGGGGCGGTTCTGCTTGACGAGATAGTCCAGCACCAATTTCTCTGACTAGACACAGGAATCACACGGATCAGTAGCTGGTCCATGCTCAAGCGAGGAACGAATGAGTGAGCTCGAGATCTACCTTGTTGCCACCGCCTTTGCCGACAACTGAATTTTTTTCCTTTGGCATATTTTGTGGTGCTCTGAGGCGAGTATATGGTGTGTATGATGTAAATGTATGGTGTGTGTGATCGCTGATTTCTGTTGTTCGTTTTCATGGAATGGAGAGAGGGAACCAAGTGAATGACGGCAAAACGTCTTTATTTGAGCTTATTGCCATTTGTTGCCACCAATTTCTACTTTGAAACAGCCCGAGCCAAAGGTAGTAGGCAAGGCAGCCATGAAGACAATCATAGGGGGGTTGAATTCCAGGCAGTCCGCATGCGCAATGACCTCCACACTCTCTGCTCCGGCAGTGGCTTCCATGAGCGAGTGCCTGCAGCGCAAGACGAACATGAAGACTGTAGAACCAGCCTTCCAAGGCCCATTTTGTAGTACGCTGGCAACAAATGCAGCGCTGCATTCGCAACTGTCAGAATAATAGAGAAAGCCTGAAGTTAACATAGGCTGTCGCTGAAGCTTCGTGAAGGAGTAGGATGCTACAGCTGGACTTTGATGTACGACCACATGTGCTCAATGCTACAGCATGAAAGCCAGAATGTCTTTATAACCGATAATCTTCCGTCTGTGATCGAGCCTTTACGCAGCACCGGCCCGTTTCACTCATCTTTGACATTGCAAGAATAAAGATAGACAATTCCCCACAGTTCATCGAAGAGCATGGAAACCGAAGTCCGCACCAAGAGTCGCGCAAGGACGGATCTATGCTAATGTGGATTCACTTTATTGCGCTCTCTGACAATTCCTCCTCTACAGCCACAACTTGTGGGTACAAAGAGATCAGTCGCGTCTACGTCAATTGGAGCTGTTACCCAGCCCGCATCACAACTACAAAGCCCAAGTCGATAACAGCGACCACAGTTTCTATCTGACGTGAACCCGTTCTCGCGCTTATCATATTTCAGCTACGCATAACACGTCGTCGCGACAGAAGTTTTTGGTATCAAAGAAAGCGTGCTGTCTGCTCCGCTCGAAGTATTCAACATGTCTGCCGATGTCTGAGTGTCAGCACCGACCTCATCTGCCATCAATGCAACCGGAAGGCGCTGTTTGAATAGTACAGGAAATCCTATGGCGCAGAAGCCAACGCCCCAGACATTCAGCAGAATTATAGATAGTTACGGGATTATTAGAAGAGTATTCGAATAAAAGTTGATACAGGACTCCCCCAGATCAACCATAGCTTAGCATTTTGAAGGACAAGGACTGGAGCAGGAGGCTGAGACGTACATACAATCGAACTATGGGGAAGATTGGACAAGCACATATCAACAAGCTAGGGGAGGCCCCGTTCTACCTACAATGACACCCAAACAGCACTGGGATTTCTGTCGAGTCGACGGTTGGCGTTATTGCATACTTTAAGAACCATGACTTGGGCGTTTGTAAATGTCCCTACGAGAGCGACGTATGCACTGCGAGGAGCTGCGTCAAGTACAGTCCAGCGAGCTCATCCGACCCGGTAATCACCATTGCAGAAACGGCGCGTCCTCTGGAGTCTATGTTGTAGCTACAAATTCTAGTCTTTGCCGCGCAGGAGCGTGCCTAATACCATCATGCCAACTCTGAACGAAACTGTTTGTAATTATTCTGGCGATATGCGGATGCGTGGAGCAGCAACTCCTCGCGCGTTTATCGATTTATTGAATGGCTACGCTTTCCACGTGGAAAGGAACGGCACTCATCGGCTGTGACCTTGACCATTTTCAGTATCTAGTGGATATCTTTGTATACAATCATGAGCAATAGTAATGGAGACCTTCCTACGCAAACCCAGACAAGGGCAGTTGCAAAGACACTCCACACCCGCAACAAGCATGGGTATTCACCACTATCCTTCAAGTGCGCCTCTGTTCCTGTCCATAAATTCTCTAGTCATTACACTAACCATTCGTACTTCACCCTCTCTTTCATTTCACAAAACTGCAAAAACAGAGATATCTCTGCGATCTCGTTATATATCACGCATTGTCAGCAATGTTTCCACTAAGAGCGACGAGACTGTTCCCACAAAGCGAAGAAAACTCGGCCAGCAAGAGACCACGAAGGTGGAAGGCCTGTCCAAAGAGCTGGCAGCAAAGAAAAAAAAAAAGGTAAGTTCGGCCTGGATGGATGCAAGAAGGGGGCGGGCACGTCAGAATTTCTATACTGGAGCTCTCCTCAGGCTGGATTCAATGTTTAATATCTGCAGGCGAAGCTGCGACAAGTCCAGCGCAGCCCCAATAATCATCGAAAACGACTGTCGGATGGCAAAGTGGACCAACTAGCACGCTTCCTAACAATATTATACTCCGCGGATTGATGTTGCGTATCTCGGTTACATTACTGGAGTATAGAGAGATAACGCCTGAACACCAGGAAGCAAGAGCGCAATCCCTCGATGCAATCGCCCAAGGCTAGAGCCAGGTCATCTTCGACCACTTATTGAGCCGATTCATGCAGGGGTCATCCAACTAAGAGGTCGATCACCTGGATTAGACAACTTGCCGATCGAATTTACGACCTCATGATAAAACTTCTTCTGGATGCTGCCAATGGATCCAACAACCATGTACTTGAGGCGTGCTGCCTGTCTGAGATCTTAAGATCAGGGAGATTATTACGAAGGTGAAGCAACATTTCACGGGGACAATGCCACAGCTATTGAAGAAGTAAGGTGGGCTGCTTTCTTCATTGTTGTACTGTAGTTGTGTTTAACGAGTTGGATGAACATGGATACGCGAATAGCCTTTTAATTCAGAGAAGCTTTCAGGTTTAGTGGAACGAAGCACTAGGAAGCGTGGTGCTGAATGCTCATTAAAAAGGGATCTCCTTGCTCAAATCCTGCTTGAAGATCATTGTAATGCCTGGCGGTTGCCGTTCTGCTCGTGTGTTGATTTCTACATGCATCGATCCGCCCCCTGTATGCCAATATGGTTATGTAGGTCATACAGAAAGTCTTCCAACGAGAATCTGTTGGCAAAAAGAACATGTAGCATTATTCGTGAACACGCGGCGTAAAAATCCGATCTGCTGCCATAGGACTTCAGAGTGAAATTCGAACTCGGAGAAATCTGCGGCCCTGACGATGATGGATTTTATAAGCAGGAAGTTAATAAGTCTCGTGTTCTTCGAGTAGACGAGGACGACAATAAGCGCCTTTTATATTTATCAGGGCGGCTATATGCAGCACACTCCAAGACACGTTCGTTAGCAAAAATAAAAAGCCGTTCATAACGAACATGCTATGCATTCTATCTCTCTGCTGTTCCTTCACATACTTTCACAGACAATTGACAATTGACGAGCGCTTTCCAACAAGCAGCCTGGTGCACACCTTTAAACACGACAGACATCTCTTCAGTGAAGATGAGAGTAAAGAAGAATGGTAAACGCGTGATATTACTATAACTACACAAAAGGACGCGTAGGGAAGTAATGATGATTTGGCGGAGCGATATGAAGCTCAGTGTGATTTCCGTAGTAAGGTCGCGTGTGTGGGCTCGGTTGTTTGAGCAGCATAGATTTTTTCTTGCAGCAAAAGCGTTCAGTCGGCAACCCGCTGACGTCGCCTTCCCACTAAATCATCATCACTTCACAACGACGCGCGCAACGCCTCCTCTTTCTCCGTTCTCTCTCCTCCTCCATCCCGTAAAGCCCCACGAAAGCAGCATCACGCCAGCAACAGCAGTAGCAGTAATAACAATCGAAAGCAACGGCAGCAGGACGAGATCATCCAGGCAGTAATCATCTCTTTTTGCCCGTTTACCCAATCCGCGGCTTGTCCAAGATTCGCTGTACGCATTGAAAGACATCCGTAGTGGGTACGACAGCAGCTTGACTAGTTAACCGGAAGCCTGGTACTCAGGCAAGGAGCAGATCGCTCAAGTTCGTGTGTGATTCTCATTGCGCGCCTTTCATCCTCTTCTCTAGCTAGTCATGCAGACATCACAACAGCAACATCAGCAACAGCAACAGCAGCAGTTCCAACAACATATGCAGCAGCAACAGCAACGGGCATCAGCAATGCAGGTAGCCGGAAGGATGCCTAACGGCAGGCATGGCTCCTTTGAAATGGGTACGGATTCTAAATTTCAGGATTCCTACTCTGGCGCACACGGCGTTGGGCTGTCTTACTGACTTTATTACTTGACCATGCTCGTGGACTCTTAGGCCAACCAAACCAAGGCTGGGGCTATGGATCAGGACCTATGCCAGGAATGAACCAAGGCCGCCCACCGATGTCAGGCTTCCCTAGTGTGATGCAATCGTCTTTGCTTCAGCAACAACAGCAACAGCAGCATCAGAACTCATCATCACAGCAAGCCCACCAACATCCTAACCATCAGCAGGAAATTCTAGACATGTCGGATTTCCCAGCCCTTGGAAGTGCTAATAGCGCTTCCTCTAATCCTGGTCTTTCAGCAGCAAGTTATGCTAGCACAGCAGGGACATTGTCTAACACAGGATCATCGGCCCCTGGCACTGGTCTTTCGCAAGAATTCAGCATAGAGGATGACTTTCCCGCGCTACCAGGAGCAAGGCCCAACTCTGCAGGATCAGGTCGTCATTTCGGTTCGATGCAGCTGCATCAACAACAACCGGCCCATCAGAACTCGTCGCGATCTCAACAAAGCCTTCAGCACCATCCTTCTCAGCAGCAAGCACAGCATATGCTGCAGCAATCGCAACTAGATGGAATGGGGGCGTTCTCTTCAATGATCAGCCCCTCCTCAGGTTCACAGCTACAGCAGTCGATACAGCTTCAGCAGCAATTGGCAAACGACTTGATGTTTCAGCAGCAACAGCAGCAACTGTTGCACATGAATGGTACATGTCGGATCATTGTTTGTTCTTTTCTGGATCCGAGTCATACATGTTTGATTCCTTACAGGTGCCTCGTCACTGACGATTTGATCGGCCATCATTAATCTAGGCTCTCATTCCCCTATCAACGCCCATCTCTCAAGTTCATCTAGTGAATTGGGCAAGGCGACAAAGGTAATTGACCAGGCGTGGAGCACGTGGTCATGGACTGCGACAACATGAAGCGCTTTGGACGAACGGCAGCTTATCATTTTTTTATTTGGCGCCAAGTCAGTGCAGGCACTCATGATTATTACGCGTTCTTAATCGGGGCTTTAGAGCTATGCAACAAAGGCTGGCAACGGATCAGGACTCTTCTTGGCATCAGCAAGCAGTCCTATGTCCTCTACAACATCTGTACTGTCAACAACACCTATCTCTGGTGGAAATGCAGCTGCACAATTAAGTTCATCGCAATCAGGATCAGCAACAAACGCTTCCACAAGGCTAGGCGAGTCAGGTCTTGGCGGCTCTGCGTCCGGGAACTCAAATGCAGAATCGAAAGGGCAAAATCAATCGATGCTTGACGATCACGATCGGTTTGGCCTATTTGGAATGCTGGGAGTTATTCGCACCGCAGATCAGGATTCCACCACATTAACTCTCGGCCGCGATTTGACTACTTTGGGGCTCAGTCTGAACTCGGCAGAGTATGTTTCCGGCTATATACACTTGAGCCTTGACTTGATATGATAAGGCGATGTTGATGAGGATAGCACAGTTGTACTGATCGAACGCTGTTTTTCGTGTCACGCGGTGGCTCTCTCATTTATATCGAATAGACCGCTATATGGAACGTTTGCATCACCATGGTTTGAGGTACCGACGTCGGCGGACGTAGAGGCAGAATTCCATGTGCCTGCATGTTACAACGTTCAACCTCCACCTCCACCGCAAGCGAAGCTCAGCTCAGTTTTGGACGAGACACTCTTTTACATGTTCTACTCTATGCCGAGAGACGCCCTGCAGGACGCTGCAGCCATTGAGCTTTACAATCGGCATTGGCGGTATCACAAGGAGCTGAGGTTATGGCTCATGAAAGATCAAGCCTCAGAGCAGTCGAAAACGCCGACATTCGAGAGGGGAAGCTACATTTTCTTTGATCCGAACAGCTGGGAGAAGGTGAAGAAGGAGTTCATTGTCATGTACGATGCCCTGGAGGAACGCCGGCAAGTCAGTGCTCTTCCACCCAACGGCAGCGCAGTCTCGGGCGCTCATCCCACTGGAGCAACTACTGTTAACGGCGGTCTGTCCCTCTCTGGGTTGCCACATGAGGGCCTAAGGAGATCTATCGCACAGCAAGGACAGGCACTCTGACATTGAAGCGCACTGGGCGTTTGGTGCTGAGGGGCCGAAACTTTAACCTTAAAATAAAGTGATTCCCTTTTACTGTTATGTTCTCTGATTGCGCGTAAGGGGTATGTGACATCTGGTATCTGCGCGTAAGAACCGATAGTGCCATTCGGACCTTGGAATTTAAGATTTGGTCCTGACCGTATGTTGATAATCCTTTTGAGCCTGTGAGGCTGGGTTATCACTGACATCCCCAAGCTCGACGATGCTCCAATGAGATCCTGATGCCATACTGTGCACAGTCGCGCCAAGAGATGTGCCTTCGATAGCGTCCGCTCCTAACGTCCCAGGAAAAATTTAGAAAAGGATGGCGTCTTAATGAAAATGGATTGATAGAAGGCGTCGCATGTGGACAAACATGTCAATCTACAACAGCTGCAATTCCCTAATACCCTGTTGCTCTTGACGAAAATCGAACCCAGGCCGCGGCCCTTCTTCTGAGCGGGATCCAACAGTGTCGGATGCTACTCTCTTGTTTGTCTTCTTTTTCTTTGCCCAATGCCATAGAAAGACCTTGTCAGCTACTACGAAAACAATGATCAGGAGAGCCCATCCTGCTACAATCCAGGATAGCATGACCTTGGGACCCCCACCGACTGTCCACGCGTGTCCCATCTTAAGGTTCGGGGCCATCACCCATTTCCCACCAATCCGTTCGCCTTTGACCTTGTTGGGTTCTGGCGATGGACAGAGCAAAGCCACCAGTAAGGACGCGTAGAGGACGCATGAGAAGGAAAAAGTTCTCCAGTAGTTGACCTTGTTCCAGTAGCACGGCTTCATTCGGATAGTATAACAGGCCATCGCCAACATAACCGCCATAGACACAAGACCCCTAAAGCGTCTTTGAGAAGGAGATTGGATCAAAAGAAAATCGACTGCTAGCAAAAGACCGAGGTTCTTGAGGGCTGCAACGCCATTAGGTCGAAAACAAATTTCACCCTTCGCTGGCACCCGCTCGAAAGAGGTCAAAAAGACCATGAACAAAAGGTAGGCCAGCGTGTAGCCGAGCAGACTAAATGCAAGGTAGAGAGAAGGTTGTACTTGTGGCCCTGTGCAAAGTAGCGAACTTGCAGATGGAGCGGCAGTCGAAGCAGGATCCAGCAGCGTAACGACAATCGAGTTGAAAATGTTTGACGGGCGAAACGTTCCATGTCCTTCGCGCCTTGCTCGCTCCTCCTGCTGCGTAAATCGTTCGTATGCGTACGCGTGGATGGCTTGCGACTGGCATGCTGCTGAAGACAAAAACGTGCTCAAGATCGGAAGATAGAGGACACTCTATGGGAACGTCAATAGATATGGACTGATTAGGGTCGTGATCATTCAGCAAAAGTATATGCGTAATAGTAACCGATGTGGGTGAAATTCTCTGCTTTTTAGGGTTCATGGACATGACCTTACAACGACAGGAATAAAACAGCTCACCCAACCAACACTTATGGTTGGCCAGTGTGGTTTCCCTTCACGGCGTAAACGCCTACACCGCCTATTCCATCCATGGATGCTAAGCGCCACAATCCAGCCAATCTGAACGACGACAAAGCACGACCAAAACCGTAGAAGATACCAATCGTGGGTGTTGATAGAGGGCTGCAGACCAAGACTGTTGACCACCTGCATAACAATGTCACCATCTCCTGCCATATCTTCCCGAGGTGGGTACGTCTTAAGGGAACCGTCCTCAGTAGGAAGCGAACCGATGGAACTTGTTGTATTTGTCGTATTGCTTCCGGGAACAGACAGTCCATGCGAGATCAGTCCTGCGGCCGTATTCACAAGACGGTTTCGTATGTTCTCCAAGTCGCTTTGGGCCAACGACGCTAGAGAGCTGTTTGTCATCAGAGCTGTAATGTTCGGTAGCCAAACCGGCAGATTATCGGCGATCCAGTCGGTCGATATACTGATATTTTTTATCCAAGGCGCTGCTAACGCAGTGGCATTATCCAAGAGCGGCATGTTCTGCCACCAATCAAACAGTTGCTGCTGCCCGAAGGTTCTGGTAGATCCTTCAGAAGACCTTGGTGTCGAGTCATTTCCCACAATCCTACTAGTTCTTGTTGTGTCGTTTGAATTGTGAAGTGTGAAACTAAATATTGTGCTGTTGCCCAGAGAGAGCATGCCATCGTGGTAATGTAGTCTTGAGAAGTTGGCGGGCGCGTCTTGACCTGTCGATGCTGTTGCATCTCGGAAAACATTAAGAACAACCTCGGCGCTCTCATACATATCGTTGGTTTTCTCTGCTTGATTGTAAAACTCCATCAACTCGCGTAGTGGAAATGAAAAGAGCTGCAGAAACTCTATCACAAGGATCCCGACCTGCAAATAGTTGAACCAAGCTAGAAACGACATGGACCTGAACTCTGGCGAACAGTCAGCGTCGTTATCGCCATTTTCATCATCACCATTGTCTTTTTTACGCTCCTGGTGCTGCTCCTTGGTGCTGTTGTCCACACTTTGAGCGCATTCGGGGCGTTCATGTTGGAAGAGATACTCTCCTGGATATATGGGGCCCGAGTAATCATAAAAATCATCAGCCCCTTTGAGATTTTCGTGGCTACCAGAGCTAAGGATGTTGCATCGCTCTATTGTCTCCCTTGTCTCATGCTCATTCTGTTTGTTCGGGATTATGGTTGTTGGCGTATCCTCTTGCAAAATATCCGCCTCGTAATCCCGTCGCCGAACGTACACGCGTTGTCGCACGAGAACGAAGCCATTGATACCAGTGACAAATATAAAGATCCCATGCTCCATGAGTTGGTCCCCAAAATCCTTGATTCCGAGCGCGATTTTCATTACATGTGCCACGACGCTGTCCATCAAACTGTCGCCTTCCTCAGTATTAAACGTCCACGGCGCCTCATTCGAAAGGCCGTCCTGAGCCTTCAGGTTAGCCCCTACTATAAGGGCGGCGCCTGCGAAAATGCACCCAATAAGACACCAGCCAACGACGAACTCCCAGAGCCTCTCGCCAGCTAGCTCCTCAAGAGACCGGTCCAGCTTTGATCCGCACGCACTGTCGCCTTCCACCTTGCGTTCAGCCACTTGGTCGCCTGTACCAGAGCCGTGATTGAAGACCGGCACCGAGTCCTGGACCTCCGAGCGTTCCGTGCGCTGTTGTTGGTGTCGCCGCCATATTTCGTCCATCGCTGTCTCTTCATCATATTCGGCCCTTGAGGTTGCCGATGTCGCTCCATCCTTATTCTCCCGCATGTGAGAACTGATCTGGTACTGTCGCTGAGTTTTCCGCTTGCGGATGTTGTCCCTGCGCCGACAAGGTCGCAGGCCATCCATCAGACATCGTGTTTGAGCAGCCATGGTTTCTACCAAGCGGTCCGCCTCGCTCTGTGCCTTGAACCATAACGCCAACCTTTGAGAAGCAGGGGTTGTACAGCGGCTTATAAAGAGATAAAGAACAAAGGCCGCGAGCAGGAAGAAGACCAGAACAAAAAACAGAAGGAAAGTTAGCCTTGAAGTTTCCATGATAGCGTGTATGTTCGGCCAACAGGCGTATGGTGTGAAGAAAGCGAATAATCTAGATGGGTGTAGTCGGAGAGGGAAGTAGAATAAGGAGGAAGTATATAGGAACGAAAGCGGCTACGAAGATAAAGGGAGGTATGATTCGACGTGGCAGGGAAGATATGAAATGAGGGTTGAAATATTCCACACAACCCTGAACTACCCTAAATGGCGGAGGGCGGGAGAATGTCGGCGAGAAATGGAATCATTGACGACTGGGAAGGTGATAGTGCGTTTATTAAAAGCTCCTGAGTGAGGCACGCATGCCTTCTAGGTACCTCTAGATTAGGCATTTGAAACCGGGATTCTTGGACAGTTAGAAACGGTGAGGCAGAATTCCTTGTATTGGATGATTATGTGGAATTTTTGCATTATTCCTCCACTTGGACCATTCTTTGGGCTGGCCAAAGTCTATGCCAACATGGGTTCGTTAAGGGCGCGCGTGGTCTTTGTCGCTTTCTTTTTGACAGCGATTCTGTCTGGTTGACCTAAGAAAAAAAGGCCGAGAGCCACCGTTTATCAGACTCTGAAGCTGATCTCACTGCTATCAGATGTCCATAACGACTCGTACCAATACCTTGTTCCTCCTGCGTCTGCCAGGATGCTGCTTCGCGTTCCTCTCTGGAAGCCCCAGGCACAGCAGGTAGCATGGCTTTCGTCTCTGTGGCCTATGCGGGATGTACAAGAGCGAATGCGTAGTGGTTGACGTGAATTTACAAGTCTTAAATGCAATACATGCTGAAGCTTTATCCGAGTGCTGCAACAACGTCCGTACCACCATTTCGTCCAGCTCCCGTTCAATGTCCTCTTCCTCGGCAACAGACAAACGTGTGCTGAGCATCTCATCAATCTCGTTCTGATACTCAATACTTTCAGCGGTCTCATCCATCAGTCTCTCTACATCAGAGAGTGACATTTCTTTATGTAGCTCCTTGAGTACTTGGTTTCCTGCTGCTAGGCCTTCAAACACTTGCTTCTCAACCAGCGCCTGCTCAATAGAAAATGTCTATTTAGCGAGTCAAACAATCAAATGTTCTAATTAGTCGAGGTGTCTGATAGATATAACATTGACACGCACAGCAGAGCCAAAAAGAGCGCTTGACAGCTTGAGCAAGGGTTTACCAATTCGTCCAAGTTTGTCATTTGCAACTGCGTTTTCTCTAGCAGTCCTTCCTGGAACTTTTTCCGCCGGAGAGCCAGGAGGGCACGCTTTTTGTCCCCTTTGGCGAGATAGGTCTTGGCCATCTCCTGTTCCTTTGCGATAACAAGGTCCAGCTATCGGTTTTCATCAACAAAGAATGCGTTCAGGAGAGCACTCAAGCTGGCTTACACCAGCAGAAGGGAATGTGTAATGCCATACCCTCTTGTTGTACTGCTTCAACTTGTCCCTCTGGACCTTGAGGTCGAGGATCGCCCTGTCATGAGCCGTTATCTTGTTGGCTTTGGAGGTGGTCGTACCCATCGCTTTCTTCGTGTGTTCTGGAATGAGTGATGGGTGAATGAAGGGTCATGTTTGAAAGGGTGCATTCACCGCCATGGCATACAGACCACGTGCTAATACACCTTGATTGGTGGCGCAAAGGCATTCAGGTCTATCCTAGGGGCTGGCCTACAATGCCTACTGAGCTGGATGTCTTGAGAGAATTCATCTCCTTGTGCGCCCCGTTCCGTAACAGTCGTCTCTTAATTCTTACAACTGCTTGCCTTGGCGATCAGCATGCCCTTATGGAACAATCTTTGACAATGACAGAGAGCAGGAATGGACTCGACTCGGCCTTTGTCATTCTCAGCTGCTAGAGTTCGTTACTGGATCCATTGCAAGTCGCCAAGATTTAGAATGCTTAGTCATTGTAATCGACTTTCAGCAGCGAGGCGCCCTCCGCAACTGCCTCGAACTTCATATAATGCGGCATGTACGACCAACAGCAGTGAGCAGTTTCATGGTGACGGCCAGGCGCCCTATTGTGCCATCGTTCGGTCGGTACTTATAGTGGCTATGCATTGGATCAGAATACCGCCGATCCCACCGAGATTTTACAGGCGGATCGTGATGGCATGTATTCTTTGGAACCCTAGCCTGAGAGGTCGCGACAGCGGGCCTTCTCTCGAGAATATATACCCACCTTCGGACCGCCATATGTGAAGACGATCTGGCTCAATCCTGCAAGAGACGGCCTCAACAATTCATGAGCTTGATTAAACAGAGTCTACAAAGCGACCAAGACCGACGGCCAATGTGGTATACCATTCCTTCTCAGTTAGATGCTTTCGATGCAGAAGTCTTTGATACCGTAATGGACGTCAGTACCAATAGTAAACAGCTCGTTTACGCATGCGGCGTCCCAATCCAGATGCTATGCGCCTCGTTCGATGACGATAAGCCCAGGGTCGTCAAAATGATGGACTCGCTTCTTTGTTAACGTTTTACAGGAAGAAGCCCCAACCCACCTTATCAACATCACGAACGCATCTGACAAAAAGTTGTTTTGTGATTTGATCATGCGTACCAGCGCTTGCTTCTTTAGTCTATGCATATCCTCCGACACTCAAAATGACCCTGCCTTTTGCAGTGTCTCGTCCCTTTCCGTGGTGTTGAACGCGCTCGAAATCGATCCAAGGGCAGTGGTATGGCCTCTGACACTAGTACTCGTAGGAATGGACTGCTGTGCAAGCGTGGATAAGATGGGGCCCAGTAAAATGTCGTTGTGAAGAGAGCCAACCGCCCAGCCTTGGAGGAGCTTCGACGCGATATATAGGTAATCGCGAGTACAGGAGCATCCCACTCGGCGCTTTCGTTACCAAAGGACGCGCTCGGCAGACGCGCTCGGACTGATGGGCTCGGGTCAGGAAACTAGCGTAGAGCTACGAATACTAGGCAACCTATGTACATGTACATGTCTAATCCAATTAGCGGCTATCGCGTAGCAGAGAATAAAGCCCTCGTACTCGACTATGCCCAGAGACTCCAAAACAATAAATGCAGCCTCATGTGATATAATATCCTTCTGTCACCAACAATCGTTTATTTTACAATAGGTCGCAGCAGCTATATACAACTTCATTTTTCTACGGCTTGAGGGAATCTATTCGTCAACGAAAATTGTAAAAGTGTGCTAGAGACGAGCAAGATGGATAGGGGTGACAATGGTAGAAGAAAGTTTGTTAAAAGAAAAACGGCGAGATGAGCTAGAATACATTGCGTATGACGAGGCGGACATATTCAGAGTAGATCCCAAAAAAAAAAAAAAGACGGAGATTATCTTTTGGAAAGACATTCTGTATATTCTGCTACAGACGTCGGACGTAAAATTGGAAGTATGCGAGACACTTACTTTGTGGAGGGCAACAGTTGCTTTAACATCCCAGAATCCTCGCAGCAACAAGACCTAGAATGACTGTTGTCCATAGCATCCATAGCACCTGGGACTGATAAACATAAAAAAAAAAGGAGAATACTTGTAGATGCCGCCCCGTTCACAACATTGAGGACAATATGAGAAATGGGCAGCAAGTCGGCGAGGATAAAAAAAAGGTCAAAAGATGATGGTGACGCTGCATTCACCAATTCTTCGGGCTCTCAAGCTTGAGGAACAATTGGCGTGCTTGGTGCAGACACATCATTCTTCACTATAGGCGAAGCTATGGTTGCCGGGGTCTCTACGGTGTCCGCAGGCGTCGAGAGTGTCGCGTCAGATAAAGCACCATTCTGGCCCACAGAGCCGCGACGCTTCTTGGTAGGGGGTCTAGTATCCACTGCAGTCGATTTCTAAAAGTGTTTTGTGCGCAAAGGTCGATGGCAGCGTGAGTATTCTTTCCTTGTTAAATATACAAATACGATCCCCACTGTGCACAAGATCAGGTCAGTGTCTCGAATTTTACCTTGCCAGACTTTGATCGCTTCGTCTTCTTTTGATCCACATCGTCGAGCACTTCAGCTGGAAGAGCGGCGCTGGATAAAAAACCCCCCCCCTCCTGAAGTTAGGACACGGATTCCCTGCATACGACAAGTTCCTTTCAGCACCGTGTACATACCTGCGGATGTGTTGAACCACAATGCCCATCGATTGAGAGTCAAACTTGTCCCAGGATTTGACCATATCTGTAAACTCATCCTTTGGCCTAAACAAATCCAACTTTCTGTGGCCCGTGGATCCGGCTAAGGCACATTCACAGGCAAACACCTGCTAGGTTAGTAAAGATTACTCGTACTAATACAGCAGAATAGTGAAGACCACGTTGCCGCAGATATACCTTCGCGAGCTGGAATACTCAAACCGATATAGTAGGTCGAGATATACATGGTGTGCGGCTCGGCAGATTCTGTACTGAGGTCCTTTTGATCTGCCGACGCTGCACGGGTAATTCCATGTGCCGCATCCTCCCTTTCAGCTGCTGTCCTGTACTGGATCGTCTTCGAATAGCCCTTAATGTAAGGATGTGCCAGCACCAAGTTTTCAACGCGCTCCAACTTTGTGACAAGATGTCGTATCCTGGACTCTACAAAGCCGGACCATCGCAAGTGCCGCTCCTCCGAGTCTGATGAAGCGATGACCTGGATATAGTGGCGATAGCGCGAAAAAAAGTCGTCCTTTGCAAACAAAGTGGACCAAGGAATGCGCTCTACGATGATCCTGTTGACCAGCTCGGCAGCTAGAATATATACAACGTGCCAATACGGAGAGAGATCAATTTGCGATATCTGGAAACATCAAGATTAAAGAGCAGTAATAGCTCGAAACATACCTTCTTTAAATTCAGACAGCATAACAGATTTAGTGGAATCCGTGACATTGTGGGTTGAGCACATCGATGGATATGCAGGAGTGATAATCGGCATCTTATGGGCCTTATCCGCAGGATAAAGCTTTGGATTCCACACTCGCACTTGCAGGGGTCCTTCCTCAATTGGTTTCAGCAGCACGGGCTGCGGCCAGGGCCTAGACAATATAATAGAACGATGTGTGTAAACAGCAGGATCCTGTTAGTTACTATGCCTCGAATTCTATAATGTCATATATGCACGTGGTGCTTACCATTGATGAAGAATGGAAAAGAATCTCGAGATTATGGTGGCTGCACAGGCATTTGGGTAAAGCTGACACACCCTTGCGACCAACATGGCCCATGCAACACCGCCCAAGAATCCCATCATATTGGAGTAAATGGCACGTCGTTGAGCCCACAGTTTGACACATCGCAAGGCCATGCGAAAGGCTGGAATGTTGGGGACCAGTCGGAGAATTTCGTCCGTCACGCGGGATCCGTTCACAGAACGAATGCACCGGTCATCTAGATTGCGGAGCAAACTATCGTCAGACAAGTCCAGAGTGTCCGGTATGGTCGATAAGCCGAGTCGTGCAAACGTGAGATCAATCTACCAGGCAGCGAGTAGAATGGAGGGTTAGCTCAGACGAAGGGTGGCGAAACGTAAAACTGAATACTGGCAATTCTGAACTTGCAGGAATTTCAGAAAACTTCATCTTGATGACAGGTGTAAAAGCATCAGGGACTGCGGTAAGCTCGGTCACTTCTGAACGACGGCGGAGCATATCGTGCATCACATCGAAGAAGTCTTCGCGCTCCACATGCTTTGGAACAACACAAAGCGTATCGATATCGGACCCTACACGGTTTTACGGTAGTGACCAGGGTATTAGCAAAGCAGGTCTGCAAAATCTTCCTGGAGTCCGATTTCGATAATTTATTCCTTTGTGCAAATCGGTATGAGTCGGTAAAGACCCTTGACTTGCCTGATCCATGCACGCCAAGTCGATAAGAACCAAACGTGAAGATCTTGCCACCAGCCTCTCTAGCTATTGATTCTGGGTGATTCCTGCGCACGCTGACAACGTAGACAAATTCCTTAACCATTTTGTCCAATTTCCCAAGAACGATCTCTCTATTTTAATTGATAAACAGCAACACCAAATGTCAGCTATTGCACTGGATCGATTTGCAGCGCATATTTCGAATAAGGCAATTGACTCAGCGACGTTGGATTGATTTCTTGCCTTCGTCGACTCTCTTCTTCTGACTCAAACAGTCCTTGACTCTTCAGCGTCTGAAGTAGCCTCTCCGTGCTCTCCTGATCCTCTGGCGTCGGAAAGTTTTCAGAGATGGGCATGGTGACACCCAGATGCCGTCGCTGTGATTTTCTAACGTGTCGACAAATAGCGAATGTCAGTCGCACATAAAGGATTAATAGCTTTTCGAGGTCAGATCATTCCAAGACACATTCTTACCCATTCTGATTAGTGCTCATGCTGTGCGTGAAACCGACGGTTGTGCTGAGGTGGTACCCAAAGAAAGAAAAGAGGGGATGAAGCTGATGGGCGATGAGGGCAAAGTGCAAAAGTGCAAATTTATTTTTAAGAGGACATACACACGTCAGCCACAGAATAGGTGAGCTATGGCAAATGGTGCAGCTGACAACGCTGTCCTTGCCAAAGGAGGGAGTCCTGGTCGAGGTTTGCAGCTAGCTCGCTCAGCACCATCGATGATTTTAAGAGGCCCAAGGTGAATCCCCTCTGCGTACCAACACCAATTGATGGCTCCTGTATCGTCCCTATGGGTCGTGACAAGGGGTGATAGATGCGTCCTGTTGACATAGAAACTCTGAGTTGATCAGGCAGGAACGGTGTTCGCAACGTGCCTCCCCAGAGCAATTGACCTATGAATAATGTGCACACATTCATTTTGTCACTTGCGGGTATATCATGGAGACCCTCATAGGGAACTGTTTGAATTGATCATGTCGAACTGACCTTCCTGCAGGCTGTGGAAGACAATTGGGGTGTCAGCAGCTTCGACGAAGTTCATCTCCTTGCCACAAGGGCTCAGCCAGGGGTATTCGGGGAAATGTGCTGTCGCATTGGGCTTGATGCGATTGATAAAGAAATCGAGGAACTTTGGGTCTTTGTAGCAGGAGACGAAGTTCTTCGGACGGGTGTCTTGAAGAAAGACCTGGCCGTGGATGTCGATGAAGTAGAAGTACGGACGAATGCCTTTGGCCTTCAGCTGCTTCACTGTCTCTGGTGCAGGGATCTGTCCGCGGTCATAGAGAGAGAGGGAAGGGGCTTCGCCCTGTTCGGTGTGTTGTGTAGATAGGCGTCTTGAGACAAATGGATACTGTTGACTGAGAGATGATGCTGAAGGACGAGTCCATGCAGAGGAGAACATGGGCATGGGCATGTGGAGAGCACGAGTAATGACGCATGGGTTGAGTGCCATGGACAGGACCATCATCCTGCTCGTCGTTGTCGCCATGCTTCGTGTCGCGATCAAGTTAAGAGGACAAGATCTCTACGCCAATCATTGGGAGCACAAACGAAGTGTTTCATGTACTCCCCTTGATCGTTTTGAAAGAGCACGTTATTTTGTTGTCAAACAGTAACGGTTCGACATACAACCTGTCTGGCATCCAGCTCGGACCATTTCAAGGGTCGAGGGCAGCCTACTCATGAGGTACAGACAGCACAGGGCAGGGTAGCCGGGCTGTAATGGCGCTTCATTGGAAAGTTTTGTGACACCTTGATACATCAGCAAATGAAATAAAACGACCAATTATTACGTTTGAGGATCCAATCAGGCACCCATCAGACACTAAAGCTCCCTCTTTTGTTCTTATCACCTCACCACCATCATCCATGGATGATTCGCTGCAGTGCTTCCTCCATTCTGCACCCTGTCTTTGTCCGTTGCTTCCCCATCACCCCTTTTTCTTTTCCCACCTCTGCTTGGTTTCTTTTTGAGTGCACTCACTCTAAAATTTATTTTCTTTCAGGTTTGGCTAAATGTTTTTCTGAAGCGGTAGAAGATTTGGATGCGTAGCTGCGCACTAAAATAGACATGCTTCCGTTATACTGTGAGTAGGTGCCCTAACCTCAAGCCAATTGCTTCTCCCCTTGTTTCTTCCCTCTTTCTCTCCTCACTCCCTCTCCCTCTCCGTGTCCCTCTCACTCTTTCCCCCATCGCCAGTTGCCCATCATTCTCTCGCGAATCACTAAGCGTCTGAGCGATACCATCTCCGAAATGACCGCAACCACTAATCCTCGCGCCCGTAACTTCAATGCCGGTGAACAGTACGAAATTCTCGACGTCGTTGGTGAGGGTGCCTATGGTATCGTCTGGTAAGAAAAAAAAAATGCGTTGTCCAATATTGTTGTTCTTGCTGTTCAGGCACGGATGAGCAATCTGTCACTATGTTGTCCAGCCAGGATGTCCAACGGCTCATCTCGCTCACACCGACCATCTGTTTTTCTGCAATCTACCCAGCTCGGCCATCTACAAGCCCACAGGACAAAAGGTCGCCATCAAAAAAATTACGCCCTTTGACCATTCCATGTTCTGTCTGCGGACCCTGCGGGAGATCAAGTTGCTCAAGTACTTCAATCATGAAAATGTAAGGAGGGCGCCTGGAGCACCTAGTCCCAGACCTAGTGTATCAACTGAATGTTCGAGATGCATCCAACGCCTTGGATACGGTGCTGTAGCTTGCTTAATGGCATCGAAGCAGCTGTGGAAGGGTTGTCGAGAGAAAGCAATGGCTTCAGGGAAACATCTGCCGAACTACGGGTGTCTTTTCAATTGTGGATGGACTAACTGGTTGACAATATCTCATTTAATTCATGGCAGATCATTTCTATTCTGGATATCGTCAAGCCGCCGTCCCTGGAAGCCTTCCAAGAAGTGTGAGTAATAGTCTTTCATGCGTCGTTGAGAACCATGGCCGCTCAGTTCATCGCATATCTAACTATGCTTTTTTTTTTCTAAAAAAAATGGATCAGATACCTGATTCAGGAGCTGATGGAAACAGATATGCATCGTGTCATCAGGACTCAGGACTTGAGCGACGATCACTGTCAGTACTTTATCTACCAAACCTTGCGAGCACTCAAGTGCATGCACTCTGCCAATGTCCTGCACCGCGATCTTAAGCCAAGTAACTTGCTCTTAAACGCCAATTGCGATCTCAAGGTAATATAGTCGCTCGCGTTTGATTATGATCCCTTTTGAACATATTTGTGGCACTTCATGAGCGCCATGGTTCCCAATGCGTACTGTACTCTTATTCATCCAGCATCTTTGCCTCCGGTTAGATCTGTGATTTTGGTCTTGCTCGCTCGGCCAATTCAAATGACGAACACAGTGGATTTATGACTGAGTATGTGGCAACCCGCTGGTACAGAGCACCCGAGATCATGCTTACGTTCAAGGAGTACACGAAGGCCATTGATGTCTGGTCAGTCGGATGTATCCTTGCGGAGATGCTCAGTGGCAAGCCCCTCTTCCCTGGACGCGACTGTAAGTTTGAATATGGTGTCTGGTGTATTAAGTTGTTACACAACAGGATGAGAGCGATGTTCTAACTGTGTTTGGTCTTATATGATGGTTGGCATTAGATCACTCTCAATTGAACTTGATTTTGGACGTACTGGGCACACCGACGATGGAGGATTTCTATGGCATAAAGTCCCGTCGTGCCCGTGACTATATCCGCACGCTTGCGTTCAAGCGAAGGATCCCGTTCGCATCGATGTTTCCGGATGCGAACCCGCTTGCGCTTGATTTGCTGGAGAAATTCTTGACATTCAACCCCGTCAAACGCATCACTGTGGAGGAGGCACTCCGCCATCCGTACCTGGAGCCCTATCACGACCCTGAGGATGAACCATCAATGGAACCCATCCCGGAGAGCTTTTTCGACTTTGATAAGCATAAGGACAGCCTGTCAAAGGAGCACTTGAAAGGCAGGCATTTGCATTCGAATGTGTATTCCAGTAAACGATGGTAATGCCCGCATGCATCTCAATATTAACACACCATTCTTCATTTTTGTTCTTATTTTATAGAACTGATATATAAGGAGGTTACTGGAATCAACTGAATCAGCCTGTAGGACTGGGGAGCGAAGAAGGAATGCACAGCTTGCGCGGGGGATGTTCCTGGCTGCAAAGGATCATTGATATCCTTCGCGCGCACGACCATAACCCAAAACATAATGAATAAAAAAGACAATGGTACATCTATGATCCCCTACCGTATACAAAGATCAGAGATAGACACGAAAAAAAAGCAACTATAGGATGCAGCAGATGTGACCCTATCTTGTCCCGAATGTCCTGTTTCTGTTCTGTTCTGTTCCTGCTCCTGTGTTGTGTTACAAGGGGGGAAGAGGGGGGGGGGGGGGGGGAAGGAGGAGGGGGAAGGTGCCCATTAATGAAGTGGGTCTGTTTGCGGTATCTCTTCACCGCACTTTACTTCCTCGCTTCATTCCCTACATTCCTTCGTTTGCTTGGCACCGGTATCCATCATCCCATTCATCATCCATCATCCATCTATCCCTTCAGGTGCTCCACTCTCTCTCTTTCTCTTGCTCTGTCATCAGTATCATCTCCTTCTATCCATCATCATCATCCCCACCTGTTGGTAAGTAGGTAGCTATGTTGTGTGTACAAATGTGTACCCTTGGAGGGGGCTAGATGACCATCTTCCCTCCCCCTCTTTTTTTTTTCTCTTCTTTGCATCACAAGACTGTCTGTGTTATTGGCTGTTGTTGATGGTTGTATGTGTATAAATACCGTATGTCGTATGTCGCATACGTCTGTTATTCTGATGGTTGTCGTGCGCGTGGCACGTTCTTGTTTGTTGATGGAGAACAGATGAATCTCCATCCCATTTACAATTTGTCTTTTGGCTCTATTTTTCTGCTTGTTGTACCCGTGTCTACTGTCCTTGTATGTACCCGCTTCCCTTCTCTCTCACACCTTGCGGTGCTCTTTACTTCTCTGTTCTCACCCACTCACCTGTGCCTTTTTTCTTCCCTTTTTTATTTCTTATCTCTCACTGTATCTCTTCCTCGCCCACTCTTCCTGTTCCACAGACGTACTCTTCGCCCATCTTCACCATAAAAAACATTCACCATGTCGACCCCAAAGAGTGCCTCTTACGATTATCTCATCAAGCTGCTGTTGATTGGCGACTCTGGTAAGTACCAAGCACTTAATACTGGACTCACTCTACACTAGATCTTGACCTTGCACACCTGCCGAGAATATTGCTCCTGTGCGCGTCAGTAGGCGCGATAATAGAAAAAACAAAAAAGTGAGGGGCTGGTATGGCCTCAAACACACTCATCCATATTGTGTTCATCATCTTTTTCTCTGTCTGTTAGGTGTTGGCAAGTCCTGCCTGCTGTTGCGTTTCTCTGATGATTCGTTTACGCCCTCCTTCATCACCACCATTGGTATTGACTTCAAGATTCGTACCATCGAGCTGGATGGCAAGCGCATCAAACTTCAGATCTGGGACACCGCTGGTACGTTGTACCTCATTATATCTGGATGTCGCATCAACTGCTCGACAAAAGACTCTGACTATCTGCTTTCTGAATTGGTTTGACTCCATAATAGGCCAGGAGCGCTTCCGCACCATTACCACAGGTACAGACTGTGATTCTTCGATTCTTTTTGACACTGAACAGGACTGAGGATTTTCTTTTCAAGAGCTGTGCTGCTTTCTCGGGCATTTCTGTCACTGCCTATTCGACTCTTGACCCTGACTATACTCTGCTGTATCTTTTGTTCTTGATAACAGCTTACTATCGCGGAGCTATGGGCATCCTTCTGGTCTACGATGTCACGGACGAGCGCTCCTTTAGCAGTATGTTTCTTGGATTGCGCAGTGTACTTTCTTCAGACAACGCGAACAAATGAGCAAAGAATGCCAGAGCTCATCATATCTCGCGCCTATTCTTCCCACGCCAGACATTCGTAACTGGTTCTCAAACATTGAACAGCACGCCAGCGAGGGGGTCAACAAGATCTTGATTGGAAACAAGTGCGATATGCCCGATAAGAAGGTACTGCTCCATGTGTCCCTCTGACGAAGCCAAGGTCGGATTGCCGCTGAATCCTGCTGGCGTTACAATACTCATTCCTGTACCGTGTACCGTGTACTGTGTACTCTAATAATCCCTGTAGGTGATTTCCAAGGATCAGGGTCAGGCCCTTGCGGATGAATTTGGAATCAAGTTTTTGGAGACAAGTGCTAAGTCCAACATCTGTGTCGAGGAGGCATTTTTCTCCCTTGCCAGGTAAGGATTCATAGCTAAGCAAGGAATTGCTATGCACCGAGCATTCTTCCTTTACTGCCGTGTTGCGAAGCCATTATCTAATGATGTTCTGTTTTTTTGTGCACGCGTACTTTGCACTCCTTGTTGCTGCTCATTACCTCACCGCCAACAGGGACATCAAGAAGCGCATGATCGACACCCAGACTAACCAAACGCAGAATCCCAACACTCTGGTAGTGGAGGATAGAAGCGGCAACAAACTCGGAAATGGATGCTGCAACTAGAGTTGGGAACGTTCTGGTCTGTATCAGATGTCCCTAGGAATTTTGTGCAGGGATAGCTGAGAATATACAATATAAGGTCAGAATCTTGTAGAGAGACATCTGTCCAATTGGCAGTGAGAGGCAAATGTGCACAGTAGAGGGAATAAATCAAAAATGAATATTCATTCATAATGGACTTCCAATTGCTGGAGCTATCATGCCGTCTGCTCTTAGACTACGCCTCAAGCCATGTACGTTTGGTAAGAGTGGTGCTTTTTGAAGTGCGCTCAGAAGCCATGACGCGAGTACATGTCCAGCATACGTCCCTCGTGAGCGAAAAGGGAAGTACTAAAACATCCAAGCGCAGAGTGCCAGATCGGCACTATAATATCTTAACGTAGACAAGGTGAGCGTGGAATAGTCGAACGTTCTGCAATTTTCATTGGCACCAGATATCTCCTATGTACGCTCTGAGAGCAGTTAAGCTAGTCATATCCTGCGAACTCTGATGACAGCGCTTTATGCGCTAGTAAAGGAAGAAGGATCTGTGGGATCGGTCGTTCAGCCAATAGGCACGAAGAGCTGGCCGAAGTGCCTTGCTTTGTGCTCCTCGGACATTTCTGCGTCGTCCAAGCACGTCTGTTAGCCTGTGTTCTTTTTTCTATTAGCGAAAACGGAAGTGAGTCCTGATGTACTTGTAGTCATTGATTTCGCAAAAAAAAAAAAAACCAAAAGCTTTGAGAATGGCTGCTATTCTACCATTTTTCTATTTTTCAGTTCAGAAGTACGTTAGCTTTGCCTTCTCCTGCAACTCCACCAAGCATGAAGCCAATTCCTCAAGCCAAGGCCAAGGAAGCCACAAGACTGTTTCACGGGTAGTGATAACACCAAGAGTTTTCAACAAGCGAAAGTTTGAAATAAGTGGGAGAGGACGAAGCTGCCTCATTCCCAAAAATTAATATTTTTATCAGTTTCGGCAGTAAGTGGTGGTCTGAGGTGCTTCTGCCAGCAGAGTCCATTCCAAACACAAGGAGAACACGCAAGTAACAGGGAGGACGTCCCAGAAAGGTCTCAGCCAAAACAGTGGAATATCTCGAAGTCAATATAAAGCGCGGTCTCCTCAGGAGAGCTTATGATGTTCAGAAAAAAGGTTGCCGATTGCTTCCACAACCTGTCTCTACTTCAACAATTCGGCGATGCTTCAAGGAATCTGGGTTGGGGGCGCCAAAAAGACTCAAGAAATAGCAGCATTCAATAAATTCAATAAAGATATACATAAACGGTGCCTGCAGAGACGCGGACCATATGATAACATTGCACCCAGGCGCAGTACCGGACGAGCAGGAACAACATTTACACAAATGCTGCATAAGACAATACTTCTACTTTTTTGTGCGTTAGTTCGACACTCAATCTTTGGCCCTTAGACTGCTGCTTTTTCTTGGTAACGAAGGTTCCGATGATGTTTGGGCGGTGTCGGGGAGCATGATGATGATGGTATGCATACAGAGGTATGGTGTAGGTGTGTGCAGAAAGGCCGAAAGATTCATAAAGCTTTCAGAAACTAATAATACCTTCAACGTTATGATGAATGCGCCACAAGTGTTGCCTTCAGAAGTTGGGACAGGAGCAGAAGTATGCAGGATAAGAGAATCAACGTCCAGATCAGACTGGGCAAGGCTGCTGGGCAAAGTAAAAATTAAGGCCCACGAAACGCGCCAACAATGCTCGCGCTAGCACTGGTGCTCTTCCTCTCACTGACCCCATTGCCGTTGCCGGTAACAGAGTGTACAACCCGTTTTATTCGCTCCAAATCTTCATTGATAACCATCCGTGTATTATGGACCTAGTATTCAACCGATTTTATTTTTTCTGATATTTTCCAGTACGATGCGTCTAGGAATACCTTGCTCTCATATGATCAACATCTTTATAGTGGAAAGTTCAGTAGCTCACCCTAATCATCACCTCCGTTGGCCCATGACCCTTCGAATTGAAATCCCTGATGCCTATACGGACATCTCTCTTTGTTGCGCTCTTCGTTAGCGCGACCGTACACACCAATAAGATGTACAGTAGGCGTCTAAAAGGATAGCATCAGACTGTTAGAATATGAATGATCGATTTGGCATCTATTACTCGGAATAAAAGCTCGTGAAGCGCCAAAAGAGATGGGGACAAGTCGAGTCGTGCTGCCTTCCATTTCAAGAGTATTATAACATTGCTTTATTCTGTACCCCAGCACAAGCCAACACGATGTATACATGGCACAAATGGTAAACGATGGATTGTAAATCGGTGCGAGCCCCAGTGAAAAGAGAAGATAACGACAATCCATGGAAACCTTACCTCCAATAACCAGCTCTGACATCAGAACCTCCCGCATCTATCTGGACCTCCTACTTCCGCCGACCTCTTCATCAGTACGTCTTGAAGTTGTCGAGGAAGCCTAAATGTGTTTTCGTGAATATACTTCTGGCCCAGATCATCCCAGTCTTTGCAGCCCCACCAATCGCCTATTCTTTCCCGGACGCACGCGGCCAAATAAGATTTGCTAAAACTTCCATATTCTTTTTTATTATATGCGGCACGATGTCCACCAAGCGGTCCTTATTACGACGCGTCGTAGAGTCTACACCGGTCATGTTCTCTACGAGCATAAAACATCCAAGAACTTCTTTGCCCGACTGACTGCAAACAGCTCATGCTTGCGACAGCCGGCATAACTCAGGCAGGCTGCTTTCTGTTGCGAAACACCTAGAGACAGACAGATCTTGAATATATTCATGGAGACTACTACATGAAAAAATAAGACACCGCACTTATCACTTCTCCAGGCACATACAGACTAGTGATTCCCACCAGTGAACGGTTAACCGTGATGAACAATTTTTTTGAGATCTTTTCACCGGTGAATTTCACATATGAATGGTAGTAGAGTGAGCTACTTTTTCCCATGGACAGGGACAACTTTTTTTTAAGTGTAGGATAGTAGGGAAACATGATAGCAGCAGTTCTTTCTTTAGCCTCCCTCTACATCATGTCTTTGTACTCGGATGGCGAGAATGGGTTCATACCTTTGAGAGCGCGGCAAGCCCAGAATCATCCTTTGTATGGACGGCTTCTAGTCAGCCATCAACAGTGACTCCGGCGTCATCTGTGAGCCAGCCATCAAAGCCAGACCCAATTAACTTGCCGACAGCAGTTCCAATCATAGTCCACAGCATGTTTCTTACACTTGCAACGTGGACTGATCCAGCCTTCATGGCAATAGGCCTTTGGAATGGCCATCTGGAGGCTCGTTGCACTTTTCACAATAATGAACGATCTTGGCGCCTTTTCTGTCTTCAACCAGGATATACCTCTCATTTCTCGGTGTTGTCTTCCGCTACCCCCTTGACATCACAATTCAGAGGTCGCCACCGCGCAATATTCCTTGCAGTCGAGGGGAAGGACAAGGCATCCTCAACTACCATAGTCCAAACAAAAAAAAAGCCAATCTACCCCTGTCTGAAGCTAAGTGTGAAATGATCATCACGGATATGCTTCTATTCACTACACTGGACTCCAGTGTCCTTCGAGAGCTCTTGGGTCATGGTAACCCCTAGCGAGACTCCCTAGTGCAGCTACTATTCGATGAGAATTAGCGATGCATCGCGTTCAAACCCTCCTTTTTGGATGCATTACAGCCGATAGCTGGAGCAGCCGCTCCAACAAGCCTTACTTGGATATAACTCTCCACTGGATTGACAACGACTTCAATGCACTTGAGTGTACTCTGGAGATGATACCACAACCATATCCTCATACAATATCTGCCACAGCTCGACTTATTAGTAAGTCATTAGGATTTCTCTCAAACACTGTGCCTTGTTTGAATTCTTCATGAAACGTGGCACTATAGTTGATCATTTTATCTATCTCTAGGAGGGATCATTGGTCCTGCTAATTGGAACATCCAGGAAGCCATTACTTCAGCTACCACAAACAGTGCGCCAGTCATGCAGAAGACCACCGAGATCCTTGGCATGCCTCGTTTCCCTTGCGTCGTACATGGTTTACACAACTGTGAGAAGTTTGCATTGACAAGCTCTACAGAGCTTCAGGAATTGACGATAAAGTGCCACTCTTTTCCACATTAGTCCCAAGATGGCCCAGGCATTACAGCAAGAGCAAGAATTGATCAACCGCGATGTCCCTCCAGTGATTGTGATCATGGGCGTTGTGATACGATGGAACAGCACACTGCTGATGCTCCAGCGGCTCCTGAAACTCAAGGTGACCATTGAATCTCTGCAGTTTACGGTAAATCCTCCGCAGCTGGACAAGCAGCTGAGGATAAACTCACAAAGATGCGGCTGAAGACATGGGAATGGGATCAATTGGAGCAATTGGTCAGCATCCTTCAGCCATTTGAAGACATGACTCTAGTCTTCAGCTCCACTTCGAGTGGTCTTGCTGCTTATGTTGCACCACGGGTGGTGGGATTACTGAATGAACTGGAAAAGGAGGATATCCCTCATTTTGATGCATTGAACCAGTTCTGGCTAGAGTTCATTGCAAAAATGGAGACACGTCCTCTGATTTCTGACGCGTATCTTCTGGCATCCGCACTCCATCCAACATTCAACACCCTGTGGTTTCTGGAGGACGAAGAGCGTTTCAAATCGATCAAAGGAAAGCTTCGTGAAGAGTTCAAGCAAGTCGCGCCGAACAGCCCCAAGTGCAACATGAACAGACACCTGACCAAGAAGAAGGACAAGATGATTTATCTGGGCTATACAAGCTTCTCAAGCGGCGACAATAGCAGAAAGAGATAGATGGGTTTAGTGGCGGCGGGTCCCTTAGTGGGCTCGGTTGTTACTTTGATGTTGATCTGAAAGACACAATGGTTGACCCTCTTCATTAATGGAGAGATAACCTGCATGCTTTCCCATTGATGGCAAAGTTAGCTCGAAAATATCTTGCCATACCTGCAGCTTCTGTTGCATCTGAGCGGATGTTCAGCTTTTCCGGCAACGTCGTTACAGACAGCCGCAGCCGCCTTGCAGATGACACTTTCGGCGGTCTTGTATTTTGCAATTATGCCACCAAGTGCCTTCAAGTGGTCAATCAAACAAAAAGTGGATAGTCTTCTATATTTTCTACATCGATTTTCGATAGCCATTGTGCAGAGCGTGAGAATCACTACTTTCCAGATATACAACTACTGGCACCTTGATGGAGATATTGCAAGCTATCTATATAATAAGTCCATTGATACGAGGGATCTCCTGCTCATCTCGAATAAGAATCATGGCAAGCTATAAACCGCCATGTAGTCATCATATGCCACACCTACTATTCTAGCCATAGTGACCCTAACGGTCATCGTATCACTACGAAAGGTACGATCACAATGGTCGATGGTGTCTTGATTCATATCAGCGACATAATGGTCCTTGTGACTCAGGACAAGAGTAGCAAACACGCGCATCAACATATCTAAATCCATAACATAAGCGTCCGTAGACATACTCTAGAGGAATGAAGTTAAGAAACTTTTCTACAAAACCCACAGCGCGTAAAGCCGAGACGGGTCAATAAACATGAATATAGGGTATTTCTTGCCAAGTATTTGCATGATAACATATATTACCGAATATCATCACATTTGCAATATTGACATTCCCCTGTTGACAGCGTAATCGGTAGCGGAGTGTGCAGATTTCTACTGCAAACTTGGTTGAATCACACCTCTGGCAATCAATATATTATTGATCTAGTCAGTGTTCAGCATAGCATTAGAGCCCGCTCAGAACCCAACGCCAATACCAAGTCATTGCGCTTAGAGAAGTGTGCCTAGCTGCAGTGGCTTGCAAAACTGTCTGGATGACTGCAACTTCCCCTACTCATATTAAACGTCGCTACTATGTCCGCTATTGACTTGCAAACAGTCCTGAAAAAGGATGGCCTTCTAGCGTTCCTGCTTGCCGAGTGATAGCGGCTACAATTACAAAATTAGAGGCATCCGGATAATTTTGGAATCCACTGTAACTCATCCTTACTCTCTTTAAGACATCTTGGGTCGTCCTCTGTCTTGTCATTAGTCTTGGTGTAGCGCGACTTTCCCGCTTTTTCGGCCTAACCCTACGTTTGATTCGCTTCTTCCAGAACCTTGGTTTACCATCAACTCTGAGAGGACTCCACGTGTTATATGCTCCTTTCTTTGATGTAGTAGCCGTTTCCCAGTCCTCCTCTCCGAAATAGAGCTCCAATTCCCCGATACTTGTTAAAATCATGGCAAGCCTCTATCCTACCATCGAAATTTGATAGAGTAGGAGTTTGAATGAAATATCGCTATGCGGTTTGAAAAGTTATTATGAACCACCGGATACGTTGTCGGTCGCATTGGTTTTAATAAAGTCATCAAAAGCTGAGAACAAAGCTATTATGTCTAAGACGAGGGGATGATAACAACACAGCATAAAAGATACGAAAAATTGCTTAGTATTGGATAGAAACATGAACAGTGCCTTTTTTTTTTGCGAGGGAAAAATTGACCGGTGAAACAACAGTATACACAGTAGGCGAGGGTGTGAGAGCAAGTGTTGGAATATAATGCGCTGCAGGGAGCTTGGTGGCGCGAGTGCGAGGAGCAGAGGTGTCGATCTAGAAAGGATTGAGAAGTGCTTAGTTGGCCGTAGTGAAGGCGCGTGTGAGAAAACAAATGTACCATGGTGTCAGGCGCCTAACAGACCGCGCTTTGGCCAACAAGCACAGCCCCCGCTCTCACTGCACTGGTCAACCTTAATCTCTTTATGGTGAAAATTAAATTACTTTAGACTAAGAAAATATATGAGAGGTAGGCTTGATACGGTCCTTGTATGGCTCAGGTACATCTTCACTAATACCTTCCATCAACACGAACTGCCCTCTTTTCCACCATTGACCCATTGACTATACCCATTGACCTTATATAACATCGGTATTCCAGGACCTGGACATCATGAGCTCCGAGGGACACCACAGCTGCGAGAACGGTGAAGGCAGTTCAAATTCTATTCGCGCTACTGCTGCCCCCACTACCGCCGAACAAGTCAGGTCTGACCAAATGGATTTTGCTCCGCCAATATCTATCCTATTAACTTCTTGTCCACCTTACACCTGCTCTTGCGTAAGAAGTGAGTAGAATAGAACATAATGCTATTGGACATCTTTTAGAAACGAATCTATAGTGCTCCCGCTATTCAAACCATGGTTGCTGGTGCCACAAGGAGACCAATATACAAAGCTCTTTCTAACAATACCGCGAATAATGCGAGTCCCAAGCAATCTCTCCAAATAACTCTCCCAGTGCCGCATAGGATAGTATAACTAGAACAGCGGCTAGCAAGAGGTATTCGCGCGCGAAAGAAAAAATCTAGTCAGCGGCAGGAGCCAATTAAATATCTGACTACACGAGCGCGAATAGCGTATTCACAAATGGACATCCTCCCCAGAGCTATCCAGAAACAGCAGGAGTGAGCCAATCGTTTAAGTCTTCAGAAGAACGACGTTCAATTGCAAGTTCAGAATCGGCATCATGCACAGTTGACTGCTAGAATGCGGAAGTCCTACACTCGATACCAGGATCTTTGGGTCGTAATTACGGCTTCATAAGCGGACCACGCTATAATCATTCTTTGCCCTGGTCGGCTTAAACATTTTGACAATCTCCATTCTTCTAGAGGCGGTGTACTAGCAAAGAATACGGGCAAGGCTTTGTCGTGAGGGCCAGCAAGTTCCTGCTATTCATGAACGAGAACCTGACATTGGAGTCGAGCTTACCGAATGACGATTCTAAATCACCAGATGCTATGCTCCCGCTGTGAGCAAAGTCCAGGAACAAAGGAGTCGTAGCTCGTCTCGACTTTGAATGCTATAAAAACGCTAAGCCCATCTATGTGGGACCGATGATATGAATCTCGAGGCCGCCTGTGATCTTTATAACCGCCAAAAGAGTCTCCCGGGAATGGCTCATGAATCACATCCAAGGTCTTCAGGTGCCGTAACGCTCATAGAGGGCTACAAACAAAAACTGGGACTCATGAAGGTAGCAATGGAAATCAGGGCACTTTGCACTGATCAGAGCGAGGAGCTACATAAAATGAGGGGGACGGTGAAGTAGGGCTGGAGTCACAACTACACGACACTGGGAGGTCAATGCAATCACGAGATCATGTCATCGCGAGCTGGCCCTTTTGAGGCGAAAGCATGAGAAAGGCGACGCTACCAGATATTCAACCCGCTGCCTTCGGTCACAGGGCCAACCAGGGCGGACAATATATCCTGGGTATCGGCCCAACAATCCTGCAAGGGAAAACAAGCCGTGATGGCAAGGGGCTCATGGCAGTTACCATTCGAAATAAGGACGTCGAGAGCGTGTCCAGTCGGAGGCCTTGCGTTCTATTTCTTCAAGCTCTGGTAAGTAATGCAAAGCAATGCCGCTGTTGGTATCACGGAACATAACATCAACCAATTATGTTAATGATACCTCGCTGTTCTTTTGTACAATCGTAGCGTTCTGATGGGAGAGAACCGAACCTCGATAACAACGAAGGCTAGCGCAAACGTCATTTATGTGTTGGCAGCGACTATACACGGCAGTTACCTCTTCGGCTCACTACAGGGGTGAAGCTCAGTTATTAGAGTTGCGGGAGTTCTCACCGACAATTCGACCCGCCATCATAGTGGCACTGAAGCACGCCATACCAATAATCCAAACCATGGTATCAAGGATATTGAACGACGTACCTATTCGAACATGAGTCGCCTTATGTCACACTACTTGGACATGGTGCCGGGCGTCGCTAAATTCAAGGTGGAAGGATTCGCATATTGAGCGAGCGCCCATGGCATCCGCTCAACACGAAGGTCCCGTCAGTTGGCCTCCAGCAGTTGGCTATTCCTTTTTATCAAGCATTACTACGTTAATCAGGTTGACTAGATGAAACACGTGGAAAACATCATGACGGACAGCTCTCTGCTTTCCTGTGCTACACTTTGCTGCGCATATAATATGAATCTCGCGAGGGACAGAGAACCCATTCACTCTTTGCCTTCTCCCATCCATTCACTACCTACGGTTTAGGGTTCCAGAACCTTTCTCCTGTAACACTCACATTTCGACAGAAGAATATAACAGGCTGCCACAATGAAGCTGCTGCTTCTTTCGTGCGCAAGAAGACGGGTTGAAGAATATCAGTGAGAAAGAGATGAAGGGCCAAGCCCCCACATCCGTATGATATAAATGGACTTATTAAAATGTTTTAGGTTTTAACGCACACTTGAATGAACGTATACAGCTTATGTATGGCGCTGACGCTGGTGAATATACGACAATCCGTATCCAAAGAGACCCGACGTGTAACATGGTGTATGTGTGTGTCTGTGGCGACGCACTACAGTTGAGGTCACCCGTAGTGAGGCACTACAACAACTATTGCAAGAGGACGCAACAACGTCCTACAGCACCTTCGTCTACATCGACTCTAGCACCTCTTTCCGCAGCAGACATAGCGCCTTCTTCCTCTCCGTCTCTCCGTCCTCGTCAGTAACTCCATCGCTGTATACATCAACGCGATACTCCCCTCAACATTTCGCCATGCCACCGGGGCTCAATACAGGCGCCACAAGCCTGGGTGGGGTGATGTACGTCCATGGATAGCAGCAGTCCAACTGGAACAGTTCGCAGGATCCATGGAGATGAGGATGAACAGGATAAACGAAACGCAGGGATCGTTGTGACTGGACCCTTGCAAATCATTCTTGCATCTTGACGCATTTGATCAAGAGCCAAGAAAGGACCATTGCTGCCGCGATTCAGCAGGGCATTGCAGCGTTCCGGAAGAGTTTCCGTCCCCACTGCCCTCCAAGTCAAGAAGCAGTGGTTAGGAGACAGCAGCCTTTGACGAGAACTGCATCGCGCAGTCCACTCACTCCCATCTATTGAGATGCTTGTTCCAGTCAGAGGCCCGCATAGTTGCTGAAGACGCGTCTCCTGCACCAACGCAAGGTTTGTACGCCAGTGACCTCAAACACGTTTGTCCGAAATAAAAATGTAATACGACCACTAGCGAAGTCTACATAAAATTGAACTGGGAGTCATCTTCCTCCCGTTGCCTAGATACCGGCACAACTTCGCGTTGAATGCCAATGCCCGCTAACTGGCCCGCTTGCAATTTCAAGGTCTCCATTAACGAAATGTATGGTAACCGATACAGTGCCAAGTGACCAGACCAGCAATTGTTTAGTACTCTAGCTAAAACACGCTCATTATTTGCATCCCTAGTCTGATGCTATCTCGCCCTCCTCCAGTTCGCCCTCCTCGCGTTCGGCCTGCCTGTCTTCTGAAACGGATGCTGTTGCTGGGGTCTTTGCTTCTTTCGTGCTTGAGTCGCCTGATGGCTGTTGCGGTTCTGGTACAGTTGACTTCGTAACTCTCGTCATCATATCCACATCCATCGTGTTCACATTAAAACCCGATGGGGCTGTAGCTTGCTGACTAGGAGGTTGTTGCACAGTGGTCGCGATGGGAGCTGGGAATGAAGGCGTAGATCCAGGTGCAGGCTCGATACTTCCGCCAGCCGCAGCAGTAACCTGTCCCGTAGCATTTCCTCTTGCAGCTTCACCGGGTGCGGTGCGCCAAGGCTCACTATGTGCGTTAACAGTGGTGGAGGACGATGTCTCAGAGACCGCTGTCCTTTCCGTCTTACTCTCATTCTGCATCGACGACCCTATACTGGACGGCCTTGGTAAGCGTTGTTCTGTCCTGGGCCGCCAAAACAGTCGACTCACGACGCAAAACACTCCATCTTGCTGTCCTTTTTGAGCACCAGGCTCGGATGACCCTGCGTTAGCAGAATCAAGGGCCATCTTCGCTTTCCGTGCTCCATCTGATTCTTCGCCACTGATTCCATTATCCCCAACCTCCATGGCCCGAGCGCTTTCGTCCGCAGCATCTTTGGACCTGTGGTTGGTGGGCTCGATACCCTCCATCAAAGAGCTGAAGCCGCTCCGAGTGTGATCACCTTTGACCCTTTGGCTTGGCTGGACTACTACACCGCGCTCGACCCATTCAAAATCCTGCCAATCTAGGTCCTCGTACAGCACTTCTGCCAGGTTTCCGAAATCTAAAGGATAGGTCGCCTTACTCCAGCTTGAAAGCGACGTCCGACCAGAAATGACAGCAAAGCGGTACTGATCAAATCGCCTGGCATCTGTCCCTGCTTGGTGCTGCAGCGAAATCTCATAGCGCTCCTCGTCGTTCTCCAGTATCAGAACTTCATTTTTCAGCCTCCAACTTGTCCATTTGCGCGAAAGCCCATCGTGCCGGTCCATGACCAGCTCCGGTGAATACTTGAAACTTCACAGAAAAAAAAAGAAAAAAAAAGCATAACATATGGCTTATCAGCATAGTGCAAATGAGAACTCTACGCATGTTGCTCCCGTGAGAGAGGACGACGATTACTTACCATGGGTCTCCTTGATGCGTAAATTCAAAAGTGGCTGTGCGCATAGCTTTCTCGTTTTGCAGGCTCTCCGTAGTTTCGTCGTGGATGTTGGCTAAAACACGCAGGCGTTCCTGATTATATTCCTTCATACGTTGCTTACTCTGACTACGACCTCGGTTCAGTGCCTCACCAGGACACATCTTCCGGATGGACTCGATCTTGAAACTAACTCCATCATGCCCGGTGCTCCAGGTGCGACTTTTGATGCGGTTACGGATCGATCCCTGGTATTTAACCAGTTTGGGCAAAATACGTAGCGTAACAGCAAGGTCGAAGCCAGGGCAAATGTGTTTGATTGGGTCGGGCGCAAAGTTGTGCTGTTGACCTGTAGGACGAATAGAATCCTCCTCTGTACTCTGTGCGCTGATGGGCGGTATAAAGAGTCCTCCATGGATTAACACTATCAACGTGCACAAATACATCAAGGTGTGATTAGTATGTCTCCGTGAGCCAAACGCAAATCCAAAATGTGAGTGGAGCAGCCGATTCGATACGTACTCGCAACAACGTCAGAGTCATCTGTATATATGTCTGTGCCCCAAATCTCGCGCCTCTTCACTTTGATATTATCATATGTCAGATATGAGGACGCAATGCGGACTTCAAGCAGCGAATTCTCCTTGCCTTGCATGTCTGGCAGAAGCAGCGAGGGTTCATAGCGATAATAACCTATAGTCAAGGTAGAGAATGCATGTCAGAAAATAAAGATAGAGTAAGCCATCACGTACACCTAGTGTAGGCTAGTAGCATTACGGCGAATAGCACAGCGCGCTTAAGTGATGCGCATGCTACGTACCCAAGAAGAACTCAGGACGGTCGCTCTTTGTAAGGCTGGGGTCGTTTTTGACGATCAAACGCGGATGCTGAGCCAAAGCTGAAGTAGATGCGGATGTCATGGAAGCTATAGGGGCTGCTGGAGCTATGCCTGAATGGTGTCCAGTATGACCTGTGGATGGATAGTGCAGGTGACCATTGACTGTCGGTGGATGAGAAGCGGTTGCGTGCTGTCCCGCTGAGTAGGGACTTGATCGCCCAGCCATGAGCCCATGCGAACTCTCACCCCTATATGAAGACCCAGGATGACCATGAGGATCATGTATATGGGTTGAGGCTATGCTCGTAACAGATACCAACCCAGGCAGCTTGCCATTAACAGGTCCAGCACCGCCCAGCCCGTTGATCGGTTCCTGCAGCGGTCGGACGCCGACTGGTGAGGCCAGGCGATGACGTTGGCTGCCAAATAATCCTATGCCACCAGACTCCATGACCTCATCCGCCGGGTAGTCCTTGCTAGGCGTTGCTCTGGTTGGATCCTGTCTGCGTCCTGAAGATTGATTGTTCTCTGTTACTGCGCGGTTGAATCCCGCTTGATTCTGGTTCATCGGCTGACTATCCACTTGATCGCGACTGCGAAGTGCATTTCCGGCGGCTCCTGTTGGGCGCGGTGAAATCGATGGCGGCGCTGCCTGTCCCGACGTCGCCAATTGGGCCTGTGTAGCCGAGGGTGATGAGAGTGCCGGTGAATGCCGCTGCGGAGGGGGAATAGATGGCGTAGATGATTGCGGTACCTTCTGTATGGTGGATATTGACGTGATCGATGAGGAGTCCGGGTGGGGTATTTCAAACTGATCGAAAATGTTTCTCGACATGCGTCTCTCACGCTCTTGCTCCTGCTCACTATCGTCGTCGTTGTTAAGAAGAAGCGCAGAAACAGACATGGTACTCCGTGATGGTCTGGTGTTCTGCAGTGGATCCGACAAGGCCGGTGTAGTCGAGAGGGAACTGAGGGGAGGTAGAGTATGCTCTGGTGGTGTCCGGCCTGCGGTAGGACTCTGGGGTCGCTCCGCTTGACTGTGTTGCCGATTCTCGGATGAAGACTGGTTTGACTCTTTCTCTGAAGGGTCAGCGCCATTAGGGGCATTTGGTATGGCATCTTCTTTTGTGCTCTGAGTAATAGATTCCTCATTTACGTCCTGTGTCTGTTCCTGCGTTCCAGTCTTGTCATTAATAGCCGTCAGGGCCTCAGAGTCCTTCGTCACACTTGTTGATATCAAAGACAATGGAGAATTGTCGGCTGGAATGGTCGCGGCCTCTGTTGGCTGCGAGACAGCCTTGCTATCTACTGTCTGAATCCCAGTCTCAAGTGTCTCCAGTGTCGTCACAAGTGGCTCTGAGAGGGAGGCCACCGCCAGGATGGATCCTGTGAGTTCAGAAGCGCTAGGTGCTGCCTCTGCTGTTACGAGCGCGTGTACAAGATTGTGACTCGGAGTGGTGCTAGGGTTAGGCAAAGTTGTCGCAGCATCAGCGTTGGCCTCGGACTTTGACATCTCGCCATCTAGATCGACAAAAGAGGAAATGGGTCATGACCGTTCTTTGCCAAAGGTTGTTTTCATAGCATAGTTCTGATATGGTTCTTGATTTGAAAAAATACCTTGACTGACTGCTGCTGAAACGGCTTTTGTTGATGGCAGTACTGGCTCGGCTGCTGACTCCACATCGTCTGCTTGTAACGTTCAGGCGAAGGTGAAGATCGTCCGATTAATAAAATGGTCATCACGAACTTATCAGGAATGAACCATAAGATCGAAGCACTCTTGATGGCGATATCCTTACTCTTCTCCTTATTGTCATCGTCATCCATTTTCTCGACCCACTCTGCGAGCCCTTTTGATTCTTCGGAGGGATCGGCCACGTCCAGCGAAGGCGAGTACTCTGCTCCAGATTTATCGGCGTCAATCGTCAGTTTGATTCTTTTGTTGGCTTCATTTGATGGCTGTAAAGCGTCTGAAGACACTGCCGTTGCATTTGGTGCCGGGGTTGTGAGGGCTGAGGAGGACTCCCTATTGGCAGCATCCACATCCATCAGTGTTGATATTGCGTGGCCCGTCTTTCCTGTATCCATGCTGACCAAGCCTTCTGCGAGTCCTGCCAAGGATGATGACTCTGGTCCTGGTTTCAGGCTATCTTCGTTGGGTCGCTTCTTGGTGTCCATGATGACACACTGGGTATGTTTCCCCCGCGCTAGTACTGACTGACTGTTGCTGGCAGTAAGGTATAACGTCGGTCTGTCCTGGTCCGAATGTCCAATTGATTTGATCCCTATATCGCAGAAAGCCATGGGAGCGAGATTAGGCTACAAACTGCCATTGCTAAAGGACATCAAACTCGGTCACCTCTGTGTCAGCGCGTGTGTTCTGACAGATACCTTGCGCAGTTATGAGGGACAGGAAAGGGGGGCTGAGATAGTTTAGTCTCACAGCTGAGGGCGCAAGGGCGGGTGTGAAGTGAAGGGTGGTGAGTAGATGGATAGATGGAGATGTGATCGGAAAGAGGGAAGTTGAATGGCGAATAGCGCGTTCGCTACTCGCTATATCCAACGAGAAAAAAGTGACGTTTATACCCATTAAGTATTGGATTTACGGAGATGGGATATAATCAGGACCATGCATATCGAACTGCAGAGCAGACAAGAGTACCGTTTTTATATCGTAATTGACATGGACATAGGCACAAGCATTGGATTACAATTGCAATTGATTTTTTAGTGTTTCATTTAATGATACATAGCCGCAAGAGAATAAAATAGAGGTACGATGAGGCCTGGTTGCAAGAGGGTTTAAGGTATGAAATACAAGTTCAGAGAACGAAGAAAAAAGAGGATGGTAATAAAACAATAAGATTCGAGAAAAAACAGGTGTTGTTTGGCGCTGTCGTTGACTCGATCCAGTGCTGCCGGTTTAGCTGTTTTTTGTTGTCCTTGAATGTTTTCTTTTCCTTTACAGCTCCTGGGAGGCAACACCACCCTTCTTGGTCTTCTTGGGCAAGAGGGAGTCGTGGATGTTGGGAAGAACACCACCCTGGGCGATGGTGACGTGTCCGAGCAACTTGTTCAACTCCTCGTCGTTGCGGATGGCGAGCTGAAGATGACGGGGAATGATACGGGACTTCTTGTTGTCGCGGGCAGCGTTGCCGGCCAACTCGAGAATTTCAGCGGCCAAGTACTCGAGGACGGCAGCAAGGTAGACGGGGGCACCAGCACCGACACGCTGGGCATAGTTGCCCTTACGGAGGTGACGGTGAATACGACCGACGGGGAACTGAAGACCGGCCTTGGACGAGCGCGAGGTCGAGTTCTTGGGAGCCGAAGCGGACTTGCCACCAGATTTACCACCAGACATTGTGAATGAGTTGCTGTTGTTGGGAAGATGAGAAGATTGTTGTTGTTGTTTGGTGATCAAAGTCGAACCAGAAAAGTGAAGGGAGTGTGAGTGGGGAAGAGAAAGAAAGGAAAGAGAGTGGAACGGAAAAAGAGAGAAAAGAAAGACGGGGGTTGGGTTGGGTTGTGCTGTTTATATGTAAATCAAAGGAGTCCGCTGTTCGTGTTTGCGGCGAATTAGAAAGAGCAAAAGAGGGAAAGGTGAATTTTGGTGGCAAGCCATTTTTTATTTTCAAAAATGAATTTCGAGGAAACCAAAAAGACGCGTCCGTGCAATTAGGGAATGCCCTCCCATTTTTACTTAACTCATTAGCCAATTACACACCCTCGCCGCGTCCTTTTGTCGCGTCCTGTCCAAAATTAATTTTTTTTGGAATTTTTTTTTTTATTCCTCTTATCCTCATTCCCTTATCTCCTTATTTTCCACCTTCGTACTGCGCTAAAATATTAGCACAGGCCGATGGTTTCTCGTATAAAACTGTCGAAGCTCTTCTCTCCACCCCGGCTTCTTTTTTCTCTCTTTTCTTTCTTTTCCTCTTTCCTTCTTTTCCACTCTTCTGGATCCGATTGTCTCTAACTGTCATCGATACCTATCGTTCGTTCGTCATCTTCACTCTCCCAATCTCAACCTCCCTCTTCAAATTATCAAACATGCCACCAAAGCCCGCCGCCGAGAAGAAGCCCTCCACCGGAGGCAAGGCCCCCGCCAAGACCGCTGCTTCGTCTGAGAAGAAGGAGCGCAAGACTAAGTCCGAGGGTGGCAAGGGACGCAAGAAGGCCCGCTCCGAGACCTACTCCTCCTACATCTACAAGGTCTTGAAGCAGGTCCACCCCGACACCGGTATCTCCAACAAGGCCATGTCCATTCTCAACTCCTTCGTCAACGACATCTTCGAGCGCATCGCTGGTGAGGCCTCCAAGCTCGCCGCCTACAACAAGCGCTCCACCATCTCCTCGCGCGAGATCCAGACCGCCGTCCGTCTCATTCTCCCCGGTGAGCTCGCCAAGCACGCCGTCTCTGAGGGAACCAAGGCCGTCACTAAGTACACCTCGTCCAAGTAAAGAAAGAACGAGTCGGATACACAGGAACCAAGGAGGCACGATCTTCGCTTTGCTCCATCTATTCATCCTTTTTCATTATCTTTGAAGTCTTCTATAATTACCTCTTTACCCACGCTCATATACACTGGACGGACGCTCCTGATTAATACGCCTTGAGATTAGTATCCAGCGCCGGTCAAACCTCACCTCAACAACCCAAATTGTACATCATAGCCTGCTTTCTTTCTGTAGAAACATTAAAAAACATTGCAAAAACTCTGCGTATATATGGATAGCATCTTCTCATGAAAGATACATGGTCTTGACTGCATCCGGTCTGGCTCCTAAGTAAAATTGTTAAAATTCAATGTTGGCCTTTGTTTTACATTCTGGAACCGACCTGGCAAGCAGTTGGCCTGTGCGCTAGGATAGCCATGTATCGCTGTAAACGTTATCTTCGCACCACTATTGATTTTTTTTAAATGTTTTTATTACAACCTGTTTGAAGGCAGCTAAAGACATGAAAGCCGACTTTATGTTTAAGCAACCAACTGAACGGCACCACCAACAGCCTTGATCTTCTGCTCGGCAGCGCGAGAGACAAAGCGGGCCTTGACAATGACGGGCTGCTCGGGGAGACGACCCTTGGCAAGGACCTTGCCGTATCCAGCACGGAGAGTGTCAATGACGGGGACAACCTCAGTGTTCTTGACAGCGTTCTTGCGAGTCTGCTCGGAGACGAGGGTCCAGAGAGTGTCCAAGTTGACAATGGGGCGGTGCTGGCCGTTGCGAGTCAAGTGGAAGCGACGCATACCGACCTTACCGAAGTATCCGGGATGGTACTTGTCCATGTTGATACGGTGGTGGTGCTGACCACCAGCAAGACCACGACCTCCGGGATGCTTGCGGTGCTTGCCTGAACACACAATAATAAAAGGATGCGGCTGGTCAATATCTTGTCAAGCTGTGATATCGTACTTATTGACAGGAGAATGGTGCCGTGCGTTATATATCGAGGCACTTGCACCGACTTTTCCACTACTCTCGACTGCCGTATCCTGTCTGCGTATCCTGTCTGCGTATCCTGATATTTCTCACTTTGCACTGCTATAGCCTTCCAGAGATCGATATGCTATAGCAATTGAAAATGCTGTGCAGGTAATCCGTGGTGCAGCGATCAAGGCTCTCACAGTCCAGCCAACCCAACGCAATGATTATCGCAACGCCGATCCATGACAAAGTTAACAGCGGCGGCATATCCTGGCCTTGTATAAAATAGTCCCCTTAGGCTGCAATGAAGACGACCAAGGCACCTTCTGCAAACACAGTTTTCACTCTGCCCCTGTTTCTCTCTGCTTTCTCTTCAGGCCGACAGTGCATCGTCCTTCAGAGGGTCGGTTGAGTTGATTCCATTACGCGATCTAGTCAGCCCTAGCCGATGATGACACTTTCTTTTTGATCCCTGAACCGATCCAACGGATGAACGTTCCCTCCACTATATGTTTCCTTTGCGCTGAGTCCATAAAAGCTGTTCCCGAGTGTTCGCTGAGAACGTTGGTCTCCCGTTTCCTGTACAATGGCATGAAGACACTCACCAACACGACCGTGACCGGCAGAGACGTGACCTAAAGATAAACACGAACAGCCAAAAGGTCAGTATGAGGTGTACGAGATCAAAGTTGGCTGAAGTCTAGTAAACGTTGATTACCTCTCTTCTTGCGGTTGTGATGCAGACGGGTAGGCTAGGGGTGCATAGAATAGAGTTGGAGCGTGTCAGGGTTCATCCTTGGTTGAGTGAATAGCCATTCGGTTTCATGGCAAGTGCTGAAAGAGGTACTGAATCCAGATTGAACAGAGACTAGATAGTATTGGTAACTAGTCGATGGTACGTCGTGGGGAAACGATCATGCATGGGTATCACTGGTCGTTGTTGAGCATAGCGATGGATGATAGGATGGATGGATGGTTGCCGCATGTGTCCTTGAACAGATCCATGTGGTGCTGGTGGCGCCCTCCGGATATCGTCAGTCAGTCTTCCTGGAATGGTGAGCCGCGTGACTAACCATTTTTATAAAGATAAAATAAGAGAGGGAGAAAGCAGGACCAAGAGGGCGGCGCAAAATCATATGGGGGCGAGCGAGAACCAATAAGCCACAGGGCAAGTTCGATCTGGTCAGTCCCACTTGACCAGACAAGCAAGTCCATCATATCCACTTCATAGAATCATCTCGACCTCGCGACAAGAAAACCATCTTCATCTCCTGATCTATCCTTATTCCCTTTTTTATACACATCCTTCTTTTCACAATGTCCGCTGAAGCTATGGTCTTCTTGTTCGGCGTCATCGTCGGTGCCGGTCTCTTGTTTGTCAAGGTGTTCTTTGTAAGTTGAACACGCGTGCGTGGTCTCTTGAACATCAAATCAGTCCGTCTGGTCATGGCCAATCGCGTTTCTAATCTACGTATGCTTCTTTGTCTATTGTTGTTGCTGCAACTCATGTTAGGTCATCTTGATCAGTGACCTCGAGGTATGCGCTTCATCTCTGAGCCCCCTTGTCGTCTTAGTCGCGCTGGGTTTACCTCTCTGGATAAGATACCAAGGATGATTAATACTGGAACGAAACTGACCGTTTTCTCAATCGCGATGATGGCATTCTGTTTTCTACTGTTCATTATTGCCTCTTAAGGTCGACTACATCAACCCTATCGAGCTCTGTAACAAACTGAACCAGGTACGGAAACTATCCCCAGCATTGACCAAGCCATCTATGGATGCCGGTCACTGATGCGCGATCGTAACTACTTACTACTCTTTGAAAACGCTTTACTTGCCTTTATCTTTTCTGCGACTAGTTTGTGTTGCCAGAAATGTTCGTGCAAGCGTTCATGACATTCATATTCCTGATCAGTGGACAGTGGATCGCTACCGCCTGGAACTTGCCCTTAGTCGCTTACAATGCCAATAAGTATGTGCGCATCTTTACCGCCGCGGGAAAATGAGCAGACGATCGATGACGTGGCTGTGTTGGAGCAACCCACAATGACAGGTGCTAAACAATGCCTGATCTTTTTTTTTTTATCATGTATTCAATAGGATTATGAATGGCAAGCACATGTTCGATGCCACAGAGATCTTCCGCACGTTGGGTCAGCACAAGAAGGAGTGCTTTATTAAGCTCGGCTTTTACCTCCTCAGCTTCTTCTACTATCTTTACCGGTAAGTATCATGAGCAAGAATTGACAGATTATACGTTGGACCTGAGCGTGTACTAATTGACGATGTTGTCATCTTTACTAGCATGATTCTCGCTTTGGTGAACGATTCGTAAGAGACAGGACGGAGCAGTTGAAGTCGCGATGGTGTTCAATGGTGCATCGGCGCATCTTTTTTTCTCAAAATAAATCAGACGTGCAAGTCGTCTTCATGCCACAATCATTCGACATTGTGCTTTATTGAAAAGAATCATTTGAGTAACTTTGAGCGCAACCAGTCTTCGCTCAGCGTCTCTGCATCCTGGACATCGAACACCTTTCCAAGGCCGACCTTGTTCTGAAAGTGAGTCTTTGCGCTAGCATAGAGCATGTTCAGCTCTGGTTTCACTCCAGCGGGCGAGTAGTACAAGAAGACCAGGGGATATGAAAGACGGCCGTCGTCATGCTTTAACTGTGCGGGTATACGAGAGATCAATTGGATATCAATTGGATGGAATCATTGGCCAGAATAAACCCATGCCTGGCAATGAATACTGGGGTTGCGACGTGAATAGCGAAGGAACACGATTAATGTGCTCACCTCAAAACTCAGCACGACGTAGCGTGGAGTGCTCTCCGGCAGCAAGTCTGCAAGGTCCTCGATGGTTAAAGAGTCCTGCTCCTCATCCTCTTCGATAAGCAGCTTGTTCTTGTCAATCTTGCCTATGTTCCAGCGACGCGAAGACAAACAACGACGAAATGATTAGGTCGCGTCTGTGACGCATACGACTGACCACGATGGACAAGGAGACACGTACAGATGAGGGCTGCGTTCCCTTGCGATCTCTTGGCGAAGCGGAAGGCTTCGATTTTTTCGACAAGGTTAGGGTCGATGTCGCAGGTAGTGGACATGGTAGTGGTAGTGAGAGAGCTTGAGAGGGATGTGCGGAATCGGGAAGGAGAAAGAGATGAGTGGTGAATGTGAGCAAAGACCAAGACAGCCAAAAGTGAAGTTTTTGTAATTCAACTGCATGTTGGTTTCTGTTACTTGCCCTTTCACGTATAAAGAGCATACATCCAGTACAGAAGCAATAATCAACAAACACGCCATTTCTTCCTCTCCTTGCCTTTCCTTTTAACTGACATAGCGGCAATGCAATCGCTGTTGGGGTGAATGAATGCTATGCTTTATTTTTCGTGTTATAATTTCTGCCGAACATGTCTTCAGCTTTGTACAAGCAATAACACATCCACAACAAAAAGAAAAAAGACTACAGTGGTGGAGGATTAATGTTACAGAGAATGGGATTATAAAGACAATTGAAAAGAGAAAAACTAAAAAGCATGAGACCATTTAGGTGCGCTCTCCACGGAGACGGCGAGCCAAATGGATGTCCTTGGGCTGGATGGTGACACGCTTGGCATGGATAGCAGCCAAGTTGGTATCTTCGAAAAGGGAGACAAGGTAGGCCTCCGAAGCCTCCTGGAGGGCACCGATGGCCGAGGACTGGAAGCGGAGATCAGTCTTAAAGTCCTGGGCGATCTCACGGACGAGACGCTGGAAGGGCAACTTGCGGATCAAGAGCTCAGTCGACTTTTGGTAGCGACGGATCTCACGGAGGGCGACGGTACCGGGGCGGTAACGATGGGGCTTCTTGACACCTCCGGTGGCGGGGGCGGACTTGCGAGCAGCCTTGGTGGCGAGCTGCTTACGGGGAGCCTTTCCTCCGGTGGACTTGCGGGCGGTCTGCTTAGTACGAGCCATTGTTGCTGTTGTTGTTAATGAGAATGAAGTTGACGAGAGAAAGGTGATTCGGGGTTTGAGATGAACGAGAAACAGAAGGAGAGAAAGGAGCTTGGGGCGGAAAAAGTACAAAGGAACGTTTTATACCAACGAGAAAGACAAAAAAAAATAGAGTCGCGTCTATGGTGCAAGAGACCCAAAAAAAAAAAACGCGTCTGTGTGTTTGCTTTGGTGACAACTCTTTTGTTTTTGCTTTTGTTTTGGGAAATTGAAAAATGTCTTTAACTGCAGGAAAAGTCTTGTCGGCTGTTCTAGAAGCGCGTTCATGCATTTATGGGAGGTAGAGGCGCGCGATACAGCACCTTGCAATTGAGGGGGCCTGCTCTATTTTAACTTAACTTTCTTGCTGACACGTTTTCTATCTCTCTCTCAAAAAAATTTTTTTGGGAGTCTGAACTTTCCTTATTTTTGAAAATTCGAATTTAGGACCAAAATTAGAGACGGCTGATTTACCTTTAAAAGGAGTTCCTCCCAGTCGCACTCTTTTCTTCTGCTCCTTCTCGTTTCTTCGTCTTCTTTCACGTCTTCGCTCTCTCCAACTTTCTCCCCACTTTCACCCAAACAAAACAACTCGAATATCATGTCTGGCCGCGGCAAGGGAGGAAAGGGTCTCGGAAAGGGTGGCGCCAAGCGTCACCGCAAGATTCTTCGTGACAACATCCAGGGTATTACCAAGCCCGCCATCCGTCGTCTCGCCCGTCGTGGTGGTGTCAAGCGTATCTCCGGTCTCATCTATGAGGAGACCCGCTCTGTCCTCAAGGTCTTCCTCGAGAACGTCATCCGTGATGCCGTCACCTACACTGAGCACGCCAAGCGTAAGACCGTCACCTCGCTCGATGTCGTCTATGCCCTCAAGCGCCAGGGCCGTACCCTCTACGGTTTCGGCGGATAAATATGCTCCGCCTCGATCAGCTCCCCCTCTCGAAGCAAACGTCGCTGCCTGGTCCCTGCATCCGTCGACTCTTTTCATTTCTTTATCATTCTCTGTTATATGTATAGAACCAATCTTTCGCTACCCACTGTTTGTTCGCACACTTACTGTTTAATCCTCCGGGAATGCAGGCGGTCAACGTTTCCTTTGCCTCGCTATACCTGGCTCTTGTAAAATAAAACAAAAACACTTTGCAAAGCACTTAGCTCGTATTCAGTGATTGTGATTTGTATTCGATTGCAGTGCTGTAAAAGTGGTGGATCAGCAGGAGCGGATAGAATACAGTGATCCACAAGCGCAGACTACTCTCCATTGGAACAGGTTTGGTAGTCAGCGGGGGTAGATCACAGCGAAATCGGGTGGGACATCTAGGATCTGATAGCGGGTGAGATGACCCACTTGACGCAATTTAGGTTTCCTTTGACAGATTACAAAGCTGCGAAGCGATCCACTTTTTTTCTTCTTTTCTTTGTCAATCTTCCGTTCCTGGGCCTCCTTCTTTCTCCTCTTGCTACCACCCTCCAAACACTCCAACACTCTCTCTATTGCAGTGCAGCAATGGCCTCGTCAAACTACACCGTCCTCACCAGCGACGAAGACTTTGCCAGCGTCTTCAACCCCTCTTCCTCTACTGTCTATGCTCTGAACTTTTGGGCCTCATGGGCACCTCCTTGTGCCCAGATGAACGAGGTCTTTGAGGAGCTTGCCACCAAGAATACCTCCATCAGATTCATCAAGGTACTAACATGTGCGTCAGAAATCCTTGATCGCCCCTTACGAATGAGAAATGTGAATGCTCATTTTTGTTTGCTTTCATTGATCACCTTTTAGATTGAGGCTGAAAAGTTCCCCGACATCTCTGAAGAGTACGAAATTGCCGCTGTTCCCAGCTTTGTCCTTGTCAAGGTACTGTTAAGAAAACGATTTCACTATTGAGTCGATTGTTGGTTGCGCTGTAGTTTGAACAAACGCTGACCTCAATATACACACCATAATACTATAACCGCTGTCATTCATACAGGAAGGCAAGGTTGTCGATCGTGTCGAGGGTGCTAATGCCCCTGAACTTTCAAAGACAATTGCAAAGTACTCAAAGTCGAGCTCGACCACCGCATCGTTATCTCACCCCTCTGCCGCAGCTGTCGGCAGCGCTGGCTCCCCTTCAGTTGCTCCACCAACTTTGTCGCCTGAGGAGATGAACGCTAGACTCAAGGAATTGACCAGTAGCTCCAGCGTCATGGCCTTTATCAAAGGAACACCCACTGCGCCCCGATGCCAGTTCTCACGTCAGCTGTTGGAGATTTTGACCGCCCAAAATATCCGATTCAGCTCCTTCAACATTCTGGCTGATGATGAGGTTCGGCAGGCCATGAAGACATTCTCAGACTGGCCAACATTTCCTCAGGTACATTATTCGCTTTGTGGCGCCAAATGAGCTACAGAGTTGGATATTGAAAACCTAATCAATTCATGTGCTACTTGGAAAAATATAGGTCTATGTCAAAGGTGAATTCGTGGGAGGTCTGGATGTTGTCAAGGAGATGGTCGCAACGGGCGAGTTTCAGGCCTTGGTTCCAGCAGAAAAGGATCTCAAGACGCGCATGGATGAATTGATCAACAAGGCACCTCTGATGATTTTTATCAAGGGTAGCCCAGAGACCCCACGCTGCGGATTTTCAAAGTGAGTTGCACTTCCTATGATTTGTGTCCTGCAATTTCTACTATCTGCATCCTACAAAAGCATTTCGCAGCGCTCATTGTACATGTCTAACGCCTCCTTCTGCTCCAATGCGAACCTGGTTCATAGGAAATTGGTCGCTCTGCTGGCTGACCAGGGTGTGACCTATGATTCTTTTGACATCTTGGAAGATGATGACATCCGCCAAGGCTTGAAGACCCATGTCGACTGGCCTACGTTCCCAATGGTGTTCTTCAAGGGCGAACTCTTGGGCGGTCTCGACATTATCACGGAAATGGTCGAAAATGGAGAGTTTACGCAGGTTGTCGCCGAGGCTAAGTCGCCAGTTGCTTAGCTGTGTAGTAAGGACTTAAAAATAAAAAAAATAAAAATAAAAAAAAAGGTTGGCCATGAACGGCACTCCATGGACCCGGAGTAAATGGCAATATGTAAAACCATCTACAGCGCGGGCAGAACCATGACTGCGTCCTTTTTTTACATCTTCCAGGACATAGCATTCAATAATACTGACCGCTATGTTAGTTCTGTACAGAATCCAATCAAGCAGCCAGCGAAATGACAAGATCAGCAAAACATGGGTTTAGTGCGGGCAGCATGAGATGCTTTAGGTCCCTGACGCCATAGCAAACCGGCGCTCTGGAGCCAAAAGCTGCATAACCAACAAACGACGCTGCATCGTTTGATCATTCCGACTGGCCTGGCCGAGCCCTTGCAAACAACTGGCCAATAGCATCGCAATAAAATAATTAGTGGCAAAAATTATCAGTATGAGAAAGCTTGGCCTCTCTCAGCATGCTCCACTCCAGACACATCTGGTATCAGAAAGTGTGCTCGAAGACGCTTGCGAGGACGATGAGGCCAATAGTGTTGTGGCAGGAGCGAAAACCATGTCCGCAAGTCATCTTACGCGATCCAGTAGTTTGCTTTATCGAGCGTACCTGGCCAGCGCCAATTATCGTAATCTTGTGAATCTTCATTCTGCGTCACTGATGCCAGTGCTGATGTCGAACGTAGCTAAGCCCTCTGTAAAGCACATGGCTGATGCAACGCGATGTTGATAGCCATAGCCCGTCTCGGAAGAAAGAGTGTTAGTGCCTTCATCCATCAAGTCGAGAGTCCATAGCGCCAGCGAGCGTCCTTCTTCTAGCTTCCTTTACATTGTGGCGAGCAGCAGGTGGACGATAGAAGCACATTGCCCAGGGCCTCTGCAGCAAATTTTTACAATGCTGAGATGAGGGTTCTGGAGCAGCGCGTCAATCGAAAGAATCTGCTCGTGTTGCTGTGGAGTGCGCCCATTTATGGACCGAGTATGACAGCCTTCTTGAAGGGGCATCCTGCTATCTGGTGTAATGTCCCCAGAGTGCTCATTTGCAAGCTTTGGTCCCAGAGTACAGCCCTTAGAGATGTCTGCAGCCATCAATAATCGTAGATATTGTGACAACAACGCCTTGGGTCCTCGGAGGTCGCGGACTATGTGGCTGTGGTTCTTTATGAGGACGATGTGGTTCGTACAACCATGGTCAGCCACTTGAGGGAAACGCGCTGCTTGAGGATGGTGTTGAGACAAGACATCGCGGACGCGTCGCCGGTACTAAGAACGGGACTGACTGATAGTAAACGTGGCCTGGGAGGTGCAAGGAGGGCAAGCTGAACACACGCAAGAAGAGTTCCCCAAAGTCTCGGACAATCAACAACTGAAGACCCCAATTTAGCATTAGCTGCATCAGTGGACCATATCGACAACCACCATTGATTTTGCCCAGCGTCAGCCTCGAGTTGGGTAGCTCTTGTGCGTCGTCGACCGTCAGAGGGAGAACACTTGTCTCTGTAACAGCGACGCTAAACTTGCAGAGGTCTTCTAGTGCCACATCCCAGCGCAGCCTGATTATCAGCCCCTGTATGTCTTTAGCCTGGATCATCGCTCCATAGACCGACCTCGCAAGAGTGCTCGGTTGGAACAAGATCCCGACATTGTCGATCTGCTCAAAGAAACTGCTTCTGTCCGCCTCGACAACATCCCGCAACTTCTGCACCACGGCCTTGCGGTAGTTCTTCCGGTAAGGGTCCACACTCACCCACTTGACGCGTCAGCTACGATTCCAGTTGTCTCAAACCCGCTCTCTCCAGCGTTATCAGCTCTACTTGGCTTGCTGTCGAGTTGAGATCGTCGCTAGCGTCGTTCCCTAGTTTCATCAAGTACCCGATAGAGTCATCCATCAGAGAAATGAGGGTCTCATTGGTGAGGTTCAAGTACTTGTGGATTTCTTCGACCCTCTTCACTAGTCTGAGCCGCGCCAGTGGCGGCCACAATTCCATACTTGATCATATACATCGACATCAGCACTTATGGCCCATGCTTTCCAAAGAACTTGGCTGGCTCCGCGATGTCGTATCTCTCGCGCTTGCCCAGATGGATCTCGTGTCGGAGCTTGGTGTTCTTGGTCGTGGTATGGATGCTGCTCTTGCACAGGAAGAACAACCAGAGCTGCGCCCTGAATTGCTGTACTACTCTTTCCCTCATGCGCGTTGTCGCTGTTCGCAGGGCAATGAGGAGACTGGGATCGGGTACTCGTGGAGTTCGTAGGTTTGAGTGAGGAGCGCTTGGATGCGGTTTTGGACGATCGCCAAAAGGTCGAAGGCTTGCTCCGGCAAGCCAGGGATCCTGCAAGCTAAAGATCCTGCAAGCTGATGGTTTGATTCTACTTTGACTGGATCCCCTTTTGTATCTGCTGCTGTATTTGAAGCACTTGATCATGGAGCACTTGGTTCTTAGCCATCTTTCCCTGCAGCCTGTCGAAATGCATGCCCATGAACCTCCTGATATCTACGGCTTGTATGGCCTGGTCAGCCATGTGTCCTTGAAGCCCCGCTGTGTGGGGTTGATAGTGTTCCTGGAAGAGAGATTCGTGCCTCCGCAGCCGTTCCAAAAATGCAGTCGATTTGGTTTTCATCAGCCAATCCACTCTTGATATTGCCAGATCTGTAATATATTGAATCGCATAATAGATATTGTTTATGTCTATCAAAGGACCCACGTCCACCAAACCGATTTTCATGGCGAGGTATTGGTTGCTGCGAAGTGATTTCCCTTCTGTCGATGACCATCCAGGGAGTGATATGTGTAGTGAATGCGAACAAACTTTCATCTAGCCGCTATTTACACAAGCCTCGATAGAGTCCGCAGTGGAGGAGCCAGAACCCCTCCTGGCTAACACCGGATCCTCAACGGGACGAGACTATTCAGCAACGAATGAGAGTGGCACGTAACATTAAAATCTAGTACTTTCTGGAGCCATTGAGCTACAGGAATTCGCTGCAAGTGAAACGTACTGTTCAAGGTCTTCACTTCTCAAGAACGAGACCGCCCTATCGCCGTGTCAAACAAGCTTGGCCCTCGAAGAGTTGCTTGATATCTTCCCAATGGACAACGTGTCGCTTCGTAGAAGTCTCATATATGTGTCAATGAGGGAAACAAATGAGGCTGAGGCAACTCTGAAGCCTCATAAGGGAAAAGAGCCGGCGGCAGATGGCTGCGTCATGCTTCCATCGTTCGTAGCGAGGCGGGAAGGGCGCGAAAAAAGAGTGAGAAGAGAATAACGGCAGAAAACAGAGCCTGACCGCAATATATTCATGCCGAGGAGAAGGCGAAAATATTTCTCTGCACAAATAGGAATTTGTATAGCCAAAATTTGACTGCCTCCACTAATTGTATTCTAATGACTCCATCCGACATTCTGCGATCCTTAGGGTACCAGTCTTCTCTCTGTGACTGAAGCCTCCGCTTACCCTTTTAGCACTGCTCCAAAGAATGACAATATTATTTGTGGACCCATCCTCGACCCAACCCAGCTTGCCTCTGTAAGCTGATCTTAGCATTTTCTATCGGCAAAAAGCTAGCTATGCGTCGCACAATGAACGAGTTCATTTCTCATAGTGCCTACATGGAATACTACAAACTGGACCCATGTAGGCTCAAATTGGACGTAGGACCACTAAACTGAGAACGCTTTGCCGGGTTTCGACGCTCTTTGGCAAACATGGAACATAGGGAGCAAAAGGATGAACAGCTCCATTTCTGAGGCCCAGGGCTAGCAGTGGGTGGCGAAGGGCGGGCCCCCCTCTTTGCAATTTCTTTGCCCAGCAGTTCCGCTCTGAACAGCAATGGGCGCAGCACTTTTCATCATTTTTTGTTATCGTGACACATGCGGTCTGCACATGGGGTTCAAGGGCTAATAAAAAAGATGGGTCAGCGGGGGTTGGTGAGTACTGCGTGAGGTCCACTCTTTTTTCCTCGCATTCGTGTTTTTTTGGGGCACCATAGCTTGCAATCTGTTCGAGGTGTGCTCTGCACGACCTTTACTCTTCTGAGTATGACTGACCGATGGAAAGCTAACTTTTTTTTTTTCCATTTCCTTTCCCCCTTTCCTTTCTCTCTTTCTCTTGTCTTTTCTCTAATTCTTTCTTTTCCCTTTCCCTTCTACAAAATTGTTGAAATAAAGTAAAATAAAGTAAATGAAATGAAATAAAGAAATAGCTCTGTTTGCTCCATCAGTTGCCTTGTGCGATCGATAGCATGCTCGCTTTGTGCTGGAGGTGTTCATAGCGATGTAACTGAGGGACGGGGTGTAGGTCTTTTGAGGATGATTGGTAAAATTGCACCGGTGGTAGTAGCAGCAGCAGCAGTACATCGAAGTGTTTGCACTGGTCTCCGTGCAAGTTGGCCCTCGGGTTGGTTTCCTTGGGGGCAATTGGGACACTCTGAAGGCCGACTGCAGGCTTCTTGCTGTGCCATAAGAGCCCATGCAAGAGATACGCGTACAGTAAGTCGATGCATGGATGTTGCACAATACATGGACATTGCACAATGCACAACGCACACTCCACAACACAATGCGCGACGTGCTTTTGCAACACCAAATGCAAACATACCCTGTTATCGCTCTAAGTGTTGCAGTTCACTGTTACGATGTATGCCTAGCTGCAGGGGATGGGCTCCCAGTAAGGGTTCGACTTGTTGCCGTCTCGGCCAGCACCTTACATCGGCGGCAGCATCTAACATCGACGGCAGTCGATCGATGTGAGCTCAGGTGTGCCAATCCGACTTTAGCGTTGTGCAGCTCATACTTCTCTTTTCTAAGGTTCAGGTGACCACACATAGCTGTCCCAGTCGCCAAGCTAAAATACAATAGACGGAACATCCGCTGCTGCTAGGCGTCTCCTCACTGCTAGTTCCTGGCGCCGCTGTGTCACAATGGGTGCCAAACAGAAAAAAAAAGGAAGAAAAGATACAGCACATGGAGAAAAAGTTAAAAGATGTGTCGAGAGGCACCAGGCCTTTCACATTAACATTTTCAATACATAACCCAGAACCCTCTTAGCCGAGAAGACATGGTGTTGACCCCCTCGACACAAATCTGGTCACACATCTGAGCATACATCTGGGTTATTGGCATAAACAACGCAGCTTTATGGATGTCGTACATGTATATCCATCCCTATTGCTATGCTATTCTACGCGTTCCCAGACCGCTTGGCAAGAGAGTGAAAGATCGAGCTCTGGTCCGCCAGCAATGCCGCCGACGTGTCAAGCTCTGCCACTCATCCCTGGTCCAGCACCATGATCCTGTCGCTATCCATCACCGTGTCGACCCGATGCGCAATCGTCAGGATCATGTACTCGCAGAATATCTGCCGAATAATCGCCTGCACCAGCGCGTCCGCCTCCAGATCAATCGCCGCCGTCGCCTCGTCCAGGACCAACAGGTTGGTCTTGCGGAGAAGTGCCCGTGCAAGGCAGATCAGCTGCCTTTGGCCCATCGAGAAATTGCCGCCTCCCTCAAGCACCGTCGCATTGAGTCTTTCTTCCATGGCAGAGACATAGTCCTTGAGATACGAGTACTCGAGTGTCTGCCGCAGCTCGACGTCGGGTCTTGTCCCCAAGGGATCAAAATTGAACCGGATGGTGCCTGTAAATAGGATTGGGCCCTGGGGATAATCGAGAACCTAGAGTAGACATCGTACAACCCCAGGGTCGAGATATCGATGCCTTCAACAAAGACCTGTCCCTCGGTGGCCTCGATGGTGCAGAAGAGCGACAGGGTCAAGCTGGACTTGCCTGCTCCTGTTCGGCCGCAGATGTTGATCTTCTCGTGAGGGTTGATCGAGCAGTTGACGCCGCGGATGACAAGATTGAGTCCTGAGCGATATCTGGTCTCGTAGTCGATGGACTCAACGCGTCCCTGAGTTGGCCATTCCTGTGGTGGACGGTTGTCGGGATTGATCTCTGAGGCTTCAGGCTTAAGGTCAATGGATTCCTGAAGACGCTCAACGGCCACGATATTGAACTTGAGCTCGGTGTGCTGGCGGACCATCCAGTTTGGAGCTTGTGTGATACTGAGTACGTATTTCAATGACAGGCCCACAAGGCCTGGATCCACAGCGATGTTTTGGCCAGTGATACGATGGGTAAAAATGTAGATTCCAAAAAAAAATAAAAAAAAAAAAAATTGATGGAGCCCAGAGTTTCAAGAATGGAACGCTGGCCAATGGCTTCCTGCGGTGCTGAGATAGGACGCACTCAAATTCTAGCCTAGACGATGCTTTTTGCTCTTGATGAACCTGTCCTGTTGACGGTAAACGAGGATAGTGCTGATTCCACCAAGTATTTCCCGGAAAAGCGCACAGACGGAGATCGAGTAACAGAATTCAGCCTGCAGATATTGCGGAGCATTGCCAAGAAGTACCAATGCAGCAAGAAACATATGAAACTAAAAGGAAGGATGAGAATAGTGAGGCTGGACGTTGACACAGCGACCAGCACCAAAACCGAAGGGGCCTAGCACACTGCCCTTGAGTACACAGCAAAAGAGCACGGAGAGACCCTATCAACCGCTGATTGGTCTTTGCTGGAACGGTTGAGGATACATCCCATGGAAGAGGTATCAAGGAGCATCATTGGCGATCGTAGAACACTATGCAGTATCCTCTGGTGCAACATACGCGCTAGACTGATACAACAATGGGCCTGGATTATAATCGACTGGAAGACCGTCAACAGTGAGTACGTGAAGCCCAATGTCGCATGGGTGCCGGTATAAAAAAAGTGGATCCTTGACACTCCTTCCTGCGCCATTGTCGCTGCCCCAGTGAGTCCGCCATGGAGAGCTCGATCTAGAATAAGACCACGGACAGGATGTAGGCAATGATCGAGCGATAGAAGCATGAGTTTGCATATGCAAAGTAGACGCTTCTGCCGATACTGCCTTGCCTCATTTGCTCCTCCGACATGATAGTGGTGTTCTGGCATCCATCGATCCTGAAAACACTCCATTGAGGCACTGAAACGACTGATGGCGGTGCCGTGTCTGAACATTGGTTGCACTTCGAATGCTGCTCCGACGAGCTGAACGAGACGTATCGAGCAAGGCTGGTGCTTCCTTGACGGGAAAAGCATCGGTACCGACAATGTGTTATTGCTGCTGTCGCTTCCATGCCCAGTGACCAGTTGATAGACCTCTGCTGTCTTTGCCTTAGCTCCTGGAAGCTGTCTTGCTCTAACCACCTTGCCATCGCACAGCAAGAGAATCGTGGTCGACTGTGCCAGGTACTGAATCCGATGTGTAACAAAGAGCTTCGCCTTGCCTGCCAGTAGTTCCTTGGACATGATCGCCTTGTAAAGATCGCCTTTTTCCACATGTGCATCGACTGTCGAAAGAGTATCGTCAAACAGATAAATGTCCGCACGAGCATAGATAGCACGCGCCAGTGAGATATTTGCCCCCTGGTCACCCAAAAGCTTGATGCCGCACTCGCCAATCTCGATCGCGTCGCCACCAACCAACGCCGCAAAGTCTGATAATAAGCAGCATGCCTCAAGGGCCTCTTGATAAGGTGCTGTATCCATGGACTCCTAGCTACGCCTCTATCGTTAGTACTTGCATACTTCAACACTTTCAATACAACACGAGCATGCCATCGATTGCACAAGACAGTTTTTAGAGTAGATGATAAGTCTTTGTCTTTTTATTTTTGCTTTTTTTTTTTATAAAAGTAAAGAAAGAGAGAAAAGGTTGGCTTGCCATCGGTCAGTCTTGCTCGGAAGAGTAAGGACTGTGCAGGGTACACCGCGGGCAGGTTGCAAGCCATGGTACCCCAAAAAAAACCACAAAGGGAAAAAAAGATCGGCCCCGGAGCGGCTTCTCTTGTTTTATTACCTTTATTACGATATCTTCGCAAGCCCTGGTGGACTTGTTTGCTTGGCTTGGCTGTAGAAAATAAGAGACAAAGAGAAAGATTGAAAAAGGAAATTTATGGTCACACGACTTGTTGTTGCCAAAATGGGAGAGACAGCTGGAAGACAAGCATAACAGTTCACTTACCTGGAAGCCTTACCGGCAGCGGGAGACGCCTAAGCATCAATCAACCGCCACATACCGATAGCGGGAGACGCCTAAGCATCGATCAACCGCGACATGCCGATAGCGGGAGACGCCTAAGCATCGATCAACCGCGACATGCCAATAGCGGGAGACGCCTAAGCATCGATCAACCGCGACATGCCGATAGCGGGAGACGCCTAAGCATCGATCAACCGCGACATGCCGATAGCGGGAGACGCCTAGGCATCGATCAACCGCGACATGCCGATAGCGGGAGACGCGTAAAGCATCGATCAACCGCCACATACCGACAGCGAGAGACGCCTAAGCATCGATCTATCGCCGCAAGCCCTTGTGCCTTGAAAGATCATCTTTCGGGCAAAAAGGCCGGGAATGGTAGCGACAGCGAAAGAAGCAGACAGAGAAAAGGAGAGAGAGAGAGAGAGAGAGAGAGAAACAGATGGACAGAGAGGTGGAGAGAGAGGTGGACAGAGAGGTGGACAGAGAGTGACAGAGAGAAATGGACAGAGAGAGGGATAAAGAAAGTGACAAAGAAGTGACAGAGAGTGACAGAGAGAGAGGTAGATAGTGAATTAGAGACAACGAACAAGAACAAGATAAAAGGAGACAAAGCAAAAAAGATACGAGCTGTAACTGAAGAGAAAGCGTATGGGGACATCAAGAACAGAGAAGGTGAAAAGTGAAAGGAGTAGAAGGGAGAAGAGCTTACCTTGGAACCTTGGAGACTTGGAAGCTTGGAAACTTGGAAACTTGGAAACTTGGAGCCTTGGAGACCTAAGGAGGGGAGTATGAGGAGTGAAGAGTGAAGAGAGAAGAGTGAAGAGAGAAGAGTGAAGAGAGAAGAGTGAAGGGTGAAGAGTGAAGAGAGAAGAGAGAAGAGTGAAGAGTGAAGAGAGAAGAATGAAGAGAAGAGTGAAGAGAGAAGAGAAAAGAGGAGGGGTTAAAAAGAAAAAAAAAAAAAAAAAGAGGAGGAGGAGGGGAATAGTTGGGAGCATCTATACCCCTCTACCTCTCATCATGGATAGAATCCGTCGTCGATGCTATCTGCTGCGCATAGAACACCACCGAACAACCGCGTAATGCAACGGTCAGCTGCTGCTCTTTGCATGAAAGAAGCCGAGACAGAGAGGAGATGTTGGACAATAGCAAACATGGACACAGAAGGGAGCATCCTCGAAGCAAGCACGGAAGCAAGCATGAAACTGGTACTGAATGAATCAACTAGCCTGAAAAAGATGGAGCGGCCAGTGCTCCCGATGACCATACGAGACATAGATCATGCGGGACATAAACCAGCAAGGCTACCTCTTCGCTCCAATATGTAAGAGCGTAGTGGTCCCTGGCGGCAACTCATCGCATCAGGGTTGGGTCCGGACCAAACTATTGATTCCTACACAACCATCGCTGCGTGCGCCTTCTTCCAGACCTATATTCAGCTCACTAGTCTGCTATAGACACCACCACCAGCTAGACATTACATCACAGCAGTGAGCCGCAGCACTTTAAGCGATAATAAGATATGCTCGCATTGTGCATTGTGCATTGTGCATTGTGCGTTGTGCATTGTGCATTACGACGTCCATGTATTGACGTACTGTTACGCGTATCCGTTGCATGTGCTCGCGTGACACCACAAGAGGTCTGCAGCCGATCATCAGAGTGTCTCACTTGCCACCAAGAAGGGAGAGTCAGCTTGGATGGAGACCAGTGCAGACACTTCGATGTGCTACTGCTGCTACTGCTGCTACTACTACTGCTGCTGTTGCCACTGTTGTTGCTGCTGCTGCAAGCGTATCAAGCATCCTCAAGGAGCTGCACCCTGTCCCCAGTTCTATCGCTGGTAACACCTTCAGCACAAAGCGAGCATGTTATCGGTCGCACAAGGCAGTTGTTGGAGCAGACAACGGCTGTTCCTTTTTTATTTTAGTTCATTTCATTCTGCTTCATTTTATTCTGTTGTACTTCATTTTATTTTATATTGCTTCATTTTATTCTGTTATACTTTGTTTTACTTCATTTTATTTTATATTGCTTCATTCTATTCTATATCTTTTATATTGCTTCATTTTATTCTGTTTGATTTATCAATTCTATTCATTTCGCTCTTTATTTACCTTTATTCTAGTCTTTTTTGCACTCGTCCAGATACTCCTGCGGAAGCGTATGCAGAAACACACCCAGCGCCGATAGCAGTACCGATAGCAGCATCGGTAGCAGCATCGATCGCAGCAACACTAGTGGATGATGCTGCTCCCAAAACGAGACAAGAATAAGTAATAGTAACAGCAGGGAAGAAGAGCGAGGACAAAGAACGCGTACACGCATAGTGGAGACAATGGTACTCTTCCGCAGCAGCACGCTTGTAGGCAATGGCTGCTGAAGACAGCTCAAAGCGATCCGGATCTGCTCGGACCAAACTATCCACTTTAGGACACTCGTTGCTGGATGGACCCCTTCAATAGCTGATTTATGATCCATAGTTGAATGCTCCTGCGCCTGGATCAAATAAAGGAATATCACCCACTGCAGCCACTAGCGGCTGACAGACTAACACAAGCCCTGTAACGCACATTATCAAATGCGCCAATAGAGAATGCTACAAGCAACAGCACCCGTGGAGACTTAATGGAGCCGCACCGTTGACACTCTGCAGCCTCTTCTGCAGTGCAACCTTGTGTGACCACAAAAAATAAACCACCGATCCCAGGATCAGAGTCATCAGCAATGAGGATCGCGGCAGTCGGCAATGGACAACAGCAGCCCTGCCGCTCTCCATGCTAACACAGACCAAGGTGTTTGTGGAGAGCAATGAATGGGTCCCATCGCCGCCTTTGGCCCTCCTGGTCACTATGGCCTGGCCAGGGTGGGCTAAACCTTGACTGCCTGTGCGCTCCTCGCGTATGTGGCCCATGCATTTGATTCTTGATGTGATTGGAGCTCTCTTTGTTTACAGCCTAAATTTGTGGCCCAAGCACTGCACTCCCAAAGAGGCTGTGGATTTGGCTGCTGCTGCGACCATCATTGGGCCACGCTCCTGCTGATACTGCCTTACCTCATTTGCTCCTCCGACATGGCAGCGGTGTTCTGGGGCCCATCAATCCTGGGGCACTCCATTGAGGTGCTGAAGCGATTGAGGGTCAGTGCCATGTTCGAACACTGGTTGCGCTGCGAATGCTGCTCTGACGAGCCGAACGAGGCGCATTAGACAAGAGTAGTGCTTCCTCGACGGGAAAAGCATCGGCACCAACGATATCTTCTTTAGGCGGGCGTTTTAATCCACCGGCAGCCCCTGGTCGTCTGCTTCCGTAAATGCATTGTTGCTGGTGTCGTTTCTAAGCTCAGTGATCAGTTGATAAACCTCTGCTTTTTTTGTCTTCAACTGCTGAAAATTACCCTAATCTAGCCATCTTGCCATCGCGCGGCATCAGAATCGTAGACAATTGTGCTAGCTCCTGCATCTGCTATGTAACAAAAGTCTCCGTCTTGTCTGCCAGTAGTTTCCTGGTCAAGGAGCCTCTCAATTTCGACTCGCAGGAATATTTAGCGTAGCGAAATCAAGATAGTCCCACAACTACAGTAACCATGACCAATGTAAAAAAAGGATAGAGATGCATCATCCCCTCCCTCCTCCCCCACGCACACACATCACCAGCAATAACGCAAATGATTAGACATTTGAGATTGATGATGTCCATGGTATGATTAGAGTCGGAAACAGAAAGCTGTTTACAGAACTACAGGGCCTCGTTCTAGAATTGAATACATTGCTTTATTTAAAGAGACTCATGCAATTAGCTCCATCAATCATATAAACAGCCATTTCTATCTGGGCTGTCAACTGTTGGAGAACTGAAAAAAGAAAAATGTGTGGGCACGACGCGCTGCTTGCGTTACATGACAATGAAAATGGTTGCAATTTTCCTATAGACGTGCCTGCAGTAAAACTAACGAGGCCAAAGCTGGTAGGGAAACGTGTTCATCCGTGCCAACTCTACCGAAAGGCAACAAACACATCTCATAAAACTTGCCGTGCTATGCTCGACGTCCTCAGAAAAGGCCGAACAGACATCTCTACTGTGTGCTGTGATTAAACGTCTCGGAGAGTTTGCAGTGAAGGCCATCTACTATCGCATCAGTGGTCTCCGAGTTCAGCTGAGAGTCGGTTTTCTGGGCGATAGCAGCAGCAGCTCGGTTTTGAGCTTGGGCTCCCTCCCTGTAGGAATCGTAGAGAATCGATGCCTGGGTTGATATGATGTATCCGTAGTGCAGCGACATTACATCGGCATGGATGTGCGAATTGATGGCTTTCATGTTGGTTGACCTCCTTCAATGGCTATATCGGACAAATATTAAAGGCTCTGTCCATCCCCACTTTAATTGAGTGGATCACTGACACACATAAAGACAAGTGCACAAGTGACAGTGGTACGAAATTAGTAGAGTGATACGCATCAATTGGTCCATTAACACCACCGACGAAACACCGAGGCGACACAGCTGTGGACTTACGAGGCTCGCAGGAGCGGAAAGGTGGTGTATTGAAAGAAACTTAGCTGTTCCAAGGGAGAGACAATGACACTAAGGACAGCGTAGTAGTGAATAAGTTAAGGTGAGCAAAGGAACGTGGGAAGACGACAAGGTCTAGCGAACCTTACGAGACCAATACTCACAAATGAGCTTTAACGAAAGTGCTGTGCGCAACTTGGCCGGACCTTAAATGGATGCGGGACGAATGTTAAATGTGGGGTACAATAGGATTACGGGATGTGATGCCACCGCTGTATACAGGACAGATAATAAGGTAAAAAGTAAACGGAGAAGTAGGATGAAGACGACAGACGAGAATGTGAGGACAGGAAAGAGTGTGGGCGAGAAATTTTTATGGATGTTGTAGGTGAGTCTGAACGACTACGTTCCTGAAGAGTGCCGCCGTCAGCATGTGCCTTTTTAGGGGAATAGCGGTAACAACAAAGTACCGGCTGCCAATCAGTGTCCCAGCGTCCATGGTTCTCTTTGTATACCCTGGTCCCTTTGTCGCCAGTGTTACTTGTCAGACCTGTAGACACCTATAGACCGCTTCGGGTGTGGATATATTTTGCATAGATAAATAGAGAGTTTTGCCCGAGCCTTAGCCTTACTCTGTAGTTACCTATGCTGCAACAGAAATGAAACCATTCATAGGAGGAATTATTCAGCCTTGTTTTTCTGTTACTATGATTCATGGTATTGATTCAGGCGTACTGTACTATTTTCAGGCTCAATAGCAGTAGCAATTTGTAGTTCGAACAAGCATGGAAACGATGTGATCGTGGTCGTGTACCAATCACTCCATCATGATCGTACAGACGAGTAGCACCGGACGATACATCGATGAAATGGAGTTAAGGTGCACATGCGCCTCCACATCCGGATGACTCCTTTCCCAGAAAGAGGTCCTTTCTCAGACTTTTTTCGGGTCCAAGCTGGGTGTTAGTCGTATGTACAGACCCACCGCCCATTGTCTGATTGTTACTCAAAACCTGTCTTCGTACACGCCTAAATCGGGATGGAAGCATGTGGAGCTGTCATGAGGGGGCTCCGAGGCACCTTCTTGAAGTTTGCCAAAGGTCAACATTAACAATAACAAAGTGAATAAAGGACAAGGATCAAAAACCGGAGGATGGGGTAGCCCCACCAGGGATGGTTAGAACGTTGTACGTGAAAAAGGAAAAGCCAATCCATAGTAAAAAACTGCAGCAGCTAACTTCTGAAAGCTGGAAATACGCTGACTGAGGGCTCGTTCCCCGCATCCCTTTATGTCATTTTCTCACTAGTGTGAGATACTTTGAGTCCAGCCCACTCGACTCCCCAACGTTCTCTCCATCCTTTGTTGACCTTGCAACCAGTTTGGTATCATAGGAATTGCCGGTCATTAGGATGACGAGACTCCATAAGCTATATCAGATACCAGTTGCTGAGAGGGGCAAATCAAACTGAAACGAAGTGCATCACCGAGGATTGTGCTCAGTATGCCATAGGTACTGAAGACGGTAACACAGATACCGAAGGCGAGCACGATGGAGTCTGGGATAGCTCGAGGTGGACCTATATGATCTTAATTTTGGCCCTATAGAATAAGAATCTTGTAGTTCATTGTTCCGCCCACAGAAATACGGGGTCTATTTTTATGGCAGCAGTAAATCAATACTGCCGCGTCGTTCTTTGAATAGCCGGCGTTCTTCTTTCTCCCTGAGTAAACATTCCGAGTGATTGTCTTCGGACAACTTGGAGCGACTTTCTTTTATTTACGCTTGCTCAATAAAATTGCTCTTTGCATGGATACAGTGCACACTCGCGTGGTTCTATGGTTCTACTGCGCGCCTTAGCCATTCCCTGATTAGGAAAATTGTGTGAGCGTCAGTCGCTGTGCAGCTGAGCCCATCAAATGCGAAGCTCAGACGACTGGCGGCAGGTTTCCTGCTGCCCATATACTCAGCGTATGCTTGTTTATGAGAATACCGGTAACGACGAACCACCGACTAGGGATCTTTGTCCTCTCTATAGACACTGCTTTCTTCGTCGTCGATTCTTCGGCCGCTCTTTCTGTACTAGCTATCACCTGCAGATCGTCCCGAACATGGACCTACTTTGCATAGATAAATAAGTCGTATCCGAGTCCTCCTCTGTAGTTTAGTGCCCGCCATCCTCTTATATAAAGCGCTCTACAGCTCACTTCTTTCTACACTCCCTGCAATTTCACTGACTCTCCATTGGCCATTAGTTTGCCTTTGGGTTGTTCTTGTTACTTTTCCTATTGATTCCAGCTATAACGTTATCTCGCAGTTACAATAACGGAAGGAATAAACGTACAGTATCTTATTAAAAGACTGTCAAGGTATGCTGCCTGTTACTAGACTTTGCGATGTTGCTTAAGGGCGATATGTCGAAGATTGGCGAACGCGCTGTCTCCGATGCATGTTGCCTACGCCTGTGAGGACATCAATCTGGCTGATGATACTTTCTCAGCAGCCGATGCTCATTGTGGAAAAAATGATCTTTGAGAAGGCGGAGACTTTTGTTACATAGCAGATGCAGGAGCTAGCACAATTGTCTACGATTCTGATGCCGCGCGATGGCAAGATGGCTAGATTAGGGTAATTTTCAGCAGTTGAAGACAAAAAAAGCAGAGGTTTATCAACTGATCACTGAGCTTAGAAACGACACCAGCAACAATGCATTTACGGAAGCAGACGACCAGGGGCTGCCGGTGGATTAAAACGCCCGCCTAAAGAAGATATCGTTGGTGCCGATGCTTTTCCCGTCGAGGAAGCACTACTCTTGTCTAATGCGCCTCGTTCGGCTCGTCAGAGCAGCATTCGCAGCGCAACCAGTGTTCGAACATGGCACTGACCCTCAATCGCTTCAGCACCTCAATGGAGTGCCCCAGGATTGATGGGCCCCAGAACACCGCTGCCATGTCGGAGGAGCAAATGAGGTAAGGCAGTATCAGCAGGAGCGTGGCCCAATGATGGTCGCAGCAGCAGCCAAATCCACAGCCTCTTTGGGAGTGCAGTGCTTGGGCCACAAATTTAGGCTGTAAACAAAGAGAGCTCCAATCACATCAAGAATCAAATGCATGGGCCACATACGCGAGGAGCGCACAGGCAGTCAAGGTTTAGCCCACCCTGGCCAGGCCATAGTGACCAGGAGGGCCAAAGGCGGCGATGGGACCCATTCATTGCTCTCCACAAACACCTTGGTCTGTGTTAGCATGGAGAGCGGCAGGGCTGCTGTTGTCCATTGCCGACTGCCGCGATCCTCATTGCTGATGACTCTGATCCTGGGATCGGTGGTTTATTTTTTGTGGTCACACAAGGTTGCACTGCAGAAGAGGCTGCAGAGTGTCAACGGTGCGGCTCCATTAAGTCTCCACGGGTGCTGTTGCTTGTAGCATTCTCTATTGGCGCATTTGATAATGTGCGTTACAGGGCTTGTGTTAGTCTGTCAGCCGCTAGTGGCTGCAGTGGGTGATATTCCTTTATTTGATCCAGGCGCAGGAGCATTCAACTATGGATCATAAATCAGCTATTGAAGGGGTCCATCCAGCAACGAGTGTCCTAAAGTGGATAGTTTGGTCCGAGCAGATCCGGATCGCTTTGAGCTGTCTTCAGCAGCCATTGCCTACAAGCGTGCTGCTGCGGAAGAGTACCATTGTCTCCACTATGCGTGTACGCGTTCTTTGTCCTCGCTCTTCTTCCCTGCTGTTACTATTACTTATTCTTGTCTCGTTTTGGGAGCAGCATCATCCACTAGTGTTGCTGCGATCGATGCTGCTACCGATGCTGCTATCGGTACTGCTATCGGCGCTGGGTGTGTTTCTGCATACGCTTCCGCAGGAGTATCTGGACGAGTGCAAAAAAGACTAGAATAAAGGTAAATAAAGAGCGAAATGAATAGAATTGATAAATCAAACAGAATAAAATGAAGCAATATAAAAGATATAGAATAGAATGAAGCAATATAAAATAAAATGAAGTAAAACAAAGTATAACAGAATAAAATGAAGCAATATAAAATAAAATGAAGTACAACAGAATAAAATGAAGCAGAATGAAATGAACTAAAATAAAAAAGGAACAGCCGTTGTCTGCTCCAACAACTGCCTTGTGCGACCGATAACATGCTCGCTTTGTGCTGAAGGTGTTACCAGCGATAGAACTGGGGACAGGGTGCAGCTCCTTGAGGATGCTTGATACGCTTGCAGCAGCAGCAACAACAGTGGCAACAGCAGCAGTAGTAGTAGCAGCAGTAGCAGCAGTAGCACATCGAAGTGTCTGCACTGGTCTCCATCCAAGCTGACTCTCCCTTCTTGGTGGCAAGTGAGACACTCTGATGATCGGCTGCAGACCTCTTGTGGTGTCACGCGAGCACATGCAACGGATACGCGTAACAGTACGTCAATACATGGACGTCGTAATGCACAATGCACAACGCACAATGCACAATGCACAATGCACAATGCGAGCATATCTTATTATCGCTTAAAGTGCTGCGGCTCACTGCTGTGATGTAATGTCTAGCTGGTGGTGGTGTCTATAGCAGACTAGTGAGCTGAATATAGGTCTGGAAGAAGGCGCACGCAGCGATGGTTGTGTAGGAATCAATAGTTTGGTCCGGACCCAACCCTGATGCGATGAGTTGCCGCCAGGGACCACTACGCTCTTACATATTGGAGCGAAGAGGTAGCCTTGCTGGTTTATGTCCCGCATGATCTATGTCTCGTATGGTCATCGGGAGCACTGGCCGCTCCATCTTTTTCAGGCTAGTTGATTCATTCAGTACCAGTTTCATGCTTGCTTCCGTGCTTGCTTCGAGGATGCTCCCTTCTGTGTCCATGTTTGCTATTGTCCAACATCTCCTCTCTGTCTCGGCTTCTTTCATGCAAAGAGCAGCAGCTGACCGTTGCATTACGCGGTTGTTCGGTGGTGTTCTATGCGCAGCAGATAGCATCGACGACGGATTCTATCCATGATGAGAGGTAGAGGGGTATAGATGCTCCCAACTATTCCCCTCCTCCTCCTCTTTTTTTTTTTTTTTTTCTTTTTAACCCCTCCTCTTTTCTCTTCTCTCTTCACTCTTCTCTTCATTCTTCTCTCTTCACTCTTCACTCTTCTCTCTTCTCTCTTCACTCTTCACCCTTCACTCTTCTCTCTTCACTCTTCTCTCTTCACTCTTCTCTCTTCACTCTTCACTCCTCATACTCCCCTCCTTAGGTCTCCAAGGCTCCAAGTTTCCAAGTTTCCAAGTTTCCAAGCTTCCAAGTCTCCAAGGTTCCAAGGTAAGCTCTTCTCCCTTCTACTCCTTTCACTTTTCACCTTCTCTGTTCTTGATGTCCCCATACGCTTTCTCTTCAGTTACAGCTCGTATCTTTTTTGCTTTGTCTCCTTTTATCTTGTTCTTGTTCGTTGTCTCTAATTCACTATCTACCTCTCTCTCTGTCACTCTCTGTCACTTCTTTGTCACTTTCTTTATCCCTCTCTCTGTCCATTTCTCTCTGTCACTCTCTGTCCACCTCTCTGTCCACCTCTCTCTCCACCTCTCTGTCCATCTGTTTCTCTCTCTCTCTCTCTCTCTCTCTCCTTTTCTCTGTCTGCTTCTTTCGCTGTCGCTACCATTCCCGGCCTTTTTGCCCGAAAGATGATCTTTCAAGGCACAAGGGCTTGCGGCGATAGATCGATGCTTAGGCGTCTCTCGCTGTCGGTATGTGGCGGTTGATCGATGCTTTACGCGTCTCCCGCTATCGGCATGTCGCGGTTGATCGATGCCTAGGCGTCTCCCGCTATCGGCATGTCGCGGTTGATCGATGCTTAGGCGTCTCCCGCTATCGGCATGTCGCGGTTGATCGATGCTTAGGCGTCTCCCGCTATTGGCATGTCGCGGTTGATCGATGCTTAGGCGTCTCCCGCTATCGGCATGTCGCGGTTGATCGATGCTTAGGCGTCTCCCGCTATCGGTATGTGGCGGTTGATTGATGCTTAGGCGTCTCCCGCTGCCGGTAAGGCTTCCAGGTAAGTGAACTGTTATGCTTGTCTTCCAGCTGTCTCTCCCATTTTGGCAACAACAAGTCGTGTGACCATAAATTTCCTTTTTCAATCTTTCTCTTTGTCTCTTATTTTCTACAGCCAAGCCAAGCAAACAAGTCCACCAGGGCTTGCGAAGATATCGTAATAAAGGTAATAAAACAAGAGAAGCCGCTCCGGGGCCGATCTTTTTTTCCCTTTGTGGTTTTTTTTGGGGTACCATGGCTTGCAACCTGCCCGCGGTGTACCCTGCACAGTCCTTACTCTTCCGAGCAAGACTGACCGATGGCAAGCCAACCTTTTCTCTCTTTCTTTACTTTTATAAAAAAAAAAAGCAAAAATAAAAAGACAAAGACTTATCATCTACTCTAAAAACTGTCTTGTGCAATCGATGGCATGCTCGTGTTGTATTGAAAGTGTTGAAGTATGCAAGTACTAACGATAGAGGCGTAGCTAGGAGTCCATGGATACAGCACCTTATCAAGAGGCCCTTGAGGCATGCTGCTTATTATCAGACTTTGCGGCGTTGGTTGGTGGCGACGCGATCGAGATTGGCGAGTGCGGCATCAAGCTTTTGGGTGACCAGGGGGCAAATATCTCACTGGCGCGTGCTATCTATGCTCGTGCGGACATTTATCTGTTTGACGATACTCTTTCGACAGTCGATGCACATGTGGAAAAAGGCGATCTTTACAAGGCGATCATGTCCAAGGAACTACTGGCAGGCAAGGCGAAGCTCTTTGTTACACATCGGATTCAGTACCTGGCACAGTCGACCACGATTCTCTTGCTGTGCGATGGCAAGGTGGTTAGAGCAAGACAGCTTCCAGGAGCTAAGGCAAAGACAGCAGAGGTCTATCAACTGGTCACTGGGCATGGAAGCGACAGCAGCAATAACACATTGTCGGTACCGATGCTTTTCCCGTCAAGGAAGCACCAGCCTTGCTCGATACGTCTCGTTCAGCTCGTCGGAGCAGCATTCGAAGTGCAACCAATGTTCAGACACGGCACCGCCATCAGTCGTTTCAGTGCCTCAATGGAGTGTTTTCAGGATCGATGGATGCCAGAACACCACTATCATGTCGGAGGAGCAAATGAGGCAAGGCAGTATCGGCAGAAGCGTCTACTTTGCATATGCAAACTCATGCTTCTATCGCTCGATCATTGCCTACATCCTGTCCGTGGTCTTATTCTAGATCGAGCTCTCCATGGCGGACTCACTGGGGCAGCGACAATGGCGCAGGAAGGAGTGTCAAGGATCCACTTTTTTTATACCGGCACCCATGCGACATTGGGCTTCACGTACTCACTGTTGACGGTCTTCCAGTCGATTATAATCCAGGCCCATTGTTGTATCAGTCTAGCGCGTATGTTGCACCAGAGGATACTGCATAGTGTTCTACGATCGCCAATGATGCTCCTTGATACCTCTTCCATGGGATGTATCCTCAACCGTTCCAGCAAAGACCAATCAGCGGTTGATAGGGTCTCTCCGTGCTCTTTTGCTGTGTACTCAAGGGCAGTGTGCTAGGCCCCTTCGGCTTTGGATGAAGGCATAGACGACAGGATATCCGTACCCGAATCGACCTACAAATTGTTTTCGTGTACGTTTAAGGAGCAGGACGAGAGAGCCGCAGCTTTGTCAGAGACTGATGATCTTGCGGTCTTTGTGCGGCCTTTTCTGCTTCCCCTGCTCCAAAAACCAGGCGAAGGCGTCATGAAGTAGTAAGACTTTGTTTTGTGTGTTGCTGTGTGTGATATGTAAGGCATGTTTGCTGCTTCTTTTGACATTGCCATGCAAATATATCTAGCATTGCAAGCAAACTGACCCAAGCACTTATCTACCTCCGTCGCATACAGCACTCTACCGCAAGCAAGTCCCACCTGAAAAAGGATGGACAAAGTGTGTTTTCAGGAATATCGTCGTCATTCCTACCCTCATCGCCCTCATCTGCAAATCGCTAGAAGTGTCTGGGAGATCTGCCCCGTTTTGCTGTCTGATGTCGAAAAGTAATACGCGGATCGTATCCGCGTAACGATGGGGAGGTCAAGGTCCTTGGCGCTAACGTGATCGATTGACACTGCTCCATTTATTGATCCGTCCCCTGTGGCGACGTAGTGCTTATGAACATAAGCAAGGCCCTCAAGCCCCCTGTGACTACGACGACATTCTTATTCGCCAAAGATCTTCCTCCGTGGTTGTGCGTTGAATATGTTTTGATAGAGTCTGTCTAAAAGATGAAGGGGGTCAATAAGCTACCTAAGCTACTCCCTGTCGAGGCTTCTGGACAGGAGACACCTTCCGCACGGAAGTTGCATAGGACATATGCCCATGAACAGTTAAGAACGCCTGTTCATGACCAAAGCAGCCAATAAAGGTCTCCGGAGCTGGCAGCATATAGTGGGTCAAATGTGAGTAAGGAATGTGTGAAACGGCGACTATGCATGGCTATTGCTATACTCGGAATTGTACAAATGGCTCCTCTGTACGAGTAGGCAGTTCAAATGGTTTACAGTGCAGAAGACATAAAGGAGACAGAAACTCTCTTGGTCACTGAATGAACACTATGAACACGTTTGTGGGGTGGTGAGACATCGATCGTTACACAGCTTTAGTTAAATGGAATACAAAACAGGCAAAGCGAATCGAAAAGACACCGACTAGCGCTCTCAGTTCGGTACTAAGGGAAAGTGAGGTATGAGTGTAAGGCGTTATAAGAAAAATAAGAAAGCATGGTTCTCCTCCACTATATAGATTGGATCAATGCCCGTTCTTACAGATGTCATCAATAAGCACTACAGCTGTACTAAATAGTAAGCTCAAGCAGGGCGGCCGGATGGATTAAGAGGCAGTGTGATGAAGCGATTGACATCGTGATGTCTTCGCGTCGTTTGGGAGCAGCGGGGAATGGCGTAGGATAGATGAGAGTAATCTTAACATAGGGTCTACGTTTAACCCTAAACGGCCAAATGTATTCACATGACTCACGCATCGCCGAGCATCGCAATGTTATGGTTTCTTTATTTCTTTCTTTTGTATACATGCATGTCTACGTTCATGCCTCATGACGAGGGGCGATACCCTGGGCAGGCTGCATCCATCCATAGGGATCCTCAAGGTCGCCGTTTTGGATGCCACGCATGGCAGTGAAAAGACGAAGGAAGCCGGCACCGATGGCATCGCGTGTCTCGGGAGTACCAATGGGGGTGGTGACGCCCTGACGCTGGATGGATTTGACAGGGGTGATAACAGCGGCAGTACCGCAGGCGGCGATCTCCTCGAATCGATTGTTCTCAACGTCTGAGAAGGGCACAATCTTGTTCTCGACGTACCATCCGAAGCTCTTGGCGAGCTGTACCAGCGACTGCTTTGTTACTGAATTAAGGATAGAGGGACTTTCTGGTGCGCAGAAGACAGGCTTGTTGCCGTGTTCGGGCGAAGGATAGGTCAATGCGACAAAGTTGGATGTGCTGAACTCGTCGATGTTAGAGTGAGTCTTGGAGTCGAGATGGAGAGTGATGGCGAACCCTTGTTCCTTCGCAGCACTGCTGTGCTTCAACACTGGAGCATAATTGCCTCCCAACTTGGCAGCACCTGTTCCCAATGGGGCCGCTGTTTGACATGGTCCGTCACAATGAGGTAGTGACAACAAGATAAAGAACCATGTTAGTGCACTTGAGCATTCTTCAATCAATATTGCGTTGCTGTGTCGATGTCGATGTTGGTCCATGTACCTCGATCAAAGCTGTCGACAACAAGGCAGTCGACGGGCTTAACTCCTGACTTGTAAAAGTTACCGACGGGGATGACCATAACGATGAAGGTGAACTCTGGAGCGGGATAGAGTCCAATTTCGGCGCCAGTTCCCAGCAAGAGAGGGCGCAAGTACAGGGCTCCGCCCGATCCATATGGAGGCACGAACTCGAGATTGTTAGCAACGGCTCTTTCGCAGGCCTCAACAAAGAGATCCTCGGGTACGGGGGCCATGCAGGCGAGGTCGGCGGAGTATTGCATACGCTTGGCATTGGCGTCCGGACGGAAGATGCGGACGTTACCATCCTTGCACCTGAATGCCTTGATTCCCTCGAAGCACTAGAGATGAAAGATGGTGATCAATTAATCAATTGAGTCCACTGTTAAAGAAAGAGAAAAGAAGACAGGGCATGAGAAGAAATAAAAGCGATGACCACTCTTACCTCCTGGCCGTAGTTGAGAGCAGGGGCGCAGACGTGCATCTTGATGTAGGCATCGCGGACGAACTCGCCGTTGTCCCACTTGCCGTCCTTGTGGATGTACTTGACATAGCCGTTGGTATCGAGCCATTTGAACCCGAGGTTGTCCCAGTCGATGGCGGTGGAAGGATCAGGGGTGTTGATCGTCATTGGTGAGTGAGTGCGGTGCTGGTAGTGAAAGAGTGAGTGAGAGCGTGGAGGAGTGAAAGGGAAAGAGAGAGAGGGAAAGAGAATAGAAGCAGCGGGAGAGAAATGTTATATCGATCAGATTATGATTTTTGTGTGGAGTGTCAGTCCAGAAAAAAGACGGACGGATATGACTCTTTTCACCCCATCGGATACTTTTTTCCCCGGGCCAGGCTGTGCTCTTTCATCCAGCCTTTCTTTGAGTGTGACTGACTTGCTTGTCACCAAACGATCTTCGCGCCACCAGAAACTGATCGCGTCTCCATCTTCACATCCCTCGAACCACCCGGCAATGGACACCCACAGCAGCAGCAGCAACGCCGCATTTCCACTGAGTAATAAGCAGGCAGCGCGGATAGTCCAGGGCAGGCACACCGAGGTCCTCGTCACCTCCTTTGTCGACAAGATCCTCATCCTCGTCAGTCAGTATGGCAAAGTCGGCAGTGTGGTATGTCCCTCTAAGCAAATGGAGCAATTGGTAGCCATATACACTCAAGCCTAGGATCTGTTTATTAACCGAGTAGAGTGAATTCGCCCTATAGATACATACGGCAGTGGACCAGCAGACTCTGGCACCCAACACAACGACATCCTCCTCAGACCTTGTTTCGACATCTTCGACCTTCTTGTTGGGAGCGGGATCTTCGGTCTCGAAAAAGACACAGCTCTACAACGTCTACGCCTCACACATATCCCAGATGATCCATCATCAGAACCCCGCCGAAACACGATCGGTGATCCTTTCCCTAGCCTTAGCGGTCCAGGAACCAGATTTGGAACGGAGTCCCACTCTGGAAGAGGAGCAGGACCAGCGCAGACAGGACCGAGATCTGTTTGAGAACGTGATCGAGTTGATCAACGAATGCAGTGTGTGGAATTAACTTATCAGGCACTGTTGAGCGTTAGTATATCGACATGCGTGCAGGGTCAGTTCAACAAACCAACCGACCAGAAAACAAAGATGCCCTCCCCCTTGATCTTTGATTCGCCTCCTCGCTCTTCCCGCTTTCAGAAAAAGAAAAAAAAAAAACGACGACGACGACGACGACGACGGCGACAACACGGTCATCAGTCAAGCAGCCCGGCATTAGACCTGCAACAGCAGCACGGACGAAGGAGACAACGAAGAGGGAAGAGGACTTTGCAACGCCAGTTAGCGAGGGCTAAGAAAGCATACCATGTACCATACCCTCAATCATGTGTGAACAATCCAAGCAAAAAAAGTAAAAAGAAGGGGGTACAAGTAATAATGCATCTGGAGGTAAACCAAAGGCCAACCCTGCAATAAAATAAAAAATGCGCTTTGTCCGTTTCAATTGAACCCCCTTCCTGTCCTTATCCTCTTTGTCCTGTCCTTCACATTCATCCGCACTCCTCCTGCTCCTCCTCATTCATTCCATTCCGTTTCTTCTTGGCACATTTCCCTCCTCCATTTCATCCATCGCTGATCCCTGTCTCCACAAGACTGAGTAGTCTCCGCTATGAACCTCGCCCGTCCACGTGGCGCCCATTACGAGATTCTGGCTGCAGACGACGACCAGGATTATAACGAGTTGCAGTCCGTCCTCACCTCAGACCAACTTGACCAGCAGCTGCAAGCTTCTGCACAAACCTCCTCGTCTTTGCTCCAAAAGAGACCTTCGCCTTCGCACTACCTCGGTGTTACCGACAACTCCTACGACGATGACAACGACAACTTCGACGACGACGACTGGGGCCACTACTCGTCCTCCTCCGATAATGAAAAGCCGTACCTCCGTACCAACCCTCGCTCGAGTCGCATGCCTGACTCACCCAATGCGCTCTTCCCTGACCAGCCCAAGGTATGATAGTTATCTCTATCTAGGACGCATACAGCAATCGACATACTGCAATGAGCATAATCCTTACTCTCTCTGCTGTTCACAATGGAATATAGCTGACACGCTGCAACCGTGTCTTTCTAAGCATCTTTGCCATATTTATTGTCGTCTGGGTCTCTTTTGCACTCTATCTCGGCATTGGTCGACTAGGTAAGGGCTACAGGACCGGCGTTGCCAGCGCAGGAAAAACGGGGTTTGCTGCTTTGTGTACCGTTATAGTTTGGATGGCAGTATTTACGGCGAACGCGACAGCAAGTGTTTGAACATCATCTTTTCCATAAAAGGATGTGTAATACCCATCAATGGGGCCTTTGAACTCGCTGGTTTTCCCACGAAAGCCTTCACCCTGGATGGGCGCATCTTCATCGAGTACTATTGCTGATCTACAATCTATCTACTCATCATCTACCATCACATCTCTTATATCTTCAATGCAATTCCTCAATTGATGTCGGATACCGCATTGCAGTCAAGCTGTCGCAGGAGGGTATGGCCAACATGCAGCCGTCCTTTCAGTTTGAGGATATGTTCAATCAGTCTTTTGCCCCGAAGTACCAAAGCCTTGCTTGGATGCCATATGGTAAAGTACAAGAATCTTATCGCATTGTCATAAAAAGTTGACTCTTGCCCTTGCTGAATGCCCCACGTCGCTTCGTTCCTGATTGCTCTAGGTGACGATGGCGTGTACTCTCGCATTAATGCCGCCGGTGACATTATCTTGACCAATGTTGATGGTTCTGAACCCAAGGTCTTCCTTCCGGGTGCCAATGTCACCGATGTGAGTGCTCATGATCATATCGTTGAAGCATTTATCCTACATGTCCATAGTATACCTACGTAAACTAACGCATTACTGTGTATCGAACAAACAGGCTCGTGGAAAACGAATTCCCTTCTTCTCTTTCTTCGTCTCTCCCGATGAGAAGTATGTTCTGCTTGGCACCGACCGTCGCAAGGTAACTTTCAGTGCTTAAATCGCGCCGGAAAGACAGAATATTGTCATAGTATTTTTCATTCACCTCCAACCCTCCCCGCTTCTGCAATTTCCTCTGAATAGCAATGGCGCCACTCCTTCAATGCCAGCTACTACATTTACAGCATGGAAAATTACCAACTTACACCACTTTTGGAATCGGCAGGCGAACCAGGAGTAGAGCATGTCGCATGGAGTCCTGTGGGCCACAGTTTGGCCTACGTTCAGAACAACAATTTGTATATATATCAGGATTTGGTCCACCGCCATCAGATTACCTTTGACGGCGCTGTCAGCATTTTCAACGGCATTACTGATTGGGTTTACGAAGAGGAGGTATATGCGTCGCCTTCGGCATTATGGTGGTCGCCAGATGGAACTGCAATTGCGTTCCTGCGCTTTGACGAGACTGAAGTCCCCGAGTTCCACTACTCCCTCTACATGGACAACCAGATCAACGCGCCAGCTTATCCCCGGGATGTTGTGATGAAGTATCCAAAGGTCGGGTTTCCCAATCCTATTGTGAATCTTCACATGTATAACCTGAAGTCTGCCCTCGTACCCACCACGGCACATCCGCTAGAGCCCATTGTCCTGGACGGAATCTTCGAGCCCAAGGACAGAATTATTGCTGAGGTCAAGTGGGCGACAGAGGGCTCAGACGCGCTCCTGGTGAAGGTCCAGAATAGGGTGCAAAACCACGAAAAGCTCGTCCTTGTGAACCCAACCACGCTGACAGGCAAGGTGGTCCGTGAATGGAACGCCGGCATAGAAGATGGTGGCTGGATCGATATGCAGCAGAGCATTCGCTACGTGGCCCCGTCCAAGTCTGTACCTGAAGGAGGATATCTTGACATTGTCAACAACAATGGATACAATCACATTGCGCTCTACACACCCATTGACAATCCCGCACCGAAGTGGCTCACCTCTGGAGAGTGGGAAGTCCAGTCAATTGCAGCTGTCAATGGAAAGGAGGGTCTGGTGTACTACATTTCGACCGAGAAGTCTAGCCTTGAGCGTCATTTGTACAGGTATGTTTTTAATATTGGAATTTGTACGGGTGGCACCAAGCTATTGTACCATTGCGAGGTATAACCATGATCTCCTGGTATTTACGACTCGATTCTTATTATTATACAGCGTTACCTTGGACTCGGCAGATCGGAAGTCACTGACTGACGTGACCCTGCCTGGCTACTATACAGCCTCGTTCTCGACCGGTGCAGGATACTACCTCCTGTCTTATCGGGGGCCTGACGTACCATGGCAAAAAGTCAAGAAGTCAGTTGACGAAAAATTTATTAGCGATGTGGAGGACAATGCCGTCCTCCGTGCTCTCCTGAACGCGACCCAGGTTCCTACCAGACGTTGGTCGACCGTGAATCTGAATGGCAGAGGTAGAAATAACGCAAATGCATCCCGGTTTTTCGTGTATCCTACTGCTGGTCAATTGGTTTGCTAATATATATGTCTCTATATCGCTGTAGAATGTAACTACATGGAGTTTTTGCCTCCTGGATTTTCGCCCGAACAAAAACATCCTGTTTTGTTCCAAGTGTAAGGTCCCATCCCTCTCGAAGCTATTTCTTTTCAAAAGGCTTATGATCCACGTCGACGACCCTAATACATATACTTTTATTCAATTCCTTGCAGCTATGGAGGTCCGGGTTCGCAGCTGGTTGATACCCAATTCCAGTTGGGGTTCAGCGCTGTCATGTCCACTATCGAGCGGCTCAAGTATGTCGTGGTGGTCGTCGATGGTCGTGGCACGGGGTATCGCGGTCGCGATTTCAGAATCAGCGTCGTCAACCAACTCGGCAAATTTGAAGTCGAGGACCAGATCGCTGCTGGCAAGCATTGGCAGACTCTATCTTACGTTGATCCAGACCGAGTTGCTATCTGGGGCTGGGTAAACAATGACCTGCGGGCATCTATTGTTCGTCTGCGCTACTTCCAGGCCTTCTCACTAACCAGCATTGCGTTTGACTATTGTTCGTATGATCATACATAGTCGTATGGAGGGTTCATGGCCGCCAAGATCACGGAAGCGAACAGCGGGGTCTTCAGAGCGGCCATGTCTGTAGCTCCAGTGACGGACTTCCGCTTCTATGATTCTGTCTACACCGAGAGATATATGAACCTGCCTACGACCAACCTGGACGGCTACGAGACGACTGCAGTGACCAATATGACCGGCTTTGAGAACTCGGACTTCCTCCTAGTGCATGGCACTGGTGATGGTAAGGCATCAGTTCTGACGCTTGTCTTTGTTATTTTCTTGTGCTGCCGCGGCGATACTTAACAAAGAACGATTATGCCTTGTGAAATATTGTAGATAACGTTCATGTCCAGAACGCGTTCGTACTCATTGACCGTCTTACACTGGCAGGCAACCACCGATACAAATCGCATTTCTTCACAGATAGCGACCACGGCATTCGGGCCCACAACGCCAACCACGAGATCTACTGGTTGCTCGCAGAGAATCTCTGGGAGACCATGGGCGGGTTCGTATCACCCGCTCATCACCATTAGACGTACACAATAATTTGCAGGCCCAATAAAATAACTCTGACGGTCAGCGGTGACTGGTTCAATACGATAATGCTGTGGTGTAAACGAAGTTCAGCAGGTAGCATACACTCGATCAGCGACAAAGTTATGCACATTAGACATGGATCTATTTGTCACTCATTCCACGGACAACACAGCAAGGTGCAAGGATGAGAACCTTTGCAGGATGCATCCGGTCACTATGCTGGAATTGCGTGTGGCAACGTTGGGCGTAGTCTCAGTCCAGGAAACCTCGCTGTTCAGCGGCGCCAGGATCTATCAACGATGCATCCCCAGCGACGACGTGTCCCAGGGCAGTATTAGCCTTGCACCTTGGTTGCAAAACAGGGCTTTGGAGCAGCAACTTCTCCATGTCCATGTCGACAATGCTCATGATAGCTGTGTACCTCGTAGGTCGTTAGGAGGAAGGCATCTCTTGGAATCTCACCTCGCTGGCCGTGTATGCTGACTTAGAGTTTCCTTCGTATCTGTTTCTTGGATAGTGGAGACAATCAAGAGGATTGTTGTCGCTCCCCTTCCTTCCAATATCAACCTTTTAAACCGGGTCAGACCAACCAACGGCACCAATGGAAATCTTATACGTGGCGCTCAACGTCATCGTAACTGGATAGAGAAGTCGATTAAACAGAGTATCGAGGGCCACCTGGTAACGTTGCTTACGCATTCTTTTTCGACTGATGGTTCGTCTTTGTTTACAGCATTCCTTATTCCTGAATGTCGGATTAACAAGCTTGGCCTCGATTCTGTCAAGAGCAGGCTAGTACTGGGTCTGTCATTTCAGCCAAGGTCAAGGCCCAGACATATCAATTCAAGGTTGTAGACATTCTATTCGAGACACCGATAAGCTCTCAAGTGGGTGTGATCGCTGAGGGCACCATTCTGGAGATTGATCAGGAACCTGTACCTAAGCAGATGGCACCCATTGTCTGTGGTGGTATGGGCACTCTCACGCAGGAAATCTGCAAGTTCATAGGTAAAACCTCGCATTACAAATCTGCATGGAAGTGCACGCGCAATCAACAACGTACACTGACGCTATTTGACATCATTCCGCTATTGAAATACATATGAAACATTAAAGTCGACTCTCTTCGCCACGCGGACGCTTACACGCGACTCAGCATACCCAACAAAAAGGCCGCTATTGTCACTGGTGTTGCAGGATCTGGCAAGAAAACCGTAGTGCAGTAAGTGGCAGTTAAGCGTTCGCCTCTTCTTTCTTCTTCCAGTGTTCCTTTGCATCGACTGAAAATCAAGGTCTGAAAACACGCTAGATTGTGCTGCAAATCCGTTGGCTTGCGCATATTCAAGCTATCTCTCTCTCGCGCCTTGTCAGACAGAGAAATCATAGAGTCTGACCAGGCGAAAGAGCTCTCGTATATTCGGACGGTGTTCGATATGGCATTGCAATCGGCTCCTAGCACTGTGGTCTTGCAAGACCTCGATGTGATCGCGAAAGGTACGGTGAAATGCATGATAACTCGCGATACCTTTTTCTACGCTACAATAAGCAAATACGGACGAGCATCCTTGGTTTATAAACAATAGATCGCGGAGTCGACTCTCAGCTTCTCTCATCTACAGTGTCGATCCTCTCCAAGGAAATGGAGCGCGCCAGGCAAGGCACAGATGTAAGTCAATAGGCGTATGAAAATAGAATACGCCACGAATACGGCAGCTCCTTGTTCGCAAACAAAGTACTCATATCACATTCAGGTCTTTGTATTCGCAATTTCAAGGAATCGGACAAAACTCCCCGAAATCTTTTTGAAGCAGGATGTTTTTCAACACGAATTTAAGATCCCAGTGCCGGTCAAGTAAGGATTCCTTTGGTTCATTTGTATCTGACAGACGAGATGAGACCATAAGAATGAGCCACTTATCCTTGAAATCCCTTTAGGACCCAGCGTGAGGATATTCTGGAGGCCCTATGCTCTAGTATTGCCAGCATTGCTGCCTCAGATAAGAAAACAATCAAGTCCACGGCTTCTCGAGTAGCGCTGGTAAAGAGATCAACTTCTGGCCTATACCACTCAGCTCCTCCTTTCAACTCTCTGACATCTCTGCTCGATTCACATTTGCCGTTGAGGCTAGACATCTGCAGGATATGTCGCTAAAGACCTACGGAACCTTTGTCGTTCTGCACTGTTACATTCACTGAGGCAGAACGATGGCAGCATACCGTTAGATCACGATGTTGTGTCACCGACAGCAAGTCTTAATACCGACACCAGGGGTGAAGGGCACCAGACAGGCGAAGACTCTGTTCACGATTTTCATCATATCCAAAGATCGCTCGCGTGGCAGGATTTTGCCTACGCACTGGAGACATCCAAGCCCTCACAACAAGTCGAATTCGAAACGCTTGTTCGCCCACGCCGTGGAATCCGACATGGAGGCTACTCTACTCTGAAGAAGCGAGTTCATCAGGCGATTCACTGGCCTATCTTTAACCCAGAGACCTTCAAACGGATAGGTGTTAAGCCGCCCATGGGATTATTGCTATACGGACCTTCAGGTACGGGCCCCGTATTTTTATTTTATTTTTTTTTATTTTTCATTTTTTACATTTGCTGGCCACAGATGAGTTGGTGATATAAAGGACATGCGCCTAAGCTATTTGTGAACAATCACATTTAGGCTGTGGTAAAACAATGCTCGTTCAAGCGCTGGCTGCAGAGTCCAATATGAACTTCATCCCAATTAAGGGTCCAGAGATCTTTTCTAAATATCTCGGCGAAACAGAGGCAACGTTGCGGCGACTGTTTGCTATGGCGCGGCAAATCGCACCATGTATCCTTTTTTTCGACGAAATGGACTCGATCGGCGCCAAACGCGGTTGGGGAGGAGACGCGGATAGTAGTGGATCCAACGGCGTGAATGAGCGAGTTCTGAGCACGTTACTGAACGAGATGGATGGAGTTGAAGAGCGTACAGGCGTATTCGTGATCGGCTGCACGAACCGGCCGCAGGCCGTAGACGATGCGCTTCTACGACCAGGACGACTGGACCAGCTCATTTATGTTGGATACCCAGGGCTGCAGGATCGCTTGGAAATCATTGAGACCATTGGTGAGCGGATACCTCTTCCAACGGATAGCGAAGCGAGATGCAAGCTTGCTAAGTTGACTGTTGGCTTTTCGCCCGCAGACTTGGATGCGCTCTTTCGGTTAGTACTCACAGTATATCTTTCAAAAATCATCATCGTCAGCGTTGATCGATACTAACGGTAGAATCCCTCAACATGGTATTGTTTCACTTTTAGAGAGGCTGCTATCCTCTCTCTTCGACGAGACATTGCATCGCAGAGGGTAGATCTGAAAGATATCGAGCAAGTCGTGCACACGATGAGCCCATCCGTGCAAGCACGCGTCAACAAAAGTCCACAGCCCGATGCGGACGACCACGATGTCATAATTCCAGACCAATATCGACAGTTTCAACAAGAGCGGTAGCGGCTCCCCGTTCCGATATTATTGTCAATAAATATACATTTTGTTCGTCGAATCTCAGTGACCCCTTTATTAATATGTGGAAAAAGAGCTGTACAGCAGAGCGAGGAGCTTAAATGGTCAAGTCGTCGTCCGGATCATCGTCATCAAAGTCGTCTCCTTTGTCTGGCTCGTAGTAGATGGCACCTGTCGATTCTGTAAAGCACATATTCACAGAAATAAAATGCTAGACGAGTAAGTTTCTATGTAACGTATCTCGTGACAAGTACAAAGTGTAGATACGCACCTTGTGTCTTTAGGTACGGCAAGACTGTGTCATTTTTCGCTCGTCTCTGTTCCTCAGTCAGGTTGAGGTTAAACGACAGGTTCGCAGCAGGATCCGCCTATAAAGGGGCAAAATTGCTCAGGTATAAGTGGTTGAAAGAGAATTCTTACGTGCGGCGGGAGTTGCGCTTTGATGCCACGTAGCTTACCGTTTGAGATTCCTCCAGGTCTAGCTTTTCAATATCCGGCATTTCTCCAACGACATCCCAGACATTCACGACAACTAGTTCTCCAGTAGGCGACTCCAAGTGGTACGCGTTGGTCTAATTGGAATAAAGGCGTCATCGTCAAGTCGAAATCAGCGAACTATATCCTGGAGAAAAAAAGAAAAAAAAAAGCCCCTGCAAGCCTTCATTGTCGCAGCCCATGACTGTACCTCTCTCGCCACTTTTCCGGACTTCCTCTTATGCTCGATCTCGCAGATGGCAGAATCCCATGCGTTGCCGTGCACCGTGAGGTAGCAAAATTCGTTCCCTGCTACCATTCCACGTCGCAAATCCTCCTGATCCTGTCGAAGAGCCTCACTGTTCGTCAAAGTGATCAATGTTGTGGCGATGTGGGCCAAGCCATTAGCCGCAAACGGTTTTGAGGCATCCGGAAAGAAACTATCGGCATCCGGGACATCCTCATGATATACAGCAATTATACGAGACGTATCTAGCATGCAAATGGAGAACGCATACGTGGGCTGGTTAAATACGGACTCTTGGCTCCCTATTGCCGAAGTGTTTTGTAGAGAGTTTGCGTGATATGTGGGATACCTGTCAAAAGCCCTGTAATTGAACGGATTAAATTAAATGTGTCCGGAACGGAGGCAATCAGAAACTGTGAAAGCGAGTCGAAGTAGACTGTGAAGTTAGAGTTCTCTATCAAAGAAGGTTAAGGGCGTTTTATGGTGAGAATCAGCGCGCAAGCAATCCAGTAGTACGACAGAGATAAACGATAGTTAAAAAATGCAACCTTACGAGAGGAGATGAGCTCCATGATGACTTTGGTCGCCCTTCTAATGTTCCTGAGACTAGTAGGGATGATTTTGGTGACATGCGACTCTGCAGCTGTTCGGCCAGAAGCAGAGCTTATCTTTGATATTGATGCTTGATATGTGTCGGTCCATCCCAGAGGATTGGAGTAACAATCGACGATGACTTTGCTATAACGATGTGTTAACAGAATGTGAGGTAAGGAACGTGTACACCATACAAAAATGACTGATGGACACATGAAGATCAACCAGGTGTTTGAAAGCCGCGTACAGATGTGAACCCTTAACCAAGGATAAGAGCCGATCAGGAGCTGTCTCTGCACAGACCAGGACAATGGTATGACTATCAAAAGGCGCAAAATTAAAGGAGAACGTTAACTGCCATGTCGAGTTCGTGCGCAGAAAATACTCTAAACAATGTGAACGATTTATACTCTGTAGGTGTGTTGCCTAACAATTCCAGGCCAAGGACTTGACCCGACTGCTCGAGCGTGTCCTTGACAAGGATGAAGGGCGATGTCTCCTTTCCTGTCAGGATCTTTTCAAGGATAGGCGCCATGTCTGTTATGGTGCTGAATCGATATGCTGGCGCTTTCCTCGATATGCCGTCAATGCCTCTGCGCTTTCCTATCCAACGCGGCGTCTAGTTGTTGTCCTTGGGCGCAAATCGGTCCTGCCACGAATCAAAATGGAGGTTGAATGAAAAGAGAAATGTCATGTTGAAACACGGAAGATCACAGAAGACTGGCGTGACTTCGGTCTGTGTCTTAAAAGTTGGTGGCAAACGAAAGCCCGTTCTGATCAGCAAATCCCACGGCCATCACTTCCACAGAGTCGCCTTGCCATTAAAGCAGACGCAGCACATGAATTGACCATGGCTGCATCAAGACCCGCTGTGACCCTTCGGTTGTCAGCCGGTCTTAGGGAGAAAGTGCTCCGATCTGGCTATAGCACCGTCGCAGATCTCTCTTCTGTCCCTATTGAAGACCTCACCTCAGGTACCTACTGTATTAGCTATTCCAGTGCAAGAAGCATTGTCATTCTTGTGTCCGGGCACGTTATTTTCGTACTATTGTGGGGTCTTATTAACAAAGGAAATGTCGCTACCGTGTTTATGTTTTATCCGTAGAACTCAAATTGTCTCCAAAGCAGACGCGTGAATTGCAGAACCAACTGCATCCTTCATGTAAGAATCATACAAATAATGGCCAGGCTTAGGAATGCTTCAATGGTCAGGCGCTAATGGCTCCTCTGCAACATGTATGACGCCGTCTTTATAATAATGGCATCAAAATCATTAGCCGTGTCCTGGGTGTCGATCACCGCTAACCAGACATTGGAACAAGAGAGGAAATGGACCCCTATCACTACATCCAGTAAAGCCCTTGACAGTCTCTTTGGAGGGCAACAAGGATTTCCCCCAGGAAAAATAACTGAAATATGCGGGTTGCCGGGATCGGGCAAGACCCAACTGGGGTATGTTTGTCTTTCTATCCGCACAATGGGAAAATCCCATGTAATAACCGCTGCTAACAGTCTTTGCGAGCTTTGTTATGTGTAGGCTGCAGCTTTGTATAAACGCACAGATGCCACGTTCTGCGGGAGGCGCAGCTGGAACTTCTATTTTCGTGGGTAGGTGGTGAGGGCTAGGAATACGCCAGGAAGCCGACAACTACGATCAGCAGTTTTGCTCAACACGATCTTATTTCACTCTGTTCGCACCATGATAGATACCGAAGGCAGCTTTGTAGCTAAAAGGGTAGCACAGTTAGCTGTAGCTTGCTCTGATAGTCTTCACGAACTTGATGACAGCGCTGGTATGTATCCATCTAAACCATGGCATTTACAATCATGATACGTCGATCAGATGCTAAATACAGCCAGTATTTTCTTAATACGATAGAAGGCATCCCGAATGCCATAACTACGGACAGTCTTATGCAAGGAATTCAGTATTGTCGAGTCCATAGCCCTGTCGAGCTCATAGCCATGACCAGGATACTGAGTGGGATTGTGCAGGCGCATCCCAAGGTAAACCCGTTACTCCACGATAACAACGGACTCATCTAAATTGACGCTGATCTATAGTCTTCTGTCAGAGTAAGATAGCTACAGTTAATAATGCAGTCGCTATTTTTTTACTTTATTGTTTTCGTCCTCAGACGAAGCTGATTGTAGTAGATTCAATTGCATTTTTGTTTCGGTCCAATTTCAGCGACATGAATATGCGGACAAAACTTATCGCAGCTCTAGGAAGACGGTTGGCGACAATAGCGCGCGAACATGACATCGCAGTACGTGCGGTTGGGATGTCGATTTCTCTTGTCGATGCTTTCCCAGTAAGCAAAAATATGCTTGATATCGTGCGTATCTAATGCTATTCTGTCTACCTCACCCGCGAATAATCACCTAGGTCGTTGTCATGAACCAAATGACCACCAAAATAGAGTCGAATCAACTTCAAAGGGTGCAGCAAACACATGAACAGTCTTCGGGCAGGGTCCATCCAGCACTGGGCGAAACATGGGGCAACATGTGCACTCACCGTATACGACTCTATGTTCATGCGGATGGGCAGAGGACCGCCAGGCTGTTTAAATCACCAACAATCCAGGAACAAACTGTGCCGTTTCGGATTATTAGTGGCGGCATATCCGATGTTGAGGACACGTCGGAGCAGATCCCCAGCAGTCCAACGGGTGGGGAAGCTGAGCTTGTCCTTGCCCCTGAGGAGGAAATGATTTTTTGGGAGCCCATAGACGCGCCAGCAAGCCCATAGAAGAACTCTCGAACATAAACGACCACATGGTCCGTGCGATTCATGTTGTAATTATTTTGCGCCATTTTTAGGCCACTGCATCATCAACACGTTTATCATCCATTGGAATCAACTTTGACTTCAGGAACTGGATCAACAATACGGACGACAACAATCAGAGCCACAACACCAAAGAGCATCTTGCGTTATAAAATTAAGCAATATGCCCGCAGCCAATATTCCACCAATGGTCGCCACCTCATCGCCTTCAGCTCTCGAGGTGAATCTGCGTCGACTAATGGCAAAGTGTGATGCCAAGGTCCGCAGTTCTGACAAGATTCTCCAGGGTTCAGACAGGACTAGATACGCAACGGTTAGTCGCTATTGTTGCTCCCGTTCCTCACGACATTCGTGGCGTGCTAAGATGTGCGACATATTGACAATTTCTATACCCGTTGGACGCTTCACATAGAATATTAAGGTGTTAAAAGAAATGTTGATGGACCTGGAAGACGAACTTACGAAGAAGTACGACGCTTACGACCTCTTTCACGCAATATACTTGGATAAGGCGATTGTGGGACTAACGCGCGATGTTCGATTTCGTTATGTGTTGAACCATAGCGGCAAAGGAGATATCGACGCTCTAATGGAATATGAGAAAAAAATCGAGCAATTGGCAAGCGTAGTGGACGGATCAGCGCCGGTAAGGATATCTGCCATTCCAATAACATTACAGAGATGAAGATGAATTGCGTTATTCACGAGCGCTGACTATTTATCGCTTTTTGGTTCTATCGACGCTTAGATAGTATCAGGCAACAAGGGCCTTGTGCAGGTGAGGATGATACCACCTGTATCACAGACGCCTGACGCGTTGGCTCGCGGGATCAACTCAGCTCCAAGGAGGATATCACAGCATGTATTGGAGCCCAGTCGCGAAGACCTCCATGTAAGGGTTCGATCACACAGTGTCCGGTTATTGTCTTAACAATACTCTGTATTTGTAGAGAACGATACTTATATATACGACTTGACTATTTTATAGGGTCAATCAAGTCGCTCAAGCAAGGAACCGGACTTTTCAACACCAAATAGAGCCGATGAACTGTTGGGACTGCGAGAACGGAGGTATCTATTGATGCATCAAAGAAGATATCGAATACCCGGCCTTTTGTTCTCTCTGTCTCTTTATCTTACATACTTCGAACTGCAACGCCGCCACTAGATCAGGAAAGGATACCAGTCAGCAGCGACAGACGGATGGCTTAAGGATATCGGACGCACGGGACCCCGCTCCTGACCAACGGCAGATCGAAGCAGCCTTGCAGAATGATCGCACCCAACGTGAGGAGATGGAGGAGGGAATTTCCAGGTTGATGCAGCAACTTCGACACAACGCCATGGCGATCCAACAAACTCTGACGGATGAACAAAAATCCGGGGTGAGTTACGCTTGATATCATCGCCACTTTTGACACTTTGCCAGACAATTTGCTCACAGCAACTTCGCTGTCGATTCTCTGTAATAGATCCTAGATGATGCTGATCAGGCGCTGGATAACAACATCTCGAGGCTGGGCAAGGAACGGACAAGACTTGAGCTATACTCAAAGCAGAGCCGCAAAACCAAATGGATGATTTGGGGCATTGTCCTGGGCGTCAGTGTTATGTTCGTATTCATGTTCTTCGTTATCCGCATCTTTTAGAACAGGCCGTTTTACACTTTATTTGTTGTATTCTCTTTAAAGCTCTTTCTCCTGGGTAGCGTGGTGCATACTACAAACAATTTCGCAGCTGTCTACACCCCTCTTAAATACAAAGCGTCGCGGCATTCGTGTAAATCTGGTACTTTATTACGATTGCGTGTATGTCTTCTATATGTACTATACATTCGATACAACATGGACTGTTCACAGTGCCATCCTCAGCACAGTAAAATGTACATCCTCTTGCTTTGTGCGTGCCTGATCCGGGTACGGAACCTTTTCGCCATAATCCACAAACCCAATGCGCTTGTACCACTCCGCCAGCTCTGTCCGTTGAAACAGAACATAGACCACCGCCTGTTTGCGCCCCATGGTCTCCTTTGCATACCGCAATCCTTCCCGGACAAGCTTACCGCCAATGCCTCTAGATTGCTGTAGAGGATCGACCGAAATCAGACCCAGAAATATCTGGTTCTCTTTTGGCATCGTCTCCAAATAACTCGTTGCGTGCCCATCCTTCTCATATTCCCCAAAGTCCGGGTAAAACTCGGCGGGATCAAGTTGGATGGTTCCTAGAAGTTGATTCGTCTCTGAATCAAATGCCAGGAGCAACAGGTTGACCTTGTCATGTAGCACATCTTTAACTCCCTCTTTGGTGATACGCTCTTCCTTGATGAGATGTGTCTCATGGGTCCATCCGGCATCTATATTTTCACAAACGTATCAAACCAGGCCATGAACTGTACAATTGAGTAATCAAAGATACATGACAGAGCTGTGCGCCTTCTTCCTGACTCAGAACATACCTGAGCGGTAGGCGGCGTTGACGATACGGTGGATCTCATCAACATGCTGCATATCCTGCTCTGGATCCGCCCTTCTCACGAGCACGGCGGCAACAGCTTTCTTTGTGTCTGAGGCGGACATGGTGAATTGACTGCAGATATGAAGGGAGCTGTATGGCGTAAAAGCGAGACTGGGGGGGATGAGAGATGGAGGTGAAAGGGATGAAAATGAGATGCGTGTGAGGGAAAACGGCCAAAGACGAGTTATGTATGGTTCCTGACCCCAAAAGGAAACGATAATTCAATTGGCCACAAAAGTATGCGACGCGACGCGCAGATTTTTCATCCTCAGAGGCCGATCCGCCCCTGAAGACGCGTCCACGAAGTGCCTATGTTTCAAGGTTAGGAGAAATTCCTTTCGATCCCTTTCCCTCTCTGCCTATCTTTTTTTTTTTTTTTTTCTTGGCATGGTTGGAAAAAAATCATAATTGAAAACATTACGGCGCATGATTATCAATGGGAAGATGCGAATGCGTGTTTATTAGAATGCAAAAAAGAAGAAAAGAAAGCAACTCCTTCTTATTTAGTAAACCTCCAGGACGTAGCGCTCTCCCTCCTTCAACTTGTTCACAATACGGTTAGCGTCAATCTCAGCGCACTGCTCGCCATCCATAAAGCTCTGAACAATCGCATCCTTAACATCGCCAGCGGGCCAGGTTGGTCCGCACAGGTAAAAGTGGCCATTCAAATGGCTGTCGAGCAGGTACTTGTGCAACAGCTTGCCATCTTCGTTCATCTTGTGCTGAATGTAGATCTTCTCCTTCTGGTCGCGAGAGAAGGCCAGGCGCAGATGTGTCAAGAGACCATCGGCGTGGTATGCCTCGAGCTCCTCGCCGTACAGGTACTCATTTGATCGGTTACGCGATCCAAAGTAAAGGATCATAGGCCCAACTTCCATACCCTGAGCCTTTTGCCAGGCACGTTCCTGGATAAAAGCGCGGAAGGGAGCCATTCCAGTTCCCAAACCTGCCATGATGACCGGCTGGTGGGGCGAGGGGGGCAGGGTCATGACCGAGGGCTTGATCGACACTGTCACCTTGGCACCGACTCCCAGCGAAGTTAAGTAGCGTGTGCACTGACCAAAGCGTGCCTTGCCCGAGGGCGCAGCCCACTCTACGGCGACGACCAAGAGATGCACAGAGTTGGGGTGGGCCTTCATCGAAGACGCGATCGAGTAATGACGGGGCTTGATGGCTGGCAGCATGTTGATGAGATGAGGAATAGAGGGATGGGCCGAAGGGAACTCACGCAAGATGTCTGCATGGGTCAAGGTCTCGTCCACACGGTCCTTGAATTCGGCAGCTCCCTCGGGCGAGATAAGGTACGACAGGCGCTCCTTCTCGGTGGCATTGGTTGCATATGGAATCAGATCAGCATAAAAGCGCTTCGAAGGACGGCCAAAGAGATCCAAGGTCTGCTGCAAGATCTGGAACAAACTGTTGGTCTGGTGACGGGGGAGAGTGCCCTCGGGCGCGTTCTTGGCCAAAGCGCGGGGTACGACTACGACCGTCTCGGGCTTCTCGCCGTAGAACTCGATAAAGTCGAGAACCTCCTGAGTGTCGTTCCAGCCGTGGATTCCGAGCGCATCACCGATCTCATAGCGAAGTCCAGTGTCAGTAGTGTCAAACTCGAGGTGGAAAACATTGCGATCGTAAGTGCTGGGAGTTAAGCGGCGATTCTCGGTGATGGTGACCAGATAAGCGTGACCCTCGTCCGACAACTTGTGGTTGGTGTCGTACGCCTCCGAGAACAGGAGCTGCCAGGCAGCTTTGTGCCAGTTCGAGGTCTTGGCCAGGACGGCCTCGCTCTCCTCTGCGACCTCGACCTCGGCCTCGGTGCTGGGCGCTGAACCATCGAAGGCGTTGACGGTGGAACGGATCGTGGGCTGCACACGCTTGGGGAGAGCCAAGGCGGCCTGGTCTGCCTCGCCGAGCTCGATCGATAACCAGTTTGCATTCTGGGGCACCTCAATAACCTCCTTGTCGACACGCTCAACCAGGGTTGAAATCAAATCCTTGAGCACCTTGGCGTTCGAAGTCTCGTAATGGCGCTCGATCGACTCAAAGGCGGCTTCGCGCAAACTGGAAGAATGAGTCTTCAGGAAGGTAACCTGTCCAAGGAGGGTCTTGCCGGCTCCAGAGAGGCCGAGCTCCTTGGCAACATGGGCGAGATCGATCAAGAGCACCTGGATCTGCTTGGCACCCAATGTAAATCGGAAGGCAGCTGACGTCTTTGTTTCGAGCTCCTCCACACTCCAGGGGGCATTTAGAACGAGGACAGCTCCTGCCTTAAGCGAGTCCACAACCCTGTACTCGGCCAAGACGGACACATCCTGGACAAAGGCGTAGTCAGCCAAAGCAGACTCTGCAAACTCAACGGTGTGGGATTTTGAGTATTGAAGACGGGTCTCGATGACAGTGCTGTGACGATAGGAATTGACGCGTGAGCTGTGGTGGACACGGTGGCCGAGGGCAGTCTGGAAATGCTTGGCAACGTGAGCAGAAACAGCGGCAGAAGATGCTGTCTCCCAGAAGATGACCTGGCTCACATCCTCCTGAGCATGCTCTTCATCGGCAACAACAGCGGAGAGGTCCAATTTGCCCTGCGAACCGGCAGCCTGGCGAACAAGGGCCTTGAGCCAGCCTTGAGAGAGGACAGAGCCATACGATCCGTACTTTGCGTCAACGACAGTGGGACGGCGAACTCCAGTCCAGAGATTGAAGGAAGCCGAGACGTCCAGGAAGATGGGGCCATGAGCAGCAGTGCTGGCGACAGGCTCAACGACGACAACGGTCTTGGTAGTCAAGGGGATAGCCTTCAAAAAGTGAGAGAATGACCAAGGACGGTACAGACGGATGTTCAGGACACCGACCTAAGGATAAGACATGCAGCACATTGGGTGAATGTTAGCATACGGTCGGTCGTGTGAGATACGGTAACAGGCGCCAAAAAAAAAAAAAAAAAAAAAATTCAGCAGCAGCAGCAGCATACCTTCTCGCCCAAGTTCTTTGCAACATTGTAAGCAGGGCCAAAGACGACGACGACGGTCTCAGGACCTTCAGGGCCAGTGTACTCAAAAGCCTTGTAGCGACGACCGAGGAGGGTAGCAGCCCTCTCGAAAATGTCCTCGATGCCAGAGACGAGAGAACCCTCATCGTGGCCCAAAATCGACTTGTTGTGCTCGTGCTTGATGAACGCAGTAACATCCTGATCCTTAGCGGTCTTGATGGCCTCGACCTGCTGGCTGGTCTGCACTCCATCCAAGACATGGATCACAGACTGGCTAGTTCCTGAAGCAACAGCATGGGCGAGGATTGAGATGTCGTAAGCCTCCTGAACAGAGTTCGAGGCGAGGTACAAGAGACCGGTCTCGCGAGCGACCAGCACATCCGAATAGTCGCCACGAAGAACGTTCAGATCAGCATCAACGGACTCTGCAGCGACGTGGAAGACGACGGGGGTGCTGGACTGAGCAATCTGGTAGAGATTAGGGACCATATTGACAATGGCGGCCGAGGAAGCCAAGGTCGAGAGAGTACTGCTCCGGGATTCTTGAGAGGCAACGGCACCGAGTACTGCGGAGGCGGCGTTGGAGCGAGTCGACATTTTTAAGACCTGAGGAACGAGGGCTCCACCGGTAGCGTTACTCAAACCAGCCTTGGACCACTGCTCCGAGGAATGTCCAAGATAAGATTGAGAGGAGGTTGAGGGGTAGACGAAGACGAGATCGCTGAGGGAGTATGCGACATGCTCGACAGCAAGGTTGCCGGAGACCAGCTGGAAGAGGTCAGCCTCGTTCTGGATACCGAGCGAGAGGTTGGATCGGACAGAGAGTGTGAGCTGATCGAGATCGTCGACAACGGTTACAGCCGAGGAAGGGCCCTCGGAGCTGGTGACGGAGACATTGTCGTCCTCGTCGGAGACAGTGGTCCTGGTGGTGGTGATGATAGTCTTTTTGATGGTGGTTGTTGAGGAAGAACGAATCTGGGCCAGGATCTGAGTGAGCTCCTTGGAGGAGGCGGTGGTGGTTGCAGCAAGGGCTGTAGCGAGATCGTTCAGCTGGGCGTAGTTGAGGGCAGCGAGCGAGGAGACAGAGATCTGATCGAGGAGCTGGTCGAGACGGGCGAGGGCGAGCTGTTCCTGGTTCTCGTCGAGGTTCTGAGAGAGAATGGTCTTGCGGACGAGATGCAGGTTCTGGAGGGCCTTGTTGATCTTTTGGGAGGGGTTAGCAGGCTCTGGGACGGGCGAAGCGGGGTCCTTGCTGAAGAGGCCCGCGGTGTTGGCGAGCGTATGGAGCACCGTCAGCATGCTGTAGGGAGGTAGAGAGGGAAGAGCGGGGAGAGGAGGGGGAGGAAGGGAGGAGTGAGGGTGAAGAAAAGGAAAAGAAAGAGAGGAAGAAGAAGAGAAAGAGGTGTGAAGAAATAAGGGTAAGAGAAGAAGATAAGATAGGACAAAGTAAAGTAAAGTAATGTGAAGTGAAGATGCTTTTGCGATGGGACCAGAAGAGATCGCGCCATCGCACGCGAGAAGACACCCATTCATACGATTTGTTATTAATCAAGAAAGATATACCGTGCGAGAGTGAGCGGGAGCACACCACATCAGCGTGCCCTCTCCATCCTATTGATCGATATCTCGACCTTACATATCCTGTTCCTCTTCGTCCCCATCCTCATTCCTACGCATCGCCACCTCCCATATCTTATTCGTCCATCGACAGCTTCTTCCGCTTCGCCCGAGAGGATTACAAAAAATAAGTCTTTTGAGTGTGTCCTGATTGGATGGATGTGACAGCGAATCTACGGATGATCGCGACATCTTAGGGAAAAATGGGCAAACATTCTTAAGACAGCACACTCTCTTACTGGAAGGCATAGCAAAAAAACTCTGTTAATGAGAGACGTGCATGTGTGAAGGCCTGGCTAGTTCCCCTTAACGGAATCGGGAATCGGTCGCGTCTGAGTTCAAGCGCGTAGAAAAAATAGAAAACAACGTGCTGCAGAGGCACATCGCCACCAAACAGCAGCCTCCTTCTCATCACCAACACACACGTACCTTCTTCACGCAACTTGCACATCCATCCAACGCCCTTCGCTCATACCTAAAGGCACCTTTCGACAAGCGAAAAAAAGAGAAAAAAAAGCATCGTTCGCATATACATCCTTAGGACCCAGTTCATTAATCCATTATGGGGATCCAGGGTCTGCTACCGCTGCTAAAGTCCATCGAGAAGCCCGTTCACCTCAAGGACTATGCAGGACAGACCCTTGCAGTCGATGGCTATGTTTGGCTACACAAGGGAGCATTTTCTTGCGCACAGGAACTATGTCTCGGCCAGCCGACCCAAAAGTAACGAGCGCAACTCGATCTCGATTTCAACCATCGCCTATTACGTTTGATGTGGTTCTCTCAACTCATTCGTTCCTCTTGTGCTCAATGTCTCTCTCCCTAGATATATCACATACTTTATGCGCAAGATCGACATGTTCAAGTTCTTTGGCGTCAAACCCTACGTTGTCTTTGATGGTGGCTATCTGCCCTCGAAAGCCGCCACGGAACAGGAGCGTCTGAGGTATGTTTTTTAAGAAATAGCCTCTTTCGTTGAATGGACTATGGAACATGCAATTTGTTGACCAACGATCTACACTCCGTTTATAACCTTATAGCCGTCGGGAGGAGAGCAAAAAGGCGGCCATGGAACTTCTTCACTCTGGAAAGTCAAAGCAGGCGCAGGATCATTTTCGCAAATGTGTCGATGTAACGCCCGAAATGGCCTACGCGGTGATTCAGGCATTAGAGGCTGCCCAGGTAGACTTTGTCGTGGCACCATACGAGGCAGACGCTCAGATGGCATATCTAGAAATGAAAGGCTTGGTGCATGGGATCGTCACAGAGGACTCGGATCTGCTAGTCTTTGGCTGCAAAAGAGTATGTCTCTTTCGTCTCTTTCGTGGTATTCACAAAGAAATCCGCCATCATCGACCTACATTGTTGACCATGGCCCTCTGGTGTAACCATGCAATATAGGTCATCTTCAAGCTGGATCAATACGGCTCTGGGATCGAGATACTGCATGAGAACCTCAGCATGGTGCGCGATATCTCCTTTCACGAATGGACCATGACCGAGATACGTCACATGTGCATCCTCGCAGGTTGCGATTACCTGCCATCAATTCCGGGTATGGGTCTCAAAACCGCGCAGCGGGTTCTTCGACGCTTCAAAACATTCGAACGGGCTATCAAGCACCTCCGGATGGAGTACACGGGCGCAAAGATCAAAGCAGACTATGAAGAGGCGTTCCGGAAAGCAGACTTGACCTTTCTGTACGCCCGCGTATATGACCCTGTCTCCCATTCAATGGTACACTTAAATGCCGTTCCGGAGGAGCTCGAAGAGCTTGTTCAAACCGATGAGTACGACTTCCTAGGACCGTAGGTTGAGTAGCATCATGCTAATAGTTTGGAAGGCAATGTCACCATCCTGAAATGGTATGAATGAAATGTGTTAATATTTCTTCTTCTCAATCGCTTCGTTCAGAATACTTGACAAGGACATTGTGCAAGGTATTGCTACAGGAAAAATCCATCCTATGGACAAGACGACACTAAGCTGCCCGACAACCCAACGGCCTATCCTAAGAGCCGTCCACGGATCAGAAGGCAAAGAAAACAGACAGGTATGTATCAGCAACATTTCGAATGCGACTTTTTTTTTTTTTTTTTTTTTTTTAATCGACTGTAGTCAATTTATTGACTCTAACTCTCTTCATTTTATTCAACGCAATAGCAGTATACCCATAACCTTCCACGACAGACGCTTCCTTCAACGAAGTCCATTCATGCTTACTTCACGAAAACTGCAGTGTCGTCGTCGAGTTCAACTGAAACAGGAGAGACAGTCAAGAAGGTGGGCACTCACAAAGATTCAGAGACTGTTATAAAACAGAGGCCTCTCGAATTCACTTCGGCGCCTGCTCCAGCTTTCCCGACCACAAATACTGCGTCAGCTGTGCTACAGGAGCATCCTGCGACAACAGAGAATACATCGTGCCTTGTCATCGTCGAGGCGCGAAGTCGCTTCTTTGGGTTTGAGTCCTCTACCGCTGATACGGCCACTGATACCGTCGACTGCAAGACAATACGGTCTTATACAGTGCGGGAAGATAGCGGTATCGGACTGGATGAAAGCGCCTTGCTACATACCTCAGATAACAAGCGCAGCCTATACGAACAAAGCTTCTTCGGCTTGGAGAAAAAGTCAAAGAGGACCTCCCTTTCAAAGTCGGCATCACTCCCGCTCCTGTCAAAGACACTGCACGCAGAGGCGACCAGTCTACCACGGGCTGCTAATACAACTCTGCTTGATGACGCATTGGACTGCAGGAGAGCAGAGGCGAAAGTGATTCAGGGGTGGCGCGAAAAGTTTTCAAACTCATCGGGATCCGCAGCTGGACGTGCCCCTGGTCTGACCCGAGCATTTCAGGCGAGTGGAATCAAGATCAAGGGCACGACAGTTTCCGTATCGCAATCAGTGGGATCGAAACAACACCTATTCCGACCTATAAAGGCTGTACGGACCCCAGCAGGTCACCACACACAGCAAGTGAGCATCAAGAATATGGAGATCGTTCGAACAACACCTGGTCTGCCCGTATACCATCTCGATACCACTCGTCGCTCAACCACCATAGCAAACCGAACGACGTCAAGAGCTGTGTCCGTGGTGCCACCGACGAATCGTCGAACTAGCGGATCAACGAGTACCTCGTCAGGTTCAGGAACGCACTCTCTGTCGCAGGCGGCAGAGGACGTAGGTGGGCCGATGTTGCTCAACCTCGATTGTTTCAAGTATACCCCTGTTGGTGCTTCTCAGATTGCACCTCCGGCGAAGTCACTCCCTTGACCATTGGACTAACCAGCGCTCAAACACCCACTTCCTCCTCCGCTCTTAACACATCCTCACACTCTCGATTGTCCTATATCTATCTTACTATTATTATATATCTTACTATTATTGTTGACCGAGAAGGTGTGCAGATCAAATAAAATCGTATTAGGGGGGGTTAAAGAACGCACTGTTCCTTTCAGATTTGATGGGTCCGTTTATATTTATGAAGACGCTATTCTAATTCCCATTCGCCTCCTTTTTTTCCTCTCTCTTTCGTCTTACTCATTCGCAGACACATACACAACTCACATCGATACACTTACGCAGACATACAGTTCTTCTTTTCGTCACTACCCCCCGTTTCCATTCGAATAAAAGAAAAGGACGTTGCCATGAGCTCAGGAAGCATGAGTGAGGACGACTTTGCTGGTAAGGGAAACAAAAAGCTGTGCCTGGATGACAAGGTGTTGGTGGCACTGAGCATGTCATTTCTCCTGGGTCACGCAACCCAATCTAGCCCAGTTCAGCCCCTTCCTATTCCCTCTGGCTGTTGAAGGCGGCAGGGGACAGGCAGGCACCATTGAGACTCTCGCTGGCAATCTCCCTTAGACTAACAACCACTCCGACTGTTCATTGTCTTCGCTACTGTGCAATTTAGGGTCTGACTATGACGACTTTGATTCGCAAGACGACTCAGGTAGGCAGATCCACATCAGTGCCATCGCAATCACATCTTATGGACGGTGTGAGAAGGGGAAGTAACCCGAAGAAATAGCAGCCAACACGTTCCACAACAATGGATATGGCCTCCTGCAATTGCCATTGAAGTTGCTATTATATCCCTTTCTCGCGTCGGCATTGCAGTGCAGAGACTGGCGCAGCACCACACCTTGGAGCGTCAAGTCAACCAGTCAACCCCATGCCCAACCAACGTTCATGAAATATCGTTGTAGTGATCCCTCTCCTAACGTTGGCCTTGTTTATGTTCTAGATATGGAGTACGAGCAAGCAGAGGACATTGGTTTCTCGGACATGGTCACCGAGAAGCAGCGCAAGAAGGCATATGAGGTCGATTTCACAGTCTTTCCACTCTCAGAAATAGTAGCCGCACAGGCCAATGCCTCCAGCCATGTGGCAGGCATCCTCGGCGTTACTCAGGAGCAAGCCGCGGCGCTGTTGAGGAGCTTCAAGTGGAACAAGGAACGCCTAGTTGAGCGTTACATGGATCATGAGCAAGAGATCTTGGATCAGGCCGGTGTGGTTTTGAACGATACACAGACACGCGTTTTCAAACGACCTCCGGGATTCGTTTGCATGATCTGCTTCGACGACAGCAACAGCGGCCCTGCTGTAGGATTGCGATGCCAACACATCTTTTGCCAGGCCTGTTACGATCACTATCTAACTCAAAAGATCGTCGAGGAGGGCGAATGTCGAAAGATCTTTTGCCCCGAATCTGGATGCGACGTAGTTGTCGATGAAAAGACCATCAAGACGGTGGTACAGCCATCTGTATTTGTCAAGTATGTTTAACTTGCGTTCTATTATGGTTCCATCCTTTGTAGCACCCATTAATATTTAAGGTCTGCTTTGCAATTGCGTATATCTAACTCTATTTATGTCTTTGATCATGGATAGGTATCGCCAACTGCAGGATAGAGTTTATGTTGAGGATCTTGATACTCTCAGATGGTGTCCGGCCCCGGACTGCGAGAATGCGGTCGAGTGTCGCCTTCCTCACTCATCCTTTACAACAATTGTGCCCACGGTCCAATGTGCTTGCGGATATAAGTTTTGCTTCGGATGTGGCAATGGCGACCACCAGCCCGCGCCTTGCGGCCTGGTCAGGATGTGGCAGAAAAAGTGCGCGGACGACTCTGAGACGGCCAACTGGATCTCGGCGCATACAAAAGAGTGCAGCAAATGTCAGTCGACGATTGAGAAAAACGGAGGATGCAACCATATGACCTGCCGCAAGTGTAAATACGAATTCTGTTGGGTCTGCATGGGACCATGGTCGGAGCACGGCACGAGCTGGTACAACTGCAATCGATACGAGGAATCGAGTAGTGCCGACGCTCGCGACCAACAAGCAAAGTCTCGCGCCTCGCTTGAACGATACCTTCATGTGCGTATCATAGCGGCCTGCTGATATGTAATTTAAGACAACCGACCAACTGAGAAATGTATTCTAATTAGCTTTCTGCTTTTGACTATATCAATTGCTCCTTCTTAGTACTATAACCGCTTTGCCAACCACGAACACTCAGCCAAGTTGGATCGAGACCTTTACATGAAGACGGAGAAGAAGATGGAGGAGATGCAGCGGACAAGCGACCTGTCATGGATTGAAGTGCAGTTTCTCAAGAAGGCTGTGGACGTCTTGACATCGTGCCGCATGACTCTCCGCTGGACGTATGCATTTGCGTTCTACTTGGCCAGGAATAACATGACAGAGCTGTTCGAGGACAATCAGCGTGACCTCGAAGTGGCAGTCGAGGCCTTGAGCGAGCTTTTAGAGAAGCCCATTGAGCGGGAAAAGATTGCAGAGTTGCGTCAGCAAGTCCTGGACAAGACCGTCTATGTAGGCAGTCGTCGTGAGGTTGTCCTAGAGGATACGGCCAAGGGTCTCGCGGAAGGTCGCTGGGAGTTCTTCGTCGAGTTTGGAAAGGTGTAGAAAAGGAACATGGCCCCGGTATGAAATAAATAAAGATCGTCTTCCACAGTTCACGGAACAAGCGATGGTCTGGCCCTATGTGCCGGACGCCGTATCGTGACTGTTTGTAAACCATAATTTGTTGTTGTACTCCGTTCAATGCTTGCTTGGCTGCTTTCATTCTTTTTACCAACACAGCCTAGACAAGGAAACGGGATCTCCGTTATCGATATCATCGTCATTGAAAAAAAGCGAGGCAAGTAGTTCAGTATACCTTCCAATGCTCAGAACGGCCCCGGCAAAAGCAGCCAAGCAATCGCGCGCTTTGCTCTCTCAAAACGGACCAAAACGACCCAAAGCAGCCTCAGCATCGGCGCAGAAGACAGGACAGCAAGATAATGAACATTACCGGCAACAGCAGCATCCTGGCACGGAACCTGGCATACTAATCGACAAGAAACCTACACGAGCGCGATCATTTTTGTTGGACCCTCCAAAGAAACCAGCGTCCAAAAGGTTATCGTCTTCAAGCGCGTTACCCTCAGGAGCTAGTTCATTTGAGCGCAGATTAGCAGGTAACCCGTACGGTAAGTTGCTTCTACGACTCAGATGTGCATTATCGCGCAGTGCGATGGTCTTTGATGGAATGAGTGCTAAAGGGTGCTCGAGTAATTTGGTCCGCCGGGTGTACGTAGCGTCCATCTTGGCAACTCCTATACGGCAATGTTTATACACGAGAAAGATCCTACCAAGTGGTAAGTACCCGGACACCGCTTCCAAGATCTGTGCAGAAACAGAAAAGATGGCTCACACAGCGTGTTTGTATACTTTCTTTTAGCGTTCCTGACGAAGCTGATCCAGGCTGCACCAGATTCCCCTGGAGACCGCGTCTGGATCGTTCCTGAGCAGATCATACCTTATGAACTGTCCAAGGAGACCAATTCAGGGCAGGCTCTTGATCGCTTTGGAATGGGCAAGTGGATGTTTTCAGGATCGAATCTTGTGCAGAGTATGGTGAAAGAAGGTATGTAAGCCATGTAGGCGAATGCGTTTCATCTTGCGCAATTTCTCATCGAACATCATGAAGATGCACAAGCTGTTGCAGGAAACTGAGAGACGGCTCGTCATTTTTGAATAGGAAAATACAAGATGATCAATTCTTCGGCATACGTGAGACCGGACTTGGCGCAACTGATTTACGCTCAATGGACGATGCGCGTTGTTCATAATACGCTGGACATGTGCAAAAGAGCAACCGGGAATCCACCTTTTGTTATCCTCACCAAAGAGCCGTCTGCAATTGCAACTACGCCGGACGCGAAACCAGAGGTCTTACAACGTTTGACAGATGAGACCCATCATAATGCCTACTTGCAGTGTGTGTTGCGATTTGAAAGTGACACGGACGTTGCAACTAGCTTCGGAAACAGTGAACCCCAAGAACCGAGTGTCGACCTCATACCGAATCTGCCCAGCTTTTCAGATAGATCGCTCGTTCAGGAAGATGTCAAAATTCTGAGAAAGGGCGGAAAGACGACAGTGGTACCAATGTATAACATGAAATACCTTCTTGGAAACCATCCGCAGGGTTTGAGGGCCGTTCATCAAGCGTTCCTTAAACGGATACCAGCTGCCGAAGGTTCGGCAGAGGATTCTAATCAACGGTGGATCGGACTTGTCGAATCGCCACAGACGGTTGATACCGCAGTTGGGCTTTGGAAACTGGCCTCCATGATGCCGAGGCAAAGTAAATAAATCATCAACACTCAAGTATTGAAAACTGTATGTCTCTTCTTTCGGTTTTATTGTCGCTTTCATTCGTTATCAATGCAGTGACCAGTAATCACTTTTTTGTGCAGTGTGACAGTCTATGCTGAGGGATGATGAGGAACATCCACGTCCATGCTATTGTCGTCTCCGGGCTTGGTATCGGTTGGTGCCGCTACAGATGAGTCTACTGCACTGACAGCTTCTACTGAGGACTTTTTGTGCTCCATGTCCATAACTTGCGTATCGCCAGTGTTCTCGACAATAGGATGGGAGTGCTCCTTTTCCTTTACGACAACCTCCTCCATCTCTTCCTCCATTTCGGCCTGACCCTCGTCCAGTCCCTTGACAACCATTTCCACCTGCGCTTCCTTCAATTCGTCAACATCGACCGGGGCTGGTGACATGCTTTCAAAATCTTGCGGTGTATTGGCCTGCGTCTCGATCGGAGTCTCCAGCGATGGTGTGAAAACGAGAGGTCGACTCGAATCTGTATCATCTTCATCATCGTCGCCGTCGCGATCTTCCTGAGGTGCTTGTCTGTCGTCTCTTTTTGATAATTGTGCTGCGGCCCCCGAATGAGAGGATGCATTGGGTCTTTTGTCAGACTCGGGGTAAGATTGTGATAGTGGGTGTACCCTATTCTTGGACAATTCATCGGCGTCATCTTCTTCGTCCTCCTCTCCCGTCTGCACGGGAGTCAAAGCTGTTGTATCTTCAGCATCCTGGAGTGTTGGTAATGGGGGTGCTGGAGTGCCCACTTCCTATTGATGTTTAAAAATAAAAATAAAAGATATAGAAAAATAAGAAAAGTGAGAGAGATGACGACGCGCTAACTGGTGCCCACGATCCAAGCTGCACCACTCCTTCGATCATCGACGAGCAATGCAACTGTACCTCTTCAACTTGTCGGGGCACTGGGGCCTGCTCAGTCTCTTCGTCATCATCCTCATCATCGAAATCAACCTGTCGATCGGCTGTTGGTCGTAGAAAAAAGTTGCCAGAGCAAAGATATGAGGATAGCAATAATATAGCCACTCCCGATTGCAAAGTCGAAACGTTGTCCAGCACTTACACTTGACCCATTTGAACACTTGAAGCTGCTTTCCGTTCTTGGACTCGGTCCACTTTTTATCCCTGTATATAGGTTGTGATTTCAGAAAGTCGATAATGATATGTCAGCGCAATTCATCGCGTCAAAAGAAAAGGCGTCCAGTAGCAGGTGAACGAATCTGATGAATCCCGAAGAGGAGAATGAAGGATTGTAATCCTGCCTACCAGCACTGCACAGGCTGGAGCACAGCTCTCTTGAGACGATCGTGTTCTCCTCCTGCAGCGTGTCTGATGCCCCTCCCTTCGCGTGGCCTTGTCGAGGTCATTTGTCTTCCCGCTTTGCCGTGTATGATGGGAAAAGGATTCGTCCACTGAGAAGGAACGGTTATTTGAAGCAAGGGGGTGTTGAGTGCACGTGATGAGTGCACGGACTGTTGGCCTTTGGCCGGAGGATTCTTTTTCGAGTGACTCAAAGGAGATCCTTTTCATATCTCTCACTCCGCCCACTGGACCACTTCCCTCTTTCCTCCTTTCCTTCTTCCCCTCTTCCTCCTTTCCTTCCACATACATACTCAACACCATGGCCACTCCAGCAAGAACCGCTACCGTCGCGCGCAAGACCAACGAGACCGACATTCAGATCTCTTTGTCCATGGACTGCGCTGGTGCCCAGGCCATCGACATCGACTCGGGAATCGGTTTCCTCGACCACGTATGTCAATTCAGGAACTATCTCCAGCACCAATGGACGAATAACAGGATCATTTCTACGCATGTGCATATCTCCATATTGACGTTCAATTGCCCCACTCTTCGGACTTGACGACCCACGGATTAGATGTACCACGCTCTGGCGAAGCACTCTGGCTGGTCCCTATCTCTGAAGTGCAAGGGTGATCTGCACATTGATGACCACCACACTGCTGAGGATACCGCCATAGCCCTCGGCATGGCCTTTAAGCAGGCCCTCGGAGAGCCTCGTGGAATCAGACGATTTGGATCAGCGTACTGTCCCCTGGATGAGGTATACACCGATTATAAAATGGTTGGTCAATGGTAGGTAATTCAAGACCGACAAGACTCATCATTTTTCTTCTGCAATTGCGTATTTTGTATCGTGTCTAGGCTCTGTCAAGGGCGGTTGTTGATATCTCTGGTCGTCCCTTTGCTGACATCAACTTGGATCTCAAGAGGGAAAAGATTGGTACCCTCTCCTGCGAGATGATCCCCCATGTCCTTCAGTCATTTGCACAGGCAGGAGGTATCACTCTCCACGTCGATGTGCTCAAGGGCGTCAATGACCACCACAAGTAAGTGACTACAGGATCAAAGCCGGAATCTTTAGATGCGATGCATCCTAGGAAGAACTCTCCGATATCGTTATTAAACAAATGACTCTCATTCTAGGGCAGAGAGTTCGTTCAAGGCATTAGCCGTTGCACTCAAGACGGCTGTGGAGAGGACTGGGACAAACGATGTCCCCAGTACGAAGGGGGTGCTGTAAGGACCATGGATGCGGCGTTGGTCGTTTACGGACTGAATAGCGTATATCATTGTCATGTCGTTAGAGGCATGTTGATGGCTCGATACAATGTAATAAAAAATAATGCTTGAGGCAAGAGCGTACCTTCGTTCTTCACGTTGCTCGTACACTGTATTTCATATGACACTAGTATACCTATGTAAATATGAAGATGCTCTATCCCAGATCGATAAATGCACTGGATGCAAGAAGCTATCGCGTCCACCCATAACTAACACAGGATGACGCAGACAGTGGTACAACATCCTCCTATTTTATCTTATTTGATCAGTATGGTGGCACTTGTTCGGCTCAATGCTCAACCTAGAGAGTCATTTAAGACGCGTCATGGGCAGCGCTCCGATCACATTTTTGTTATTGAGGGTTAACGCATGGTCTGGATTACGATATCCCATGTATGCGAGCAAAAGGAATGATGATCGACTCAACTGAAGTATTTCTCTCCCTCTCCTTCTCACGAGCAGGTAGCCGTCAATCTTCCGGGGATAGATAGGATGCACCAGAATCTCGTATGGATTAGGGAGCTGACTTGAATTAGCTAATATAAATTTACGTCCAGGTGGACATCTTTCTTTCTTTTTTCTTTATCTCTCTCGCCCTCACTTTCATCTCAATACTTCCTTCATGGCTACCCAGTTGAGCCCGGGTTTCTTTGCTCGTCGTACGCTTGTTGTGCCCAAGCACTCAGTCTCCAAAGACAATGTAACTACCATTCCGCCTCACTGGAAATTCGAAAGCAACTGCAGCACATCTTACATCTCTACGACTCCACAACAACATTGAATAGGATGCACTCAGGATCGGTATCCTCGGGGCTGCAAACATCGCGCCCGATGCCCTAATTTACCCTGCCAGAAGCATCCACTCCATCGTCGTGGTCTCCGTCGCTGCTCGTGATCAGACCAAAGCAAAGGTAGAAAAGTCCGATGTCTCTTTTCCTTTTTTTTTTTTTTTGACACTAACCCTATACGTGTTCGTGTTGTCATGATACGAGTAGGGGTTTGCTGCAAAGTATGACATCCCCAACACCCATCCTACATACGATGCCATTATCAGCGACCCCAACATTGACTGCATCTACAATCCTCTGCCAAATGGCCTTCATTACGAGTGGACGAAGAAAGCGCTTGAGGCTGGAAAGCACGTCCTACTCGAGAAACCCGCAGCATCGAATGCAGTGCAGACCCAGGAGCTATTTGCTCTTGCCAAGGAAAAGAACTTGGTACTCCTGGAAGCCTTCCATTACCGCTTCCACCCTGCGTCGATCCGTTTCCGCGAGATTTTGCAGACACACATTGCGGAGGGTCATCCAGTGAAACGTGTCCAGGCCAGGATGTCGTTTCCCTGGGTCTTTCCAGCAACAGATATTCGGTTCAATTGGAAACTGGCTGGGGGCGTCTTGATGGACTGCGGCTGCTATACTGTCAACTCTATCCGGTACTTTACAGGACTCGAAGTCGAGAGTGTCGAGAACGCAAAGCCCAGGATAGTTTCAGAAAACATTGACGGACGCATGGATGCTGTCTTGAACCTGAAGGGCACCCACAGTCCAGGTGTGCAGGCTTCAATGACAGCCAGCTTGACCAACTCGTGGCTGTCTCTTCAGACATATCGTGAGGCCATTCCTACGTTCACAGCAGAGACTGACGATAAGATCTTTACCTTTGGCGTCTTCGTAATGCCTGGAGTAAGTTGTACTTATAGTTTTTTTTCAAATAAGTGATGCGCGTGATGTAAAAAAAAAAAAGAATGCATTGACCCATTCTCGATAAATGAATTACACTCGTGCACAACAAATAGATCTACCACTACTTCACGATCAAGGACAAGGCTTCGGGCAAAACTGAAAACCTGTCCAAGGAGTATGGCGAAGGACACTCCTCATATAAGTACCAGCTCGATGCGTTTATCAAGGCCGTCAAGGGCGGTGGCCAGGGCACGAGTTCCATCGCCGGATGGGTAACTAGTGAGGACAGCATCCTGAACATGCAAGCCATTGACTCTATCTATAAAGCTGCCAATATGAAGGTCCGCGAGTGAGTTCTACGATCTGGCAGGTAAGGGAGGACGTCTAAGTAAATAGACGAAGGCCGCCATTAGCGCTTGTATACGCGCTAAGGAGGCGTCGCGTTATTAGGAGCGCCGCTCCCTCGATTTTCATTTACAGCATTATGAGTCTTACCAATAAACATGCCAACTTTATCTTTGCCGCGAATGTGTTTTCGTGAAGAGCGAAACGGTTTTGATGCTTGAATAATTAGTGTAGAGTGGGCCTTAAGTACATCTACTATCCAATGCTGGCCAGAGTACGTGAGCTGCCGCCTTACGAGTGGACCACTTCGACATGGTGGTTAAGCTAAAGGCCCTTTTACGTAGCATTCCCGTCTCTCTGGCCGATGCCTTTGTACTATCAATGAGCTAAACAGGATTGGTAACGCACTCATCACATCTGTCGCATTAGCCACGTTTATTGCGCTCACTCAACGGCAAACAAGTTCCCGACATGTCTTGAATAACAACTCTATAGAAGTTTGATGAATACCTTTTTTTTTTGACGCTTCGTAGCCAAAAATAAAAAAACTACAGCATTCATATCCTGGAGTTCGATGCCGCGTACATGAATCTCAGGATGAGCTTGACGAAAGAAGTGGAACTGGTGTTGATTGAAACGATGTTACTATTTCTCGTAGGAGTGTCAAAGTAGCCGAGCAAAGGCTCCGACCATTGAATGAAGACTGGTATCCTAAGGATCACAGAATATCGCCTGGGATCACCAGAGGATGGGTAGTTGTTTCCCATTTCCGGGTGGAAGCAGCTGGAACTCTTGTCTGTGTATCATCGAACTAATGTTGCGCAGAAATGGATTCGCCAATGCTCTCAGTCCAGCCTTCGCCATCGTTTCTTCCTCGCAGGGAAAACTGGCTCAATATACACCGTTTCTTTACAACATCTATTCTGCGTTTCAATACATTACAGGTCTGGCAATATTAAAGATGGATTGGTTGATGAAAACCAAATCGGCTAGCACGAGTCTCTCTTCTAGGAACACTATCAATCCCACACAGCGGGGCTTCAAGAACACTTGGCTGACCAGGCCATGCACGCCGCGGATATCAGGAGGTCCATGGACATGCATTTCGACAGGCTGCAGGAAAAGGTGGCTAAGAACCAAGTGCTTCAAATACAGCAGCAGATACAAAAGGGGATCCAGCCAAAGTAGAATCAAACCATCAGCTTGCAGGATCTCTGGCTTGCCGGAGCAAGCCTTCGACCTTTTGGCGATCGTCCAAAACCGCATCCAAGTGCTCCTCACTCAGACCTACGAACTCCACGAGTACCCAATCCCAGTCTCCTCATTGCCTTGCCAACAGCGACAACGCGCGTGAGGGACAGAGCAGTACAGCCATTCAGGGTACAGCTCCGGTTGTTCTTCCTGTGCGAGAGCAGCACCCATACCACGACCAAGTACACCAAGGTCCGACACGAGATCCATCTGGGCAAGCGCGAGAGATACGACATCGCGGAGCCAGCCAAGTTCTTTGGAAAGCATGGGCCATAAGTGCTGATGTTGATGTATATGATCAAGTATGGAATTGTGGCCGCCACTGGCGCGGCTCAGACTAGTGAAGAGGGTCGAAGAAATCCACAAGTACTTGAGCCTCACCAATGAGACCCTCATTTCTCTGATGGATGACTCTATCGGGTACTTGATGAAACTAGGGAACGACGCTAGCGACGATCTCAACTCGACAGCAAGCCAAGTAGAGCTGATAACGCTGGAGAGAGCGGGTTTGAGACAACTGGAATCGTAGCTGACGCGTCAAGTGGGTGAGTGTGGACCCTTACCGGAAGAACTACCGCAAGGCCGTGGTGCAGAAGTTGCGGGATGTTGTCGAGGCGGACAGAAGCAGTTTCTTTGAGCAGATCGACAATGTCGAGATCTTGTTCCAACCGAGCACTCTTGCGAGGTCGGTCTATGGAGCGATGATCCAGGCTAAAGACATACAGAGGCTGATAATCAGGCTGCGCTGGGATGTGGCACTAGAAGACCTCTGCAAGTTTAGCGTCGCTGTTACAGAGACAAGTGTTCTCCCTCTGACGGTCGACGACGCACAAGAGCTACCCAACTCGAGGCTGACGCTGGGCAAAATCAATGGTGGTTGTCGATATGGTCCACTGATGCAGCTAATGCTAAATTGGGGTCTTCAGTTGTTGATTGTCCGAGACTTTGGGGAACTCTTCTTGCGTGTGTTCAGCTTGCCCTCCTTGCACCTCCCAGGCCACGTTTACTATCAGTCAGTCCCGTTCTTAGTACCGGCGACGCGTCCGCGATGTCTTGTCTCAACACCATCCTCAAGCAGCGCGTTTCCCTCAAGTGGCTGACCATGGTTGTACGAACCACATCGTCCTCATAAAGAACCACAGCCACATAGTCCGCGACCTCCGAGGACCCAAGGCGTTGTTGTCACAATATCTACGATTATTGATGGCTGCAGACATCTCTAAGGGCTGTACTCTGGGACCAAAGCTTGCAAATGAGCACTCTGGGGACATTACACCAGATAGCAGGATGCCCCTTCAAGAAGGCTGTCATACTCGGTCCATAAATGGGCGCACTCCACAGCAACACGAGCAGATTCTTTCGATTGACGCGCTGCTCCAGAACCCTCATCTCAGCATTGTAAAAATTTGCTGCAGAGGCCCTGGGCAATGTGCTTCTATCGTCCACCTGCTGCTCGCCACAATGTAAAGGAAGCTAGAAGAAGGACGCTCGCTGGCGCTATGGACTCTCGACTTGATGGATGAAGGCACTAACACTCTTTCTTCCGAGACGGGCTATGGCTATCAACATCGCGTTGCATCAGCCATGTGCTTTACAGAGGGCTTAGCTACGTTCGACATCAGCACTGGCATCAGTGACGCAGAATGAAGATTCACAAAATTACGATAATTGGCGCTGGCCAGGTACGCTTGATGAGGCGAACTACTGAACCGCGCAAGATGACTTGCGGACATGGTTTCTACTCTTGCTACAACACTGTTGGCCTCACCGCCCTCGCAAGCGTTTTCGAGCACCCTTTTTGATACCAGAAGTATCTGGAGTGGAGCATGCTGAGAGAGACCAATCTTTTTCATACTGATTTTCAAAGATCGGATTCCCCAGGCAGAATGTCGTTCTTTTTGCTCTTCGGCGCCGGTACGCTACGATGTCTGCGGCCGAAACACCTTCGCATTAAATTCCAGTAACGACAATTTTTGCCACCAATTTTTTTATTGCGATGCTATTGGCCGGTTGTTTGCAAGGATTCGGCCAGGCCAGTCGGAATGAGGATCATCTTGCCCAGCGAGCTGAGTACCTCAAACGATGCAGCGTCGTTTGTTGGTTATGCAGAGTGGTGCTTTTGGCTCCAGAGCGCCGGTTTGCTATGGCGTCAGGGATCTGAAGCATCTCATGCTGCTCGCATTAAACCCACGTAAACCATGTAACTCACGACCGTTAATTTATTCTGTTAAAGAGTTGCCGTTCGGAAAAACGATCCGACAATTCGCCAGAATGCTGTTAGTTCATAGGTGGATTGTCTAAGTTTATTGATACTCAATGTCTATGACGACTACATCACAACCAGTGAATAGGAAGGATGGCGAGGTGTTGGGGGAGTGTAGGACTTGAACACTTCGAACGCACAATAGAAGGCAGCTCTCTTTTTTCTGCCTATTACTTTGAGCGGGCCCAAGTAATGGGCTGCTGATCAACAGCAACATGAACAGGGGTGTTGTCGAGGAGTGGAGAGATAAAATAAATCGAGGGTGAAAAAGAAATGTAAAAGAAAGCAGTCGTAATAACACAAAGATAATAATGGTAAGAGTAAAGAGAAGGGTCGATCGGGTCCGATGGAGGTTCAGTCGTGTGGGTTCCAGGCAAATCAAGGTCTGTGTTTTTTTTTTTACTTGTTGTGCCACAAAAAGTTCTTGAGGGTATTCCAGCGGTTGGAGTCGATGTAGATGTACTGCATCGATGCTCGCAGCGAAGGCTGGAGCACATCCCGCTCGTTCTGGAAGAGGAACATGACTGTGGCCCAGACTAGGGAGGCGAAGATCGGGAAGGTCTGCGCAGGTTCTGCGATGACATTCTTCTTGACCGGCAGCTTGGCCAGACCCATCATGATACGCGAGAACAGATACAGCACGATCTGTAATAACGTGTGCGTGAGAGAGAGTAAAGCGGATCAAAAAGAGCAGGCAGGAAGAACGGTTAGCTTATGATCCCAGGTTCTTAAATGGGGTTGATCCATGCAAGACTCCTGTTATCCATGAGTATTCTGAATCTCATTATGATTTTCATCCTGTTCCCTGTTTCCCATCAGACCTAGTTCAATACATCGATTTCGTGCTCTCTTCTTGGTGTTCTTTTGACCATGAACGCGCTACATTGGCAGGATTCGATTTATAAGAAGGAGAGATGGCATTACCTGCTGGTTGACGTTGTTATTCTCTCCAAAGACAACATATCCACCAACGAGACCGGCCAAGAAAGAGTCGAGTGGCAGTTCCTTGCCGCGCATGCGTCTCTGAGCGATCAGCAGAGTCTTGTAGATGGTGCAGAAGAAAGCCAGATTCCGGGCATGCTGTCTAGTTGCCTTCAGCACAAAGGTCGCCATATCCTTGAAGCTGGAGATGAAAAAGGCGGGGAATGAAAGCAATTGCAGAAGGTTAAAGACGAGCAGAAAGGCAGCCAGGCGCGACAGGAAAGTGAGACCCATCCTCTCGATATCATCCTTATGGAGCAAGTGCGGATAGAACGTTACTTTGAGCGACGGAAGAGCAGGGTCATGACAAGGGCGTGTGGGAAGCGGATCTTTGCACCGTACACAAGACCGTTCCTGAAGCCCTTGACGATCGAGAGCAGGTCATGGTACTCTGGGGTGAGGATGAACTCTGTGGCGGCTTTCTTGATGGAGTCCATTGAAATGGGATGAGAAGGGAGAGAAGAGAGATGTGTTGATGAGGGATAAGGAATGAGGAAGAGGAGAAGGTAGAAGGAGGCGTGAGGTGATGAGAAGAAAGAGAGGTGTGAAGAAGAGAAGATCTCCTTTGAAAAGAACTGAAAAATAAAAGTACATATTGCACACAACACACAGATGCGCACACGGCATTTGTCTCCGCACTCTTCTTCTCTTCTTTCATCCCTCGGAAGGACAAGGAGAGGAATGAGATATGGTATGGTATGATATGATCGTCCTTCGTTTTTGTCCGTGGGTACAGCGCGTGTGTCAAGGTTCAGTTTCTTTGTCATTCAGTTCCCCGCACGTGAAAGACAAAGAGATCTCTTCCTCCACAGCTGGGAGCCAAAGGGTAGTGCATCCTCCAATATACAGAAAAACCATAATATGCTTCACAGGTTCTTATCGTTCAGTTTGTCTGCAATTGACTAATGTCCAACCGAACTCCTTCGTCCCTGTTCAAAAGAACGGCACCCATCCTGTTTGGCATCCTCTGCTGGAGAATACTGCTGACTTTGATCACATACTCAACATTCCTCTACAGTTCATACAGTTCTCGGACTCTCTAAAGTGAATATACATGAATATACACTCCTCATAGACTGCACCTTCTTGGCGTTCATCTCTTTGGTACTTCCAATAACGTTTCGATAATGTGGCCCACCTCATAAAGCAATTGCGGTTGCGCCATGCTTCTATTAAAGCAACAAAGAAGGGGCATTGACCACTCTATCCACAGCACTTGGCACTGGCACCGGCCATCTTTACTTTGATGCGCACCACAGCTGAACGCCCTTTTTTTCCCTTTCAAAAATAAATCACGTGCTGCCACCAAAAAACGGGTTCCCTTTCCAACTCAACTCGCCACTTCATCACACACAACACAGAGGATTATGGCTTCCTCAGTATCATCAGCAACAGGATCGCTGCGAAACTCGACAGGAGGAGGGCGTACGTCGTTTGTGGACACATCGAGTCAACGCCTCTCCATAGGAAGCGCGCGACTGTCGTTACTTCCCAACAAGAATGCAGTGCCGACTCTAGCATTGCCAACACCCCAATTCGATAGTGAGGAGCTCTCTGCGCGCGCGGCAACATTCACGAGCGACGTCAATGCTGCGATTCAAAAGATCAAGACAAAGATTGCGGACAATACAGAGCAATGGGTTCAGGACACTGCAGAAGCACGAGGTAAACACTCATCACGCCAGCACTCAACAAGTCGTGAAACGGGCCTATAAAAATGCGACAATTCGAGAGTGTAGAAGAGCTAACAGGAACTGCATTTTTTTTTTGTTTGCTTATTGCAAAAAGAGACGGATCGAGAGATACGGGAAGAAATGAGGATTGCCATCGCACAGGAAACAGCCCTCGCAAAAGGTACAGAACCTTCAGAATCCTTTGCCTCTGTCCAAAACTCGCCGCACGTCAATATGGCGCAGAATGGATCGCAAAGTCCTGATACAATTGTCATCTTCAACGTTTAACTGGATTAGCACTTAATAAGGAAAAGGAGGAGGCGAACAATATGTCGAAGGCTGTTCAACAGCTGACGGCACGCTCAGAAGACATGGAACAACTACGTGCGTCTCTTATAGAACAAGTTGCCATTCTCAGGAGGGAAGTGAAAGCCAAGCGAGAAGGTTAGAGCTACTCAAATTGCTGCTGCAGGACTTTTTCTGTCGAACCTTTGTCGTATTTTGTAACTAACACGTGGTCTGCTTCGTATTGACGTATGTGCCGAGCGTAGCCAAGATTGCACAGAAGAAGGCGCTGGATGAGCAGGTCCTGAAGAATAAGCCAGAGCTGGCAAGTTTCGAGTCCGTTCTGGCCATGCGAATCGTTGGCGTTAAAGGCACGTCTTGGTGATTGCATCCGTTTCTTTCTGCGATTGACTGAAGCATTGGAAAAAAGTTCATACTAATACGATTACACGTTATTATTCGATCGAAATAGAGGACCAAATTGGATTTGTATTTACGCGGATAAGCGAGCAGGATTGGGATCGGGAATACACTATTACAGTGGACGTCTCTCAACACGAATTTGCAGGTAGGGACATCTTGAAAGCTTGCACTCTGCCCATTTTTCGATTTAGAAAGTATTGGACTAACGAGAAACATGCCAACTGCCGTATGACTAGTCGAGGACTGCAGCCCGGCATTACCGGAGCTCCAATTATTGCTGCGTTATTTGAATGAAACCAGGGACTTTTATGGGTTTCTCAAGAAGGTCAGGAAGGCATTCAAGGATCTCGCCAAGAAGTAACGCACTGTGCGTGAAAGGAAAAAAAAAAAAAAAAAAAAAAAAACCAGTAAAATTCAGTGGATATTCATCCACTTGTTTCCCAGGAAGAGATGACAGCGGACGTCGCGCGTGTCCCAGGCAGGGCAAAGGTTTCTCACCGATGTGCGGCGCATGTACAGAGAGTGTGACAAGGATGAACGTGCGCCGCCGTAGTGCCCGGTAACTACTCTCGCTAGATATAACCTCCTCCTTCCTGGGCCAGTACGAGCGAGCCGATTCGCCTGCCGACACGCAGCAGCAATGTAGATAATAAATCATCTGCTACCCCTGGAACATGCTCTTTGTACTCGTTGTTGCATGTGCATCTGGAAATGAGGCACACGGGCGAATTGTGCATCATGACCGTTTTATTTTTTGACTTCACACAGAGCTTCTCTGCTTCTTCTCATTCACTTCTTCCTCATTCACTTCCTCTTCACTTTCAACCTTTCTCTCCAGCCCCCAGCCTTTCTCTTAAACTTTTATTTCATTACACCTTTCCCCTTACTTCCCTTGTTATCGCAATGTCTTCACAGCACGCGAAATTCCTAGCGTCAAAGACGGTCGCAGACGTGTTGAGGGAGAAAAAGATGGACCAGCCCCTGATCGATATCCCTGTCACGGCGACCGTAGAGAAGGTCTTTGAGACGCTTCAATCGAACGGTAAGTTATCGTGTCATTTGCGATTGTTATTTTTTTTTTTTTTTTGCTATTGTCTGGGCTACTGGTGGTCATTGTTGTTTGTCACTCGGAGACGACGTCAAGAATCTTTTTTTTTTTTTATTATTTTTCACACGGCTGAGCCCAATCTACTTATCGTTGCCGGGACGCTAATTGTGGACGGTGCTGAGGAATGTTCATTCAAGATTCATTCTGGTCTGAATGGCTACGTTGTAGTTTTCAATGGGAGTCCATGTCAAGGCGTTGTAAGGGATACTAATGGAAATGCTTTCCTCTTCTGTTTTCTGTGTATCGCGTTATGTGCGTGTCCGCATGATCTTTAATATGTGCTGCTGCATGATTCTGGATATGGGCTACCCGGCGATTTGCATTTGCATTTGCATTTACATTTGCATTCGCAATTTTGCGATTTTGCAGACATTCTTTCGGTTCCCGTGTATCGGCGCTTCAACAACGTGAAGGACTATGTGGCGATCATTGACACATATGACCTTCTGTCGACCTTGGAGGTAAGAGAGCAGAAGAACAAAATACAAAACTGAAACCAGCGGCGGCGACACGTGGAGGAAACGCATGGACGTGCTTTTTTCTATTTGCTACAAACTGACGCCCTCAATTCTTATTTGCCTTCGTTTCGTTGGGGCGGAAAAAAAATGAAATGATAGGAGCGCGGATTTGCGGTGGAGAATGGAACAAAGCCAGACATGGAGTTCTTGTCGATGCCAGTGGCGATTCTGGTGGGGATGACAAAGTCATCGTCAAAGTTGTGGACGTGCCAGCCTACACTTCCACTTACTCAATTGTGCGTGAGTTTGCTTCTGTTGATGAACTAAAAAAAAAAAAAATTGTGTTGAGAAAGAGTTCTGAAGACGAGTTTTTCTAACGATGCGAGTGTGTCTGTCCTTTTTTCACCATCATCATCTTCTGTTATGGTAAAATAGGATCGAATTGTTCACGAAGCACAGAGTGCATCGTATTCTGGTGCTGGACACGATCCCTGCAAAGCCTAACGCTTTCGAAATCAATAACAACGAGGACGACGATAGTGCGGAAGCAGGACCTCGACAGGAGCCAAAGGGACAGCTGATATCGCAGACGGATGTGGTTCGTTATCTTTTGGGACATAATCATGAATTGGGACCGATTCTGGATTCTGCGGCGACGACGGCGGCTGGACATGCCTTGCGGTTCTCGGATGAGTATTTGGATACAGCCAAGGCAGATCAGCTTAAGCATGCGCCGGCATTGATTCCGATGAATAGTCCTGCGTGGGCTGCTTTGCAGAAAATGGCGTCTACGCACGCTAGCTGTGTCGCCATCGTTGGTATGTCACTCTAACTACCCTAACTTGGATTGTTCGCACGTTTTAAATGGATCCACATATGCTTTTAGTTTCATTGTGTCGTGTTACCTTCCCTGTCGCTTTATTTTATTGTTTTCTTACTAACGCTGTGAGTGTTCCCCTCGTGTTGATTTAGATTCCCACGGAGCGTTGGTGGCAGAGATGTCGGCGGCGGATCTGCGAGGGGTGAACCCAAGTAGGATTCAGGATTTGAACAGACCCGTGTTGGTGTACCTGAAGACATCGCAGGGCGGCACTCTGAGGCCACCACTGAGTTGCAGGGCACAGTTTTCGATGGGTCAGCTCCTCAGCGGTCTGGTGCTCAATCATGCACATCGCTCTTGGCTGGTCGATGATGAGGAGAGGCCCATTGGATGCATCTCTTTGAGCGACGTGCTGTCGGCGTTCCTAGCCTAGGCTGTTAAACGAAGGCGATGCGATATTTTTTTTTTTTTTTTCATTTCTCGGACCATGGGTAATAAAAGACGTCATTTGAACTTTTTAAGATTCGATTAAAATGTGTGGTTTTATTGTACAGGATCTTTGAACAATGTCGATGAGTTAACGACATTTAGGAATATGCAAAAAAGTGTGTCTGTGATGGGGTGAAGGTATTTAGCAGTTGCCACGGAGCTCCTGCTCACGCTCGATGGCCTCGAAGAGAGCCTTGAAGTTACCGGCACCGAAACCCTCGTGACCACGACGCTGGATAATCTCGATGAAGACAGTGGGGCGATCCTGGACGGGCTTGGTAAAGATCTGAAGAAGGTAGCCAGACTCGTCATAGTCAACAAGGATATCAAGGGACTGGATCACATCGAGATCCTCAGCAATCTTGGTGGAGGAGCCCTGGAGACGGAGACGAAGGTTCTCGTAGTACGAGGAAGGAACGGTCAAGAACTCCATGCCACGGGCACGGAGGTTGCTGACAGCCTTGATGACATCCTTGGTGTTGAGGGCAATATGCTGAACACCGGCGCCTCCGTAGTATTCGCAGTACTCAGTAATCTGGGACTTCTTCTTGCCGGCAGCGGGCTCGTTGATGGGCATCTTAACTTTTTCGGTGGGATCAGCCATGACGATGGAGCGGAGAGCGGAGTACTCGGTGTGGATCTGGGAGTCATCGACGGACCAGAAGCGGTGGAAGCCGAGCTGCTGCTCATACATCTCACAGGCCTTGAGCATCTCACCGTCGGGCTGGTTACCAACGCAGTGGTCGATGTAGTTGAGACCGACGACAGGGAGGATATCATCGAGGGGGTCCTTGCCGCGGGGGAGGACGTAGCCGGGAAGGAAATGGCCCTTGTAGCTGCTGCGCTGGACAAAGGTGTGCTCAGTGTCACCGTAGGTAGCGATGGTGGCCATCCAGACGGAGCCGTGCTCGTCCTTCTCCTCAAAGGGGGCACGAATGGACTTGGCACCCTTCTCAATAGCGCGGCTGTAGATGGTATGGACATCGTCGACAGTGAAGGCGACGTCCTTGACACCATCGCCGTGGAGGGCGAGGTGGTCAGAGAAGACCTTGTTGTTGGGGTTGAGGGGAGACTGGAAGACGAAGGTGATAGTGTCCTGACGGACAACGTGGGAGCAGATGTCGCGGTGACCGGTCTCGAGGCCGCGGTAAGCGATCTCCTTGAAACCGAAGCGGGTGGTGTAGTAGGAAGCGGCCTGCTTTGCGTTTCCGACCCAGAAGACGACGTGATCGAAACCCTCGTAGTTGCCAATGTTCTACAGGACAAGATGGGTTTGAGCAATGTTAGAAGATGAGTGCGACCTGGAATGAGCAGCGGCAGAGGATTGAAAGCATCGAAAGGATCGAAAGCAAAATGGTGGCGGCAAGTTGCATGGTATGAAGTGGCACGTTATGGCTCCAGCGGGGAATGGGAAATGGAAAAATGGAAGGGGGTAACATACCTGAGCAGCCATTATGATGATGCGGAAAGTGGAAGGAGTTGAGTGGGTGAAGAGAGAGGAGTGGAAGAGTAAAGAGAAGATGGAGTTGGAGAAAGAAAAGAGAAGGTGGAGGGAAGTGGTCGGTCCTTTTTATATTCGCAAAAAGAGCTGTAGGTTTGTTACCCCACACGGAAGTATTCAATTTTTAATTCAACTGCTCACCTGTGCAAACTTAAGGATCTTATTCAAGCAAAAAAAAAGAACGAAACAGGACCAACACCAGCCCTCCCCTGGCATGGTACCTGTCATTCATTCGCCACCTTAGTTCTTTTTTGTTCGATCGGGCCTGTCTAAACAGCCCCTCAACAAAACCAAAACAGCGAACCGCCCCTTCTCTCGCTCTACAGGACATGTTCATGTCCGTGTCCGTGTCCATCTCATGTCTATGTGTGTATAGACAGTGTGTGCGTGTGTAGACTAGACAGTGAGTGTGTGTGTGTCTATGCCTGTATTGCGCACCGCAATTGACTTGCAGTCCTCTCTTGTTAAGCACTTGTATCTCCTCGCCTCCTCATTTGGTCATTATCATCATCACCACCATTCATTCATTCATTCATTCATCCATAACCTGAGCTCATTTCATCTAGTCTGATCGAATCTCATCTGATCTACTGATTCCGGAGATGAATCCCGAGGCTACGCACCTAGGGACAAACGAACCTACGGACACAGCGGATAGAACGGACATTCAATCTCAAGAGAGTTCAGTCCATTCCATTTGACTTTTTTCCTTCCACCAATTGCCCCAGTCGTTCCTTTTTTTTCCTTTTCGTTTGTTTGTTTGGGACATAGTGCATGAAAATAAGGTTCGGTACATCATAGCACTTCGCCCAAATAAGCCCTTTAACATTTTGTGGTGACACCCCCCTTGCAGGAAACTTCCCACGGCGCAACTTACAGCCGGCGTAAACCCTCATCTTGTACAACTTTCCAGCGCCTTTCAAACACCTTCAGCCGACGGAGGACAACAACAGCAGCAACAAGCACGTATGACTGATATGCGATGTATATTGTACATTCAAATGAAAGAAGGAGTGGATAAAGATGTGTACTGTCGACTATATGCCAAGTGATCTATTGAGAAGTCAATCGCCTCCTTCATTCAACATGCTCAAACGGCTGGATGTTGACATTAAGCGTCCGGAAGAGCGACCGGGCGCGGTCCTCAAGGTGTCCATCATCTCGGATGATCGTCACCACCTGGCCCTTCTTTCCCATCCGTCCTGTTCGTCCTGCCATGTGTACATAACTCGACGGCGATGAAGGCAGACCCACAATGTACACATGCGACAGTCCTGGCAAGTCCAGTCCTCGTGCATTGCTCTCATGTGCGAGATAGATTCCCTTCCCTTTTCTATCACTTCTTGTCCTGTCATGCACTGCCTGGGAAGATGTAGCACCAGAATCGGAATGACTCACGAACGCATCTTGAATCTGTTGGACCGACAATCCAAAGTCCATCTCGAGTCGTGTCGCGATGTGCGAAAGACTGAAGGACGAGCAGAAGAAGACACAAGCATTTTCGACATGGTCAAGCATGCATGCCATTGCGACGCCCTCTAGCATTCGATCGTCATCGTCCCCGAACCTTTCGACTGCGCCTTCCGGTTCCAGGGCGACCGCTCCTGGCGCCTTCAACTGCTGTTCCTTCCAGCTCGCATCCTTGTCCTTACCTTCTTCATTCTGCCACGCTTGGTCCTTCTCTATCCAGTCGATTTCTCCTGCCTGCTGTGGTTTAGATAACGCATTGACTTCCTGACGTCCACTTTGTGCGCCTCGTTCGTTCCATGGGATATGGTTTGATTCTGGTCGCATATTCCTGACGGACCCTGGTCCAATGACAACACAATGGTGCTCGATGCCCTCTGGCAGAACCACGCTCTTGGTCGTATCCACCCACTCTGGATCCTGAACCCAGCCATTGCTCTCCAGCCAATGTCTCATGGGTCGGTTCATCGTCGCCGACGCTGCAATGATCTGGATCGTATCCGTCGTTCCCTGCTTCTGTACTCCCTTCTCGCCTGACGTTTGAGTGACGGAAGACTTGTCCTGTATCCTACGGCCTGTGACCTCGGCGGATCGCATGATCTCTCGCAAGGCCAGCTCGGCTGGTCGGGGATGCCTGTCCCGATTGAAGATCTCGCGTTGACTGGCGAAGCGCTTTGGTAAACGGATCAAATGGTCAATTTCATCCAGGACCAAGGTTTCGATTCCTGATAGATCCAAGATGCCAGACTGCATCAGGTTCCAAAGTCGTGTTGGTGTTGCCACGAGTACATGGGGCAAAACCTTAGTTAAGGTCTCTAATTGATGATCGATTTTTGGTGCTTTTATTGTTGTCGAAGGAGATAGCTCTTCTCTGTGTTGCCTTAATCGGGTCGACTGCTCGCTGCTTGCCTCGTCGAGCAAATCCTCAGGTATCATGAGCGGGGATGACTGGGTTGAGGGTGTAACAAGAACCTGGATCAGCCCCTGCATTTGCTGTTCGCTGAACGTTGGAAAGAGAGATCGTGTCCATGATTCGAGCTGAAAGGCCAGTTCTTGGTTGGGTACAATGAGCACAGAGGTGATTCCGGGAAGATTATTGGGGTGTACTCGTCGTCGAGGTTTGTTGAGCAGTGCCAGGAGTATTCCAAATGTTTTTCCTGATCCTGTGGTGTCCCTAATCAACACGTCTTTGCCTTCGAGGATTGGTGGTATAAAGGCACGCTGGAGAGCAGATGGGGTGTCGATCAACATTGTCCTCCTGAGGTTCGCTGCCAGAGGAGGATAGATCCCTAATGACTTTCGGTAAGAATGGAAGGGGTTAATCGGAAATTCAGCCTCGTAACCGAAGACACTGTGGTATCAAGTGCATATAGAAACTTGACAGGCCGCTAACCTCAAAGGAATTCTGCTGAATACAACAACGAGTTGACGTTGAGAATGGGGTAGGCGATTGGATCCATGTGTTTCTGGACCCCAGGTCAGACTGGTTCCTTGAAGCGGCCCGCAACAATAACGGTCCAGGTAATCTTGATCTCTGTGATTTCTGAAGGCAGCACCGAGTCGAGTACAGAGCCGAATGAGAAGTGCCTTTGTTGGCCCATATCCGTGTGCATGTTCGTCCAAACATCCTTGAAGTCGAGTCTCCGGAAGTGGAAAATGGATAGCAAAGACAGAAGCTGGTTTGATATCGAGTAAGCGAAAGGCAAAGTAGATTGGCAAGGCACCGCCATTGTGTTTGTGTTATGTGGCTTGGAAGTCCAAAATCACGGTCGCTTTTGTTGAAGAGCTCCAGCAGGTTGCGACCAGTACCTTACGCACATATACACCGAGGAGACACATCAGCCATGGCCGACACAGACGTTGAGATGACGACCGCGGGAGAAGCAGTTCCACAGGCAACAACACAGACGACAGAGAACGTGCCAGCACCTAGCCCGTCATTATACATCAAGAATCTTAACGAAAAGATCAAGCTGGATGGTAAGCTCAAGGACACCCATCCAATACTGAGGAACACGAGAAGCTCTAGACAAAGCCCATTGTGCCATTGGATCAGCTCTGCAATGAGTACTTCGCGTGTTGAATGGATATTGAAGAGCAATTTCTTCATATAAAGCTGACATATCTCTGTTTGTCGACTTCGCTTGTTTTTTAGTACTCAAAAAGTCGCTAAGGACCATTTTCGGACAGTATGGAGAAGTGCTGGATATTGTGGCCCATTCCAATATTAGGATGCGTGGCCAGGCGTTTGTTATCTTTGGAGACAAGGATGTTGCAACAAAGGCCATGTCAGAAGTGCAGGGATTCCCACTTTACGGCAAACCAATGGTACACACAGATCAATGTTTGAGCTTAAGGATTTAAGGACGACGACCATCAGGGGAGAGGGCCTTGCTGACAATGCGCTGTTCTTTTTTTTATGCTGAGAATAGGTTATCCAATACTCAAAGAGTAAATCTGATATTCATGCAAAGAAAGACGGGGAGTTTGAGGAGCATTACAAGAGACGCATGTTGACTAAAGGCATGTTTCTATCTTTCAGCATTTGAGCGCGCCTTCTACCTATTCTGCTGATCGATTGGAAGTGGACCTTTACGCTAATGCTCCTATGCAACGTGTCTTTTGTTTCATTAGAAAAATTTGCAAACGAGTTCAAGCCAAAAAAGAGACAGGCGATGCTGTTTGCGAAGCAGCAGCAAAAGATGCAGGAGCAGCAGAGGATTCTGGAGGAACAACAACAGCTGCTGCTCCAGCAACAGCAACTCTCACAGCAGGGCCCATACGGACATCTTCAAGCAGGAGCAGCAGGAGCAGCAGGAGCAGCGGCAGTACCGGGTGCAGCGATCGGTGGAGTGCCGATGATTCCAGACGAATACTTGCCGAGAAACAGCATTTTGTTCTTGCAAAACCTCCCCCACGACGTACAAGAGTCTCAGCTGGTGTCGCTCTTTCAACAATACCCGGGGTTCAAGGAAGTGCGTACGGTCCCTGGCAAGTCAGGAATTGCCTTTGTGGAGTACGATAACGAGTATTACTCCGCTGCTGCCAAGACCGCCTTGGCCGACTACCAGATCGCGCCTGAACATAAGATGAAGGTCACCTTTGCTAGAAAATAGTTCTCCTCGTGTACAAACTCAACCCCTCGCGAATAAAAAAATAAAAAAAAAAAGAAAGCTGCAAAGGACACATCCATTGTTATTGTCGATTGTTTTGTTTGAGCTATGGAGGTATGGTAAATAATGTACATTGAAGAAATGCAATCCGATCTAGCTGCAGTGAAAGTGTTTTCCGAAAAACCAATGTTGATCATCGCTCTGTTTTCATGGCTGAATTTGAGCGGATGCGAGACTGATGCGATTCACGATAGGCGATACCGAGGTCGAAGTGGCACGGAATCCTGACACGGTTTGTTCAGCTCGAAGCCTGGACTGGTGCAAACTGAACTCGCTCAATGTCGTCCGAGCAAGGGCCTTGCCCTGGAAGGATGTGCTCGTGGAACTAGTCGTCGCCACTTGAACATAATCGCCCAGCTTGATCGGCACCCGCCCTGCGCTTGTATTCTGCAAAGCTGAGGATTTAAGCGAGGACTCGATCGAGGGCAAAATCAAGTCATCATCAAACACGATCTTGAAACCGCCATCCGCACGACCAACCCAACGGTTCTTGTCACGCTTGCTCCTTCCTTCTACCAAGACACACTCGCCTCCGGCTTGGCCTACTCGTGCACGGAACCGGTTCTCGGCGCCCTTGTGGAAGATTTGGATAATGTCTTGGAGTCGCTTCAGCTTGATATTTTCTGGGACATCATCCTCCAGTCGTCGTCCTGCGTGGGTACCCTCGCGGCGAGAGTACATGAACATGTAGGCCATCTCATACTCAACACGCTTCATGAGATCCATAGTATCCTCGTGGTCTGCTTCGGTCTCTCCACAGAATCCAGTGATAAAGTCGGATGAAAGCGCGACACCGGGTACGATCGAGCGGATGGTGTCCACGAGCTCAAAGTAGGCCTCCCGTGAATAGCCACGACGCATCCTTGAAAGCACAGTGGTTGATCCTGATTGGGCTGGCATGTGTATCTGAGAGCAAATGTTGGGCCTAGAGGCCATGAGGTGCAGGAGTGCTGTTGGAAAATCCTTCGGATGAGGTGAAGTGAACCGAATACGCATCTATTTGCATGAGAATACATAGACCCCATTAAACATCGAATGTTCCGTGTACGCTTGTGGCTATCTGAAGCATCACAATCTGTACTGCCTCTTACCTCTGGATCAACCAAAGACACGCGATCGAGAAGCTCTGTGAAGCGCATGCCGCCATCCTTCCTCTTGTAGATGGTGTTGAAACCAGGGTTGCTAAGCTCTACTCCGATTCCTGCAGACTGCTCGATGCCATCCTTACTGACATCGCGATAAGAATTGACGTTCTGTCCCAGCAGTGTAACTTCCTTAATCCCCTGGTCACTGAGCTGCCGCACCTCCTGAAGAATCGAATCGACTACTCGACTACGTTCATTGCCTCGAGTGAAGGGTACGACGCAGAAGGAGCACATATTGTTGCACCCACGCATGATCGAGAGATGGGCCGAGAAACTCTCGGGTGCGATCCTGACGGGGACAATATCTGCATAGGTTTCGTCCGCAGATAGCATGACGTTGGCGACACCCTGCCGTGTTGTTTCAGAGATGGAGAGTAGATGAGGGATCGACCGATAGGCGTCTGGGCCACATACTAGATCAACCATCTTGTCCGAGTCCAGTAGTTTGTCCTTCAGTCGTTCAGCCATGCACTAGCATTGATAGTGACGAGGTTTCAGGTGTTAGCCAGAGTAGATCAAAGGCGTCCGCCGTTCATCGCACATCTGTCAGAGCAAGACTTACGCCCAAGACACCAACCAAAGGAGCGCGATCCTTGGCTACTCCCAGCCTCTTCCGCTTCAAGTCTGAAAGGCGATTCCAGATACGAGCCTCGGCATTCTCTCGAATGGCGCAGGTGACCAAGAAGACGATATCTGCCTCGCCCTGTTCCTCTGCTTTGACATATCCAGCACTGTCCATGATTGACATCAGGATCTCAGTGTCATTGACGTTCATCTGACACCCATAGACTTCGACAAAGTATTTTGCTCCTGCTCCCAGCTTGCGCCCTTTGATAGAGAGGTAAGGAACATCAACAGGTATAGCGTTACTGAGATCCGTTGATGTGGGGTCGTGGGCCTTAATGGCTGAAGAATTTAGAAAGTCCTGAAGCGAAGGACCTCGGTTTCCGAAGACGAGGTGCTGTTTCTTCTTTGTGCTTGTAGTGCTTGTCTTGATCGAGCTATCCGAGTCCTTTGTGAGAGTGGGATCGCTGGATTTCGCAGCCGGAGGTATGGTGATGTTCGTTGTGGTTGCGAGGGACCTTGTGCTGGTAATAGTAGCAGCAGCAACCCTTCTCGAAGCACGGCTAGATGCTCTTGCTGAGGCAGTCAGGATAAAGAGTGGGGGTTGCATGGTTGGTGGTGCTGTTGGTGTTGTTGCGGAAGTTATCCAGGAACTTGGCCGGCAAGTGTTCTCGGAGGAAAGGTGAGAAATAAATGGTGTCTGGTGAATGTTTTCCTTTTCCAGAGGACTTCTTCCGGTGGCTTTTGATGGGCGATGCCATATTCCACTTTGTTGATCTTTTTTTTTTTTTTTTTTTTTTTTTTTCGCACCTTTAACCTCATCAACAACACTCTTTTAACCATGTCCAGCGCCCGCGCCGCACCGCCGCCATTGAAGCTCGAGGTCCTTGAGACAAGACCGCTGTCAACTGCAGAGACCGTGTCGACACTGCACCACTTTCTTTCGAACGGAACGGCTATCCACTCGGCCCCTACCAGCATCGCCCACCAAGTGACTCAAGTCTATGAGAAGCTGCGTCTGGAATCGAAGCGCCACCAATAAGTAACTGGGCGATTGCCAAAGGCGAGATTAAAGCCAGTTGTCAGATAAATTGGGCAACCCACCACCAAGGAGAGCGCAGTCAGTTACTAGGACAGGATAGTGTGCGTTCCTTCCGCTGATCGCCTGCAAACACCCACCACAGCCCTCTCCTTACATCTTTCTCAGCCATTCCTACCTGTATATTATTTCACACATACACATCGATCATTGAGATAAAACCCCAACGACATAGACAATAGAAATTCTGCATCATATTTGTTGACAGACCGGGACAAGGAGCGGATTTTTTAGAACTTCATCATGTTTTGATTTATTTTTCTGCACAAAAGCATGCTTGGATCAGGCCAATGGTATCGATAGCTCAGCAGCTTGTTTTTGCCAGAAAAGATACAGCCGAGTCCTGACAGGCCGATTATATTTGCCGCCATGAAAGCAATTACAAGAAACTGTCAGAATTATCGAGGAAGCATGTTGCGGTGTATGTTTAAGTACCTCCTAGATGTTGAGTCGAGTGAACTTACAATATGCCGCGAGTTTCAGGGAGGTATATGCTAGGCAATTGAGAGGCGATTGAGAGGCAATTGATTGTGTTTGGCGTCCTGTCCGATCGAAGAATCGACACGCTCCATATCCCGTATGTTCCAATGAAGAGCGAACAGTGTATTCGGCTGTCCTGGGCTGCATGGTATAGTACACTAAGTAACGAGCCCAAGGCTATGCGCCTCCTGGTGCTCCAAGACGAAGATGTGTGCCTTGCTTTGCAGCAACCCAGGTGATGAATGCGCAGGTGAGGATGTACCCTGAAAACCTGAAAAATGCCGAGCGGGAGATCTGGGCCTCTTCCTCTGGTGTCCGGAAAGACGAAAAAATACGGCGGAGGTTCGGCAGCGGCATTGTTGGGTCCTTGCTGGTTGGCGGGTTGATGCGAAGAAGTATGTTTGCTTTGGTGGAGCTTTGACCAGGAAATCCATAGACTCACGTCACAATGTTTACTTTTGAGGAGCTTTTTTTTTTTTTTTTTTTTGTGTGCTGCTGCTTCACTCATCTCGAACTCGACCCTCGACAAAACTTGACAAAACAGGACAAGGACGACATATCTCTTTACCATGGCACAGAAGGTTATCAAAAAGTCCAATGTTACTAAGGACACAGTTAAGAAGCAGAACAGCGGACTCCTCAGGAAAGGAGGTAAGGCAGGGCGCACACTACTGAATACATCGCAGCAGCAGCAGTAGCAATCATATAGGAAAGGACCAATATAGCTTATGCTCAGCAACTACATCGATTGACATGACGGGACTTGTATTTGGTCGCCTTTTGTTGACATGAAGCTAGGTCCTATGCCCCCAAGAGCAATGTCCTGATCAAGCAAAAGAGTACACAGAAGGTGAGCGAAAGGGATCCCTATTTCGATTTAAGATCTCAATTGGGCAATGATCTCGACGATACTGGACCTTCCTTATACCGCTTGTATTCTAACTGCGGCATGGCATGTCCTCACTCGTTCCTGCAAATAGAAATTGTCTGCGCAGATTAACAAGAATATCGAGACGGTCATGGCCACCAGAGCTGGTGCGACCGGAAAGCTGACCATCATGAAAGGTTTGGCAGATGCTGGATTGGCGGCTGAGCGCAAGGCTGGAGGAAAGAGGAAGGCCGGAGGCATGCCTAAGGTCTCGACCGGAAAGACTGTGAAGGCGATGCCCACCAAGGCCAAGCCTGCCGCCAAGAAGTAGAGGCAGTATTATTAAACTTTCAGGAACAGCAGCTGGATGTCTTTTTTTTTTTATCACTATTCTTTTGGACGCTGCCTCATCGCTTCTATCTTTATGTGCTCCATACTCGATACCTTTTCTTCCAGTGCACGTCATTTTGCATCCCATCTTGCATCTTATTTTGCTTCCAGCCGTCTTCCTCGCACACTCTAGCATCAATGTATAATAGAATAAAACAACAAGCAACTGCTCGTCACTATAGGCAACACTGTTTATTGAATTATGAGGGTACGATTGTTATCGGTTTGGTTTATTCATGGAATGATAGATTAAGAGATATGATATGTTCGTTGTAGCCTGAGATGCATGTAGGAGGACCGGTAAACGGATATTGGAGCTTACTTCAGGGGTACATGATCAGAAGTAACATGGCTTCAATGACTACGGCCGCTTGCACTCCCACACTCCATTCGGCTCTTGCGCCAGCGTTATAGCTGCCAGTAGCCTGCACCGCAGGTGCTAGAATTCAAAGGAATATGTCAAATCGATCTGTCGCCTCTCGTTATTAACACCGACATTCAGACCATAACAGTAACAGAAGAAAAAGGCTTTACATGCATCCTTATTGACGGTTCCCTCGGGTTGGATCGAGAATGTTGATCCCTGCGCAAAGATTGTGGCCTCGTTGTTGACATTAGCAACCAAAATGATTGAGAAGCTGTCGCCGACAAATCCCAGTTTGGGGACCGTCCAATTCGCCTTACCAGCGGTCGTCATCAGATTTGAAAAGAGTGCCAATGGTCCAGTGAACAGCTTCTTTGACTGATCAATTTTATTTTTGGCCAGGGACATATCCAAGGTCCGCGGTGGTCGAGTAGTCCGTGTACCACATAGAGATAGTTTAACGCGTTAGGATTGTTGTACAAGATCAAAATTCATACACGCACATAAAAGGAGTGTCTCAACTTGCATTGTCCACAAGCTCTACAGAGATGGTCGCGGGAGATGGAGGCGATGCTCCAGAGTATGTCCAGAAGATGGGAAGCGCGCCTCCTGCGACGATGAAGGACGTTGCATTCGGGGAATTGATGGCAAGGTCCGCTAAAAGTGACCAGACGGTAGATATCTTACAAGTTAAAGGAATGCAACACGACAGGCATGTAATGTATTCGTGTGTGTAAAGAGGTATACCCATGGCAGCTGCGACCAGTGCAAAGACGGTTACCAAGATCAGAAGAGGTGAGGAGTGCATGGATTTTGAATCTGGGGTGATCGATCGAGGGTCGACAAGGAGGCGAGCCGGTGGAGTTCTTATGCAGGGTAAGCAAAGAGGTTGTCAGCGCCTATTTGTGTTTCCTCTTTTTGATGCAACTTAGTACTTTAGGGTATAAAGAGGAGAAATACGGCAAGGCGCGTAAAAGGAGCAGGTTTAATGGGTAAAGATGGAGGGAAAAGGCGAGAAAGAGGGAAGACGAGCTCAAGAAAAGAAAAGAGAAAACGAGGAGCCAGATAAGCCCCGACTATCGGTTGGTCGCTCTGAATGAATCTGCAGCGTGAGGACAAGTGTAAACTGACTAGACCACTATCGTCCCAATTCGGTACCTTCTACAGAGAGTAGCGGATAACCACGCCAACTTACACTCGCGGCAGTATGGAAATACCGGGGGAGGCGGAAAGAGGGGCCACAGAAGGAGAAGCGTCAAGAAGGGGCGCTGGAAGTCGAATGGGGAGCCTGCATCCAAGGAGGGCTACCAAGCCAGCGACAACCTTGTAGAAAAGAAAAAGGAGTATTAGCCTATGGTGACAACAAGCTGAGCATGATAATCAAGCAATCAAGGGAGGAAGAGAAAGAAGGGGTTCGCGATCAAGAGACGGCTTCATCTGCAATGCAGCCGAGGCGCTCGACCAGGACCTAATACGCCGGGAACAATTTTGTGGGAAGTCTTTGTAGATGTGGCATGTTGAAGGTGAAGGGCTGAATACCGTTGTTTGTCATGCCGCGCTAGCCCTTCATGTCTTGTCTTTCAAGCATGCTAAAATGCCATGGTGGTCATGGTGGATATCATTAACGAGCGCGTTCTAGGGCCCAATGTTTAGTGGTCGCGGGGTCCGTCAATCGAATAGAGCTCATTTTTCGCCAACGAAGGAAGCACACGGAAGGACACGCTGTTTTTATTGTCTGTAAAGTACCTATTCGTGTATAAGTACATCGTCGCTTTTACATAGCGCCTTCGCTGGAGATCAAAGTGTCAGCAGCAGCATGAGCAGTCTCAAGACCCTTCCACGACCTACTCTTGCCCTGCCACCTCCCCTTCCCTCCGCCCTTGACCTCGACAAACTTGCTAATCTCGTCCGCGACCTTCTTGACCATGTCCTCGTTTTGTCCTGTGATGATTATCGGTCCACCTTCCTTCTTATCACCAGCCGAGAGAACAAAGATCCGCTGGCCTTTAACTAAGTCATGATCCTTGAGCAGAGATGTCAAGACAATCAGGAAGTCCATGTCCGCGTCCTCACGGTGGTACTTAATCAAGTACGGTGTACTTGACCCGCCTTCATTAATAAGGTTCTTGTCCTTCAGTTCCTGGATCCAGTCCCGAACCTGATACGTCGCAATCTCTTTGAACAGGGTCTTAACTTGCTTGAACGCCTCTCGGCCTTGCTTTTGGGTTTTTACCACTGTTTCAACAAAGGTTTCAGGCCCTCCAGGTGCAGAGAGGACACTACCAAGGTCCCTGGTGAGCTGATAGGTCTCTTGCAAGAGATTGAGAGCTCTCTGACCAACAACAAAGAACAGTCGACAGTTGGCGCCCCGAATCTTTTCCTGGTGCAGGATTTTAATACATTGCAGATCCTTAAGTGATTTGACATGGGTTCCACAGCAGGGGTTGTAGTCGAGCCGAACGAGTCCATGCTTCTTAGGGGGTTCTCCATTCAGCTGATCCTGGTCCTTGTGGTTGAGGGGATCCTGTTCTGCAGCAATCACATCGAGGTCCTCCATGATCTCAACCACCCTAAAGACACCATTGGGACCCACGTAATCTGCGCAGCAACGAATAGAGCATAATTGATGAGCACATCTATCAGGAGATATGAGTTGATCATCTTGGATCATTGCTTAGCGCAATCACGAAAGTACCTTTGGGCAAGGTAGCTGGACGCTGATCCGTGAAGGTGATGTGGACTGGATAGTTGCGGCGAATGTAGAGGTTCAGTCGATCCTCAACCTGTTGAACCTGCTCTAGAGTTGGTGCCTTGGAGAGCTCAACATAGCACCTTGTAGCGTTCATTCCCCTGTAATTCGCACCAACGTCCATATATTGAATCAGTCAACATAAAGCAGGAGAAACGGCAAGAAAAGAAATGAGAAGCGCGAAATCTTTCTTACCATGCCAATGTATCACAGCCGAACTCGGGCTGTTCAAAAACAGCACTGAGCAGATGTTGGCCGCTGTGCTGCTGCATATGATCGAACCGGCGGACCCAATCGAGCGCTAGCCTAGCTTCGGCGCCCTCTTCCATAGGTGCGGTGATGTGGTGGACATGGTTGGTACCAACCCTCTGCACGTTCTTGACCTCAATAGTCTCATTGATGGTGCCATAGTCGCAGGGTTGGCCACCCCCCTCAGGGAACAGGACTACGTAGTACAGAGTGATTAATGACTACCTTTGCCAAAGAAGATAGAAGAACGAAGCCTGAATGGAGGGACCGCTCACCTGTGTCCTGGAGATGCACCTCGTACAGCTTTTGCTTGTTGGGCTTGCTGGAACATGAGAGGACCGAGGTGGTCATGGTCGTCAGATATGGTGTGTGCTGACAGGTCAGCAGGCCGACTGGGACCTGTGTAACAGCCGCTGCCGTGGTAGAAGAATGCTCTGGCATGATTGGGAATGTTCTGTCTTGTGATTCAGGCGGACGCTGATGGTGATGGTGATGGTGGTGATGATCAACGGGTAAATTTAGCCTCAATACCAAAATTGGTGGCGTGAGTGTGTTCCTGAGGCCTGCTTGCAATTACGGAAGGCTGTGCTTTTAGAGAGGCTATGCGCAGTTTTCTAAACCAATCAGATTTGGCTGATAACTTTATTTTATAGCCGTTTTTTTATTGCCGCGACATTCTTGTAATCCCTCTTCGGCATCGTCTTTACTTTTTTTTCTTCGATGGTCTATTGAAATGACACGTAATTTCGCCTTCGAGTAATTCGGTTGATTCCATTCCTTCTATCCGTTTTGTGTATAAATACTCCATACTTTCCCTCCTATTTTCGTCATTATCTTTCTTTCAGTTCTCCATTTTTCACACAGTTCAATTGTGCACATCCACCTTTGCGCTTTCTTTGCCACCGAACCATACTGCAACTCACAATCGTATATTTCCTCGCTATCATATCTCAACACTTCACCAGCGCTTCCACCGAACACTTCGCCAACACTCCTTTCAATACACTCACAAATATGCAGATCGTCTTGGAACAATCCTCGGCACCTTACAGTAAGGCTACCGTCACCATTCAAGGCATGACCTGCGCCAGCTGTGTCAGTGCCATCGAACGCGCACTGTTGTCCTTACCCAGTGTTCAAAAGGCATCTGTCGCTGTCAATCTGCTCCTCGGTGCCGCGACACTCTTTGCAAGCCCAGACCTCTGCCCTCCTTCCTTGATCACAGAGGCGGTCGAGAATGCTGGATATGATGTCCTCTCCTGCAAATACACGGAACCACTTCGCTCTGCAGTAGCGCCGCAATCTTCGATCACAGCCAACAAGACTTTATCTGCCCAGCGCAAGACGTCTAGTATCTTCAGAGCATCACTCGATATCTCGGGCATGTTCTGCGACTCATGCAGCTCCAAAGTTGAAGGATTGCTCAAGTCCCTCCAGCGAGTTATTCGCACTTCTGTCAAGGTCTCACTCGCGACCGGTCATGCTCAGTTCGACTACCAAGTTCAACAGGACGAGCCCTCAAGTATTATGACCAACACCTCGATCGCAGACAAGATTCGTGAGTTAGGATTCGAAGCAGATCATATCAAGATCGAAAAGATCTCAGACGATGAGCAAACGTTATTTGGCAATGCCTCAGAGGACTCTAATGACGGCACCACTCTCACAACGACTCGGCTGGATATCTCTGGAATGACCTGCGCCAGCTGTGTCAGTGCCATTGAATGTAAGTAGCCGCTTGCACATTGGACAAAAGCATGCCGTTGCTTTGGATGTACGTACTACTACTTCAAGTAAATGTGCAGTATTTGACACTTTTTATTCATCCTTTTGAAATACAGCATCGTTGAGCAGTTTGTCAGGCATCTATCAAGTCCAAGTCAATCTATTAGCAAAGTCAGGCGTAGTTGTGCATGACCCAACCCTGATCGGTGTGCGCGATCTCATGGCGGCAGTCGAGGACACTGGATTCGACGTATCATTGCCAGCGGACGATGCCGCTACCAGTAGGAACGCACTTCAGGAAAAGATCAAGCGCGAGGAGCTCCTTCTCAGACGCCGGCTACTTCTCTCGCTCGTTTTCGCGGTGCCAATGTTTATTGTGGCGATGGTCATTATGATGATGCTTCCGAAATCGAACCCAGCCCGTGCTAGTCTGATGAAGGAAATCATCCCTGGGCTCAGGATTTCAGACGTGATCATGTTCATTCTGGCGACCCCGGTACAGTTCTGGCTTGCGCAACCGTTCTACAAGAAAGCGTACCGTGCCCTCCGCTATACTCGCACCGCCAACATGGAGACTTTAGTGGCGCTCGGAACCAGCGTTGCTTACTTTGCCAGTTTGGGAAGCATCGTTGCTGCGATGGTCAAGGGAAGAGATAAGCACGAGGATGCTCATGGCAGCATGGGCATGTCTAGCACAGGCGTCGACTTTTTCGAAACTGCAGTTTTCTTGGTAACTTTTATCAACCTGGGTAAATGGCTCGAGGCCATGGCCAAGGGTAAGACTGCCGAGACTATCACCAAGCTCATGGACCTCCAACCCGAGACAGCGGCTCTTGTCAAGGCGGACGAGACCACGGAGGAGATTCCTGCGTCATTGATCCAGGTCGGCGATATCCTCTTGGTCAATGCTGGTGGACGCATCCCCTGCGATGGAATCCTCTGGAAGGGAAACACGATGGTGGACGAGGCTATGATCACTGGCGAATCGCTTCCTGTCCAAAAGATCGAGCGCAAGAGTAAGCTTATCAGTGCCACCATCAACCTCTCCTCTGTCATCCAAGTCAAGGCAACCAAGGTCGGCAAGGACACGACTCTCTCCAGGATTATTCAGCTCGTCCAAGACGCCCAGGCCAGCCCCAAGGCTCCGATCGAGGCCCTCGGTGATAAGATTTCTGGTGTTTTCGTGCCGGTTGTCATCGTCCTGGCTCTTTTGACCTTTGCCGGCTGGGCGATCGCTGGACGTTTGGATGCCATCCCTGCCGATTGGATTCCCGAAGGTGAGAGCTATTGGATCTATGCGACCTTATATGCCGTTGCGGTTCTTGTGATTGCCTGCCCTTGCGCGTTGGGACTCGCTTCTCCTGCTGCCGTCATGGTTGGAACAGGTGTCGCAGCCAAGCACGGTATCTTGATCAAAGGTGGTGGATTCGCTCTGGAGATGGCCAAAAGACTAGATATTGTGGTCTTTGACAAGACAGGCACTCTGACGACCGGTAAACCCAAAATGACCGACTGGTGGATTCTTCCCATGTCCGTCAAGAATGACTCCAATATGGTCCTTGAGATTCTGGGCAAGGTTGAGGCTGGAAGTAGCCATCCTGTTGCGCTGGCCGTTGCGAAGGGTGCGGCAGAGCTATTACACAACGATCCGCAAAGCATGAGTGCGATACCGGTGCAGGAGGACGAACAACTCCAGGAGGAGGACAACGAAGCGCGCTTTTTGCAGAAGCAGTTTAATCACGTCAAAATCGCTCATATGCGCGAGGTTGCCGGTCGTGGTTTATCAGCGACGCTGACTTTGAATGACAATCTGGTGCTGGAAGGATATGGACACTTTCGCGCTCTGAATGTGTTGGTCGGCAATGAAAAATGGATGCAGGAGAACGGAGCACACTATCCAGTCCAAGTCAACATGAAGGATCGCGAGGCTGAGCTTCGTCGTTGGCAGTCCGAGGGAAAATCTGTGGTCCTTTGTGCGGTCAGTCCTGCGGTCAGCAGTAACGGCGACGCCGTGTCCCTCGCCAGTTTGAGCACGGCGGCGACTTGTAAATGCGAGCTCTGCGAGTGCATTGACTGCAACTGCAGTACACAACTTGGCTCTTCCAACGTTCCTTTGATCATTGCTCAAGTTGCGGTGGCCGATACTGCTCGTCCCGAGGCCGCAGAAGTGATTGCTGATCTTGAGGCGCAGGGCGTTGAGACATGGATGTTGACGGGTGACCATCCCACGACTGCACAGGCCATTGCGCGCCAGCTTGGGATCACCAAGGTCATCGCTGGAGTCCTGCCGGAAGACAAAGCTGCGAAGGTAAAGCAGCTCCAGCAGAGCGGTCGACCGGTCTCCAGGCCTGGAGTGTCCAAGTTGTTCAATTGGAAACAGCGCACCGAATCATCCTTTAGGCTTTCAAACATCGCATCCTCCGAGCACGTAACCGAGGACAGCGCGTACCGTCAGATGCGTCCTGCTATTGTGGCGATGGTTGGGGATGGCATCAACGACTCCCCGGCCCTGGCGCAGTCGAACCTAGGTATCTCTGTCGGATCGGCGACTGATATCGCGATCGAGGCGGCATCGATTGTGCTTCTGCGCGATACGCTGACGGACTTGCTGGTGATGCGGGATCTGGCCAAGACAGTGGTGCGTCGGATCCAGATCAACTTTCTGTGGGCGTTCATGTACAATGTGGTCATGATTCCTATTGCGGCAGGAGTGCTGGTGGCATGGAAGCGGTCTGCAGTAATTAACCCGTCCTGGGCAGGATTGGCAATGGCGGCATCGAGTGTTAGCGTGGTTCTCTCGAGTTTGCGCCTACGATCGTACCGCTACCGACCACGCAAGTAAAGGCAGTGAGCCTAGAAGTATCTATTCCCCGTTTCCGTGTATAACAAGATGCGACAATAAAAAAAAGCGCTTTAAAGATCACTATGTGATTTTGTATAAATGGACTTGTGGTATCCATATTGGCAATATGTGCTGAGCAGAGTTACCAAAGTAAAGGTTATTGAAAGAGAACACGACAAGCAAAATCGCCTTGGGTTTCGTATGCGAGATTCGCCCAGATTTGAGTGTCGCTGCCACCAATTTTTAAGGACAGCCACGCTTGAAGTGACACTAACAGCGAACCTTATTATTGGACCTTACTTTGTCTCGTAGATCGATAGATCCGCGACTCTCTCTCTCATCCCTCAATCCCTCAATCCCTCATCGTCCGTGAGACCCAATGCTGCAGTTACGAGCCTTACAGAGCGCGACTCTACTTCGCGTTGCGTCTCTGAGAACCGTCTCCGTGCCAGGTGTTAGTCCCAAGGTATGCTTGTATTGTCCGGAAGCGTTGAACAAGGAATACATCTTTATTGCATTCAGCCTTGTGAGTACTTGCTGAACACGGCGTCTGTGAACATTATCCTCTAGGTCTCACAATCGTTCCTAGTCGGTCTACGTCCTATGTCCAAACCGCTTCAACTGCACTCAATCGTTCCCCTATTTACGATTTCTGAGATCGCAACCAATTTTTCATCTGCTTCTAGCTCGAAACCCAAAGAGTGGACACCTGAGCTCGATATGAAACTCCTTAACTATTGCAACTATTGCACATCATCTAATTGGGTCCATATAAGCAGCTCCCTTGGCTTTTCCGTCGCTGAATGCAAGGCTCGACTTAAGACAGCGCAAATACAGGATGAGCGCCTAAAGAATTGGTCCATGACACTTGAGATCTCGACTGAGCACGAAAAGTCAGTGCCAGAGCTGGTGCATCTGATGGGGCAGGGTAAGACGTGGCCCGAGATAGCAGAGACCATGCAAACGGAAGAGGAACTCTGTCGGGCTCAGTGGGCAAAGCTGGGCGCGATTTATTCCATGGAACACCCAAAAATGCTTCGGGATACAAGATTGTTGAGGGTACTCAAGAACAGCAAATTTAATCTGAGCAGGTGCGACGGGCGAGGAGGGACCGAGGGGCCGACAACGGGTGGTTGCAGATCTTTGACAGGCGTAGACTTGTACGATTGGGACAGATTATCCAGGGAGGCTTCCAATTCCGAGTTCAGCCCGGAACATCTGCGCTATCGCTTCATCACCCTCGCTAGGAACAGGATTAGATGGACCGCGGAGGACAGGCAGGCGCTTTACGGGTTCATAGAACGATCATTATCAGCACACGTTGGGATGGGACTGGTGGATGGCGAACCCGACTGGTATAGAGCCTCCCGAGAGATCGTTCAGGGCCGTCATTCGCCTTACGATTGCCGTGCACAGTGGAGGGTCTATCACAGAGAACTTCGTCCCGGACGACACTATCTGCCTTGGACTGCATCTGAGGTCTTGGAATTTTGGGAAGCCTGGCAGGAATACGGAGATAACTGGACCGCCATCGCCAACAATATCAGCAGCGGTCACCAGCCTCGCACCCCTAAGAACTGCCAAGGGGCCTTTCACTTTGTTATTAGCAAAGCCAAAGAATTGCAAGCCAGCAGACGAGTCCTCAGCAATACGTCCTCTCAAGTATTTGTCAAGTCTGGAGTACGTTCGCAACACTCTTGGACTCCTGAACTGATATTTGAGCTCCAGCGAATTGTCCAGGAGGAGACTAACTTTGACAAGCAGCGTCAAACCGATGCAGGTCATTACGACCCAACCTGCTCTCCAAAAATCCGATGGACAGCTGTTGCACGGAGACTTGATGTCGGTATCAGCCCAAAACAATGCAAATATTGCTGGTTGAAGGCGACCTTTGATTCTCATGGAAGTGATACTACTTCTCGCCGAGGCACCCCAATTTACGAGCATGACAGGAAGCGTCTGATGGAGCTGCTTAAGCAGGGTCGACCCCACGGCGCGGAGAAATGGATTCAGTTTCAGCAGACACACTTCCCTACGCACTCACTGGATGTGCTGAAACGTGAATATACTCACTATTCGTTGAAGGAATTGATTGAGTCCAAGGCCCTGATGCGACAGCTGGAGGAGCTGGTTCTCAAGTACGGCGAACACTCTTGGAGGCACGTTGCAAAGGCTATGTCCGCCAGTGGACTTCCTCGCACAAGTCGACACTGCCAGCAGGCATGGGCCGCCCAACAGGTTCAGACAAATGCCCAGTGGAGCCTTGAGGAGCTGGATAATATGATAAACGCTGTGGATGATATTCAGCAAAAGCGGCTCAGTGAAAGCGTGCTGGAACACACAAACACCGACGACAACTCCTCGCTGCCGAAACTCACGACCGAAGACTGGATCACGATTGGACGGCTTTTTCCATCGAAAACCTCAGTCCAATGCCGATCCAAATGGTCTGAGATCAAGGTAAAAAAGGATGGCGCCGCGGACGTTTGGGACAATGACAGCAACTTCAACTCTCTTCGCAAAGGCTCGGGAGCTGAAGCAGCATCCTCTTCCCATCGAGATCTGCCTCAGTCTGTCTGGAACAAAATTCGGTGGACTCCAGAGCGAAGTGCGGTGTTGACAACGGCGGTCGAGAAGTTCGGCGGGAGCGATGTCGTCTTCGAACAAGTCGCCCGGCGCCTAGGCACTACAAAGTCGGCCTGCCAGGCACGATGGTTTCAAGAGAAGTCTCTCAAAAAGGACGCATCCAAGAGATTTTTGTGGAATGAGAAGTACGATAGGATTTTGCTCGAAACTGTCGCAGAGCACAAGAAGATGAACCTAACAATCAAAGTAGCGCTCAATAACGTTGCGAAGCAGCTGGATGGTTGTCCACAAGACTCGCCGCGTGGCCGATGGAGGTATTTGGGCAAGTTGAGGAAAAAACAAGCGCCGCAGGATTCATAGAGTTATTCTCAAGGATTGGGAATAACATTGACGCTGTCTTTAAAATGCATGTTTATTGTGCTGATGAACTTGTTGAAAAGTATTTGAAGGTCCTCCATTCTATATTCCTAACAAAAAAAAACCAAAACCAAAGAATGCTTCATCTAAAACTTCATTGCGCGCTCAATACCCTCAGCGCAACGGATCATGTCAGGGACATGGAACTTTTCAAACACCAAGGGGAAGGGTGTGTCAAAGGAGCAGAGACGCTGTGGGGGAGCCTCAAGGCGCAAGAAGCATCTATTTGCAACAATGCAAAGAAGCACCGTTGTAAGCGTTAGTATATATTGCAATATCGATATAGAAAAGATAACTTAAGAACATAAATAAAGAGCGAAGAAGCTTTGTACCTCTCCATAACGGTGCTGGCGATTTCAGCAGCAAAGCCCTGGGTCTTGGGAGCCTCGTGAGCGATCAAGAGACGTCCTGTCTTGTTGACAGACTTGCAGACGGTCTCGACGTCCCAAGGCAAGATCGAGCGGAGATCGATCAGCTCGACCGAGAGACCGGGCATCTTCTTCTGGGCCAGCTGAATCGCGTTCTCGAGAACATAGAGCTGTGCACCCCAGCCGACTACTGTCAAATCATTGCCCTGCGTCAGAATCTCGGCCTTGCCCAGGGGCAATTCGTAGTCGCCGACTGGAACCATCTCGACTAGTCAGTCAAAGTCAAAAGGACAAATGATCTCAAGGTTAATTTCTGACACTGTAATAGGCAATACCTCAGCACAGTACCATGATCCGATGCAGACATCCATACCTGCAGCGCGGTAGAGAATCTTGGGCTCCATGAAGATAACAGGGTTGCGATCACGGATTGAGGCCAGGAGAAGGCCCTTAGCCTGGATTGGACCGCGAGGAATGACAACCTTGAGACCAGGGGTGTGCGCAAAGTAAGCCTCGGGGCTCTGGGAGTGGTAGTGGCCACCATGTCCTACGGCACCGCTTGGTGTGCGGATGCACAATCCACCGACGTTAAATTCTCCTCCAGAGCGGTAACGGTACTTAGCAGCCTCGTTCACTAGCTACAGCGCAATATAAGATGATGCATTAAGGACCGAAATGCAATGACGACGAATTATCGACTTCACGTTCGATATTCCTCAAAGAGAGTAATTAAGAATGTTACGTACCTGATCAAAGGCTGGAAAGATATAATCTGCGAACTGAATCTCAGCAATGGCGGTCGATCCCATAGCTGCCATACCGATACCAAATCCAGCAATACCCTGCTCTGTTAAGGGAGTGTTGAAGACTCTGTCACGTCCTAGAGGGAACGATAATTCGTCATCAGAATAGCAAGCAAGTTTTAGTAAGCTCAATGAAAGAAAGAAAAGAAAAACATCGGTCAATACCAACGTACCAAACATCTCTGCGAGTCCCATTGTACAGCGGAAGACGCCTCCGAAGGCGACATCCTCTCCAAACACACATGCAGTATCATCAGTGGCTAAAGCAATGCTCATGGCATCGTTAACAGCCTGGAAAGTATTCATCTTCTTAGTCTCCCCTGCATCGAATAAACAAAAAAAAAAAAAAAAAAAAAAAAAAGAATTAGTACCACTGAAAAGTATCATCAACCATGGTAGGATTGGCATTTCCAGCTTAACCTTCCAAGCATACCATTGGCAACACTGGCGAGCTCAGGGTTCCTGAGGGCTTCGTGGTGTGTGCTCTTGATGAACTTAGAATTGGCAACACCGGGCATGAAGCCCTCGGCAGGAGGAGGGGAACTGGCGGCGGCATGATGGCTCTTGAGTGTGGTATGGAAATGCTATGTATTGGAGATCAAGCAGATCGATGGATTGTAATAGTATGTCAGCGCCATATTGTCGACTGGTCATCCATCGCCTGTAGGTGCTGTTGTTTACTATTGGGCCTTTTCCTGGTCAAGCCGTAACCTCCATTCTTTGTACAAAGCAGCTATTTGTGCCTGGTTGATTGACATACCTTGACTAATATCTGCTGATGGGTAATATTCCTGGTAGCTGCACAAAATGCAGAGGCCAGATGGGGCGTTTTCAAGAAGGCCATGGAGATGATGAGGATTGAATGAGATACGGAGTGGAGTGGAGTGGAATGGAGGAGGAATGAGATGTGAAGTTGCAACGGATCAGACAGAGGGAGGAAAATAAAAGAGGGGAGAAACCTTATTCTGCATCGTGGGAAAAATTCATACGGGGCAATTTTATTCGCACGAGACTGCTGCAGTTTGTACAGCTGAACAGGCAAAGAAAGACGAAGGATGCAACCAACTCGATTACTTTCTAGCAAACATTTCTGCCGGAGCTGAGCAAGAGCCTATAAGACAGGCCATGTGGGCCTAGGAGCTCTCACTGGAAGACATCATGCGAGGGGCAGCAGGCACAGGACCAGGCTGGCCTGCATTCTGCCCGCTCACTTGCCAGCCGATCGAGCGGTTGGAATAGGACCTCAGTTCCATGTTCCGCTGCACACTTCTCGCAGAGTTATCTGAGTCCCTTTGTAAGGACGATCTATGCTGACTTAAGATCTTGCACTGGCTACCAAAGGAGCTTGGACGATCATAGACAAATGGACGTGCCTCTATAGGATTGTTGATAAGTGAATCTCTTTAGTGATGTCGCTTGGGACTGTGTACTAGAATAAATAGGATGATCCTGACTACCTTGAGAGGGGAGAGGATAAAACGGAACTGAAGCAGGCGAAGGTGCTGTGGCAAATATCAGTGGTGGTGCATGTGGCAACGGCGCATGGTCATGTCCCAGCTGTTTGGGTGGATCCAGATCCTAGGAGAACAAAGATCTTCGAGGTTAGTTATGATTCGTAGCAATCCAGTCAAATATCACTATCGCGACGGTATCCATACTAAGGACTGATAGAGTCGATAAGGATCGCCAGTATTGCTCAGCATGGCATCTCTCTCCTGCGTCTGATGAGAGTACTTGGGCATATCTGCGAACAGAGGCCGTCTCTTTTGACGCTCATAGAGTGTCTGAAATTTGGATAGTAGACGCGACTTTTCGTCCAGCTGTTCACTGAAATCTGCCGTCTTGCGCTTCTCCTGCTCAAGGTCTTTCTGCAATGCTGTGAACAAATAGAAAAGCAATAAATGTAACCCATGGTCAAAACTACTCTACTCGCACATTGGAATACGTAAACTTACAGTTCATTTTATTGCGAAAACCTGGATAAACATGAATCAGAAGTGGTTGCATTAGCCATCTAATCATCCATCTGTTACCATGTGCGAAGCATGGTCATTGTATTTGACCATGAATTACGAGACAACAATGTACCGTTGAGTTCGGCGTTGACTTCACGTATCATTCTCTGCTGCTGTTTCTCACAGAGACTCAGCTTGTCCTCCAAAGTTTTCTGTATCATTTCCTGATACTTGGCTTCTTGCGATGTCTGATATGTCCAGAAGGAAATGGCGCGTGTGCATATTTCCATGATGACTTCAGGACGCAGACCGGACAAGATCGACTGGTAAAGGATGAGACTAACAATAAGTATATAGTCTTGAAATCAAGACGAATAAACCACTTCCAGTCGGAGCTATGCGTACAGATCGATACTCCTGACCGGGGTTGAGTTCCACAAAGACAACATCGTCCCTATCGTAACAAGGACGAATAATACAAAATATATCGAGCGTTTAAGTGCCCACCAACTGAAAGAATATCCGTGTTGTATGCGCCATGCATATTGGTAATCTTACTGCTGTGTCAGACTAGCTTCGCAAGCGGGACAGACGAGAGCAGCCCCAAAGGCTTTGTTGGCACAGGCCACACAAAATATGTCTGAGGTCGATAAATCGAGGTTAGAATTATCGCCCGAAGTTCGTTGTCCTCAAGCATTTGTACACCACCATGCTTAGCCCATGCATGCATGCAGCAGGAATACGTTACGCGAACAAGTCGTTACACAAGCCTAAGAAGGATTAACAAAAGTCGACGTGAGGCCATTGTTTACCTCTGCCTTTATCGAGCGTGTTGATTACAAGAGTCAGAAAGTACCTTTCCCAAGGAGCTCAATGTACTCCGACAGGTCAGAATATTGCCTAGCCATCATAAGCAACGTGTAAGTACAACATTAATTGGTATAAAATGACTATCATGAATTTTGCGCCGAAGCGCAATGGGAACCCATAAATACATTTCAGGTCTTGGTCGGCCATTTCCTGTGGAGTACGAAGCGAAGCGACAAGAAGCGAGGTTGACAATAAGCGAAGGGAAGAATATGCTTGATCATTTGGTGGCAACACGGTCTTTTTCCTCTTGACCTTGACCATGGCCATGACTGCGTATCATGGTGGTTTAATATTATATGAAGTATTCCAGTGTGTTTAACTGCGTCGAGCATATTCAGACATGTGCCCAGTTTTATACGCAGGGTTCTCATCCCTGTTCTCTGCATAGCCCCTCCGCGACTGGCCCGCATATATTGGTAGCGCCATTGGTGCAGTTGATTCCATCGGTATAGTTGGCTCTGTCCTTGACATTGGAGAAGTCGATGCTGTGCATGACATTCGAGTAGCCGCCGCTGTTCGCGACATCGGAGAAGGTGGCGCCATCGGTGCTGTTGGTGTATTCATTGCTGTTGGTGCCGCCATCACGGGAGACAAAGACATGAGTACAGGTGGTACAGGGATAAAATGGAAATAACCTCCTGGGTCATTTCCTGAATCGTGCGGAACTAGTTGAGTAGGGGTTGTGGGTTCAGAAGAGCGGCGAGATCGGCGAAAGGTCTGGGAATGTTCAGGACGAGGCGAGGCTGGGCCTAGTCCAAGATCAACAGCAGGAGGTGCAGTTGGCATCTCGACTGTCATGTTAAAAGGCAAAGGAAGAATCCTTGGCTGAGGCGGCTCATTCTTCTCCTGAGGATATCCATTCGGGCCCATTGGGGGCGACGTGAATAATGGCTGTACTGACAGATTTGGTACCAATGGGCGTCGTGGAAGGCGAGGCGCTGGAACAGTCGCGGGTGCAGATCGCTGAGAGGGTACAGATCGCTGAGAGGGTACAGATCGCTGAGAGGGCGCCATCGAGGGATGCGCATGCATATTTGATGACGGTCCTGAGAACGGAGGCGACATGGACGTGGGTGACGCATATGATACGGGCGAGGGCTGGAGTACTGCTGCTTCTTGAGGTACGGATGGGAGCGGTTTGATGGACCTCGGATCTTCCACTGCGGAGGTCGTGTGGCGGTGGATGTCGCTGACCTGCAGCGTTGTTGACGGCCAAGGCAGAAGAGGAGGGGCAGCTGCAGAATGACTTCGATCCCGGATGGACGAGTAATTCGCTGGCACAAGCGACGTTGATGCTGGGCTAGAATCGTTTACCTGTCTTCTCGGACTCGCCTGCAAAGTGCTATAGCCTGACGATGCTTCTCTTCCACCTCCTCGAAAAGGTCCAGGTATATATTCAGGTGGTTTTGGTATATTTTTTGGTGAAGGCATAGAGTTGTGTAAGGTGGATGTCTGGGGCGAGGACGACGAAGAGGGCTGAGATTCAGAAGGCGATCCGGTGAGAGTCAAGCAGCTGGAGCTAGAATGGAGACGCTGCATCTGCAGCGCAGGGTGGTGTGCTGACGGCGATTGAGCAAAGTTGGATCGCTGAATGTCCAGACTGTCGGACATGGTCCCGATGACGATGGGGATCTGGATTTCAAAGCCGCCGGGGCTGCTTAATATCTTGTTCCGCATCTTGCTCTTGACCCTCTTGTTATGCCGTCCTTCAAGGAAGCTGGACTTGACCCGCATGTCGAAAAGGATGTTGAGATGGTATTCAATAGAGATGACCTTTGTCGCCGATAGGGTCGGGAGGGCACTGTCAGGAACATTCAGACCGGAGACGATCTTTCCGGTGTTCAAGCTGGAGTTGACGACCACTGCCTCCGCACATGTCGCAATTGTCTCCATGTATTCCCTTGCGTGCCTGCAAATCGCCGGTTGAAAGACGGAGATGGTTCCTTACTTTAGGAATTCATTATTGTCCATTCATTCCGATCGTTCACATAGCGACAATGATATTCAAATCCAACTTACTCGCCTGCGTAATAACTTTCCTTGCAAAGCAGTTGAACAAAGCAGCCAGGGTCTCTATGGATCTTTAGTGGGTGATGAAGATCGATCTCCAGCTGTAGTCGCTGTCCTTTGAGATAGGCAGTTCGAGAGAGGTTGACGACAGCGCTTGCAAGATCATTCGTTGAGATCATGTTTAGACCAAGACTACTGCTTCCTTTGGCGGAGATCGGGGACGAGTAGGGCTCGGTCCTGATGTTGATCCGATCCTTGACTGGAACAGCCGTTGTCGCCTTGAGCTCCTGCATTCCACCCAAGAATCCCAGTGAGCTGAGAGTTGCTGACAGTGTGTATTTGACTGTTCCATGGCGATACTACAATGAAAACGATGCAAAGCATGTTGTAAGTACAGGCCTGTGCCATTGGTGCAAATATAATTGATCCTCGACATCGCTGCTGCCTCGCACGGCTCAAGTGGAAAAATCCCATCGGCTATGTTCACATATACCTTTCCCGACGACGGTAAGTGTTGCAGCGGGATCGTGAACTGAAAGGGCCAGCTATGTTTCCCCTCCTCCAGCATGTGTTCAACTGCGTTGTTGGCGTTGCCGAGAAGGACGACCTGCTGGTTGATAACATAGGCCTGGCCCTCTGATTTAGCGAGCTTTGTGGTGACCAGGCCAATGAATTGGATCTTCACGCATGTATATTTAAGGCTTGAAGAGGTTACCAGATGGACATGACCTACCCAAGCATGTCGTCAATAACGTTGATTCAGCTATTCACCCCCTTCTACCTCATATCCCCATTAAATTATCAATTGAAGTGCTATTCCTCTCTCTCTTACCGCTGAGGGTATCGCCAGGCAGATAGTGTCCGGGTATCTCGTTGACACCAGATAGTAGGGCGATGGTCAACTTCTTCATTGATCCTTACTGTTGCTGTGGGATGTGGAATGCAGAATGAGGGCGAATGTGGCTAAGAGCGGAAGAGTAGGTTTTACCAAAGGGCGAGCGAGGGCGCTATTGAGGCGCCGTGCGTTGCAGTGAAAGCACGCTCCCTTTTTCAAGAGGTGAGAGTGAGAGTGAGAAAGGTGTGGTGGGCAATATGCACTTGAAAGTGAATGCGCAAGGTAATTGAATGACAAAAAGAAAGGAGAGTGAATGAAAGATGATTCAGTGTCCTCATTACACTGCAATCAGTTGGATGGGCGCAGTGTCCGTTCCCCTCTCGCGCGCGGGAAAACAAGCGAGTGTATTTAAACCTGATAGATTATTTGCCAAGAGAAGCAGCAACAGCCCAGCTGGGAAGGAAAGAAGAGGTTACCATGCAAACAGCCAGCTCAACAACAATAGCAACAACAGAGCAGCCTTCTTTCGACAAGCATTCGCTTTTACAACCAAAGATAAAAGGGCCGTACGAGCTGAAGTGGCAGAAACACAGTACCCGACCATTGCACAACAAGGACTGAGAAGACAAACATAGACCTGCGCGCAGTTGGGCTGCAACGGTTGATGATTGATTGAACTATATTGTAATTTGTAGCTGATGACCGGCCTCCTAGGCCCAATTGCTTTTTGCTCCTCTCCTTTAACGCTTGACCCACTGGAACTTTTTCCTTGCTCCGTATTGGCCGGGCTTCTTACGTTCCACAACACGCATATCGCGCGTAATACATCCAGCTACACAAAGAGAAAATGGAAATAAGAGAGTTAGATCAAATACGATATCAGTTCAAAATCATCATACAGCTACAGCTCATGAAGTACATAGCACTGAGCACAAAAGACCATACCCTTTCTCAATGTAGGCTTCAGTTCTGGGGAATGTGTCATCAGTGCCTTTGCGATTCCAAGAGAGATGGCTTCAGCTTGACCTGCGATCGAAATGAGAACCGGGCAAAAGGTAAAAAAAAATGGTCAGGTTCCATTGAAGACACAGGTTGGAAAGCGAGCGCGGCATAGCATAGCAAAGCATAGCATGCAATATTCCTTGCGTCACACACCAGTGGTACCACCACCCTTGACTAATGCCCAGACATTGTATTTCCCGAGCAGGCTAGTCACTTCGAAGGGTTTCAGCAATGATTCACGATCCTGAATCTTTTTAAAGTAGCTGGCTGCCTCCTGTCCATTTATCAGCATCTTTCCGTCCCCCTCGACAACATAGACACTGGCACTGGCCTCCTTTCTACGTCCAGTCGCCAATGCTCGTCCAAGGTGATCGACGACGCGTGGTTTGGCTTTTTGGGCCATCTGTTCCTCAGTCTTTGAGAATTGGTTGAAGAGGGCTTCGACTGGTGCAGGTCGTGGAGTGAGGGTCGCGAGCTGGTTCAGTTTGGAGACAATGAGTCGGTATTGCGATGTCTTCAACGCATCCACGCCGACTGCCGTTCTGAGAGCCTCCTTTCCGAGCCAGTTGGGACGCAGTGCTTGCTTGAAAGGTTTAGTGATGGGTCGATACTGACGGTATGTGTAGTCGAGGTTGACAATCAGTTCGTTATAGACTGGGTTCGTGGTGAAGTACGAGGGAGACGCGGGCTTAAGCTGGAATCCACCGAGGGACCCGTATCCGTCGATGGGTTGTTCCTGAGAAGGGGCCTCACTTCCAGACTGTACTCCAATTGACATTGAGCGAACACAGATTGTCGAAGCAAATCCCCTTGTAGAAGTACGCATGGTCGACTGTAGGGGCCGACTGATCGCGCCGACGATGGCACTGGCCAGCGTCCGTGAAGAGAGCATGGTTGACTGGCTGTCGAGGTTGAAGGTGTGCGGTTGAAGAGGGGGATCAGCCAAAGGGTTGCTTCTGAAGGTCGTTGCAGCGGGGCACCGGGAGGCTTGTCTCTCGATTTTGTTTACCCACAAGTAACCTCTTCAAAAGGAAAAATAATTGCTGTGCTTGCTTTTGCGGAGAGGCACATGACTGTATTGTATCCCTGCATCTGTCTACCAAGACGAATTGGGGGTAAATGGATAAGGCACGGTGGGCGCTCTGAATCACTCATTGGCTATCTCTTCCAGCGTTACCAGAGTCTCAAAGTGTCCCTTGGTGCTAAGGATCACCCTCAAATAAAGAATGAATGCCTGTTGACCATGTTTGAGGCTGGGTAGCACCGGACTAGATTGTCCGACCCACTATACGTCGAGAGGCTTCAAATCATGCACTGTGTACACATCCCCACCCTTCCCGTTCCACACCTTGCTTGACATGTCTTGGAACCGGAATCAAAACGCACGCTCCACAGGCTACTTCCTCTGGTCCACATGGTCCAGGCACCGCCCTACCATTTACAGACATACATTTGATATCTCTACCGGGGTTGTGCCATGATGACAGTTGAAGTGCGAGCCCCTCTTCGTCCACACTAAAGATCGGTAGCAGGTTAGTCACTTTCTTTCGCTTCAAATAACTACGAAGTCCCGGTGTCTGCTTCCTTCTGATCTCTTGTCAATGCAGCAACTATTCTAACTACTTGCCCATCCATTGCGTACTCCGCCCTCCCGTTCCCACTTCGATATCCATTTCAATTCATTCCATCGTTACAACTGCAAAAATGATGCAAGTCCACGATTACACCTTTCTTTTTGGCGTTGGTCTCTTCTTCGCGTTCATGGACGTCTTTGGAATTGGTGAGAGCCCATAATCCCATGAACCATTTTCAATGAACATTTTTCTCAAGGCAAGATCCGTTCATTAACGAATACACTTCCTCTGGTGTCTTCAGGTGCAAATGATGTTGCCAATTCCATTATAACTTCCGTAGGCTCCGGTTCAACTACCCTTGCACAGACTTTGATCATCGCCTACTTCTGTGGGTTCGGTGGTACTATGCTGCTCGGTGCCAACACCATCGAGACCATCAAGACCATCGAGGACGAAATTGTCGGTCCTCAGATGTACTCTGACAACCCTGAGGTCCTGATGATATGTATTCTGGCTCTCTATGACATTGTCGCGTCCTTAAACGTGCACAAGTCCATCCACTCATTTTTTTTTTTTTTTTTTCACTTGCTTTGCAACAACTGATGATGGTACTCACATTAATAGGATCATCCTCGTGAGTCCTATTCGCGCCCTCTCGTGGGTGGCCCGTCTCGACAACACACGACATCTTTGGTGCCATTACTGGCGCCGGCATCTCGGCCTTTGGTGGTAGTGGTGTTGCCACCATGATTAACATTTTTTATATCATCCTCAAAGACTCACAGAAGTCCGATATTCGCAAGGCTTCGGTCGGCATCCCCATTAGCATCGCTGTCGGCGTTGGCGCTGCTGTATTTATCTGGTACTTCTTCTTCTTCCTCCGTCCCTACCTCCGTCGCAAGATCCAGGACAACGAGGACCTCAAATGGTACCACTTTTTCATCATCCCCTTTGTCAGCAAGCGTGAAATGGCCACCATCAATCCGAAGGAAATGTTCCAGCTCGGGATGAAGGCCGGCAAGGCGGATACCACTACTAGATCTGATCTGGAAGACGGACAGGTCCGTCCCTCGCTTATCAGCCTTGAAAAAAAAGACAAAACTTTTGCTCAGCGACTCAAGAGCACAGTCTTTGCTGGTCTATATCACGACATCAACACCACGAACGAGAATAAGAATGTGGATGAGACCCATGCCCATGCCACGAAGTTCGACAATGACGCCGAGCGCCTCTTCTTCTGGCTCAAGTCATCACTGCCCGCTTCCCATTCTTTGCGTACGGGCCAAACGATGTTGCTAACGTTATCGGCCCTCTCGTCACTATCTATTACATTTGGAGCATAACCAATATCGATGTCCTCAATACCTCTGTGCCTGTTTGGATTCTTGCGTTCGGTGGTTGTCATTGACCTTGGCCTTATGACCTACGGATACCACGTCATGAAGATCCTCAGCAACAAGGCTACTTATATGACTCCACCTCATGGCTTCTCTGTGGAGATGGGCACATCCATCACTATCCTGACGTGTTCTAAGCTGTTTCTTCCTGTGTCCTCAGCCCACTGCATCACTGGCGCGACTACAGCCATTGGATTGCTCTCTGGAGGGGGATTCAGATCTTTTGAACTGACGCGTTCTCCTCGGTGTTCTCTTCGACCGGGTGGCGACGCTGCCCGCTGCTGGCATTGTATCTGGAGTGATCTTTGCCTTTGTTTCTCATTCTCCTCGGATTGTATAGATAGCGCTTCATTTTCAATGATCATGCACCCCTCCCCTCCCCCCTGGATACCTTGCGTCTCCCAATGAATACCATTCTACTTTAAATAAATTGTCCAAGTGCCCCGTCCTTTTTTTGAGTGAGGACTTATTCATTTTTGAGCAGGTGTGTATGTGAAGGTGCATCTCCGCGCGTCATTTCGTGGACAGGGATCACGCGGCACAGGACGAGAAGATGGGTTTTAAGGGGTCTTCAGGCAAATCCTCCTAATCCTCCTTGTTATCCAACTGCCTCGCCTTTTTTGTTTCTTATCCTTTTACTTCTTTATCCAACCACTTTCCCCAAACCACCCAAACACACTCACTACACCATGGCCGAAACTCTTACTCGCGACAACCACGTTTATCTCGCCAAGCTTGCCGAGCAGGCCGAGCGCTATGAAGGTAAACAATAAGAGTGAATGAAAGATCATCCATCGAGTATCATTGTCAACTCTCTTGTACATACCATCCTCAGTTCGAAACGATTTAAACGTATTTGAACAGGAAAATGCATCATTGCAAAGTCATTTGCGCGGTTTATTATGTTGGTTTGCTTTCTCTAAATAATGTAGCGATATCGACCTCCATGTGGGCATGTCATAGACATTTTTGGTGACGAGACAGTGTATACATCACATATTTCACAGATGCATCCACCAATGGCCGAGTGCAACCCATGCAGTAGTATATGTGGGGCAGTTTGAGGGAATGCAGCAACAGATGACCACGAATGAATGGAGGGTTCAGTACCTGGTGCGAAGAACAATAACAAAAGTGTCGCGTTCCTGGAGTGCTGCCAGCTGTTACTACGCCAGTTGTTGCTGAGTACTCATCTCCAAACTGAGGTTGTTCGCCATTACGGAACCTCGCTGACTTTCTGGTCCCCTTTATCTTCATGTATCGTTCCTTGTAAACTGCTTTTCCGCTTTTTTTTTTTTTTTTTTTTTTTTTTGCTGTGGTTTCCCTGCCTGCTGGGTTGCAGTATCTTTGGTCAGCTGTCTCCCTTTCCTTCCTACTTGCTGCCTGCCCCTCACTTTTTCCGCGTTCCCACGTCACATTTTTTTTCTTTTTCTTTTATCGCATAAGGAGGAGCTTTTGTGATTCGGCTACTGGCCCTGATAGGACATGATGAACATTTGCAAATGGATGTATTTCCATTGGTTTCCATTCGTTTGTCATAGGAAAGAGAAAAGCAGAAAAAAAGGCGTCGAAAGAAAGAAAGGGGTTGCGATAAAAAGAGATCAATTGAATAGTTCCTGGGTTGCTTGAAGGAAACTGGCGTGATATTCTGTCAGCGATTGAGTAATCCAGTAATATTCACCTGTTATCTCTCATTCTCTACATGTGCATCCGATCCTTCAATAGAGATGGTCAAGAACATGAAGGAGGTCGCTTTTGCCAACACAGAGTTGTCGGTTGAGGAGCGTAATCTCCTCTCGGTCGCCTACAAGAATGTGATCGGTGCCCGCCGTGCGTCCTGGCGCATTGTGTCGTCGATTGAGCAGAAGGAAGAATCCAAGGGCTCAGAGTCGAACGTTGCGATGATCAAGACGTACCGCACCAAGATCGAGGAGGAGCTCGCGGATATCTGCAATGACATCCTCAATGTGCTCGAGAAGAACCTGATCCCGTCTGCAAACCTGGGCGAGTCCAAGGTCTTTTATCACAAGATGATGGGCGACTATCACCGTTACCTGGCTGAGTTTGCGACGGGCGACAAGCGCAAGGAGGCTGCAGACAAGTCTCTGGAGGCCTACAAGGCAGCTAGCGACGTCGCCATCACGGAGTTGCCACCTACTCACCCCATCCGCCTGGGATTGGCCCTCAACTTCTCTGTGTTCTACTACGAGATTTTGAACTCGCCCGACCGTGCATGCCACTTGGCCAAGCAGGCCTTCGATGACGCCATTGCTGAGCTGGATACCTTGAGCGAGGAGAGCTACAAGGACTCGACGTTGATCATGCAGCTCTTGAGAGACAACTTGACTCTCTGGACCTCGGATATGCAGGAAGGAGGTACGGCCTTGCATTTGCCTTGAATGACTTGCCTCTATCGCTGTCGTTTGTTCCTATTAAAACTAACAATTTCATTCTTTGCTCTTTACTCGGCATGAATAACAGCTTCTGCAAACCAGACAGAGGCTACAGAGGGTGCCCGTGAGCCTGAGGCCTAAACGGAGTCGGGTCACTTTCTCTACCCTCAATCTTACTATCACTGAACATAAGTTCCTTCCCCACCCACCAGACAGAAAACACACTGGCATGCGAATAAAGCAAACCGCAATTGAACGCCAGTTTAAGGCATAAGTCAATGGATTCGACTATTTTTTAAAGGGTCACAGTTTTGCAAGATGTGCATCATCTTTATTCGAATCAATCCTTCAAAATTTGATGCCAAACACGATGGAGCAGGCCGAGATTCAGAGACAGGACAAGGACAGCGACTGCGTCGACAACGTTGGAGAAGAACAGGAAGAACAAGCAGAGCAAGAGCACGACCGCTACAAGAACAACCCAGAACTCCTCGGCGAACACAAACCAAAGGCGACTCGACTATTTTCTTTCGACTGGTAACAGTGCGACCGATAGCAAGAGGCATTCAATTGAAGTGGCGGTTCGGACTAAACGCATATCCTTATTAACACGCGCATATGTGTATGTCTCTGTTGGTGTATGAATGTAGGGCCAGTGGGTTCGTATCCCCGTTCCGTCCTACACCAGAGGGCATTCTTAGCAAGCTGCTTAGTCATGTCGATTTCTCAGGACCAGAATCGGGTACATTGCTCGATCTGGGCTGTGGGGATGGGTTGGTTCTGGTTCAGGCGCTCAAGGCTTTCCCGCGATCGCAACTCAGACGTGCCGTTGGTGTGGATCTTGATAGAGAACTTCTTGATTATGCCAAGGGCAAGATCCTACGGAACAATGATGATGGAAGGAGGGAAGGGGATGATGATGGGCAGGAGTATGGGGTCTTAGGACGGTTGGAGTTGTATCACGGAGATTTGACGACTAGGGACGAGGCGTTGAGCGTGATCATGACGCCCACGGCTGCCGATCATGGAGCGGAGATAGAGGGAAAGGAATCGATGACAATGAGGATATTATTGGATGAATGTTCACATATTTTTGTGTATTTGCTGCCTGAGGCATTGTCGAAGCTAGCGGGGTTACTGAAGGAAGCTGTGGAACGGCGGCAGAAGGTTGTGTTGTCGATGCGATGGGAGATTCCGGAGCTCCGTGGATACCAGGTTCATGGTGGGGTGGATTTGCAGTACTATGTCTACAAACTGGTATAGTAGCGATGGTGTCCTGGATGACAATCTGCAGAGCAATGGCACGGCCTATCAATAAGTTTTCCCCACTGTATATTTCTTTGTTGTTCATGAGAAACCTCTTGTCTTCGAACCCGCTGCGCTCGTTGTAAAAAGCAATTGTTTATTTCACTATACGTATCACTTTACAACAGCGGGCTGGGCAAACTTCTCGCTCTTGTTTTGAACCGGTTTACGCGGGTTATTAATGCGTCCGCCGCGGCTGCCTGCACCTCCTTGCTGCTGTTGCTGGTGCTGTCCATGTCCATGTCCATTAGACGCGTTATGATGCTGTTGTCCAAATCCGCCACGTCCAGCACTCTGGTTTCCAAGTCCGCCCCCACGACGACGCTCCTCTGCTAAGACAACGTCATTTCCGACCTCAACCATGTTCTGTTTCAATGCCGCATGCATGGCTTCTGGGGTTGAGAAGTCCAGGAAGGCACAGTTCTTCTTCTGAGTGAGTTCCAGGTGCTTGACAGTTCCAAATTTGCTGAAGGCTTCCCTCAGTTGAGGGAGAGTCATGCGTTCGGTGACGTTCTTGATGTAAATCGAGTGATATTCTGGTCGGCCTTGAGGTCTGGGGGTCGAGGCGATGGTAGTAGCTTGAGGTGTGGATTGGGGTTTGGCTGGGGCAGGCGGGGGAGTGGTGACGATTGCGGCTTTGGCGGATGCGACGTGAGTGCCCCACTGACTTGAATTGTTTGCAGCCAAGTTCGCCCAGGTCTTGAGTTTGGGAGGATGTGTAGGCGCTAGAGTTGGGGCAAGAGCCGGGGTAAAAGTCTGGGCCGTAGCAAAGGTCTGGGCAGCAGGAGGTGGGGAGAAAGTGGGTTCAGCGATAGGGGTGGCGGCATCCGTGACACAGGTGCCCTCCTTCTTGGCGGGTTCCGTGACAAGGACATCCTCCTTATTGGCGGGTTCCGTGACCTCTTGCTTCCCTTCATCCGATTTGACGATGTTCTTCTGAGCATCTTTCTTGTCCGCCTTTTTGTCGGTCTTTTTGTCCGCATGCTTTTCGGTAGGCTTGCCTTCTTCGACGGGGATGAGGATAGGCGCTGACTTCTCCTGTGCGGCCTCTACTTTAAGCGGGATTGGTTCCACGTGAACAGAAGGCGCGGAGGTAGGAGCGGCTGTGTGTTCCTCCTTGGGCGCAGTCTGGGGGACGGTGGCATCGATCGGCTGTGGTGCTGCTGGTTCCTCGACGACGTCCTCAGCTTCTTTGGGATATTCATCATCGTCTGTGTCGTCTTTGAGATAGCGAAAGATATCGTTGAGGACGTAATATCCCTGAGGCTGTTCCGCCAAGAAGAAGGTCTGGGCAAATTTTTGAGCTGGGCCGCCTTTGTTGGACATTTCTCCGAGGATCTGGATTATGATTCCGTTGTTGTGGGATGCTTGGCAGTCAAGATCGCTGACGAGGACCTTGCAATCTTCGAATCCGAGATCAAGGATCTTTGCGCGAATGGCCTATTGAAATAAAAGCGCAGGTGGATGTTTAATTGTTGTACCACGAGCGAGCAGTTGGGATCGGATTTGAGTTGATCTGAAGTGCGACTTACCTGTTGTCCTTGACAGATCTGAGTGTCGGATCCTTGTACACCATGGCTCATGGTCGAATTCTTGTTGTAGAAGCAGTAGAGGCGGGCGGGATCCTTGCTGAGGAAGGTGTAGTACTCGTGTGCGAATACGGTGCCGACCTTGGAGGGGCCATTATGGTCGGCTGCATCGTTGGGGGGGTTGGTCATCGTGTGTTTGTTTGCTGTCGCTGAACAGAAGGCAAGCAAAGAGGGCAGGCGCGGCCTAAGGCAGACGTATGAGAAGAATACAGTTGTCATGTTAGCATGGGCGAGACGCCATGGTGACATGGTGTCCTAGTTGCGGTCCCGGTCTTGGTTTGTCGAGAGGCGATTTCAAGGAAGAGCTTGTTGATTCTATGCTGATGCTTCCATGCCAGGCCTGCCGACTTGCGCCTTCATATGTTCCTGCCCAAGACGTAGTTATCGTTTATACCTTGTGAAAAGATAACGATTGCACGGAAAAAGGTGTGATGGAGCGAAAGATGTGAAAGGGAGCGCGCGTCCTTTTATACATTCTTTGGAAATGCACCGACCATTTTCTCCTTCCTTCCTTTTCATCCCCATGGCTCTTCTCATGTCCTCTTCCATCTTCCTCCCCTTTTTCTTCTTCTCTTTTCCACTTGATTCCAATACTCCTCTGCTACTATCCTTTGTCAATGCGACGTCAATTGGGTGCCGGACTGGCGCCCTGCCAGGGTCACACTCTACAGCCCCTTAATTTCTCCCCTACACACTAAATTGCCCCATTCTACCCCACACTCTTTCAAACAACTGCTCCTCCCTCTTCCGACCCACTCGACATCATCAGCAGCACAGCACAGCACAGCAGCAAATTACAATGGAGCCCTCAAAGTTTGAACGTGCCAAGGTCGGAGCTATGATGGGTGGTACCGTCGGTCTCTGCATCGGACTCGTTTTTGGTGGATTCTCTCTTATGAGGTAGACTTTCTTTCTTTTTTTTTTTTTTTTTTTTTTTCACACGATCAAACGAAAGCAAGGTTGTACTCAACTAGAACGAGCTTTTTTTAAAATAGAAATGGGCCAGGAACACGCGGATATGTGAATACGCTTGCACAGACGATGATCTCCTCGACAGCGACGTTTGCATTCTTCATGGCGATTGGATCAGTAATCAGGAGTGAGGAGGCAGAAGCAATCGACTATGTGTCCATGAACCAGAACCGCCACAAAAGTATTTGGGGAGGTACCATGCGTTTCACGGCCCCTCCAATTGTCATTCTTCAGCAGCAGAAAGAACAGCAACAGCAGGTGTAGCAGCAGAAACAGGAGGAGTTGATGGAGAAGGACAGAGGGAGTGCTGGACATAGAGAGCCAGCTATACTTTACACCCGCATTGTAAATAAACTACGCGGCTATTTTTTTTTTCTACGACCAAGGCGATCAATTGCATGGGTCTTATGTGCATGGACTACTTGAAGTCTTATTACTGATATCTTCAATTGTAGCAAAACCACCACATAGCGAACCATTGCTGTTGATAGCACAGTTGAGGCAGTCTGTGTCGTAGATTACCATGGCTCGATGCGTGTGTTCCTGACTGGACCCTCAGCGGTATCTGATCCGGTTTCTGCCTCATACACTTCCTCTCTGCCCATGAGTCCATCCATCCATGGGTGACGCGGTTTTTTTTCTTTTTTGGGTGACCCAATGGGCAATGTTAGAGAAGTGACTTGCTCCGCCAGTAGGACAATGAGAGGAGGACACCCAGCAGCATGCACTCTCTTCAACTCACTTCATTCATTTCCCTTTCCCAACCCTCCATTCCTCTTTATCCCTTACCGACCGCTTGGACAACGAGCCTAAAGCCACTACCCATTACCGTTCGGTGCTGCCAGTAAGCAACAACATTCCCCCACTTGCTTTGTTGAAAAAGAGAAAGCAGGTTCCCTGGTCCCCTCTCATCCTCCATCCTTCACCCAACGTCTTGTTGAAGGTGAGTTTTTTTATGGATAAAGGAAGAAGCGGTGGCAAAAGGACATGGTAGTGCGTGTGAAAAGAAAGGGATTATTGGTTGAAGGACCGACAAACGAACTAACAGGTTGGCTGTCGTGCATGTTCGTTTTTTGTCTTCTGTAGGCAGTATTACTTATCACTTCCACCACCACAGTGGCATCGTCAGAGGCTTCCTCCCCGTCCACCTCGAACTTGGCTTCTCCACCGCAGCAACAGCCTCAGCAGCAGGAGCAGGGGCACGCCGTTCTCTCCTCGACAGCCAACTCTGTTGTCCCACGCACTCGACTTGCAAGCCAGGTGCCGGAGCTCTCCCCTCGAAGCCAGTCCTCGCCCTCGGAAGAGTCTAAGCGGATTCGTCTCGACCATTTATCAACACCGACATCGGCCCTATCATTTGCCTCGGCCTCGAGTTCAGGTTCCAATCCCAAGTCAACATCAGTCGATATTACATCCAGCGACTCTTTCGATATGAAGCCCGATGCAAACGCACATCCACACCAGAACGGGACGACATCAATCACAGAGAGTAAGAATGGCACAGGATCAACCTCGATGACCATGGATGGCTTAGAAGCAAGTGTGATTACGCCTTCTGGATTTAGTCGCCACGAGCTCGTACGCCTGATGGTGCAATCGCTGCAAAGCCTTGGTTACAAGTAAGGACTCCTCCGTATCTTTTTAGTTCTACTGTTCTACTTGACAAAGTGTTACTGGGTGAAATTCGAGTGCTGTATGACAGCCGGAGATATTCACACAGCGTCAATCATGCGACCAACTCAACCCTTAACAGAGTTAGCTCTACATAAAGAGCACGCGATGTGAAAGTAGAAAAAATAACCTGTTCTCACGCTACTGCTGTTGCATTTCCATGAATGTGTAGGAAATCGGCGCAAGAACTCGAGGCAGAATCTGGATTTCAGTTGGAGAGCCCTACAGTGACACGTTTCCGAGAATGTGTCTTTAAAGGAAACTGGGGCGAACTGGAGCAATTGATAGAAAAGCTGGATCTCGACCCCGCTCATGCAGTCTCGGTACAAGCATCTCGCTCATGTTTCCAGTCTTCATCTTGTTTTGCAAACACACCGATTGTTCAGTGAAAAGGCGGGTTTACTGACATCAAAGACTACTTTTCTTGCTTTTCGATATGATTCAAAAAGGTCAAGTTCTTAATTAGGGAGCAAAAGTTCTTGGAGTTGCTTGAGGCACGACAGATTAAGAGCGCTTTGGTCGTGTTGCGTTCAGAGTTGACGCCGTTAAACCAGAATATGGATCGAGTCCACACTCTTACAAGGTACTGCGCAGTGTTTGTTCGATTTCCAGATGCGATGCAATACAAGACGAAGCCAAAGGATGGGATTTAATTGGACGTGTTTTTACTCGATCTTTTTCAGTTACATGATGAGTCCGAGTGCTGAGGATCTTCGACAGCGAGCGGACTGGGATGGTGCGAACGGGATCTCAAGACAACAACTTCTCTCGTCCCTGCAAAGTATGTTGCCTCGCTTCTTTTGTCGACAAAAGCATTTTGATTGCACCACGTTGTCGCACAGCCCATTTGCTGACCATCATTGTTACTTTTTTATTTGAAAATGATAGAATATATTTCACCAGCGGTCATGGTCCCAGAGAATCGACTGGAAACTATGCTAAAGCAAGCTGTGGAGCTGCAAATCAAGAATTGCCTGTATCATGACAATCGCAACACAACCAACAGTCTTTATAGCGACCATATTTGCGACAAGTATGTCTGCTCGAACTCCGGACGATTGACGTTCGCTGTCCGCCAACAACCATGTTGTTAACAGAACGCTGTTGAATGATTCATTCCGCACATATAGAACTGGAATTCCTTCGATATCGCGCCAGGTACTCGATGGCCATACGAACGAAGTCTGGTACATTTCCTTTTCCCATGATGGACGATACTTGGCCTCCGCATCCGCCGACCACAGGATCATTATTTGGAACCTGGAAGTATGTCCCGCATTGGTCACTGTGATTCACTTCCTTTTTAATTATGGTCATGGCCTCGTACTGAGCACATCCTGGTTTTATTATTCTTTTGTAATAGACATTTGAGCCGATGCAGACACTTCAGGGACATTCCAGCAAAGTATCGTGTTGTGTTTGGTCACCAAACGACACTCAGATATTGACGGCGTCATATGATCGGACAGTGAGGCTATGGAATGTTCAGACTGCAACGTTAAAGTCGACATTCCAACGACATAGTGATGCAGTGACATGTCTAGGATGGCTTCCTGATGGTGAACGCTTTGTATCCGGAAGCGAGAAGAATCTGTTTTTGATGGTAATGTAACTCTTCGATTGCCATCTTTTACTATGACGTTTTATCACGCGTTTTTTTCAGGAGACTAACAAAAAGGCTCCTGTTTGGTTTGATAGACATTGGCTGGCGACCAACTTCGTTCATGGCAGTTCCCAGTGAGAGACCTTGCCATATCTGCTGACGGCAAGCTGTTAGTGGCCATGGGAGGCACCATCATCCGCGTGATCAGCCTGGACGATATGAGTGAGATCAGGTACGTCTGACTGTGTGTATGCTTCAGTGACCACGAACATAAAGAGGAGAGAGATTCTGAGGACGATCTGCTGACGCCCACATTGTGTTTTGCATATGTTTTTCTAGCAAGCTGGAGGAGACAGACAGTATTACGAGCATCAGTTTGTCAAAGGATGGCCAGCATCTGCTTGTGAACATGACTTTCAAGGTAGTCGTTTTGTCGCCGCTTTCTATGCTTGTATCTGTATCACATGGCTAAGGTACAGAAAACTCATCAGCCATTTATTTTCATCATAGCCAACACTACCGCCGATGCATCGGGAGATTCATCTGTGGAACTTGGCAGAGGGACGGGTTATCCGCAAGTATTCAGGATACAAACAAGGACGGTTTGTGATCCGGTCGTGCTTTGGTGGATGGGACGAGCGGTTTGTGATTAGCGGGAGCGAGGACTCGAAGGTGTATATCTGGCACCGCGAGAACGGCAACTTGATTCAGACGCTGGATGGACATTCACGCGCGGTAACGATGGTTGCACGGAGCCCAACGAACCCAACCATGTTTGCATCCGCAAGTGATGACCATACTATCCGGATGTAAGTCTACGATCTCACGTTGAAGCATATCGATTTTGGAAAGGATATTATTTGCTTGAGTGACAGACTGACTGGCCTGGCTTACCTTCCCGTCCTTGGATATGGTTAGATGGGGTGCCCCCGAGGATGCAGAGGAACATTTGCGCATGCTGAATGGAAGCAGCCTTTAAAGATGGAGAGACGGCACTGGGACTGTATCTCTGAACAACTCACAGCTCAAGTCGAAGGTCTCCTTCTCTTTCGTTTGCTCCCACATACAACATGGATGAGCTATATCGACAGCGACATTGTCAACGACATTGATAGCCAGTGACATTTGCAAATAATAGTAAAAAAAAAAAAAAAAAAACCTATTCAGTCGCCTGAGGCTACATTCTCAAGAAGTCCTTTTAAGCCGTACGGGCCGATTGAGAAATTCACTTACGGGTTGCAAAAGATAAAACCTGGAAACCTGGGGAATTGATTTTTTCGACAAACACCCAACACGCTCGACTTGACTTTGACTTAATATCACTGCACAAACATAAGAAATACAGGAAAGGAACACGAAGGCATCTATACATGGCCAAGATTGAAGAGCACAGCTCAACAGGGGTGAGCTCATGGCTCAGCTCACAATCCCAGCAACAACAACCTTATCCCTCTCCTCGGCCAACGTCCGATTTCGAGTCCGATACTAGCCACTCTAATGTGACTCTAGCCGTCGGCATCTCTCCCTCGTTCGTGCAACTGTTGGGTTCTGTACCAGAGGAGATCTGGCGCCAGATCCTTGTGTGCCTGCCGCTGAGGAAACTCGTAATCCTCTCTGTTGTGTGCAGGAAATGGTATTCGATTGTGCATGACGACCTCGTCCCGGCTTACAAGGACCTGGCGGCCCAGTGTCGGATGGGTGAACCGCGCGGGTTGATACAGACGTGGTGGGAACTGGTGGTCGGGCATGCGCTGATAGTTTGTGACGTGTGCTTACAGAGGAGTCGGGGTGTGGGGTCGGCGGTGCCATTGCCCGTGGAGAGAACCGATGCGATGGGACGGACGTGGATGTGCAGGAGATGTCGGAGAAAGTATTTTGAGAGGCACCCAGAGGAACGAAGGAAGAGTTGGGCGGAGGATTATGTAGGTGTTGGGACAGTGGCGGGGATGTGGACAATGTGTTCTGTGCCCATGCGGGCTGACGCTGAAGGAGAGGGAGAAGGAGGAGAGCATCGGGTGGTGGTGCAGCCGTTGGACTCGCGGGAGTGCTTCGAGCACGCTGATGAGGTTGGACAGGAAATCGTGTATGAGGCTAGAGTGCGTCATGGTGGCGATATCGGGATCCGAGCGCATCATGGGGATCATTCGATACTGTCGCTGCTCCGTCCCTATCGTCGCAAACTCCTCTCAACACTTCTGGCGCTGCGTGGATTAAAACTTCGTGCGGATTCGAAGCTGTGTGGACGGTATCTGCAAGGCTCGAACGAGGATCCCGAGAGAATCGCGGATGTGATGAAGGAGATGGAGTGGTATTATCAAGAGACGACTTATGGGGGGTATCTGGCAGAAGACCATGGGTCGGTTGAAGCGAAGGCGATAGCGTTGACAGAGTGGGTGGAGGAGGCTGTTAGGGTGTTTGGGGAAAAGGTCAAAGAGGCGTATAAGCAAACGCCGGAAGGCGAGGGGAATGCATTCATGATGGTGGAGGGGGAGTTGGTGAGGATGCCGAGGCGTCCGCCGCCGGAGACGATGTGGGCGATGTTGGATTTGTGGATTGATAAGTGGCAGCAGGGGGATCGAGCGTATCGACCGCAGAGCAGCGCTCTTGAAGTCAGCTGTGAGGCCGATGACCTTCGCGATGACTGAGACGAAGTGGCACGACCTGGGGCCTCTCACCGTTTTTTTCTTTTTTTTTTTCTATCTGGATATGGACATATGGACCTGGCTCTTTCGATAAAGTAACCTTCATTTCCCATTTGTGCTATGACATTGTCGTCTCTGGTATCCGCCCATCCTTTTTCTTTATGATTTGATAACAGTTTAAGAAGTGTATGTATGACTAGGTGTTCAGTATGCCATGTGAAGTTGGCGATACCAAATGTTTTAATTGCATACAAACGGTCGGTCTTAGGAAGTGTCTGGGCACTTAACCATGCCTGGTCCACGGTTTTTCAGGCCGAGGACCAGGTGACGGTGATCATGCAATTTGAAATCCTGTAACGTTTGTGAGACGTAAGGATGGGCCCGATTGCCTACTTGTGGGAGCTATTTATTGGACTGAGAGGACAGTCTTGTAGGGGCTCATCTTATGGGGCCCATTTGTGAGACAGGTATTGAAGTATGTAGTACATCACACTTGACACAGCAGTCCTCCCTTTCTTTTGAACATCTCCGCTCCAACCTTTTTTTGTCGAGGCGTCTTTGTTAAAATCTGTCCCTCTCTTTTTTTTTATTTTGTTGTCAATTGGCTTGTTTGGTTGAAATGAAGCGCAGGGTACTGTTGTATATCCTTGGAATCTTCAATTGGAGTATCACGACCATCCTTCCCTCTATTACAGCAGGTCCTGTTATCGTGCAATTCACGTCGCTGCCGCCTTAGCACCGCAGTCTCCTTCCTGCTCTTCTCCTTCTTGACTCTCGTCGTGACCTTCGTCGTTAGAATCGAATGTCTGTTCCTTCGTGATCGGCGAAAGACTCATGACTGTTCGTCTTCGAGCACTACTGGGGGATCGCATCAACGTCTTGAACTTTTGTGAAGCTGAATAGGTGATATTGTGCAGGATCGAGAACGATTTCCTGCGGTCGTGGCTTGAGGACGATGATCCATTTCTTTCCAGATGAGAGCGAGGGTGAGCGAGGGCATGGGTAACGATCTTTGGACTGGCCTGCATCTCCTTCTGGTGTTCCTTGAGGTGCTGATTTACAACGTGTCCTGATCCTGGTTCTGTTCCTGAAGATACAGAAACAAGGGTCCTGTCGTCCTCGGGCGATGGTTCAGACGAGCAGCCGGTAATCGACACAGATGGCGCTGCCATTATCACTCTTGGGGCCCCAGAAGACGATGACATCTCAGTTGCGCTACTGCCCGTGAAACTCGATTCGGATCCTAGGGACTGGATCGTGCTTGCGGAATTCGTTCGGATATGGTTCGAGAATGTGGATGACGAAGTCGTGGTTGATCTTGAGCCGGCAGTCGACGATCTCCGCAACAGTGTTCGTTCGAAGACTGTAGCAGGACGACACATCGTTTCCTTGTGACCCATGCTGTCCTCTTGAATGACAGAGTCCTGGTGGTTGAGCTGAAGAGGCCGCCTCATTGGAGAGGACATCGGCGAGAGCACCAACGGAACATTCCCTGGATGGCTTGCAAGACCTGCTTGACTCTGGCCGCTAGAGCTAGAGCTACTACTTCTGCTTCGACTGATTCCGCTCCTCTCATGGCTTCGCTTCTGCATCATCCGACCCATGGCTGACCAAATCTTTTCCGCACCATCCTTCGGTCCATCCTTGGGGCGCGACGGCGTCAAAGACTGTGTACTCGTGTTGGCGGACCGAAAAAACGTCGCCGGTAAGGAATATGAGGACGAGGAGGATTTCAGGTCGTAGACTGTAGCGATTTCAGAGTATCTCCTCGTCATTCTCTCACCCCCGCGTCGCGATCTGGCAGCCTCGCCTGCGGTTGTCAATGTATCTAATATATCCTTGTCACCATAGTCATCTTCGACCAAGTATGGCATATCTACAGACCAGAGCTCGGTGTTGCTCTGGCTATGCTTAATCTCGTGGGATAGGAATGCAGAGGTTCGATTTTCAATCCTGTTCACCATAGCGCTAACAGAGGTCTGCCGATCATGGTGGCTTCTTTCGGTGCACTCCAATTCTTCGGCGCTACCGGCCCGTAGAGTCTCCTTCGTAGACGAACGAAGGCGTTGGTTGGCCGAGAGTTGAGGATCAGAATTCTTACGGAAGTTGAACGACAATGTCCCTGCAATGGCCGCCGTAGTGGAGTTTCTTCGACGGTCTTTTCCTACAGAACCGCAAATCAAGTAGTTTCTCAATAATTAGAAACAAAATCCTTAATACTGAATAAAAACTAAGAACATATCGAAAGCTCACCAGTCTTTTCTTGAATCCCCTCTGATCTGATAGTCGATACTCGCACTTTAGTCAGAGAATCGGGTCTGCGCAGGAGCCGGTTGGTCAGCGACACGGGAAAAGTCCCGGTGCTGTCCTCTCCGGCAAGAGTAGTAGATCCTATTGACTCTGAATGTACCGTCGGATGAAGGATTCCGCTGACACCCTGGCGAGGAGAAGGCGGCATCGTGACCGAATGAAAGTAACTAAAGGGGGATGAGCTGCCATAGCGCGACAATGCGGAGACAGGCTGAGGTGAGGGCTGTGACGCTGTCGTGGTCGTCCACACGTCCTCGGTCGAGACATCCTTGAACATACTCTGGATCAGCACCCGTTGGTTGTGCTTGATACTGTTGTTGCTCGACGTGAACACTCGTGTGACATCGAAGGAATGGGTTCTCTGTCGATTCTCCGTCAGGAGCCAGGGAATCTGCATCGATTGATACAGCAAGTTGGCCGCAGATTCTGGTCTAAGCTGGCGATCATATGGGCGCAGCGTCTGTGAGTGCAGATGTTCTGAGTGATCTTTTTCCTGTGGCTCAGTGCCTGCCATTCCTCCGATACACGGACCCTCTCGATCTCCTGTTGAAGGATTATTCAGACATTGCGGTTCTGTATGGCAATCTGGTGCCTCATGATGATGCAGGCGCAACCGTCCATCTTCGTGGCAGGTGCAGTCGTCAATAGTTTGTCTTAATTCACCAGCGTTCCATTTTTCGGGCTCAACCACTACTGCCGAAGACATGGCCATCATCATTGTGCTCGAAGACGCTGAAGGAGGTGGCGGCATGAGTGGTGACGGGATGGCTGACGAGCAAGCAGACCAGGGTGAAGGTGAGGGTGAGGGTGATTGCTGACATATCTGTAGATGGCGCGAGGAAACAAGGCCAGGGGTCTGGTTCTTGTTCATTTTCCACGGCAGGGATGACACAATCGTTTCAAATGCAACGATGTCCCGCGGTAGTTTGGCGTGTGCGTCCTTGGATGCTTGAATTCGGTCCTGTAGGGTACTTATCCATGTTTGCTGCTCGGCCTCGGTACTGGCACCAAAGTCGAGTCGGAACTGGTCAAATACTATTCGCCAGCCAAAGCGCGTGTAACCTAGAAAAGCACAAAAGAATTTTGCGTTAACATAAAACATCATAATATCTACGAGTACGGGTGCGCATGCAGATAATCTCTACTCGCTGAGTGAACATACCATCTAGGCAACTCGTTTCATGGAGCTCACAGAGTCGCAGTGGCAGCCATTGACGAGGCTCGTAAAGACTTGATTTCTTGGCCTTGACAACGACCAGCATCGTATCGAATAGGAAACATCCATAGTATTTCAATCGTATCGGTACATCTGGAGAGATCACGTACTCGAGCGCACCTGCTAATACGATTGATCCCAGAGTCCCAGCAAAGGCCTTTGTAAGAGCTATAGGAGCCACTCCATCCTGAATAAACCCAAAGTCGAGGAAGCTATTCGCAGCAAATCCAGGGCTGTGCAATGGTGCAACAGTACTTGTACGGAGGCGTCTAAACGCCCCATGAGGATGATGAGAATGGATGCCGACATGGATGCTGCCATTGCTGTTGCGGCTGTTGCAGTTACAACTGTGGCCACAGGTGTTACTGCAGTTCATGGTATTGCTGCTGTTCTCGCCGCTACCGCCAAATGTCGAATGATCCTTGTTCGAGTGGATACCAGTCTTTCTTGGGAAGTTCGTCTCTGGTAGCTTCTTGAGAAACAACTCTGTCAACAACTTTCGCTCGACTGCCTTCTGGGCCTCATCCATCTCCCGCGCCATGTTCTTCATGAGCTGGTACGCGTGATCAAGATACGGGTATTCCGAGTCGTCCTCACTAGTGAGCCGCATGATTTCCTTCAACAATAATGGGTATCGACAGATGCGTTGTATGGGCTTGATAAGAAAATCCTTGAGATCTGCACGAATGCTAGGACGTCCTTGCTGGGCCATCAGTTCCTTGCTATCTTTCCGCAACCATGCTATTGTTGCCTGACTTGCAGATTGGTTGATCTCCTTGATACTCCTCATTCGCAGCTCACAGAACAGGCTGTATATATGATTATCATGATGCTACAGTAAATATGATGGACGATTGGAGTGAGTTATGGGACGCTCTGAAAGCTGAGAAAGAATGAAAGATAGAGGTTCCTTGTCTATGGTGCATCACAAATGTGCATACCAGCAGCTCGAACGACTCAGCCAAGTTTTTATAACCTGTCAGCAATTCCTGTCGCTCCTGTTCCGAATCGCCGACTTTGCAGGCCCGTAATCGAGAGTGGAAATCGCGATGCAATGCCAAAAGGCCACTCACGCACCTTTGCATCTTTGAGTGAATACTTCGTGGGAACCATGATCTCGTCTCGAGGATATGTAGATACACCTATGTTTGTTGGTATCAGAAGTCAAAAAGTCGATGGTCATGTTCTATGCTAGCAAGAGTTGTCGATTCCTTAAATCCCTATGATTTGCATATTCCTTACGTTCAAGAGAATATCCAAGTCGTTCACATAGCTCTCCTCAGTCGTCTCCAATTCCTGAAGAGCATGAGATCTCTTGACAAACCTCTTGATCTTGCCTGCCTCGATAACAGGTTTCGGATCAATGGCGAACTCCTCCAAAGTCGAGGCCAGACTGGACTTGAAAGTAGAGTGGGCGGTGCCTGAAGGAAGCGGAGCTGACTCTTTCTCATCCTGTGGCTCTGCACATAATACAATATTGTTTCCTTCGCACCCATCGGCCACATCGTTCTCGTTCATGGCGCCCCTAAGATCGTGGTCAAAAGCCTGCACTCCAGTGACATCTGTCCCACGTACACTGTGCGGCGTTGAAGATCCAATGCCAATTTCCAAGGTATGGTGACCTTGATCCAGTTCATACATTTGATGGCCCATTATGTCTGGAGACGACCGCGCGATTTTGGACTCGAGATGCAATTGCGTCTCCATAATAGAGCTGTCTAGCATAGTCGGCGACGCTGCTCCCACCAATTGCGACCGAAACTGACGATTGACTGGTTCAGGACAGTGCATAGATGCCACTGCTGGCGTTGTAAGGATATCCGGCAATCGACAATGAACTTTGGCGTCAGGCTTGCATATCCGACGATCCTGAAGACTTAAAAGGACCCTTTTGGAGGAGTTGAAACTCAGTGAGGGGCGATGTGAGATGTAGCTACAACTCTCGCTTCTGCGTAGCCGCTGCGTCTCCGAGCGCTTATGCCTCTCTGATCCAAGGCCGTGTCTCCTTGAGATGATTGTGCCTGACTGATCCAGCTCTGAAACGTTCTGAGCCGAAGGCGTCTGTTTCGTTCCAGTAATCTTTTTACACTCTGATTCAGGCAAAGATGCGTTGCTACTGCTTGTGTGATGAATGATGTCGAATGGGGAGAGGGAGTGGACGTCGAGGACCTTGTCTAGGTGGCGTGAATGCATGGTGTTGTAGGGCAGGCTCTTGTGGTGACAGTGTCGGTGTCGATGTGGTCTGGCGAGGGTGTTCTTTTCAATGGGACTTTTTCGAAGAGGAAATCGAAATGACTCTAGTCGTCTGGACGATGCAGCCTTTGTTACTACTGCCGTTGCCGTCGCGGTAAAAGATGAGATTGACAGTGGGGAATTATCCTGGAACGGTGCGTCGTCTAAGGTCGATATTGGAGACAGCGGTAAGGTGTCATCCTCGATCGCTGCCATAGCTTGCACATCAGACCGAATGGTCAGCGGATAACAATGTACTTGATGATCAGCACAACCATGTACGTCGTTCGTGATGGAGTGGTCCATTGTCGCCTTGGATAGACAATGATATTGCCAGGAGTCCTGTTTTGAGTCCTTCTTTGAGTCCTGCAGCGAGACCTGCTTTTCATTGTTGAGACACGCCATGATCGAGACGGCTTTGTGGTGTCTGTCATTGCCTGGAACCAATGCTCCAATGCACCCCTTTTGAGGAAGTACCACTCTAACACAATTCTTGCTAGGGGATTCTCCCTCGGCGAAAAGGGAGAAACGCTTAGATAGGGGAGGGAGTGGTTTGACCGTGGCGCCTGGTGGCAGTTGGAAGGTATCGACAGAATGCGTTTTCGAAGGTACTACGTCGAGCAAAGTGGGGGCTGTGATGGGTGATGATGGCGATGCTGATGCTGATGCAAGGCGTGGAGTAGATACCTGTACTGTTGATGCTCTCGAAGGTGCTTTCGGTTCTTGTAGTTATGGACGAGAGAGAAAAGAGAGGGTGAGTAAAGGTGAATAAAATGGTGTTCAATGTGGGGTTAAGAGTCATTGTAAAGGAGGAAAAAAGGCACCGACTGATTGGGATCCGCGGCCGAGATGATCGGTCTTACCTTCTTCAGTTCGTATGCTGCCTTCGTATGGGCCATTGGAACAGGATATTACAGATTCTCTGTATTGCTGATCCAGGTCTGCAGTCCGCTTTGCTGCGGTCAACCCTTGATGAACCATCGCTGTTACTGGTGGCCATGCTGAGATGGTGGTCCTTCTTGAGAGGGGGCTGATGTCTGCTGTCGATCCTGACCGCAGACGCGATAGAATCCCTCCTCTGGGTTGAACAATCCGCGTCCACAAGGCCTCGCTCTCAGAACGGCGCCTGCCTTTCACTCGTCTACTGGGTGACGCTGTCAGAGATAGTCGAAACGATGCCCATGAACGGGACGTTGGTGGAACGGATGTCGATATCGCAGCTTGTGGTAGCTTTCCTGGGACATGCACTTTAGCTCGAGGAAGTTTTGGATGATCCTGAGACGAGAACGGATACAAGGGGACAGATGACTGAAGCTCTGCTGTAGATGAACTGGAACAAAGGTCGTGTCCCTGAGAAGGTGTGTGTTCACGAACGATATCAAAGGAGTGACAACGGGTTGACGAGGACGATGGTGTGTTTGGGTGGCGAGCTGAGGACAGATTACGTGATGCGGACGAAGGACAGGAGTCATGGATGCTGGCCGGCCGATAGCGAGATCGAGACTGGAGCGCGTGTATGCAGTCGCGCCTGGCGGCGGAAGAGTGGGTGGCGAAAGGGAGGTGATCCTGGAGGACGGCCTCCGTCACGGCGCCCAGTTGTGTGGGGATCGACAAGAGTGGTTCGACTGAAGTGAGGTGTTGCTGGTGAGACGCACTGATGATGCGACGGATAGTCAGCCTGAGGGCGGTCTTTTGGGGCCTCCTGGTGTAGCTCGGCCTCCTTTTCAACGATGATGCTGCTGTGGATGATGCGGATGGCGGTGGTGCTGTGGGCTCCTGTGAGGATGTGGCGGATGTGGATGTGGATGTGGATGTGGATGTGGTGCCCTGGGGTGCACGGTCCATGGGACGTGTGCTGACTGAGACACGAGCAAATTGGTGGCGCTTTGGGGAGGATGCGATTGGTGGAGATGCCTCAGTGGAACAGCTGCAGAGGTGGGACAGACGCTCAGTCGGTGTGAGGGGCAACATCCCTACCGCACAAGATGTGGCACGCAGCGGATATATTAAGATGTGCAATGATACGAACAACCTTCAGCCGCCGTGAGTTTACAAACACAACAACCAACAAGGAACAGCGATTAGCAGCAAGCAACAGCCCACTATTGCCAAGTACTAATTGAAATGGGATTATAAAGGTGCCCTACTCAACTGCAGACTGTCTGTAAAGACTAAGGCAGGCAGAGAGGTTCATCCAATGCAAGGGCCGATATAACAAAGAGAGCTCAAGTATGCACCTGAAGGTACTCAAGAGGGTGCCACGGGTGAGTGAAGAGCCAGAGAAAGAGGGAGGAAAGGGAGGACGAAAGAGAAGAAGGAGGAATCCTTTTGGAATATGGGGATGGGATAGCAAGGGTAGCCAAGATCAAGGCCAAGGTCAAGGCCAAGGTCAAAGGAGTCAAGGAGGGTTATAGGCTGGTTGAAGTGGCTGGATTGTGCGAGAGAGGACTAGATGGGATAGATCGGTAGCAAGGGAGGATAAGATGGGATGCGCGCGACAGATTAGGTGGGAGGAATGAGGTAGAAGGTGGGTGTGGTAGAATTGGGGTGAAGGTGAAGGTGAGGTGGATGATGGGTGAGAAAGAAGTTCTTGGCTGTGGGAGCAAGGTGCTTCAGTCTACATCCGCCCGCAGGTGAGGCTGGGATCCGCTCCGTCTTGGTGTTCCTTCTTCGATCCACGAGACAGAAAAGAGCCGCACTAAAGAGACACAGCGCATCAGTTCATACCAGAACAAAAATAAGCATAAGAAAATCATGCAACAGCACATAAAAACCGGCAACGAGATAGTGGGTCGAGTCAGATGAGGTTGGAATCGGGATTGGATCAGAGGGGATCATCTGAATCCACATTCGTTTCGCCATCGTGCACTCGCATCCACCATCGCCGTCGACCTGCAGCTCACCTCAAAAGGAACAACCTCTTCCATCACAGGCTATTTTTTTTCCTGCTCAGAGTAATAAAAGACAGCATCCATCCCAATGCTCTCTCCAGCAGCTTCATCATTCTTAAAAAAGGTACTGCTCTTGTTAGAGACGTGAGGGGGGCCTATATGTTTATATGACCCTCAAACCAACCAACCAACATTTTGCTCTCCGTGTCCAAGTCTAAGGAGAGACATTCCTGAACCCAGTATGTCTCCGGAAGGTGAAAGAACATTAACAAGGGAGTGATGCTGTCTCTTGAACAGTTTGTCTGGATCTGTGTTTGCCATTGCCATTATCTCTGATTTTTATTCGAAAGTGAGGATGAGAAGAGAACGATGGATGCGGCGAAGAGTTGGGCCAAGAGCAGAGAAGAGCTGTTAGCTTCTAAAAGAGAGCTGTCAAGAGCTCCATGCAGGAAGAAATAGAGAGAGGAAGGAGAGAGGAGCAGCCAGCTCCAAGAAATTCACGGAGGCAGCCTCCCTCTGGGGTACTGGTTGCTTGGCGCCCTGCAACGGCGGTGTCCTGCGTAAGATGCTCCGTCGACGCGTTCTTCAAGTGCGACAGGTTAGTGACGCGTCCTACGGTAGTCCCTATGACTAAATCTAGTCCTCCTTCATGCGATTGGTCGGGTGGGTGTTGAACGTTTACGCCATTGCCAGCAGCAGGATGATGCTTGGAAAGTAGTTTGGTAGGCCAATGCATTCTAGACGGATATGTGATACAGACATATTTGTGCATATCTTCGCCACCAAAAAAAAAAAAAAAAAAAAAAAAAAGATGCGAGCCGATGTGGATGCGGCAGTGTGTGGACAGGGCCAGATCGCGTCATGCAAACAGAGGGATTTGATTATTTGGCGGCCATCTCGTTCATGAAAAGAAAAAGGTGTGCTGATGTGATGGGAAGACTAACTGAGACCCATAAAAAGATCCTACACCTCGAAGGTCGCTTGTCTGCTTCTTTCTCTTTTCCCTCCTTCCCACATTCATCCCCTCACCCCTCGACACTCGCTCACCCTCTTCACTTTCCACCTCGCTTGTCCCTCTCTTTGATATGTCAGACAGTCACCACCACGAGTCAGATCCTCTGCTGGAGCGTGCCGAGCGCGGTGGTAGCGGTGTAGTTCGCGTCCGTTACGAGCCTCGTAGCAAGTGGGCCGGTGTCCGTCACAAGGTAAGGGTCAAGAACGAGACCCCACTATACTTTGTCGGTGAAGAAGATGCTGTATGCATGCTTACTTACCGTTCCCTCCTTACAAAATATTCTCTCTACATTAATAGTTCAAAAAGGCCTTTGCCGAGTTCTTGGGAACAGCCATCCTGGTTGCCTTTGGTTCCGGTGCGATCGCGCAGCTCGTCTTCTCGCCCAACAACTCATGGTTCACCATGAGTCTCGGATGGGGTCTCGGCCTAACATTCGGTATCTATGTCTCTGGTGGAATCTCCGTAAGTTGTCTCTCTCTTTGAGCTCCTCCTAATGAGTGGACAAATAATTTGGTCAGCAATATGCCTAAAACGATGGGAAAAAAAAAAGGCAGCGGGGCAATGCACTACCTCCTTGATTTTTTTCTTCAGAAACCACACCTGAATAGGTACAGCGACTTTCATGAGTACAAAAGAAGAGAAGATGAAGGGGGCTAGGGGTGATGCTCACGAACAGTGTGAATAGATAGACTGGTGACCGAGGAGCGTTACCTCGCATTTTCTTTTGCTTTGATGCCTAACATGTCTTTTCCTCCGCTTTTTCACACGAACAAAGGGAGGCCATCTCAACCCTGCGGTTACGCTCGCTCAAGCCATCTTCCGTGGACTCCCCTGGGCTGAGGTTCCTATCTACTGGATTTCGCAGTTTGCTGGCGCCTTTGCAGGAGCCGTCGTCGTCTATGCCACGAACTACCATGCCATCCGTGCCGCGGATCCCAAGACCACGATCGGCATCTTTGTCACTGGCCGTCAGACCGGTGATGTCTCGACCATTGCCGCCTTTATTGCCGAGTTTCTGGGCACGGCTCTCCTTGTCCTTGTGATCCTCGCTACATCCGACAGGGGAAACACTCCCGCGGGTAATGTGCAGCCTCTCATCATTGGTCTCTCCCTTGCAGCCATTGGTAACTCATTTGGTTGGGAGACTGGCTTTGCCCTGAACCCTGCCCGCGACTTGTCCCCTCGTATTTTCACTGCTATTGCTGGATGGGGACTTGGCGCCTTCACTCGTCAGGACTGGTACTTCTGGGTGCCAATCGTCGCTCCTTTCCTTGGTGCCATTGGTGGAGCCTTGAGTAAGTCCGCTGTATACTTTTTTTCTTTCTTTCTCTGAAGCATGAATATGGTTCCTAACAGTATCCCGCATCGTTCCCTTTGCGGTAGCCTATGATGTCTTCGTCTACGGTGGACCTAGCCCTCTAAACAGCTAGGCGCAGTACGGTGCATTGAGGGACATTTTTTGACAGCAACATGGCAATGGTCTATCCGAGATGTGTATATATAGTTTCGTGTCGTACTTTTGTATTAAAAAAAGTGTAGATTGGTGTTTTTCTATGATTGCTGGAAATGCTTTATGTGAGATTCCTCTATCCTTGTAGATTTGTAGATGGCTATCGTGCTTGCCACATTAATCTTTCTGTAGCCAGAGATTTTCCTTGGAGATCTTAGCTTTCTCGACGATGTATTTGCCTTCCTTGTACTTTTGAGATTCCTCGAAGGCATAAATCTGCAGCAAGAAAATAGAAACGGCACATGACTTAGTACGGGAATCCAGGAAGAAGAAATGAGCACAAAAGGACACAGTCCTTCATAGCGCCATAGCAAAAAAGGGAACGAGCACTTGCGTATATCCAGCCGACGACACTTTGACAGATGGTGCAGGATACATCGGCGACAGAGTGGAGGCCAGTCATCAGGGTCCTGTCCTCTTTTGGTCCTAGTGTGATGTTCTGAACGCTCTTGAAGAGATACGCACGACCATGTCTTCCTTGAAAGCCCTATCATAAGAAGATGTTGTAGCAGGATGAGTGCTTGCTTCAGGTCCAAAGGTGTCGAGAATGCTCGCCCGCAGATAGGTTCATCTTCTGTGGATGGTGATATGGTATCATCGATGCAATATCGAGTGGTCAAAAAGCATGGTCGACTGATCGATGGAACATGCCCCATACTTTTGAGATGATGTCCTCGTTCCTAGCAAGATGGGCATGACAGCTGCTGCAGGTGAAAATCTGGTCGCCGTTGAGATAGACTTGATGTGGCTGCTGCGTGGACTCCATCTGGTTGCTGGCTGAGGATGATGGTGATCTGAGGGCGAAGGCGAGAAATGGGTCGGCACAAGAGATGGACGAGCAGAAAGAGGGAGAAGAAAATCTGAGGAAGAAGGCGTTTATGTTGATGGCACACAGACCAATTGGAGCCCCTATTGCTCACATCTGTTACCCCTCCTTTGAATACATCAGCAAAAAGCTGCTGGAGGTCGGTATCGCGCCCCATCGCAATTTATCAGAGGGAGCCATCACTGTCTGCAAAGGGGGCCAAGCGGATCTGTGCAAGTGGGGTCAATGCTGTTCGGTGGTGGGGCACTATATCACTTCAACAACTACTGTTATTATCTATCCCAGCTCTGTGCACATCGGCTACCAACGGCCAACTCTGTACATGGACGCGTACAATGGGAACCATACAAAGTGGTCCGTGCGATAACCAGGCTTCAATGGCCTATAAAAGGAACTCCCATGCCCGCATCCTTGGATGGATCCCAGATACTCTTCATACTCTCACTCATCCTCACATACACACAGCGCGTCTTTCTCTACTTTATATCCTTCCTTACAACTACCTGACAAAATGGCACCGAGAAAGACTATCCTGCTCTTGACGATTGCGTTACTGGCGACCGCGATGTTCACAACAGCAGTGCACAGTGCCCCGGCTGGGCCTCTCCAGAGGATGGACCTTGCCAAGCGAGGCGATGACTGCGACTACGACTGTAATGACTACGACGGGGACGACGACTGCGATGATGACAGCTGCGATGATGACTGCAGCAGAGACCGCCGTCTTCGTGATCGACTGAGGATCATTCGTGTGCCCCAACCCTTCCCTGTGGAGCAACCCTTCCCGGTACCAGTACCTGCTGCTATTCCTGCCCCCGTGGCCGCACCATTTGGCGCGTCTGGGCCTCTTCTTGGGCCTGGCATCGGGCCGGGCGTTGGGCCTCTCCTTGGGCCTGGCATCGGACCGGGCGTTGGGGCTTTCCCTGGACCTTTCTGAGGGGAAGAAAGATGTTTTTCTTTAGTACTTGTTCTCTTTCCAGCGAGGCAAGGTTATAGATGAATCCTCTAACTTTAGGCTCCGTCAATTTCCTTTTTCTTGGTTGCTTGATGCCATATCTTGTGGGTGGTGATGTACAGTCGTATGGAATAAAGGCATCTTTCAAAAAAATAAATAAAAGCCTAGAAAAAGTGCCTGGGTGGAACGCGTGCCTGCCCCTTATCCTCGTGGGAGAGAAAGTTTTGGTTCTTCGCCATAAGTTTTTCTACTTGCTCTTTCCTCCTCCTCCCTCCTCCCCTCTTCTTCCCTCCCATTGCGTTGTGTACTCTCCTCCTCATCTTCATCCTCAATCTCCTCAATCTCACTCTCAATCACTCTTTTTCTTCCTCTCGCTAATCCCTCCACTATTCTCCTCCTCATCTCGATCAACCCTCCTCACCTTCTCTTCAACACGCGAAAGCGCGTCACTCTGCTCTCCTCGCCCCTTTCGAGCAAGCGCGCCAACCCTCTGTAGTCGAGCAACACATCAACACGCCACCATTCCCTTGCCTCCGCCCTCTGTCATGTCCGACTACATCCTCAGTCCACAGGTCTCCAGGGGCCTCTCAGACAAGTTATACGACAAGCGTAAGGGGGCTGCCCTCGAGGTCGAGAGGTACTTTACTTGTCTGCAGTCGCTTGTTCCAACGACGGAGGAGGATGGACGGAAGGGAGGAGCATATCGCCTATTATGCATATGTATCTCAAAAGCAATTGTCTATCTTTTCTTCTCTGCGTTCTTTCAGAGTTATCCGCGAGTATGTGATTGCTAACGACACGGCCAAGATCAAGCTGACCATCCAAGCCCTCGTCACAGACTTTGTCTACTCTGTATCGCCCAATGCCCGCAACGGAGGGCTCATTGGACTCGCGGCAACCTCCATCTCTCTCGCAGGGGTACGCCATGCATCTTTTTCTTTTTCTTTTTTCTTTCCTTCTTTCCTTCTCCTATTCATACTCTTGCCCTTGCGCCGATGAAGGTAGCTGTCAAACGGATAGACTGACTGACTGTCTTTCCATGTTCTGTTGTAGGGCGTGTCAACATATCTCGAGAGCATTGTCCCACCAGTGCTCATGTGCTTTGCTGACCAAGACTCTCGCGTGCGGTACTATGCCTGCGAGAGTATGTACAACATCGCCAAGGTCGCAAGAGGGAGCATTCTCCGGTACTTTAATGAGCTCTTTGATGCCATGAGCAAAGTAAGGAAATACACATCTCACGCCGAACTCATTCACGACTGATTCTTGTGCACATCTTTCTCTAATCGCGTATTTACATACTATCTGCCGATTGAACAGCTCTATGCAGACTCGGAAATGTCTGTCAAGAACGGAGCAGAACTGCTGGATCGCCTGGTCAAGGATATTGTGCACGAACAGTCGATCGCGTATTCTGGACCCATTACCCACATCGACCACCAGGATCCCCAGCAACTCGCCCTGGCGCTGCCCCGCGTCTCTCAGTTCTCACTCCCACGGTTCATCCCTCTTCTTGCAGAACGTGTCTACAGCAAAAACTCATGGACACGCAACTACCTCGTCACCTGGATCGCGGTCTTGGATTCCATTCCGGACCTGGAACTTGTCTCATATCTGCCCGATTTCTTGGATGGGCTTTTGTATTTCTTGAGTGATTCTAATCCGGATGTGAGGACCTTGACACAAAAGTTGCTGAACGACTTTTTGACAGAGATCCGGGAGGTGGCCGAGCTTCAACAACAACAGCAGCACGAGATGTTACAGGCTCGACTCAAGCAACTGCAAATGTCGGAAGTTAAGGCCGAAGGTTCTCTAGTCTCAACGACATCGGGACAAATGGGCAAAGATTTGGATCTTCTCGAGAGCGAGTCAACAGGACAGGGCAAGGGCAACTGGGTACCTGGTCAAGGAGTCAACATTAACTATGCGAAAATCGTCCGGATCCTCAAGCCTCACCTCACATCCAACGACGAGGACATTCAAGAGACCGCCTTGCGATGGATCAATGAATTCATGAGCCTGGCCAAGGACGTTATGATCCAATTCACTCCTACTCTCATTCCAGCGGTCTTGCCTTGCCTCGCACACTCTGTCAATTCTATCCGCGCGATCGCCATTGAGACCAACCTCAGTTTATACAAACTCGTTTTGGAGTCAGCACTTCCGCCGGAGCCGCAACAACAGCAACAGTCGGCACCACCCGCTGGAGCACTGTCCTCTGATCGGTCTTATCACCCCCGATCGCATTCGCCACGCCCACAATCTCTTAAGAGTCAGGATCGTTCGACCATGTCTTTTGGAACGTCAGGATCCATCGCCTCAAAGATGTCCGCCGGAGGACCTCATAAGGATCAGGCCACCCAATCACCTAGGGACTCTACCACTGATCACACAGCCTCCCCAAGTCCGTACCAGAAACCAACTGCAGACCAGCTCGAGTTTGATTACGTGGCCACGGTGAACGCGTTGACACTCCAATTCTTGAACGAGCATGAGCAGACACGCGTGGCCAGCTTGGAGTGGCTGCTCATGCTCCACAAACGAGCTCCACATCTAATTTTAGCGATCGACGACGGAAGTTTTCCCGTGTTGCTGAAGACCTTATCGGATCCGTCAGAGGAAGTCATCAAGCGTGATCTCCAGCTTTTGGCCCAGATTTCATCTCACTCGGATGATGCCTATTTCTACAACTTTATGTTGAACATGCTCTCGCTCTTCAGCACCGACCGTCGACTACTAGAAAATCGTGGGAGTGTTATTATCCGGCAGCTATGTGTGAGTCTGAACTCGGAGAGGATCTACAGGACATTGGCAGAGATCCTGGAAAAGGACGAGGATCTGGAGTTTGCGAACACGATGGTTCAGAACCTGAACATCATCCTGATCACGGCCCCTGAGCTGGCTGATCTGCGGAAGCGGCTCAAGACTGTTGATAGTCGAGTAAGTGCGCACGCGACCCTGCCAAAATTAACAAATCGCTGTTGTTCCGAGCATAGTAATGGTAACTAGTGCTTGTCTCCTTCACCTTTTATCCGTCTGTTGTAGGACGGGCAAGCGCTGTTTACGGTCCTGTACAAGTCATGGTGCCATAACCCTGTCTCTACCTTTGCTCTATGCCTTATGGCGCAGTATTATGAGCATGCCGTTGCTCTTCTTCAGAGCTTGTAGGTCAATCTCTCGTTACCTCGAATTGATAATGAAGACTTCAAAGGAAGTATTCCACTGCTTACTGACATTTGTGTTTGGATTTTGATGAACTTGTAGTGCCGAATTTGAAATCACAGTTAACCTACTGATTCAAGTGGACAAGTTGGTTCAGCTGATCGAATCGCCCGTATTTACTTGTAAGTGCGCGTTTATAACAACAGCATTGTTCAAAGACAGAATTTGTCCTTGATCTGTTCATTTACAAACTGCCCCTTCGTTCTACAAAAATAGATCTTCGACTTCAACTGTTGGAGCCTGAGCGATACCCACACTTGTTCAAATGTCTCTATGGTCTTTTGATGCTGCTCCCACAGAGCACTGCATTTGCCACGCTCAGGAACAGACTGACCAGTGTCAGCTCCATGGGCTTCATTCACCTGGTTCCCAAGATGTAAGTAGGCACCATGAGAAACTCTGTCAGTGCTCCCTACGATCAACAAACGAAAACTAACAGGTGCGTTTTGTGACATTTAGACCGAGTTCAGGAGCGCAAGCCGGCATGTCAACTTCAAACTCGATTTCGGGACTTTCGAATTCATCCAGATCAAAAGCAGGAGGTTCGGCAGCCGCTACGACCTACGGCAGCAGCCACTCGAACCATCATCCAGAAGGACCACGATTTCCTGAGCTACTCTCTCATTTTAAGGCAGTGCAAGGTCGGCATGAGCGGTCGCGTCGTCAGGCAGTCCAGGCACTCCTTCGGTTAAACACATATGGTAGCGGTAGCAGCTCTGGATTCGCAGGAACAGCACACTATAACCAACAGCAGCAGTATTATCAGCAGCATCAGCAGAAACATCAGCGGAAACAGCAGCAGCAATTGGAGCATCAACAGCTTCAGCAGCAGGTTCAGCAACAGCAACAGCTGTACGATCTTGCGCACAACAATAATGCTCCTCAGCAGCAACAACAACAGCACCAGCAGGGTGGAATAGATTCGCCTACTAGGACGTTTCAGGATGGGGAGCTGACAGGTGAGATGGAGCAGACTGTGCGAGGCGGCAATAATACCACGGGTGGTGGCAATGCTATCACAGGACAATCGCGTCGAAGGACGCGCGATCGACAGAGTCAATTGGAGATGATGCAACAGCAACAGCAATCGGCTTCCTCCGGGTCAAATCAGCGCAGCTCGTTCGTCAAGGGTAGTAACCAAGGTAATGCGAACTACCTTGCAAACCGGTCGTATGCATCGAGTTCTCCGGGTACTCCACCGCTTGCGCCTCAGTCTATGCCGGCGGCTTCTTCGCCCGCAGGCGTTGGTTCTGCGGTTTCTCCTTCGACTTCACCGGCTGCTACTAACGGTGGCACAGGAGGTGGAGCAGGGTCGATGGGGTCTGACTTTACGAGCGAATCCAAGTCTAGTAAGAGCAGTCGACCGAGCATATAGATGCGAAAAACTTTTATTGTTCTTCCTTCATAGTTCGCACCAAGCGCAATATTACTTAACAAGGAAAGATGCAATATACAGAATGCAAGTAGATCCTCTGTGATATCAAAAGTGGAAGATACTTGTTCGTAAAGAAGAATTGACGCATGCTTGTTTGTGCACAGCAAAGCGGAGCCATCACCTGAAATGAAGGTCTTTATGGATGGGTCTAGCTGCTGCTGGATTATCTTTCGATCTGCTGTACTTATCTTCCCACCATATGGTGTTTCTGGGTGCATACTTGCATCCTAATCGATCACCTTGCGATAGTCTGATGCGCCGGGGTTCGATACTTTTGTCGTTTAGAAATAATTCGCTTAGAGCTCTGAAATGCGTCCATCAGGCCGGGCGTGTGTGTATGAGTAACAAAAGGACCATCTGTTTTAACTAGGTGAAGCTCTTGCAACCCCAACAATCTTCTCCTCCACGGATAATGTGGCTCGATATTACCAAAGAGCAGCAAAAAAGTGAAAGCAGCGATGTAATAGTCACTTGTAGAGTGTATCATAACGAGCGCGGGAGCGTTATAAGAAATGCTTGAGATAGCATTGGCTCCCACCCGCAGGACTCGATAGTGCGCTGATACTTTCCTCTCAGCTGTATTCCAACGCTACGATGATCGATATCTCATATTTCTGAATTTGCTTTTGAACAAAGCTATGTGGTTCCTGCATTCCGCAACGCGTGCATACCACGCTCTGATATTGCCAGTCATCCTTCCTCAATTGGTTGCAAGGTGACGATGCACCTTTTTCTCTCTCTCTCTCCACATACATACACACGCCCCTCCTTGATCCAGCTCCACATCAAGTAAACTACAACACGGACAACAATCAACTATAGGTACTTCACTCATATCTATTTTTCGCGTATTTTTTGAGGGCATCATTTGTGCACTGGGTGTCGGTTAACCGGCTCAGGCAGGACTACCAAGTAGGATTGGACACTGAGAAGGCTACTATCACACGGACGTTATTACAGCGTCCGATTCCGCTTCGATGTCTCATTATGGCGAGAGTACTTTCTAACCAAATAGCACTCGCCTCAGATGCCCTTAAGTGCAGGGCGCAATAGCCTTAAATTTATGCGTCGTAGGTTGGGCTGTCTACGAGTCTGGACCTCATGCTTATAGCATAAATTGGTAGACCAATAGCAGCAGGATAGAGCGCATCTCGATAGAATTGGCGCTAAAGATGAGAACGAAGATGTTACACTGGAGTTGCTGCGCCTGGGCTGATAAACATATCTGCAGGATCGCCTGTGCGCAACGACCAACACCATGCTGTATTACATATAAACATCAAATTCCAGATGCTGCGCTTTAATCGTGAACCCCTACAAAAAAATACTCCGATTAATTAACTCAGGAAAAAAAAAAAAAAAAAAAGTAACAGTAACAGTAACAGTAACAGTACGAACATCAATGGTATATGCTGCTGGGCATTCCGTTGGGAATGACCGCTCTCATGTTCCGTGGATGGTTCGGATTGTTGGGTCGTGCAGCTGAAGAATTTGCCACCATGTTAGAATTCGACAAAAGTGGCGACGGTGGGTGAGGCGAGGCCCTGTCATTGAGGGACATGGGGGTCAGCATCGACGCCGGCGTCATCATAGGCGATCCGCGAATAGTCGATCCACCTCCGGAGCTACCTGAATAATGCTGTGGATTCCCATCGTAACCCACATATGTCGGGTAAGTCGAACCATACTCACGTCCATAAGGTGCAGATGGTGGTAGATGTTGCTGGTGACTATGTCCCGGATCTAGATACTGGCTCGGTGGTGGCGGTGACGTTTGAATACCGAGGTTATATCTGAAAGCCTGGACGATCTCTTCCAGACTCTGTTGCCGTGCATTCGGATCTTCACTCCATGCCTGCGTGTAGATGTTATAGTACCAATCGGGCGTTCCGTCTACCCTCTCCTCGCGTGCTCCAGGACTGTATGTCGAAAGATCCTTGAATGGGTAGCGGCCTGCCATGATGTACCAGTAAATGACGCCGAGGGCATAAATATCACATCGGACATCATACCGTGGTCGGTTCTTAGGCATGCGTTCTGGAGCCATGAACTGCAAGACACCTCCGAGCTGCTGACTCGAGAACGCGTTCATGTTGCCTCGAATCCGCCTCAGTCCAAAATCCGTAAGTTTCGCCAAATACCGTGGACCTGACTGCTGTGGTCCGCAATCTCTTCGGATATCGATCAAGACGTTTTTGGGGTGGAGATCGCCATGATGAAAGCCGCATTTGAAGAGATGGTCGAGTCCAAGGGCAATGTCGAGGGCGAGGTACATTTTGTCGGTCAAATTAGGTGCTTCGGGGAGATGTTTTGGCTGCTCCATTAGTTTGACGAGGTCGCCGTGTTCGTAGTACTGCATAATCATGAAGCGCTCACCATTGCGCTCGTCGCCGCAGTTCCTGACAGCGACACCGTAGAACTGTACAATGTTATCATGTTGGCGGCACTGGCTCATCACCTCGACCTTTCATGCCGCATGGAAGCAAATTAAAAAAAAAAGGGCAATGTTATCAATGCTACACTTTCTCTTTGTATCTGTCAGCAATGAACAAAGAAGCACAAAATGTCGAACAAACAGTACCTCTTTGTCAAAGAGCTTTGCGGTTTTGGCGGGTGTGTGCTTGGTATCGATGAGGCTCTTCAGGATAACGAACGTCTCATGGAGAGGCCAGTATGCTCGTCGGATCTCGCCGTTGCCTCCTTTGGCGATCAGTTGCCGCTGCTTGAACTCTTGTAGATAATCATAAAGTGCCACAGGGGGGGTTCCCGTGGGTACGATCATGTTGAGCACAGACGTCAGAAAGAAATCCCCGTCGCCTGATGCTGGGCTGTTGTCTGCGCTCGGTGGTGAGATCGAGGGCGAGGGCGAGGGCGGGGCCAGGCTAGGACTATGGGACTGGCGGATCCTTGAGGCGGTTGAGTTGCCATCTGAGAAGGCCAGACTGGGCATCTCTGTCTCGATAGAGCGTGCAGACGAGGGCGTCATGGGATGGTGCTCCATAGTGTTCTGCTGCATGGATTGGGGTGGGTAAGATTGCTGATGCTGCTGGTGCTGGTAGGGTGGTTGTGGCTGGTACTGAAGGTGGGGATCGTGTCCGTAGTTCTGGTGCTGTTGCTGTTGCTGTTGCTGGTATTGGTAATGCTGATATGTTTGCTGGGGAGAATGCTGTTGTTGATTCTGTAGCTGTTGTTGATTCTGTAGCTGTTGTTGCTGTTGTTGCTGTTGTTGCTGTTGTTGATAGTGTTGCTGTTGTTGAAGATTCTGCAATCGAGACATGGAGACTGAGGGATATGATTGTTGTTGTTGCTGATATGGATGATGATCATGCTGTTCCTGTTCCTGCTGAAGTTCTTGTTGGAGCTGTTGCTGGTACAAACGCTGCCTCTCGAGCTGACCGACATCGGCTTGGAGACCATAGTTCCGGATCCTTGAGCGATGGGCCTCGAGGGGTCGCGAGTCGAGGTCCATGATGTCAGACCTTGTGGACATGGCGGAGTGGGTGAGACCGGGTGCGATGTCTGTGGTTGTTGTGTTGGTGTTGTACTGGGCTGGATTGTAAGGGTGGTGCCCCGAGGGAGAGGGATACATGGTGTCTAGAGGATGAGGATGCCAGCGGGGGATGATGACAGAGAAGGGTGCAGGAAAGACAGAGATGGAAGGAGCGTGAAGGATGCGGGGAAAGAAGTAAAGCGAGCCGCATGGTTGGCTGGTTGGATACTTGACTTGGGTTGGTTCGCTTTACTTATTTTATTCTCTTCTCTTCACACAAGGCCGGTCAAAGCGCGGTACGGTTCAACGCTACAATGGAAGATATCTGCGGTCAATGGACTGTTGAAGCAGGATGGCAGGGCTCCCAGCGGAATGTTTGTGTTGTAGTTGGTCAATGGGGATGAACCTAATGAGCTGTGGAAAAGGATGGGACACATGCATCTGTGTGCAACCACCGACAGTCGTTCGTGGTGAGCTGTACTCTCACCAACTCAGTTCCTGTGTCGCGTCTGTCTTTTGTCTGCGGGAAAGAAGAGTCATTTTCTAATCAAGAGAATACGAAGGGCATCAGTGCCAGGTTGGTTGCGCAAGGGTGTGAGGGAGTAAGCTTATCTGAAACCTATTCAATTATTGGCGCACACATGGATGGTCTGTGGTTCTCATCTCGTGATAATCCCAATGCGCAAAATGAAAATTGTGCGAGCAAACCGCTTCCTCCTTTACGTTGAACAGCTTATACCTTTATCGATCCGCTCCACTTCATTGTCCATGGAGTTCATTCGATCCTTCTTCAGGACCACCAAGGTCTTCTTTACCATCTGCTTCTTTTACCTCAAACTCATCTTCATCTACCTCTCCAGGGTAAAACTGCCTTCTCCAGCTGATCAGTTCTTTTGCAGCTCCCTTCCTGAAAACATACCCGCGTACTTATATAGGTATTCTCACTCCATTGTTGCTGTGATTCTATTACCAATTTGAATCCCATATTAGTGGTATGAGCCTTCCCTACGGACCAAGGGGAGCTACAACCATGCGATTGTGGTCATTGGCAAGCTTATCCTGTCATCTTATCGCTGGTGATCCGGATCTCAAGGGAAAAGCTTATCTAACATGTCACACTTTCTATAGGAGACGACCATGCGCTAGGCGTAGGCGATTACAGCACTATCACTGCTGGCTCAGGTGCGCAATGCAATGTGTAGGCGTTGTAGAGGTATCAGTCCATCAAAGAGCTCATCAGCCGACGGTTATTCACGACTGTATTTTTTTCCAACGGATTGCATAGGTATCGCTCACAAGCTGTCCAAAGAATTGGCCAAGGAAGTCTCTATTCGTCAATCATGGCAGATATTCAACCGTGGAGAATACAAGACCTCCACTGAAGATTGGCTTCTTCCTGCGGATTCTGTACGGCAACCAAGATCGGCACTTGTGATGTTGTATTCTTGCCGACAGTGCATCCTAGGCAATGTACTTATTGTCATGCTGACTTTGTTTTTATCATTAGAAACGATTGGAGAAACCAGAGCTGTTGGCACGACTTCTTCAGGATCCCAAATACCTACGAGCCGAGATTGTCATTATCATGCTCGGATCCTATGATGTATTGTAAGTCACTGCCGCAACCCTTCAGGAGCTTGCAAACATTGTGTGCGGATGAAATTACTACACCGCATACTGACAATAGTTACCGCGATATTTTTTTCTAATAGACAAAGAAACCCATCATTGACGCCTCAGGACACACTCCGTAACTTGGAGTTGATTTGCCAGGCATTGAAGCGTACGGGAAAGGAAGGGAAGTCGATTTATCTATGCACCATTCCCACTGCAGGAGATGATATCTATTTGACAGAGCAACAGAGGGTGGATAAACTCGCGAGGAACCGTCTCATTGAAGAATATGTCAAAAAGTAAGCACCTTCAGTTCTTTGCCAAAGCTACGCATTCGAAAACGTAGACGGATTCCTAACCTTACACTATCTCTTTTAACTCATCCAGAAATGACGATGGTGTGCTTCCAGGACTCCAGATCGATTTGGCGAGCAATTTTGAGATGAAGCGCAAGAATCTGTATTGGCAGAATGGTCGCCACTTTAGTGAGATTGGATACACCAAGATGGCCAAGGATTGGGTGCCTGTGATCCGACCAGACATGGTCAAGAGAGAATTTGCTCTCTTCCGATCGGATCTTGGCCTTTGAGCGCTGCCTCGGGGTTCTTACAAGGTTGACGAAGAAATCTCCCTTATCGTTTCTCCACTCACTTCACATCGAGCCAATAAAGCATTCATCAATCCATGCATCATGTTTGTTATTGTCATGTTAGTGTGGATCGAGGCCAAAGGACAATTTTATTAAGACGAAGGAAACTACTTTCCAGCGTTGTTCAGCTTCTTGACCTTGTACGGCTTGGCGCGCTCTTTTCGCGTGAGTGCCTCCGGATCATAGGGCCCGCGAGCAGGCTTTGGTTCTCTAACAATTTCAACATTGCGATCTTTCCACTGGCTCTTTCTCAGTTTTATAGGTCGGTTTCCAACGTATTTACCTATCATCACAGTCGCAATAGAAAAGCTGGGGTGTTAAAACCTGACTTCGATTGAATAAGCGCTTCCTTGTTAAGTAGAGGAAAAAAAAAATCTTACCATTCATTTCTTTCCATGCACGAGCAAAGTCGTCAGGCTCGGCGAAACTTATGAAGCCGTATCCTTTTGTCTTTTGGGTTCTCTTGTCGCGGACTACCTTAGCCTTCAAAAAAGTCGGGTACTTGGAAAAGGTCTTTGTCAGCAGCTCATCAGTCACTTCGTTGCCCAAGTCTCCTGCAAACAATCGAAAGTCATCTAACATCATGGAAAGAAGCAAGCATTGCGTTAGATAATCCATAACAGCCATCAACTTCTATCATTCCCAATATCAACCCGAACAAACAACGATGACAGACTGGTTCGTACTTTCATCAAATTCCAGCAGAGATGAATCTTCCCAGACCTGTCCTGCTGCCTTCCGAACCACTGTCGCCGCCGCCTTCGCCTTCGCTGCTTTATCTTCCTCCTCTGCCTTCGCAGCCGCGGCTGCAGCCTCTTCTTGCGCCTTTTTCGGATCTGTAAAGATTCTGTTCAGGTCTTCATATTCATTGCTGTACCCTCCATACGGATTCGCTGATTTTGGGCCGCTCTGATAATAGCCAGAATTAGGACCACGATGTCCTGACGTATAAGGAGTCCTTGCTGGTACTGATGGTATTGAAGGCGCGGCGGCTGGCCCAACAGGGTACTGTTGTTGGTATTGAGCATAATTGGGATCAATGATAGGTGCTGCCGCTACTGTCGGTGTGGCGGCATAGGAAGGGTCCATCACATAGCCCAGCGACTCCCAGTAGGCGATCTCTTCGGGGGTGTATTGCGGCACTCCTGCGCCTGGTGCACTGTGTGTATATGACATCTTTGTGTGTAGTCCTGTCACTCGCTGGCAAACGGAAAGGGCGCTAAAAACTCCGGGTATAGCTTCGCTCCTGTGCTTCGCAAACTGATGTAGAAGAAGCGATCTGATCCAATCCTTGAGCTGATAAACGACGAATGAGTGAAGGCGAAGTGGATGTGAGGATGTGTAAGTGATTCGTCCTTTGGGCTCGAGGAAAATGTGTAAAGCCCTTAAGAATCCACTCCCTGTTTTGGTGGCAACAGAAACCTGCTCCACAGCGGAGATAAAAAAACCGCGCGGTATCCATCGCAGCACTGTACATTGATAAGACGATTGTAGGCGCAGCACTTCACACAGCAAAGCAACTGATGAAAGAGCATCCAGCATCCACTGTGGTCCTGTTATCTTTTATTGGATACCATGAATAGCCTAGTCCTCCAGGTCTTCATTGTCAGAGTCGCCTTCATCCTGCTGATACTGGAACCGATCCCACAAGACACTTTCCAGTTTGCGAGCGAGCTCCTGTCCGAAGAATTCTTCAAATCCTGGACTGACTGCCATCAGAAGTGCTTCAATAGTCTCGTAGACCATCCCTAAGCTGGCTTCTTGTTGCCGTGCAGATAATGGTTGTTCAATCGGGGTTGAGGATCCTGATGATAATGCGGTGTCAGCCTCGGATCTGTTCTCAGTCCTCAATTGGGGTGAAGAAAGTGGTGTCGACACTGGTGCTGCTGCTGTGGAGAGGGTAACAACCCGGAAACCCTGTCCGTTCAATGCGATCTCTACGATATAGTGTTCCAGAGTGACAACCGTAAAGTGGACCGTGAGCGCATCGCTTTTGTCGGCTTCGGTGGCAACCTTTAAGGGGAATGAGGCAGAGTCCAGGCCTTGGACATAATGAGTGAGGTCAGGGATCATGTCCGCCATGGTTGAAGGCTGAGGCACAAACGGCTGCGAGTGGCAAAGCAGATCCACCTGATGCCAGCAGCACAGCACAAGAAGGCGATGCGGAAAGAAGGCGAAAACCTGTCACCTGATAAATACCAGTCAGAACTGTTGATCAAAAAAGAACCGGACTTTCTACTTTCTCCAACTTCGTCCTCATTCCTCAATCACCAACGACACATCAACAGGACAAGACTCTTAGAGGGACCAGACAGCATTCAGGAAGTCCATATCAAAATCACAGCACCAGACTGACGTTCCCTTCGCGACATTCACCATGATCAAGGCGCCGACCCAGGATATGGAGGTATTGGTGCATTGCAGAAATAAACAACGGACTGAGGATTATTACGCGGTGGACTCAACTTTTTTTTTTTTTTTTTTTTTTTTTTTGTATACCTTAGGTCCAGCACCCTCCAGCCGATGGTATCTCCGAAATCCAGTTCTCGCCGCAGGCAGACTTTCTGGCAGCATCTTCCTGGGACAACAATGTAAGAGCATACTAGAAAGTGTCTACATGTGCAATTGAGTTGCCGACTTCACTTTTGATTTTTAGCAGTATCTCATGTACTCTGTTTGTTGTTCGCCCATCGATAATTAGGTCCGCATCTATGAGATTCAGTCCAACGGAGGCAGTATTGCCAAAGCAATGTACTCGCACGGCGCACCGGCTTTGTGCTGTGCATGGAGTAAGGTAAGCGAAGAAACTAGATTTGAAATTAAACAAATTTGTTGCATCTGAAAGCACCATGGCCGTAGTGATTAATCCCTCCTCCTCCTCCTCCTCCTCCTCCTCCTCCTCCAAATCAATTTTTTCAACCTTCATCTTAGGATGGAACAAAACTTGCATCAGGTGGCGCAGACAAGGTCGGCAAACTCTTTGATATATCCACAGGACAATCAACACAAGTCGCACAACATGACGCCCCGATCCGTGAGATCCGTTGGGTCGACGGTCCGAACCCGATCCTCGCAACGGGCAGTTGGGACAAGACCATCAAATACTGGGATACTCGCCAACCAACACCAATCTCGACTGTCACTCTCCCTGAAAGGCTGTATACAATGGACAGCGTCTTCCCTCTCTTGGTCGCCGGAACTGCAGATCGTCATGTCATTGTATACAATCTCAACAATCCCAGTACGCCATTTAAAACCATGACGAGTCCGCTGAAATGGCAAACAAGGACGATCTCTTGCTTTGGAGATGGTACGGGATATGGCATAGGAAGTATTGAAGGACGCGTTGCCATTCAGTATGTCGAAGACAAGGACGCTTCAAAGAATTTCTCGTTCAAGTGTCATCGTGAAGGTGGCCAGACTATGCGGGACAAGGCGGATGTGTACGCCGTCAATGCTATTAACTGGCACCCGATCCATGGCACGTTCTCGACCGCTGGCGCAGATGGTGGGTTCAACTTCTGGGATAAGGATTCAAGACAGAAGCTGAAGTCGTTTCCGAAGGTTGGGTGCCCAATCTCATCGACCTGCTTCAATCGCAATGGATCAATTTTTGCTTACGCCATCAGCTATGACTGGAGCAAGGTAGGCAACAGCGGTTTTTGTTTCTTGGAATGCAATATTGTCAAGTGGTTGCTTGTGTCTTTTTACTCATCTGGATCTCTCTTATAATTTCATCTGTAGGGGCATGGCGGAGTGGATCAACAGAGTCAGAATAAGATTATGCTGCATCCTGTGATAGACGAGGAGGCCAAGCCAAGGAAGCGCACATAATCCCGTGTCCCTGCTGCCCTCTCTTTACTTGAAGAATTCGATTCTTCAACTTGCACATAACAACCCCCACTCTTGCAATCTTGGCATAGTATCGCATAATAAAATCCATCTCCTTTGGCAGCCTTCCACCAATCAAAAGTACGATAATGTTTATTACAGCGGCTTTCTGGTATCATACAGATTGATTCTTAGGATGCATGTGCTGGTGGATTTGATCCGGAAGATGAATCCTTACTCGCTGGTTTAGTCTTTCGAGGATCGCCTTTGAGATGTCTCTTGGCGACGACCCAGGCCACAAGGACTGCAGTGAATGGAGGAAAGTAGGCGAGAACTGTCCAGAAGGGGTTGGGTTTGATCGCTGCCATGACATTGAGGGTCGATAGCTTCAGAGAGTTTAGGTCCGAGGTGTTGTTGATGACATGATCTGCATAGGCGACTTTTTCGATCAAAGGTTTCTGAGCGTTGATACGGGCGAGAGCGTCTTCTTCTGAGAGTCCATCGCGGGATTGGATCCTTGCCAGCTGCATCTCGGGTGAACTGTCCAGGAAGCGAATCGCAAAGAACAAAGATAGTCAATATGTTAATCAAAATGCTACCTACTGTATCACGGTCGAAAATAAGGACGAAGAAAAAGAAGAGGAGCCTACCAGTAGACGACAATGACATCACTAACAATCCTCCAGAGCTCTCCCTCCAGCAATAGCGGGACATCAATTACGACCAACGAAGTGCCTTTGATCCAGTACTTGAACAACCTCTTTAAAATCTCATCCCTCACAGCTGGATGAATAATCGAGTTCGCAACCCGTCTCTGCGCTGCATCCGGAAAGATGATCGTCCCAAACTTATACCGGTCCAATGGCTGTCCCATTTCCTGGTTCTGAAGGATTCCTGTGCCAAAGTGGGCAACAAGCTTCTTGTAGGCCGGGTGTGTTGGCTCGACCACAATTCGGGCCAGTTTGTCGCAGTCAATGACCGGGACACCGAGCGTCAGGATCGTAGAAACGACCGTGGATTTGCCTGTTGTTCAAATATGGCAGAGTCGGGGGGTTAGGTTCCTGAGGAGTCTTCATTGCATTCAGTGAGCGGAACACTTGAAGAATGACACATGCCTGAAGCGATTCCTCCTGTAAGACCGACGACTTTCATCCTTGGGTAATGAGGGCAGGGGGTTTGTGATGAGTGAAAGTTCGGAACGGAAGGTGTGCATGGCACTTTGCCCAATTGGCCACTCTTTCGGTTCTGAGCCCAATCATGTGAGAGTAGATTTAGACGCTGGAATGGGACGCGTTAAATGCATTTTTTATTGTTTTTTTTTTTATTGTTCGTTCGTCGAAGGAAATCCCGATTGTGCAAAGAAAGTTCTTCAAAATCGTAAACAAAAATTCGCGCAAAAAGACTAAAGCGAAAGCACGTCGCGCACGGGCTTGAGAAGGATCGACAAATATAACCATTGCTCAGTGCGCCTCCTGGCCAGGGCCAAAGTCCTGGCGGTACCGCTTGAAAAAGTCCTTGGCGTTATTGCCTCGGATACCTGCCACCTTCTCCAGGTCCCCCGACTGGAATGTCGCACGCCCCTCGTTGATATAGTCCAATAAGTCCAGGATCAACTCCACTTCGTCGTCGTTAGGCGGAAGAAGATTCGGAGGATGATGCATGGGTGGCTCCTTGCCGGGTTCGTCTGGTTGCTTCGGTTCCTTGCCGGGCTCTTTATTAGGCTCGTCTGGTCCTTGTGGGCAATCAAGGCACTTAGGATCCTTATGGCCCGAGGTCAACTCGCCATCCATGGACAAGATCTCGTCTTCACCGTCGTCATCTTTTTCAGCCTCCTCCCACTCTTCCTCCGTAGTTTGTTTCTTGTCCAAAAGAGACGCGATTGTCGAGATATTTTTAGACGAGGCAATGCCAGAGGCGGTAGGTTCGGCATGCCGACTTCCAAACGCGGCCTCAGTTGCCTTTAAGAAGAGTCGGATGGCTCCACGAACGCCTAAAATGTTGCCGAGTCCATAGTGACGCGCGGTCTCCAGAGGCTCATGTTTGTCTCGGTTCCGGAGGTTGCGAAGGTAGGTCCGAAGCTCGTCTCTGGTCATCGTCTTGAAATTGATAAGCTTCGGTGGCTCCTCCTCCTAGGGAGGGCCATATTAAAAATTTCAAGACCGTGTATCAGTTACCAACTTTTCCAATAGAGAGAGGCGAGCAGTATTTTATCGATGACGCTCCTACCTTGCGCGTAGCACCATCTGCATTGGCTCCACCCTTCTCTGATCTCGAGCCTAGAATAAGATTGAGCTCCTCAGCAAGTTTGGGGCCAGTGGTCGTCTCGGGCCCGGTGAGGGTGTAAATCTGACCATCGAATCTCTCCATCTCATCCAGGACCGAAGACGGAGTGTCCTCATCAACTGACCCTGAACTATCACTGCCATAGTCGGTTTCATGATCGTAATCACCTCGTTTGATGGGGAAAGCCACCGAGATCAACGCATCACCGAGATTAGTGATGTCCAAGGGTGCAAACACAGCATCAGGGCTGATAGACATGCCAAGCGATCCCTGGTCTCGAATCATAGAGATCCAATAGAACAAGGCTTGGAAGGGGAATCCTTCTCTGAGAGGAATAGTAAAGCAAACGATATAAATCGGGTTAGTATGGTGAGAGGAAGAGTTAGAGAACAAATCAAAAATAGGTTCAGTAGAGATGAAAAGGCATATGATACCTCAAGATGGTCCAGCGCTGGATGGCTCCCTTAACCTTCTCCTCAGTACGTACAAATCGATCGAGATGCTCTCTGTCTGTGGCATCGGTGCCGATACTCGAGATGAGAATGCAACGGATAACCCGCTCTTGGTCCATGATTTCGACCAGCTTATTAGCCCAGTCGACACGCTGGGGTTCGATCTCGGGGACAAGAATGACGGTCTGTACACCTCGGAGAGCGATGGTGATGGTATTGGGGTCATCGTAGGAGATACGAACGATTTTAACGTTCTTCTTCCTGTGGAGTTGACCGCAGTTCTTGGGTTCGCGAGCGAGACAGATGAGCTTCGGGGACTCGATACCGCCTTGGCTAGAGAGCTTTGCAAGGTGGTCAGCCAGCATGGAGGCAAGGACCTGTCCCTCGTAGGTATCGCATGCGGTGATAACGAGCGAGGGCTCCAGCTCTGGTGGTTGTGGAACACCGGGGTCTGACATGGGTCGCGAAAAGAAGGATGTGGGGTTCTGAAGCTGTAGGATGGATGGGAGATATGGAATGTGGATGTGTGGATGTGTGGAAATGTTAAAAAGGAAGACGAGATAGCGTAGAGTAAAGCGAAGAAGGAAAGGCTAGGAGATGAAGGATGAAGGACACGCGTCGAAGGTCCTGCGATTGATGGTCTCCCCGGCACGTGGTTTGCTCGCCTTAAAAAAAAAAAAAAAAAAAAATATCCCTAATTGCATGCAGACCGATGGTTCAGGCGGGGCAAAGCACTTTCGAGCCCTCTCCTCTCCACTCGCTCACACAGTCGCCATTATTCAGAGGACACAACACAGGCGTACACTAGGCTCACTTCTCCTTGACACCACCACCACCACCGCCACCCATTACTATTCCCGCTCACTCTCATTCTCACTCTCACTCACTCTTACTCTCACTCTCTCTCGCTCTCACTCTCGCTCGCTCGCTCTCTCTCTCCACTCCAACTCGCTCCACTCCTCCTCCTTGGTCCCTCATGTCGAATCGAAATGGGGAACCCGACTTCCAGCATTGGAGACAGCAGCAAGGCCCCTTCTCCCCTTCCACCTCTGCCTCGTCCATCTCTTCCGCATCGCCCTCGCCTCCGTCTATGCCAGAGTATGTCTTCTCCTCCAAAACCAGTCGCAAACTCTCTCTCCAGACCTATCTCGCAAACCTTCCCGAATGGTCCAGCTCCACGCGCCTGGCCTCGCTCTACTCTGAGTTCGACAAGCTCAAGGAAACCAATCCCTTCGGATACGAGGCCAACATCTCCTGGTGGCGTTCCGTCATTCTAGGTGCTGCCAGGAACGGCCTCCTTTCGTCCTACCAACCCCATGCCAACTATAACACTTCGGCCACCCATCATCACTCGACAGCACATTCGTCAACGGACTCTGGATCATCAGGAGCAGCCGCAGCTTCCAAATCCGTGTGTGAACCCACTGGCTCTGCAATTGGCGTCCTTGAACTCGACCTGGATCAGTTGGCGGCAAAGTTTCAGAAGAACGGACGAAGACCACACTCTCTTCTGGCAGTCATGAACGAGATGCACGCGTCGGGCGAGGTTATCCCTCGGTCAGACTTCTTACCCTGGGCAGGTGTTGGATGGACAGGATGGATCTTTCACAAGGTCGTCAAGGCGCCCTTGCTCTGGAGTCTCAAGCAGCTCAGCATTTCGGACTCAAGTTCATCCCCTGTATATCCGGCATCATCACCAATATTGGCATCCTCGGGATTTGGAAGTCCTGGCGGAGCGGGCTCAGGATCGAGCGGCAAGGTCGGTGTGGGAGGTAGCACAGGTGCAGGAAGTAATGGCTTAGCATTAGGAATATCTTCATCGGCTTCAGTAGCCTCGACTCACCGAGATACATACGTGATTGTCTCGTTTGTTCAGGAGGCAGCGGCAAGGATCCTGAAAATTCAACAAGAGTCAACCAGCTATCATGCATCGGATAACCTAATGACCTTTGCGGACTTTCGGCAAAAGTTCTCCAGGACAGCACTTTTGCCTATTCGGGGAAAGCTAACGAGCGATGCGACAACTGGAGCAGGATCGGTCATCATTTTGACAGACAGGGATCTGGAGATCGTGATGCGCTACATGCAATACGAGCTAAAGGTCCTGGTCACCGGCAAGCTAGATGCCAACAAGCAGGGCAACGAGGTTCAGGACCACGAAATGGTACTACAGAGCGCCATCCCTCACCGCGTGACCATCATGGCAGAGGGGCCGTGCTTCTATTTCCACTAAGCATGTGCTCATTATGTATCGTGCATTTGTGCATCTTGCTATCTCTTAGGTTGTCAAGTTTGCAAACAAGGACGTGATCCGGGACAAGTCGAAGCAGGAAGTCACAACACCGGACAGAGGGATCATAGAACTTCGACAGACCTGCAAGCGACTTGACAATCAGGTTCAGGACATTGAGGAGCGCATTTCGCAGTACGTGACGTCTCTCATGCTGGATCGAATCACTTAGCTATGCGGAGCAAATTTCTGTTGCCATACTAATCAACCGCTCGTCTTTTTCCACACCCATGTCTACTCAGGCTGACAGAAAAGGCGAGGGCATGCGTCAAGAAGAACCAGAAATCACAGGCGACCTTCGCACTCCGACAACGAAAGAATTTGGAGGATGTGTTAAACAAGCGCTTGACATCGCTGGATACCCTATCCTCGATCTTGTTCAGAATCCAATCATCCGAAACGGACGCTGAAGTCCTCCAGTCATACAAACTGGGCGCCAGTACCTTGGCCTCCGTAATGGCAACCAAGGACGAAAACGGACAGCAGATGCTCAGTAGGGACAATGTCGAGTCGGCCATGGATCGTCTTGCGGACGTATTTGCAGACCAGCAGGAGGTGGATCAGGCTATGAATGAGGGAACCGCGATTTTGTTGGAAAGCACGACGCCTGGTGGTATAGACGAGGATGACCTTATGGCTGAACTGGATGCTTTGATGGGCCAACAACATACAACTACTGCTACCCCTGCACACAAAGAAACGCCTGCTCCAGTGGAAACTGCAGCTCCAAATAAGCAACCCAGTATAGCGAGGCCGATACCCATCAAGAGGACGACACCGCCAATACCGAATGAACCCATGTCCATATCTCCAACCAACGCTAGAGAGCACAGCGCTTCCGCTCCTGGAAAGCGTGTCGCCGAGATACCCGAACAGGCCTCTGTCTATGCTAAGCAACGTAAAGTCAGCCAGACCAGTGTTCATTCGCAACGTAGGAATAGCGGAGAGACTCAGGGCCACGATGGCTCGTCCCATTCCAGTTCACGGGAGAGATTAGGCGATGCTGAGGCAGCCATGGTTACTGAGGTGCCAGAAGAAGACACGGCAAAGTTATCCAGAATGGAAACAGATCGTTCACCTAACGCCACTGCAACTGCTGTAGAGACATCCAAGCCCATCACATCAGGACCGAACGAAGACGAGGGCTTGTCGCTGGAGGAGCAGCGCGATTTGGAGGCCATGATGAGAGAGCTGGAGGAGATTAGGGCGCCAGAGGAGGACATTACCATGGAAAAGGAAGAGCCAGAGCGGACAACAGGGACTGTGGAGCACGCAAATGATGGAGCAGGTCAGGACCGTGATACAGAAGGCGTACAGGAGCGGTCCAAGGCGCGCAAGGAGACGCGCATGATGGAGCACAGCTAATAGCACAGTCTTTGTTTCTGAACTTGGTTTTATTTTTATTCATTCGTTTTCTGTAGTATAGTACTTTCATTGTCCAGTCTAATCCATCCTTATCTTCGCCCATAGTTTGCCATACATCTCCTGCAGCCGTTGTCGTTTTGTTCGCATTTACATAGGACTTGAAAAGTAATAGAGCGGTATCCTGCGCACCGCGTGAGCGCTCTGCTTTGAGAAGTCTTCTGGGCTTATTGCTACACTACCTGAGTTACTGTGAGAAGGTGTCAGTCGACCATCTGCGACCTCGTTGTAGTCCCCATCGGCATTTTTTGCGGCCGGTCTGTTTGATTATAAAAGCCCAGAAGTAGCTCCAAGAGAGAAGTGAGTGTAAGCCGCAATCCTCTTGTCAAAAATACAAAAGGAGTATGAATGGATAATGAAAAAAACTTGCCTCAGCTTACGATATTATGTACCGCGAATGGCTCGTTATAAAACTGACGAGTCTATCCTTGATCGCCGGCGGAGTATTCAAGGGATATACTTGTAGAGAGATGACCGCTCTAATATCTGGGTCATTCGTCCACGCTCCTAATAAAGAATAAGCAGGCCAGTTAGAGCAATAGATACTGCATGTTTTTTTTTTTTTTTTTTTGTTCGAGTAAACTAAGGATTTTTACCACGAATATTCAAACGTGAGTATCTTTGAGAGGTCCACGCCTCTCCTTGATCCTTCTTGATGTACCTTAGTGCAGCCTCCTCGCATATGGTGAGGTTATTTGATAGTGAAATAGATGGGAGTCGCTCCCCACATCGTGGAGCTGACGGTGCTATGGAGGACATGCAGTTGGAAGGAGGAGTGCGGAGAACGGGAAGCAAAAGATAGTAAAAGGTAGGACAGCCCCCTCCATGATAGCCGTTGGCCCATGGAACATCAACAGTGCAGAGCCCTACCACACGTCCCTGTCGTTTTTATTTGCTGGGTACTCTAACCTGACCAAAGGATCTTCCGATACCAGATCAGTCGAGGGAAAGTGTTTATTCCCTACGCTTCTGCACTTTCCTTTGCTAATCCTAGGTGCTGGCAGCTCTTATATCTTCCTCTCAGACTGATAAGGCTTTATACAGAACTAGCCAGCGCCAACAATTCATTATGTTACTATGGCCGGTAGACGCCGACAATCCCTTCAACTCGCCTTTACTAGCCTTGGCTGCTACCACTGTGAATACAAAGAATGCCGAACTACACCCTTTTGAAGCAGTGCATGCTGGCTGATTAAATTGTACTCCTTCCAAGAAACAGAATACTAATCGAGTCGTATTGCTATACACTAGAAAGAGGATGATTATTTCAATATATCGCGATTCAGTGCTTTCAAGTCAGTTTAAAGCTGTCGACAGGGCAGGAAGTTACGGCCGCTTTAGTAGACAAAGCTAGGAGCGAATAAAGATTTTTATTGTGCATTCTGCTGCTCAACTACGCCGGCACAGTTTCGACCTCAGTCCGCATGATCTTATTCCTGACAACTGCACGACGCTTGTTTGCCTTGCGGAGTCTCACATTCCTACGACATTTCAGGTACAGGAATATACCCACCAGTCCCAATATAATCACCCCACCTGAAAGAAAACAAAAAAAAAGTATCGCGTTCTAGTTAGCTGAAGCCGCCCTCGCACACATCTAAACCAAACAAATAAAAGGAAACCAAAAATGAGGCAACTTACCAATGGTAGACACCTTAATGATCTCTTGTAAGGCCACAGTATTATCGGGATCCTGATACGGACAGATACCATGCACGCCTCCTGGAACCCAGCACCCGGCAGTCTGCCAACTTGAGATATCAATCCAAATCATTCCTCCGTCGGGGGCGCCCGCAATCGGTGTCGAAGGCGGTGATAACTCCATCGCCTGCCTCATATCCAATGACGATTCCTTATTATCGCCGTCATCACTGCTCGCAGCCTTGTTTCCCCTTCGGGGCATGGATGTCAAAGACGATCCAAATGATGGTGACCATCCTTTGCGGTCCTCCTCTCCTTTCCCTTCATTATCGTCGCTACCATCATCTCCGTAGTGATCTCGCTTCTGATGCTTCCCGGCCGCGGCCAGTTTATCCAGCAGTGTTCGAAATGGATTAATGCCTCGTGCGAGTTTGTCTTCTTTTTGCGCACGTTTCTGCCGACTCATCGGTGACGCGTAGGATGAGGACGCCGTTTCGTTCCAGTAAGTCAATAACGTGCTATACAGCAGCTGGTTCTCGCGTGCAGTCCGCGGCACATCAAACATGTAACCGTCCGGGCACCATAAATCCCGATAGTTCCCCGCGCCCCGGTCAAATATGATCCACTATCGATGATGGTAAAGAAGAAGCAAAGAGATGAATACCGATTTTTCATTAGTAATATTGTCAGTCAAGAAACAGCTTGCGAATAATTTGATCCGCACTAACTTTGCTGGAGGAATTGATTTGGCGACAAGCGACGGGGAGTTTCAGGTTGCAATTTTGTACGATCCAGCGGCCATTGCTCTGCATGGCACCACAGCGTTGATCACGACTTCGCTTCTTACTGCTCGGTGGCTGATCCAGATCCCACGACCATATAGTCATTCCTGCGTGTTCTGCAAACGACAGTACTGGTGTGCGACCTTCGACCAGCGCCGAGAACCCACAATTGGTCTACAAAATAAATAAGAAGCGGTATGAAAATCGATTTTTTTTTTTTTTTTTTTTTTCATAGTCTCTTCAAATTCCCAAGACAACAAAGACACCTACAGCAAGTTGTCCAGACGTAAAAGACCAGGGCAAGAGATCACCGTCAGACACGCTGGAAAAGGACCAGGTCACATTCATGGTAATCGGACCGCTACTGTTCCTCCCGTCCGTTATCCTCGTAGTATTCTCCTCGGACCCCGTCCGCGTCATCATCACTCCTGGTACAGGATAATCGCATTGGTCTGATGCGAACGCAGACGAAATCCTTAGCAGACTGCTGTTCGTCATCGATGGCCCCAGAATACCCGGCTCGTACAACGTCGTGAAATCATCCGTGATGTTGTAGCTCGTGTTAGTCTGCAGATTGTTGGCGCCAATACCGATGACAATCCTCCGCTTGATGACCTCTGTGAGATATGAACTCGTCGGCCACCCTGTCGGCGCCTGTATCTTTCCAGTAGCAGGGTCCGTTGTGGTATTGTAGTAGTCGAGACCCACACGACTATCACTCCACCAAGTCGACCGTAAATCCATGCGGTCCGTCTGGAGCTGAGCAGGACTGTAGATCAACGAAGGGAATGCGTCCATAAACAATTCCCTGAGAGAAATCATGTTGGGAAGTAAAGCCTTGATGGTCTTATTGGTGTTGGGCGAGACGAGTGCTTTAAAGAAATCTTCATCGCTGACCGGAATGATTGTAGTATTTGTGCCGTTGATCGGCGGTGTTGGGGTCGGTGAGCCAGATGGCAGACGAGATCCCAGGCTGTTGTTTCCGAGCTGGTTGAGGTTGAGAACGATCAACAGGACATCTTCAAGTTCGCTTTCGGTCGTTTGCTGAATCCAGCTTTGAAGTGCTTGCAAAAGCATCACGACATCCTCGCCTGTGGAACAAGTAATCCCGTCCACCGTTTTGTCTATCGCATTTGATTGGTTGTAAGAAGAAACCAAGCCCTTGCTCATCGCCAGTCGATGCAGCCTCCCACGCTGCTCCAGAGACGACTTGAGCTCGATCCTGCTATCTTGTTCGACTCCAGATGCTGTCTTGTTATCCTCCTTGGCACGTGGTGCCTGAATCGCACCCAGACCCTTGGGTTTGATTGCCGGACGCTGATGCGGCTTCTTTTTCCGGTACCATTCACGAGCATTCTGACGAGTCCTTTGTCGGGGTGGGTTGCCACCCTGTGGTTCCTTGGTGTCGCTTCCTTTGTTTTTTTCTGGTCGTGTTGACGGATGTTCAGTCTTGGCCTTGATCGATTGGCTATCGTGGTGAGCCGATCTTAAATGACGGTCGCGTGTCTTCCCAAAACCTGTTTCCTCCGTATTCGCAGCTGCTCTCTTTTCCAGGTATTCGTCCGCTTGAGTGTCTATGGGATTCAAATGTCGTTTCTGTTCATGGTTTGGTTTCTGATCGAAAGGCGTTGTAGTTGAAGTTGAGGACTGCGTTGACAATAATGATGTTGGTAATGCTGGCGATACTGGTAATGCTGGTGTCTGTACCGCATCCAGATCCAGATCAGCATCCAGATCTAGTAAAGGGCGCCTCGACACTTCTTCCTCAACAGCCTGATGGCTCCCCATCCTCTGCAACTGTTCAGAAACCCCTCCATTCTCCCGCCCCTGCTCAAGGGCTGCCCTCAACGCCGAAAGCTGGGTCCCATCTCTCTTGATCCTCGGACACAACTGCCACCCCAGATCTGTGTCATCCCACCACAAGTCAATCACCAACCTCCTCATCCCCGCCTGCAGCAACTCGGGGATCTTTGCAATCTTATCCCCACCAAAGTTGTTTCCGAAATACGCGGTTCGGGTATCGACACCGACCCAGGATTGTCGATCGAGGGGGATTATGGGCGCAGCAATGAGCCGCTGTGTGGCCAGGGCTCCGTCGACGTATTGGCGTGCGTCTATGAGGCTGCCGAGGGGCGTAGATTGTGTGAAGGCATAGTCGGAACCTGTCAGGGGGGGAAAGTCCTCAGGGGAGGGAGCATCTACTCGTTGGTTGGAGACGAGGTTGTATGCCGCAGCATCGCAGGAGTGGATTAAGGAGGAAACAGAGAACAAGGAGGAGGAGAAAGAGGGTAGAGAGAGGAAGCAATTGAAGCTTAGGAGGATGAAGAAGACGAGTAGAAAGGGTGGACTTGTCCGTGGTGCACGGACAGGGACAGGGGCCGGGGCAGGGCCGCGAGTAGCTGAGGGATTGGCAACAAAGGGGGAAGTGCGAATTAAGTCGTCTTTAGTATTACTCCGTCTCGCCCTTGTCCTCGTCCTGAGATCTGGTGGTGACCGTTGCGGGCGTATATACTGGGGAGCAACTAGGGCGGCGTACGAGTCCATTGGGAGGGTGTTGTGCGTTAGAGTATGCAGAAGAGAGGAGGGAGGGATGAGGGAGACTTAGTCGAGGACAACGGCGGCGGCCATGTTTCTCCTCCTGGATGCCTGGAGCGGAAGGGTTACAAGGGAGTGTTACGAAAGATCGGTTCTATGGAGACAGTAGAAGCGAGGGATGAGGAATTGAATGGGGATGAAGGAAAGGATCGGCCGAGAGGCTGCTGCTGAGATCTCGTAGTGCGGAGAGTGGGCTCAAGCCGTGGGATGAGCTAGCGATGCAAAAGCGAGAAGCTCGAAAAGAAAGCGGACGAGAGAAAAGAACGTGCGAGAGTGAGGCCAAAAAGGGAAGCGGACAATCACCATGGGGACATGAATGACGAGCGATGTATGAACAGTGTGGATTCTGTGGATGGAATTATGTGAATTATTATCTGTGAACTATTATGTGAATTATTATGTGAATTACATGTGAAACGAGGGTCTTTCTTTAGTCCGGCGGGTGAGTGTGCGTCAAGTGCCATACACGGCTGTTTCTTCAGGAAGAAAGTAAGGTGATCGACGCTCTGCAGTACCGAGCAGCGGACTACCCGTATCCGCGTCCGCATCCGCATCTGCAGCCGCATCCGATCCAAAATGACCTTCGCTAGCCATCTTCCACCGCTATTATCGTCGTCATCTTCAACAGCGAGCATGAATCCTCCACACACATGCTCTGCTCATAAATCAGTCTCAGTCTGCCCCGACCCAATGTCAAAGACGCACATCCCACGCCAAAGTTGGTCTTTTCCTAGACTAGGACTCGTCTTTGGGCCCATCCAGGGACATACCCACAAATCACGCGCAATTGAACGCGTTCGGCCCCACTGGAATGGACTCCTAGGATACCATGCTCGAAAATATAATGGCTATGGACGCGTTCATAATCTGTGTAGATCAATCTAGTATACAAACTCTACTGCCCTCTACTCAAACAGGCACATTTACAACGAACCCGCTTCGCCATCTCCTATACGATCCCGTCGTCTGGGTTCATCACCCGTAACCGAGGATGCTCAGGATCTTCCAGCCCCCGGAAACTCGCCAAACTACCCGAATGCACCTGTTTATGTCCATATCCTCCTCCTTCTGTTCCTCCTTCTTCCCTCCTTCCTGCTGCTATCAAATTCTCGTCCCCATCCGCATGCACCTCCTTCATCCGCCCCTCACCACCGCCTTCTCCACCACCACACAAATTCGTAACCCCACTACCGTGGTGGTTTAACGACTCGACCATACTTCTCAACAATCCGCGGCTCCACCTCCGCCCCTGGCTTCCATTCGCCTGTTCCGGCACAGGTCCTACCTCCTCACGCCCATTCTCACCTTTCCTCATCATCCCCAGCTTCGCATCCCTCTCCTCCAAATACGCAACCGACCCTGCAGCTCCTTGCTGCTGCTGTCGGATCGATTGCACATACGGCATCGATAACCTCCGAAACTGCTTCCCTAAACTCCCCGACAACAGTTTCCCTGGACTCATCCCCCTTGAAACTTGATGCTGTCTCTCCTGTTTCGAGTACGTTGCGTACTTGGAATTCGTCAACTCGATCTCACTATCAAGGCTCTCGCTATCTCCCTCATCCAAGACATGTGTCCGATACCGATGAACCACAGGCATCTCGTCGTTATCTAGCTCTGTTGAACAGCCACTCCCGAATGCGAAGCTTTGTGGCCGTCTGTATTCGGGTACTTCGACGGGGGGACACCGTGAGATGTTCGCTGATACGGGCGCAGAATGCGTCGTCGTCGTAGTTGTTTTCGGAACATGGATCAAATGTTCATGTGTCGCTGCTACAGGTGGCCCCACCAATACGTCGGCCTCCAAGTTTGTTCGACACTGCGTCTGCGGATCCAAATACGGATGCGACCAAGCCTGGGCCTGAACATGAGAACGCTGGTTCGAGTACGAGGCATACGCGAGCCCATCCCGAAACGGATCGTCATACTGGTCATACCCCACTTGCTCAAATGGAGATATCGGGCTAGACGTACACGCCTGTCGATAGCCTAGCTGTTGTTGTTGTTGTTGTTGCAGCGAGAATGACACTCTCCTGTGCGCAGGATGACGTTGATATAAAGAAGGATGCTGGTGTAGATGTTTTCTTGCTTGCACAGCAGCCTCCACAGGCTCAAAATTCGATCGACGTCGCTGGACCCTCCCTTTACTATCAGAGCACATTAGAGCGCCCGATCTTTCTGCCTTCGGCGCAAACGCATGCGCAAGCGAAGCAATCGTTGTCGCCGCTGAAGCTGGAGAACACACCTCTGCCAAATATGCACGTTCGCTCCCCTTCTCGCCCTCGTTCTGATTGTAATACCCATCATATCGATCCACATGGAACATGGACTCGTTACACTCCTGCCCCTGATGCATATATTTCACTGGACTCTGAGCTTCCTGACTATACCTCCGGCCATGAGCTCCAAACCTATGCGACTCTCGTACTACCGCAGCAGGGATCAACACAGAATTCTGAAGCGCTCTCGTGTAGGCCTCGCTTGCCAGTACAGAAGCGTGTTGCATTTCTGCAATAGTCCTAATCTGTTGCTGGCCCATCAAATCACTCTGTCCATCGCTGACGGATTCAAGGTCCTCGCGTTGGTGCGAATGATAACTCATTCGCGACATCAGAGTTTTACTGCCCGTACCGTAAAGGTCGTCGCCATTGCTGCTCTTACTATTGTGGGTTTCATGTCGTCCGCCCACTCCAAAGACCGAGTCGACCCATGCTGCTTGGACGCGTGCCCGTCTACGTTTCTTGGCCCAGTAGACAGCAAATAGGCATATGCCGAGCGCACACAATGCTGTAACCGCTGTCGAGGCCACCGGAATGCTTGATGAAGACGACTGTGTTCCTGCAAAAAAAAGAAAAAAGAAAAAAGAAAAAATGAATCAATCAGACAGGCACTCAACTGTGTAGAAACAGATGCAGAATAATATTTGGTAATATTACCCTGGCTAGGGATCGCCCTTCCAGGACTCTCGGGCTCCAAATCCTTGACATCTCCTTTGTCTCCTTTGTCTTCTTCGTCTTCTTCGTTTCCTCCATCTGCATTGCCCTCCTCATCCCCTTCTTCCTCAACGTCTTCGTCGCCATCTCCGTCGTCGCTCCAAGCTATTCTTCAAAAATATCAGCAAAGGGAAAAAAGTTAAGAGGCGGGTACAGTTCTCAATCTCCCGCCTCCTTTTCCAGTCTGCCTTCCCGGTTCATTGCTCACCATAAGAAACCAAGAAAACCCCCCCCCCCCCAGCTTCACACCGGATCCAAAAGCGGGTCGGCCCTTACTTACATTTATCTTCTTCCTCCCCACCATCTCCACCATCATCATTGTCGTTATCTTCACCATCATCTTCTTCATCAGCGTCATCCTGTCCCAGGTCCTCCTTGTTATCCACTGCTGACGCATCAGATTCAGTGGGATCTTCAGAATTGTTCCTGATCTGCAGTCGGAGCCCTACAGTTCTCTCGACCGCCGCTGCCAGTGCCGTCGTAGGTGTATTCGTAGGCGATGACCGCGGGGGCTGTACCACAGTCTCAATACTCATTTCCTTCCTGTCCTCGCGGTCGCTGCTGCTCCCACGAGTCCGTTCCGGTTTTGAATAACGGGAGGGCAGAGTGCTGGATTGTACCAAAAGCGAGCTCCCCACTAACGCCACATTAGCATATGAATCGCCCTCAGTTTCTACACCGTCCTGCTGCTTTCCTATCAAAGTGGACTTTGATCCATAGGTCTCGAATGGATAGCCAGCACAGGATTTATCACGCCTGCCGTCGTCGACTTTGTTTCCTTGGAGGAATAGTTGATTTGAACAATAACAGGTCGTGCCACCGGCGGTGATCCCATGCAAGAAGCGGTTGGATTTACAGTAGGCGCTACAGGCGTCCTGAGTCATGTAAATATCGTGATATGAGGGTGAGAGTTCTGGGAGGAGAGGGCGATGGGTGCGGGAGGGAGTGTTGTCGTGGGTCGTGGCTCTTGTTAGGTCGGAAGCGTAACATCCTAGGTTGGTTTGGGCATGTGTGGACGGGGGAAGAGCGAAGGCGAGGAGAAGAGCGAGGGTGATTGTATACGCTGTAAAAGCTTTCGTTGCTCCTGTTGTTGCGGTATCTGCGGCGGTAGTTCTTAAGGTCGTGAGCGATGGTGGTGGTGCAGAGCGCTGTTTGCTGAAGGATATTGACATGGTTGAAAAGGAAGATGTGGATGAGTAATGCATATTATGTGTTGTCGAGTTTCGAAGAAAAAGAAGTGAGATGTAGATAATGATGCGCTCGATCGTGAACATTTATCCAGCTGCTTGCTTTGATGTTGCTGCCAGTGTGCCCTGAAGCAATGGCGATGAAGCAATAAAAAAAAAACAAAAAAAAAACACGATTATTCTTTATTAGTGCTGTTGTTGTTTTTTGCAAGCTGAGCTGGGTTCGAGTGAGCGTATTGGGAGGACAGTAGAACTAGAATCTCAAACGATACCAAGCATCAAATAACATATATATATTAACATAACATACATATACACATTTCCATATACAGAAGAAGGAAGGAAGCCAGGTACGCGACATATAACCACGAGCCATGCGCGTATGGACATATGATTTATGGTTTCAATTTGAAGAATAAGATTTCTTCGCACTCGCATATTGAGGAGTTACATAAAAGCCAGGAGTAAATCAAATGCCTTCATATCGTTACAGGATGCAAGTCTGGTGTAGATAAAAAACACTACTCATTATTTGTAGTACTTTGCTATAGTTACTAGACTAAATAAAACACAACCGTGCAAAAATATTACAAAATATGGGATAAAGGGATATAACAATGAAGATGATGATCAGAAAGAATGCAAAAATGCGCGGGATAAGGAAAGGAAAAATAACGCCGAGTCGTTCTGGACTTCTGGCGTGGTATCATGGTCTTTTTTTTTTTTTTTTTTTTTCTCTTAGATACCCGACGTAGAAGAGGCGCTGTTCTGTCGACTGCACCTCAATCGCTTCAAGTCCTCGTTCGTAGTGCTTGTGCTCGTGCTCGTGCGGCGAGCACCAGGGAAGATGGCCGAGGATGATGACATGGACGCATCCGCAGATGAGTGCGTTGCTGCGGACGAAGACGATGTGGACGAAAACGAGGAGCAGTGCGCTTGTGGCGTCAAGCCGACTCCAAGAGAGTTCTTTCTCTTGGTCGAAGTCGAGTCATGGGTATGGCGCTGACTTCCATTGGGATGAATGCTCAAGGTGGACGAGCCCGACGTTGTTGCTGCAGAAGTTGAAGACGAGTTCGATGAGATCGTTGACGATGAAACGGGTGATACCGAGAGTGTGGTCGCGTGGCGATAGAGGGGCTGGGTCGTGAAATTCGTGGCAAAAGGCGACAGCGATTGCTGGTGCTGCTGCGAACGTGGTTGCGACATCGGCCTCGAAGTTTGCTCCATGCCAGACTCTGTTAGTGTCAACGTCGACAGTGATGCAGACGCAGCTGATGTTGATGTCGGGGACGGTGCAGAGGACGAGGACAAAAGAGATGGAGAGGAGGAGAGATGGGATCCCGTCGCTCCAAGAGTGCTGGACATGATTGCCTCAACCGTCTGGGCCCGACAATGCTGATGGCTTCCATCCGTGCCCTTGCATCCACGGTTCAGTCCAGAGTTCATATCATCATTATAGTCCGTATGTTGGTATGACTGCTGGAGTTGGAATGCATTGAGCGAGGTAGACGCTGGCACCGATGTTGTCCGGGTGCTGTTGGCTGTTGTTGGTGCCATGACTTCTGCTGAGCTGTCGAATGGGTGTAGGCATATGGCTTCACGAGTGTCCTCCATTTCCTGACCAATGACTGCCGACTGGAGAGACGACGATGATGTGCGGGACAGTGTTGAGCAGCCGACATTCGACTGCGTCTCATTGCCGGCACTCTCTATCATGACCACATCGCCTGTCTGATCCAGGTTACCATTTACAGGAACCTCCAAGGGCGAATGGTCCATTGGCGACAACGGCCTATCCTCTACTTGAACATTGCCTTCCGTATCTCTGCCTTCGGTCTGCTTGCTTTGCTCTGGCTCATGGCGCTGCCGCTGTTGAGTCGCCGTTGCCGCCTTTGGGGTCTGCTTGGACGCCACTGCTGATTGTTGCTGCTTCTGGCTTGTTTCCTCCTTCAGCGCACTCTCTTTCAGCAGTTTGCACTTGAATCGATGACTAATTCCCGATGCTGGATCCATGCACTGGAAGAACTCTGACAGTCGACAAAAGCTCCACTTCCTGGAAAGCTCCTCCATAAACAGTGACTTGTTCATGTAAAAGATTGGGCTGTTTGAATAAGACGACTGTTGCTGTAGCCAATGTTGTTTCGAGGTCGACATAGTTCCCGGCTGCGACTGCTGACGAACATGGGGGTTTGATCCGTGGCTACGAGATGTATGAACGATGCCACGATGTGGGTGCGGCTGTTGCTGTTGCTGTTGCTGTTGCTGTTGCTGCAACAATGGCGAGTGGTTATGATGTGAAAGGGTGCAGTGGTGTGGGTGATAGGTTGGATGTTGTGGTGGGGACGGATATACTGATGTTGCGGCCGAGACTGGAGTGGCTGTAAAGGATGGATAGTGTAATGGAGTTGACTGCTGGGTATGATCCTGGTGCCGTTGGTGCTGTGTAGGGGTAGTCGATGAGCTCTGACGGAAGTGGCCAGCTCGCTGGGGTGCTGGTGAGAGCGGTCCGGTCGCAGAGCTGTGCCGTCCCAGATGCAGGGCCGTGTCTTCTGCCGCAGCTGAGGCCATGGGCATGGGCATGGGCGAGCCTAATCTCCTGGAGATGGCCATGCGCCGGCCATGTGTTGGTTGAGGGCTATACCCCGAGAAGACGGGCGAGGTAACCATGGAGGACGAGGGCGATGACGGGGATGAAGAGGTCGCAGGCCGAGTAGACAATGGTGGGGTGGAAGGACGGGATGCCATTGTCAAATTTGATCCATACGAGTGGCCGTCTGCGCCAAGCATGAGCGTGGAGATGCTGACGGTAGGGGAATAGACCGGGGAACCAGGCAGGGATGGCATGCGTGAGTGGGAGGGCGAGAGCTTTAGCAGCGATGGTGGTGGGGGTGACGAGACGGTGGCACTGGTGAGGAGGGTGCATGCTAGACGGGCGATGTACTGGATGGCCCAGTTGTCCGTCAATGCCAGCACCAGCCTCGCTCTGTTCAACTCACCTAAGAAAAAGGACGGCAAACAAAAAGGGTCAGCATACTACCTAGTGGGTGTTACTGGTGTTCAATCAAAGTCAATTGCAGTGAAGTGCCCACCTTGGTCTCCTTTAGTAAGTACCCAGTCGAAGGTGACCTGTTTGACAAGGATAGCAATGGACTCGAGTCGCCATCCGTTGACCAGCCAACACAATGCATGTTCGATCCGGTCGAGGTCGTATTCGCCCGCGAGCCGCTGCAGATACGACGCAGTGACCAGGACATTGTCCTCAGACCGCAGCCATGTGTAGAAGGTCGCGTCGTAGAGATCGTCCATTTTGCGCACATTCGCCTGAATGTCCCTCCACAGCTCCGGGTCTACACGAAAAAAGCGTGATAAAGAATGTTTAGTAACTGTGCTGTGTGCCTTCGTCTTTTAGGAGGGAGGCAAACACACCAATGCCCTTCCTGTACTTGGCACAATGCTACCATGGTCCCACTGTTGCCATATATCCTCCCCTCTCCCCTTCCCCTCGGTATACTATCAGCCTCTGTTTTTTTTCCCCGCCGAGGTTCCCCTCTACCCCCCCTTTTTTTTTTCTTTGTGAGTGAATAAGGCGTTTATCTATGATAATCTCTTTTCTTCTTTTTCTTTTTGGTCAACAACATCGATGCTAGTTTACCTCGAGTGGATGACTACCACTAAAGATACGCTTTTCACGTTAATGATGAAGACACAAGGCAAAGCACAAAGAAGGAACTTTCAAAGTGTAATTCACTAAAGAAATAACCTGATGGCCCCGCTCTGCAAGAATGAGGATTGCACAAAGAACCACACACTCTCACACTGCATAACAAAGAGAATCATCCAATGATATCCACTGTAGATGTTTTACACACACACATACAAACACAATGCTAGGTGTGAGAGAGAGTGTATGTGCACACAACAACAACAACAACAACTCTGTTCAATTGTCTTTTTTGTACGCCGAACAGAGTACATTCATTCACAATCGTGTGTGAGTGATAGGGGAGGGAAAATAGAGCTGCGGGAGGAGCAAAAAAGGATGGATGGTAAAGCAGGGGGAATAGAAACCTGCTACTGTGTGCACACAGTAAAGAGATAGAGGAGGGGTCAACAGCGCAAGACCATATCATCTTCCGTGTGCTTTCGGATATCGATTGTTTCTCTTGGACAAACAAAAAGATGAGACCAGGTCAAGTCCAGAGCAAAGTGCAGAAGTGTGCAACAGAGGTGTGCAGGAGCAGGTTCAGGAGCAGGATGACAATGGGATTGGTGCAAGGGAGATAAGCACGCGAGGGTATCGATGATGCACTCATATGGCACTACTGCCCGTTGCGAGTCGGAGGAAAAGAAGAAAGGGAGGGGTAAGGGCGAGGGGGTAGGATATGACGAGTCGCATTCGATCTTCCTAGGAGCACGTCTTTTTTCCACCGGGCGAAAGCGACTAAGCAACTAAGCAACTGAGTGGTACCAACACACAAGCAAGGCCTCAAGGCCACGCCAAACCACGACAATTGGACCTCTCTAGCAGCAGAAAACCACTCTAGGACATTTTCCTCTCCCGAGTGGTTTGGTCTTCAGACAGCGACCGCGCACATTTTCAAGGGCAGAAGAGCGTTTCATTGGAAACGGGCCTTTTCTGTTCTCCATAATAATGGTGTGTCCAACAACCGAGATCTTGCCTTGCTCATATTACACAAGAGGGACATGACATGCGCTCGAGGGGAGGTGCAGAATCGATTCGAAGGGGGACAGCTTGAAAATGTAAAAAGAAAGAGAGAGAGAGATGAAGAATGAAAAAGAGGCAGGGCTCCGTACCTTCTTTAATCTCTGTTGATGCCTTCGCGTTCTTTGGATGGTGGATCCTCATGCTGACGGTGTTGTTGGGAGGAGAAAGACTCGCCATGGCCGGAGGAGGTTACTGCTGTACTTTTTGGTGGCAACTTATTGACACTTCTATTCTACTATTGGGAAGTGTGAAAAATAGGGAGGGAGGCTAAATATCAAGCAATTGTAATTGAGTTCTAGTGTGAGGAGACCAAGTGAGCGCAGGAGTGGGAAGATAAATAGAGGGCGAAAGAGAATATGAACAAAGGATAGGAAGTGGTGGAAGGAGGTAGAAGAAAGAGGGGGAGGAAGAGGGGGGAAAGGGTATGATGATGAGCAGCCAGGGTGGTGTGATTAAGTAAGGATGAGATTAGGAATGGGAAAAAGAGATGAGGAAAAACAACAAACAGGGGGCGTTGAAGGAGCAGCTGGGTGTGGCAAAGCGTGGGATAGGACGACAAAAGACTCGTACAGGGTACAGACGAGGATGTATCCGACAATGGGGTGGTATAAGATGTGGTAATGTAATAAAAATAAGAAAAAGAGAGCGATCAAAAAACGAAGGATGAAGGCGATGATTAAAAGAGTGAATGAACAATTGGACCAAAAAAAAAAAGGAGTGTGAAGGAAGGGAGAAAAAAAACCGGCAGTGAGCTGCTTCTTCCACAAGCAACAAACACATACAAATACGTACAAATAACAAAACGACTACGAGGAGCAAACATACTTGTAAAACAGTAAGGAGAGGAGCGGAGAGGAGCACATGGCCAACTTCAATGGCAATGCCTCAAGTAATTAAGTAGCACGAGAGACAGGCTGGATGCTCATAGCCATTCCTCTTAACAACAGAATGTGTCATAGACACAAGTACACACTTACAGCCATCGACGTGAACAAAGGGGCGAAACAGAAAACACGCCGCAGAGGATCTGCACCAAGAGAACAGTCTGGACAACAGAAGTAGGCTGGCCCTAAGAACCACGCCTATAAACTTGTCGCCGATATAAATAAATAAAGCTCCCTTTCCCACTCAAACGATCCGAGTAGACAACACTACTACGTCTACACATACAAAACATACATTGTACACAAGGGCAATTATGCGCACCGCATGGCAAAGGCAAAAAAGGACACGTCGAGAACCTCACACATTTCTTTCGCAAAATAGAGATGGATGAGGTTGGATGATTCATTCAAGGGTTTTTCTCTTCTTTTGAAACGTGTTGGGAGCGGACCTTTTTATTTCATTTTTTACGTACCTGTAGGTCGAATGATGATCTAGGGGCACTTGCTTCCATGAGGACATGGAGGATGAGGACGGGAAAAAGAAAAGAGCGCCAGGGAGGTTGAGGAAAAGTCAGGGACAGGGACAGGGACAGGGACAGGGGTGTCTCGATAATCGTTAAACTGCCCCCTCAACGATCTTATTTTTATCTTTTTTTTCGCCTCCATTCCATCATTCCAACTGCACGCGTTTTTTTGTTCAACGACATTAGGCGTCCTACGCAAAAGGAAAGGAGACGATCCGGCGATAGGGATAGGAAGGCGATGCAGATGGCTTATCTGTATATGCATCATGCTCCGTCTTTTCGCGTGCGAGTAGGCGCCGTACCAATGGGTGCTTCCTGCCTGTGGACAAGTTGCCGGTTCAGCGCGTCGGGCCGCTTAAAGTCCTTTTTCCATTGAAGGGCTACGTTAGCCATGTTCTGGCCAGCGGTGTGGCCCCGATCACGTTGGAGGCCGGTCTTGGGGTTCAACACGCGCGCTGTGTCATACGCCGATGGCCGGAGACCATCATAAGTCGGGTCAGGACAGATGACCGAACAGCCCTGAGTTTGGGCTCTCTGATGGCATCTGTAACCTGCAGTGCATCTATGCCCGGGATCGCTTCGGCCAGGTACTTCACCTTAAACCTCGTGAACTCGACTGAGGTCTTGCTGGCGCCTCCGACGTCCTACTGATCATCCTATTTACTTTCGGCAGCTTTGTGGAGCAAGAGGCATTGCTCTGGGAGGCGTTGTCGCTGCTGTCCTTGTCCTTGTCCTCGCCTTCTTCCTTCCTCCTGTGCTAAATCAGGCTATAAGCGTGGAACTTGAGCTGATGCCTATCGGTTTGCAGAGTACCAGCGAGCATGTGCTTCTCAGCCCGAGTGATGCTATCCATGACCAGGATACTCTCCTTTAATGCTGCCTCGACATCGTCCTTGGCCTTTTTGCTCTCTGGTGTGGACGAAGGCTGGATCGTAAGTACGTCGAGCTGATCTTGACAAGGCAATAAATGAAGATCAAGCACATGTGGCAAGGACTTGTTATCGGGAAATACCGCACAAGCGCGTCGATTGTAGTTGGTTTCCTTGCTATGGTTTCGAAAAAGCTCTTCCGGATAGTTTTTAGTTTGTTCTTGACCTCCTTGTTTGGTCTTCTCCTTAAAACAGATTCTACTAACCGCTTTCCGCTGATCAACCAGAAGGTATTCTTGTAAGCTGGCATCGGAAGATATGTGAAGCGGTTTGAGGATGGCAACTAGTATTGAGGACCCAAGGCGCGGACACTGGATCATAGACTGAAGACTTGCTGTGGTCGTGAAGTATATTAGAACAAAAGACATTGATTAATAAACGAGTATCTAGGTTGTATGATAAACCCGCGATAGAAAGACATACCGGAGCACTTTCCTTTTTCTTCAACTTAGAAGCAAATGGCCGGAGGTGGCATCTATCAGATACCCACTGTCTAGCCAACTTGTTCCAGAAACCGAGTCGGGACAGCCTTACCGAGGTGCCCCTTCACTCTTTGGATCACGGAGTTATTATTCCCGAGCATTGTCTTGGAATATTTGAGTGTCGTTGATGCTGAGCCAAAGCTGCCGCCGCTGTCCCCAAGTCTGTGGTCCTGGTGGTGCATCCCTTTTACGAGCGTCGAAAAATTTCTGATCCTCCTGTGGAGTATACTGGAATTTGTCGTGACGGATTTGAGTTTGAATGGAATGATGGATGCTCTGCCATGGTCTCGCTGATATAGTTGAACGTTGCCAGGCTCCCGGACCTGATCAAATCCCTGTTGAGGTTAACGAAGCCCTGAATAGTCGTCTCGATATGTTGATGCTTCAAGATAATCAACGGCGCCACAGTTCTGCTGCAGTCTGCGTTGAAGGCACCGATCAATCGTCTCAGCGTTCATCATTAATGTCGCGAAATTTACTATGTCCCCGATTATGTTTCCAACGTTCTTTCTAGGCATTTCTAGGCATTTCTGGGCTCATGTACTCTTGCTGCCGGAATCTTGTTGAGGCGGGATTGCGTAGAATTTTCTCTCTGTGGGTTTCTTGGTCCTGGACTGGCTCTTGCCCTCCTTGTTGCGTCGCTAGCCTTGCCTTTTCCCTTGGAACTGGTTTTCCGTTTCCTGCTCCTGATGGGGTCCGATGCAGTCGTATCATACTGGTCGGTGCTGAAGGTATACTAGGTGAACTCCTTCGCCTTGTAATTTTTGCCATACATGCGGCAATTACAATGTAAAAGATAAAAAGATGAATTCTTTTTTTTTTAAAGCCCTCTAGTTCTCCTATCATTGCCATTAACCTAAGACACGAAATATGGTCCTATTCTTGTTCATGTCACCCTGGTTGGTCTCCTCGCTCACCATGACTTCCTCAATGATCATGGCTACCTCACTGGTCACGGCCTCAATCCTATCCGCATCCGTCTCGCCGATCTTGCCGGAAGCCTTACTAAATAAGAAGAGTGAGTAGGAATCTGCATGGTAAGACAATAAAAAAAAGTAAACCATCGTTTATACTCTGTAGCAAAATGCACTTACTCTTCTTCCGAGATCTCAGCCTTATCGAAGAGAATCTGCTTGGACGACTCGAGCATCTCGCTGTTTATTTTCACCTGGCTGCAATACTAATCCAAGGCGGCCTGCTTGTCATCTGAACCGCATCCGTGCAGTACGGCGAGGCTCTTTGCGAATGACCGGCCTGTCACATGGCTCGTGTAGTCGTTGTTCGTAACGACGGCGGCTACAATCCATTGGGCCTCGCTGACACTCAGCTTCTGAGTCACGTCTTCCATCTCATATGATGTAGAGGTGCGGTTACGGAGGCCCTTTCTGAGGAGCACCTTCATCCCATGAACGAGAATATCTGAGTCAATCAAGGCAACCACGACCTGACCAGGATGTTGCTTGGCCTTGCGGCCAATACGGACGTCCATTTCTCTAATGCAGCAATACACGTTCCAGCCCAACTCCTCCTACCTGGTAATGGGACCGTTCTTCATGCTGAATTGATCATTCTTGCAGCGACTCCACTCTTCTTCGCTTTCTGGATCCACTGAACAAGCTTTCATTTGCGAGTTCTTGAGGATGGGTTGGTGTTGTGGTGTTATCGGAGTCCACCATCTTCTGAATTTTTTTAGCCTGATCATTCATAATATCCACATCCTTGCAGCAGCTACTGACCTTTCTCTTTCCCCACATCAGCGCCTTCTGCGTCGTCGGCGAACCATCAAAGTGCAGGATAGTTGTCAGGCCTTGAGTAAACATCTGCGACATCGTCTTGTGAGCGCGCGGGCGAGTCCTGTCACGACTCACTCAGTTGGTGATAATGGAGTTGTAGACTGGGAGGCACGTCGAAACGCTTCGTGTGCGCTTCACTGGCGGGTCGCACGGATGTAAGAGACTATAAACCGAGGACATCCGCGTCCACGTCCCGGACGAAGGCCGTGTTCATGTACTCTATCTCCACCTTCCGTTCCCCTAAATGCGGGAAAGTGCCTTCGACTCCCATCTCTGAATCTCTGAATACCAAAAAATAAGGGTAATAAAGGTGATTATGGAAGCGATAAAGCTGAGGCGGGATATGGGAGCGATTGAGAAAGGGTTGTAGGGAGCACACTTGATAAAAGAGTGCTGTTATTTAGAATCAATGCCGCGCGCTAACCATACAGCCAGGTCACGTTATACTCTTTACACGGTTAATAGTACTTATTTTTACCACGGTGTAGCATTAAAATTGATGCAAAGAGCAGCTTTATTATGCAAGTACAAATGAAATAGATATGCCACTAGATTGTCCGGATGGGGTTATTCAGCACAGTTTTTCAACACCGGGCTATTCAAAAATCGACGTGGCATAGATTAGCGTTGATCTGCTACCGTCACGTAAAGGGATCGCATATTTCTGTGGTTGGAGTAATGATTGTTATTCTATGATCGAGTTCAGTCAGTCCACCTCGAACTCCTTCATCGTTAGAATGGAAAAGGTGTATCGTTTGAATACGTACGGTCCAGCTATGGGCTGTTGGACTTATAGACTGTTCCACAGCGCCTTTTTTTATTGACACCAGATCCCCCCAGACGCGCAGGCGTGCCAAGACTGTTCCACAGAGTGAGGACCATGGTAATGATCTGACACGTGATCCATTTCGAGCATTACTAGAAAACTTTTTTGACACAGACCATTACATTTCCGCCAAAAAAAAACACACCACACAAAAGTCATCCACTGCCGCATCATCAACTCCTTTTCATTCTTCATCGCCATCCTTCATCGCCATCCTTCATCGCCATCCTTCACTCTTCCCAGAAGTCGCTCTTTTGTTTGTTCGCTTCCGCACGACTGCTTGCATCACCATCGCATCTTTTCTTTTTCCTTCCTCGTTCCTTGTGTACAACACACACACACACGCACAGCATCAACGCCTTGCGCCGTTGCACCGTTGTACGTTGTTCCTCCTTGTAGACCAGAGCAGACAATCAAGCCCTGACTGAACCCGTCTCCTTATTATGGGCCGTCCAGTGGGTCGCAATCTCGAGGATGAGTTGATGACAAAAATCAAGACGCTCTTTGACAGGATCCTCGACACCGTCAACAAGGAAAACGTACGTTTCTTTTCTCTTCTTTTTTGATGGCATACTCATGGGAGATCCCTCTTTCAGCCTACCTGGGATTCCTAACCTATCGGCTTTTATTTGCTTCCAATAGCCTGCGTACGCCTTCGATTTTGAGCAGTTTGTCGACTGCTTCGACGAGAACGATCACTTCACAAAGAGAGTCTTTGAGTTTCTTGTCAAGGAGACTGCCCAACGCTACAGGAGTGTGCACCCGAACGCCCAAAACTCAGCCCATTCTCGCCCGCACACTATCCACCATTACTTTGGTCAGGATAGTGGCAACAGCAACATCAGCAGTAGCGGTAGTACCACTAACAGCAACATCAATGACGCCGTCAACAGCACTAATGACAGCACCAGCAATGACAATGACAATGACAATGGCACCGATCAGAGCCCGAATCGACACCACTTTCACCATCATTCTCAGCGCCCCTCTTCCTTTTCGCAGCATACTCTGCCTGCCCTGGAGAGGGACTCAATCGCAAGGTCGCCCTCGAATCTCGCTGGATCGCCTGGTGGTCCAAATGAAGGCGCATCGTCCAGCTCTTCTTCGGGCGCTGCACTGAGATATCTCTTGTCGAGCCAAGGATTCGGCCAAGGAGGTACGACACGGCGTGCTAGAATAGCCCAGAGGATCCTTTCCAGCGATCTGTTTGCTTATCATCAGGGTCAGCCTTCGCTAATGAGTACCATGGGCTCCCTTTCCAACCCTGCTTCATCAACGGAAACGACGACTAGTCAGAACAGGTCAGGACAGAATCGTATATCACAGGAATTGGAGAGAACGTCCACATCGGGATCCGTCATCGCAGCAGATGCAGCAAACACATCGGGAGGACCATCTTCATCCTCGCCTTCTTCCACTGCGGGTACGGGGTCAGGCCCAACGCTAAGACGATCGTGGAGGAGAGGAGAAACATTGGAGCGACAGCGTGCATTTATTTACCGACCATTATCACGAGCAAACGATACCTCGACGTCCATGGAGAACGTTCCCGATAGTTTTCACACGGATGGATGGAGTTCGGCGTCACCAGGGGCGTCTTTTACCTCTGAGATCTTTGATCCAACCTCTGGCGAACTATACGGCGCCCGTCCAGCCTCCCCAGATAGAAGACCTGGACATGTTGGCATTGATCAGGCACGTCAGATGCAGGAGCAGTATCGTCAAGCTCAGGACCTGCGACAGCAGCAAATTCGTCAACTGTACATACAAACGTTGCAGTCAAGAGGACGACAACGGCACCACTCGCTTGCACAATTGGAGCAGCATCGACAGACACTTCGGGCTTTGCAAGGAGAACGAATTCGGTCGTCAGAAGATACCCAACAACAAGATCAGCAGCAGCAGCAGCCACGATACCAATTACATGACAATGGCCTGATGTTAGTCCAATATTATCCCACATCCCCTTCGACACCAACGCCTGCATCTGATGCTCCAGAGGGAAACACCAACAGGGACGCATCGTCGTCATCAAATCTCACCTCACAGATGCCATTATCGGAGCGTTATCACGAGTTCAGCGATAGTACACAACGCGGCCGAGCTGCTATGAGGAACGCTCTCACATCAGAGCTGCATATCGAGGAGGACCACCAAGTTTTACAGACTGGAGAAGTAAGCAGACGTCGAAGGAGGCGTCTTGTTGGACGATTCTCGAACCCCACTGGAAGTCCGGATATCGCTTCTGATAATTCCAGCGCCATTATCAGCCAATCGCAATTGCAACAAGGGCGGACGCAAGAACAGGGCCTAGGGCAAGTTACTGCCCTTATCCCTGCTCAGGGTCAAGGATCACTGGAACAAATTGCAGCCCCTGTATTAGAACTTACGGTCAATAATGCATCTGGATTCTCTGGTCAACCACAGGATCAGAGTGACGATCGTCAGCAGACAGTCGACAATCCACTAGATATCCAGAACAGTAGCGATAGCACCAGATCACCATCGATTGGTGACAGACGGGCTACCTCAACAGTCAGCGCCCCAGTACTAACACCGGTCCTGGAGCTGGCAGAAGGCGAAGTTACAAGAACCGCAGATGACAATGTGCCGGATGTAGTTCCCGACATCAGTGGCAGTGCAGATACGCATGGCCAAGGGTTGAGTGTGGACGGCCACCAACCACGAAGCGTCCCACCGACACCCCCATCTCCGAACCCCAACCGCAACCCCATGCCAACATTTACGGATCGGAGACGGTCTTCAATCAATCCTGCGGATATCGAGGCGGTTGTGCGTCGAATGCGGGCTAATGTCGAGTCTGCGACCATTGCTCAGCGTGCCTCGAGAAGTTCCCACTTGGTACTCAGTAGTAGGAACGGCATGTCCATTCATTCTTCAGCTCTAGCCTCCACAGCTCCTGGATTCACCATGGCGATGCGCAGAACTTCGGCTGAGCCAGCACACGAGCAGCCTTTACCATCACCACCACAGACTGACCCTGAAGCCGGTGCGGTCTCGGGAGGAACGCACTCATCTTCTGGATCGCCTGCTATTCAGTAGCATTTGCCTCATTTTTTTGTTTCTAGTGTTTCTAGTGTCCTCCTGTAAAATACCATTCGAAGTAATAAAACCGGATATCAAGGTCCGTGGAAATGCTGGTATGCAAGTCACAGCTCTATTTGCGAGCGTGGTCTTTTTGCGCCAGCAAACAAAAATAGCTTGTTCTCCGTTGATCAGTTACCGCCATCGGTTCTAGAACACTATAACGGCAGCATCGGACAAGATATTTCAAGAGCCGGAGCAGAGACGCAATCGCAGGAAAGTTGCTCGAGGCAAAGCTGGCATTAACCTGTTGCAGGCATCGGCTCATCAGCTCTTCATTCCTGAGGTATGGGATCCGGTATATATTTGGTGGCGTCAGAACGTCCTCCAATGGACAAAAAGGTATGCAAACATATACTGATAACCAGCTTTGACAACAGATAGGCACGACTCTACCAAGTAAAGTTCTGGATGATATAAAGGACCCTGCCTACTTAATACATGGTACACAAGGAAGCGGCGCCTGAGAGTATGGTGCGACAAGGGGCCTATTCATCCCAGCATCGCTCGCCGGGAGGAGCGTCTGGAGGCCATTCTAGGTCCAAGTACCATGAAGGCGACCAACAGAAATACACAAAAAAATGGGAGGCCAAGCACAAGCGATTTGAAAGTGATGATGAGGACGAGCTATTCGATAGGAGCAACGACAGGACGAATAAGGGCCAGGAGCGACGAGAATGTACAGATCGAATGAACAGCGTCGTTTCGTCCGAGGATGAAGCAGGATTGGATGAGAATTCTCTGAAGTCGATACCTCCCAATATCAAGCAATTAGTGTCAAGGGGGCAGAGAAAAAGCCATGATGGTCCACCTAGCAATCTTCAATCTCCGCAGGGACGAAAAGGGGATATGATAGAAGAACACGATACTCAACAAACGCCACAGCACCGAAAACCACAGTTCTCGTCATCATCAAAACGATCCACGTCGACACCCAAGAGTAAGCACTACCAATCATTGCGATCTCCGATCGCTTCTCCACCATCAGTCCAACGCACGAAAGGCACTCCCATCAAGATACCGTCTCTATACCCTTCAGCACTGGGAGAAGAATCGCCGCTACTATCGTCGCCTTCACAGCGAGCACGGCCGCCGCCTAGCATTTGCATCCCAACGAAGAACAGGAGACCATCTTCGCAGCGACAGATCGAGCCAATATCGTCACTGCCGCCGCCTCCCAAGTCTATGAATGAGTATTACGCTCTGGATCATAAAAGCCGGATGCGATGGGGGGCCCCTGAGGATATGAGACGTAGACTCCAGCAGCAGCAACAGCAACGACGGCAACAACGGGATGATTCGGATTCCACAAACAGAAGCGAAACTCACAGTCGGAACTCCAGCTATGAGCAGAAAGAGAGCAAACTAGGAGGCAGAATTCAGCAAGACAGCACTATCAAGGAGCCTTCGGACTCGGAATCTGATTTGGAGGATGCGAACCCGCTCAGTACTCTACCGCTTGGTATCGGACCGAAGAAGAAGGATGTCCCTTCATTTAAGACAGAACTCTCATCGAAACAACCCTCGTCAGGCCTTCACTTAGTTCGCGACCGAGAACTGGTGTCCTCAACGGACTCTGACTTGGAGGATGCGAACCCGCTCAAAGCTCTGCCACTTGGTATTAAACCGAAACAGAAGGATAACTCGTCATTAAAACCAGGACTCTCATCAAAGCCGTCTTCATCGAGCCTCTGCTCTAATCGCGATTGGAAATCGTTGTCGTCAACTATTCCAACAACACCACAATCCAGTGAGACGAAAACGGAACTTATTTTCGTGCCTTGTAAAGGGTCTCGGGCCAGCTACGCGCGTTATAAAGGATCAGGGAGCGATGACCATGACAGCGATGACCATGACAGCGATGACGATTTTCAGGAGAACAGCACTCAAAGCAGGATGTCGAATACCTCAGGTGGAAAGGCACAGTCTAAAAATCCGACTGAAGCACAAATCCCAGAGTCAAAGCAAATGGAAGTAACGGACAATGCTCGTATAGCATTTCACGATATCTTTGGAAACACAGACCGGTTTGGAAGTCAATTAAATGGTGCAAAGAGGCAGCTTCGAGAGGATGCACAGGCGGGCGGATCGAATGACAGGTCGAATGTTAGGTTTGACAAGGTCAAGGAACGTAGAAGCGAGGAAAGGAGAGCAAACAAGTTTTTCAATAAGGGGCATCGGCTTTCCATGGCTACGAGAGAGGGGCGCACTAAGTCGATCAAGCCTCGCAATAACCAGTCGAGTTCATCTCACTTCGCGAGAAAGGATGACACGGGCATTGATGAAATTGGACGGAAACGGGATCCTAGCCTTCACGAGAAACGAGAAGTGAACTCTTCAGCCAAGCCAAAACCTCTTCCCAATACTACGCGGCTAATCGACCAAGACCGGTCCTCTCCAGCATTCGGGTCCAACAGCGCCCAAGATCCTTACGACACCTTGAGTTTGTCTGAATTCTCGAATGATGAGAACGCTGACCGGATGGTGGGCAGGAAGCGGAATCGGGCTCAATCGAGCGAAACTAGTGAATGCGAGAGCGATCCAGTGTCTCTTGTAGCGCCTGGATCGCACCATAGTACCCCTGTGAAGCGCGTCCCTTTCAAGACTCCGGACGACGATACCCAACTCAAAAGTGCTCAGGCAAAAGGAGCACCTGCTGATAAGGAAGGGTTTCAGCTGCCCTCGCCTAGCAAGAAGCGGACTCGAACAGATGACTACATTTTCCTTTCGGATGACGATATCGAGTTCGGTGAGACATTTATTGCTTTATTTCAATTTTCGAGTGTCGAATGTGTGGACGCTGCTTCGTAGCCTCACTCATTTATTTCTCTCCTTTTTTTCACAGTGGAGGTGGAGGAAGACATTGGATCTGAGAATGTCTGTCCATATTGCGGAGATGCCTTGCCCAAAAGTAAATCTATGCGACTGGCTAGTGCTTTGGCCAAAGTTCTTGCCGATATGAAGAATTTGAAGCAGCTGCGGTCGCAGCTACAACAGCGACACCAGCAATATCAACAACAACAGGAACAACAGCAGCAAAAACGACACCCCGCGGGTTGGAAGGCGCAGAGCACTGCCACGATATCTGTAGTAGAAGGACCGAAACCTATCATGAAAAGGCCACGACCACGATCACGCAGGTTACAACCCAGAGGCGGTGGTCCTGTAGAACCACAGCCTGCAGGTGCGCGCGGAAGCACAACTCCGATAATCCATATGATCAGTGATAGCAATGGGTGCGTGGATGAAGACGAGGACGAGGACGAAAATGGGGAGGAGAATGAGAAACGAGAGAATCCGTTTGCTGTCAGAGGCCCCTCATTGATGGATAAGTTTGAGTTCTGTCGCGTTCACATTTCGGAGGAAAATATTGTGCCGATGGGGATCGAGCGCCTGTACCCGATCCATATTGATTTCACTCTGTTGCCTGAGCGAGTCAGGCGAATGAAGGATGAATTGAGAGGCGTCATTGAAGGAACAGTACCGAGCGTTTACTTGGCCAAGGCACTGGAGAATTATAAGCGCATGGGGGCCTTAGGAGCAAGGAATCCTCATGTTATTCTGGCGAATGTCGCACAGACCATGGTGCGTGCGCCAACACACCGCTGTACTACAATGCTAACTCCATTGAATAAGTGAGCTAACGCTCCTTTTTCCTCTACATCTGCTTTTGTTGGGGTTTACTCGACACTAAACAGCCAGGATACTATGGATCGAAGGGCTCAGCAGAGTTGTGCAAGATCCTGACGTCGATGTTTATAGAGACGAAAATTCTAACCTATGAACTGGCCCAGCCTCAGAAGCCAATTGAATATATCCAACAGGTTCTTGTCCCTGAAGCGGGCCTTCGACTGATTGCGGAGGACAGGGTGAAGATTCATGGAGATGGCGGCCTAGTCTCGCTGGAGGACGCACGGGAGATCATGATAGACAGCGTTGAATTTGGAAACTACATGCACGACATTGAGTTCAACCCATAGTGTTCTATTTCTCTACTTGTAAATAATATTAATTATGGCATTTTGCCATCGGCAGCTGCCAGTGATTTTGTAAAGCATGCTTTCCATAATATCGTACAACTACACTAAAAAGAGCCATATGCATTACGTTCCTAAACTTTTTTTTCAGGCCCTTTGTATTTGAATAGTATGTTGGCACCGCTAGCCCTCATTCCATTAGCGCCATTGGATTGAAAAGATCACACATCTGATCTTCCCCTTTATATATTCGAATAATTGAACAGGCGAAATAAATGTCTCGTAGGCCTCGCGGTCCCCCGCTTGATGTTGCCCGCATGGAAAACTCGGATGACCCTTCGTATACTGGACCCCAGCGCTTGCGTATGGGCTCTGTTACATAGGAGGGATCGTATAGCACGATATTTAAGTTTCTGTTCTGAACCCGGTGGTACCAATGTTCACACTGCCTCATTTGAGCTGTCACTCGTCTGTACCTCGCACTGTCCCACAACCTGATGAAAGTCCTTTTCTACTCTATTCTTTTCTCTGGCAAGAACAGAGTCCCCTTTTTTTGTTGAGCTCCCCGCATGTCGTTTATGTCCGGGTTATGAGTCGCAGTTTACGCGATTATCTGCTGGCCCACTGGCAGTAGATGAGTTTGAGCGTTTCTCCCGCACGCATCATGCGAGGGCCCGAAGATGTCCACATCTTTATCAACCTCACCGCTGTATCATGCAAAGACGTCGCATACTGGCTGTATATCGTCTGACACTAGCGCCGTGAGGGATTGGATATGAAGTTCTGTCGTGCTCGGGTGCGACATCGACAAGCGATGTAAAGTAACAACAACGGCGGTGATAATGCACAGCATGGACATCGATCCTATTGCTTTGTTGCTTTGTTGCTTTGTGGTTATGCGGTACCGCAGACACGTTTTACTACGCGTGTCAAGCCGCATCAAGAAACAGAATGTATGCGCTACAAACAACGCAGACAATATATTTGCTGTAACAAGGTAAATCAGGGCCAAGATAAAATAGACTATATAATGATGCTGTGGTTAAGAATGGTAAAATAGACAAGCTTGAAAACACATTTATTTGACGACGTAGGATAGGGAATTGCAACGTTATGCAGGATCCGTGTCCACCAGCTGGTTCATATCATACTTCGCAATAGAGTCAAACAGATTCTTGCAATGCACAACCCGAACAGTTTTGCCCAACGACTGTGCCAGCTCTTTCATCGATCGTACTTCTGTCTTCAGCTTCTTTAGACTCATCACACCCTCGCTGGTATGATCATACAAGATAAGATGCCGCGTAGATTCGTCAACTACGTCCGTGTCTGCAGAATTGTGATGGCTCGCAATTGACCGTGCAAACCGTGTATCGCGAAGAAAAAGTTGTGGGACGACAGTTCCTCCACCGGTTCTGATAATCAATTCGACTTCTTCTTTTGTGGGTTTGTTGAAAATACCAAAGAGCTGCACCTCGCACCCAGTAAACAGAGGAGGTTCCTAGCGATATTGAAAAAAAAACAAGACAAATTATTGCTTAATGACCTGGGAAAAAAGAACAATCGCATCAAAACAGACAAGAGATTGGGGCTTACCCCTCGCTGCTGACTGATACGCGACTTCTTGGGAGCATTGACATCAAACTCGTTATCATAAATTTGGTACGGCACTTCATCCACCCAATACCCTGCACTCATCGAGACATTAATCCCTTTTTCGACAAAATAAGTTAAGGCGGGGTGTCAGGGAACAGCTCGACACAAGACAATACACACAGAGTGAACGATATCACTTACATTCATATCGAAGGACCCAACAGCCGCGGAGCACACCCAAAAAGTATTTCACGGTCCGTCCGCTGCCGCTTTCACTTTGTTCCAGCGCTACGCACGATATGTTGAAGACTAAGGTTAGTACAGGAACAACTTTACTGTGAAAATAAAACATAGAACGATAGCACTTACTCAAATCCATAACAATATGCGTTGGTCGGGTAACCAAGTCATCAATGGCTCTCGCCTTAAGTATCCTCGCCGCATGCTCCAGTTGTTGCTAATACGAAGAGCAAAAGAGTTGTAGTGTTAACCAAAAAATCCTATGCTATTGAGAGGGATCAGTTACCATAAAGCTTATAGCTCACCTTTTTTGAGGGTGACATGAAAGTCGCACATAGAATGACGTTCGTCTCTTTTGACGATGGGCTCTGAGTTGGAGGACAGGTGTCAGCGCTTGCACCGGGGTCTGCCGTTGTAGATGCCGGTTCCTGCTTTGGGATCACAGGGTTTAGTTGGTCCTGAAGTGTGGGAGTTAGTCGAACATTGTCGTCATCTTGCTCCTGCTTTACTCTTCGAGAATCAGGTTGCGAGTCTTCCTGCTTTTGGCGTAATCGAATCTGTGGTCGTGGCGCTTCTGGTATTGGTGCTGTAGGTCTTATTATGGTCTCGTCCAATGTGACAAGATATATCATAGATATCATCTTCTCGGCGAGTAAGGCGGCCTGCGAATGCGGGATGGTGTCGAGATTCACATCAAAGCTATCAATATCCATGTCAAACTCGCTAGCCTGATTCTGCGGTAGAGCTTCATCGTTTGGCTGTGTACCGTTACTATCTTCCGACTTGTTGCCCGGCGCGATTGTTGAATCTGTATCATTACCCGCATCTTCAGGTCTGCTGAGTGACGAACTTGGATATTGCTCTTCCTGAGGCCTTGGTTCGGTGCTCAGAGACCCCCCGATCTTTTCAGGATACGGGAACAATTGTGTTAGATTGGCTTTAGGTTCGGTCTCATAGATTCTGGGTGCCTGCGATAATGCTATGCAGGCGAGACGCCATGATACGCAGTACATACGGTCAACAACCAAACCAAAAATCTTTGTTAAATTGGTGGCAACAAACATCACCGAGTGTAAGATTTTGTGACATACTTGATCCATTCTCGACTTCGAAGGCCTCTCTCAGTCGGAGGAACGCGTTGATTAATTGTCCCAAATGACCGACTTTGTTCAAACTTCTTTTGGTCACCCGAGCCTTGCAGAGAGGACATCCTTCCATGCGATCCAGCGCATGAAGAATACATTGACGGCAAAACGTATGATTGCACCCGGTTGACATTGGTTCATCCATTGTACCTAGGCTAACGAGATAGCAGTTGACGACAGCTCATTGTCAGTGCCAATACAGGAGATCATTGGCCACCATAGCGCTTCCTTGCACTGTGAGAGGCAATGTCCAGCAGTCATTGCACCATACCATATTGGGCACTTGAACTCTTCTTGCATTCGTAGAAGGATTCCGACTGCAGTGTCTGGCAAGATCTCCTGTTGTGTATGCTGTTGCTCTTCGTCATCTTGGTCAGGAATCCTGGCATGGCTCTTTCCAGCGTCTGCATTCATCATTGTTGTAGTCATGAAGGCATGCCGCATTCGAGAGGACGAGGGGGTAGTGGCAAAGAAGGTGAGGAGGCATTTTCAGGTATGGCCCTGGATCGAAGGGGTCGTGACCGCAAATATGCATTGCCACCAATTATGTGAACGTTCAGAGGAACGCAATGTTGGATCGTTTTTGTTCCCATTCCGATGCGACCATGAATCACAGAAAGATCGCAGCAAGGAATTTAGTCAACAATCCGCGGATAGACCTTCACAGCTCCACAAGACCTGTCAAGCAGCACCAACGGCCCGTTATCAACAACGTGGGACCTCATGATCGCACCAAGGACACTGCCGGGGTAGAGCAAGCTGACAGGCTACTGGCGGCCATCCTTGTATTCTACAAGGACGCCATCATCAACTCTATCGCCCCATTATATCTACCATCATTACTGAAGGATCTCGCAGCCTACATAAAATCTGTTCCTCCCCAGACCACCCAATTGATATCCAAAGGGAGCACCGATCTGGAGAACGATTCGGCCAATGTTGTGTTAGCAGCAATTGACTCAGAAATGCTGATACCGCTCACTGACCGACTCTTTCACGCCATTGTCAACCTCTCAAGGCCATGTAGCTCCTTCAAAGAATCCATCGAGGTATAGTATAAATCAAATGCTGTTTAGGCAAAGTGCTAATGGACAGAAGTAGAGATTAATGCTGGCTGCGACTACCATGCGAAAATTCCTGCATAGCTTAACGCGGGTGCTATATTCAATGTTGTTATTGCGTCTATCATGGAGGGATCGGAGACCCACGACTGCGAACGGCTATTGACACTCTGCATATATCTCAAGGACACCGAAAACTGCTGTAAGTTGGCAAACTCGTGCAGCGATGTACGGACATGTTTGATAAAAATCCGATTCATCTTATTTTGCTTGAACAGATCCGCTGCGTAGTCTCGCAAGCACTGTCTGCTTGGATGTTATCTCCGTATCATCGCTGCCACTCTATGCACGAACATCCATTTTGCGATTCATCTTGGGACCTGCTAACTTTATTCTGCACCATCTGGAGACGCGGATCGTCCTCTCGCAACGAATACAGGACTTGGTATGGATTCAACAGCGTGAACTAGCGTTCTAGTATTTGAAAATCCATGGACTGACTCGCCAACGTACACATTGATCATTCAAATAGCTCCAGGAGGACTTGTACGATGACATAGAGTTCAGATCTGCGGTTAAACGGATTGCGAGAAAGATCGGTCTACGCAAGCCTAGTTCTATCTACGAGCAACAAAAGTGCAGGTATTTTAGCCTCAACCAATGCGCCGACATAGCCCCAGCCACGATTGACTTGATATTGACCATCGAGTTTTAATGTTCTTGATTGTAGGCTGTACCGGTATCTGGATCTTGTTGTTCTGGATCCCACAGGATATTGTCAAAAGGATATCATCGCTGAGGTTCTTTATTACAATCTGAACTTCACACTCATGGATACTTATCAACTCAACAGACTATAGTCTAACACAATGATCCTGTTTCGCTTGAACTCTAGCACATGGCCGCTGCTCAGTGGAGAAACACTCTTGATCGGGATTTGATCGTTAATCTTTATTTGACCGAATACAGGCACCAAATGCTACCGTTCCTGGAGGTCATACGTGCGATGGGCATTACTTTCACCATGTTTGAGCCCAACCCTATCTACAGTGGAGTTATGGGAGAACAGGGTGTCCTTGACGAGGTAATGGTCCACCTCTGTCTGGCTCAACGTCAGGTTTACTCGGCCTTAGGCCATCGGGACACTTTATCAAAGCAGACGCAGGATAAGCGTACTATCTCCCACGCTTTTGATCTAGCTTTGGATGCAGCCTTGTTATCACAGGATTCGTCGTCTTGGATTCAGTCATATTTGGAAGAGGCTAGTGAGAAAATTTGCTGCTCATTTCGAAGCTCCGGGAAAGTTTCGTCCGAGAGCCATTCAAGTTACCTGCTGGACTTTGTGAAGCTACTGTTGAAAAGCGTTGTTGTTGCACCTTTACAGCTCGTACCCAGGATAATGTGCATGACAGCCGTATGTTTGCGGTCTTGCAAAAAATTACATGAAGGCGCCTATTCAAGGCATTTTATGGTAGGTAGCGCGAGGACTGCAATATTTGCCTCGCAATTAGATCCACAGTGGTTTTTAACCGAGGTAATCTGCTTAGACCCGTAAAGTGATAGCAGTGTGTCTGGACATATTCCTGGCGTGTATCGTACACAGAAACGAACCACGATCCAATGTCTCAGCCAGTGCAGAGGACCAGAGCCGGTGTTTTAAGGACGACCTAGAGATGGCCTTATCCATATTTCTGCTGCTCTTCCCAGCTCAAGATTCATCGACCTGGTTCTGTACATCGTTCTCGAGTGCTTCCCGAATGTCTGGCCTTTCAGCTGGACCAAGCGTCTGTGCCGACTTTTTGCTAGAGTTGTTCGAGCAGTTGGTCCCTCTCCTGGAACGCCAAGCTCAACTGGAACCATCCTCACCAACACTGATGCTGGCCGGTCTCTTGTTTGAACTCCTTTCATTTCAAATACCATCTATTATTCTCATTCGAGACAGATTGCGGATACAGGATGTGATGAGCAATATTGCCGATCTTCAAAGGGACTCCAGTTTGTCAGCATCGCCTCTGTGGCAAAAGATGTATGACCCGACGCATTGCCCACACCCGTTTCCAGGATTGCAGTCCAGGTTACAAGCACTTGGAGTAAATCCGTCATAAAATTGAACAAATACATTCTGCAGTTGCATAACGACGTCTTTATGGTGTAGAGGAACTATAAGAAAAACATTTGGCGGAACAGAAGATTGGGAAATATGAGGTGGTTTATCGCGTTTGAACCTAGCAGACAAAAGAGCATTGGGATGCGCGTTAGAGACAAATACTCTTTAAATTCGAAAACATTATTGTCGGTACGGAACTCTTGCAATCTGAATTCAAGGCTGGGGCTTACCAAGTCGTCGATCTTGAGCAGCATCTTAACGGTCTCGGCAGCCAACTCGATCGCACTTGTAGAGACGAGTAAGGGTTGGATGACATTCTCGTCCAAGATATTTGTAATAGCTCCCTTGCGAACGTTGATTCCAGCAGTGGTTTCACCCAAGGCGTGGCGGTTACGCAGTTCTGTGACGATGGCGATGGGGTTCAAACCGGCGTTCTCGGCCAGGGTGATAGGAATGACCTCCAATGCCTCAGCAAAGGCCTGGAAGCAATGTGCCTCCATGCCACGCAACGTCTTCGCATACTCCTGCAATCTCAAAGAAATCTCGATTTCAGGTGCCCCTCCTCCTGCGACCAAGTACTTCTTCTTGACCAGGCAGCGAATGACACACAGGGCATCGTGCAGCGAACGCTCCGCCTCCTCCAACACAAGGGAGTTGGCTCCGTGGCACAAAATTGAAACAGTCTTGCCAGCATGCTTGACTCCAGTGATCTTGACCACACGGGATCCAGCATCTTGAACCTCATCGATCAAATCAGCATAACCGAGCTTGTCCTCTGTAAACGAGTCAATGTCCGCAATGGGCTTACATCCCGTGCTCTTGCAGATGAACTCAATTTCATCGCGCTCAATATCCTTGACAACCATGATCTTCAGCTTAGCCAAGAAATGGAGTGAAAGATCATTAACAGCATCACGGAGGATTGATTTTTGGATTAAGAGAACATTGCATCCAGACTTCTTGATCTTCTTGACCATGTTGAGCAGATACTGACGCTCCTCCTTCAGAATCTTATCCATCTGGCGGTAGTCGTTGACAATAATCTGGTTCTCCATCTATAGAGCGGATTGGCGAGTATGGGATATTAATACGGGTTAGTACATATACGGGACAAATTTCAAAATGGATCAATCAGTATTCAAGAGAGGTGGGTTACATCGGGCTTGGGGGGTGAGAGCTGGAACTGAACGAGACCGATCTTGGCCTTCTCAATCCTGGTGGGACCTCCGGCAGACTTAAGGACATTTTGAGCCAAGACCAGACCATCGACCAACTCAGTATCATCGATCGTTCCTCCGACTTTCTTCACAATGCGAATATCCTTCAAATCTACGTTGACAGCGGTGGCGGGGTCAATGACCCTCAAGACGGCGTCGACAGCGATAGGTGCAAATAATCCAGAATACTGAGAGACGATCTTTGAGTTGAGAGATGTGCTGGCACTCTTGAGAAGGGAATCGCGATCCGAAAGATCAAGCTTTGTGGCGACCTCAGTCAAGAACTCGTTGGCCTTGTGAGAGGCCTTCTGAAATGACTCTGCGATAGTGGTAGGATGGATGCCCTTGTTGAGCATCTTTTGAGCAGCACCCAGCAAAGATCCTGCCAAAACAACGACCGACGTGGTACCATCTCCAGCCTCAACATCCTGAGCAGCCGATAGATCGACCAGCTAAAGAGAAATCGAGAGATATCAAGTGCAGATTGATTGTTGGTAGCGTGCACTAGAGCGGGTTCCAGATGCCAGGCATAGCAAATCGCATTAAAGACATCCTACCATTTTAGCAGCTGGGTGGAGAACAGCCATGTGCTTCAAGATGGTTGCACCGTCGTTGGTGATAATAACCTCGCCATTGCTGGTCTTGATCTAATGCCAGCACCATGAAAATGAGTACGTTAATTGCTGTGTAACAACATGATTCGCAAGGTATGTTGTAAAAGGAATGCAACTGAATAACCTGGGCATTCCTTCTTACCATCTTATCCATGCCCTTAGGGCCCAAAGAGGTGCGGACGGCATCACTGACAGCTATAGGAATCAGTTAATGTAAGGAGAAATGCGGTACGTGTCAGTACACAGCAAATTGAACTGAAACAGAGAATGCGTGGGCAATTGATCCATGGTCGCGCGAATGGCGCTCGAATCCTGGTTATAGTCCTGTTTTTTGACTGAGCAACATTCTCAGGTAAGCGCAGCAGTTTGCGTTATTCTGTGTCGTTCCTTGTTGCCGCTTTCAGCCGTGATATGATCGAAGCAGTGAACAAATCAGGGTTGCCCTCTCGCGGCGCGCCAAAGATCACTGGAATCTGCCGAGAAACGTCGTTGCTACCAGTGCCGTGGGCACTAATTTTTTATTCACCACGCTCGAATCGAAGTGCTTCTCGAGGTAGTCCAGAGAGGCTGAATACTTGGTAGATGACCGAGAAGAGACGCGATGGGGAGGGGAAGAAGAACATTAACGTGAGGGGCTCAGGTCGTACCCTTGGCGGCGATGATGTTGCTAAGTCTGACTTCGACGGGCTTGTCCTTGTCCTTGAACGATCCGCCTCCGGTCCTAGGTGCTGGTGCTGCGTCAACCATGGCGAGTGCTGTATTTGTGGGTGATGGGAAGGATGGGAGGGATGGGTTGATGGAGGGGATTCGTTCCAGAAGGCCAGAGAAGAACTGATCAGGTCAAGTCGGATAAACCACACGTCACTGCCTGGCCTGGCCTGGAAATAAATCTTTTTCGCCACCATTTTTTTTAAAGGCCAGTTATTTATTGGGTCTACAACACTATTGACTAGTTGGTCTGTTTGAGCTGGCCAACGAGCTGCTTACTCAGAGATCTGATCGGGACAAACGACTCAGTGTTATCAGTAATAAAGTGCTGCTGTTTTGACGCATTACTATGGTATGCAGAGCCTCAGAGGTCCAGGTTGTTTGCACTAAACTCATGTAAAAAGATGCGACCCCCATCATATGGTTGATTGCTGCCAGATATTCTTGTCTTCTTAATCTCAGGTACACATCCATATCGAACCCCTCAGGCCTAAACCCAAGTGCGTCATGGTACATCAAGAGATATTGTTTTCTTTATTCTCTAGTATGTATATACAGATACTGTCCTCAAGGAGCGAGGAGCACTACGCCGTAAGCTTAATCCCCTGGTCCGACATGCCCTTGAGTGCCTCCATAGCACAGTACCGTACAGCCTCACTGCTGCTCGTCTGGATCAGGTTCGCCAGCTGTTGGATCCCACCATGTGATGCTATTTTTTGACTGATCTCCTTGCCGCCGATCGTCACTAGGTTCTTGAAGCACTCTGCCCCACGATGGCGCAGTTCATCCATCCTGCCCACTGCCACCGCGTGGTCGACAACTGTTTCCTGGTCCGACATCACGTCCTCAATAGCCTTGGCCTCAGCCTCGTCAGCGTCCGCATTGGATGTGGGTACTCCAAGTGCGATCAGGCTTCGAAGGATCTCCAGTCCACGCTCCTGTGCCATGATCATATTGCACACATCTTGACTGGTTGAAAGCACCGCCAGCGCTCCTGATGCCGCTCTCCTGGTCATAAAGTCATCAGCGTCGCACAGTGCCAAAATCAAATGGATCTTGCTTGCGCTCTTCTTTGGATCGCTGTATAGCTCAAATACTGGCTCAAAAAAGATCATGTTGCAGAGAGCCTCTGTCGCTGCACGTCGAACCAAAATGTGCTCTGAGAACTGCAAGTTCTCCATCTTCTCAACTCCTCCACCCTGTACGATAAGACCCAGTACCTGAACGTCGCCCATGGACCCAAGGTTCGTTAATGCCATTAAACTCTCAAACTGGCATAGCTGATCCGTACTCTCTAATAGCCAGATAAGCGGTTTGACCAACTCTGGTATCCGCTGGTTTTTGAAAGTCAGGCGCGGGTCCAAGGTGATGCATAGTTTGGCGAGGGCCTGTGCTGCTGATGCCCTGGTTGATTCTGTGATGGGTTGTTGTTGCTGCCCTTGTTGCTGCTGTAATGATATGGGCATCAAAAGTCGCACAACGCCCTGCTGGACAAGCAATCCTCGTGTCTCTGTTGGTGTAATGAGGTTCCTCAGCACCTGCGCCAAACTCTGTCGGATGGTCTCTGATGCCTGGTTTCCGATTGCATGAAGCGCAGGCATGATCCCTAGCTTGACCAGGGCGATGTTCCGCTGGTTAACAACCGCCTCGCTATCCAATGGGTCGTCGTCGTCCTGACTCTGCAAGCGCTTGGAGTCGCTTTTGGGAAGTGTTCCTGCCATTTTCTTCAGCTTAAGCATTTGCTCTTGTTCCGGACTGAGTCGCTTCCTGAACGTCGTGAGGTTGTTGAAAATGACGATCAGTCCATACTTGAGTGGGTTGCTTTTGGTTTCCTCTCCAAGCTGAAACAGGGACAGAAGTAGGGCCCTGTCTGATATGATGAGGTGTTTCACTGCTGGCTGGATGCTGGCGTACGCGAGACCCTCAACGGCATTCAGCTGGATTCCGGCATTGTTATCGTTCCTGTCGTCCTTGAGGAGTGTTGAAAACAACTTTGCAAGCTGGGCTTCCTCGTCCACATTGTTCTCTGATAGCTTGGAAGAACGATCATTCGATGTATCCTCAATGCCGTTCAGTCCAGTCGATGGATCTTTCCGCGAGTCCGCCAACGAGATCTTGGTTAAGGCAACGGCCGCCGCTCCCTTCAGATGCTGGTTTTTGGTCGCTCCCTTCAGAACAATCGATTTTAGAAACTCGGAACAGTGAAGTGCCACCGCTGTCCTCGTCTTGGCGTCCGCGCAGGCCATCGAAAGTATCTCGGCCAAGATGATCTGAATATTCTCGGGTTCCAGCTCGATACAGTCCATCAATTCGACAAGTAATCCCTCCTTATTCAGAATGCCACAGCCAATGGCCATATCCGTCTGTACGATTAAACCCAATGCCGTAAATCCTGCAGAGCGAATCTTGAGCTTGTCCGATCCAATGTCCGCCAGAACGATCTCAGTACTCCTGTTGCGAACGTGATCCTTGTTTGACGCGGTCTCAAATGCCTTGGCTAGAAGGATGGCCACCATGGGCTTTAAATCTCCGGGACGCGTTACTTTCTGGCCTACTGTGACTGATGGCGTTTGTGGTCCAGATGCGGTGGCAGTTGATGTCGAGACAGTGCTAGGAAGGCGCAGGATGGCGGGATATGCTCTGCTCTCGAACAGCGCGTCGACAAAGGGTGTATCATTCATGGCCATTCGAAGGAGTGACTTGAGGACCATTCCTTGAACCTGCAAAATTGGGTCGCCCTTCTCATTTGAAGATCCATCAGCTGAAGGATCCTTTGATAGCAGAACGGCGCAGCGCTCGAGAAATTCTCCTTGTTGGGTCCTGACAAGCGTCTTGCTGTCCTCCGAGTTTGCGCTGGCGAAGGACGCAATAAGTGCAGCTGACAAGTCCGAAATAAGCTCTGGTTGGATGTCATGAGCAGTTTGCAGTTGTTGGAGGTAGTCATCGATCATTTTCTTTTGCTCGGTGGTGTTTGACATAGTGCTCGTAGGATGTGTGATTAAAGAATGAGTATGCCATGAACATGGCGATAAATAGGGGATCATTGTCTAAGAATATATCACGTGTATTTTCTGCACTTTATTGCTAGCGGAAGCCCTTGGGGCCCTAGAGACAGCAACGAGATAAAAAGATTGAATGCCGTTAGTGAGCGTCAGATACAAAGCCAGATGAACATGCGATGGCAAAGATGCCTGCGATGATAATGGTATCTCAAAGGACATACCATTTTGAACGACTCAAAAACGGCTTGGAGGGGCTGCAAAGCTGCTGAAGTCAACTCGTGTTCCGCCTCTTCCACTTGTCCATTGACCTCTTGCACCGAAGCGGCAACCACTTCCACCAGAACCTATGTCCAAATAGCCAATCAGTGTTAGGAACCATTGTGAAATTACCTCTGAGCCTGGCGATGGTAATAGTGCTAAATGAAAACGTACAGCTAGCTCGTCAATCCGTATATACATTTGGTCCAGTGCCTTTGCGCTTTCGACGAGCGTCTTTGTCCGCTGGTTTAGGTCTGGTATTTGGTTTTTGATCTAGACGGGCGTAAGGTCAGCAACGATTGTTGCATCCATTGTCTGCTCCAGTATGTATGGATCGATAGTGAAAAGTGTAATATGTACCTGGCTGACCTGAGTCCGAACCCCGTCCATCTGAAGTGCCACCGTCTGGATCTGACCCTGGGCCTCCTTGACCTACAGCGACAGTCCAATATACATAGTCCAATGCGCCAAGGATGTTAGTAAAAGGTCGCTTGATGGTCCCCATGTATATTGCAAGTAGAGCGGACGCGATAGATCCGTACTGCTGAAGCTGAAATAGTCTCTAAACTGAACTCCTGTGCCAACTCCTTTGCAACAGCACGAATAGAGTCCTGCTGTGTCTCATTGTTGTCGCCGACATCGCTGACTGCAAACAAATGGTGCTCAAGATGCTGCGGTGGTTCCTCCTTGTCTGACTGAGCTGATGGCGAAGATTCCTTGCTTTTGCTGCTCCGTGCGCTGCTCATGGTCTCGTCACTGGTGGCATGGGGAAAGAGAATTGTGACTTTGCCATGGCATTGAGTCCCTATTTTGTTCCTTGACCTTGAAGCGATTATTTTTTCCACGTCCAATACACAGTGCGAGCGTCCGAACAAAGTCTGATATTCTCACCATGCACGAAATCGTTACCTTGCAGTTTGGTCATTTCGCCAACTTTGTCGGGGCTCATTACTGGAACGCCCAAGTACGTCGCCTTGAATTCTACGCACATCAACAACCTGCTAAACGTTGTCATTGCTATCGGTGAAATTTTGAATCCTGGCTGTGCACTCACTATCAGTTGCAATTGGTATCATTGCGCTACAGGAGGCACACTTCAACTACCAGCAGCCGTCAGAAGAAGAGGAACCCGCCCCAGAACTTGTCAACCATGACTGTCTGTACAGAGTGGGGATCACCAACAAGGTATTTTGCACGGATCGGGCATATTGATGGTGCGGATTAAATTTTGTCTGCAACTGGAGGTATAACCATGCTGCGACTTGCGTTCTAGGGCGTCGACACCTACACTCCACGGGCCCTGATCTACGATCTGAAAGGTACGGGACTCTTTCTCAATGCAGAAGTAACTAGAGCATATTTGAGGCATTTGCTAATGCGTTTTAGAATAACTCTAGGAGGGTTTGGGTCTATCAACAAATACAAACTGTATGAGACTGCGCCAATGCAGGATTATCATCAGCAGCAATATGATCTTACATGGTAAAGTGCATGCACGTTATATTAATACTATTCGATAAAGCACATCAATGGAATATCTTGTCAGCATTGCGACGTTTATTGATCATATTTGAATGCAGGGATCCATCGAAAATGGAGACATTTCAGGAGGAAGAATACATCAGATCAGAATACCAAGAGCATCTGGAGAACGAAGAGATGGGCGTGAGTACTATAGCCCTTCTGCTGAAATGAATCGGCTTTACAATGACCAGCGTTCTCTTAGCTAATTATCTTCGGCTATTTGCAAACAACAGTTGGCCACAGAAGAAGGCGAGGACGAGATTGAAATGAACGGCATGAGGACTTGGTCAGACTTCAACCGTGTCTACTTTCATCCAAAATCCATGGTGACTATGAGCGGATATCAACTGGACAGCGAGTTCATGCCATTCGATGTCTTTTCATATGGTCATGCAGCATTTACGGAGACTGAGAAGGTAAAGATGTTGACTAGCGGTCTGAATACATATCCAGAACGGATTCGCTGTGATAGGGAGATATGGGGCTTACAACCGCTTCTCTCCAAAACCTAGGAGAAGGACTCATACGACGAAAATTTCAGATTATTCACGGAAGAGTGTGACCAGCTCCAGGTACGCTAATGGCTCAATGGGCATTAAGACAAATTCCAAAGCAAGTGAGTAAATGCTATCCTTAACGGCTTTTCGTTTGTGGTCTCATAGGGGTTTCAAGTGTTTGCGGATGTGCTGGATGGTTGGGGCGGATTTACTACCAGTTACCTGGAACAGTTGCGCGAAGACTTTCCAAAAACCTCTATTGTAACATATGGTCTGAGTGACAGTCAAATGGGAAAGCGCAGTACTTTGGTGAGTCCATGGCTTCATCATTTAGTCCACATGAGCTACAGCTGAAGCTGACGCAAACTAACCCTTACTCTTGTTCTTGTAGAGGGAGAGACAAACAGCCGCTGTGAACGAAACATTAGCCATGACAAACCTCTCCATGTTGTCATCCTTATATGTCCCTGTTCGCGCTCCCACTCAGTCCATGCTTGTTGCGGACGGATGGTCAAAGAATATCAGGATCAACGTAAGGAAGCCTTCGTCTCGTGGCTGTTGATGCTTGCTTCAGGATTTTGTTGTCTTAAGCAAGCCTCTTGTATATGCTTAGCCTTCAAATCGTTACCATACGAGTGCATTCATTTCTGCAGGGATCGATTCAGCCCTACTTCCTTGCAGGTAAGGAGCTTGCGGCAAATTGCGTCTGCAATAAATTTCTTGTTGCTTTAACGATATATGATAACGATTGTTAGATTGCGCCAAAACTCAATCTTGATGCCAGACCTAGTCGGTTCTCTTAACTGGAGAAACATTACGACTGTTGGCACACTCTCAGTGGGGCTGCCGTTTCCCTTTGGCTTAAGCAAATTGCCTCAGCTGACAGGTAAACAGTCGCCTCTTCTGGACCTCTCTTCCCTGAAAGAAGACATTGTGAGTGAGCAAACCTGTGAACGACGCCCAAGATTCGAGTTGGTTTATGAAAAGAATATGCGTTTAACTATGTACACACTAACAATGTCCTAGGATGATCAAGTTTTTTCGCAATCAGTGGTGCTGCGTGGATTGGAAATAAACCAGTTTGCAAAATATGCTGCTGGGTAAGTGCCGGCGATATTACTGCAAGTGTCTCTCTCCATGTGTCTTGTTTAGTCGAGTTCGATGTTCTAACCTCTTACCGTACAGAACCCAAAAAACGCCGCGAGAGCTTGTGGACGAAATGTTGGATACGCTTCCGATCGGAAAATCGCTGGGCGACACTAGGTAGGTTGCGTTTTGTTCATTATTTTCGTTTTACAGCTCTGGGTTATGTCGGCTTACTCTAACGCCCTTTCACAATATTAGGACCCAAACATCAGTAAAATATCCTATCCCGACATCCTTTCCGCGCTTCTTCCAGAAACTCACCCCCGAAGGCTATCAGACAACAAGGTGTGTATATGTACAAGGCAAACAGTCCGAATATCGATCGAGTACGCCTTCTATAATGCTGTTTCGCTTTATTATTATTTTTATCTTAGTCATTCTCCTCCTAATCTTCGTGAGGACGGGACAAGCAAAGGTGAGCTGACAGTCAGAAACACTGCGAATAATTTTGCGTTAATGAGACGATACGGATTTTGACCTGTTCATGTAATCACACTCACCATAGTCAACAGTGTTCCCACTATCACAAGGCTGGCTGTCTCGACTACAACGCGGTGGCATCTGCAAACCCTCTCAGACTCTGTCGCTAAGATCAACTGGAGACTATTACCTCAATTCGAGGGCGATGGCCCAAGCGGTGTTAGCAGCGAAGAATTTGCAGAGGCGAAGGAGTCGCTGTTGGACATGTACGATATCTACAACGAATAAAGCACAATATCAACAGCCGAAGCCTTCAAAGTCTACAAACTCTTCAAATACTGCACGTTTATTGGCCCTTATTGTCATCTGGTTCCGGAATCCTGATAACAGACACCATGAACGGATCGACCCCAAAAGGATCTGTAGAAAATGGGTCTCCGAGCCTTTGAGCGCCAGTGCTTGGTGTATCCAGTTCTTTGACGTGCATATCCTTCAGTAACTCTCGTTCAATTTCCTCGGGATCAATATCATACTTTGATAGCAGTTCCTGCAATAGAGGTTCGTTCTCTGGGGATGGCAGATATGCATTTGGGTCTTCGGAGACCACGGGTGTCCTGTCAAAGACACGTCTTGCTCGATCATACACAAAATCCGGCCTTGGCTTGTAGCTGACATTAGCCATGATGGACTCAATACTGCCGTAGTACTGCATCAGCTTAACTGCCCTGTTTGGACCAATGCCTTCTATCGTCTGTAAGCAAATAGATCCATCAGTACATTTCTTGTTTATGAAATAAAATGCACATCCAACGATCCAACAAAGCTGTATTGTACACTCACCCCTGAGAAATCGGTACCGCACAGGATGCACATATCCCGAAATGCATTTCGACTTAGCCCAAGACCAGAATGCGCCTGCAACGGATCGATCTCAATGATATCCCTATCATTACTTGCGCCGATCTGTCGCAACAAAATCCCGTTACCAAAGACTGCTGTGTCCGTGTCCTCGCTCACAGATGCATCTGCCCAACCGAGCGTTGTCAGACGTGCACACACCGCCTCTGCTTCGGCTTCGTACGCCTCAATGACAGGCTGACCCATGGCCCGCAATAGCTCTTGGCAAGAAAGAACCAAGGGTCTTGTAATACGCAGCGTTCGACGCTCAAGTGTCACAAAGAGTGACTCATGCTCCGAAAGAATGTCCTGTATCATCGAGTGTAGACCGGGATCCTGCTCCGTTTCCGTGCCAGCCTCGGCATTCAGGTCATCCTCGTCAAGAGCATCGATCTTATCCGTCATGTCATCCACTAGCCGTTCATCCCGGATCCTATTTGACATGTTATCCGACATCAGTTGGTCTTGTATGCAGTCCATAATATCATTCGGTGGAGCTTCGTCCATGGTCTTGAATGAAGCACCGTCCAGTAACCCCGAACCGTCCGCCTCGAATACTTCATTTTCTGATGCCTTGGAGGTGGCGGAATCGCTTGGTATGCTTGAAGTTGAGAGGAAAACGTCTTCGGAAACGATACTCGGCTGTGATAAAAGTGCAGTAGGCGGAATCTTCGACGTAACTGCCTGTTTCGCCTCTAATACTGCGGATTCCGCCAAAGACCGCTTTGTCGGTGATGAGGTGTTTTTCTGTGCCATTCGTTCGTCAACATTTATGCGTAATGCTCGCTTAATGCCCTTCGCCAGCTTCTGCTCTAACACGCCCAAAGCTTTCTGTCGCCGCGTGCCACTTTCCTGGAGCTCCACCATGCTGGATTTGACGTCCGACTCCACAGTCTGTACGAAATCCGTAAGCGCGCTACGGACCTTCTCTCTGATCTTTGCATCACGTCCACGGTTGGGAGAACCGACATTCTCCACCTTGGGGAGATCGCCTGCTGGAATTAGACTTTGAATACTTGTTCCTGTCCTCAACTTGAGCTGCATGTCATTGCTGTGCGAAAGCTCATTTATCAGATCTAGATCACCAACGGTCTCGAGATCTAGCTCCAGCCGTCCTATCGCTTCCAGATCGTGCTCAGACACATCAAATTCCAAGTCGTCCCCAACAGCGCTGTCTTGAGGAATGGGTCCGCTTTGGGTGTAAAGACCATTTATGAGCCGTAAATGGTTATCAAGTTGTCGCTGTTCATAATCGGAGATCGAGGGTATGTGCCGAAGAGATTCATACTCAAGGCTGTCCTCGTGAATGTTGTAGACATCATCCAGGAGATCCAGTGCTAATGGTGCGTGCAATTGACTCATGTCTAGTGCCTTCTTTTGATCCGAGGTTGTTTTTGCTATTTCACCTTCAGTTGCTACTGGCTTGCCTGATCCTGTTGCGGTCGCTGTAGTCACCAAATTTTCATGCGTTCGAACACCTTCCAAGATCGAAGACAGTTGCTCTGGTGAGATAGTTTGCAGCAGTTGTGTCGAGCCCCTGAGTCCCTTCAGTCTTGTCTTGCGGTTCTTCTCCAACCGAAAGGCACGCTCGACTTTTTCCTTCATAGCAGCTCGCTTCAGGGTCTCTCGATGTTTCTCAATAATTCGGCCCTCTCCATCAAAGACAAAGATAGGGTTGATGCCATTGAGATGAAGGTACATGCACAGCCTGTACACGCCACGCTGGACTCGAGCAGGATGTGGATCCAATCCGTAGACTAAGGCAGTGAAGAAATACTAAAAAAGTGAGTACATTCGATCTATATAGATTCGTTTGCATTCACTAACAACATAACTTACTGAATCGATTGAGAAAACAGCTAACGTCGATGGCCAGGGTCTTGCCCTTGTAGTTGGATATATGCTGCAGCGTGACAGAGTTGGGTGCCATACGCTTTAACAACGCCGTAAGTCCCTTGACGCCCATGAGTGCACCCCAATGACTCGTCTCCGATAGAATAGGTCTACAGGAGAGTGCGGATCAGGAAAACCGAGGTAACGTATAGTGGACGGTAAGAAAGCGTGTGTGAAGGATAATGAAGGCAGAAAACAAGCACTATGTGGCGGTCCTGTTGTCCAAGACGTTGATCGCGCAGCCAGTCACCAAATATTGGTGGCGCCCAGCGTCCACTATCAACTCTTCTTCCGAAAATAGGGTCTGATCAGTTGCCTTCTCAGGATCACCAATCGCTCATTCGCTAGAAGTCAAAAGGTCGCCGCGATGAAAGTTCCCCCGGGCTCGGTGCTCCGCTCGCTCCTAAGCCAGACCAGCAGCACGTTTTCGGGATGGCCAGTTTGTCGTCATGCACACGCCAACCCCGGCTGCTACCCAACAAGGTCCTTTATGCCTCTGCAGTCGACCAGATGGTATAGCGCACATGGTATGGCGAAGGAGTCGCGTGTTTTTTTTTTTTTTTTTGATGATAGCTGCATTACTCCAATTGCTCACAATTCGCCGTGAATAGCCCGCAAAACGGATGTTGCGACCCAAAACTGCAGGAATATCGGAATCATTGCCCATATTGATGCTGGAAAGACAACGACCACAGAGCGCATGCTTCACTACGCAGGATTTACGCGCAGAATCGGTGGTATGTTAAAACTTTCTCTGTTTTTGTGCGGTCTTGGGCACGAATATTTATACGGACGGTGCTGTCTAACCACTCTGGACTTTAATCTGGCGTGTTAGACGTTGATAGCGGAGACACGATCATGGACTACATGAAGCAAGAAAGAGAACGCGGTATCACCATCACGTCAGCTGCCATCACCTTTGGTTGGAAGAATCATCGCATCAACTTGATTGATACCCCTGGACATGTGGATTTCACCATTGAGGTCGAGCGATCGATTCGAGTTCTGGATGGGGCAGTGACCATCTTGGATGCTGTTGCTGGAGTTGAGGCACAAACAGAGACTGTATGGCAGCAAGCTGATCGGCAGGGTATTCCTCGTATTGCATTTGTGAACAAAATGGATCGCGCTGGCGCAGGATTCGGCAGGACCATTCGTGAGATGAGGACTAGGCTCGGCTGTCGGCCTGTCATTGTTCAGATCCCACTTATGGAGCCGCTGAATGGATCCAGTGGCTCAGGATCGAATGATGCCAAGTTTTCCGGAGTTGTTGATGTACTCTCGATGGAGATTCTCAGATGGGACTCGGACTCGAAGGGCGCAAAGTTGACAAGATCACCACTCGATGCTTCATATTCGGATCAAGAACTATATCAGGAAGCGGTGAAGGCCCGCGTGGCACTAGTCGAACAACTCTCAGCATTGGACGAAAAGATCATCGAACTTTTCTTGACATTGGAGGACCATATGGCAATTGAAGCTAAGGATCTGCAGGCAGCTATCCGCCGGCTTACTTTGTCCTTGACTATCGTGCCAGTTTTGTGCGGGGCTAGTTTCAGAAATATCGGTGTTCAACCTTTGATGGACTCTGTGGTCGACTATCTCCCGTCTCCAGACGAGCGTCCCGCTGCTCTAGCCCGCATGGCAGATGGCAAGACGGTAGAAATAGGGTCAGGCGGATCCAAAGAACGACTTTGTGCTCTCGCGTTCAAGGTGATTCACGACTCACGACGAGGATCCATGGTGTTTGTTCGCGTCTATGCTGGCCAACTGAATGAAAGAGCACAGCTCTGGAACAGCACAACACACACGAAGGAAAGAGCCAACAAACTGCTGCAGATGTACGCCATGGACGTCGAGGAGATCCCGCACATTACGAAAGGAAACATTGGCGTCGTGTTGGGACTCAAGGATACCAGGACCGGAGACACTCTCCTCGATGCACACGATTCTCGCAAGGGCTTGGCGCTGAGCGGCATCAAGGTGCCATCGCCCGTGTTCTTCGCCAGTGTGGAGCCCATGTCTACATCGGACGAGAAGCCAGTAGAGGAAGCCATCAAGGCTTTGATCCGCGAAGACCCTTCGTTGGGAGTAAGAATTGATGAGGAGACTGGCCAGACGCTGCTCGGGGGCATGGGTGAGCTGCACCTGGAGGTAGCCAAGGATAGACTTGTGAGCGACTTCAAAGTTAACGCGGAGATGGGAAAGATGAGGATCTCTTTTAAGGAAACTATGAGGGGCGCCGGGGTTGTCTCTGAGGTCCTGCAATGGGAGTATGATCGCGAAATCTTAGGCAAACGTGGACGCGCGCGAGTTGGTGTGACAGTAGAGAGGCTCGAGCCGATCGAGCAGGATGTAGCTGGATCTTCGGCATCTGTTACCACCAAAATCAAGGCGAACGGATCATTGGGCATCGGCTCAGAAGAATATGACGGAAACGAAGTCGTTATTGCACTGACTGAACAGCCTCCGATCGCCGATGAGGCTGGTGCGGTCGCCGCCGCCGAGAAAGCAGCTTCCACTGGAGTTGTCATCCCATCCGGGTCTACTGATTTACCCACGCCCGTTTTAAGGACAGCGGTCAAGAACGGCATTATGTCTGCGCTCTCCCGCGGACCTTTGCTGGGATACGCACAAACACATCTCAAGGTTTGTTTGACAGACCTGCATCTGTACGGTGCTGACTCGACCCCGGCGGCAATCTCATCCTGTGTCTCTGCAGCAGTAACGGAGGCAATTCGTCTGGGAGGAAATTCATCCGCGGGCGGGGATGATAAAAATTCAGTATTACTGGAGCCGATCATGGATGTCAAGGTGGAGGTAGCGGAAAAAGATGTTGGTACGGTGATTGGAGATATCAGCGGCACGCGTCGAGGCCGTGTTCTGAGCCTGGACGGCCATAGTACCGGGGAAGGCGAGGAGCCCGTAGATGAGAGTGAATTTCAGGTCTATGCCCCACCAGATCCAACGTACACAGGACCTGACGCAGGATCCTCACCACAATCGTCTTTATCGCCTGGTAGCAGCATTGCTGGAATGGCTGATCGTAGATATATTCGTGCTCAAGTTCCACTGTCGTCCATGCTCGGATACGATTCCGCTCTGCGTGCCATGACTGGCGGAACGGGCAAGTTTGCGATGGAAGTCAATGGATACGGTGAAATGGACTATGACCGACAGCGCGAAGTCATCAAAGAAATGCGTGGTGGATGATTGGCTGGTTTGTTAGATTCCGTATGCACTGTACAATACAATCCGTGGTAAACTGTCGTGTCACGAAAAAGCGGCTCTTTGGGGTCCACTGCTCTAATAAGTGAAAGGACCCAGAATGTCGACGCGCAGAATTCGAGTTTGGATTCTGCTGCCTGCATGTTATAGCAAAGAAAATGCACAGCTTGCTGTTTCCGTGGCTGTAGCGAGGGCTCTGATCTTTTCCAAAGCTCCTCTGGGCCCTACTCGCAGTTTGCTCAGCTGTAGAAAAGATACAAAAGGGGCAAAAAATAGAGGGTCTTTCGGTGGATGAATCGGCCGCGAGAGAAGCGCAACTAACAAGGAAGAGGCCAGAAAGTTGAGAGAGCTGAGGAGCTGTAGGACGGAAAAAACGAAGCGCGTGGCGAGGGCACGCGGCAAAGAGTATCTTTCATAATTTTCAGCCATGCTTTTGCGCATTCTTTTTCAAATTACCTATATACAGCACCTAAAGAATTATACAGTCGCTATGAAATTCTTCATGTCTGTCGAGGAGCTCTGGGGAAACATCCTTGGTGAATATCAGAGTGGTGTATGCTGAAGGATAGAGTTGAGACTCGTTCAATATCTGCCATTTCCACCGCTGTACTTTTTCACGGATTCCAGTCTCAGAGGCATCGTATCGACCAGCCTTGCCAGCTGTTCTTGTGGTAAATCATTCCACTCCTCCACTAGAGCTCTCACCAGGGTTGCAATGTCCCGGGATTGTCTTTGTCGTCGATTGAGAGGAGTACCAAGGAGAGACCAAACATGTTCGATGGGGTTCAAATCTGGAGAGTTGGCTGGCCAGTCCTCTATCTTGTGAAAGCCATGTGCTTGGCGCCGATTCTTTGACAGCGCGCAGTTGCGCACTGGCGTACCATCTTCCATGAGGATTCCATTCTGTATTTCCGTCATAAACCTGAGCAATTCATCCTCATACACATCCTCCACGAAGTACTATCCGTCGCGACGTCCTCGCTCAAAAACAACCAGCCTGGACTTCTTAGTAGCTGTAAATGCGCCCCAGACCATGAGGGAGGTCCTACCGCTCTTGAATGTGGGTGCGAGGCAATCGCCATCGTACTTTTCCTCCGCTGTTCGCCAAACTCGAATTTGGCGAAAATTCTCTCCAACCTCGAATGTTGACTCATCAGTCCATACTACCTTCGACCATTGCTCTGTTATCCATTTGCTGTACCTCCGCGTAAATGCGAGTCGACTATCCTTGTGAACGTCGCTGAGATAGGGTTTCTTTGCGGCTACCCGGCTGAAAATGCCAGTTGAATGGAGCGCTCTCCGAACGGTGACTTCGCTCACTTCATGGGGTACCATGGTGGTGATATCCTGGAGAGTGACACGTCCTTCACGCTTGGTGTTGCGTATCATACTCCTAATGTCTCTCTCACTGAGCGCTCTTGGCCGTCCAGAAATTGGGGCGTGTGCAGCGGTGCCTCTTTGATGGTAGATGTGAATAATATTGGTCACCGTGGACTTGGGTGTGTTGCGCTTCGTTGCAATTTCCGCATGGCTCAGTCCCGCTAGACTCATTCCAACGATAATGCCTTTTTCTTCCATGGATAGCTGTTTCGGCATGGTGGTTACTCAAGTTGCTGTCGATTGTACTTGGAGAAGAAAAGCCGTGTTAAAGAAAAGATGTATTTATTTGCTCATGGATAGAAAAATTCAAGTTGGCCAATTAAGTTGCTGTATGCTGCGCTCTGCAAACCAAAAGGCATTTGGCCGTCGGCATGGCACACGAGGCCCGCGGAATCGGAGCGATGAATAGAACACCAAGGCCGTCAATGCGCCAGGAGCTCTTGCTATCCAACCTTGGAAATGATATTGCTAGTGATTACTTCTGCCTAGCTGACGCAAACTGTGGTTTCCTCTATGGTTGCCCTGGCATTGCTTATATCTCTCACCAGCGCCTTTGCTCCTGCGCATCACATTCATTACCGTAGCTGCACAGCATCTGACGGGGACTGCGAAGTCGCGGTTGTCCTGGTGAACATAACTGGAGTCGAGTCGACCCGAGGTGCTCACCCAAGGCATCCATGATGCACGCCAAGAACACACGGTCGAGGGCGTCAAGGGCTTTCAGGGCGTGAACTGACTCTTCGGAAGGGATCCTGCGGTCAGGCCAGAATAAGGTCGCTCTATAATGGTATAAAGGTGTATATTCGCACTTTCGATGATATAGAACAAAGCGCGAAGAGACCTCTAAGCATTTTTCTTGGTCTTAGGCACAAGTCCAAAAGCACTAAGGACCTATAGGAAGCCGTGTCCAGAATATTACCGCGGCTCTCGGGGAGTATTCATGGCCAAAAAACGGTGTGCTTTGTGGCTCTGCAACTGCCAAAGAGCGCAAGTTGCTTTGTCTTCTCTTCATCCTTTACGTGCATGTTCTGCTTACCATCGTTTGTATCCAGCACCCATTCTTCATTTCGGAACAGAGCTACAAGAAACGAGCTTCGAGCGTCAGGAGGCAGGCATGTTGCGTACATAGCGCAGGATGCTCAGCTAAGCAGCGACGAGCCAGCTTATTGCCATACGCACAGATATCGGGCGCCTCTTTTGTGTACTATACTCCGGGTCTCCGTGATCATAAAGGATATTTATTAGAGTAGTACATGTGCTTCTATAAGTATCAGGTTCATTAAGACTAGGAGTCAAACTCTAGCACCCCGACCTTATTCATATGCGGGGGATAGATAGGTCTTTCGCATTGGAGGGTTATACGCGCTGATGAGTTACGGACAAAAAGGATAACAGTTAAGTATGCTGACTATTTATCTGAGCGAAAAAGAACGTGAGTTCGGCGCGGTATTTGATAAGATGACAGTAGTGATTCTCACCGGTAAACAGTTAACCACGATGAACAATTTTTTTGAGATCCTTTCACCGACGGTGAAAAATAAAGTTCTATATTTTCTACCAGTGATTCTCACCGGTGAACAAAGAATCGGTGAAATCCGGTGAAATCCAGTGAAATCCAGTGATATAGAAATACTATTACCATATGTGAAATTCACTGGTGAAAAAACCACAAAAAAAGTTGTTCACCGCAGTTAACCGTTCACCGGCGAGAATCACTATTTTCTACACACAACAGTATTAGCCGGTGAGAATTACTAGTTTTTATTGACTTCGCCTTGATGTGCTCTAGACCAGGCCCTTCGGTTACATCGTGGTTGGAGCAAACGACTCCTATACGTCCAAGGAGTGCCTAGTTTGCAAGAAATTTGCAGACTATATTGCTCGAACTGCAAGACACTCATGCATCGCGATATCAGGGCTGACCGCAAAATATGCAATGTCATTCGCAGCCATTTACTCCACCAAGAGTGGCCATTGTATACTACCCTTGGATGCGGCAATATGCAGGGCCGCACACAAAAGCCGGAAGCGGCAGCAGAGTGGTAATAGCAGTAATGAGGTGGCGCAAAGGCAAGGGCGAGCTGGTGGACGCAGGCGAGCAGTCTCCATGGTAGGGCTGGAAAATCCGTAATAGACTTACTATGAAAAGTGGGATCTTTTCCACTGAATTGAAAATATAAGGAGGTGTTATTCAGTCCATCTTTATTTCTGCTTGGATTTACGGATCACCAATCGTGCTGCTTTTCGGGGAAAAGTGAGAGAGGGAATAAGTGTGGGGATATAAGGTAGGGTCACCGCCATCACAAAACTGAATAACACCCCTTATATTTTCAATTCAGTGGAAAAAATGCATTATTCTGCAAAAAGGACTGTAGATATCAAACCTTATGTGTGTCGCGTGCCCTGTGACTGCTGTCAGGATATATAGAATTCTGCACGGACCGCGCCACGTGAGAAATAACGTTACGCCACCGCCACCACATCTTAGGGGGAACGCATCAATAAATCATATTCTCTGATCTCTACTTCTGCATGCTCCTATGCATTCTGTCCATCGTCCTCTCTCCTGCCTTCGAGAACTGTCCAGAGCACCCGCCGCATCTGACAGAGCGACGTACGATCAAACATAACGCGATAAAAGTGAACAGAATCACTGCTGTGAACACAGCTCCCAACTCCACTTCCACAGCGCCTGCCCTTTGTGTCCCCGCAGTGTCTGCCCGTTGTGCTGCCGCAGATGCCGAAATTCCGCTCCAAGCGGCCATTGACCCTACAGATGCTAACATTTCATCCGAAGCGGCTAATGCCCCCACAGATGCTGAGAGTTCATCCCAAGCGGCTACTGCCCCAATCTCCAGTCTCCCATGTCAGTCTACTGCTGCTCCTCTACAGGACGATGACGAGTTCTCTGCGCACCTCAACGAGCTCGAAAACATGCTCGAGGAAGAAAACGTCGGCGCGATCCCGATAGCCCTCCAGGTTGGCTCACAGATTCGTGAGCCTTTGAACAACAAGCGCGCATCGGCTCTGGTTAAACAAGAGCAAGCAAACCTCTCGTCGTCGATGCCATCCAAGAGCGGAGGACCCACTGTGCTTAGTCGCCCACAAAGTACCGAGCTCTCTGCGAATGTTACTTCATCCTCATCGCCGCCGCGGCCCATTAAGAAAGTCAGATTCTCCTCTGACATTTTGAACCTACTGATAACAGCGATTATTGCCGCCTACACAAGAGACAGCGGGAGTCAAACGAAGAGGCGAGACAACCACGGATCAAGAGGCAGCGCCTTGTGAATATTGTCACCAATACCTCGAGGGTGGTTTTCGAGCCAAATCCAAAAGTAAGTGCCAGGCGCAGGTCAGCCCGGCTCCGTGAAAGATCGTCGAACGCTGCCTCTAACAGTCTCACAAGCGCGATCACAGGCAGTAGTAGTCAGAGCCAGAGTCCTGTGAGTTTGGCCGCTATCATGATCCGAACCACGAACATTCCCGCAGCTGGTACGCTTCCCACGTCGACCGCAATGGTTCCTGTTTTACAGCGAACTATACATTGTTTCCTTCTGGACGAGGGCATAGAGGTGAGGCAAGTTCGGACAGAGGAGACTACACATAGCCCCATTCTGGACGAGGACGTATAAATGAAGTCAGTTTCGACAGATGAGACTACACATAGTCCTATTCTGGACGAAGACGCGGAGATGAAGGCAATTTGGAGAGAGGGGAATACCGTTCTAAAGCATCGTCTGCACCGCCGACAGCAGATTATAGAGAAGAGACCATATCAGAGACCTCGCCGCCCTCATCCCTCAAGATATGCGTGATTCCAGCACAAAATGAACAAGACCATCTTCAGCACTCTACGCACACGCGTGACCTCGCTTCGGGGAGACACTAGACATGGATCCGCGAGCGGAGTCAGACAATCTAGTGCTGGACCAATAGAGCAGGGCTCCTATTGTACAGCACAGGCCAGTACCGAGGCCGTGAAGTGGTTAATAAGCGTCGATGAAATCAATGTAAGTGCTTTGGCTGGGGTTATTTTGCTTTGCACTTGACACTGAAGCATAATGTTCACGATCACATCTTCTGCTCTTTTACCGGTTGTTAGATTCAAGAAAACTCAAGCAAAAACCACAAAAAAACCGTAAAATCAAGAAACCCAAAAAAGACATTGCCCATATGGTATGTGGATTGTGGGAAATCGTCGAGAATAGATTGTTCTGCAGAGTCCCCTAACATTTACCTTGAACTTGTTAATCAGTTTAAGTACAATTGGCCCACTGCGTAAATGTAGTAGAGGCACTCATTTATTCTCAGCAACGTGTCCATGAATCTGGACAATGACCAATAAGGGGAAGATAGATAGTCAGACCAAGAATTTGGTGCCGACACTGACACAAGAGAGGCCAGAGAATCATGCACTACATCCAAGAGGGTAACTAGTTGAGTCTTTGCTGCTTCACTTTTGCAAACTGCTTTTGCTACGGAGTTTCTAAGTCGTGCCCGACTTTGTTTCCTGCAGTAGGATGATGAGTTTTCTGAGAGCGACGACAATGACGATAGACATCCAGCCAGTGACAACGAAGCATAGGAGGCCGAGGCAGAGGAGGTCGAAGCAGAGGAGATTGAAGCCGCGGGAGAAACCACCCGAGCGGCAGGAGACGCGAAGAGGACAGGATGAACGAGCTGCGCTTCAAAAGAGCAAGTATCGAGCAGGTACACTGGACGTCGATGTAGTTTCGTCGCAAGAAGAGCCTTTGCCAAGTGATCTGGGACCTTTATTGACTCGCTTCATCTTCCTTGGCTTAGTGCCAACGCCCTCTAGCTCAAGGTCCTCATGGATTATTACGACAACCTCTTGACCAAGAGCTCCAGCGAACTTTCTAGAGGTATCAGATATGGTAAGGCAACAATTTCAATTCTTGCTGTGGGTTATGAAATCAGCTTTGAAAAGAAGATGCTCCAGGGCTTCCTGCATACTGACCTTGCTGGTGTTCTCATCATATCTCCCTGGCTAATAGGCCTCAGCTGTGCCTCCCGGAGCCTCCAACCCCCACAAATCATAGAAGCCGAGGGGGTTTCGGGCATGTACAGATGACCTACTGCAACGGGGCCTAACTTCAGCCCCAGCGCCCGTTGCAGTGGGTTGATCTTTACGGATCCATCCCGCCCATCGCAGCCACGCTGCCTCCAGCTGCGGTGGGAGGGGTTTTCCTTGTCTCCTTCCCATCCCCTCTCCCCTTCCTCCCCACCAGATGCTCAGGACTAGCCCCTAACGGCTATCTCATGGTAAGCGCACCTCTGCTTTTCTTGTATGTGATCGGCATATCCCACCTCCGCCGTCCCGGCATCAAGTGATCAAGGGCGCCTGTTCGGTTCGCCAACGGGACCCTACCACTGGCCTCTCGACGCAATGGGATGATACGCCGCGCGTTAGGGATGAAACGAGCTCTCTGGTCTTTTGGCTGTCTGATGCACCTGCTCTCGCCTACATCTTAAGGATCTTGTGGCGCTGCGAACGACTCTACTCTCCCATATACACATCGCGGCGCGCGAGGTTGTGCGGATCAACGTGATCCTCCGCGGTGCTAGCCAAAGGAAACAGCAGGCAGAAACAGAAATATACACAGCAAAGCAAGGTAAGGATACTAGAGAGCTGGCGTGCTCAGGGCTCTGGAGCAGCAGCCGTTGGGGTTGCAGGGGATGAAAAAATCAGTGGTCCTGTCCGGATCATAGTCCTAGACTAGACTGTCCCTTGCAGTTCAGGATCCTAGGCGATTATCGACCATCGTCTGTTTCTCTTTTCCTTGGACACTCTGATGGTTGGAGGCTTTCACTGGCTTGTAGTCACCGGCTCAAATGCACTGTGCACTTCCGGAGGTGGGTCTGGGTCTTCCACTATTGGTTCTTTCTTTCTATCCTTTTTTCTTTTTTTTTCTTTTTTTTTTCTTTGTGTTTATCTCTTTTCGCTAATGATCTGTTGGCCTGGGGTTGGGTGAGAATGCAGGAGGCTAGCATCCTCTTTTCTCTTTCCTTGTTCGTCTTTTCTTTCGTTCGTTTCCTCCTCCCTTTCTTCCTTGAGACCCAGACCGTCCGATGAAAAGCGTCAACTCCAGAATCACAAAGGTAAGCTGTCTGTCTGTCTCTGTTACGTGCATGTCTTTTTTATGCAACGGTATTCAAAACTTTATACTGATTAATACAACACAGTCTTCTCTTCTCAGTTTCCTTGAGGATCATCGGTCCGCATGGTAAAGCAAGCTACCCTGCGTATCCGCGAAAGTAGAGTCTGACGTCGTGCTAAGGTCCTGGTACTAGAGTAGGTGGGGCATTGGTGTGGGTGTAGAGGGCGGTCCAAAAGACCATGGCATTCGTGGACCAACTCACGGCTGAGGACCATTGCCCGGGAGTGTCGGTTGATGGTGGTACCGAAATATGACCGTGCAGGTAAGCCCTCGGGCTGCTTGAATGTCGGAAGGAGCGGGGTCGGCTTGTCGGTTGCATGCTTGGAAAGCATGGGGTGCACCTGCTATGGGCTAATTGGGAGGGGATCTGGGACTGGGCAGAGAGAGGAGCAGGGTGAAGGGTTTAGCATCAATGGGATAGGTTAGAGGGGTTTAGGGAAATGTAAGGAGGATTCGGGTGGATCAAAAGGGTCTGGGGCGGAATGGTCTCGGGCTTTGTCACCGTCCTTGCCAAGGTATGCATACATCCGCTGTTTGTTGTGCCTTTTTTGATGGCAAAGTGGCTCTGGGTCTATGCGAACTGACTGTGATCTTGTGTCTGATACTGGATAGTCGCCCCCACACCTCAAGCAAGCAAGCACATGCTGTCGTCGTCCGCCCACCCGCCCGCCCGCCCGCCATCGCCACATGAGCATCAGTACCAGCACCAGCGCCATTGCACGACAATGGGTGCAACGACTGCGACGATGGCAATTATCAGAACAGCGCTGCATCGAACAACAGCTATGATCACTCAAAACGGCAGAGGTCTCGGCACAATCAACTCAGCGCATTAACGCCGCATGGACTCCAAAAAAGCAAGACCAAAAAAGAAAAAAAAAGCTACTACACCGAAAGCACAAAGACTACACAATCAGCAAGAGCAAGAAAAACAACAACGGCGGCAAGCTAGCGACGAGGACGGTAAGACAGCGATAAGGATCGGTACCAGAATTAAGATCTTAGACAAGGTTCCGCAAGAGCGAGGGCAAGGCCGATTATAAAATCGGAAATAGGAATAAGCACAACCTATGGGTAAGACCGATAAGAGCCGCGGCAAGACCTCGACAGGAACCTGATAAGCACACAGCCGCGGCCAGAACAGCGATCAAGGGCTGCGGTCAAGAGACGCGATAGTAACGAGCATCCTATCGTGCTACAAAACTAGCCCGCGTGAACATATTCTAGTATCCAATGGTGGATCTTAGGGGAGCCTCAACCATACAGTGTGAGCGTCTGAAATAATAAAGCAATTGGCCAGACTTCAAGATACATATAATTCTTCATGGGGGCTTGACCTCACCTTATTCTTATTCCATAAACTTGCTCGGTCGCCAATAGTCCATCCATTTCGTCGCAGTAGGGGTGGTAGGGGCACACGTTCTAGCCCGGCTCTTTCAGCCCACCTGAACCGATTGCTCTTGTGGTGGCCCCAACTCTACCTTATTTTTGGAGTCGGTCGAGCAAGCTTGCACTGCAAGTCCTTGAGGGTGGGTTGCTATCACCCGAGTCCATAGTCTCTTGGATCTTTGCAGTCTGTTCATTCATGGTACCCACAGCCTTGAATTCCTGATCCTTCTCTTTCCCCACGCTCTCACCTTCTTAGTCGCCGGTGGACCATCAAAGTGTAAGATTGTTGCTGGGTCTTAGATAAATGTGTAAAGACCCTTCTTGTAGAGCGTGCGGACGAGTTGCGCCATGACTGAGACGGATGACGATGAAGAAACTGTGGTCTAGGAGGCGCACTGGAACACCTCAAACGTGATCTGCCGGTGAGTTGCGCGGATGTAGGAAAAATATATGCCGAGGACACTCACGTCCGCGTCCTGAACCAGGGACATATCTGCGGACGTTGCCTCCAGTCCCTGTCCCTCCAAATGAGGGAAGATACCTTCGATTTCATTTGTAGCTTTCGACAGGAGTAATAAAAAGACAGCAAACAAGATGTGGGTAGGAAGCGCTTTTTTTCGGTCTTTTGAATAATTTTTTGAAGTATCAATGGATGTGAAGAGCAAGGAAACAAATAAATGGTACAACTGACACAAAAACGCAAAAGAAGTAAGGACGAGGAAGGAAATTGTTAACGCAGGAAATTTTGAGGTAGAGCTGACGCAAGGCAGAAGGGGAATCTTGAGTTGTTATTTCTTGTGAAGCTGAGGCATGGAGAAGGCTGTGAATGGGAATGAGGGAGGAAAAAAAGGCTTGCTATGGGCGCCGTTATGAGAGTGCACGCTGTTATTTAGGATCTAGTTGCACATCGACCGCTGCTCACGCGTTTCCTCTTCCTTCAAACGGCACTTTCCTAATCAGGGCATGGCAAAGGTGCGCAGTAGACCTGCGCGAACATGAACTATATCCTTGCAGCCAGCAGTGTTTCCAGGTGCGTCCAGATCCAGCATTAAAGAATTTCAGATGGTATAGTACACACAGATAAACGGCGAGTCAGTTCTGGAACCGACATTAAGAAACCATTTTATTAAACGAGTGTAAATGAAAGAAAGCTGCTCAGAATATATCGCCAAGTCGTCTGACTGAGACCACTCAGCATGATCTTTCTTATGGAAAGAACACCGACATGGCATAAATTCGCGGATAGTTGCGGTCGAAACAACGAACCTGTAAAAGGTCGCCCGAGTGAGAAACCCCTGCTGAAGAGCAAAAAAAAGAAAAAAAGATCCTGCAAACTTTATGGCAAAACCATATTTAGAGCATTTAGAAAAAATATGTTAAACACGAAAATTGGTGGCGTTGACTCGAGCCCAAAAACCGGTCGCGTTGAACATGGAGCATGTCCATACTCTCCAGACATCCCGCTCGATGGCAATGACACCACCTGATCCATCCCAGGCACACCTCGAATCAACTCCTGTGGCGGCTTCTGATCTCACATTCGAATTCTACACCGAGAAACAGTTCCTTACAAGTCATCGCCTAGAAGCTTGGTGTCCTACAGCAGATCTTCTCGCCCTCGTCAGCCTTCAGAACGACCTTGAGCTCTACAGACTTTCGTGGCAACGGCATTGGTCCATACCTATCAGAGCGGATGCATTTGATCCAATTGCTAGTGCCATAAGCAGACCTGGTCATGGCGCAGGAGCAATTGGTGCGTCTGCAGGATTTTCTCAGATGCATCGCACAGGCGTAGGAATACCCACAAACACAGGAGGGTCCTCAAGAGTGGATGCACTATCATTAGCCTGGCGCCCTGATGGTGAGTAACTAATTTGAATGCAACTGTATACTACTCGGACCCATATCTGACACTAAGGGGTTTGAAAAATATCATCTAGGCAAGATGATCGCTGTAGGCCTGAGTAATGGGCAGGTCAACGTATATGACTACAGGGATGGATCGGTCGTTTATGTTATGGCGAACCCGTATCCCTCTCGCTCAGTATCAGATGCTGGTTCAGGAATGACCGGCATGCATTGTCTCAAGTGGGCGGACATCTATCTGGGACAGTCAACCTCTGTCTCCTTGTTTGATTCACACGTAAGTATTAAAGCGACGTTTAGTAATCTTGCCCCACTCAGAATGTTGCAGCCGATGGTAACGCAGACAAACGTGCATCGATAATTTTGTCCGTATGGACACTACCTAGCGATCTCCAAAATCGATTCTTGAGACATTACCGCTCCTCTCTCAGTTACCCTTGTCCAGCATGCAGCAGCAAATGATGTTGGCCCGATCTATGTTCAACAAAAGCACAGCCCAAGGTGGAACAGGGCCAGGAGGCTTCAAAAGCGCGCCCATACAGGAAGCGGACATTGATGGCATTGCCGAAGAAAGTAGCGATGTCATGAACGTACTTTTCGCCGGCGACAATCAGAGCTGCTTCAAATTGAGGATGTTTGGCGAATTTGAAACGGGTTCGATATCACTGCTTGACCTGATGGGCGTCTACGGAAATAAGAACTTCAAGGTATGCTCGCCCTGGAGAATGTGAAAACAGGTGCACGGAACCATTTTTCATTTGCTTGGATGATGAGTTGACATAAAACTTTTCTATAATGCTTGGTGTAGTTACTAGATATACTGAAGGCAGACATACAGGCAGACCTCTCAGAACTCGTCATTATTGCTGCAGGGTCACGGCTCCAGGACCGGACGTCATCCACTGAGGACATTCGGAAGGGGGACAGGTGCCTCCTGCAGATTACCGTCTCTTCTGAACTGCTGCACAGGCACTCTCTCGAGACTCGCACCTTGGGCCTCAAGCAACGACCAGTCAACTTTTTGCTGAGATATCTCTCGGACGGTTTTCAGGTCATGCGAGCTGAGTACAGAAAGATTACCCAGATGGCTGAGGATTGCATTGAGAGCGTCCAGCGGGCTTTGACGGATAATGGGGGTTAGTTTCTATTATCTTATGCTGATGATGTGGCTATTTTTGAGTGTACCATCATCATCATCATCATCATCATCATCATCATCATCATCATCATCATGGGATGTTGTGAGCTGTATTCCTAAAGAATGCTTTTTTTATATTATCTGCTAGAGATGACAGCTCCAACGTACGAATTCATTCAGCTGCTGATGACAGGACGGCCGAGCCCCAGCATGGATCATTACTTGCAGCAGGAGCTCCGTCGTCATGGGTTGAGACGATGGGACAAGTCAGTCAAGGCTGCTTACTCAAATATGCAAAAGGTCGCTTTTGAGTGTCTTTTACCAGCCTGCGAACGACTCTTGATTCATCTGTCAGATATTCTTGGATGCAGCCGATGGTTAGTGTCACCTTTGCACACATTTGACCATATTTCGCAATGAAATAGCATTGTTCGTTAACGCGTTAGAAAATGCTATTGAATGTAGGACTGATCGCTACAGGCCCTTGCAGCTAGAGGAGGGTCCGGTTTATAACTGTATCAAGATCGTTGGAGATTTTGTGGGCTTACTTGAGCGTCTATTTATCGTGCTCAAAATGGAAATGAAGCAGTTTAGCGAGTTTGAAAACTGGTTGGAGCAAGGTAACCCGCGATTTGGACTACTCCAGACAAGGAACGTGAAAATACAATTGCAAAAAAGAGCAGCTTTGGCCAACAACGTTTTATTATTATTTGCGTGTGTAAAGCGTTAGAGGTCCTGCAACCGACGATTCGCGGCGTAGACGACCACGGAGAGGATGAAGCGAAGAAGTTTCCCCCGATCGACATTTTGAGCGTGTCAGAGTACCTCAAGTCGGGCCTGGCCAATAAGGAGCTCGAGAAGTTTTTCCAGGAATTAGATGAAATGACTGCGCCCACCGAGGATATTGACAGCGCGAATCCAGAGGCATCGAAATCGTATTCGTCAAAAACGGAAACCAATGAGAGCGTGGATGCAGCTTTAGGATACAAATCGAAGCCCTCGTATCCCATCGTGTACTCATTCTCGGAAAAGCTGCTTGATATTGTGCGTGTTCGAGAAACTGTGGAGACTGCAGTCCCGGACGCGCTTCAAGCATCAAGTTCCAGTCAGAAGAAGTCAGGCAACCCATTTTCTGGGGCGGCTGTTACCGCTGCATTAGCCGGCCGTGGATTTGGGCCTCTGACGTCTAAAAATCCAGGATCATCATCTTTGTTCGCGAAATCCAACTCGAAGAATGAGACCATGCAGCCTGCTGACTCCTCTGGCGGCAGTACAACAAAGGCGCCGTTTACACTGGAAAAGCACCTCAAGCTAATGATGAGACATTGCCAGTCGATATTCGAGGGACCTTCAGAAGCTGTGGCAAAGAGCTTCAAAATCGTGCACACATTGGAACTACCCTCGCCTTCCCTATCAAAAATATACTCCGTCAGCACGGATGCCGTCGACACTACTGCGGATGCAGACGTACATAGTGATACCTGGGAGCACCTCAAGTTAGCAACGCGCTACTGTTATGATGTAAATCAAGGCCTCTGCTCCTTTACGGGTTTAGAAACTGGTGTTAGTATTATACTAACTGCTCTGCTCTCACAATTACGCATTGCGAACCATAGGGCGTTCGTCCGTGGCATTATCTTGCTTTATACCTCGCACCATCCAACACAGTGACCGAACCGTATCGCAAGTTTACTTCAAACCCATCTCATCCGCGTAAACTTTTTGCCTAATATGTGTTTACCTGCATCTTCTAAGTGAGTATTCTCTGGGATCTGTCTATGCTTCTTCTAGTTTTCATTCTCCGGGCGCGCCACAAGACACACCGTCGCCTGTCAAGGCCTGCGCAGGCAATGTCACAAGCCGATGTCAGGATAAGACTGGGCCAAAAACGAAGGGCATCTAGCGCAGAGCCATCAACTCTTACTCTATCCTCTAGGTTCCGGACAAAATCTCCTCAGCGCTCTGCAAGAGAAACACCTCCGCTAGAGACCCTAACGCTTAACTCGCCGCTCCACGAGCCTGTTGCTAAAGCGGGAGGCACTGATGTCGACGTAACAGGAAATGGAGCAGCGGCAGCAGTGTCGCCGCATGGACATGGGGATTATGACTTTGAAGGCCTATTGTTTTCGGTGCGAGAACATGGTTCAGCCGATACAGACGGGAACAATCTGGCGGCTTCGGATGTTGTAATGGCACACGTTAGTAAAGGCGAGCCTTCATCAGGACGTCCGGTCTCTTCTTGTATGATCCAAGATGTTACCTTTTTGGACGACGATACTCTGGGCGTGATTTACAGCTCGTCCAGCAGTAGTCGTGGACATGATACCGCTGATATCCCCATCAGTTCTGGCCCCACCTTTCAGGAACAATTTCTGATCTCAGTGCCAATGTGGAGCCCGGGTCGACCTTATCAGCCTTTGCAACCTCGGGCAAATAGTTCTTCCTCCTCGATAATGGACACCATCGGCTCGCTTCTTATATCAAGGCAATCGGAAACTATCAATGCAGATCAGTCACTCGCCGTTTATACGCTTCCTGTTAGTCGGTCGAGACGAATCAGCTCGTTTGTCAACGACCCATCCCTTTCTTCTCACATGGAGCCAGAGAGTCGAAGATGCAGCGGTAGTGATGTAGTACGCCCAGGAAGAGATGAAAGACTGAAAGGCCCCTGCCGAATAGCGAGCAACGAACGTGACAAGAAACGGCTGATTAGCGTCCATGCTCCATCACCTCCGTCTTCAACGGCGTCCACATCCACGTCCCCGCTGACGACTCGAGAGACAGGGATTGACTTGACTTGGCAAGGCACAAGCAAGGTTACAGTTTTTGAGCTGTGAATGTCCTGCTTCCTCTTATAGCGCCACGGCAATAAACTACATGTCCTCAAATGTGTACGAGCGCGAAAGCGAATGTTCCTGCAGATCGAAAACTGAGAGGAGGGAATAAACGAGCTTTTGCCACCAAAATGTTTAGCCTCAAGCTTGTACCACTTGACCGAGCTCGTCGATATTTCATTTTTTTGCTGTCGGGAGAAAGGCGATCATTTATTGGGTACGCCAAGTAGGCGACCTTCGCATCGCATGGGAAGACAGCACCGTATCCTCCATTGATTCGCTGGATGTGCTATCGTCGACAGTTAAGAGCTTGCGTGGAGCCGCGTTAAAAATCTCCCACTGGGACCTGAGATTTTCGCGCCCAACAGGACCCTTCCGTTTAGGACAACGCCATGATTGGCTATGCTCTCGGTGAGTCGAGGTCGGGAAGGTCTCCAGGCAGGCCCTCGAGCGCCCCCAGGATGTTGATGGGACCAACTCTTCCGTATCCCTGCGCAATATCACTGCAGCAGGCCTGACCGAAACCATCAAGTGTTGTGTGTCCCACTGCAACGACCAAGTACATACACCTTTTTTCAATAAGCGTTGGAAACGCTGAAATACAGTAGATCACCTTGCTGTTGTAGTCATATTTTCCGACTATGGCGTATGTAGCACAAGCATCCTGTTCAAAGTCCGTGCACTTCTTCATTTCATTAATTTTATGAAGGCAAACTAGCCGGGTATAACGTCGATCTTCAAGCAGATAGATAAACGCCAATATACTAAATATATTCTTTCTTCGCTATCGTTTCCAAGTCCACCTCCATTGAATAAGAACAGTAAAATCACTAGATAAATACACTTGCGAGAGGTTAAGTACATATGATGGTGTGAGGGAAAAGTACAATGCTAAGAACAAGAAAGGTAGAAAAGAGAATGCATATGTAAGGAGGGAAAAAGGACTCGGAACGAATAACAGGCTTGCTTATCAGCACGGCTGAATTGCAACAGGAAAGAGGAAAGATGCAAGGAAGATAATTGCCAGGTAGAAAAAAAAGAATAAAGCATAAAAACATCACGTCGATTTTCAATATCCGTAGATGTACAGCGAGCAGAGGACGATACCACAAAGACAAAGACACGCCAGCACTTTTCGTCCATGTAGTCATGCAACCGCAAGCGAAGGCTGCGTCTCATGGGCCATATCCACCTTGGATGTCGAGTCTGCATCCTTCGTGGAAGCCGCATCCGACGAATCCAAACTAAACCGTCCTGAGCCTAGTAACATTTCGTCTGAACGCGCCTGCGTCTCTGTCAAAGATGAAGTTGAAGATGAAGACAGTGGAGGCGAGACAGAGGACGATCCTTCTGTGTCCGTGGTCAAGAGACTGAGCGGCGAGAGCGGGGATGCCATAGGCTTGCAGTCACTAGTGTCGTACTCCTTGGACAAATTGCTCGGGGACATAACTCTCTTCACCCGCAAGTGCGATGGCTGGAAAGCACTGTTGCTGTGGTGACCATGTTCCGGATCAGGATTTTGGTCACTATGGCTGGTATCGAGTGGATGGACGTCGTGGACGCCATTGCCGCTACTCTGCTCGCTGTTTGTGCCTAAACCCGAGCGCCAATCGCGCTTCACAAACGAAAACGCATCCGATGCACGACGCGGCAGGCTCGGGGTCTCCAAAGCCATCGGTCCCAGAAGTGCTGATCCGCTCGTCTGTCCACTGATCAAAATCTCGCTCTGAGATCGCCTTCCTGCCGTGAACAGACCACATCCAAGGCCCTCCAGGTTCCTTCGAAGAGGTCGAGGTGTTTCCATGCGACAGGTGCGGCTCTGAGGAGAGGTAGGGGACGCGGATAAAATCCCTGAAGTCCCATCAGTAGAGTTACCGTCATTCGTGGACAGCACTTGACCACATCCCGCACACTCACCAGCGCCAGAGTCGACTAGACTGGCATTCGACGACGTAGCACTGCACGATCTGCCAAGGGTCGGTGTCAACGAGTGACTATTTAGAGAGGAGAGGGCGCTCTGGCAATTGGGCGAGTGGCATTGATTCCTGAGTGCAAGGGCTGCTGACAAGCACGCCTCGTTCCTTGCCCGAAGTGCGCCGCTGTTCCAATTACTGACATATCCGTTCAAGACACGCTTCATCTCCAGCAGGGCGAATGGCTTCGTCATGAAATCATCCATTCCTGCCTCCATGCAGCGCTCCTTGTCCGAGCCCATCGCAGAGGCCGTGAGCGCAATCACATATAGATTCAAGTAATCCTTGTAGATCGAAGAAACAGCTGTTGTATCAGTCGGAGGAGTGGCCAAAGTTGCAGAAGCACCCTTGTTGTCGGGGTCCAATTTGTCAGTCTGTGTCTGTGCCAAACTCTCTGCGGCTGCAAGCAGCCCGCGTCTCCGCCTTTCCACAATGGTCTTAGTTGCATCGATGCCATCCATGACCGGCATAGAGACATCCATCTACATTAACCGCAAACAAAATTAGTTAGTTTTTGAACGTCAGCGAAAGAGCTAGGTATAATACGTGCGGCCTGCGTATCCAGCGTACCAAAATAACATCGTAGACAGAACCGTTGTCCAGCTTGTCAATGACTTCGAGTCCGTTCTGGGCGACGTCCACGTTCTCATAACCAAGCTTCTTCAATACACCCACAGCGATCGTTTGATTGACTGTTCAAGGGAAAACAGCAAGTAAATAAATAAAGAGTGGTAAATAAAAGGCTGCAGTAAATATAAAATGATGCATAGTAACAGCCATGAAAACATACCAGCATTGTCTTCCGCAAGCAAGATACGGAGAGGTATGCCATTAATCGTCAAGGGCTTCAGACTCGACTCCACCATTTTGGCATACGTTGGCATCGACGACTTTGGAGATCCTGCAGGTTGTGCAACTTCTTTTGGAGCTGGTATTTGAGCACGACTCTTCTGTTTCTCATTCTCGTTGGCCTTCTCTTTTCCTGCTTCTTCCTGTGTTGAGCCAGAAGTCGAGTTGATAGACGCAGGCAATGTAAATGTGTCCAAGTTACCGCGATTAGCTGATTCGTATCGTTCATGTGTAGAAACAGGCGATGAAGGTGCAGTAACCGAGGGATGAGAGTCCGTCTCTGAGGACTGGCACACTGTGAAGGGGATCGTGAAGGTGAAACGAGAACCAACGCCTTCCGTGCTCTCTACCCAGATGTTTCCGCCCATCTTTTCCACCAAGCCGGCACTGATGGCCAATCCCAATCCCGTGCCTCCGAACCGTGTGCTCACAGATATGTCGACCTGTGAAAACGATGTGAACAGCTCCGTGATCTTATTGGCAGGGATACCAACACCCGTGTCAGAGACCGCAAACTCCAAAATCACTGTGTTTTCATCCAGTTTGTCGCCCTCCAGGGAATTGGCTGTCGGTGCCACCACAGTCAAAGATGGCGGCGTAGACGAAGACGAGCTCTGATCATGGCTCGTTGGGGGACCAGCAGCCATCAAAGCCACATGGCGCTTGTCTGCAGGACGACGTCGTGTAGTCGCTGTCGGTACTTTTGCATGGGCGGTCCCGGCGTTGTTGCCATCCGCCTTGACATTAACATCATATCGTTGCTGGAATACCATCTGTGTCCTGTGGTCATTCCCCGTCAACATTGGCGACGACGGCAATGACGATACATCGCCCGCCTGACTGCCATGAGGTGAGTTGCGAGAGACTATCGACGGGCAGTTGGGTGGGATGGTCGGATGCTGAGCTGTTGGGTTGTGGATCGAGACATGAACCGAGACGCGGCCACGTCGAGTGAATTTGAGCGAGTTGGTACAGAGGTTGATGAGAACTTGTCGCAAACGGGTAATATCGCCCAAAAGATGCTCTGGCACATCGTGGTCGATGCTCCAGAGTAGCGGTAAGATATTTGTCTCCTCTAGCTCGGTGAAAGGTCCCAGATCGTCCATCTCGGGAGGCCATTCAATTACGCTAATGGACCTCGAGACATCGTGCAAAGGAGTAAGTCCCGCAAGGCTCACAGCATCTATTAGAAACCCAATAAACGATAATAGCCAACAATGGATAGTTAGTGCCAGTAACTAAAGAGAGAAATTGCTGCATTGCACTATTGCACTAGTGTCAATGAGGCGTTTTGCCCGCATGTTTAGACGGGTGACCAATCCTTTTGTTTTGTGCCACGAGATGTACCGACATGCACGCATGCATGCATGCATGCATGCACGCAACTCTAAGGTCCGCCTTGTCTCCCTCTAAGCCTTCCCGTCTGTGCCACGTTGTGCGCCCTTTTGCCTTCCCATGTCGTCCCGAAAGACCAGTTGTATACCTTTCAGACACTTGCGCAGGCTCAAGGGCCTTCTTTCCAGCAGAAACTTTACATCCTGGTCGATCCTGGAGATGTCCAAAATATCATTAATGACCTATATTGGTATGTGGAAAAGTGTGCCCCCACCCAATATGCGTTAGTACAATTCCGCTGTTTCCAGTTCGAGAATGCATGTTTCGTGCCTGTTATTGTGAATGTCTTACCGTCAATAGGTGCTGGCCACTTGTGCGGATAACCTCGATATAACCAGCTTGCTCGTCGGAGAGACCAGCTGTGTCCAAAAGAATATCGGTTACTCCCACAACAGCATTCATTGGGTTCCTGCGCTCAGAAATTCAAGCGGCGAAAACGTGTGGTTAGTATTAGACCACAAAAAAAAATATAAAAAGGCATTGTCATCAACACAATATACCTGATCTCATGGGACATGTCCGCCAGGAATTTGGTTTTGTTCTTAGCCGTCGACTCGGCAACATCCCTTGCGTAGATGAGGTTTGTTTCGATCCGCAGACGATCCAGCTCGTTCGCCACACGGGCCCCAATCTGGCCCAAGACAGCCTTCACAATTGAGCCATCCTCTTGTGTAAGAGGCCTGTCGTGGATAATTCCGATGACGCCCATAATCTCTCCCTGGGCGGTCTCGAGACGCATTCCGACATATGACTCTATGGTGTGATCCATGAGACACTCTGCCACATCTTGGTGTTTATCAGCAAGGCTCGCACTCAGAAAAGTGATCTTGTCCTGAATAGTGCAATCGGCAAGGTAACCCTGGAACGCGTGGGGGTTGATGTGAGATCTATCCAAAGTGAACAGTAAAATCAGATAAATGCGTTAGACATAATAAAAAAATACCCCCATTGTATACAGCCCGCATTGATATTGAAGTAGACTCACTCTCCTGGCCAGCTTGAAATGTTATGCATCACGCCATCGACAGGAGGAACTACTCCACCAAATTGGTCAATCAGGTTCGCATATTCTGTCGGGTCCAGTTCCTTTAGTTCTTCCAGACTGACAAGTTGCGAGATGAACGCATACTTGACGCCAAGGTGGATCGCTAGCTCTTCGACAACGACGTCGAAAAAATTATCCCCGTGTAAAGTCAGCAAGTTGATGGCAATGGGTGCTAGATACGAAAAGTAAGGATCTTCCCAATCTCGGTCCTGTTTCACGTTTTCATTCAGAAGCGAGGCTGAATGGCGGTCATCAGACGAGTGCGCAAGTGAGTTATGATGAATGTCCAGACGGCTCTTGTCAGGCGATGAGGACATGGAAACGGACAATTGTGTCCCTGAGGAAGTGTAGGTGATCGCCGTGGTGGCAATCGAGAGTGCGCGCGGCCGAAAGAATGCCTCGGTGTTCAGAAGTGAGTGTGGAAGCGAGTGTCCTAATGAAATCGAGCGAGTGGTCGGTCGTACAGATGCTGAAGACTCTTCGGGATCGATAGGCAGAGATATGCTGTTGCTACGACTGACAGGCATTGATACCGATGCTTTCTTGATGCTGCTGAAAGGAATCAAGTCGCGCAGCGAGGGTACAATCGGCTTGAGTGCTGGTTCTGAGAATGGGTCGACTGGTGTGACTTCTACAGGGAGACAAGAGAACCCTCAGATTAGTCATTAACGTCGCTTTCGTTTTATTAGGTGCCGAAAACAACGCGTTTTGGTGTCCTTCATCACACATCAAAATAATAGGACTAAAAAAAAAAATAAAAAAAAAATAACTTTGGAGAAGGTAGGGCGAAGTAAAAGAGAGTTAAGGGAGCAAGTAAAGGGCACTTTATCGTCCATTACAGCGGAGGTACACGCACTAGGGTGCATGGGCGGTTGACCTGATCTGCATTTGTGCCGTCCTGTTCCCATTATAAATAAAATTCATCCCAATATCCACATCATCAGCATCCATGCTGCTTGATGGCGAACAATTATCGAGGGCTGATATTCCTGGGTGCAACAAAATAAAAAGAGGAAGATAGCCCTTGGAGCGATTCAATGCGGCCATGTTTGAATGAACTCGGTGCTCCATGGTCATATAGCGAAAAAATTATCTCGGGGCGCCAATCTTATTCTCTACCATGACCCTCGCAAGATCAAAATATACTGGGCTCAAAATTCTGCGAGATGGAAAAGGAGAGAACAGGGAAGAGGAAGAGGCGTTCGATGGGCAATGCAAACAGTATTGGACATTGGCGGAGCAGCAATACCTCAAAATGGGAATAGTGCGGTACTGTGTAATCGTAGCAAAAAATGCGCTTAAATTTGAACCAGAAAGCTTACCTGGGCCAGGGCCAGGGACAGGATCCAACGGAGAAAGCTGTACCACTGGAATGCGCACAGCTTTTGGACGCTCACCAGTCACTGAAGTAGGAGGTAGTGGCGGTGTGCTGACGACCCCCATAGAACTGAGGGAAGCGGCCGTCGTTGATGATTTAGATGCAATTGATCGCTCGTCAAAGCCCGAGTCAGTTGAATACTCACGAGAGGTTGTTGGGCGAATGCTGATGGCTGGGAACCTGAAGGAGGACTCTTCCTGTTTGTCCTCCTCCGCTGCAGGCGAGAGGCAAACCGCTGTCGTGCTGAGTGCTGCAGATGATGGTGTGGATACGGATGTGGTATATTTGGCAATTGAAGCTGTCATTGTCGAAGTATCCTTAGCAGTGACTGTGGTCGATACTATGGAGTCGATTGCAGGCCCTGTGGTTGCGGGTAGAGTTGGCGGCACCGTTTCTGGTGTAGCATCAGAAAAAAGGGTGCTAAAGGAAGTCGGCGTTGGTGGTAGCGGTACTGGTGGAGGAGGAGGTCGTGGTGGCGGAGATAATGACGATGACGATGACTGCAGCTGCGGAGAGTAGACGGCCGAGACAGGGGAGTTTGGCAGTGTGGACAGATCGGTGAGGATGACGGAGTATCCAGCCAGTGCGGGACTCGTTGTCTCAGTTCCTGTCCCTGTCCCTATCCATGTCTTGAAATGGCTGTAGTTGTGGCTGTAATCGCAACCGTTGGGTACGACATGGGTGCCATTTCTATTGCCACTGCTGATACCATTGGTACCATGGCTATGAGATCCACTGTCACATTCACTTGCTTCTGTTGCCTGTTGCTGCTGTTGATGGTACACTGGCGATATGGACTCTAAAAAAGTGTGCTGCGTCCGATCTTTCACGTTTCTGCTGACGATCCGCTTGATGGATGCTCCTTTCAAGGCTCGTAGCTGCTCCAGAGTGCAGGGGTATAGTTCAGGCTCTGAGGGCGCTGACGATGATGATAATGGCGGTGGTGCCAATGCAGCTGATGCTGCTGGTGCTACTGGTGCTACTGAAGATAATGTTGCTGCTGTTGAGCAGCTACTTTTGGATAATGAAGTTGTGCTGAGCAAGAGTTGGTTTAAATCCTTGCCGAGCGACTGCTTCGAGGGAATGCCAAAGATATGATGTGCCCCCTGATTCCACGCGCAGACTATGCCATTGAGGTCGCAGGCGATGATTGCGTCTGAAGAAGAGGCGAAGAGGGAGTAGATCCAGGGGTCAAATGCGTCGGGAGCGAGCGAGGCTGTGCCGGAGTGGTGGAGCAGCTGCTGCAGACCAGACGAGGGGATCATGGCGGATGATTCAGAGATCGATTCGAAGTCGTGGCTGTTTGATCGAGGATTATTTTCGGGGATCCTTTGAGTGTCAAAAAGAGGGAGAGAGGAGGAGGGTGCGGAATCGAACGATGGCTCGCCCACGGATCTTTGGAATCAAATGCAAAGGGGAGGATGAAAGAGAAGGTGAGGGATGCCAGCAGGATAATCAAGAGAGCAACAAGGATTATGAGGTGCTGGGAAGGTGTGCAGTGCGAAGTGATAGAGATGGTGCGATGGAAAAAATAAAAATAAAAAATAAAGAAAGCCAGGGATGAATGAATGAGGATGCTGTGCCCTGGCAAGGAGGCGAGAGAGTAAGAGGATGGCGGATGATGAATGGGAGGATGCGGAGTAAGTGTGCGGAGGAAGCGGCTGGGAAAAAAGGAGAGGGAGGGGGAGAGAAAGACTAGAGCCAAGAACGGCTAATTTTTTTTTTTTCTATCCCAAGGCTAAAAGAGTAAACACACGCTCGCCTGGAAGACAAAAAAAAGCTAATAGTCGCTTACAACTGAATGGTGGAGAGAGTGCTAGTGATTGATGGGTCGCAGTGCAATGGAGAATGGGTGGGATGGGTGGGATGGGTGGGATGGGCGAGTTGTATGCAAGAGTAGACGTTGGTGGATGTGTAAGGGGGGTGTGAGGTGATGATGGATTGCAATGGTGTTTCCGCGTGGATTCCTAAGCAATGGCGGCTTGAGTAGTGCGTGTTGTGCAGTATGATGGTGGGCTGCATATTTGGGGATGCATGGGTCACAGTCAAGGACGTGGACATTCTGCTGCAGTGCGGGCCATCGATCATTCATTTTGCGATACTCTCTAAACGCAGGAGGATTATGAAGATTATGTATAGACACGAAGTACAAAGCACAACGTAGAACGCACACCGCACCGTACAAAGCACAAAGTACAAAACAGGAGCTGCTGCAGAGGGGGATTGTCTTTCCTCCTCCCCCCTCTTTCCTTTTTTTTTTGTTTTTCCCCTGCTCCTTCTTGAAATGAAGCAGCAGTTACTGCAGATAAAACACACACCACACACACAACGCGGATCGAGAGCAGCCACAAAATAAAAGCAGGCATGCAAACATGCAACAACCATGCACGACGAAAGAAGAGAGTGTTCCTCCGCCATGGGGACAGGGAAAGTGGATGGGAAAATATGTGGAAAGCGCCTTTTTGCTTGTAGCCCCTAAAACAACATTTGTTGCATTAAATATCTAGTGCTGGCTTGGGCTCTGTGGGTATTTTATTTCTTAGTCATTTCATTTTCATTTTCCGGGCAAAAAAAGACTTGAGTTGACGAATTGCTCAGAACGCTGCCCCTCGCTCCTCCTGACATATACGCAACTGCCATGCACACATGGCATTGTTGAAGACAAAATAAAACAGAGCAAACTGCGGAACTAGAATTCAAAGGGATGGCTATGATACTACGATAGAGCCGAACCAGTTTTTTTCAGTCCCCTCGATTCGTGGCGCACAAGCCCTCACTTGACCCTTAAGTACAAAAGAGATCGCCAGACTCTCCTCCCTTGGGCCAAAGCTGGAAAGCGAGCGACACATCCACTCCCTTCCCACATCCCTTCCCACATCCCTTCCCACATCCCTTTCACATACAAGCAAGAGGGCCAAGATGAAACTCGTCCGGTAATACATGAAAGCATGTACTTCATGTCGACATCGGGGGCTGGTCTTCAGGGTCAAGGACAGGACAAGACAGGACTGGACTGGACTGCACCGCACTGTACTGGACAAGAATGAACACGACACTTTACCCATGACAACCTCTACAGATCAGTTCTATGATGATAAAATCATTTGAGTGATGGTATCAGGCATCCTACCAACACAGACTATATCCGCTGTATTCATAAAGAAGACACTGTCAGTAATCAAACGGACCAGCGCTTTCAGCGCCTCCAGCACCCCCTCGCCATCCACAGCCCTAACAGATCAAGTATCCGCCGCATTCACGGAGAAGACGTCGTCAACAATTACTGAACTAGCTTCTCAGCAATTAATACCATATGCTGAACCAATTCCTTCAGCCTTTGCAGTACTCCCTCTCCATTCAAAGACCTGAGCAGATCCTGTATCCATCAAACTCCTTGTTCACGCACACTCACGACATCTCTTCTACTTTCTTGACAGCTTTCTCATGAAGCTCAATACCGAGACGGTGACCGTCGAGCTCAAAAACGGGACCATCGTCCACGGCACCGTGACCGGTGTCGATATGAGCATGAACACCCATCTCCGCGCTGTCAAGATGACTGTCAAGAACAAGGATCCCGTTTCCCTCGATACCCTCAGCATCCGTGGCTCCAACATTCGATACTTTATCCTTCCGGATTCTTTGCCATTAGATACCCTTCTCATCGACGACTCGCCCAAAAGCAAATCCAAAAAGAAAGCTGCTGGTACTCTTCAAAGCAATTTTTTTTTTTTTTCATTTTGCTTTCATTGCGATGGCACGGTTTATTTGTCAAGGCACACTGCTTGTTTAACTGCTTGTTTAATTAATGGTGTTGCGATCTCTTTTTCTCGTTATGAATGATAGCATCGGGGCCACCATCAACAAGGGGACGCGGTCGGGGTCGTGGTGGTGCAAGAGGCGGACGCGGTGGACGTGGTCGTGGTCGTTTCTAAGTCATGGGAAATAAACATTATATCCGGAAAAGCAACAGCGGGATAAAGTTGTGTGTCTTCACGAATGCTTCTTGCCGCCACCGAACTAACAATCATCAATTCAAGCACTGTTGATCGACTTTATGTAGCTTGGCCTTGGATACCGAACGGGAAAGACACGGACTTGAGGCGCTGCTCATTTTATGCTGCCGCAAAGTATTAAGGATGAATGGACACGATAATGTTTTTCGTGTTTGATTCTTAGGAGTGTGCATACAGGTTAAGCTACAAAGGCTAGAAGCTATATAGCGGACAAATTTTGCTCCAAAAAATATGGCAGCGGACGCAAAACATCCTAAAACGACCCGCTGTTGACCTATAAACATGAACATCAAATAAAAAAACCGGTTAGTCTGAGGACATCTAGTTCCAGTACCTACGATCGCCAAACTATGTGGTTGTCATGTTACTTACCCTGTCCTTGAGATGACCAAGGTATTGATAATAACTCATGATGGGCTCGGCACGGTCCTCAATAAGGTGGCTCAAGAACCACAAGCGTAAAGCCGCATCGCCATCCTCCTTGACGATATACAGCTGAGGATAATACGAAGTGCGACGCATCTCTCGTGTCTTGCCGATAATCAGGTTTACCCGCTGGTTAAAGTCCGTCTCCAGAGATGGGAGCGTCGTCTTTCCGCCCCTGATGCTTTCATAGTTGGGAATGCCAAACAGATCCATGCAAAGCTGAGGAACTGCGTCCCGACCGATCCACAAAAAGATGTTCTGGCTATCTTCCAACATAAACAATCCTGCGCGAGAAAGTCGCTCGCTGCTTAGGTTCATCGCCTGGGGCATCTGAATGCCATCTGTCCCGATCGTTCCACAGTGCTCGGGCATGTCGTGAAGAGAGTAGAATCGGGGATGGATAAACGGGATCAGACATTGGGAGGGCAGCGTTGAAAGTAGGTGCATGGCGTACGACCGAAGGTCCGATGGAATCTGAGAACCTCCACGAAGACCAACCTAAATAAAAGGACCTTCCGTTAGACCAATCGATCAACAGCTAAGCAGAGCCATCCTGAAATACGCAAAATGGGATTTTTAAGGATCAAGTTCTTACATGCTTCAGCATGCCGAGCGTCAAAAGCGGCAATAGCTTGAGATTGTCGCAGATCTGGAGGTTGGGAGTGGCACCAGACGATGATGCTGTCATGTGTGTCTTGTACACGCCAAGGATATCCACGCATTTGTTGGTCAACGCATCACGGGCATCATCCAGCTTCGAGTCCCTTCCACGTTCAACGGCTTTACAGGCAAGCAACGTTGTGATTGCCACCTGATCAGCAGACATGTACAGCTCTGATAGACTTGTCGTCACAGGAAGTGCAAGCGTCAGCACACGAATACGGCGTTCACCTGTAATGATTGCAGAAAAAGCAACAAGAGAGTTAGTATTTGTTTAAAAGTCGAGAAGGCAGTGCTCGCAAGGAGTTCGCTCCGAGGCCACTCACCAGAAGACGACGTGTGCAATAAGGCCGTCTGGAAACAAACGATAGGGATAGTCAGATTGTCATCGTAGCTGATTTCAATTGAATACGATTGGTCGCGAGGCACATTGGGTAAGGATAGCAGATCTGTCGAGCGCACAAAAAAGTTGCCATAGAAAGCCGACATTCTCAGTCCCTTGGACGCGCGAACCCTCATCACAGCCTCCAATGCTATCCTCTGTGATAAGAACTCTGCCAATTCATGCGCAAACTTGAGTGCGTCCTCCGACTTGGCTGCCGTAAAGGCAGGATAGAAGAATGTACTTCCGCCAGTAAAACGTGGTAGGCAGCCTACGTGTCAGAGAAAAACACTCTAGTTAGTTTTGGGGCAGGTGTAACGTATCATTACTCCATAGCATGCTGAACATCCATTCGTAAAACTTTACTCAGAGTGGCAACATCGGTGTACTGAGACCCGAAGAGGAACATATCCACGCAAACTTGCGACTTTGAGCATTCGATGGCAAAAGATTTGTAGAAGGACGATGCTGATTGTAATAGGGTCGATTCCTTGGATGTCCCCAAGAGCTTCGGGTCCTCGCGCATCTTCAGAGCTCCCGCCTCTAGGTTGGGCAAACTGGCCTGCAAGCACAGGATCTTTCCTCCAATGGGCGAGATAAGTTTATAGGCCGAGTTCAGGGCGGGGCCTAGTGCGTTGCCTACATTATGGGTATCCTTGAACATGTCATTCATCCTGTTCAACAACGCCTCCAACGTGGCGCGACACTCGCTGAGATTGCAGAGCAGATCCTGAGGCTGGGGCAGGAACGCCTCTTCCAAATCAGACACGACCAGCATCTGAGGTTCTCCAGAGGCAGTCTATTGATCAATGTAAAGAGTTCCTTCCTTAGTGTCATCTATTCATTAGCCATTCAAAACAGATGCAGAAAATAACATACCTTCAAATTATAAAAGTGGATCGAACTATCCACGGTAATAATTCCGACTTTGGTGCGCCCTTCGTCATTGGGTATCCTGTCCAATGACTCCAAAATGGTCGTCGCTGCCGTTGCCACCATTCCACACTGAATTGCTGGGTATGATACGTCGATGACAAACATATACACCAGGGGCTGGGGAGGTCGGACCATGTACTCTGTCGGAGCAATGTACTCCACAACAGCGTGATTCAGCTCTTTGCGCTGCCAGCGATCCATAGGTTGTTGTGTCTGAGAGTCATAGTCGAATGAAGAGGGAACTAGAGATACACGATGAGAAGTACAACCATGTGAGTAATAACGTCTTGGCGCCGATAAACACGTAAAGATCACCACGACATTTCCTGGCAAAGGCAGTTAGTTACCTTCATTAAGGGTGTAACACATGTTGCATTTCCAGCGCTGACCACCCTCAACGAATTTGACAAATGGGTTGATATAGGTTCTGCATCTACGGCAGCGAGCAATGATCGAGTCTGAGACGACAGGCACGGGTTCCTAAAGATGGCAAAAATTGCACGATGGGTTAGTATACAATGAGTAGGTACAGCCGCGCCCAACTTGGGATCACAGACGACCCTGTCTGAGTAAGTCCCAAATACCAATGGCTAAGTCAAATGCCTACATCGCCTTCCTTGACGCTCCGATACGGTGTAATGACAAGGCCAAAGGGCAATCGAGATTTTGTCAAGAGCTGCGAGGTTGCTGGGATCGCATTCAAAGTTGATCTCTTGTATGAGGGATCACAGTTAGCGAAGGGTGATTTAGTTATTGAGGCCTATAGTGTACATAGCACTGATTAGTATCTCATGCCGCAATTAATTCATGTGTTCAGTATGCCTTAAATGTCCATTTTTCTTACTGTTTCTGGCAAGCTGATAGCTGGAGGGGGTGCATCCAGATCAAAGACTTTAGGTGCCGATCCCATGAGAGCAACAGTCGACATTGGCTATTTAGCAAGAAGTTAAGATAGAAACAGAGTAATACCATGTCAGATCGGAAGAACGTACTCCAGCAAGATTGATATATCGAGCAACGGCTCAGTCCTGGAAAAAATGAGCCACTTACTGTAACTCCTTGTGCTCCATAGCCACCGCTGACATTCATGGCTCCCATCTGACTCGAGAGTTGGTTAACATTGGGCTGGAGAGGCTGGCCAGGATGAGGCTGAAGACCCTGCTGGTAAGCTGGGACAGGATGTCCAAATGCAGACGCCTGCTTCTCTCCAGGCACGAAGAATTGGGAACCCTGTATCGCAGGCTGCATCGAGTTCATGCCTGCGACAGGAGGAGGCGGCATTCCCGGAACATTTGCTGGCTGAAATGCTCCGCTGGGTGTGGCATCGTACCCTGTTGGCGACTCTGCGTAGGCATTGATGCCTGCAGGATACATTCTCTTTGGCTTGTGTGCTCCTGGCTGTGGGGTTGAAGTGGGCGGTCCAGCCATCATGCTAGCGTTTGATGCTCCAAGATCCTGTCCCGATGGCTGCTGATGTTGATGATGTTGCTGTTGTTGATTTTGCTGTGGCTGGAACGGAGTTGGAGGTCCTGGCTGATATTGCTGTTGTTGTTGGAACGGCATTTTTGGTGTCGGGGGTTGAGATCGGTTCTGTCCATTAGGAGGGCCAACATTGTATCCCATTGGGTTCATGGCAGGCGAGCCAGGAGCACCCTGCAGCCCCTGACCCATAAACGGACCGGATGGGGGCCTATTCTGAATCTGAGGCGACTGATAGGGACGCGCCATGGCCGGCGATCCTGGCTGGGACACGTTCATAGGTCGGATCATAGGCGAAGGCGCACCCTGCATGCCCATGGGTGGAGGTCTTTGGAGTGGGGGACCGTTCCTCTGCTGCTGAAGCGGCTGCTGTTGTTGGCTAGGATGTGATCCGTGGAGTGGAGCTGCCATTGGAGGTCTCTGGGTTGAAGGAGAAGGAGGCATGGGTCCCCCAACTGCCGAGGATCGTCGTATGGCGTTCTGCTGTTGGAGTGGACTATTGGGATCCTGTGATGAAGGCGGACGTTGCATGCCTGGGGGCGCCGCCGCAGGTCTCGGTCCGTTATTCATGGGCCTGTTATTCATGGGTGGTTGTCCACCTGGAGTCACTGGTCTTGACAGATTCTGCTGTTGCTGTTGCTGTTGCTGCTGCTGAGGAGGGAACTGTTGAAAGTGCTGTTGTTGTTGCTGGTGTTGCTGTGGGGGTGGTCTGAACCCAGGTCTCGGAGGCGGGGCTTGAGCAGGATGCATGGTCGGCGTTTGCGACTGCGAGTACGCCATCTGAATAAGGGCAATAAGGGCAGGACACGAGAGAGTACGAAAGGATGGTCAGAGAGTAGGCGTCTTCTACTTGAGCGGTTGATGATGGATTGATGAGGAAGAGAAGGAAAGGTGGATACAAAAGAAGGACGGATGATGGGCCTCTTCTTCGAAAAGGGACGTGCGAACGTGTGGACTTTTGCGGATGACACGAAACAGTGATCCAGCCCAGTCTAGTCCACAGAAAGGAGAGAAAAGGATGAATACAGACAGATACGTGAATCAACCATGTACTGGCATTCCTGGATGGGATTGCCACGTCGGGTCCACGCGTTGGAACGTCATATTCTCGTGCAACACGCACGTGATATCCATTTATTACAACACATCCATTCCGCGACAAGTACAAGTCTCACTCTACTGCGAAGATGCCCTACTCTGCAACTTGGCCCTTCTGCTTGTTGCTGATGGATTCGATCCAGTTCTCGGGATCTTGATCGGCCCCGCCATGGTCGAGCTCCTTTTGGCGCGTGTCGAAACGCGAACCTGCTCTTGAGTATCGTCCTCCTGCATCTGGTCCGCTTTTCGCTTGGTTCCCCGCGTGATAGCAACCTTCTTTGGAGCGGTCTTGGACGCTGCTACTCTCTTGCTTGCGACAGTGGTCTTGGCCAACTGCTTGCCCTTCGTCGCCGTGGATTTGGAGGCTGTTGCCGCCTTGGTTGTTGCTGCCTTGCCTGTGGCTACTTTGGCTTTGGTGGTAATGGTTCTCGACTTTGGTTTTGCAGAAGCAGTAGTTGCCTTTGCTCTCGTAGGCGCTACCTTCGTTTTCGCTGGAGTCATCCTGTTCTTGGCCGCAGTTGCCTTGGCTTTGGCCCCAGTTGCCACCAACTTCGATGTGCTGGCAGCGGATTTGGAGGAAGAGGCACCAGCTTTACTTGAAGACCTAGTCGTCCTGGGTCCAGCTTTTTCTGTAGCCGCAGGCTCTGACCTGGTTCTCGTCGTCAGGGCAGCATCCTTGGCCTTGGCCTTGGCTTTTGCTGGGGCTTCAGAAGCTGCTGTCTTCTTTGCAACACTCTTGCCCTTCGATTTGGAAGCGGGTTCCGTAGCGAATACCTTGCCTTTGACCTTTACGGAGGATGTAATCGCCGTAGGCTTGCTCTTGGGCCCGGGTTCCAGAGCTGGAGCAGATACTGCCTTTGTTCTCCGCTTTGGTACAAGTGCCAGGCGAGAGTAGTTGGCTAAGTATATTGGACGATTGAATGTCATGAGAAATGGCTTATGAGTGGAGCGACAAGCAAACGAATTGATCTGGATGGTGGAGAAAAGATAAGCAGACATAAGACATACCGTTCATATACTTGAATATATCTTGCTTCACGCCGAGCTGTGGAATGACATCGAATAAGGGAGAAAAGAAGAGTCGCTTTCGATATCAATGATCCTCTCTTTATCTTGTGGACCTGCTCGCATCAAATGACCATTCGCGACGCGTTGGTGGGTTTTTGCTCTACCTTGACAGCCTTGTTGAAGTGAGCGTCGATCGTCGTGAGATCTATGCTGTAGGTCTTATTGATGTAGTCCTTAATGTAGGACCGCGTCGACCCATTGCGGTTCTTTTCGTACCGGATGCCTCGCTATCGTTTAAGTCAGGTGCGCAGGTATACCGGAGAGGTTAGCGGAAGAACGAGACAACAGTGCATTATCGAGGAAAGAAGAAATTGGTGGCGCTTACCGAGATCATCTCGATGTAATCAGGGTGATCCTCGCCCTTCTCGGGTGCCTTGGAACCCCTGGAGGATGGCTTACGAAACGTGCGCGTACTCTTCCTGGTCTTCTTGACCACAACCTCTTCCTCCACTTCTTCCTCCTGCTCTTCTTCATGGCCACCATCACCCTCGTCATCCTCTTCATCCTCGTCTCCTTCTTCCTCTTCTTCTTCTTCTTCCTCGTCTTCTTCTTCCTCTTCCTCGTCTTCTTCTCCCTCTTCCTCTTCCTCTTCTTCCTCGTCTCTGTATTCGTCTCCTTCCTCCTCATCCTCTTCGTCCGCTTCGTATTCTCCATTCTCTTCTTCACCACTGTTTTCTCCTTCGTGCACGTCCTGGTCATTTCCTTCCTCGCCGCCATCATCGTGTTCCTTCCCCGGCTTATCTTTCTGCTCATCTCCTTCTTGATGGCCCTCTCCACCATCCTTCGCACCCTCTCCGGATTGGTCGCCATCATGTAGTGCCTGGGATTGCTCCTCTCGATTTTCAGTCTGAGGTCGAGTATGGCCTTGTCCATCCTCTGGGTCCCCTTCTGCAGCACGAGAAGGCACAGTGGGTTGAGATTGAGGAGGGGTCTCCAGTGCTTTTATGATGCCGTAATTAAAAGAAGAACGAAGAATGTAAGGAAATGAATGTCAGTGTTTAAAGATCTGTAGCGGTTGCGAGGCTACCACCAAAAGAGGATTGTTACGTACGTGTGGGTTGGGTGACAGTGTGCTCCTCCTCCTCCTGAGATGCCTCTGCAGAGGCACTACCAGATCTAGATTGATGTTGAGGTCTTGTTGTTGCTCTGGCCATGGCGATCGGTGTGTTCTATAAAACAAAAAGTGTCAATCGAAAGACGCGAACACGTAGGGGATGAATTGTTATAGAAGAGTGCTTTTTTTCTTTTTCTTTTTCTTCTGTTGTAATGGTAGATGAAAAAAAAAGATGGCGGGTGAGTTTTGTTCATGGAGTTTTAAACCGCTTCGCTCGTTTCGATGATGGTGGTCACTTTTTATTGCCTTTGGTCATACACAGGCGTGCATGCGGTTGTCTTTGAATGGCGATGGTGAGAAAAGACACTGTGGCAGCTTTGACGCGTCTTTTAGTCAAAACGAGCCTTTGTCAGCAGTTGGCTTTGCCTCTTGTGGATCTTTCTCTTGAAAATGGAAGAAAGAGCAAGTGTGGTCCCGCTCTCGGAATTCAGCGTATCCCTGTCGTGGTCTTGCCCGAATGTCATGGGCTCCACCATAAAGACAAATGGCCGGAGATGGATGGGAAGAAGGACACCGCAAATACATGCATGCATGCTTGGAAGGTTGATTGCGTAGGGAGGTGGTTTTTGTCGCTTAATGTATGTTTGTATGTTTGTATGTTTGTATGTGGTCTACGTTTGAGAGACCAGGCTACTGCATTCCTTGACGCGTCTCACTTGGATAAGGTTCAAATTTCTACGGACAGTGTGGGTGTGGTACTTACTTTGCAGACCCGTGGGTCCTAGTTATCAAAAAAAATGGTATTGTACTTTGCGGACAGAGCCCTCATCCCATTCTCCATCACTCACCACTCTGATTGCAAATGTCCCTCGCGGCTGATCCACACCCATGCTTCTTCTATGGATCACTCATGGAACCCAGAATCCTGAATTCTGTCACCCGTCCTGGCCCCGAGGCTGATCTCTACACCGTTCGTGCTTCCATCAAGGTAAAGTCATCCTCTTCCAGTGTCTCTCTTACACGTTATTGCATCTTTCAGTCTAACGCCATTTTATTATTATCAATGTAGGGTTACATTCGACATCCTTACCATAATGAGCCATACCCAGGCATGGTTGCATCCGATGAAACCTCCCGTGTCGTCGAGGGACTCTTGGTCTTTGGCCACACCATGATGGACCGTTTCAGGCTGGACCAATTCGAGGGTTCGGTACGGAGAAGGGAGGAGGATCATGCTGACTTCGCCAGTCGAACGAGGACAAAAGGGTCCACAGCAAAAAGATTGACCATTAAAATCTTATTCCCCGCTCTCTGGCATTCTGTTTAGGAATACACCAAGGAGGTGCTGCAGGTGCAGGTGCTCGATCCAGTACCGGGTGTTTACAATGTACTGGGGCAATCAAAGCCATTGGCAGCCGGAGACTTCGTTTCTGCATACGTATACGTTTTCACCGGGCCACACATATACCTAGATCGCGCGAGAGAATGGGACTTTGAGACATTCCAACGAGATCATGTCACCATCTGGATGCAGACCAGTTTGGACTTTGCACACGAACAGCAAGACCAGAAAGGGGAACAAGAATAATAATAGCAGCAACAATAGAGTCAACAACGTACGAATGATCATCGTCTTTATTCACAATGACTGAAAGCACTTCAGGATCGGCTCGCGTAATAATGGACGGGCGCTCTCCTCACATTTCACAATAGTTTCACTCTCCCGTATAATGATGCAAGCTGGCTGACCCTCCAACTCAAACTCGACCTTGATTTCCGGCTCCCCAGGGCTATCTTCTTTATCGGTGCCAGATTCAGTCACCGTTGGATCAACGATACCGATCTAAAATTATCATAGGATGGGTTCATAACAGTTAGAAACTATCAATATAAAACTAAGACCATGCCGGGCATCGCATGAGCATTACCAATGTAAGTCCAGCAAGCAGCATTTGAAGGTTCATGATGCCGCGAAGCTGCCGCTGGCTATGGAGCGATAGAATCTGGTGGGCTGCAACTGAAGCCGGCTCGAGTTGCATCTGGTTATTGTATATCGAGAGCGATCCTGACACAGGCGCGTATGAAGTGCTTCCAAACGATTGCGGGTATATCCCCTTTGCCAACTACTCACAATAATGAAATGTTAGACCCTATTATCGTTTTCAAATTCATTGCTCTTATCCAAGTCGAATCTGCCGTACCTCTTCTGATAGCAGAACTGCCTCGTAAAGAGATCCCATGTCAAGTTGTATGGCTTCGCCCACTTTATATGCTGACCATCGCATTGACGATGTTGATCTTGTCCCTTTGGCGTCCGTAAGCTCTGCTGTCCTGTCTGATTGAATGGAGGTTGTAACATGTACCGGTACCAAGACATGTTTAGGATGCTTATGTTTTTTCATGATATCGACAAGTTGATCCACTGATAGCCGGGTGTCGAGAGGACATATACTACGACTGATCTCGAGACCCTCGTATGGCTCCAGACTGGCATGCGCATCGATCCGTGGCTCGATAAAAACAATAGAGTTGTTCGCCTTCTTTCCCCACATGTGCAAAAGATTCACCATAGGTCCTGATCGAAGGCTAGGGTGGCCACCAAAGACAATACAGGGGTATTTTAAGTCGGATGAAAACGCTCCATGGACACTCTTGTAGTTCTTGGCTTGCGCCTTATCAAGGAGAATAGCATGCAGTAGAGGCGCCTCAGGCAAGTACACCATCTCTTGTTTCCGAGGAGCCATCCTACAAGGACACGCAATTAATAGAACGTACTTCTCTTAGCATTCTGTTGGTCTCTTAGGAAATCTCACTTGTTTCGTAACCCCTAGTATAAAGAATTGCTTACCACTCTGCAAGGATATTAGAGTATTGCAGTGCTGTGTCTGCGACTGGCGATATGAAGCTATACTGGACTTGGTGAATTAGCCCCATCCTGTTGAGATGAAGATGGACATCCTCAAGCAAATCGAAAAGGAATCCAGATATGGCGCATGGAATAAGGACATGGCCCTTCCGTGCAATGGTCCGTGCGATGTTGGCGCATACTTCGTTGACACCGAGATCGTATGTGATACTTCCTTTTGGCGAAAGATCTGCCGCGATCACTGTGCTAGCGTGCTCTAGCAGTGTTCCATCAAGTAGATCCGGATGAAGGTTGACCTGCGTGGATGAGGATGACATGTATGCAATCTAGAATAACATCGAGAGGCGGCAATGGCGATTAGATATCGTATTCTGTGCTGCCAATAAAATCCTCCTGTAATTTGAGAAGTTAGCTATCACACTGAGTACATTTTCTGTTCCGATTTGAATAAGCCAGTTGGAGCTGCCGAGACAGTATCCTGCGCTGTGGGCGGTTAACTTGAGTGAGCCATACAGTGTCTATTGCGTTGAACTATATTTCGTTAATAGTTGCTAGCCTTGAGATCAAATCGCGGAGGAAAGTGTTGCGAGCGAGGTCATACAATATGCTCACGGAAGCGCACTGGCTGGATCTTGTCAATGCACGCCTTGATGTCTGTGAGGGTATATGCGGGATAGAGCCCAGAGCCGGATTGTGCCACCAATTTCTTTCTATCGATGACTTCGTGTGGATTGGACGAGACGCTGCTCCCAAAAAATGACACGAATTCTGTCATTAACTGCCTAATAGAGCCACAAAGGATAACCGTTACAAAATGTGAACAAGCTGATAAACATTGGGCATTTCGAATGCGATCCGCGTCTGTATTCACGCAGTGAAAGTATTACCTTCCAAACTCGATTGTTGGCTCAGTGGCAAAGATCCTACCCTGGAAACCCGTAAATTCAGTCAAGTAGGGCAATGCCAAGATGTGGTTGTAGTTGGAGATGAGAACAACATCAATCGACTTGAGATCCACTCCTGAAAAGTCGGGCAGCTTGAATAAATATTCATGCGTCGCCTGGTGCCTCTGTGTCGGGGATGATTTCGTATTGGACTCGATTGCTTCTACACTGCTCATATATGTGCTGTCCTTTACTAATCCATTTGTATTCAATCCACGGTACTTCTTTTTTTGCGGAAACTGTGCGGCGGTTGCCTTGAGGAACGACGCCCAATCCTGTCGGATGTCAGTCGTCTCAGTAGGGGCATGTTTCCGTTTGAGCGGGTTAGTATCCAAATCTGTCGCCGAGGATGCTGTTGCAGAAAGTATCGTTTCCTTTTGCTCTTCTATCAGGCCTCCTTCCCTCACCGGCATGGCATAGAGTTGTTCCTGACCGAGTCCACAGTCGAGAAGTACTAGCATTTGTCTCAGCTTGAGGACCATACAGTTGGGCTCCCCGTCTGGCAAAAGTGATGTCTGAAATGAACGAAGAGCCGACATCAGTATGGGACGCCATGGCCATCGTCTGCACTTGTGTTTATGAGTTCTGAGCAATTACTGTACCAGTCGCATCCCGTATTCCTGCTCCTGCGTATTGATCGCGGCTATGGTTGTGATTGTGGTTTGAATGGTTCGTTCAACAGTAATCAACAGTTAACCAGAATCAGACTTAAGGGTTCTGTATATCTCATTCTTGACGCGCCAATGGTCCACTGCACTTGACCTCCCTTCATCCTTTTTGCCGATCTCAGAAACACCCCCGCATACACCGTCAAAACTTCCGGTAGCAATTTCCAGTCATGAACCAGCCCATCGTCCAGGGCGCTTTACCCATCCTGTCCAATGTCCTCGGCAACAACACCGTCGCAGGTCTTATGGCCGTTATCAACATGGCCCTCAACACTGTCACGTCCGCGACCGCTGCTGTCAATGGCTACAACAGTTACTCTGGAGAGCGAACGTACTTTGGACAAAAACAAGGTGACAACCAGGGCCAGCACTTCGAGTCGGCTTTCATGTCTGCACTTTCCATGGTCTTCTCGGCCATCAACTCGACCTTTGCTTCATTGACGGCATCTCAGACCCCCTTGACGACATATATCCTCCTTGCCTTGCTGTCGTATGTGGCTTTCAGGATCGTATACGGAATTGTTTCGTGGGTCGTGCGCTCGGTGTTGAATCTCATCAAGATCTCGATCATCATCACGGTTATTACAAGCATTATCTGGTTCGTAATCAATGTAACCAGCGGAGGCGAAGGAGGAACGGGCTCAGACGCATACGGCACAGGACAGCAACGTCAACATCAGGATCCCATCTCGCAGGTGCTCCACAGTCTCCAGAGCAAGTTCAAGGCGGAATTTGAACGACAGCGGCAATATCTCCAGAACCCACACGTTTATTAGCTGCCATGATCCACACTTTTTGTCTTACGTGTCTGCGCGCAATTGAATAAGATCACTATTTTGTCACATGATTCGTGAACTGCACAGCCTGGTTCTGTGGCTCACACAATGCGCCTCTTGCCTGCCTGAGCAACTGAGTAAGCTGTTTATGGAGTTTAGGCACGGCAGCCTATAGATGAGTCTGCATTTATGCGTGGGATGCAAGGTGAGGTTGTGAAGGCTAGACCGGCCCTCACGGCTTGACTTTAACGAGGTAGGGTAAATTGCTCTCAAGAGCACTCTGAAGATACAATTGGGCATGTGGTAGAAGGATGAAGAGGCGGTGGACGACCTGGTCTTTTTCTTGGTGGTAGTAAGACGTTTTGCTGACAAAGATGATACCGAGTATCTGGTATCCAGCATCTCGGCCTCTGGCGATTATGGCCCTGTGATCCAGTGCAGGGTGGAAGTCCAACGAAGGAAATATAATTCGAAGGAGGGCGTCTCATCCCATCCCAATGACTCGGAAATACATATATTTATTCTGTGCACTCTTTGCATTTCTCCTTTCTTTCCTTCACTTCTTCCTCTTCCTTTTGCCACCAATATATCCTCCCCACTTATCCTTCTCTTTCTTCCTATTGATACCCATACTCCTTTTCTTTCTGACAATCGAGACCGGTCGACCATGGGTCAATCTTCCTCCACACCCTCGTCTTCCTCACCTTCTTCCAACTCTTCCTTCAGAAACGGAAGACGCTCCACCCACCCGTCTTCTTCTGCCTCTCCTTCTACACCCTCAGCCCGCTACACCGCCTCACCACCTTCGTCATCCTTAAATCAAGCACCCTATCTCAGCCGCTCCAACAGCGACCGCAATCACCAACACATGGTCCATCAACACCAACCACCGCCGCCACAGCATGAACAGCAACAGCAACCACTAAACCAGCAACAACCCTCGTCTTCGTCTTCAAGAGTGCTGCGCTCCACCACAGAGAGGCGACGTCGAGCCAACCTCTTCTCGTCCTTCTACCCTCTACTCTCACGTAATTCATCCAACTCGAACAGCACTAATTCAAGTCAAGACAATGATGGCACGAGTACATCTGGCACGAGTACATCCCAAACGATCAGACCGGAAGCATCTGGAAGTAATACCAGCAACATCAGCCGCGCAGCTGTTGTTCGGCCTGAACGACCTCCCTCTCGTCCCAGTATAGTGGCCGCAGCAACAGGGAGCTCTGGTCTGGTTCCTCGGTCCTCGACCCGGTCCCCTAGTCTACAGCCCCCCAACACAGCCTCAGGAGGGCGTACTCCTCGTGGTCTGACCAGAGTACAGCGCATGTACGACGAGCAATCGATCCGTAGTACACGCAGCTCTAGCAGAGCATCCAGTGTTGTTGCAGTCGGTCCACCCATCAATGCCTCGCCCAGCTCGACTGTCCCGCATAGCTCGAGCATCGAATACATGGACATCGATCCTGAATCTGTCGGTTTAGTCCCAGATCAGCAGCTTCTCACCTCAGCAAGCACGGCTTCAGCACCAGACGAGCATATGCAGCAGCACCAGCAGCACCAGCAGCACCAGCAGCACCAGCATCAAGGCCCTGCACTCACCGACTTTGTCGCCTCGAGAACGGAACGGCCTCCTTCCCGCAGTGCTGCATCAACACCTTCTAGAACGAGAGCATCACAGGAGCCCGCCTCTTCAGCCTTCAGCAACAATGCCGGTTCAGACAACTTTTCTCTATTTGCTGGATTCTCGAATCCGCGCGGAGGAACTTCAATTTCGTCAAGTCTATTGCCCATCCGACCAGATTCGGACGATGAAGATGAGCAGGATACGGGCATGGATCGCGACGGACAGACGTCAGGCAGCGCTGGCCCATCAATATCGCGCGCCAGACGCCAGCTCACTGCCGAGGTTGTTGCTGATTTAATTCATCAGCAGTTTGTGCAGTCGCTGCAGGAAACCCACGATAACGCCTCTTCTGCTGCTGAAGCTACTTTAGAGGATGCTCGTACAGAGGATCAAGAAGAGCGTATAGCAGACGGCACGCAATCATCCGGCGACAACACTGATGGCGGCTTTTCTTCGACGGTGGACCGTCAGGATGAGGACCGCACTTCCGCAGCTCTTCATCGCATACGCCTCCGCTCATCCAGCGTGAGAGGCCTTCTAGGCTATCAACCTACTGATGAGTCAAATGCCGACGAAAGATCCTTGACGCAGACAACCAATGAGGACAACGCGCAAGACGTCACCGCAGACACTCAGGCAGGCGACAATACAACACATCCTACCACTAACGACATAGACAGGTCGCAGTTTTTGTTGAATCACCTTCCATTCTTTGTACGACTGCTTGCTGACTTCAGTCGAGGAGTCCGACCTACCACAGGAGATGATGTGGAAGGCGAGCGGTCTACTGAGTCTGGTGGAAACTCTCAATCCGCAGAGGGTACAAGCTCTGACGGCATCGACGCGGACGCTGACGCTGTGATCGGTGTAGACACATCATCTGGCTCATCTTCTGGCACGGCAGCATCCGATCCTGACACTACCGCGCGACCCCGACGACACCAAACCACTATTCGCTTCATCCAGATTGGTGGCGGGCTTGGTGCAGGACTCCGATCCCGCCATGGAGGTGCTGCAGGTGGTCAAGAGGATGATGAGGACGGAGAGCGCGAAGGCCAGACTGAGCGCACCGGCGATGACGTTGGAGAAGCCGTCATCATGTTCTTGACTGGACCCGCTCTTGACGGCCAGTCTGATACAGATTCGACCGACACAGCTACGGCTGACAATTCTGATGATACTGACGCGGCAAGGTCACGACAGCGCCAGCGAGCGCCGTGGGTTGTCATGACACTTTCTGGAGCATGTAAGCTTACGACAATGCTGAACTGGACTTCGAATCGTGACAATCTTACAGGAACGATAGCTAATATTATTTCCCTTTCTTTGATACTATAGATATTAACAGCTTGATGGCTGCGGGTGCAAATGGTGAGGGAGGCACAAACTATGACGATCTCTGGATGCTTTCCAATCTTATCGGACCTGCTCGTCCTATCACGACAACGCAGGAAGCAATCGACAATGCAGGATTTCCGGTCGGCCGTTTCGAGCACGAAGTGCAAGGCATGCGCAACATCACAACACTCGGCGATGGCACTAGGTGCTTAGTCTGCATGAGCGAGTATGAGGAGGGAGAAGACATGCGCGCGCTCAAATGCAGGCACGGATTTCACTTGGAATGTATCGACAAGGTAAACACACTGGCCTATACCCTGTCAATGTTATGTTTATCAAATGTTGAGAGGCAGCATACTCACCCTTTTATTTCCATCTTACCAACTTTCTTCGCTGTCATAGTGGCTCACAACGGGCGCAAACAAATGTCCAGTCTGTCGAACTGCAGCTGTCGTGACTGAACCACCGCCAGCAGAGCCCGATGTTAGCGTCGCTCGAGCCGTCAATGAGGAATAGTGGGCACAGCAGGACAACCTCCATAGACTCGGATGCGACGCCACTCTATTGTACTTTGCGGCAATGTCTTCACGCATTTTCTTTATTCACGGCCACCCATGCTTTGTAAAATAACTATCATTGCGACCTTTTGTACCATATCATGCGAGCGACAAGCACAGAACTTTTTATTTTCAGCTCCCACAGTTGACTGCTCTTCTCTATCCCTCTTCTTTTATCTCTGACTTGTTTTCTTGTTCTGAACATGTACAATACACCAACACCCAACGAAAACTATAGTGATCAATAATTAGAGCGAAAATAACAACTTGAACTTGGTGCCTCTCACAAAAACAAAAAATAAAAAAAATCACTCTTCTGAACGCAGGATCATGCTTTTGAATATATCATCGGCGGTAGTCCAGGCGACGACATTGTCCCGTTTGAATGCCTCATAATCCCAGGGTCTATTCAAATCAAGGTGTTCGAGGGGTCCTGTGAAGAGGTAGACAAATGCGTCGACGGTGGACTCGGCTTCGTAGCTCTGTTGCTTCTCAGCTGTGAACCGGGCAGGGACCTGACCATGGATGGTGACAGGCAGTGAAGTGCGAGGATATTCTGGTCCCTCGAATTGGTCGAGTCTACGACGTTCTGCATCAGAGTGTCCAAAGACTAAGAGACCTTCGACAATTTCATTGGGGTCCTTGGACACGATCATTCCAGGAAATGGTTGGTTGTGGTATGTGTACCTTGTGTAGCCCTGATAGCAAGAGGACGAGAGAATGTTTTTAGAGGAAAGAAATGGCTATTGAGCGGTGTCGATAGCTAATCGACGGCATTTACTTTGACAGAGGCACGGACGATAAAGAGATCGGTGCCTGGCTTTGGACGAGTGACGGCATTGAGGACTCTTGGCTCCATGAGCGAGCCATAGAAGAAGCAGGGCTGAGATGTCCGCTCAGTCACTGAAGGCATATTTAGATATATTGGTCCTTGGAAGGGTAAGTGGGTATACGAAGGGCTCGTCCTTGGTCTGTTCGTAGGGGAAGAGATAGAGTGAGGGAAAGAGGGGAGGAACGGCGGATTTCTTGGTGCCTTCCTTATGGTATTTATACTAGAAAAAGTGATTGTGAGTTCTATGAAGATGGCCTGTGAACTTCAATCATACGCATGGATGGATGAAGTACATTGGGGGGAGCATCGTCCACCTGACTCATGGTGACATTCCCGCAACAGAAAAAAAAAAAAAAAAAGCGCGTTTTAAGGTTCAAGTCGCCACCAATTTTGAACCAGTCGCTAACCTTATTTGAACCACCGACGATCTCCCCTGGATGCGTAGCCGTGTGGTTCGACTTTTGCCCCCATTGGGTCACTCAACGCCACCAATTGTCGACTTGTACGTTCATAGAAACATATGTAAATGGTTCAATAAATGCGAGGCCAAACAAGCATATTCACGGGTGAGCGCTATGCATCTCCATCTTTTTTGGGGAAGTTGGATCATACACACCCATTCCATGGATGCTGTATTTGTGTTGACATAAAGACGAAACAGGGCAAAACGATCTGATTCAGGATGAATGCAGAAAGCAACATGGGCATTGCACATGGCTCCTGTCTTGTTCTCCATGAGTTCCCTTTTCCCACGACTATTTCCTTCCCTTTTTTTTTTTTTTTTTGTAGTGAAGTAAAGAGAATAAGGCCCCAAAGGGGGCCTTCAAAAATTTGTTCGCATTACCGCGCAATATAATGCGATTCGATCCTCAGATGGTCAACAACTCTGGTGCTTCTGCTCGCTCCTAGGTATGCGTGCCCGACCCCATCATTAAGTGTCCCTGTCTACCCATTGTGTGTGGGGATTAGAGTGCGCGTCACGTTCACGCTGGAGACTTTCAGGGGAAGAGTGCGTACCAAAAAGGTCATTGCATTCCGCTAGCCATTGTCTAGGACCATAGAGGTCTGAGCCATTTATGAGGAAGAAGAGAAGGGAAAAGAATGGTCTTTTTATACTGGAAGGCGGTAGTCACTCGGAACAACTGATCAAACCGTTGGATCATGTTCGTCCATTTGCAATTGTGGGACCCTTTGTTCAAAAGCACAGCAGTCAATTTGCATGTATGAGACAGCGCATGACTTTTATTCAGTAATGCTGTTGAAGTGAACTTCCAACCGTATTTTACAGCGATCAAAGAAGAAGTTTTCCTGGCACACACATAATCGAAACAGCGCTGCAGACATCCTGCTTCTTCGACTGCTCTGAGTCCTCAAGAGTCGGTTAGCTAATCAACGCAGCCGACCATATCGAATACGAGGGTGGACCTTGGCCGCTCTCATAGTAGGACGGCGACTATTTTTTTCGTATGAAGCACGACATGTCATAGTGCTATGAGTAATCGTTGACAGCATAAGAATGGATGCATCGCTCCTTGCAAAGACACCTTCATGCGTCTGGGACACCGCTCCTTTCATGAGGCAGAGGAGTGCCAGCCAAGTTTCTTCATCCGCAGAATGGCACCATGTACGTAGAGGCACACGTACTTATTGTATGAGGATGCGACCGTTTTCATTTTTCTTTTGTACACACACAGAATATCCTCCCATTAATCCATACATCCATCCATCTATTGATGACACGAATGGCGCCGCGGTGTCTCGCAGTATATTACTGTGCGAATGGAGCTGATCGTTCTGCTTCGTGAGTTGTGATCTGTGCCCATGGCTGCAAGATGCTGCGCCTGTGCCTGAGCCCACCTTTTAATTTCTAACGCCCTTATTTTTTTCTCACACTTGTTTACTCCCCCTCTGCTTCGCCCATCTGTGTCTCTGCTCCATTATCCGAGCAAGACCCAACCCGGTCAGTGATCCAAGAGCTGCATTAGCCATACAACTGCAGCGAATCACCACAGAGGCCAGTAGAGTCTCAGAAAGGTATATCTTGAATGTCCAACTTCTGCTACTCCCCCTCTGGTGGATACAAATGGCATCGTTCTTTTTTCTGGCACCAAAAGTCTAGCGCCAGAGAGTTTTTGCGACTTGGTTCCAACAATGTCCCTTTCTCCACCAGGCAGCAGATGCTACTCCACTCTGCCGCATTTGGGCAATTGATCATAACGGCCTCGATGGCAGCGCGACCCAGTCCATTGAGTCTCATCACGGAGGAGCTTGGAGTGCACAAAGGTATAGTTGATATGCATTATTTGCTGTTGTGCTTGTGGATGATGGATTTTTGTACACATTTTTCTCGCCTTTTAACTCTTGTCCCTCTTTGAACTGCTTCTCTTGCAGCCTTCGCTCCCTTTAACCTCGAGTGAGACGCGGCATCAAGCATGTACCGTCCGCTCATAATTAGAACCCCAGTCTAATCAGACCTAGTGCTGGACAAACGCAAAGGGGCGAGTGCGTGATGGGTTCAAGGTAGTGGTGGAGCGGGTAGCGAGGAGGCAGGGAGCAGTGCTGGTTGTGGCCGAACAGCAGACCGCTCTCTCGTAGCTGAAGAGCAACAGTCTCCGAGACCCGGGGGTTGCTGGTCGCGAATTCGACGGGAGATGGCCAATGTGTACAAGGTACAAGAGAGAGTGAACGAATGGAATAATGCCATAGACGATGGGAAAGGCAGGTGTGAAGGGGTAGCAAAAAAGTGCGGCCGATGGGCAGTGGAAGGGACCAAGAGATGGACTATCATCCAGGTAAGCATTGTTTCCTCCAATATGTTTCAATGACATTGCGAATGAAGTTCCCTACCAACAGTTTATTTTTTATTTCATCTTATTTTTTTTCATCGTGAACACCAACTAGAAAGCCTGGAGTCGATGCCATACTGGCAATGAGGCTGGTTATCACACGCATACTCGCTCTTCGGAGCTGTTGGTCGTAAATCACTGCTCCAGTCACTGGTCGCGATGTCAGTAGCATTATCAACAAGGACTGCAGCTTCGGTCATAGCTGCGTCAGCCTGTGCCTACACTACCAAGTCCGCGCGCCATCAGAATATGAATGTCATCAAAATTGACAAGCAAACGAAAATGACTCGTTACGGTAGCAATGGCACACACAAAGACATCTCGGAGAGGACATCCAAACAGCATCGGTGGTATTTCGATCGCGACTTGACGATGACTTGAATTCGAAAGTCCTCAAACGCACAAGCAAAGCGACATCATCTACTATATCGATAAAAGCGAAATCGACCGAGGCAAGCGAACGATCGTGGGGATCAAATACAACTCCTGCGGACTCGAGGCGGATCATGATCGTCAAAGCACCCTCTTTTATTTTACATTGCGGATGTGGGATGGTATACATACATACAAGAAAATGGCAAGCCAAGATTGACTGGGACGGCGCTATCATGCGCTGTTGGATGCAGAGGCAGCCAAGGCTTCTTGCTGCTTGACGCGGCTCATGAACCCTGCGACACGAGACAGATCCAAGCTGGCGCCATCACTCTCGACCGCCAAGGTCAGGGGCACCAGCATATCGTCGACTCTCTCGAGCGGGATATTGCAGCAGATGGCAATCACCTTCTTGCAGAGTAGTTCGTTTGCAGAAGTCTTGCTCCTCGTCTCGGCCAGCTCTCGTGATAGCTCCTCATCGTTCTTCTGGTAGGCATACACTCTGGACCGGAGCTGGATCACATCCCGCTCTGCTATCCTCTCCCGTGTCAGATCTGTTGTAGGTTGCTCAGACATGGTGCCTCCGTCGTTATTGCCAAAACCAGTGGTAGAATGCAGAACTGGCTTCCGAACATTGAACGAGGAATCAATATCCTCATTTGCCCGGGTTGTCTTGCCAGTGTATCCCTTAAGGCGACGGGTCTTTTGTGATTCCTCGTCTAGCGAAGCTTCCAAGTTCTTGATCTTCTGATGGGCTTCTTCCAGCTGTCGGACCTGAGAGCGACACTGACTGATGGTCTTCCGTGTCTCTGTGAGTTCGCGGGTGGCCTGTCGAAGTAGCACCTGTGTGTCCTTGAGCTGACTGTTCTTGGCCAAGATCTCTTGCGAAAACTCTAAATCCAACCCTTCGACCATCTTTTGCACGACTAATAAGGTTTTTTTGGATGGTAAAGCGATCAGACATTCGGCATATAGATACAACACATGAATGGTTTTGAACATTGGATGTTAGCAAAGAAGAGGAGTACTTACCTGATACAACTTCTCTACCACGCTTTGCATTCTGTTCACTTATGGGTAGCTCTGTCGATGGCGGCTGGACGTAATTGCGTGGCATGAATGGCTGTTCCGTTGGCCCAGACTATTTTTATCGTGATCGGAAGAATGTTTAAAGATCAATATCAGCTTCAGGATATTCCTTTCAAAAACGTGAACAATACATAAAACGAGGGCTAGAAACTTACAGGGATGTCGTCGATACCAAAGTCTCCAGCCTTTAATCCGACCTTATTTTCGAGCTCCCGGTTTGCGCCCACATCGATCAAAAACTTTGCCAGATACCGATCGCCCACACGAGCCGCAATCGTCAGTGCCGTATCGCCATTCTTATCCTGCACATCGACCAAGGACGAGAAATCACCCCCATGTCTCGCAATCCACTCCAGCAAACACTCCATGTAATAATGAGCCGACGCTGCGCGACCACGCATGCCCGCTGTGACCGCGATATGATGCAGCAATGTCCGGTTCTTGCGGTCGACCAGTGGAATTGCATGGTGTAGGATATCGAGCAGGTGTGGGAACGATTGTCTGTCGAAATTGTTGGTCACGAGGACTGCACGAACTAGTGCTGATTCTCCATTGAGGTTAACCCGGCGCACGCCCGCATGCTTCTGAACCAGGAGTTCTAGAACCGGAATTCGCGCCAATGCAGCGGCCCAATGCAGAGCTGTGTGGCCCTGGTCGTCAATAACAAGATCGATATCCAGATCTTCTGGTTCCGTGGGGTCGGTTAGCAACGATGGGATTTCCTCAGTCTCGTCGTTCAGGAAAATGGCCATCAGGATGGACCGGTATTTCTCGACGCCCTCTAGGAGCTCGTCTATGCTTTGGTTATCGATGGCTGGTTTGCTGGACGGCAAAAGTTCGGTTTCATCGCGCTCATAGTCCATGATCATGTCGCGTTCGACTGAATAGTCCCGATCATAGGGCGAGGGCGACTGGTTGGCCTTGATTCGTTTCCGTGGTGGTAACTCTGAACTCCAACGAGGAGATGGTGGTATCGAGGGCGAGGGCGCATTAAAGGATGGTTGGAGCGGGGACGGGGTCATGGAGGCTGCATTAAAGGTTTGTAATCCGGCTGCTGGTTTTGCAGAAGAGCTCCTTGCACGTTTGGTGGAGGATGTACGTGGTGAGGCGGATCCCTTGAGTTGTTTTTTGACGCTGTGGGCGGTCTTTTGGCCCATTACCATTTCTTTGGTGGGTGTGACATTGTCGATCTCACCCGGGAGGACGTTGTGGTCGAAGAGCGGGCGTAGCAGAGGCTCGACCTTGTATTCTATTGCGAGATCCTTGCCTCTTTGGAATGGAATCCTATGTCGAGAAGGTGCGGCATGTATTAGCGCCTTAGTTTACAAGGCAGTGGATAGTGCAGCTGTCTTGTTCATTCCGAGTTTAGGAAGTATCGGATATGAATTGACAAGACGAGTTATTTACCATGTGCCTTGGTATTTGCCGTAGCCGCCTTGGACTTTTTCGTGCTCACCTGTGAGGACGTCGCGCTCGAGGATCTTTGTGCGCTTGCCCTTTTCCATACCGGCGACTTTGAGGATCTGGGTCGCGTTCAGGTAAGAGTCCTGCTTGCGACGCATAACGGCGATGCCGCGACACATGAACTCGTAGACATGCACGCCAGAGTAGACGGCCGTGTAGACGTTTCCTGACATGGATGAGGTGCCTGTCTGTCTGTTGTTGTTGTTGTTGCTGTTGTTCGCTGGCTTGCTGTGTGCTATGTCCCTGAAGGTGGGCAAGGTGGTGTGGATGGGAATGGTGATTGTCGCGTCTTGTTTTTGATCGGGGCGATGTGTTGGAGGGTGGAAGGAGACGCGTCTGTCCTGTTGTGGAGACATGGATCCCGTGGTGCTGGTCGATCTCCTATTAAGGGGTTTCATCAGGCACCCCTGTCTGTCGTGGGGCAAATAAAAACGCGACTATTTATTAATAGGCACTGGGATATCCACGGGCTGTGCTTGTATACTATCGACCAGGCAGCAGAGGCTGTACCCTCGTCCGCCCTGCCCGCGACTCTTGGGCTTGGATAGCCTAGCATAGACTACCAATGAACCCGATATGGAATGACTGGTCGTGTTGGCCCCAGTTTACTCCTATCTTGTTGCGCAGGCAGTAAAGGACGCACGTACTTTGTCGGGAAAAACAAAGACAGGAACAGGGGAGAACTGAAAGACTAAAAAAAAAAAAAAGGCCGGCAAAGGTCTTTCTTTCCTTCCCCCCTAGACTACTCCACTCCAGTCCCACTCATTTCCACTACCGCAAGCCCATTCAGCTTCATTCCCTCATTCAGCTTACATTCACCATCGATGGAATCATACATTGCAAGGTAGCAAACAAGAGGACACTGCCGCCGTTATTAAGACAATGAAATATAAATATAATTGAGGCAGAACACTTACACGAATGCGGACTGGACCAAAAATGTGTAGAATAAGCCAATTCGAAGAATATCTGGCCCCAGGCGATGGACAAACCCTTTGCTTGAAAGAGTTCAAGAGCCTCTGTTTCGGTGGTAAGCTCAACGGCAATATACCTTATTAATAGAATCGTCTCAAATGGCATTTAGTCACGATACACTCGATCGTATTTTACATATCAACTCATAGGCATCCCTGATAAGCCAGGACTTCGTCAGATATGCTGGAAGGTACCATGAAACCCCCTTCAAGCGTCAACATCTCTTCCTTGAGCGAAGAAGAGAAAGGAAGGCACAATGAGATTAATCTCCATATTGCGTCCCTAGATCCTGCTCGGATATCTGCCTCCCGATAAATCTCGATGGGATGTTGTATTGATGGAGCAGAGGAGACTGTACTATGTAAGCCATGACTCAATGAACTCTGAGCAACCATTATAGCAGGGAGAAAATCGCCTAGGAATATTCAGTTCTGGCCGATAACCATACTTCTTAGAGCTTTGTTAAAGATCTGATCGTTGATCCCGAACTGGAAGTACCAAGCGATTTCAATGGCGACGAAGAGGTATCAGTCGTTTATTTTCGCAAGGAACAGGTTACCACAAAATATTCCTGAACATGAAGCATTGAAACATCCGCATCCTCCGCTCGATTCTCAGGCATTAGCGGACAAAGACGATGAGTGGTCATTATTCTTGCAGGACAACAAAACCCTCGAGCAGATCGATAAGGATGTACGGAGGACCCTTCCTGACTTTGCGTTCTTTCAGCTGCCGATACCATACTCCTCGCATTGTCCGCTCAGCATCGAACCGAAACGACGAAAGCCAAAAAAGATAAGGCCAACCTGCACACAGGAAACGAATGCCAGATCAACGACAGCATTACCAGGAATGGCGACTGTTGCGAGTTCCGGTTCGACCGGCTCGCTCCCCGCTGCTGGATTCGTGCAAAGACAGAGGACAATACATGGGACCAGCATGGACTTGAAACGGGCCTCTATAACCCGTACCACGACTCCGACTCTTAAAAGGCGTCAGACAATTACTGTAGCGTCTCCGATGGCAGAGGAAAAGGTTGAAAAACTAGAGGACACGAATGGTTATCAGCAGCCGATTACTTCTTCATCATTTACGAACTCTGGATTTGAAGCACCCCCTATGTCCGTCTCAAATGGGTTCAGAACACCTATCAGCTATCCTTCGCCATTACCGTCGAGGCTGAGAGATATGGCGACGGCAATGGCTGACATCGATGACGATGACAGGGAAGATGACGAAGACTCTCATCTACCAGAATATCTCTTCTCACCCATACCGACCCGTCGATCCCTTTTCAAGCGCGTTGCGCATCTCAATCAGGATTTCGGATCTCGCCAGCACCAACCACACACTCTGCAGGCATCGAGATCTAGGGATAGCGAGGCAAAGAAACGGCGAAACCAAAATGGAACAGGAACACAGCATGGAGAGCTACCGTTGTCGACCTCGCCAGAGTCATTGCCGCTGGATGAGGATGATGACAGCAGCCAGGATGAATTGCCACAGGATCTGCACTGGGAGGCCATCGAACGAATCTTGTTTATCTATGCAAAGCTGAATCCCGGCGTGGGGTATGTGCAGGGCATGAACGAGATTCTAGGGCCACTGTACTATTTACTTGCCAACGACCCCGACGAAGTCAGCCGAGGTACGAGAAGCATCGAATTGCAATGCACACCAAAAGAAGCTTATTATGGAGGGATCATAATACGATATGACACTTCTCGTCTTCATTTGTTGAATAGCACATGCGGAAGCAGAGTCGTTCTGGCTGTTCCATTTGCTGATGGCGCATTTCCGTGACCACTTTGTGAGGTCCCTGGACCGTGATCGGACCAGCGGTATTGGATCGACAATAGCACGGATGAACTTTCGACTGCGACAGTTTGATGAACACTTGTGGCAAACCCTGGAGGGGAAGGGAATAGCACCGGAGTACTACAGTTTTCGATGGCTGACGGTCTTGTGTACGCAAGAGTTTGAGGTCCCGGACGTTTGGCGGATATGGGACTCTGTCTTGGCAGATACTGGAGGCATGGAGAGGGACTATGACTTCTTGTTGGACTTTGGATGTGCGATGGTTTGGTAGGGTGATATGTTGCTGGCTGAGCGCTTTTGTACAATGGTATGAATGCAACTAATAGTCATTCGCTTGCTTACTGTTTAAGTCATCTACGTGCAGAGCTTTTGCAAGGTGATTTTGCAGACAATATCAAGCTGCTCCAGGTAATAAGTGGTCAGAAGTTTGTTGTCTTCAAGGCACGTACGTCGCCCGAGCGCAAAGCGACACGATTACTGCTTTGTAACGAGTATTTTTTTATAATTATTATTTTCATAATCGTATAGAACTATCCTCCAGTAGACATTCAGCCGATTCTTTGTCTCGCCGCCGTCATTCGTGATCAGCGCATAAAAAGCATACGCCGACAGTCGAAAATGAACAGCGATATCAGGGATAATGCATCACGCCGCATCAGTGTCGACCTTCGAATCTGGAGCAGTCGCCGGTCTGTCAGCGACAACGACATTCTTTCATTCTCGGAGAATGCTGCTCTTCATAGTCTCAAGGCCTTGACAATTGATGGGGTCAAGAACAGTGACCGATTGGACCATAACCTCGAAGGGATAGATCATCGTTCTCCGCTGTACGCCCCGTTGTCTGCGCCGATAACGAAGGATGGACCGCCTATCGTACTAGGACTGAGTATGGATGGCCTGATGTCGAGGAAATATGGGAATGGGCTTGTGTCCTCAAGTGCAGCGACTGATGGACGTCGATCGTCGAGTCTGGGCGCGGACAATTTCACGATCGATCAAGGTGCCCGTCCGCAGACAGGGACGTGGGCAGAAACGTTTACGCTGTTTAAGGCGAGGTTTGTCGTGTTTGGTGGGTCATCATCACCGCCAAAGACATTGGAAGAGAGTGAGGGACGTACGAAGCAGGTGGATATTGCAGACGAATCCGTCGAGGCGCTGCCGCCCTCTGTGGAACTATAGATCTGACCACATAGAACGCGTTTGGCCACATAGAATATAGACAAACTGACAGCGGCGTGAATGGTTATTTTACAAGGCGACATCCCATTGGCTGAGGCATCTGAGGAGCGGGTCTTGAAAAAGAAAAAGAAAATGAAATAGAGCGTCTTGAATGCTACCCCGCCTCTGCCTCAGTGGACCGAACAGATTGGACTACTGGGCCCTTTTTTCCACACCAATTGAGCGCTGAAGACATTTTTATTTAGAGGGTTTTTTTGGTGGAGGTCGCTATCACCGAGACAATATGTAGACTGTGTACTTGATTATGTGCATCGGGCGAGAGATAACGAGATAATGAGATCCGTTGTCGTTGAAGGGAAAAAAAGAGGTGCGCTTGGGCCACAGGCAGGGAGAGAACAGAGGCAAGCAAAACGGGGATGGACTGCAAGCAGCAGAAATAAGGACTGGGCGAGATGGGGGCGGGAGCATTTAGTGTGGATGCCATGGCCACAATCATATGTCTCGAAGTATGCTGAGCGAGAGTGGATGGATGGTCTCCCGGAGGGAAGCGAGATGGGGGGGGTCTGCTCTAAAAGGCACAGGGGCGTTCTTTCCTCATGTCCGATACGGACATGGGGATATGGTTTTCACTTTTCAGGCACGGAGTGGAGCGTTATTTTCAGTTGGCGGAGGTAAATAATAGAAATAATTTGATTTGACTGCCGGATCAAACGGGAAAAGAAGAATCACACCATTCATCCGTCTCTTCGTTCGTTAATGCCTTCCCTGCCCTTCCGGCCGGTATATAAACAGCAGCCTGCCTCCCCTTCTTCCTTCCTCTCTTCACCCCATCCCCCTCTCCCCCCTCCCCACTCTCCTTGATACCACCCATCACCATGTCTGCTGCTGTCCAGACCAAGCCCAAGAAGGATGCCAAGGCCTTCGCTGCCGATTTCCTCATGGTGAGTTAGCTGACCACGGCTCCGCCTTCGACTTCGACTTTGACCTCAACTTCAACTTCAACTTCACCGACGACGATGATGGCGACTACAACCACGGCTACGGCCTCAGTCCTCCTCTCAACCACCCCCGACTATTGCGAATATCTCGTCTATCCCGACTGTCTTCACCGACTTGCCTCACTAGCTTGCCTACCTATCCGTACCTGAAAAGAAAAAAAAATAGCAAATTTTTCCTCGTGCTAACAAATCCGATTTGATTTGGATCTATGTCACATAGGGAGGTGTCTCTGCTGCCGTCTCCAAGACCGCTGCTGCCCCCATTGAGCGTATCAAGCTTCTCCTCCAGAACCAGGATGAGATGCTCAAGACCGGCCGTCTCTCCCACCCCTACAAGGGCATCACCGACTGCTTCCGTCGTGTCATTGCCGATGAAGGTATCAAGCCTCTCTGGAGAGGAAACACCGCCAACGTCATCCGTTACTTCCCCACCCAGGCTTTGAACTTCGCCTTCAAGGATTACTTCAAGGCCATGTTCAACTTCAAGAAGGAGAAGGACGGTTACGCCAAGTGGTTCGCTGGTAACATTGCTTCCGGTGGTGCTGCTGGTGCCTGCTCCCTCCTCTTCGTCTACTCTTTGGACTATGCCCGTACCCGTCTCGCCAACGATGCCAAGGGCAAGAACGGTGGTTCCCGCCAGTTCAACGGTCTCATTGATGTTTACAAGAAGACCATCGCCACCGACGGTGTTGCTGGTCTCTACCGTGGTTTCCCTCTCTCTGCTTTCGGTATTATCATTTACCGTGGTCTGTACTTCGGTCTCTATGATTCCGTCAAGCCTTTGTTGCCCGCCAACCTCCAGGGTTCGTTCATTGCCTCCTTCATTCTCGGATTCGGTGTTACCAACTTGGCTGGTCTTGCTTCCTACCCCGTCGATACCGTTCGCAGAAGAATGATGATGACCTCTGGTGAGGCCGTCAAGTACAACTCCTCGTTCGATGCCTTCAAGCAGATCGTCACCAAGGAGGGTTACAAGTCCCTCTTCAAGGGTGCTGGTGCCAACGTCCTCCGTGCCATCGCTGGTGCTGGTGTCTTGTCTGGTTACGATCAGCTCCAGGTCATCTTCTTCGGCAAGGCCTACTCTGGCGGCTCCGGATAAGCGTCCTCTCTCCCTCCCCTCCCTCCTCCCCATCTTTCATTTCCTGTCATCATTGAACATATCTCTTTTAGACGTCTTGCAAGAGACAACGCCATGCAATAAAAACACACTCATTAATACACATAGCCGCCCAATGTGGTCCATGCTTCTTTGGACGTTTTCATTGTCATTCGCCATGCATTTTGTTCATGCCTCATCTCCAAGAACATCATCTTTCTCCTGTCCCTCGGCCCTTCCCCCTCTTTTGACCGTACATAAATTTTTGTTGTGAGCAGCTCTTATTTCGAAACAAGATGGCTGATGCTTTGCCATATGGGTTGTTCCGTGCGTCGCCGAGGGATCCGTTAGAGTTTTCTGAGATGGCGTCGGAGTTTTCGACGCTCTGGATAGGGATGCCCCTTTTGGAAAGGCCAACAGCGGGGGGGGGGGGAAGGGGGACAAAAAAAAAACAAAGTCACCTTGGTCGGAGTTTCCTGCCGGCTGGCTACCTGGGGCTGACAAGAAAAAAAAAAAAAAAAAAAAAAAAAACGTGGCATTGGAAGTGAGCTTGAAGAAGAGGTACTACCGTCCCGCACTGTTTCTGTAATGTGCATTGACAATCCTTTTGTCTGCTTACTTCTTCGAAGGCTACTTTGTACCACCATCACTGTGGGAAAGGATGAATCAGCAATTAAAACGAGGTTTTTTTATTTATTTTTTTTATTTAAGAGTCGATACACGCTTAATGTGTACATAGTATGCGATGTGTGAACTGCTCACACCTTGACTGGATCAAAATAGACATGGCTACTTGGAATAGGGTCGTCTTTCCCGCCAGTCGCCCCCAAGACTCTGGCTGTTCGAGCCCGTCATCGCACCAGCAGAAGAAACGTGCTCCCCTCTGTCCTCGTCCTCGTCGCTCTCCTCGTCCTCCATGTCCTTCTCGCTCCATTTTTGAAGCAAACTGGCCAGCTTCTTGGGCATTACCTTCGCCGCAGATGACGATGGCGATCCTAGCTGAGGTCTACTGCCCAGGGCCGCCCTACGTGATGGATGGATGTGTTGGTCGCTAAACACATTATCTTCAGCTGACTTATCCGCCATAATGCTCTCGGCCTTCCTCTTTTTGGTCTTCGTGACGACGCTGCCGCTGCCGATTGACGTTAGCGGGCTGGATGGCGAGGAAACGTTCCCTTGGCTAGAGCCTCCGGACACAGAGATAACACCTTCTGAACTGGACTCTCCTGCACTCCGACTAACTGAAGCATCAGTCGAGTACAAAGTCGGACGTGATGCAAAGAAAGATCTGCTGGTGTTTCTCGAAGAGACCGGAGACCCCGAGGAACGAGGCGGCGGATCCAGATAATGCAGCAGTTCCTGAGACGGGTACACTGGCGAATATGTTCCCTAAAAGACAAGGCCAACAAATTATGAAGAACGAATCAATTTCAAAGAATGATATGGATACAGCCTACGACTAGTAAATTCAAGCCAGGTTGAGCTACTTACCGTCCGGATATGATGGAATCCGTATGCCTCGTCCTCAGTATCCCAAACGGCTGTCCAACCACTAGGGGCAGCCATTTGTTCGAGCTCGTATAATTGCTTGATCATCGACCCAACAACTCCTCCGTACGGTGGCAACTCTACAATGCTGCTTGATCCAGCAATGGACACTGTTCCTGCTCGATCCTTGCCCAAGAAGTAGTGTTCATAAAGACCTCCTTTCTCCCAGTCCCTGATCCTAATGGCAAATTCCAACAATCTGCGCTCCAGATCCTTTTGATCAATCGAGATCGACGGCAGTAGCCATAGGTGGTACATCTGAGTGTAAATGGTTTTGGTATCTCGAGAAGCCAGCTCTAGAACGCTTTCACCATCGTCAGCTTGTATTGTTGGTAATGACGGAGGTGGTGGTGGAGGCACAACACAATCGACTGTAGGTGGAGTTGATGGCGGTGATGGAGGAGGTGGCGCCGCCTGTGCCTGATCCTCTGGTGGACATGGGATAGCATCAATCTCCTTCAAGAACGACAAGAATCCGAGATCATCAACACTGGTATCGCCTGCGGTAGCAGCAATTGGTCCATCAGTTGTCCTCTGTGTCGACTCTGAATTATCTTTTGAGGGTGATGTTTCTGTAGAAGCGGCAAAGCTCTGGATGTCCTTCAGGGCGGCCAGCACAAAGTCGTTGTCGACATCGTCCTTGGTCTGCGGGACATGGCGCCTCGTTGAAGGGGTCTTCTGCTCGGTCTCAGAGTCTGAATCGCTGGCGTAGTTGACGAGGACATTCATGGCCAGTGCAGATCAAGGTCGTTCGAGAACTGTTCCTCGAATGGCGTAAAAGAACGCAAGTCCGTTTGTGCTTCTGCAAGTGATTTTCCTGAGAGTGTTGATCAAGAAGAGACCAGGGGGGGAAGAGTAAAGAAAAGAAGGTTTGCATTCATGACAGCCAGTCACAACCAACGTGCATGGGAGGAGCATGCAACCTTGGGAGTACCCCATTCTATTCCCCCTTCGCCCCATTACCTTCTACTAGAACAGGCCAGGAAACAAGTACTCGCCATGTTTGGCACCGGTCTGGACGCACAGGAATTGATCGCTCTCATCGAACGTGACCTTCACTTGCATGTCGCCTTCCCTTGCTTCCCACTCGAGTCTCCCCTGGGCCACACCGCCTGCTGTGTGGTAAGGTTCTCTTTGCAGAGCGGAACTACAGCCCATATTATCTTTTTAACTGATATGACCGTGATTGTATGGGTTAACGTCAAAGTGTACATTGGTGTATTTAGGTGCAAAAAGCATGGCTCGATCAATTACACAACGGAACTGCAACGAGTCTTTATGAGAGCGCGTCGCCTAGCAGAAGTGGCTCAGCTTCAAGCACGACAGTAGGGAGCGCAGGCGCAGCTGGAACAGCAACTTCAGGAGGAGAGGTTAATGTCTTTATTAATGTGATCTCAAAGACGAAGCCATTGCAGCAGGACAATTGGACGAGGTACTGACGACTGTTCTGGGCGGTTGCACGATTCGATTTGATAAGGAACGCAAGACGGATGATGCCATCGGACTAAACAGCGCCATTATTACCATTACCGCATAGAGCTCGTGTGTTTGAACCTGCAAAAGGAAAGGCCCTCTCAAATTCGGCTCAACCAGTCCAAAAATCGTATACGACGCTGACCTCAATATCGACAAATGATGACTGGAATCTTACTGGAGAGGCGTATCTGAGGGAACTATTGACCATGGATGTAAACACCGCGTTCAAGACCGAACCCCCAAGTGCAGAGATTCATCCCGACTATAGCACATTTCGACCGATACTTGAAAGCGAAGATAATGAAGAGAACACAGAACTAACCCTTCAGAACGACGGCATCAGGATGGGCGCGCGGAATCGCAACAGAAAACTCATAGAACATGTTTTGGACACCCTATACCCCACCACTCTACGATACAGGGTGGTGCACCCATCTGAGGACGATAGCTGCAGCGCTTCAAGATTGGTTCCAATGGAGAGGAGTGTGGGCAGCATGGCTCAGCCAATACCGGCAAACATTGCAGCAGCAACAGTCATCATCGAGTCCGACGATGCACATTACTGTCTTTCGCCGCACCGTTCAGGAGGAGCAACCGGACTAACGACGTTGCAAGACCTACTGCGGTTTAATCCTGGCAACCTCAATACGTCGCTTAAAAAGGGATTTTTAGTGTTCCAGCTATTGACGGCGGTCAAAGGACTGCATCAAAAGGGACTCATTCACGGCAGCCTGAGGCCTTCAAATATCTATATCGATGAGAACTTGTGGATCAAACTGACGGGAATCAAGTGCTCTGCGCCCTACCAGAACACCTCCGAGGCAAGGGATGCACGTGAGGGAGACTTGAGGGAATCATTAGGTTGGAGGTTACCAAAAGGTTTGTTGTATCTCTTGACTGTTCAAATTATTAATAAAGCGGCGAGTAGTTGCAGTTCTGACAGCAAGCGTTCTGCCGATAGAAATTCAAGAAGAGTCGACTGTCATGAAATGGGCCAAGGGCGAGATATCCAATTTCACATATTTGATGATCCTTAACCACGCGGCAGGTACGATGGTTGAATTTGCTTCTTCCTTCTCTTCTTCTGTATTGCCTGCTTGCGATACCATCCGCGCTAAACACGTCTCATTGCTCTTTGTACAGGCCGCAGGCCAGGTGACCCTAACGTTCATCCCATCTTTCCTTGGGTTACCGACTTTACTGGATCGAAATTGGAACATGGCTGGAGAGACTTTACGAAGACCAAGTTCCGACTCAACAAGGGCGACGAGCAGTTGGATGTGACTTTCGACGGGCCTATTCCGCACCATATTACTGATATTTTGTCCGACATCACCTACTACGTCTACATGGCTCGCCAGATCCCTATCCCGGTCCTATGCCAGTTCGTAAGGTCTAAATACGAAGCAAACGAATATCCCTCGTCCATACAGAGGCTGTATGAGTGGACCCCTGACGAATGCATTCCTGAATTCTACACGGATCCCAACATTTTTAAATCGATCCATGCAGATATGCCCGACATGGCCCTGCCTGCATGGGCCAAGACGCCAGAGGACTTCATCTGCGCTCACCGCGAGGCACTGGAGAGCGACTACGTTTCGAAGTATTTGCACGAGTGGATCAACTTGACGTTTGGGTGCAAACTATCTGGTCCAAGGGCGATAGAAGCCAAGAACGTTGCCTTATCTTTATTCCCAGGACAAAACGCGTTCATGAAGCATGGGATCATTCAACTATTCACTGATCCTCACCCACAGCGTATATGCAATTGGTCGCTTTCCAAAGCGTAAGCATTCCAACAAGATCATCTGGGTGGTGTTAATCCTTGATAACAAAGGCGTAACTCATCTTTCCGTCCATTGTAATGGTTATTATAGTGATTTTTTTAAACCCCTGGATAGAAACCAGACAGCACTTGAGAAGGCGTCTAAGATCATCAAACGGAGAAGTGCATATCGACCGCAGAACGATCGTCCTCAGTTTGTGGACAAGGTGTCTGATCTTTTATTCCGACCAGCAGGACCAACCCGCTCAAAATCACTGCGCCAGCAACCCGGATCGAGACCGATCTCCATCGTGGTCAGCAACAACGCCCATGAAAGAGAACCATCCAGTTCAGGACAGACTATTGTGTCTCCTCCGACAAACGGCCTCCTCTCTCCTATCAACTCTATCGCTCAGGATACCAATCTTGCTCTGGCCTCCACAAGGCCGGAAGCACTCATCCAGTTCATTCAGTCCGAATCCATTGAGCTTTCGAAGGATCTGCAGGAGACGTTTACAGAGGAACTTGAGCATTTTGAAAAGTCGTTTCAATTCGGATCAAAATATAACTTCATGAACGGAAACCCAGCTCGCGCACAAATCCTGTCCGACACGCCAGCGCTGGAGACGAACAATTCCGATATTAGGGAGGAGGACTCATTCGAATACATGCAGAGCTGGGACGTATACTGCCTAGGAGAAGTGTTCAAGCAGATCTATCTGGCGGAGGAAATCCCGAACAACAGCATCGCTATGGCCTCGAGGCCAGAATTATCTATCATGGATCTTACAAAGTCACAGCAGGTATGCATGGATGTTTCTCTGCATGATTGTTTATGAATATGGCAAGTACATTGGTTAAAAAAAAAAAAAAAAAAAAAAAAACCCCCTCTGAAGCTACAATGCTGTTCATTGAAAAAATGTACCTAGATGCCCGTTGCCGTCAGCGGAACAATATCGGCCATGCTCAGCAGCAACTGGAGATTGAGACCTAAAATCGAGAGTATTCTTCAGAAATCAATACCCGCACTCTCGTTCAACTCTCCTACCATCTCCATGTTTGTTCCGACCCTGATTGCAGAGATTTACGAATTCTTGGCAATGTTCTATATCTGGTACGGATTCTCGTGGATAGTTTATTGAATGCAACTATGCTTGTTTACGTATAATCAACTCGCTCAGTACTAAAAAAAAACCTTTATTTAATAGTCCCGAAAGCACTCAGATGGACTTGGCGAACAAATGGATCGATCGGATATGCACATTCGAGGATGAGACGTTTGAGATTGCTTTACCCGTTTTTGTCCATCTCTTTACGGACGAGGAGACAAGGGTGAGCGCACTCAGCCTATTTCCGAAACTTGGGCAAAGGCTTGGAACAAAGCGAACAAAGGCCTTTTTGCTCAAACCGATCATTGCCTTGTTTGAGGTAAATGAATAGCTGTACATTTGATGATAAAACAGGCGCGGAAAATTATTTGGTGCTAAACATTCTTCCTGCGGTTTGCAACCAGACTTCAAAACCCACTCTACCTCCGGAGCTGTTCAGGCCGTCTACGTTTACAGAGTTCTTGCGGCGATTCAGCACAAGCACCTTCTTGAAGCAACTGTTTCCATATTATCTTGACGCTCTTATTGCAGACTACGGACCCGGTGACATAGTATCCGATGACAATTCATCTGCATCCTCGGCAGTGATTTCCGATAGCGCAGGGCCCTCTACAACGCCAACTATCACGCCAGAAGAAGAATCCGCTAGAAAACTTACCCACGAAAGCATTCCAAAACTGGCCAAAGTTTCCAGTGATGCCTTTGTCGGCATTTGGTATGTCTCTGCTTTTCTAAACGGCAGTCGACGTCCACCATACTGCAAGAGGATGAATTCTGACTTTGCTCGCTTTACATTAACTAGTCGATCCATTGGTCCAATATTGACCTCGAAGCATGTTATGAGGCCCTTTTCAAGACTGGCATATAAGGATCCTGTCTCTTTGCCATTGCTGAAGGAGACAATGGGTGGAATAGCACAGGAGTTTGGATCAACATTTGCCCTGGTGCAGTTCAGCCATATCATGCACCTCATTGACTCAGCCTGGAAGACCTTTACATCGAGGACCAACAATACTTTGAAGAATCTGCTGGGGATGCTTGGATCTGTAAGCTTGAAAACATGTGTACTTTGCGCGCTGATGCACCTGTCATCGAGGCCTGAGGTATTGATGAATCTCCTCCTGTTATTTACTAGCTGGTCCCGCACATGTACGATACCCAGCTCGTGACAGAACTGAAAAATGGCGGGTCAGACCTTTTATACCGCTTGCTTGAGCTGAGTCCAAGTAGAACTACCACCCGAAACGATTCACAGGCGAGTCCAAGGCTTGCCGTCAGCCGAAAGGCGATGGATTTGATTCTACAGCTTAGTTTCTCTCTAACCAGAGCGGACTGGGAGAAGCATGTAAGTGTTCACTACGGTATGAGGACAGATATTCGAATGAAGTAGTGGCGAGTAACGATATTGACTGCGGTATTGCTTTGCATAATATTAGATTGCCCCTATTCTTCAAAAGTACTTCTCAGGATTCGGGCCCGAAATCGATGAGTTGAGTACTAAGGCAGCCACTGCCATGGATATCAAGAAGAATGAGCAGGTAGGTACCGATTGCTTTGATATTGTTATGGCATATTGAACTGAATGTAAAGCTGATAGGACTGATTAATGGTATTGTATGTTAGATGATGTACGCGTATGGCCAGCTGTGCTCCTGTGTGGGACAAGATGCTATGCAGAGCATGATCCCGGCAAGGTAAATGCGCCTTTCATGGCTACAGCAGCAGTCGCAGCTGCTCTGTGTATCCTGGCTTACCGATTTGATTTTGTCTCTTTACTCTAGTGATGCTATCGAGCGACTGATCGCAGCCAGACTGGCCTCCAAGGAGTTTGGGAACTCGCCGCTACGTTCACTTGGTAGCATCACGGCCCAGGGGAAGTTTGTCCTCACCGCATCTTCGTCGACATTCTGGCAACAACAGAAAACTCAGCAGACTAAAGAGCTTGCCATTGCCAAGAAGACGCCGTTTTCCACCAAGGATCTCTGGTCTGCCACCTCGGCAGGCATGTCTAAGGCGCTATCTCTCTTTGAATCTACCAAGAATAGGTCGCAGTCGGTGTCCTCTGGAAGCCAAGGGAACGGATATAACGTCTTGCCTTCAGCGACATCCACACTGGCCTCTGTTTCTACTTCGATGCCTGCGAATACGTTGACGGCATCAATGAGTATATTATCCTCAGTCGGGACTTCCGTACCATCCAAAGACTATGGGCCGATTGAAAGAGCCAGTGATAACGCGCCTGGAAACCAGGATGCTATGAAATCGTCAGCAGAGGTCTTACCACCAGTTTCACTGTCGCCTGTCCTTGGCGCGGCCCCCGCGAGGAAGAATCGACAGAGCTTTGGATCTCCCGGTAAAGCTAAAACAGCAGCCAGGCTTGAACAACTGAGGTATATGGCTGATTGATCAACATCAGTACTTTAGGCTACTTACTGAGTCTTGGGCGGATAAATGCTGACATGCGTTCCGTGGTCTTTGCACCTCCTATAGTAATTGGAATCGGTTTCTGTCAACAAACCAAGAAGAGATGGCCAAATCCATGCAGTTTGCGTTCAACGACTGGAAGCTGGAGGGGCTAGAAGGCCATACATCTGGTATCAGGGTCATCGGAGCCAATGAGTACCAGCGCATCTTGGCAACAGGTTCCAAAGACCGGACGGTGAAATTGTGGTCGCTGGATATTCATAAAACGATCGAGAACCCAGACTATGCCGATGCTGGATCAGGATGTCTGATGACTTATAACGGGCATCGTCGAGGAGCTATTTACGATCTCCATTTTGCCACTGGAGGAGGATCATTTGGTATTGGAGACATCGTCGCCAGCTGCGATGGGCAGATCCATGTAAGTCCCGCCTACCTCTCGTATTTTAGATACTTGTGTCAGCTGCTGATCATATTCAGATTTGTAGTTCTTATATGCCTCTTGTTCCGTTCTACTTAGCTGTGGGAGCCGGAAACAGGAAAGACACTGTACCAGTTTAACACGGGTAAGGCTCCTGTTGTCACCATGGTGCCGATTCATCGCTCGAGATACATTGTTGCAGGCCTAGTGGACAGCACGATCAGCTTCTTGGATAGCCATACACACCTGAATCTACACAGTTGGCGCACAACATGTTACCAAGGAATAGCTATCAAGACTGTGGCGACCAATCCTGCCGAGACACTGATCGCCACAGGCTTCTCCAATGGAACTGTATCGCTGCTTGAATCACGGACGGGTACCCTAGTCGGTAACTGGCGGGCGTCTGATAATGAAATCACACAGGTACTAGGCTGTTCCATCGTATTTTCTTAACTTCATATTGCTCAGGTTGTTGTTGTTGTAAAAGAGCATAACCATTGTATTACATCTTGGCTTATAGATGAAGTTTTACACGAATGATATTCTGATCACTTCGGCATCGGCAGACCACATGGTGTGTATTTGGAACGTGCATACATTAACGCTGATAAAGTCCATCCGGGGCACGTCCGAGATCGTATCGCTGGAGATCTTCAAGGACGAGATCATTACGATGCATCATAACAATTCAATCTCGTTCACACCTATCAATGACGATGTAAGTGAAGCCTGCAGAGCAGCTTTTTTTTCTCGTGGTGAAATGGGATAATGTATGCTTGCTATAATTTAAACTGGCGCTGTTTATTTTTTCTTTCGATAGTCATTGGCGTACACGTCCAAGTTCAAGAGCTCGGCAATTCGGTCATCGATCTCATGTATCAGCATCTTACCCATGAACCAGTTACTGGTGTTGGGATGCATGGAGGGCGACTTGTATTTGTATTCATGATAGTGCTGTAGGGATTTATTGAAAGATCAAAACAATAAAGCCGCCTGCAAAAAAGAACTCAAGTGTTCCAAACCTGGAGCAGTTTGCTATCTTTGGTTGAAGCAAAGAAAACCATAGACAAGTGCGGGTGGAATGGAACAATGTGGAAAAAGAAAAAAAAAGAAAAGACCTCAGAGCGGTTCCTGCCTGACCCTTAGCCCTTTACAGCAGCCGGGTAAACTCCATGATGATCTCGTTGACGATACCAGTGCGATCGACCTGTCTCAGCTCGTCCTCGGGCCATTGAGCCGTGAGTGAGACCCAGGCTTTGGTGATGGCAACTTTTGCTTCGCTCCTCAGGAGCTTAGCTGCATACCCGCGACTTAGTTGGTGGCACCTTAGCAAGTCTGCGGGCTTGGAATAGATGGAGATATCAACACGGGCTCGCAGGGCATGCTCTTGAAAATGGTGCAGTTGGCCGAGTTGCTCGAGGAGATCCATGAAAGGGTTGAAATCCTGAAGAGAATAGGTGGGAGTGAGTTCGCGGAGGTAGATCCAGCGCATGATGTCGAGGCAGGAGTGCGGAGGCAGATTGTTGGGCCATACCCAGACCTCTCGATCCTCACGTATGGCGTATTGGCTTCGTAGATTCTGCTTTGAAGATGTAGAGGGCCTTTCTGTCCAGGAACCAACGGTTGAGGCCGAAGAGGCACTTGAAGAGCGAGAGCACGGGTGTGCGACGGTGAAGGCGTCGAGAGGTTGAGATGCGGTAGGGGGTGGTGGTGACGGTGGAGTGCCCTTGGTCTTTTCATTCTTGGATTCGCTATTGCTTTTGGCGGTGGTTTTTGCATCGTTACTGTTGGTTACTGTTACTGGGGCTAAGGTTGAGGAAGCGCTTCCTTTGACGATGGTGACGAGGTCAAGGACCTTAGGGATTTCGTCCAGGACAATGGCCTTGTGGACAAAGACGGGCTTCGCCTCTGGGCTGCAGATGATAGCGACGTCGGCGGTCGAGGGGTCGTCCCAGAAGAGGGAGATGATGGAGGAAGTGGGATTCGACTGTAGTTGAGACTCGATCTCGATGGCGATTGCGTAGTGGGTATTGAGGATATCTCGTGTCAGGAAATTCTTGAGGACTAAAAAGATGAAGATAGCATGGCATAGTGTTAGTTTTTACGTGAGAGTAGTCCGTAGAAGAGTGTGATTACCGATTACCAAATGAAAGAAAGGGAAGGAGGAAGCAGTGTTGACTTGCGTGCAGCTTTGTTATGCGATTTGAAGAGGACATCCATTTTCTGGTGCCCCTGTAGACGTCTGTTCAGAGTCTCATAGATCTTGACCTCAAACCAAACCGCCATCCCATCGGGGTTCTGGACATTGACCGCCGGGCGGACAAAGAACTCTGCACTCCCGCTCTCCTGCTGTCAAGCAAGAAAGTAGAACAAGAAAAGAAAAAAAAAAAAAGGGTTACCGATTGGAACATTAGAACACAGTGCAAAGACGCGTCTTACGACAACACGTCCTGTTCCTGCTGCAAAAGAACAGCGTCCACTTCTTTGACAGCTTACATCGAAATAAATCATGGCTTGGAATGGATGATCGCCAATGTCAAAAATTGGGCTGAAGATGGTTCCCTTGGCTTGTAACTCGATACAATTGACCTCCCAAGTCAGCTTTTGCCCGATTTTTGCAAGTCTACCGGAGGGGAGAGCCTTGTAGAGCGCAGGTTCTGTGGGCTGAGCCATTCGTGCGAGGAACAAGTGGGTGAATTTGGTATTCTGCGCGGAAACTGTTGAGAGTCGCAATGCTGAAAAAGAAAGAAAGAGCAAAACGAAGGATAGACGCCCGTCTGCGAAACGAGAGTGAGGGAGTGAGAGGATGGGACGAGATGGAAATAGCGTGGGGGAGTGTTGATATGCATCAGCAGGACGATATCATCATTGATGATAGCATGACCACCACTTCCACAGCCGCTGCGCCTTGTCGACATGCGCGTCTTTTGTTGACAGCAGCATGCATTCCAAGGAGGAGTGAAAACAGAAGACGGAGAAACAAGAATATCGTCTTGGTACAGATGGCGCATAGTTTCGCGCTCAATCAAGGTGCATTCAGTTTCGCGTTGAGCATGTAGAACACGCATTCTGGTCTAGGATGTCCTGCCATTTGAATCAGGTGATAGAGGTGACTTGAGAATATAACGTAAACAAAGGTCTCCTCCGCTCCCCCCTCCCTCCTTCCCTCTTCCAAAGGAAGCTCCTTCGACTGTTCGCTTTTTTTCTGGCACCCTTCCATTCGCGACTCGCGTCAACGAAGACAACCACAGTCATGCTTTCCGGGATCGCTCGGTCCCTGTTGAGGTCCGCCTCTTCGGCTGCCACTCCCGCCAGGATGATCTCCCCCTCGGTCGCAGTAGCAAAGACAGTAGCACCCACACAGAGTCGTCTCTTGTCCAGCGCTGCTTTCAGGAACGCCTTCTTCACCACACCTAACGCCACTGCCCGCGCCTATGCCACCACTGCAACTACGAGCTCTTCTTCCTCTTCTTCCTCCACTTCTCAGTTCAAGACCTACACTCCCTCATCACCTGGGCGTCGCTGGCTCAAGCGTGTGCCTCGCGATCATCTCTGGAAGGGCAAGCCCATCAGGGCCCTGACACTCGCCAAACGCTCGACCGCCGGCAGGAACAATACCGGTCGTATCACAGTCCGCCACCGTGGCGGTGGACATAAGCGTCGTCTGCGTACCATCGACTGGTACCGCCGTGAACCCGGCGCACAATTGGTAGAGCGCCTCGAATATGATCCCGGCAGGACAGCATGGATCGCCCTATTGAGACACCAGGAGACAGGCCGTCTGTCATACGTCCTTGCGCCACACGACCTCCAGCCCGGATCGGTGATCTACTCGTTCTTGGACAAGTCAACATGGAACCAGTCCAAGAACGGGATTACGACGACGCTGCCGATCGACAAGGGCAACTGTCTGCCCTTGAGCCGTATCCCAACAGGAACGATTATACATGCGATTGGAATGAAGCGTAACGGACCCGCTCAGGTGGCTCGATCTGCGGGAACGTACGCGCAATTGCTATCGACAGGAGAGAAGGGACATGCAATCATTCGTTTGTCGAGTGGAGAGGTGCGCAAGTTTCCCGTGGATGTCTGTGCAACGATCGGTGTTACATCCAACCCAGGAAACATGCACGAGAGTCTTGGAAAGGCTGGTCGTAATCGCTGGAAGGGTATTCGCCCCTCTGTTCGGTAATGTCGTCGTTCTCCTCCATTCGATTGATGTTTTCTTTTTTCTTTTTTTTGTTTTTTTTCTTCTGCTAACTATGTGCACTTTTTCATTGATTCAAAAATAGTGGTGTTGCACAAAACGCTTGCGACCATCCTCACGGAGGAGGAAAGGGAAAGACTAAGGGAGGCAAAGATCCAAGGAGTCCTTGGGGCACGCTTGCCAAGGGAGGCAAGACAAGGAAACACCCCAACACCATGGTCGTCAGAGAGCGTCCAAGACGCTAAAACCAGAGGACAGTGGCTACATGGCGTTTACTGACATTGGGGTAAATTTCATAGAATCATATTCAGGAAGCTTTGTTTTATTAAAGATCGCATCAACCGAAAAAAGGAAGGGTTTAGAAGGTTTTACTGTTTGTGCTCCGTTCATAGTATTAGAGCTGGCATTGCTGTTTATTACGCAGAGGATCTAGCTCATTGTCCATGGATATGTTTAATCAACGCATGTGTGCATGCTGCAGGCCCTTTGAAAGAACAATCGAAGTTATATCAAGTTAATGGAAAGACATCAGGTTTGCCTGGCTGTTCACTTATTCTTTGTATGTAACCTTGATCTTGGAGGTTTGATATTACGCTGCGTACGCGAATGATATTAGAGGCACGCATCGCTTGTACAAAGGACGCGAAGAACCATCTGTTATGCATTTTGCTACGCATGTGGGGCTTCTTTACAAATACACGAGAGGATACTTATTCTTAACGCTACGGCGGCGCATATAGAGCGGAAGGTGACGCATCGCCGTGTACTATTTCTTTTTTCGGGATCAGTGACTCTGGACGAGCACTTTATTCTGTAAGCAGCCTGGATGATGGAAGGGGTCACTTCTTTTTTTTTTTTTTTTTTTTTTTTAAGGTGCCTTACATATCTTTGGCGTATCTGAGCGTAATTGGCGAGGTAAAATTTTCACGCGCCAGGATCAGCATGTAAATCCTTTTCAAAGACAAAGAGGAATGAATATCGTCGTTCACCATGCCGCGTCGAATTTTTACAGTCCTGCTCTTTTTTCATCAGTATCGCCGTCCTCGCGCCTATACTACCTTCTATAGAAGTACCTGAATTGTGCTTTCTGCGGGATCACTTTGGTGGCGCAAACGGTGCGGAACAGTCCGATGCCGATCATTTTCAGCTGAAAGCGGGGAATGGAGGGGGGATATAAAAGGACCGTTGTCCCGTCCTTCGTTCAACTTTTGCACCCCACATACTCCCACGTATTCCCGTCTTCTTTCCTCGTCCTCTTCCTCATCGCTCTCCCTCCATTCACCATGTTGCGACACACTCTCATCCGCACAACCAAGGCTGTCTGCGCCGCCGCCCTCAATACCTCTCTCAAGACTAACGCCCCACTTTGCACCACAGCCGTACGTACCGTTAATTAAAATCGCTGCTGAATTCGGATTGACACTTTCGGCTGATCTTACAAACTTTTATCTTTCTTCACATAGTACGCTTTTAAGAACACGGCGACTAAGGCATTGTCCTCTAGAGCCATTCACACCACTGTCTCCGCTCGATTCGCCGCCCCCTCACCTCAACAGGACGCTCTTCCGACCGTCCAGATCCTCCAAGGCTCTTCCGGCGACATCACCATCGCCCCTCCACAAGGATCGGCCTTCCACCGCTCTCACCAACCGACCACAACTCTCAACACTCTCTGGCTCCGCGATAATTGCCCCTGCCCTGAATGCATCCACCCCTCAACCCGTCAAAAACTCCACGCCTCGTCTCAGATTCCCCTCGATATTAAAGTCGCGTCTCATAGGGTGTTACCCGAGGGCCTGGAATTGAGCTGGTCCAAGGGTCTGGAAGATGTCGGGGACTGGGAGGATCCCGCGAAGGCCCAACCGGGTCACAAGAGTCTTTACCCCTGGGAAATGATCTTAGGGTCCTATGGTGGCTCGGCTTCAGAACATCGAGCGGAGACACGGATGAATCATAAGCCGGTCCTTTGGGATGAGGCGATCATGAAGGAAAAGGTGCTCTGGTTGGATTACGAAGAGTATATGAAGACGGAGGAGGGACTGTGGAAGGCGCTGAGGCATCTGCAGGATTATGGGTTGTTCTTCTTGAAGGGTGTGCCAACAGAGGACCAGGAAGTCGCGACGGCGGCGGAGAGGATCGGACATTTGAGGCATACGTTTTATGGCAAAACCTGGGATGTGAAGAGCGTGCCGAATGCCAAGAATGTGGCCTATACAAATCTCAACCTTGGCTTGCACATGGATCTCCTGTAAGACACAGAAAGGCAAAATTTTCGCCCTCCCGGGTTACCGCTTTTGACATTTGAAGAATATACCTTAGCTTCTAACAAACCCGGACTTCCTTTATTGTAGGTACATGGAGGCCCCGCCAGGTCTGCAATTGCTTCACAGTCTTGAGAACAGCGTTCCGGGAGGAACCAGCATCTTCATGGACTCTTTCAAAGCTGTGGAACTCCTAAAACAGAACCATCCTGAAGACTACGAGATCCTGCGCACGATTCCCAACACCTTCCATTACCGCAACGCCGACCACCATCTGCACTACAACCGCACTACCATCGTCGTCGACCCCATGAACGATGCCCTTACTGTTAATTACGCCCCTCCCTTCCAGGGCCCCCTCGAGTTGCCTGCGGACAAAATAGCTGGGTTCTACAGGGCGCTGAAGCGTTTTGCGGGATATATCGAGAAACCCGAACTACAGTATAGACATACGATGCGGCCTGGAGAATGTATGGTCTTTGCGAACAGGAGGGTCTTGCATGCCAGAACGGCCTTTAATCCAACCAAAGGGAACAGACACCTGAAAGGGTGCTATGTCGATCTTGATATGTTCAAGGACAAGTACAGGACTATCACCCAGAACAAGCAGGAAGGAAAATTTTAAAATCAGACATCCAGAGCGCATTATGCACATAGACAATGAATAGAGCCACCTTAAAATGAAGAGTTCATGAAGTAGATTATTTACTTTTGAAATGCGAATGAAAGAATGAGATACTAATGTACAATAACAGGTGTCAAATACAGACAAAAAAAAAAGATACCGAGAATGATTCAAAATTGTAAAGAAAATAATGGGTTTTCTAAATGGTGCGAGTACGTGCTCCTTCCGCATGTCTATACGAAGACGAAGATGAAGATGATGATGATGTTCCTGTAGATGAAGTCCCTGCCTTCAGGTCACTTGCACGGATAATCTTTGTGATCGAGTATCCGCTTCTCATAGAGCTACTTGCATGCTTGTGCCACATCCCGCTTGCAGCAGCCAACATATCAACCTTGCTCGCATGCGCATTCCGTTGTGCCGTCATCCGCTGAATTTCTGACTGCCTGAGCCTGCTGTTTGTCGAAGTAATGCGCTTAGGGTTACCTGTGCTGGAACGCGGAGGCATCTTCTCGGCCAACTCTGTTGGATTCGTATAGATCTGCTCGGCTGAGGGAAGGACATACGCCATATGGTGCGACTCCATCGATACTGCCGGTCCCCCAGGAGCCTTGTAGTCCTTTGCAATGTACTGGAGCCACTTCTCCGCTGGCAATGCCCAGTTATTGTCAGAAGCTGGGTCGTTGACTTCATTCTCCACAGACTGTGTGAACGAATGTACGGACGACCTGAAAAGATCCTCCTGTTCTTCCGCTTTAGGTAAATCGGATGCCGGATCTTTCATCAACGGTTCTTGAGCTCCAGTCTCGATCACATCCTTGTCTGGGGTAAAAACAACGGTTCCTTCTGTGGCCTCCACAGTGACTAAAGGCTTCGTTATCTCGACGGTCTTATAGGGCATTGGTGTGTCCGGAATGATATCGACTGTCGTATTGTGTTCATCAGATGCAGTCGTATCCTGAAAAGCAGCTGGTTCCTCCATCATTGTCATCCCCCATTTACCCTCGGACGTATTTCTCATACCGGGAAGTCTAGGTCTCATTAGTTGCATCACGGTACGTGGCTTGGGTGCCCCTTCCTCACCATCCTTCTTCCTGCGAGTGCTGGTACTCCGAAGACCCTTGCTGCCCTCTCCCTCATTATCACCATTTGCTCCAGATGCTGCTCTCTTAGCCTTCAACTTCTCCAACAAAGCCTTCTCGGCCTCAGTCTTTCTCTGCTTTAGGGTCTTCTTGATCTCCGACATGGTACTCATGCCCTGTGCCTCCAGGAAAAATTCCTGTGCCTGATCTTCATCCTGAGACAGCGACTGAGTCAACGACTGGTCGGTTTCGGATTTACGCTCCTGGTTTGCCTGCAACTTGCGAAGTTCTTCCTTGCTTCGCAGCTCCAGTGGGAATGGAACATCTGATGCATCCACAAATCCTTCCACAATTTCCCCTAAACTGCCTCCTTGTGTTAAATCCAAGACGCCTTCGATGGTCAAGCTTTCGCCGTGAGGGATAGGAACCTTCTGCGTTGGTGTCAAGCAGTCCATATTGACCTCCTTGCGGAAGACATGATCAATATCGACAGCCGAGAAGAACGCGACGGACTATAGTGTAGTCATATGGCAGGGTATAGAGAAGTATGGGTTAAGTATATTGCGACTTAGCAAATAGAAACAAAGCGTCCAATTGAACTGCTTACAAAGCGACTGCTTACCTGAGGAAGATCATGAATGCCCAACTTGTACGAAAACAGGGCTCGCGTCCAAAGGTTGCTGATCTGCAATGCAAGCGTGGCCCGAGCAGTGTCCTCCTCCTTGACAATGTAGCGCACTTCGTCGTGGACACAGAGCATGAACCGTGCCTTGATGTCGTACTTTTTGATCAGGTAGTTCATCGATACCAGCAACATATGAAGGTAGTCCACGCCTGAAGACTGCACCACCCAATTGACACGCGAGGTCATGAACTGGTTCTCCGTGTGCTTTGGCTTCAATGCATCGGTAATACCGCAACCCAATGCCGGAGTTCTCGGATCATCTGCGGTCGCTGTCCTCTCCAAGCTGTTGAACATATAGCTCTCCGTGCCTCCATGCCAAAATGGTCGATCCGTGACCAGTTCGTAATCGACCGGCTTTTGTTGCTTGGTGCCCTTCGTGGCAGTATACAAATTCCCCGCCCTTTGCTTCGCCTCCGCTGCCTCGATTGTCGAGTTAAATTGCTGTAGAAGTCGTGCTGCGAATTTGACGCCTGCTCCATAGATTCGCCCATAATTGAACACCTTGGCCTGGTCGCGAGAGATACCCAAGATCTGCGCAGTCTTCGAGTGCAAATCCGTTCCTGCCGCCTTCGTGCCCTGCAATGTCATCCAGCCTAAGGCAGTCGCGCCGTGCATTCGAAACTGTGCATCGCCCATCAAGCTCGAGATCCAGAGCTCTTCAGAATCCACGTCGGCCCCAACAATCTTGTAACCAGCAGGCGCCTGGACCATTGACTTGAGCTCAGACCCGATACGGTTCTTCTTTGCATTGCTGGCTGTCATCCACGTCTTTTCGACCGCCCGCCTTGTTACCGTTCCCATGGTGATAATCTGGGGGAGGATCATGCCGTTCAATCGCCCTTCTCCGCGGTCAGGCAAGCCCATCCGATCACTCAATTTATTGGCGTCCTTGTCCCAGACAACGAATTGGTCCATGATGCGCTCTCTTGCACTGACCCAATATGCACACTGCGCGTTCATGTCTAATGCCTGTTTGGCAAGCGTGCTACTTCCGTCCTTGACTGACCCTCCCTCCGGTACATAAGAGCTCAGGATGTTGTCCTCAAAATATCCGACATAACCCTTGGCTAATGGGTTCCCAACGTTCATACCATCACCAGCCTTGTGCGGAACTTGATAGTAACGGAACCGATTAGAATCGATGCTTGGTTGATATCCCGCCTCGTTCTCCAATGGAAATGTTAGTTCTGTGGCCTTGGTGACAAAATCCTGGTCCTCCTTGGGAACTTTAAAGGTCCATCCAAACAACTTGGAGTGCACAAGCGGATACCCGCGCCATTGTAACCTCATCAGCAGTGGCGCCGCCCTTTGCCGAATCGTTACCTTGATTCTTTGGTCCTTGGGATCCCAGAGTGCACGGTACCATGCAGGCTTGTCCGGTAGCAGCTTGGTTTGGCAGACCCACCTGGGTTCCTGTCCTTTCAGCCAGCCTTTGCCGTTGGCCCGTGGCTTTCCTTCCTTCCATCTGCGCTCGGGTAGCGTCCAATCAAGTTGACTTAGCCATGGATCCGATTCGTAAAACTGCGGGTCCTTCTCAAAGTTCTCCATTGCCTTGTCCGCCAACGCCAGCAGTTTTGACTCAACAGTTTGTGCCATCTCATTATACGTTTTGCTGCAGCGGTCGATATACGCGGTCCAGCCCTCATTCACTGTCAAAAACGACGATCCCATTTGCAATATGCCGGCGAACGAGACAGGGTGTGGGCATGTCTCAAAAAATTTCGGAAGAATCTTCTGGTAGACGGCATGGGTGGCGGCAACATCCTGCCCACAGTACGTCATGAGTTCCTGAAAGTGCTCCTGAACTAACCCAATATCCCGCGCCTCCATCAAGATATTCCTCGGCGCCTTGTCCATTTGAATTCCGCAATGGAATTTGGAGACTTGGAGTAGACTGTTGATGGAGCTGACATCAAAGTACTTTCCAGTTGTGTCCTTACACGCGTGCAAATATTCAGAGTTCTCATTCTCAACAGCCTTGGAATATTTGAGCCAGCTGGGCCGCTGTTGCGTGCAAAGTCCCGAAACTGCAATGTGAAGACTCATGGTATCCAAATAACGAATCCCATTCTGCTCCAAACAGTATTCCTCTAGGACGCGTGCGCGATCGTAACCGACATTGTGGCCGACTATGACTTTTTCTTCGCCTTTCCTGTTCCTACTAGGACCAAGCGATATGAGGTGGTGATCGTTATGTTCTCCGTCCTTGGTCACTGGGTTGATGAGCCAAGGTGAGACCCAGCCGTACCAGGCGTCTGAGGACATAGCGCAAGCCATAATGGGGTACTTGCTCAGCGCCGGAACCGTTTCCACGTCGAATGTTAGCATTTGCTCCTTGGGGTACTCGATCTGGGAGATCGATCCATCCCTGCCGTACCGTGTCCATCCTGCTTGCATGACCCATTGTTTTGGTGGTGCGTGAACTGGCGACTGCGCAAATGTAACGGCCATGTCTTTGTACGTAGCCGAGTCGTGAACTCCGATATTGTAAAAATGGTCCTCGATGTTCTGGCCCCGCAGCGATGGAACTTGAAATGTTGTGTCCGGTACAAGGATGGCTTCTTTCCCCCACAAGTCTTGTTTCTCAAGATGACTAATAGAGCATCGGACCATATCTGGCGTTGGTTCCATAGACGATGCTAGTACTGCTCCAGCGGATGTCTTTTGAGTGCAGACCGAAGACGGCGGGAAAACTTTTTGATGGAGTTCTGGGTGGAGCATCTGTACATCGACCATGTTCTTCCTGAGCGCTATTATGTTTCGAATCAAATGCACAGCCGTACATGCATGATATACGTTAGACCGCTATACAGACCCTTAAACAGAGTATGAGGGGCGACTTTGTACACAGTGTCCTTACGAGATATGGGTGTATCTCCTAAGGTAGAGAGTAACCTGAAACGTATTTGTGGATAGTTCTTTCCAGGATACCGATGTGCTTGAACGAGGGATCCAGTCAAAAGGACTCGACTTGATCGTGATATAGGCCGTGCTGCTGGTGCTACTGATATAAGAGTGGTGGCAAAGAAGCGGAGGTCGGTGCGTGAACTCGTCGGCATGGTTCCCATTGCTGTGCATGCGTTTAAGTGGCGTTGATATTGATGCGGTCGCGGCGAGTGGCGCCAGGGATGCCGTGTCACCAGGCGCTGGACCATGTTGGGATGTACTGCTGCTGGAAGAAGGAGCTGGTTGCCATTGCCTTTGGAAAAGAAACTCCCTTTTTCAGGCATGGAAAAAAAACAACCAAAAACAGTATATCACGTGCCTATCTCTGCTTCAAGGCGGGTCTATTGAGTGCCTCCAGCGACCACCTCTGCTCCCACACTTCTCCCTCCCTCTGACTCGTTCATTCTTCCCCGCAACCCTTTCTTCATCTTTTATCACCTTCTTTCTCCTGTCTCTGTTCCCTCCCAACAACTCTCGGCCCCATGGGAAAGAGAAAGAGCAGCCGCAAGCCGCAGGCGAAGGTCAAGAAGGTTCTTGACACTCAGTTCGATTGCGTAGCCTGCTTCCACGAAAAGTCCATCAATTGCAAGCTGTAAGGAGATCGGAACCCCAAATCTAGCAACATGCAGCTGTGTATTAGTTGTGGATCCATCCAAGCAATTTGAATCTCGCTATGTCCTCTGTGAGGCCTTGACAGATCCTGTTTTGTTCCTTTGCTGACCAATGAAAATGGTTGCTAAATGGAATAGTGATTTCGACCAAAAGGTGGGCCACCTCCAGTGCCGCATGTGCGGTGTCAGCTACACCTGCGCTATCAACTGTACGTATCAAGCCTTGCAACTTTATCTAGTCTTTTCAGAGCAGAAACGGATAGCTCCTTGTCTCAACAGACGGACCAATGGCTCCGATATTTGACTAATTTCCTGCATTTACTGCCATTATATCGTTGCATAGACCTCAGCCATGCTGTTGATGTGTATCACGATTGGATCGATGCCTGCGAGGCCGTGAATACTGCTGGCAAAGCAGCCAAGTCTGCAGCGCAGGATCGCAACCGTGACAGAGACAGGGACAGGGATAGGGTTCGTGATGATCGGGACGACGACAGACCCAGGCGAAGCAAACCATACGACCGTTATGATGACGATGATGATTAAGAGGGATCAGGAAGGATGCCATTGATCAAGCGGGAATTATGCAGGAAATGCATGCAGTCAGAGGGACTCAATGGCATTACCATCAAATTTTGTGCAGCTTCGCTTCCCTCACTTTCAGTCATGGTCATCGAGCACTTTTTTCATTTTGTAACATATTTCATACATGGTCAGCAACATAGGCCGATTACTATTATAATGAAGCCCCGTAAAAGACTTTTAAAACCATTGCAGAGATTTGCACCTCAAATTTTTGGTAAAAAACCACAAAGGAATAAACCGCTCTTCTTTGCTCTTAATAAAAAATAATAATAAAATGTTCTAGATGTCGCGTTAAACTGCACTTCGAGGTATTAGGACCATCTCTGGCATCCACAGATGGGCCCACAATGTTCAGGACATGTCTCCAGCACTGCTAAGTGACCCTTCGCTTAGCGTCAGTAGCCTAAACAATGTGCTGCCTCTTTGTCCTGCCGTGTGTTTCCCGCTTCCAGAGCAAGAGGCGTTCATTCGATGCTAGACAATTCGGTCCACTATTCTCTCAATGGAGCGCTCTTTCGTCGCCCTTCAAGATCGGTGCAAGCAGAAGAGCGTGTGCCCTGGATGCATCAGTGCATTCTCCAACTCACGCAATCGATCTAGTATCTTCTACTGTTGTGATGCGCCTGGTTAAATGGCATAATTCTCTAATATCTGAAGTACCACGCAAAGAGGATGGTTTTAGCACTCCTCGCCAAGAATGCGGGAGGTTCTCATTTGATTATTGAGGCTGATCACAGTCTCTAGACCGTTGTGAGGTTCACTATGAGGGGTCTAAGTCTTTTCTCCAACTTTGCTTCGTGTAATTCACGTTCAATTGATTTCAGGCCGCCAAGTTGAGCATAACGCATGGGAGGAGTAGTATGAAAACAGCTAATCCCATCGACGCTAATATCATAATACAAGGTTACTCTCGCTTACTGTTTATATAGACCAAGACGTTGGCCACTGATAGCTCTAACAGTACACATGTAATTAGGGGACGAGCTACCTCACTCACCCGCAACTCGTTAAAAGGTATATTTTCACTCTCAAATACAATATTTCTATCAGTTTCAACAGTTGTCCCTTACAGCATCCATCCCATTCACCTTACTTAGTAAGTAAGTGATGATATGAGGTATCCATCCAAGGCGCTGCAGTTGATATTGTTATATGGGGCAGTAACCGAGAGGCATCGCGCATCTAATAGAAGCTTCATCCTGAGTAATTTGGGTGCTAAGAGCAATGGTATAAGCAAACCAACAGTAAAACAAGGCAGATAAAAGGCCACTGAACGTTAAGTGAAAGCATAGAAAGTGTAGAGTGCTTTATACCAGAGAAAGGCAAATACTAAATAACTATAAAGTAAGGCTCGGACAAGACCTTCTATCCACCTCTGCAAAATAGATCCACATCCGAAGTGGTCTATAGATATCCACAGGTTCGACAAGGAACATCGGCGACAAATAGCTCCAGGGTCCACAGAGAGAACTGTGGACACTGGGACAATAATTGGCAGTCGGTGGTTTGTCGTTACCACTGTTCCCCTAAAAAGGCACATGCTAAGGGTAGCACTCTTTAGGAACGTGGTGGCTCAGACTCGCCAACAACACCCATAAAAGTCTCACGCCCCCCACTCTTCCCTGGCCCCACGTTCTCGCCTGTCGTCTTCATCCTACTTCCTACTTACATTTTATCTTGCTAGCCACCTTGCCTACAACGGTGACATCATATCCCATAATCCTATTATACCCGCATCTAATATTCATTTTAAGGTTCGGCCGAGTTGCGCACAGCATTTTCGTCAGAGTTAATTTGTAAGTATTGTTCTCGTTAGGTCCGCTAGATCTTGTCGTCTTTTCATGCTCCTTTGCTCACCTTAATCTATTCATTACTACAATGTTCTTAATGCTGTTGTTCCCCTTGGAGCAGCTAAATGCTTCACAACATACCTCTTCGCTCCTTCAAGCCTCATAAGTTTACAGCTGTGTCGCTTCGATGTTTCGTCGGTTGAGTCAATTGACCGGTCGATGTGTACCAATGCCTTGATCCCGCCACTACCACTCGTGCACTTGTATTTATGTGCATCGACGACCCATCGATTCAGTGCTTGGCCAACATGACCATTAAAGGGAGCCCAGCTGACATGAAAATCACCAGTTCGCACATCTATATCAATGTAATATCGCTGTACTACGGATACACCGTATCAACCCAGGCGTCGATTCACTACGGTTATTGCAGGGAGAGAATACGAGCCCAAAACTAGGCGGCTGCTACTATCGTCCAGCTGATGCGATGGTCCATGGTCTTCACTGCAAACTCTGCGAGACGTTTATCCAGAACAAAGCTATCCTTAACCTGGATGGTCCACCCACTGCGCAAAAAGGAGTGCACTGCACATCATGAAAGATCTGAAGTGAACCTCAAGCAGTAGTGGGATGCTTACCACTCCCTTGTCCGAACGCAAGTTTTAATGAACCACTCCATGGTCCATTCGACTCAAGTTCAGCAGCCAACGCTGACCCCAATTAACATCCCCGCAACGCCCATTCCAACTACCGACGCTGCTGCTCGTGTCTCTATGAGCATTGTGTCTCCATCACTAACATCTTACTCTTGAAGAACCAAGATTATCAAGGAGACCCAGAAGGCCAAGCGCTTCTGGCAAACCGTCAGGGGACGTATCTCTTCGGCCGACCTCGTACCCCGCCTCAAAAGCCTTGGTTGAGATGTCTGCCGATGTACCGGCGAACCGGACATATGTATCTCTACCTTAGCCCTGCTTATGTATGTCGTGGCAAGTGACTCCGACTATCTTTTCCACATGGTTGATACTCTCTTCCACCAAGGCCCCAGAACAGACCGAGTTCCAACGCATCGAAGTTTCGATCGATATACTTCAGCGGCTTGGCGTCAGTGCAGTGATATGAATCGTAGCCGGTATCCAAGTGCTAAGGAGCATCCAGAATGCGCATGGCCTTACAGTGCCTCATCTTCTACAGGGGTATTACGACGCTATAGCGAGTAAGCTGAACTTGCCGAATCCACATCCGGTCAGCCACTACGACACCGTCTTTAACGTCTTCTTGAGGTGTGAAGACCGAGCTATCTTCAACCCGGACACTCATTTCACTCCAGTGGGGTTTGATGGCCTGATGTGTGATGCCGTCCTAGAGTTGGACGCTTTTTTTGCCGCGGTTCAAGGCCATGAGACGTCGGCCCCTACCACACAGGCAGCACAAAACGAGCACATGGCGCCGAACTAGGACCAAATCAAGGCATACCGAATTTTGTCAACTCCGACTCAGGCACCCGTCCTAGCCACTCTAACACCAATCAAAAAATCAGCGAAAAAGAGAAAGCAGAAACCGAAGTCCATACTCAACCCGTCGTCTAGACGTGCTAGGGCCATTCCATCAGAGACCGCTGGCACGGGTGCATCCAAGTCCAGAAATCAGGCAGTTCTCATGGACACGGTCCTCAGTGCCAATTTCGAGACAGTTGTGTTGAACTACGACACTCTTTCGACGCAGCTAAGGACCGATTTGTCCGAGGTCATGGGTGCCGACGGGGCTGAACGGGACCAGTTCCACAAGCATGTCATTCACGCAGTTCAAGAGATAGTACGTGCAGCGACAGACACGGTCGGATGCACTCAGCAGGCGATTGTGGCGTACATCGACGCTGTCACGGTTGCCCGCCCTGGCAGAAATCGACACAGGATATCGCCGAAAAAAATACGTGTTAAAGGGATCGATCACCACGGATGGATACGTCCTCAAACAATTGCTTGCTCCCTAACCAAGGAGAAGGAGCGAGGTGGTGTTACCACGCCGAATATAACGAGGCAGAAGCTAAAGGACATAAATTGTTCTGGGAGACGAATACCAGGCGGAGGAGCAGCTAGGCAACTTGGGAACATACACGGTTGTCGGGGTTGATCCAGGGGTCAGGAAGATTGCCACAGCGATCGTTATTAGCACGGCGGATCGGTCGTTGGCGAAAAAAGTCTTGGCTTCGCAAGGATTGCACACCTACGCCAAAATTCCACAGGGCGAAGAGAAGGGCTAAATTTCAAGCTGCAGCAACCTAGCGTCATGAACGCACACGAGCTGGAGCAGACCATTCAAGCGATCGTGCGTCTCCCAATATTACCACCAACACCAGCGCCATCACTAGCACTAGCAGCACCGGCAACGACCAACATCGACCAAGGTACTGCCTGAAGATCACTACGCGAGAGACACATGATTATGGTGCTGGGAGTACAGCGACAACGTTGCTCCTTTTATTCATCACCATTGTTTAAGGTAAAGAAATAGCATCTTAAGCAGGTGAAAGGAGAGGCCTTCGATAAGGGCATCTCACGGGCAATGAACGCCGCTGGTTACAGGGGGATGTGGCAGCCAGGAATGGCAAGGCGGTGTTTGTGGTGGGGATGCAGAGTTTGGAAACAAAAAGGGGCCCCACTCTGCAGTAGCAATTCATAGCATCCTTAAAAAAGGTAACACGACACCTGCACGCACTTGGTGATAATGATTTGCACAAAAAGATTTATTGAACTACGATGCGGTTAAATAATGGACCACAACATAGTAGTGCTCCGTACTGATGAATAGAGAATCTCTATAACGTGCTACCAGTGCGGTGCCTTTAAAGGTCGAGGGTGGGGCCATCAAGTGTCAACAATGCAACCAAGAGAGGGGTCGAGACCATAGCGCTAGCCGCAATATGGCTCGCGCCGCCCTCCGTCTCATAGAGCGTCAACAGTGGCCCCCGGAGCTGACATGCCTGCAACAACACCAGCACCAACAACAACAACAGCAGCAGCAACAACAATAACAGCAGCGGTAATAACACTAAGGGCCGCGTGGAGCGACAGAGTAGACACAGTAGGGGATGAAAAAGAGCTGTGTCACTATCTCTTGTGAGCAAAACTTAGGAGCTCTGTTATCATGAGAGTCCTCGCCAAAAAGTCGCATCCCATATATTTTTCGATTTGAATGAATTGACTAGAGTAACTTTCCCTTTTAAAAAAAAGGTTTCGCGTACAACCCTTAATTCTCGCGCGCTCACTTGGGTAAATGGGTATGGTCCATGATCAGTCTTTTCGTACATGAACAGAAGGGCACGTGCAGCTCATGGGCTACTGAATCGAATTTCGATACTTTAAAAATATATGCGATGCGACTTTTTGGCGAGGACTCTATTGATGAAATTGTCGCTGTCTTTAGTGAGGATTTGTCTTAGACGAGTATTTGTGATCAAATCCGTGCTGATTTGGACTTCATGGACGACCTTGCCGATATGGAGGATGATGCGTGTCATCATAGTCGTCGCTTCTTGAGCCATGGTGCTGTGGCAGCTGCTGTGGTTGTTGTTGATGACGGTAATCGTTATAGTCCCGGTAGTCCTCATAGTCCTGGTAATCCTCATAGTCCTGGTAGCGGTGCTGCAGTGGTTGTGCGTGTAAATGTGAATGGTGCTGTCGTGCCTGCTGTAATTGCGATTGTGGTTGCTGGTGTTGATGCTGGTGTTGATGCTGGTGTTGTTGATAATGCGACTGCTGTGACTGGTGCTGGTGCTGATGCCGGCGCTGATAATAGTGTTGATCCTGCTGACGAAAGGATGGCGGACTGCGCTGGCGTGGAGAGGGATCTTTAGACGACACGGAATACCTGCGATTCTGAGCAGTGGCCAGTTCACGCAGACTGGCCATGGTCATGGCTGCTTCCTGTCGCTGTTGCATATCTTCGCTGTCTTCTTGGTCATGATGTCTTCGCTCTTGGTCTTGATCCTGATGCGTCGGACGTGTCATAGGAGGTTGGAATCGATGGTGCTGAGTCCTGTTCCTGTTCGTCGTAGTCGTGCTTGCTGCTGCTGTCCCATTCGTCAGGGGCTCGTATGAGACTTGGATAGAGGCGCCTACAGAGACGGGAAAGGCTCTGGATTCAGTGGACTGGACTGCAGAATCGGCATCATCAGAAGAAACAAGATCGGAGGAAGGAGGGAGACCAGAGAGGGAGAGGGAGGCCGTTGCCGCATACTCGTGCTCCTGTCCCTGCCTCTGCTCCTGCTCCTGCTCCTGCTCCTGAGAGATAAACGGGGCTATACCGCTGTGAGTGGTGCGCTGGTGTGTAATCAGACGCGCAAGTTGGGTATATGTTGCGCCGCATCGGTCATGGCGACACACGTACGGCCGCAGGCCATGGTCGGTATGAACGACTCGATGATGCGACAGGGACGACGACTAAACAGATCAGGGGCAAAAGAAAAACGAGAAACGAGTACAATGAGTATATTTCGGCAAACAAAACAACAATGACCGCCTTCCCGCTGAACTGAATGTGTCTTCCTCTTCAATACTCAAACAAAAACAATAAAGCCAAGGCCGATCGATCGAGATCTTGACATTGAGCCCGGATTTTTTTGTCAACTTACAGTGTGAAAAGCCTTGTTGCAGCCTGGGTAACCACAAGGATATGGAGGTTTACCCGAATGGATCCTGTAGTGAGTCGACAAACGCGATTCCATCGTGAACTCTTTTCCACAGCGGGGCCATGTACAGCGGTACCTACAAAAAAAAAAGCGGGAGGAAAAATAAGTATTCATATCCACCCATGGTGGGTAAGCAAGTGAGAAAAGTGGGGCTATTTTTTTTTTGTCCCTGTGGATGGGCTCATGTAATCTTCTTTTCTCCCCCTTCATTCTTGCATTGTTCACAAAGCATGGGGCATTGCTTTGTTGTTTGAGCACATGCTGAATCACCGCCACCGTACTCCCGCCTCATGTCCAGAACAGAGGAAGCAACCAAGCAATTGAGCAATCAAGCAATCAAGCAATCAGGCAAGCACACAAGCACACAAGCACACAAATACATAAGAAGGAAGAAAGGAAAAGACGGAATGCGATGTAATTCTACAGCAGGGTATGTTTTCGTGTTTGCGTGTGTGTATACATATATGTGTGTGTATGTGTATGTGTGTTTTTCTGTGCGCTCTTGTGTCCGAAATGACATCGTCGAAAGATGCATCCCATAGACACAACTTGATAAAGAAACTGATACGCATTGCCATGCAAAGGGCAAAGAGATATGACAGCAACCAGTATGCAAACCTCTTTCGTAAGAAAACAATCGCGTACTCGGATAAAAAGGAGGAGAAGGTGGACATGGGCATGCGACATGACTCCATACAGGATAGTGTGGCAATGGGAGAACAGGCGCATGCATAGTGACAAAGACAAGGGCCCATGTGTTATGAGGACAAGGGGAAAGGAGAGACAAGTGGTGTGTGAAATTTCAAGATTTGGATCTGGAACTTTACACAGAATCGGGCATCGGTTAACTTACTTTCCGTCTGCATTCCGCTGAAACTTGGGTGTCGTCTCATTGCCGCTATCTTTGTCGTTGATGCTGCCACTACTACTGCCATTGCTGTTGCTAATATTGGCATTGCTGCTGTTGTTTGTTGTTGTTGTTATTGTTGTGGTTGTTGTTGTTGTTTCTATTGTTGTTGCTGAATCCTTCCGTTGCTGCTGTTGATGCTGATCATCAGGCGATTTTGGCGTGGGATGTTCCTGCTTCAGGGACAGGGGCGTGGGCACGGACACGGGGGGGTCAGGGGGATTCCTGTATACAGTACCTCCGATACTGGCACCACTACCACTGCTACTACTAATAGCACTCTCGACTTCATCAGACTCCAGCTGCGTTGCTGCTGTTGATTTTCGGACATATTTTCGCCTGTATCCTGGTGCCGGCGCTCGCTCCCGTTCGTCACTCGGCGACAATTTGACACCAACGTTCGAGGGCTCTTCGCCTGGGGTGGGGGGCTGGTTTGTGTTCCATAATGCATGGGTGTTATAGTCCTGATCAGGGTGCGAGGCGAATGGATGGGTCGAGGCATCCTTTTGATACTTGTTGAGACATGCTTGACCATATGTGCTGCTGTCGTTGCCATGGACGCTATTAATATTGTTGTTGGTGTTGTTGTTTCGGTAGTGCTCAGCCTTCATTGACGTTGCAGTCTCGAGATGCTCGACCGACTCTGGGTTGGCATGTTTCCTAGAATCCGATGGTCGTGGATGTGGATGTGGATGTGAATATAGAGTAGTCGTGTCAGAATGAGACGGCCTCTTGCGATCAGGGGAAGGAGAGTCGGATTGCTGAAGATCAAGGACGTCTTGCTCCGAGTCGGATCCGAGGGGGTTGAGAAGGTGGGAGATGTTCATAACTTCTTGAGTTCGCTTGCGGGCGAATGATTCAATTGCTGCTTGATATGATGGGATTGATTGGTCACTGTGTTTATGGCGAGGTCGTGGCAGAATAAAGAAAAAAAAAGTGTTGAAGCGGGATAGGAAAATGAGAAGAAAGAAAAAGAAGAAGAAAGTCAGGACGATGAGGATTGTCCAAGGTGGGAATAAAACAAAATAGGACGATGAGGATTGTCCAAGATGGAAAAATGATATGCAGATGTACACAAGGTATTTGGTTGTATGAAAAACAAAAAAATAAAAATGAGGACTGGATGGGTTTCTATTTTAGCGAAGGTTTTCTCGCTAAGCGCTGATTCCTTCAGAAGACCACAAAAAAGAGACACCGCCTATGCAGGAACCAAAAAGAAACAAGAGGGACTGACAGGTCAATCAATGGTCAAAGTAGGCCGAGGAAACAATAGCGCATATCAAAAAAAGGACCGACGACGATCGTTCCCCGCGATGCCAAGAGGCACTTTGAAGAAGTGTTCCTTTTACCTTTTTTTCAATCTTTTCCCTCCAATCAAATCAAATCAGCCCGATTCGACTTATTAGAGCAGAGTAAGCCACGCATAATCCTAGACCAAACAGAATTTCGAGTTCAAATGGGAAAGGCCCTGCAGTGGAGTGGTGAACAGACCATGCCCAAAGAGGAAAATTCGATGATGAATAAGCCAAGTGAGGTTAGGAAGGAGGAGCGTAAAAAAATAGGCGTTGTGGGTGTAAGAAAGAATTTCTGACGCTGTCCACCCTGCTTATTGGTGTTTTGGCCAAATGGCCGAAGGCGATATTGAACTAATGGAGCAGAAGAAAACCCCCCCCCCCTCCCACTCCCACTATGGAACAATTAATCAACCGAGGTTAGATGAATCCAATGAAGACGATGAAATGTACTTGCATTTGCATGCTCTGCAATAGTGGAATGGTGGATGGCGATGTCTCTCCTTACTTCGGCACAACCACAACAACAGAAAATCACGCTAACCAGAGGGTACATGCGTGCATCTCATAAATGCGCAATCTCAATATCCAATAGATTCCTATGCATATCATTGGATAAGAACTGTAAACAAGAGGAGTGAGCATTGGTGCACTGACTACCGATGATCACGCAAGAATGCCATATGCGGGAAGGAAAAGCGATTGACGCGTTCATGGCCATGGTCCCATCTTCCACAATGATATCATTTTGTGCACCGCATTCGGCAAACAATGTATCATACACGTGATGCTATTGTTCCTTGTGACTTTGTTTACTTTTGTGCACTTTTTTTTTTTTTGAGTAGGCTGGAGCGAAGCAGTCGTCAGTGTTGTGTTATTCACTTGCTCACTCGTACATCCTCCTCACTGTCCCTCCTCCTCACTACCATCCCTATCCTCCTTCGCATCTACATCTGCATCTTCATCAACCCCCCTCTTCTACTCTCTCTTTCTCTCGCTCTTCTCGCTCTCTCTCGCGCTCTCTCTCTCTCTCGCTCCCTCTTCCTCTCCCTCTCTTGTCTTTTATATTTCATACCACCCTTGTTCAGTATTTATTTTCATCTTTTTTGTTGGTTGAAGACGGGACAAATATCAGACAATGGAGGACAGCGCAGTGGCAAAAGTGTTGAACGAGGGCCAGGGCGCCAACCGTTACAAAGTAAAAATTCGCCTTGATGACTTACTAGAAGTGCCTTATATATCATGCCCTTGCTGACTTTATCTGGCTTCCTCATCTCGGATTTGAACATGATAGTACCAAAGTTTCAATGCCCGTGTCAATCAACTTAAGATCAAGATCACCCGCCAAGTCGGCTTGAAGGAGAGCGGAACCGTTGTAACTGGATCCTTCTTTAACGACTCACTCGAGGAATGGAAAGAGTTGAATCTGTCAGCACCATTTGTGCGCTTTGGACTGGATGTTAGGAACTACTGTCAATCACTACCACAGCTGCTGTATCATAAAGAGCAGGTCGTGGACTTATTGATCAAACACTTGGATGAGGCGAATGTGCTGGCCTTGGAACCTATCCTTGATCTGACCACGCAGCTCACAAAGGATCTGGATCAAGAGCTCTTCCCTTATTTTGACCGCATCTTGGAAGCAATTCTTCCACTGGTTGAGTTCCGTGATGTCCAGGTTATTGAGGTACGCGGCAAATAATAATGATTTGACTTAATATCGATCTTGTATGGATGTTTGTCGAATCTGACCTAACTCTGTATTACAATCTCTGCAGTGGGCATTTAACTGCATAGCGTCGTTGTTCAAGAAGTACTCTGAACAGTTGAGGAAAGATCTATGCCCGACATACAAGTAAGCAATTGACGATGCAAATCACATTTCGTGTTCCTTCTGCCGCAATCATACTAACAAATATCTCTGCCGCTTCCTAGACTTCTGGCGCCGTACCTCGGAGAGGACAACGCACAAAAACCATATATTCGTAATTTCGCCGCAGAATCGTTCTCGTATCTCATTCGGAAAGCACCCACCGACCATCTCAAAGTCATTTTGGTCTATATCCTGGAACAGCTGCGCGAGTCACCAACGGAAACTTATGTTGAAGGCGTTGCCAAACTCTTTTTCGAAACCATCAAGCTGGTCGGCAATCAGTTTCAGCATCGCGGTGTGGATGTCGTGCTGAGAGAGGTCATTCGAGCACTGAAGCAGGAACAAGGGATTGCGGCAACAGAGCGCGCTATGAGCGAGAACACAACATTTAGGGTGCTGTGTAAAACACTGGTGCTCATGGTCCATTATTCTACTAAGGAACACTTCAAGGGTGTTTGCGATATGCTTTTGGCGGAGCTGGTCTCGAGCATCGATATGGTGGCAACCCCAGAGAATGCAGAGAGGCGATGGCTCAATATTGCAGAGTCTTTGGCCTTGCTCAATGTCTGCGTTTCCGTCAGAAAAGGGACCCGTGTTGATGGTAAGTGTATTGGTGGATATCATTTGGTTGTGTCTCTGGATAGTTTATTCTGATGCTGTGTCCCTTCTACATAATAGATTTCGCCAGGATCTACGAAAAAACTATCAAGGTGTCAACCTTGGCTCTCGCACCCCAATCTCAGGCGCCGTCAGTCGTTATCCAGGAGATGATGAAGCTGTCAAGCTCACTACTAGCATTTTCTCCACTCGAAAGCGTTCTCTTCCCTGGCGGCCTTTTGCTCGATTCGATCTACAAGCACGAGGTATGCACAGATTTACGGCTTTTATTGTTACGATGCTTATGCTATGAATCAATATATTAACTCATATTTTATATATTATGTTTTCTCATCTCTCAGGACGTCTCAACTGTGCTGGCATTCTCTATCTCGCTTATCAACATGAAATGGAGGCATTACACCCAGATTTTACTTCCGCATATCGTCAAGTACTGCGCGGCTCACTGGGGAGCTCAGCATTCGTGCCAAATCGTCGTATTCTTGGCCACACTCTTGACATCGGACCTGTTGGTATTGACCCCAGGGATGGTTGCGGCAACCGTTGACGAGAACGGACTCCTCAAATTTCCTACCGGCAAAGCGCCTTCCACCAAAATGAAGTCTGGCAGGGAGCTCAAGGACGGATCGGAGCTCATCGTGGATGGTATCATTCGCCTTCTTTCAGAGCCATGCGACTGGAAGGCAGAGGCGGATCTTTTGAGCCGCGTAACTCTCGGAGACGAAGAGAGCATCGCTACTCCACGCATAGCCCTGGCGACAGCAGCGCTGTCGATCGTGCCTCATATCTCCTCACCTTTTGCTGCCACCACGGAAGCCACCCTGAAACTCCTTCGCTCATTACTAAAGGCTTTGTCTGAGGAGGATCAATCGGTCACTCTACAGAAGCGGGCATTTGTCCAAGGATCAGCCATGGCGACTCTTCATATCCTTCTTGGAGAGACCATGGAGATTTTGGCCGTTGTTTGCGAGCGCGCAGGAGATGTTGGTGCCAAGATGCTTGCAGACTACTGGGACCTGGTGATTAAGGATGCACTGTTCAATTATGGCTCAAACGAAATTGTTCTTCGTGGCGTTGCCAAATATTGCACTGTTCTCAAACAAAGGTAGCGATCATTTTGTTAACTGTAATATGCTTTAGACATGTCGTGCTAGACGAGATATTAACTTACAATCGCATTTCTTATTATAGCAATATCTCTAATAATCTCTTTAACACGGAGACTCTCCGAGGGCTGTACCCTAAGTTGGAAAAGAACATCAATTCTCTCCAACACAGACGTCGGCTTCACACGCTACAGATCCTCTCTAGCTTTGATGCGATTCCCTATGAAGACAAGGATCCTCAGCAGAAGATGCTTCCTCAGTACGACATCTTCTTGCAGTGTCTTATTATCGAAGATGTTGAGGTAACCGTGGAAACATACCGAGAGAAGACCATGCAGATTCGCAAGCTCAACACTATGATATCGTCTGGAAGGGTCAATGAATTTTACAAGACCGCTACAATGCGTCTTTGTCTTGGTAAGTTGTTTATTTTGGCTCGATGGCGTGTTATTTTATATCTGTCTGACTTGTGCCGCTAATCAAAACTGCGATGCACCTCATTGATATTAGGTATCTTGACCATCAACTTTCAGCCTCTATGGGCGGACGCCACCACACTCCTCATTAAGACGGCCGAACTTCACCCTGATGCCTTTTGGGAGCTGTTATTTGGAGAGATCAAGAAGTTCGAGGACGAGGCATTGTTGATCGAGAGCGGACTTTCAACCCAGGCGATTGCAGATTATCATGAGATGCAGGACCGCCTTGGATTCAGCGAACAAGTCAAGGAACCGAAGAAGAAGGGACTCAACTTTGACTGCCCCAACTTCAAGAGGGTTCGACGGTGTCATGGCACGGCCTTTGAGTTGACAGATTCATCCAAGCAAGGAATGGCTCTAGTCATGCACTTTATCAAGATATATGCTCCAGGCGCCGATAGACTCGATTACTGGAATTACTATGGCTTGATCTTAAAAGCCTTGACGGAGATGCCTCAGATCGCTGAGATGCACAACCGCCAGTTGGTTCAGGTCTTCTTGAAGTTCATCGAGGATGAATACGAACCAGTTTGGAATCGCAAGGACGAGCGCGATCAGGATGAGGATGACGAGGGCGAAGAGACAGGCGAGAAGATGAAAGTGCTCCCCAAGACCACAAAGGACACCAAGAGCCGACTCCACCTGTTCCTTGCTCTGTTTGCCAAGTTCAAGAACCCCAAGCAGACGTATGAGAGCAATACTCTTCACGCCCTTTACCTTCGCCTTTTGATGATTGGAGATGCTCCTCTTCAGACCTTGGCCCTCAACTGCTTGTTTACTTTCAAATCACCTGCGCTGGTGCCATACCAGGACAATCTCAAGAATTTGCTGGACGACGTCAAGTTCCGTGATGAGCTGTCAACATTCATTATCGCCGAGGGCGAAGGCTCCAGCATTGGAGCATTGCATCGTGACGAAGTGATGCCCGTTATCATCCGACTTCTCTATGGCTGTATGATTGTCCGGAAAGGAAAGGGTTCCGCCAAGGCAGGCATGGCTGCTCGTCGAAAGGCCGTGCTGACCGCTCTCGGAGGCTGCAGCATCAAGGAGCTTGGCTTCTTTATTTCCCTCATGCTGAGCCCGTTTGATATCGGAACAGCTGGCGTTGTGAACGGCAAGTTTTTGTTCTCTCAGGACAAGGATGCAGAGCGTAATCCTCTCGGCCCTATCCGGAAGCAGATCGGCTTTTTGAATATTCTCGAGGACGTAATCAAGATGCTGGGCACGATCATTGCGCCATTCATCCCCCAGCTTTTGACCGCTGTTCTTTGCATGGTCAGCCAGGCGCAGGAGAGGATGGATCTGGATATGGCTGACCATTCCATGTTGGGTGCGGAAGAAGGCGCGATTGAGACCCTTCAGATTAAGCAGCTCAAGGATGTTCGCCAGTTCGGTATCAAGCGTATTACCAAGCTCTTCAGTCTACCTATTTCGACATTCGACTTTATGCCGTATGTTCCCGCCATGTATGAATCATTCTTGAATAGACGCATTAGTCGCTTGGATACCGAGAGTACACAAGCACCGTCCGCGATCATGGAGCTCCTTGCTGCGTGGGCCAGTCGCAAGCAGTACTTGCTTTTCCTTGTCCGTTACAACAATCAAGTCCTCGAGAAACTCTTCGGCTGTTTGTCAGCTAAGAAGGTCCGCGACTCGGTGATTTCCATGGTGCTCGAGATTATTGAGGATATCTTGAGCCATTGCTACGAGGAGAAGGACGGAATCGAGAAGCCGCTGACCGCACAAGTCCTGATCCCCTATACCGACTGTCTTCTTGACAATCTCGAGATTGTTCTCTCCAAGAGCAGCGGCGACGCACAGTTCGGCAAGGATATCTTTACCAAGAGAGAGATCTCGATCCTGTCCCAGATTGCTACATATGTCACCAACAGCTATCAGGCTGTCAAGTTGGTCGATCTTTTACTTCCCAGTCTCAAGAAGAACCACAGGATGGTCCCAGAGAAGACCAAGGCGGATATTCTCCGTATCATTGTCAACTTTTTGCCTATTATCCCGGATATGTCCCCAGAGAGCCCGCTCTTCGTCAAGTACTATAACCATCTGGTTGTTCTCTTTTCAACATTGGCAGCAAGGGACTGTCGTGTGCTGTTAGTCGACATTATGGCCGAGTTCGCCAAGATTGACTCTTCGCTCGAATCGGTTTCCAAGCTGACCGCTGAGCTTAACGCGTTCTCAACCACTCGTATTGACACACCGGATTTCGATCGCCGAATGGACGCATTCAATCTGCTCACAAGTTCGCTCTATGCAGAGTTGAACAGTCGCCAGTGGCTTCCCATTCTCCACAATATGCTGTTCTACATCCGCGACCCTGAGGAAATGTCGATACGTAGCAACTCGACCTTTGCCCTTCAAAAGTTCATTGACCGGTGCACCGAAATTCCTACCGACGATTCTCAGTACGAGGCGTTTATTGGCCTTTTGACGCACGTTATCTATCCAGGACTCAAGAAGGGCTTCAAGTCGCCGATCGAGTTGGTTCGTTACGAGTTCGTTGCTGTCTTGGCGCATGCTGTGAAGCGCTGTCCCGATCAGCCCCAGTTTTCGGATATGACCCCTCTGTTGGCTGGAGGTGATGAGGAAGCGTCGTTCTTCACCAACGTCTATCACATCCAGCTGCATCGCCGTATCCGTGCCTTGGCTCGCTTCTCGGAAGAATGTGCCAAGGGATCGTTCCGCGCCTCGACTCTGACACAGATCTTTGCCCCGTTGGTTGCCCATTTCATCTTCGAGGCCGACAAGAGCACGGACCACAACTTGGTAAACGAGACCGTCTCGACTCTGGGTATTATTGCTTCGCAGTTGCCTTGGGGATCATACTATGCGCTGCTGAAGATCTATCTGCGGCTCATTCCTCGCAAGGCTGAGATGGAGAAAATTTTGGTCCGCGTCGTCATTGCCATTCTGGACGGTTTCCACTTTGATATCAAGGACGTCGAGGTCTCGGCCGAAGATGCTGTTGCCATTGTCCGTAAGAAGACCCGTACCCCTAAGCTCAAAAACGTGTCGCGCAAGAAGGATGCCGATGAGAACGACGAAAGACCAGACGAGGAGGGTATCAAGTCTAGGAAGGGCGACGAAGAGGATGATGTCGAGATGGACGAGGCTGCGCTACCAGAGATTGCTAAGAAGACCGAGGGCCCCTCAGTAGAAGGGGAGGAGGAAGAAGGGCAGGAAGAAGACCATCAAGACGCCGAGGACGCTGAAGAGGCCGAAGGAGACGAAGAGGCCGAAGGAGACGAAGAGGATGCCATGGAGCTCGAGCTGTCGCCTGAGGAGGCTTCTAAGGCTCTTGCATTGAAAATCCACGACACTGTTATCAAGAAATTGCTACCTGAGCTCCACCGTTACCTCACCAATAAGGACGAAGCCAGTGTAATGGTCCGTGTTCCTGTGGCCCTTGCTATCACAAAGCTCCTCAAGGCGCTTCCTGACGTCTCCTTGCGTACAAATCTCCCTGGTCTTTTGACATCGGTCTGTCAGATTCTCAAGAGTCGCCAACAGGAGGCCCGCGACAGCACCCGTGATACCCTAATCAAGATCACGATGTTCCTTGGCGCCAGCTACTTCAACTTTATCCTGAAGGAGATGAAAGGTGTTTTGCTTCGCGGTTACCAGCTCCATGTGCTCGGCTTTACTCTCCATGCGATGTTGACGCACCTCATTCCGACGCTGCAGGTCGGTGAACTGGATTATTGTCTTAAAGAGATTGTCGACGTTTTGGTGAACGACATTTTTGGAGAGACCGGTATCGAGAAAGAGACTGAGGAAATCACGGGCAAGATGAAGGAAGCCAAGAGTAACTCCAGTTTCCACTCGTTCGAGCTCATGGCCGGCATTATCGAGTTCAAGAATATGGGACTAATTATGATCCCGCTAAAGGAGCTGCTAACGGAGACTGAGGCGATCAAGGTTACGCGCAAGGTGGACGAGGTCATGCGCCGATTGGCAACGGGTCTTAACAACAATCCTCGTTTCGAGACCAAGGAGATGCTGATTTTCTGCCACGGACTAATCTCTCAGAACCTGGCGATTTCCAAGACGAAGGAGGAGATCAAGAAAGAAAAGTCGCGAATGGAGATCAACTACACTGTCAATACGAGACGACCTACTCAGATCACGACGGATTGCTTCCCAGCCAATGCGCACCGTTTTGTCGCCTTCGGTCTTGGCATCTTTCGTGCATCTTTGAGTCGCAACAAGTTTGATGTGCGATCGACTGAGCAGCTCGCACTCTTGGACCCCTTTGTGAGAATTGTCGGAAACGGAGTGTTTGCCAAGCATCCGGACGTGATCCAGCAGTCGCTCAAGATTATGTGCATCCTCGCCAAACTGAAGCTGCCCTCGCTCGATGGTAACATGCCTGTGGTGATCAAGCAGACGTTCGTGCTGCTTAAGGCTCAGGGATCGGCCAAGTCCGAACTTGCGCAGTCCTGCTTCAAGATGCTGGCGGTTGCGATCCGTGAGTGCAAAAAGGTGATCGTCAAGGAGGAGCAGCTAACGATGCTTCTGAACATGATCAAGCCCGATCTGGAGGAACCTGAGCGCCAGACGACGACGTTCTCGTTGATTCGTGCCATTGTTTCACGTCAGTTTGTGGTTCCAGAGATGTACGATATCATGATGAACATTTCCGAGATTATGGTCACCTCCCAGTCACAGCAAGCTCGTGAGGAGTGTCGTCGAGCTTTGCTTCAGTTCTTGCTTGATTACCCTCAGGGCCGCGGTCGTCTTCGTAACCAGATGAACTTTTTGGTGAAGAACTTGGACTATGTCTTTGAGAGCGGTCGACAATCGGTAATGGAGATGATGCACGTCATTATCCAGAAGTTTGCGGACGAAGTGCTGATGGATTATGTGGAACTCTTCTTCTTGGCGTTGGTCATGCAACTCGTCAACGATAACTCGAGTAAGTGTCGCGAGATGGCCGGCGCATTGATCAAGGAGCTCTTTCAGAGAATGAACCGACAGAAATTAGACAACAGCTATGTGCTCCTCGGCAAATGGTTCGATCAGACGGAACAGCGTACTCTTCAGCGCGCAGCATCACAGGTTTATGGTCTTGCGATCGAGGCCTTTGGACCGGCGTTCAAGAAGCAGATTCCGACTCTGCTGCCCCGTTTGAAGTTTGCGCTCGAGTCCAGTCTGCAGATCATGGAGGAGGCTCAGGAACTGGCAGCTCTGGCGGACAAGTTTGAGGAGCAGGAACAGGATGCCATGGACTTGGATGCGGAGTGGGAGGTTGGCTATTATGCTCTAAACACGTTCACGAAGCTAGTGAAGCAGTTTCCGACGGTGATCAACTCTAGCGAGGTGACGACGTTGTGGCCGTTGATTCGCGAGCACATGCTGCATCCTCACGCGTGGGTGCGTCTATCGGCGACGCGTCTTTTCGGCGTCTTCTTTTCGGGCATTGATCCTGTCACTCGTTCGCCTATTGATAACAAGGCTGCGTCGGATTTGGTCCTGCCGCCCGAGATACTGAAGTCAGTTGCACAGAAACTGTGCGAGCAGTTGAAGAGTGAGTTCTTGTCCAAGGATTTGGGTGGTCAGATTGTGAAGAACTTGTTCTTTATTGCAAAATGCTTTTATGCACTTCCGAGTGAGCTCGAAATTACAGAGGAGAATCAAGATCAGGAGGACCAGGAAGATGAGGATCTGGATCTGGAGGAGAACCAGGAGGAGGAGGAGGAGGAAGAAGAGGAAGAAAATGGCAAGGCAATGGAGAATGGACGGGACAACAAGGCTGAGCTAGGAATCAAGAGATCGCTCTACTGGCTGGTCAAGCGTCTGTCTTTCCTCTCAAGAGGCGCTGCGATGAAGAAGAACGGCAGCAAGTCTATCATCCAACAAACATGCATCTTCCAATGCATGGCCGCGATCACGACACATATCCCCCCGACAGAGCTGAAGCCCTATCTGATCCCGATCATTGCGCCTATCTACCGTATTGTGAATGACGAGACGGCAAAGGGAGTGGACATGGAAGAGCTCAAGAAGCTGGGAGCAGAAGTCTTGGACCTAGTCCAGAAGCGTGCGGGCACGACAGACTACTTTTTTGCCTACAACCAAGTCCGCCAACGTGTGCTCGATGTTCGTCGTGAGCGCAAGCAGCAGCGGGTGATGCAGGCGATGAATGACCCAGAGGCGCGCGCGCGCCGTCGTATCCAGAAGAACGAGATGAAGTCACGTAAGCGACAGCTCAAGACGAAAGAGTTTGCCAAGGACAAAGTCCGTCTCACCACCATCAAGAAGCGTCGAGTCAATTAGAGCACTGCACCTTTTCAATTTCTACTTTTTTCATATCTGCATTTTTTTAACTAATACAACTTCGCATTTAGAGCAATAAACTGATTTTGCATTATCAATCATCCAAAGCACTGCTTTTCAAATGGGTGTGTTTTGTTGGTTTGCATACATACGCGCGCAAAGGTGGACAGCAACATGTGCAGGATACAAGGGTACAAATAATATAATACAAGTCAATCCGATGGCATAGCATTGGTCATGAGAAGAGGCAGCAATTGCGTGGACGACTACTCCTTTCTCTTCTTCTTCTTGATCTGACCCGGCGTACCAGCCTCATCGACGGTGCCTTCCCGCTTCACACCACTATGCCCATCCGCTCCAGAACCTGCTCCTATTCCGCCACTGGTTCCCACCGCTCCCGATCCAGCCGCGCCTGCAGACGCACCCGCCGCTGATCCAGGTCCACCACCCGGAAACAATCCTGGTCCAGAAGCGCTACCCCGTCTCATCTTGACGACCTTCAGATCCGCCTCCAGCTTATCGACCTGTTTCTTCAGGTCCAGCACCGTGACAATATTGTTTGTCAATTGATCCCACTTGGCCATGACCGTCGCTGTCGGCATCGCAGGCTTCGAGGGCAACTGCAGCTGCAAGAGCGTGTTCTGCACTCGCTGCAATTTCGTTGACACCACGGGGGTCATCTTTTGGGATCTCAGATAGGCGCCTGGCGTCAGCTTCTCCTTCTTGACCTGCACGCCATGTGGCAAGCTTGAAGTTGATCCAAGGTCGCTGACAGAAGTAGCATTCGATGGCCGTCTGTTAGACGAAGAGTTCTTTGTCTGTGATCCACTCGAACCAGCAGCACTAGTAACTGGAGTGGTTGGTTCGTCCGCCTGTGTTGATCCTTTGGGTGCCTTCTTCCGCTTCTTGACCGGTGCATTCTGTGATCCCGCAGTTCCCCCAGGCCCGCCAGCAGTACCGTTCGCGCTCTTAGCCGAGGAGGGTGAGAGTGGTCCGTTGTTGCCGTTGGCAGTGTTGTTGTTGGAGGACGAGGTTGAGGACGGGATAGTGATAGAGTTGCTGGGGATAATAATTCCATTGCCGGGTCCGACGACAGTGCCTGCCAATCCTGCAGAGGCCGGACCCCCAGGGCCGTACATGTCTCTCGTATTGAGCAGGCGGAGTAAATTTTCGCGTTCCCTCGAGATCTTTTTCTCGTTCTGGTCGATCCTTCTCGCTTCCAGATATAACGCCTCCTCCTCCTGTAAAACCAACGTGATGAATATAAGAGGATAGAGAATGTTGGTGAGTGTTGAAAAGAAAATCAAGCGCAAAATGAATAGATAGGAGAAAACCATACCTCGATTTGTTCGGGTGTACGAGTGTTCAAGACCTCGAGGTTCTTCTTGCGCTCGACTTCACGGTTCTTATCATAAGCCATCGACGACAACAATTGGGCCTTCTCGACTGCCTGGGACGCATCGCTCATCCTGATCTTGAGTAAGGTCCGGTTGATGCTGTAGTACCGGTTCTTCAAGTCCTCCATGGACCGTGTCTTTGGTGGCGCGAAATTGATAATCTCCTTGGATATGGTTGAAGTCGTACCTATGCTTGCAGGCGTTGTAGAGGTAGAAGATGTGGATATGGCGGTATCCTTCTTGCTAGGAGTGGTCTCATCTGCAGACGGTGCTGCTGGAACTGTAGATGGGATTGTTAACGATGCATCCTTGATATCGTTTGTGGTTGCTGTCTCAGATTCCGTACTCGCTATCGTTTCTGCTGTTGTTGTCGGTGTAATGTCCATAGCCTCTGACGCAGGGGTTGTGGAAGGCACCTCGATTGCCTTTGGTACTGTTGATTCTAACTTCACCTCCACAGCATCCTCGATCTTGACACTCGGGACGGATGCAACATTGTTTCCATTATAATACGACAAGGCCAAACGATCCTGCTCCTGTGGCGGCCACTCATACCGGTCCTGGATCACGACCCAACGCAAATCAAACCTCCGGCAGAGATCCCAGAGATAGCTGGTTTCCTCCAATGTCCAGTCCGGGTCCTGCAGATGAGAGTTGTATTCCTCGGGGGTGAATTCGTTGAGGTTGATGGCCTTGTTAAATTTGTAAAAGCGGTACTCTTCGTTGGGATTGGTCCTTGTTTTTTCCCAATGGTGTAGGACGAGGTCGTCGTCTCTTGATGGGTTCACAAACGGACGCCATGTCCTGTCGAATCGCGCGAAAAAATAGGAAGAACAAAGTTAATGTATAGATCCAGTGGTCGGCTATGCGCGAGAAGTAAAAAAAAAAAACATTGAAGAATAGAAGCAGGAGAGCGCACCAGTTGACGGCCTTTTTGCTGACGTTGAGCTTGGGTTTGTAGAGGGGGTTGTTGAAGGCGACGGTCGAGACATTGTTTCCGATGAGGCCATAAAGTTCGCGGCTGATGCCATCTGTTAAGATTCGAATTAAATGATTAAAGACAAGTGATGCAAGTAAGTGTTAATGTCCACATTGTTATCATGCGTTTATGCAAGTATGCATGGTAGCATGAGTTGATGCAGTACAACATGCCTGGCTTCTTCTCGGTCTTGTGGACACGTCTGATGGGCTCTGTTGGCTTGAGCTGGAAGATCTCTCGGACGTCGTTTCCTGTTGCCATCCCGCTGCCGTGTGATTGTGTGTCGGAGTAGGAAGAGAGAAGGCGGGGAGGGGATGTTGAATGTGTGAGAGTGGAAGTGAAGGAGTGGGAGGGGGTCGCTTCATGAAATCATGAATAATAATAATGGATTGGAAGACACTTACGGGGCATGCAAAGCCCTGTCCCTGCCGTGCTCTTGGGTGCTGTGAGAGAGAGAGACGACGACGACGAGCCAGTTCCAATATGAACCCTTTGACGTGCACTGCTTCCCTGTCCCCTCCCCCCTATTGACCCTTACAGCTCCCTCTTCCTTCTTTCCATCCTCTTCTTCCCATAAACTGATCACATCCCTCCGCTTTCTCCATCCCCTCGCATCCTCCCTCTCCCTTCCACGCCAACACCGCCACTGCTGTCTGCACTGCTGACCCTGTCTGATCCCTCCCTCCTCCGCCTCCTTCTCCTTCTGCTGGCCACATTCCTCTTCTTTCTCTCTTTCTCTTTCTCTCTCTCGCCATTGTTATAAAGCACCCACCGACAGCAACTACGCCGTCGCCACCAAAATCCCACCACCAACACAAACACAAACATAAACACGGCTTTGCCATGGTAATTTGACACATATCTCCTCTCTGCTGCCCTTGTTCTTCTCGTCAACCACCGATGCCCGCTTCAATGTTTTTTCTTGGCCCGTTTGCCTGGGTCGTGCCTGCTTCACTTTATTTCTTATTAATACAACACGTTGCATGCTTGCGTTGAATACCTGTATACCCTTGACTTCTCTGCCCCTCTTTTTTTTTTGTTGTGGTGCTATGTTCCGCATGTGATCTCCCTATACCCATCCATATTACTATGTGCTCTGCAAGGGTATGGTTCCCTCCATGCAGTCCGTCAGTCTATTAGAAGTTGTACCTGCACTTCATTGCGTAGGATGCACACGAAAATCCAAAAGGCTGAACGTGACAGGGAAACTGGTGATGAATGGGTTGAATGAAAAAGAGTGGGACGGGAAAGAATGGATGCCACCCACTCACAATCCCTTTCCATCCCTTCCTCCGTCCCCCTCGCCCTTTATCATTTTGTCAGTAAAAGAACCTCTTCTCTTCTTGCTTCCTCTTCCTCCCAATCTTCCCCAACCCTCTTGCACACCTTCACTTCAGCTCTGTCACACCCTGCCTTGAGCCCTTGTGCGATACCCACACCCATCATCCATCCTGCATTGGACAAAGCAAACATGCCATCCTCGCCTTCCCAGTCCTCTTCCTCCGTAGCCTTCTCTTCCTCCCCCATTGGCACTGCTACAGCCACTACAACGGCTGCTGCTACACGGGCGCCTAATGCCTCTACCTCGATATTCTCCAGAGGCATCCCTCGGCTCGTTGTCGCAGGATTGCTGTGGATCACTCTCGTCGTCACTGCTGCACACCTCTTCCTTCTCTCTCATATCGGCTTTATTGTCCTCAATTGCTTCTCTCACTTGACCGGTCCTCTATCTTCATCCTCGTCTTCCTCCACCACCGCCTCTTCTTCCTCGACATCTCCACCTTCCTCCTCTGCTGTGCGTCGTCGCACGCACCAGGGTGAAGGAGAGAATTCCTCCAATTCTTTGAATAATCGCGCTTCAACAACAACTTATTCTTCCCACCACGACCAGAACATTCACAATAACACCTTTCGCTCTTCCCTCCTTCGACGGACACTCCAGTCAAGCTCACAGGCATCGAGTCAGGCCGCCAATGCTACAGCCATGGCCAAGAAGACCATCTCCAAAGAAGAATGGAGCGCCCAACTGGCAGAGATCCACGTCGACCGTGAGTAAGTGACAGCTATTACTATTGTTCGAAGCGTACCTACGACTTTATATTAGTTAAGTAGAGTCCATCATACGAGCACGTTTTCTTACGCATGCCCTGTCTACGGTTTTCCCCAATTAGGGACTTGAACAAGTTGATCATGAACTATCTAATCATTGAGGGTTACAAGGATGCAGCGGAAAAGTTCAGTCAGGAAAGCGGAGCGAAACCACCTGTGAATCTCGAGTCGATCCAAGATCGTATGGTCGTCCGCACGGCCATCCAACGTGGCAATATTGAGGAGGCCATCGAGCGAGTGAATGATCTCAATCCAGAGGTAACCAATGCGTTTTGGAAAAAACGGGTGTTGGTGGCGAACTGACTGAATCTTACCCCATGGACTGTGTAACTTTTAACAGCATGCCACAATGCTTACTGCTTTTTCCCGTGCATTGCCGTGCATACGTTTTGTGTCTCATCCCATTAGATTTTGGACACCAACCCCAAGCTGTTCTTCCATCTGCAACAACAACGTCTGATCGAATTCATCCGCGAGGGACAAATCATGGAGGCCCTCGAATTTGCACAAGAAGAGCTGGCGCCACGTGGAGAGGAAAATGTGAGTCTTCTTGGGTATGAGAAAACTAGCAGTCCACGCGGTATCGGGTCGCTTAATGTTTTATGAATTTTGCTGAACAATAGCCTGAGTTTTTGGCTGAGTTGGAGAGGACCATGTCGTTGTTGGCGTTTGAGCTGAATGGACCATCACCCGTGAGTGATCTGCTTACACCGGCACAGAGACAAAAGCTGGCCTCGGAGCTCAACTCGGCCTTGCTTCTCTCACAGTCGCAAGAGAAGGATCCAAAGGTACTTTTTATTGTCCCCACGCACTCCGCCACAAATGAGAGCCATGAGGCCATCTTCATCTGCAGACGCACACGACTGCTCTCGGACATTGTGAGACATCGGACTCGACGTTTATTTCTGACCCCGCCCTGTTTTTTTTCATGTGGTGTTGCTCAAATAGCTGCCTGCGCTGCTCAAGATGTGCTGGTATGCGCAGCAGCAGTTGGATGAGCGGTGCACGTACCCGAAGATCAAAGATTTTACAAAGGCCGAGCTTGTCATGGAACCCATGGGCAGTGGTCCGATTGGTGGTGGAAGCGGCTCTGGCACCGTTGCTGGTGTATAATCGTGGGAATTCCAATCAGCTCACTCCTTAGACCTGTATTCCTTGTCGCTGCCCTGCTTTTGCTATTGCTATTGCCACTACTACTACTACTACTACTGCCTTCTGTTCCCAGTGTTTGTTCATTCCTGTTCTTGTAAATAAATCGCTGTAATGCCTTCAATTGATACGATGCAATGAAATGAACATGATACGGGATGTTTATTGTACAATTGATGCGGGAAAGAAAAAAGATAGGAGCTTCTAAGGGCGCCCTCTAGGAAAGACAAATGGCAGCAATGAAAACGAAGAAGAAACAAGCAGAATGCAACAAGGAATGTGGCGAAAGTGTACGTGAAAAGAGAGAGGACGGGGTATGAGAGAATGAGAGATGCTGTGCAGTTGTACGGATATGACGAATGGCGTACATATGCGATGTGATAAGAACATACAAAAAGAGGGGGAAGGAATAATAGAAAAAAAAGTCCGCTGCAAAAGTCCGTGTTGCTCCGAGAGATCCGATTGCCAATTTCGGGTACTTGCTCTCAACCCTGGCCCACGCTCACACCCTCCCAAATCTTGTCTACTTGGTCCTTGAACTCAAGCGAGCCATGGATGCGCGAAGGAAACGCTTGAGCAAGACCGAGCGATATAGGCACTGCATTCTTCACTCGCGTGGCTGAAGATGTTGTTTCTGAATAAGAGGCATTTTTGTGGGTGGCTCGGGATGGGCGGAAGTGGTTGGTCGAGTGACGACTGGCGGCATGGCTAAAAGAATCTCCGATGACCTTTTTTTTTTTTCCTTATTTTGCTGTTGCTGTCGTTGTTTGTTGTCGTTGAATTCTCGATGGATGGGTGGGTGGGCGGGCGATAAGGAAAGCTCATTAAAGCGAAGCCGTAGCCTTCTCAATCTTCTCCAACTGCTGTGCGGCCTCCAGCCTCGCAGCCTTGAACCTATCCAGAACCATCTCGAACCCGGCCCTGCCGACCGCAGCATTGTCCCGGAAGCGCGTCAGACAAAAGTCCTCGACATAGGATGAGAACCTCGAAAGAGCGGATCCGGCCACGATCTGGGCCTCCTGATGAAAGAGCGTTGAGTTCGCATCCTGAGGATGAACGGTGTAGGTCACGGTCTCGTTGATCCGGAGGACGTTGCACATCGAGAGGTTCTCGGTCTTCATGGTCAGCTTCTTGGTGCGTGGGTCCAGTTCGCTGGTCTCGCGGACGTACGACACTGTTGAGCCACCAAGGAACTAACATAGAGAAGGTTGAGAAGAGATGTGTTCGTTAGTTCGATTGTCCGAGTTTATCGAAGGAAGAAAATAGCGGAGAGGGGACGAGGAGGAAAGAGAGTTGTACCTTCAGGACGAGGGCGGGTGCGTTCTGGTTGCAGGTCAAGAGGCGCTCGGTGTGGAGGACACCGGTCTCGGGGTCGATGTGGCGGTTGAGGACATCGACGGCGACGACGTGGGGACATTGCTCGTTCGGGTACTTCATCCAGTTTGCAGCAGTGACCTGCGACCAGGAGTGGTCGAACTTGTGCGATGCCTGGAAGAACTTCATTATGTGTGTGTGGTGTGGGTATTGATGGAAAGAGGCAGAGAGGCAGAAAGAGAGAGAGAGAGAGAGAGAGGAAGACGAGCACCGAGGTATAATGAAGAGTAGAGGGTGAGGTGGTTTGATTCCTTCTTGCGATGGGGATGGAGGAGAGAGGGGGAGGGGGGAGGAGCTGAAGAAGGCGGGGCCGGAAGAGAAGTGTGAGATCTGAAAAAGAAGTGCGACCTCTTTTATTCATCCTCCATTTTTTCATTTCCATCTTCTGCCCAATTGGAAGCAGACGCCATCCGCCCGTGCGGGAAAAGGAAAAAAAAACATTTGATTTTTTCGTTCCCCGCCTGCGCTTTGTGCCTGTTCACGTGCTGCGGATAGAACGATCGGATAGCCCCCGTCCTCTAGGCCCCATGTATCAATATCGACCGAATCAAGCACCAATACGCTGCAGCAGAAGCAGAAGCAGAATAGACCCGTGAAGGTGTAAGCAATTCCAGAACCACGCTGGAAAGTATCTTTCCTTGTTTACACACCATTCCACATGAGTGCATACCACAGCATGGTGCCACTAGGAAGGCATAGTAACGCCATCGGTCCATCGCATTATGCCTAGGAGTCGCCATCACAATGAACTGCACAGCATCAATTTCTCGCCGATCTTCTACTAGCTCAAAATACTCAAGAATGCAGAGTTAAATGGGTGCGTTGCAACGCGGTAGTAGTCTCTCGCCGCCTCAGTCTAGTTGATTTCATGAAACAGCGAACATCTAGCCTTTCGGTCGTTACAAGATGTCGAAATTGATTCTGTGTGCGGTGCTCGGAAATTTGTGCTGAACGCAGCAAACCTCAGCTACCAGCTATCAGAGGAGTTGCAAGAAGTGCATGTAGCACAAACATTTCGCTGGCGTCTATGCCTGTCTTTGCCGTACATGGGTGTTGACGTCCAAATGGGCCCTTGGCATACGTGTATTTCACGGGACCAAAAAAAAAACACCTCCATTCACTGACATCCTTTGACCTCCTCTTCTTTCCTTTACTCATCCACTCTCCCTTCAACTCAGAACCAACCTGACCTAGCTCGTGTTTTATGCTGTACGCATTGTTTGCACCTGCTGTTAACTGCATGCGCCAAACTTGATGCGCGATATTGAACCGGTACCGTTGCTTGTGGGATTTGATCAGGGAGACCAAGAGAGTTCAAGCGCCCGGATTGCAGACGAAGGAGATTCATATCGACGTGAAACCGCTATACTTCACTTTTGATCAGAGCCAGGTGCTTTGATAGTATGTCAAAGCAGGTTTCGCGAGATGCGCGAGCAGCAACAGCCGTCGCAAACATCCACAGTGCGGTCCGCTAGCATTTCGAACGCTCCTGGACACAATTAATCGAGAAACAAATAACCTTCCTGGAGCATCGTCATCTCTGTTCCGTTCTGTAGATTTGCCAATGTTTTTTTTTATGACACTGATCCCCAGGTCGAAAAAGAGGCGGACAAGGACGAGCCCAACGGCGAAGATCCCGAAATTGACGAGTCCGAAGACGGAGAGCGTGAAAACGACATGGACGAAATGTTTCGATTCGAAGCGGGCTTCATTAAAAAAGTGGTGAGATCTTTATGCTGCAGTGCCCTAGGAGGTCCGCCCGTGTTTCTGTTCTTCTGCGGGTTTAAGGGTCCGTTTGCTGTTTTCAGGAAGCGCCCTTGTGCCGCTGCTTTGGGAGGGAGGCAGTAAGACCAGCAAAAACGGAAGCACGAGGGCGATCATGGAGCAGAAGGCCTGTTCCAGAGCAAGGGCCCAAGGACTAGCGAAAGGCGCCTTAGAGAACTGCCGCATCTCCTCTTTCTTGAAGACAGGGGAGAGGTCATGAAGAGCAAGGGAAAAGGACAGACAACATATGACACGAAAGCTCTTCAAGGCTACATGAAGGCGATCTTCGCCCATGCGCAGCAGAGTAAAAAAAACTATTGAAACAGAACGGGCGCTACAAGACCGGCTAAAGTTCTCCAGCGCGAAGGTGGACGGAAGACACGTCCTTTCAAATCACCTCTCGACCGATGGCCTACATGCAAGCTTGATAGTATCTGTTTGACATCAGGAGACGGTGGCAGTCGACCAAGTTCAAAACAAAGATACCGGACATCGACAAACGGTTCGGCATGCAGTCGTCAATCGTCGAAGTCATGGGAGAGGATTACTAAGACGTAGTAGTGATCGGTGTAGACCCTTGGTGAAATCATCACAGCCTCGCTTTGTGCGACTGATCCTCAGCGGGAGAATGCAGTGGAGACACTCAAGGTACTACGCGCAGCCCGAAACTGGTTATTATCGCATTTTCCGCGCGCAAACCTGCAATAAAACTTGAACTGGGAATTGAATTGACCTCTCTGAAAGTGCTATTCTAAAGACGAAAAATACAGTCATATATTTAGTCACATGTTGCGCTGAGTTCCCCTATGTGCGTTTTCTAAGAGGATGCGGCCTAAAACACCACTTTCGACCGTATTTGAGGTTGCAAAAGGTTTCTATTCCCACAACACACCGTAAAATGGCACATCCCGGCGATGAGCCCTGGGCCATCCAGGCAACCAACCTGCTCCTGAACATCGATCACGATAACGCACTTGAACAAGCATATTACGGCTCATTCAACGCAATCCTTTCCCAAGTATTTCCGCTGCATAGACACACCCTTCGCGCAATGAAGCCATCAACTATCTCATCGAATATATCGTACTGACCAACAACCGCACTGTGATGGGTATGAGGATTAATCGCGAGGTGGATTTTGGCTATGCCCACAAACGCATTGAAGCTGATCGCCAGGTGCGCGACCGCTTTTACACCATGCACAATGAGGTCGATATCCCTGTCTTCATTATGATTAGCGCATTTGACAGACGTTGTTGTGTGTACCGATACACCCGTGGTGTTACTCGCCAACTCAGTGTCACAACTCCTGCGCTAGTGCTGAGCGGGCCTCGATGGAGCAATGGGACATCGACTTGAGCGCTCTCGAAGGCAGGGTCCAGCTTTCGAATGTTTTCAACGAAGTCAAGGCCATGTGTAATAATCTACATTGACCCCACAGGATACGCCTTCGCAAGTGTCCCTGAACCTTGCTCATAGACTCGAGCGAGCGACCACCACTCTTCTGTCCCTTATGCCTGAGCTCACGCTTTGGTATCTCGGAATGCATTCTCCTCACCAAACACACAATTTGACCCAGCACTGCCATGGCGTCATCTCTCCAGGCGCTCTTCTAGCAAAGCACTTGAATGTTAACTGAGGTTCTTTATCTTACAAAATAAAGTTAGCAGCTATTATTCAAGTTGACAAAACCTGTATGTATTGGTCTCTAGGATTTCGGATTTCAAAGAAGGTGTGAGAAATTGGTGGTAGTCGGTAGTATTCAAGGAGAGGGCTATATACAAGAGAAATTATATATGAGTTCAAGAAGGTGGGTCGTCCAGACCGAAGAAGTCATCCGAAATCCAAAAGAATCAAGCACTATCCAGAGCTTTGCAAGAGAAGAGGAACATCACAACAACGCACGGTCTGCTCTATCTACACTTCCAAGACATGGTACTCAAGTCCAGATGTTATATGTTCGCCAAGATTTCTTGCTCCAGTTGTCCAGGATTGGCAATGACATGCTTTGTCAAAACTCCCCTTAGCTTTTAAAAAAACCATGATTGCAATAATCAAGATATGCTTGGATGCTTGGGTCCATGGTGGATTTGGACAGCCATCTTAGTGCCAGCCCTGTTCGCAAAGAAATAGCAAGCAACCTACATCGCCAAAGAAACCGTTAATATGCCTCTCTCTATCATTGACATGGGTCCCTTCGCGGCGAGGGTTCAGAGTGTTAGAGAGTATTCATACCTGACACGTATCTCTTCATAAAAGCTTACAAAACACTGAACAGCACTTTTCCTTTACACGTTAAAGAATTGCTTATGAGTTCAATGGAACGAGTAAGCTCTTTATCTCTAGCCTTCAAGGCAAACTGTGGAGGACGAGAATTAAGGCGGAAGATGTAGCAATGATATGGAGCCGCATTAACGATGTCAAGAGTGAAAAACTGAAGCATCAAAGCACACTGCTGTAGACTCCATTGGCAGTTACTCCAGCTCCCCTACAGTACTTCCTAGTATTCGTTTGCTGCGGCCGACATCGTCCATGGGGTTCCGATTGTCAGCCCTGCCTTAGAATAGCGATAGGCGGGTAACATAGAGCTTTGTTGGGCGAAGCAACAGGCGAGCAAATTAAAACCTTAAAAACAAGTACTATGAGTTCGAAGCACCCCAACAGACAATTCACAAGAGCAGGATGAGTAATCCCATTCACGATGAAATATACCTGAAGAACACTGTAGTGTCCATTCATTTTCTTGTAGCTCTCTTTCGAAATGAAGGATGCGTGCTGCACACAAATGATGGTAAGCAGAACATGCACATAAAGGATGAAGAGAAGTCAAAGCAACTTGCACTCTTTGACAGTTGCAGAGCCACAGAGCATATCGCCTTTTGTCCATGGATACTCTCCGAGAGTCGCGGTAACATTCTGGCCACGGCTTTCTATAGGCCCTTAGTGCTCTTGAACCTGTGTCTAAAGCCAAGAAAGATGCTTAGGGGTCTCTTCGTGCCTTGTTCAATATCATCGAGAGTGAGAATACACACTTTCATACCATTATAGAGCGACCTTATTCTGGCCCGACCGCAGAGTCCCTTTCGAACAGTCAGTTCACGCCCCGAAAGTCTTTGATGCCCTCGACCGTGTGTTTTTGGCGTGCGCCATGGACACCTTAGGCGAGCACCTCGAGTCGACTCAACACCAGCTATGTTCATCAGGATGTCTGCGACTTCGCAGTCCCCGTCAGATGCTGTGAAGTTGCGGCAATGAATGTGATGCGCAGGAGCAAAGGCGCTGATGAGAGATATAAGCGATGCCAGGGCAACCATAGAGGAAACCACAGTTTACGTCAGCTAGGCAGAGGTAATCACTAGCAACATCATTTCAAAGGTTGGATAACACAAAAGTTCCTGGCACATTGACGAATTTAATGTTCTATTCATCGCCCCGATTATGCGGGCCTCGTGTGCCATACCAACGGACAAATGCCTTTTGGGTTTGCAGAGCGCAGCATACAACACTGCACATGTGGACTAGGTCCTTCTGCAGTAACAACCGTGGGATGTAGCACAAAAAAAATGTTGATAACTTGGGACGCACAGCACTTCATAGACAAAAGAGAGATGCTCTTTGCCGCTTGCTCTCGCCATGCGCTTCGTTTTTCCCGTCCTACAGCTCCTCAGCTCTCTCAACTTTCTGGCCCCTTCCTCGCTACTTGCGCTTCTCTCGCGGCCGATTCATCCACCGAAAGACCCTCTATTTTTTTGCCCCTTTTGTATCTTTCTACAGCTGAGCAAACTGCGAGAAGGGCCCGGAGGAGCTTTGGAAAATACCAGAGCGCTACAGCTACGGAAACGGCAAGCTGTGCGTTTTTTTTGCTATAACATGCAAGTAGCAGAATTCAAACTCGAATTCTGCGCGCCGACATTCTGGGTCCTTTCGCTTATTAGAGCAGTGAACCACGAAGAGCCGCTTTTTCAGGATACAACACTTTACCACGGATTGCCTAGAAGTGCCTATCGCAGCCGGCTGCACACATTCTAGATCAATGATCAGCGCTACATTCAAGTCGCCGGTGAGAACACGAAAGGACCAATTGGCATTGGGCACCGTCCACACGAACGCCATGAATGCGTGCAGCTTCTTTGAAAAAGGATATTACGAGGGCCGCAGCAGTTCAGGTATCCGATACCTCACAGAGATATCGTTGCCTTTTCCTTGTTTGCAGTGTCCTTATAATAGTGTCCATTGCTAACCAAAAAAGAGTCATTCTGCTCATTATACTTCATTCTTATTAGACGCCATGCCCAATAGGCTGAGCAGAGGCCAAGGAAATTCGACACCAAGTTGTTCATTGACGAGTCTCGATATACAGAGAGGAGGAGGAGAAAGGAGCGATATTGAGGCCTGTAAGAATAGATCACCATCTCCCACGACAGACGCTCCCTCGAGTTCATCAACGTCCCCACCAGGCTCACTCATCCACCCCAATTCCAGTTTCATGTTCCGCCAAACAGTCTCGCAGAAGACCTGCTGATAAATTCCTCAGGAATATGGGAGAACAACTTGAAAAATATTTCCAGCGTGCAAAAACATGTTATTTAACACGGATTTAGTTAGTGGTTATTTTCATTTTGCTTTTTTTTTTTTTTTTTGTCCACGGCATCCTTCATATATTATTATTGTCATTATTATTATTAGAGATGTGTGCAGCAGCATTCCATACCTATGGAAGCCCGCGGTGCTTGAACAGTAAGACTTCCCAAACCATAAACACTTGTGCGAGAGGTCAAGACCCGGCATACACAGTCAGCGGAGGAGGAACTGGATATGATGGTCAAGGGCCTCAAGAACTCTCTCCACCTTTTTTTAATCTTCCAACTAGACTACATGTACATATAGAACTTTTGATCTGCGATGGCTTTCTAGATCTATCGTCATTGGCAGATTCACGAACGAACAGAACAGAAGGAATGATTCCAAGAGGATGGCGTCAGGTCAAAAAACCTTGGCTGGAGCCTTACTTAAACAAAAGCGATTTTATATTGCACAATTGGCTACGATGTTGACTAGCATCATGACATGTGAATTGTGTCAGCCCCGACGATGGGCCGCAATCTACATCCCTTTATAAACCACGCGCGTTGAGTGAGTAAGCCTGGGTCGACATGTACAATTTGTTCATACAGCGTAATTATTTTGACCGCCATGCATGCTTCTGTATTCCGATCTAATGAGCCGTCGGGGCTACATTTTTTATGGCTCAAAGTCCGAAAGATGCAATGAAAAAGGGTAGCGTGAGAAAAACTTGAGGAAAATGAACTTGCAAAACGGTGTCGGCTTTGCGAAACTGGATTTTCAAGTACCGGCGCCTCAGGAAGGACGAACACGGTATCCGTGTACTTCAACATTTGCCATATGAACTGGCGAGGCTAATACAGAAGAGGTTCAGAGCGGACTTTTAGTGCCAGTGAGACAGGATAAAGTCGAAGTTGTCCATCATGGCTTTACGTGAGCGATGCAGACTGGTAGGCTGCCTTGTCTGCCCCATTTGCCCCTCTCCCCCTTTTCAAGATCTTATCTTGCATTTCTTTCGTAACAGATCAGGCCGTTGGCCGTTCGGGCCGCTGATAAAAAAAAAGGCCGAGCGAAGGGAAGGGTGGGGTGTTGACAAACAAACAAACAAACAAACAAACAAACAAACAAACAAACAACTAAACAAATAATGCAGGCAGATAGTCTAAAGCAGACGGCCGATGAGCAAACAGCCCACACGAGCAAGCCAGCGGGCAGCGGACAGGCGCCAAAAATACAAAAAAGGTTCGACCAAACAGCGACGGGGATCACCAAAGACCTCGCTGGGTGTCTGGAACACGCACTTATTCTCCACAAACCGTGTTATGGTTTGTCTATTTCATCTCTGAATCAACAGCTAGGAACCGCGCTTGATCTCCTTCTAGCTCTTCCAATAGGAGCGAGGCTGTCATGCCGTACCTCGTAGAGGGTACCCTTTCTCTCGGGGTCTGAGGAAGTCTTGGAACAGGTCAGCGCGAGAGGGGATTCCTGTTTGGAAGCAGCGAGCGACGGATGGGGCTGGAGCGGGATGGGATGGGATGGGAGGGAGGTAAGGGCCGTGTTTTTGTTCCCTGTCCGTGGCCACGGCTGTTTGTGTCCCACCAGGCTGGTGCGCACGACGGTGTGTACGGCGGCAGATAACGGTGTTGGTGTAACGAGATATGATATCTCGCCGTATCTGTGGCACATCGAGGCGCATCGAGTGGACCACAAACAAGGACCGGCTGTTTTGCTCTGTCAACAAAGCGGTCTTTAACCTTAACTATACGAGGGAAAGCGAGAGGGAGAGCGAGAGGGGGGGGGGGAAGAGAGCCTTCTGGACTCTCCAATGGGCCGCTTCAGCGCACAGTCGCATGACCCCAACTAGGGCCAACTGCGCGGATGCCCCCCACTCTCTCCCCTCCTCTCCCCCCCGGCACCGAGACCCGCTGGGGGCGGAGATGCCTGGCTCCCCCTATAAAAGGCCCCTCTCCATCAAACACCTCTCCTTTTTTTTTTTTTTTTAGCTCCTCTTCTTCTTCGTCACCCAACACCACACCGCGCTCGCCCTCCCTCCCTCCCTCCCTCCCTCTTTCTGCCCCCATCCACTCGCTCTCAGGCACCATGGCTCGCTTCCGCTGGACCTCGCCTTTGGCCCAGGTCATCGCCGTCGGCTTCATCTGCTTCTGCTGCCCCGGAATGTTCAACGCCCTCAACTCCCTCGGCGGCGGTGGCCAGGTCGACTCCAAGGTCGGACAGAACGCCAACGTCGCCCTCTATACCTGCTTCGCCATCTTCGGCCTCCTCTCCGGTGCGATCCATAACAAGTTGGGCCCCAAGTGGACCATCTTCATCGGCTGCTCCACCTACGTCCTCTACGCCGGCTCCCTTCTCTGCTATAACCACACCCAGGCCGGCGCATTCACCATTGCTGCTGGAGGTCTCCTCGGTGTCGGTGCCGGTATGCTCTGGACCGCCCAGGGCGCTATCATGATGGCCTACCCCCGCGAAAAAGACAAGGGCAAATTTATCGGATACTTCTGGGCCATCTTCAACTGCGGTGCTGTCCTCGGATCCGTCATCGCCTTCGCCATCAATTTCCACGTTACCGAGGTCAAGTCGCTGGGCGACTCCACCTACATTGTGTTCATCGTCCTCATGGCTATCGGTACCTTGATTGCCCTCTCCCTCGTCCCTCCCTCGGCCGTCACCCACTCGAACGGCGATAGAATCCAGATCCAAGAGTTCCCTACCTGGACCGGGGAGATCGTTGCTGTCATGAAGCTCTTCCTTGACTGGCGCATGATTGTCTTGATCCCAATGTTCTTGTCCTCCAACTGGTTCTACTCCTACCAGTTCTCGACCGTCAACGGTTTCTACTTCTCCACCCGCACCCAGTCCTTGAACAACATCTTCTACTGGTTCTCTCAGATTGGAGGCTCCTGGACCTTTGCCCGCGTCCTCGACTACCAAGGCGTCAATCGCAGGACTCGCGCTCTTTGGGGTCTCGCAGTCGTCACGGTCTGCTTTGTGTGTACCTGGATCGGAGGCGTCTTCTTCCAGAGGACCTATAATATTCACGACTCTATGGGCAACCACGACTTCAAGGAGGGTGCCTCGTATATCGGGCCCCTCTTCCTCTACATGTTCTACGGCTTGAACGATGCTGCCTGGCAAACTTACTGCTACTGGTTGATGGGTGCCCTCTCCAACGATGTCGCGGTCCTTTCGCGTTACGCCGGCTTCTACAAGTGCATCCAGTCCTCTGGTGGTGCAATTGCTTGGAGGATCAACGCCGTGAAGGCTCCCTTCATGACCGAATTGATCATCTGCTTTGCCCTCTTGGCTGCCTCGATCCCCGGTGCCCTCTTCCTGTCTCTGCGGATCAAGGACCACTCTGACGATGTTAGCGGCGTGGACAACGTCGGCCACAAGCACGAAATCATGGAGAAGGCCGACCAGAAGAGCGAGTATCCTGTCTAAACCAACTCCATCTGTTTAGTAGTTTCAGTCTCATTCTACACCCCTATCTATTGTAATTATACTTTGTAAAGAAAGAAATAAACGATACCTCAGTTAATAGTTTCCTTATCCAAAAATATGTTAATATGTTCACGTGATATGCATGCAGGGAAGCAGACGGGAACAGGCCTGCATTCTAAAAGAAAGAGATCACCTCCACTTCTTCGGATCAGGACCCTCCTTCATTCGCAATGCTCGGTCGCCGCAACATGGAGAAATACTTCCGAGTAGCGAGGAACACTGCTATTAATCCCAGGAGCACATCGGCTGGCAGGCTACTCAGGAGCTCGACGCTATTTTCATACGGACAGCATCAGGCACAAAGACAGCCTTCAGCCCATAGCTATGCCTTTGCTCAGCTCAGGTACCTCCGACAAATGTCGACACCGGAGCTGCGGAAGGAGTTTACGGATTTTTTTGTCAATGAGTATAGTCATGTGCCTGTCAAGAGCTCCAGTTTGATCCCACATAACGACAAATCCTTGATGTTCACGAACGCAGGTACGCGCCTCGCGATATCATTTTGGCGGCACCAGGCGATGGAGTGTAGTTCTATGTGGCGCTGGTTTACTGAAGACATCGGATGTCTATAGGGATGGTTCAGTTCAAAGACTACTTCAGGAACCCCGCGACAGCACCATTCAAGCAGGCAACAAGCATTCAAAAGTGCATGAGAGCTGGAGGTGAGTGCACCAAAGTTTATCGATGAGTCGCCTATCAATTGTGTTTGGATGTGAAGTGTCACCAAGGTTAATCCCTGCATGTTTGGATACGTTAGGAAAGCACAATGACCTGGACAATGTCGGCTACACGCCCCGCCACCACACGTTCTTTGAGATGCTCGGCAACTTTTCATTCGGGGAGTATTCAAAGAGCAGAGCCATTCAAATGGCATGGCGTTTCCTGACAGAAGTCGTGAAGCTACCCAAGGATCGTCTTCGCGTCACGTAAGCCTGACGGCGCACACAGACAATTTTCAAATACCTCTTGGAAATTCCTGGCTGATTTTAAGGTCTTCCAAATTTCTTGTACGCACTATGTCTCCAGTGTTCTAGCATCAGATCAAGAGTCGTTCGACATCTGGAGGAACCAAGAAGGTATTCCGGAGGAAAAGATTATCCGCTGCGACGCCAAGGACAACTTTTGGACGATGGGCGAAGGAGCTGGACCCTGTGGGCCTTGTACAGAGATCTTTTGGGACACTCAGAACGACGACCTAGGAGATGACCGATGGCTTGAGATCTGGAACCTGGTCTTCATGCAGCATTATAGAAACGATCAAGGACAGCTCGAGAATCTTCCAATTATCTGTGTGGATACTGGCATGGGCCTGGAGCGACTGGCGGCTGTTGTCCAGAGCAAGGAGAACAACTTTGAGACTGATGTATTTGGTCCGCTCTTTGAGGGCCTGCACAAGATCATGGGAGACGCTGGAATCGAGGTATGGTTGGTTCTAGGCACACGGTGCTGACCATATCAGAACCAGCAGAGCTAACGGTTTTCGTCTGTTCCTAGTCATCTCGCGACATCAATTCCTCACCCCACAAGAAAATCATTGTGGATCATATGCGGGCTATGAGTTTTTTGATCGCTGACGGAGTGATCCCCAGGTAGCATCTTTGGCCTTGGAGCTAGAACTATGTATTTTCACTCATTGCACGGTCTAACTGTGTTTGTTTGTTCTCTCTCGACAGCAACGTTGGGCGTGGTTATGTTCTCAGGAGAATCATTCGACGTGCCCTTCGTTCTGGCAACCAACTGGGGTTCACAAGTAAGCATTACCATTTTTACACAGTCTGTTTGTATTTAAAGAGAACAAGCTATTCCAGGGACTGACGAACAGCTATTGATACACTGTACTATGTACTATAGAGCCATTTATGACCGACTTGTATCCTTATCTTTTGAAATCATTCAGCGATGGCGTCTATTCTGAAATGGTATCAAGGCAGGACTCTATTAAAGGCATCATTCACCAGGAGGAAGAGATCTTCATGGGCACACTTTCCAAGGGCTTGGCTCTTTTGGAGCCAGTTTTCAAGCAAAAAGATCTTACCAGCTCAAAACAGGTGCCAGCCGAAATTGCCTTTAAACTGTACGACACTTTTGGGTTTCCCTTGGATCTCACAGTCCTGATAGCTGAGGAACGAGGCTGGTCTGTCGACCTTGCTGCGGTTGAAAAGCTGAGACAGAGACAGCAGGAGCAGGGGCGAGCATCATGGAAGGCGGGTTCAAGTCTGATGCACTCCAAGGCGCTCGAGTGGAAGGAGCTGGGCATCTTCCCGACATTTTCAGGTTACCAGCGCGATGTGTTGACGGGTCAGCCATCGACAGTTTTGGCGGCTCAGAGCACTGGGGATGGTACGGGCGATATGATTCTGGCGATCGAGCCCTGTCCGTTTTATGGATTAGGTGGTGGACAAAGCCCCGACGCTGGATCTATCAAGTTAGCTAACGGAAGCGAGTGGCGTGTTGTCGATGTTTTTTCGCCATATGAACGAGGCCTGGCTATCCGTGTCCAGCCCATGTCAGAGGAGTCGCTCACGGAGGAAGATATGCTGTGTATGCACAAAGGGTTCCAGGTAACAGCATTTGTCGATACAGAGCGGAGGGAGGGGGTCGCAGCCCACCATAGTGCAACACATCTGCTGAACGCTGCGCTAAGAAAGTCGCTTGGGAAGCCCATCATGCAAGCTGGTTCTTTGGTCGAGCCTGGACGACTCCGCTTCGATTTTACACATGGCAAACCTGTCGATCAGAACCAGATCCGAGAAATTGAGGACTGGATTAACACAACTGCGCTTCAAAGCGTACGACCTGTTATCAAAGTAAGGGCATAGGATTCGGTGGGATTCGTTTTTTATTACTATGCCCAATTCGCGGGTGTACGATGCTAACAGTGCTCATGCCGCTCTTCATAACAGGAATACCCACTCCAACAAGCGATCGATATGGGCTCAATAGCTGTGTTTTCGGAAAAATATGGCGAGGTCGTCCGCGTTGTAGATGTAAGTGGATTTTTGTCGCTGATCGAGTTTTCTCGATCTGTTTCCTTCTGAAGCGCGGTAGGATTCTTTCTCTGACCGTTTCTGACCTGTATTTTCACTTACTGTGTTTAGTTCCCCAAGGTGTCGATGGAGTTGTGTGGCGGTACACATGTTGAGGACCTCTCAAGGATCTATCCTTTCAAAATTTTGTCCGAGGGATCTGTCGCTGCAGGTAGTAGAGCGATGATTATTCGTTTCACGCATGGGATATTTTTGGGCCTAATGGACTCATATATCCATTGTCTTTGTCTGCTGAACTATCTAGGCACGAGAAGAATCGAGGCTGCGGTCGGAAAGGCAGCGATCCAGCATTTCATTGAACAGGATCGCATGGTCACAGGGCTGAACCAGGACCTGAAGGTGTATGCGACCAGCGCAGGTAATGGGCTTGATCTCAAGGTTAATCGGATGAAGGACCAAGTTGCAGATCTCTCCCGTCAATATAACCGTCTGCTTGAGAAGCTCGCCAAAGCACCAACCTCTGTCCCAACAAAAAAAGGAACACTCGGTTTTTTGTCAAATTCAAGCAGTGCAACAGGCGATGATGGCACTACAGCGCCATTATTTATTCATGAACTGGACGCCGATATCTCGGATCAGGACTATTATTCTAAAAGGGCAAACCTTGTAAGGGACCAGGAACCAGGAGCGGTGCATGTCCTTGTATGGAAAGAGAACGTGGTTGTGGCATTGGATCAGAAACAGTTTCCAAAGCTGCATGCAGGCAAGGTTCTTAAGAGCGTGCTGGATCAAATTGGAGGGGGCAAAGGCGGGGGTCAGCCCCAGCTGGCTCGCGGAAAGATGACAGGCGATGGCGCCTTTGAGAGATTGGTTCAACTTGCACAAGGCATTACGATTTCGTAGCAGACAGAGTCCTCCTAATAAAAATCGACTATAGAGACTGAATCACAGTTGCGAACGAGAAAACCTAGGCGCATGTGGCCGGATCAGTGTAGATTGCCACCACTTCCAACTACAGGTAGTCCATGGCTTTGTCTTTGGCAGCACGTTCAGGCGCCCTATCAGTTGCGAGAAGTTTGATAGCAGCGAGTTGTTCCTCGGGAACTTCGCCTGTGGCACTCTATAAAATGCTGCTCGTAGGTCTCTTCGACGTATTCAGCTGGGCACCCATTAAGGACACTTTGTTTGCGTCACTTGGGAGGATGCTGCATCCGCGGCATCGCTACTACAAGAGGGATGGGCATGTCCTCATAAGTCGATCGCACTTGATTCGACACTTCCTCTCTATCCAAAAAGATAGCGTGAAATATAAGATAGATAGCTAAATATTTTTATACTAGTAGCGTCTACGTCCAATTCAGAAGATTTCGCACTTGGGCATGCTGTAGGGGCTTCAGAGCAGGATGGCGATAGGCGGCGGTGATAGAGGCAGACAGAGAGAGAGAGAGAGAGAGAGAGAGAGAGACAGAAAAGATTTTTTTTTTATTTTTATTCTTGTTTCTTTTTTTATTTAGTAGTAAATATTATGCTCTAGCCGTTCAGTGCCTCTTGTTCTTTTTTCACCTCCATCAAGTGTTGCCATCGACTACGCGGCGAGTTTTTCTTAGCACCATCCAGCTGCTTTGCCACTTTGCCGAACGCTTCTTTGAGTGTCAGGCCCTGCTTCTTGTGCTCCGCGACAGTGTCGAGCAGAATCTTGTCGTACTGTTCGTTCCACAGAAAGTTCTTGGGTGGCTCCTTCCTGCCAGTACGCCAGTCAGACCATTGACTCCAGCAGGCGAAGCTCGTCGTGCCCAAACGCTGGGCGACTTGCTCAAAGACAACCTCGTTTCCACCGTATTTCTCAACCGCCGTTCTCAATACCGCAAATCTCTCTGGGGTCCATCGCATTGTTCTCCAAACAGACTGGGGAAGGTCATTATTGGTTGAAGAGGATAGTATCTCTACTCCTGGGCCTTTGCGGAGATTGTCGAGGTTGCTGTCCTTGTCCCAAACATCCGCAACAGTATCCCCTTTCATCTCGATCTCGGTCCACTTGGATCGGCACTGAACTGAGGTTTTCGATGGAAAGAGCTGTCCAATTGTGATCCAGTCTTCGATCGCGAGCTTGGGAAGCGAGGCATCGTCCTCGGAGCTTATATTGTCCCGTACGCTGTCCTTGAGTCGCTTCTGCTGAATATCATCCACAGCATTCGTCAACTTGTCTAGCTCTTCAGGGCTCCACTGGACGGTTGTCGTACCCCGCCTGACAGCCCATGCCTTTTGACATTGTTGTCTCGTGCGATAGTTCCCATTGGCGGACATATAATTTGCAACCTGCTTCCAGGAGTGCTCGCCATGCTTGAGGACCTGCTCTTCCAGCTGTCGGCCCACGGTTTTAGATTCGGCCATTTCCTTCAATGACAAGCGACCATATTCATGCTGCACGAAATGCAAGGAGTACATGGGGAAGTGCTTCTGCTGAAAACGCATCCATTCTGCCTTCCCGCTAGGTCGATATTGCTGCACCAACTCCATCAGTCGCTCCCCATCATGTCCCTGAAATGTAGTAGCTCGGCGAAAAGCAGGATCATATCCATGAGCATCAAGAGTCTCTTTCAGCCAGAAATACCTGCATTGTTCGCCACTAGCGCCGATATCAAGTTTCTGTGCAACAACTACCCACCGGATCTTGGGTGCGCGGGTCGAATCGCTATGGCCTTCCCCTATCTGACGCTGTTTGTCAAGGTCGATTTCTTCCTGAACAATTCGGTGGAGCTCAGAGGCCTGCTCAGAAGTCCATGAAAATCGCGGACGTAGACAAGGCTTGGCAAACACTTGAGAGAACGAATCTTCGTCGGTTCCTTGGCCGGCCTGCAGCTCCTGGGCTTTTTCAATAACAAAGTAGAAGTCCCATTGGCAGTTACTTGGTGTACGAGGTTGGGGGCCGCTGCTGATACTATTGGCGATGGCGGTCCAGTTATCTCCATGCGTCCTCCATGCTTTCCAGAACTCCAGGATCTCGGATGCAGTCCAGGGTGGATATTGTCGTTGTATTTTGGACCGATCCCGATCCTCTCTCTGGAAAACTCCCCACAGTGCACGGCAATCGTAAGGCGAATGGCGGCCCTGAACGATCTTTTGGGAGGCTTTGTGCCAGTCGGGCTCACCATTCACCAGTTTCGTCCTTGACCGCGCTGACAATGATCGCTCTATGAAATTATAGAGTGCATCCCTGTCCTCCGCGGTCCATCTGAACCTTTCTCGGACGAGGGTGATAAAGCGATAGCGCAGATGTTCTGGACTGAACCTGGAACGGAAGACCTCCCTGGATATTTTGTCCCAGTCGTACAGCTCTACACCCGTTAGAGATTTCCCGTCGTCCGTTGTCGGTCTCTCACTCCCCTCTTGCGCTTTATGCCTGCTCAGCTTGAATCTCCTATCCTCGAGCGCCCTCATCAACTTTGTACTTAAAAGCGTTTTTGGGTGCTCCATGGAATAAATTACGCCCAACTTTGCCCACTGAGCCCGACAGAATTCCTCCTCCGTATGCATGATCCCTGCGATCTCGGACCATGTCTTGCCCTGCCCCATCAGACGCACCAGCTCTGGCACTGACTTTTCATGCTCAGTCGAGGCCTCAAGTGTCATGGACCAGTTCTTCAGGCGCTCATCCTGCAAATGGGCTGTCTTGAGTCGGGCCTTGCATTCATCGACAGAAAAGCCAAGTGAGTTGCTTATGTCGTCCCAATTGGTCCAGGGGCGATAGTTCATGAGTTTGATGTCGAGCTCAGGTGTCCATTCTTTGAGTTTCTTGCTAGAGTCGGTCGCTGTCTCCGTAATCGTGGAGAGGGGGGCGATCGAGTGCAACTGAAATGGCTTGGATACAGGACGCAGACTTGCAGGATACAGCCTTGGGAGCTAACGGATAATGTTCACAGAAAGCTGTGTTGAGCAAGTACTCATGGGGCTGAATGCAATAAAGACGCGCGCGTGTTCTTTATTCAACGCTTCCAGATAACGCATTTATACCTTGGATAGAACACCCGGCACGGAAACGGCCCTCAAAGGCGCAGCGCGGAGTATAGTCGTGCTCTGCGAAAAAGTGCGAGTCGCGGTGAAGGCTCGTAACTGCAGCATTGGATCTCGCGGACGATGAGGGATGAGCGATGAGGAGAGATCAAAGAAACAATGGGGTTCATTTTGCCCGATGCCGCTGTCACAAGTATCCAAGTATCCAATCAAACGGTGCTTTTGTTAGGGTTCAGTTCTACTACGCGTTTGATAGCTATCTGGATAGATGCACTCGTTCTTGACCCACATTCGCATGGCCGTACAGAGCATGTTTATGCTTTCTTGAGATAACATGCAAAAGGCGGTGCCTCATCCTCTGACTCGAACTCAACTAGTCGACTCGCTTCTCATTTTTCACGATCTACTATCGAAAGATTTGGCCCGCAGGTCGCTGTGCACCTCTAGAGTTTACTTGCGGATTGAGCTGAAGTTCTTTGTTCTAGAAAATAATAACAAGATAATACACCCAGCTATTGCGCACAGTAATGCGTAACTGTGGAAAGCCCCTTTCTCAGTACATCAGAATGCACAAGGACCGGCATTGTTTCTTAGCCTCTACTTGAGTCTCTATTTTCTGTGATTCATACATTTCAAAGGACTTTACTGAGATTGTTTTTTAGAGTCCTTTGGCAATCATGATCCACCTCGAGTCCACAGGAGTTGTATTTGATTCCCACGATCATTCGCTTGCCTCGATCGATTTCGCTTTTATCGATATAGTAAATGATATCGCTTGCTTGTGCGTTTGAGGACTTTCGAATTCAAATCATCGTCAAGTCGCGATCGAAATACCACCGATGCCGTTTGGATGTCCTCTCCAAGATGTCTCTATGTGTGTCATTGCTACCGTAACGAGTCATTTTCGTTTGCTTGTCAATTTTGATAACATACATATTCTGATGGCGCGCGGACTTGGTAGTGTAGGCACAGGCTGACGTAGCTGTAACCGAAGCTACAGTCCTTGTTGATATTGTTACCGACATCGCGATCGGTGACTGGAGCAGTGGTCTACGACCGACAGCTCCAAAGAGTGAGTATGCGTGTGACAACCAGCCTCATTGCCAGTATGGCATCGACTCAAGGGCTTCTAGTTGGTGTTCACAATGGAAAAAATAAGATAAAATAAAAAATAAGCTGCTGGTAAGGAACTCAATTCGCAATGCCATTGAAACATACTGGAGGAAACCATGCTTACCTGGATGATAGTCCACCTCTTGATCCCTTCCACTGCCCATCGGCCGCACTTTTTTGCTACTCCTTCACACCTGGCTTTCCCATCGTCTATGGCATTATTCCATTCGCTCACTCCCTCCTGTACCTTGTACACATTAGCCATCTCCCGCCGAATTCGCGACCAGCAACTCCGGATCTCGGAGACTATCGCCATTCAGCTGCGAGAGAGTGGTCTGCCGTTCAGCTGCAACCAACACTGCTCCCTACCTCTTCGATACCCTTTCCACTACTACCTTGAACCCACGACGCACTCGCCCCTCTGCGTGTATCCAGCACTAGCCCTGATTGGATTGGAGTTCTAACTGTGAGCGGACGGTGCATGGTTGATACCGCGTCTCACTCGAGGCTAAAGGGAGCGAAGGCTGCAAGAGAAGCAGTTCAAAGAGGGACAAGGGTTAAGCGACGAGAAAAAAGTATACAGAAATCCATCATCCACAAGCACAACAGCAAATAATGTATATCAACCATACCTTTGTGCACTCCAAGCTCCTCCTTGACGAGTCCCAGTGGACTGGGTCGCGCTGCCGTCGAGGCCGTTGTGATCGACTGCCCAGATGGGGCGGAGTGGAGTAGTATCTGCTGCCTGGTGGAGAAAGGGACACTGTTAGAACCAAGTCGCAAACATTCTCTGGCACTAGACTTTAGTGCCAGAAAAAAGTACGATGCCATTCATATCCACAAGGGGAAGAATAACAGAAGCTGGATATTCAAGACATACTTTTCTGAGACTTTGCTAGCCTCTGTGGTGGTTGTATGGCCACTGCTGCTCTTGGATCACTGACCGGGTTGGGTCTTGCTCGGATAACGGAGCAGAGACACCGATAGGCGAAGCAGAGGTGGGATAAACAAGTTTAAGAAAAAAATAAGGGTGTTTGAAATTCAAAGGTGGGCTCAGGCACAGGCGCAGCATCTTGCAGCCATGGGCACAAATCACAACTCACGAAGCAGAACGATCAGCTCCATTCGCACAATAACATACTGCGAGACACCGCGGCGCCACTTGTGTCATCAGTAGATGGATGGGTGGATGGGAAGATACTCTGTGTGCTTTTGGTGGCCTTGGAGGAGGGAAAATGAAAACGAGGCGTCACCGGGTCGCATCCTCATACAATATGTACGTGTGCCTTTACGTACATGGTGCCATTTTGTGGATGAGGAAACTTAGCTGGCACTCCTCTGCCTCATGAAAGGGGTGGTGTCCCAGACGCATCCATCCTCATGCTGCCAACGATTACTCATAGCACCATGACATGTCGTGCTTCATACGAAAAAAGTAGTCGCCGTCCTACTATGAGAGCGGCCAAGGTTCGCACTCCTATTCGATATGGTCGGCTGCGTTCATTAGCTAACCGACTCTTGAGGACTCAGAGCAGTCGAAGAAGCAGGATGTCTGCAGCGCTGTTTCGATTATGTGTGTGCCAGGAAAACTTCTTCTTTGATCGCTGTAAAATACGGTTGGAAGTTCACTTCAACAGCATTACTGAATAAAAGTCATGCGCTGTCTCATACATGCAAATTGACTGCTGTGCTTTTGAACAAAGGGTCCCACAATTGCAAATGGACGAACATGATCCAACGGTTTGATCAGTTGTTCCGAGTGACTACCGCCTTCCAGTATAAAAAGACCATTCTTTTCCCTTCTCTTCTTCCTCATAAATGGCTCAGACCTCTATGGTCCTAGACAATGGCTAGCGGAATGCAATGACCTTTTTGGTACGCACTCTTCCCCTGAAAGTCTCCAGCGTGAACGTGACGCGCACTCTAATCCCCACACACAATGGGTAGAGAGGGACACTTAATGATGGGGTCGGGCACGCGTACCTAGGAGCGAGCAGAAGCACCAGAGTTGTTGACCATCTGAGGATCGAATCGCATTATATCGCGCGGTAATGCGAACTAATTTTTGAAGGCCCCCTTTGGGGCCTTATTCTCTTTACTTCACTACAAAAAAAAAAGAAAAAGAAAAAAGAAAAGAAAAGAAAAGAAAAAGAAAAAGAAAACGACACAAGTGTGGGAAAAGGGAGTTCATGGGGAACAAGACAGAAGCCTGATGCAACGCTCATGTTGCTTTCTGCATTCATCCTGAATCAGATCACCTCGCAACTTATACGGTACTCTATTGGGCGGAGTCTTTCTGTCTCGCCTTCAAATAGAATTTCTGTTCACTATGTCAACACACACGCGTGAAGGAGCCCACGATGCAGCAGCACGCAATAAATTCGCGCGCTGAGCAGGCATCCCTTTTTGTTTGGTCATAACGAAAAGGTTTCCCACGGCTTCTATTTACAACGGTGATTGTCCTCTTTTTAAATCGTATTGCGAATCGTGCTTTGAACCAGCTCGTTTTGTGTTGATACTCGTAGTCCCATTGTTTTGTTAAGCACCAGGGTCTTGGTGTCATGGCCTGTGAACATATGCATTTTTTTTTTCTTCGGGGAACATTGTGTCTGCCAAAGGCTACAAGGCCTTGGCCCAAGTGAAGCTATACGGCTGGTGGTGCCACACTTAGCCAGGCAGCTGTGCAGCAGGTCTGCAACATGCTCACTCCATCGACCATGCTGGCCGCTTCCACTAGATTTCTTCGCATCGATACCGCCACCAAGGTTGCGCCCTGCTGAATCGTATACAAATTTCTAGTGTTTTATGTTTTAGGAAGGAACGCCCTGTTCCTGGACTCCCTTGTGGACAGAAACAGGATGTATGTATAGCGTATTCTTTTTATTTCTACTTTCAGGTGTGCTGGTTCCCTTTAACGCTCACTTTATCCCGTCCTCCTGCTCTATGATTTCTTTCTACGTTTGACTGTCCACCCTATGTGTGGCCTACACATCTCATTTTGCACTAAAGTCATTTCAATTTAGTGCAGGCTTAAGACCATGCAACGTCCATATTTCAAGGACATGGTCAGCGGGTCAAACTTGCATCAAATGCAAACTTTCTGAGTAAAAACGAGACAATATTTCCGCCAACTCATCGATTACAGCTTGCAAATGGATCTCATTAACTCATCGCCAGATCGACTCTGGTCAGCTTCTAGGAATATCTTTCAGCCTCAAGAGACTTTTGTATTTCTTTGTCTGCTTCAGCTACTATCCTATGGTCTATCATCTGTCCTCGAGTAGGGTTTACGCGGGTATTTGTGTTATTTTCAGATGGAGATGTCAAGATCATTGTTACTGTATTTTATACAAATAATAACGAATATATATAAAAAAGAAGCTAACTTTATTACTTTTCTTACAACGTTTCCTCATCTCCCCAAACCTCCCGCAAAGTGGCAACCTTTATAGCCATTGCAGCCATGTGCAATCCATTTGCGCATACTTGAGAGGATTCGAGGCCTGAGAGATCAAATCCAGAATAGTCTGGTTCGCAGGAATGTTGGTTCCACGTCCCTTCTCACGCTCGGGCTTGCAAGACAATAGCGACGTGCGCTTCAGCACCTGCTCTACTGTCGATGTCACTCTTTCGCCCAGGTTTTGCTCATTCAGGGGCTTCATTCCTGCAGTGAACCAGCTCACAAGCTCGTCACGAATAAAGATGCCAAGATACTGGTCAAACTCAAACTCGGGCTCCGTAAGGCAGCGTGCTATCGACATGAGTGAACTCGTGAAAACACCCTCGACTCCTGTCGGGGTGATGAAATGCTGGATGTTGGGCGTGAAGCGGAAGGGCACAGGCTCCGAATTGGAGAATGTGGTGGTTTGTGGAGAAAACACTGGGAAAAAAAGGAATAGCAACGAGCGTTAGCTAGGATCTTCATGTTCAAAGGGGTAAAAAATAAAAGATAATACAAAAGAATCCAAAAAAAAAAAAAAAAAAACCTGGCACTTACCAGGCAACATATCCGAAGTCCAGACATTTCCCGTCTGCAGCGAGATGAACCACTTGGTAGGGAAGCGGTGTCCAATGCTCATGATATACGTGAGGAAGGTGACTGAGGCCATCTGAGATGTAAACTGCTTCCTGATCACCCACAGATCCGTATATGACTTCATATTGCGGACCATAAAGTCCGTGAGGATCGTTTCTGGGATCATTTTGGACGCAATCTCGTCCGCAATCTCCATCTTCAGGTTCAGCATGTCCGCCTGTTTTTTGATATCCAAGCCATCCTTCACTCTAGCAGTGTAATACATGATCGGGTCGTCCTTGTGGATGCCAATCATATTGCAGTGCTCCTCAAAGATACCATGAAGTGAGGCATATGAAGGGTCGTCCTGAAGGATGCGGATCTGTGGTGCCAAAGGAATGATCAGCGGCAGATGGAAGAACAAGTTGCGCTTTCTGCTCTCCTTCTTGCGTTCCAGAATTCTATCAATGCAAATGGTCACAAAATGCATGCATTAGTACCCAAGTTTGATTGCGCACGACAGTTTGCACGAAAAAGCTGTAACTGTGCACCTACCCGTTCAGGATTCGGAAAAGCTGCATCACACGCTCCTCTCTTCGACCTTGTCTTGAAGCCGGCTGCTGCACAATGAACGGGTGGATACTGCCATCGTGACCGCGGATGATCAATCGACGACTGCAGTTCATCGGGCCACGTAAAAGCTCCACCTCCGACTCGAAACGATCGATTCTGACAAAATCGTTGCTGTTGTCTTTCAGCAGTAAATATTGGCCAGGAACCTCCACATCATCAAACTTCTGATGCTGAAACTCTGCCAAGTACTGGCTCCAGTTTTCAAGCTGTTGGCGTCTGGGTTTACTGTCCAGAATGTCTTCAAACTTGTCCCTCCAGCGCTGCAGTCGTGTCACAAACTGGCTAAGAGTGGGCTTGTTAGCTATAAAGTCGTGCACAAAGGCTGCCTTCACCTGAGGCTGAAACAGGTTCTCTGAGAATCGCGTCAAATTTGCCTCAGTGACAGGTGAAAGCTGCTCGTTCTCATTATTGAGAATCAGGCGCTGGAACAATTGCTACGTATTCAAAAAATAAAATAGAAACAGAAATAGAGCATCGTCAATTCATGCTCCCAAGTATCATGTAAAGACTATTGCAGGCATAAGAAGTCAAGAAAAGAGGACGTTACCTGGAAGCTATCAGTTAATAGCGCAACAATAAGGCGATACATATCTTCCTCAGGAGACGGCTTCAGGCGCTGCTGAATTTGATCCACCATGGACTCCATAGACAGCGCCAACAGAGGGAACGCAGTCTTGAGGATGTTCATAATGTCATCAACATGCTCCCACGGCTTACGGATCTGCGAGACACCCGCAGCATTAAGGGCCACTCCGGGGAACTGGGTCGTAATCTGGTTCAGTTTGGCCTGCGCCTGACTGTGCGCCTGCGCGTGAGCCTGCACCTGAGCCTGCGCCTGCGCTTGGATCTGGGCTTGTGCTTGCACCTGTGTCTGGGCCTGCGCAAGAGCTTGGGTCTGTGCAGGAGTCTGTTGCTGTGCCTGCTGCAGCATCAGCGCTTGCAAATTGGCCTGTGCATGGTTCAATGCCTGGGTGTGCAGCTGGAGCTGGGCTTGAGCCTGTGCCAGGTGTTGTGCCGTGGCCTGGACCTGTGCTTGGGCCTGAAGCAGCATCTGCTGTGCTTGCTGCTGTTGCTGCGCTTGTTGCTGCGCTTGCTGCTGTTGCTGCGGCTGCTGTCCCTGTGTCTGCTGTGCTTGGGAAGCCTGCGGTTGCTGCTGCTGACCCTGTTGGGCTGGTTGTTGTTGAGTCTGTTGGGCAGACGAGGCATTTGGAGTCCCTGGCTGTGGTGATTGAGGGCCATTGGCGACATTAGCGTTCGGTGTCGTAACACTAATAGCAGCAGCTGCCGGCGTTGCAGCGGTAGAGGGACTGGTCTCAGTAACTGTTGTTGGTTGTAAGGTAGGTGTCGATGCGGATGCGCCAGTCTGCGCGGTAGGAGTGCCGACCGTGCTAGCAGCAGGCGTTGTTGGCGTGGATGGGGCATTGGTGTTGGCATTGCTGCCTGCTTGACTTGGCGTCTGTTGTCCCTGCTGGCCTGACTGACTAATCTGGGGCGTCTGCGGATCCTTGGAGGTCTGCTGGCTCTGCACCTGATTCTGCTGATTCTGCGAATTCTGTTGCGCTTGTTGCTGAGCCTGTTGCTGTACCTGTTGGCCTTTTCTCATCGTCGTGTACTCCTCTTTCAGTGTCCGAAGTGAAAAGTGCAACGCCTAAAAGATAATGGGTCTTAGAGATTAGTATCACATTCACAAAAAATGAAAACCAGTATTAACAATCAAGAAATACCTACCTGGGGATAAGTCTTGGCAATCTTCATCAAGATGTGACGAGCATGCTTGGCCTCCTTCAGATGCGTGAGTGACAGAAGGAGCTGAGGAATAAAGGTGATCCAGTACCATACAGGAACATCGCCCTTAAATGCCTCAAATGCGCGGTACACGGTACCCTGGCTGTCATCCTGTGTCATCAGCCATTGGATACGGACAAGGTACTTCCTCGATTTGGAACTCTTGTAAATGCCAGCGGCCTGGAGATAGCAGCTGACAGCATGGCTGGCCAACGTAATCTCCTTCGGCTTCTCCTTGAACTGCTGATCGTTGTAATTGCCCCATGCAGCCCATGCCTTGGCAAGACCCAAGTCAATTTGGACAGCGTTCACAAACGCCATATTGGCCTCCTCATGCAGCGAGAGCTTAGCGAGGAACATACCCTTCATCGTGAAGAACTCAGCCTTCTGATTCGGGCTGAAATACATCAGGTTGGTATTGTTGATAACCTCCAGGCCCGTAGTCAACTCAGCCTCGTTCTGGAAGTGACACTTGGCTTGTTCACGCAGCTTCAAGAAGGCCTCCTGGATCTCAATGTTGGGAAGCGTGTAAATCTTGGTCAGCTGGTTGATGCACACCTCCGCGAGCTGGTGCTTTCTAGCAACGTGGGCGAAGCGATTGATGATCCAGGCAGTTTCATGGTATCCTCTATAGGCGAACGAGTTAGAATTCGAGCCCCCAGTTCCAGGCGTGACAGAGGGTAGCTGTTGGATTAGGGGCAGATACGTCTTGTTGATCGCTGAGAAAATGTGCTGGCGCCACGCAACGAGATCACTCCACACGTTAATGTCGTCCCATGTATTTGGCAGTCTTTCCCTCCACGTCTGTAGCGTGCTCTTGAGGTCCTGCGACTTGCTTTCGAGATTGAGCGCAGTCGTGCTGGCAAGGCTCTGGTAAATTTGGTTGGCCTCCGTGAGTTCTACAAACTGCTGGAAGACCTGTAAGAGTGGCACATGTGTCTGGGAAACGACCTCAGGTAAAGTGTGCCACTTCCACAGCGACAGCTGAACACCTTCGTCGCATAGCTTGACAAAGTCTGCATTGTTTGTTTCTGACGACTGAGCATGGGGCTGATTGGCCTTGATCAGGGCCAAGAACGCCTCAAAGACTCTCCGGCGTGGGGTCGGTGCTTCCGTGATCGAATACACCAGCTGCTCCATCATCTCGCGCTCCGCCGTCCAGTCCGATAGTCTCCAGTTGGATTCAAGTAGCAATTCAGTGTTGTTCTCGTGTTTGGCGAGGTCCGCTAAGATATCCCAGCTCTGCAACTTCTGAGTGCAGGTAATCCAATGGTCTTCCCAAAGCGAATACTCTGACTCCGTGAACTGCAGTGCTCCTGTCCTTGCCTTGTTGACAGCACTCTCGTACATGATCTGTGCTTGCTGCCACATTCCATTCTGCTCGTAAGAGATGGCAGCGTTGGTCTCAGAGTACAGACAGCGGCGTCTCCATAGACCATAAAACATGTCTTCCTCGCCCAGTGTCGTGTACAGCTCAGCGAGAGCGTCCAGGGTGCTGTTTCGAAGTTTCTCCTCCTCTTTGAATCCACTTGAATCGCTAGGCTTGCCGTCCGGAATCGAATTCTGCAACAAATGCGTGGCTGTGTGCCAGGCACAGAACCTCTTTCCCAGATACTTGACGAGATGAGGAGGAAGGCGAATTGCGGGGGCGCACCGTGAGATACCTTCCAACAGTGCCTGGATGACATTCGGGCGAGCGTCCTGTTGCTTGCTGTGGTATTCCTTTGCAAGCAAGGGGATAAGAATCTTGGTCAACTCCTGTCTCTCCTTGGTCGAAGTCGCGGACCAATACAATGGGAACAGATCTGTCCAGAGACGGTGGGTGACAGTTGTATCCAGATGCTGAAGCTGCTTAAGCGGCAGAATGACATCGCTCGTATTCAACTGATTGATTTGCGTCAAGAACTCGCGATGCTTAGCGAGAAACGCAGACAGCTCTGGTGAATCTGCGGCGTCAACATCCTCCTTTTCTGTGTATGAGACCCCCACTCGTTGAATCGGCTTTGTCTGTAGCCCGTCTGAGGAGAGTGAAAGGACACGGGGTTTGATAACCACTCCCAACAAAATGTCGAGTGCCTGCTGTAGCCAGCACTGGCCGCCAAGATACTCCCACGACTGTCCACCGATAACGTACGTCAGGCGGGTGTACAGCGAGCGACCGATGCTCCGATCGAAAATTTCTGCAAACTGATTTCGCAAACGTGGGTTATCGCTCCTTGTGCCCATCAAGAACGCTTGCTCGAGCCGCACAGTGAGCTCAGATCGAGCAAAGCTGGGATCGTTGTAGATAGTGACCACGAGCTCTAAAAAGTCCTCAACTAGTTTCTTGTCACCGCGGGTCTCCAGACACATCATCTTGACCATCAGGCTTGCCTTCTCCTTGATCGTGGGGAACGTCTCTGTCTTTCCTGTGACCCACTCTGTCGCCATATCGAGGATGGCACGCGACAGCTCCACGTCGGTTGACTTTTCGATGAGCTGGATCAAAGACACGAGATACCAGCGTCTTTGGTCACCAAGATGGGAAATCCGCAGCTTCAATAGACGAAGGGCTGTTATCAGGAGATTGCTGGGAGAGTCCAGGCCAGTGGACTGGGCAGTACCTGGCGCCGCTGGGGCAATGTGGTCCTTGGTAAGCTTGCTGACGACCTTCATCATACCAGGGACAAAGGCATCGATCGCATCCTGGCGGTGTTGGCATGACGACTGGATCAGTGTCAGAACAGAATAGAGATTCGTCAAAGTTTGGAGTCCGTCGTTGATGATAGCATCCACGGCTGCAATAAAGGATTGGACATCCGACGAAAGTGTCACGGATGCAGCAGCCGAGGCGGAGATATGTTTGTAGATAAGATCCATGATGGGCTGAAGATTGGTCACAATACGGGGGCTGTCAGATAGCAAGCACTTGTCCAGCAGGCGATAAAGCTGTGTGATATGGCTCAAGAACCAAGGGCCAGATTTGTTCTCGAGCAGCACCAAGAGTACCTCCAAAGAGTTGCACGCAACCACCTGGTTCACCTCCGTCAGCTCTGGTGGCAAAAGAGTGCGCTCGAGGAACTGGAGCTTCACGTTCACTTCTGGCCAGAACTCGGCACTCAGAAACTCCCTAAGCAACTCAACTGCGCGGTAAGGCAAACCCTTCTTCGACAACGGTTCCGGGAAAGCGCACGCAAAGCGGACCAGGAAACTGACAACGTTTTCCCGAAGACTGAGATTCGGTGTATATGAGGAAGTGGCCGCAGTTGGCGCAGCTGATGCTTCGCGGTTGGCAGGAGTGTCGACCTCCATGGAGCTCTTGGCTTCTGAGATGCGTCGACGCTCCCACTTGAGGATCAGCTCGGCAAGATTGATGGTCAGGGTTCTGCTCTCCATACCAGCATTCTGTACGAGGCCCAGCTTAGATAGGGTTGTAACAATCTGCGGCAAGAAGTGTTCGCGGCTTTCGTAGAAAAGATCTGGGTGACGAACTAGTAACTGGTACACGTTCATCAACTGGGAGCCACTGTGACCATCCTCAACAAGGACACGCTGAGTCCAACGTGCCCACGTTGGATTCTTGGGCGAATCTGCCGTCATCACGATTCTCTTGGGAAGAACAGGCGCCACAATGTCCAACGCCTGCTTCACAAGGGCCTTGGCTTCCGATTGATGGGCCCGAAGCAGCGCGACGTAAATTTGGATAATGATCTTGCTGGGGGTGTCGTAGGCGGCAATGAATCGAGCGATCAGGACATAGGCAGCCTGCTTTCCAGTAATATCGTCCAGCTTCAAGTAATTCCAGCCAAAGATAATAATATCCTTCCTGGCATCAGCAATGAGGTCAGAAGCAAACTGAAGGATAAGCGAAGTCATTTGAAGAAGTTCGATCCTAAGCGCATCGTCCGAATATTGGATGTCGTCCGGATTCTCATTGAGCAACGGTTGCCAGATCTTGGAGTGAATCTCAGTTATCATAGCATGATCAATTACAGCCAGATAATCGGAAGGGCCACGCGTAAACGCGACCAGGAGCATGGGATTGATGATGACTCTAAGCGATTGCATCTTGACGCTCTGAGATACCTCTCTGTCCTGGAACATGACAAGAAAGTGCTCCAAGATTGCTCTCTTCCTTGCGGCCGGGGCCTTGATCGCAATTTCCTCGATATAGAACATCTTGAGAAAGCTGAAGTCGATCACGGTTTCCTGGGTAAAAATACTGATCATCTCGAATATGACCTCGACGTCGTCCTGGTTGTGCTTGAGATACAGTATGAATGCTTCGACCAGATACTGAGATTCGCGCAATCTCGCTAACGAAAGCGAGTCTTCATTTTGGAGACGTTCGAGACGGCCAGGTGCCCGCCACATGGTCAGAAGTGCATCCAGAACTGGCCGATTCGTAGGAATGAAATCTGGGTTGAACTTGGAGATCGCCCGGGTGATGGTAAGGCCATGGAATTGGACAGCTGGGTCCGCATCTGAGAATGTCTTGGCGATCAGTTTCTCGGGATTACGGACAATCTCTGCTCGAAGTGGGGCCGCAAATTCTGTCGACAAGAGGTCCACGAATAGCCGGCTGTGTCTTTCCTGCGTGAGGCGGTCGAGGAAGTAATCCACGGCTTCGTCACTATATCTGTTAAGGAATTTGAGCAGCGAGTGGCGGAAGGGGCTGGACATGGCGCGACGCAGATGGCTTTCCATCTCGAGCACGACGGTTACCAACTCATCCAAAAAGATATTGGCAGCCTGGGGCAGCAAGCAAAATACGTTCAGGATACCGACAATGATACGGATTTCCTGGTTCTCGCTCAAGGGCTTGCCGGCGCATTCCTGTAGCCTCGTTGGCTCTGCCCATTGCCGCAAATGATCCAGCAACTTCTTTCCGATCTCAACCTTGAAGTAGTTCGTCAAGAGCTCCAGCAAACGCGCCAATCCTTCCAAGCCGGCCACGGTCAGACGCTTGTAATCCGAAAGGTTCATCAAGATTGGCCGAAGACCT